TCACTCTACTTGTTGCTAACCCATCACTCTACTTGTTGCTAACCCATCACTGTACTTGTCGATAGTCTACGAAAACATCGGCCACAAATACGTGCTCGAATACCCGTCCACGATCCTGGCATGCCTCTCCGTCGTGGTCATCTTCCCCATCTACATCTTCTACTGGAAGGGCCAGTGGTTCCGCGACCGCAGCAAGTTCGCGCAGGAGTTGAATCTCGGCAGACAGGCCGCCGTCGAGAAGAGGAGGAGTAGTGTTATGGCTATGCCCACAGGGCAGCGACACGATAGCGAGAAGGGGGGGAGTAGGCATGTTCAGCAGGTGTAGTATTGTACTGTGCCTAGGATCCGGGGCCTTTTGCGTTTTATGGTTCCCCTTTTCCCCGAGGGATTTAAATGATTTGATGGTGAGAGAGAGAAAGAGGCACCCAAGAAGAGGGAATCTTGGTTGACACTATCGATATGAAGCGGCACCCATCGCGGCGTAGGCGGAGGGGAGCGCATGACCAACCGAATTGACTGCTCGCTTCTACATACAGTGCGTACATCGGAGGAAAAAGTGACGAGATCCCAGGAACTCTATACTCTTGCTCTTGATCTCACTCTCGCTCCCGGCCTTTCCCTCTCCATTGATGCCTGGCCACATGTCCATTCCAGTATCTAGTTCCACTTACGTCGCGAGCCTGGAATGGGAAACATGTATGTCTAGGGCGTATCATAGCATGTCTTCCGGGGGGGGGGGGGGGAAACGTGGCATGGATATGGTGCCGCCTATGCTATGCTATGCTACGATGTGCCATGTTATATCTCACTTATTAGACGCGACCAATCTCCGTGTCTTTGCCTTGGTTCCTGGCGTGCGTGCAAGCCGACCAAGAACAGGAACGACGGGCTGGCTGGCTGGGTATTATATGGCGCGGGGGGCTGAATGTGAAGAGTACCTAGTACCTAGTACCTAGTTTCAGGGAGCAATTCTCCCTCCCTCACGGGCTTCCCCGTTCTCACTCTCTCTCTCTCTCTCTCTCATGCCTTTCGCCCTGCGTTCAGCAAAGTGACATCGACGCCTTTCTCCTTCTTTCACCCTCTCTCGCTCATTTGCATGCCATAACTACGCCCCGCGTTCATGAAGTGGCATTGCATTGCATTGTACTGGCCTACTCTCTGCTGTACTGGACGCATGCCCCACGAGTCCCGTGCACCCACACCCCTCTGAAAGATTGATTGGGTACAGATTCATGGAATTGTAAGGTATTGTATCTCTTTTTTTTATTGTATCCTATCTGTTGTATCGCATGCTATGTCTCGGGTTCGGCATTGCATGGTATCTCTCTCGGCTTTGTGGTATCTGTTGTATCGCATGCCATGTCTGAGCTTCGGCATTTCGGCATGGCCTTGACCTTGATGTTTGTGTTCGTCTTCATCTTTGTCTTCCCTGGGGGGTTACCTTCCGTATTCTCCTTGATTGCCAACGCTGTCCACTGTCCAAATCCATAAGCAAGGGCAGCGGGCAACACTGAAGCTTCTAGCCATGAAAAGGCTCCGGCTAGTCACCTCATAAGATTTCCCATGAATTGATTTAGAACTTCGGCAACAAGACACGTCTCCCGCCCCTTGACTAGAACTTTGGCAGCAAGACACGTCTCCCACTCCCCTTGTCATTTCCAGCTGCATTCGCACCGTTCCCGTGACCATTCCCGTTGCCGGGGCCGGTGCTTGCTTGACCCGCGGCGGCAGCGGTCCTGCTTTCTATGGTCTGATTCACAAAGGTCATGGGCATCTTCGTCTGTTGGCCGGCTATAGGCCCTGACGGACTGGTGGCATTTAGCCCAGCTGGGCTTGAACTCGGGCCTGAGGCGGTGATCACAGCGACTGGAGCCGTACTGGCTGGGGGACCATACTGTTGTGTTTGAGTCGGTGGCGGCGCGGCTTGATGCTGGAATGGTTGTTGTGGTGTCTGGAATATGTACTGCTGAGGCTGGGGCTGAGGTTGATATTGTGGCTGGGACTGCTGCGGCGGCGACGATGCAATGGTCAATGAATTTTGCCGCGCATGGGAGGTGTGTGAAGGCGGAGGTGGGGGTGGTGGGTATCGGGTATTATGGCGGAAGATGTCGACACTTGGACGACCAGCAGCAGGTGCGGCTTTCGGCGGAGCAGGGGCAATGGGTTGGCCTGGACCGCTGGAGATGATGCGTGGGGCTTCAAACACCAGTGGACCTGCGAGTGGTGCGGTAGTAGTAGGCGGCGGAAAGTGTACTCCTTGAGGTTGGGTATGATGCTGGGGTTGTAGAGGTGGGAGTCCAGGGGAGGAAGTGGTAGCGCTCACCGCCTGCTCGTAAGTCAGTGGAGGATATTTGAGTCGACGGCCACGTGGCCGCGAATTTGTCCGGATGACCTGCTGGTAAGCTTGTTGCGGACGCGGCGGTGGCGGGGCTTGACCGGGAAGAGGGGAGAAGTCCAAGCCTTGAACTGGGAAAGCTTCGCCTTTCGCAAGTGGGACGTAGATGTACTGCTTCTGGGGGTATTGCTGCGCCACCCACTCGGACACGTCTGCCAGTGCGGACAAGGCGAAGCTGTTAGCTTCCGCCATGTCCATGGGCCGTGGAACAAGATAACCACCGATCTTTGCCAGCTCCTTTGCCGCCTCTTCGGTAAGAGCGTCGATGGATCGAGACTTGTGAGACAGTTGCTCGGCTCTCCATTCTTTGTTTCTTTGTTCAATCTGCTTCAACAAGGGGCCAATAACGTCCTCGTTGAGCACTTGTTGGCGAGCTTGTTCGTCATAGGATTCTCCGAGCTGTCGCTTAAACGGCTTCTCGTCTTTGATTCTGCTGGATGTGTATCCACGCGGTTGGGTATCTGGTTCTGGTAGTTCGTGATAGTGTGGAAAGTACTCCATCATGTCGGAGCCGGATTCAGTGTGCGTGTCGTCGTGAGCGGCACGGTAGGCTCGCTCGAAGAGGATGATGTCTCCTTCCGCCGCGGCGAGGTGTTCTTTGCGGGCCGCTGCTCGGCGATTCTGTCACACACATGTCAGCATTATGCTACCTCGCTAGAGCGGCCGCGCCGAGACTTACCTTCCACTGTTGTTCGATGACCTCCTTTTCTGCCTCTAATCGTCGCATTTCGGCCTCGAGTTGGATGTCATATCTCTTCCTGACGAGATCTTCGGCATCCTGTTTGGCGGCCTCAAGTTCTTCGACGATCATCGCGTACTCGGGTACTTTCTTGTGGGCGTTCGACTTCTTGGCCATTCTGTTGAGATCGCGATTGGCCAGTTGTTCGAGTATGTCAAACTGTTGAGCGCCCACGACGCTGAAGAACCGTTTCAATTCCTGCTGCCTGGCCTTGAGAATGGAGATCATCGCCTTCTCTTCCTGAGAGAGCGGCTGCCTTCGCTCTGGCGGATCTGGACTCCCTCCACGTCCCCCTCGGCCTTTTGGCTTGCCTTTGCGTCCACCACCGTTGGAGTGGCCGCCTCCACGACCAGTGCGGGCACCGCCCCTTGTTGGCTTTTTCGGCGAGCGGGATTCTGGCGTCTCATCTCCCTCTGCAGGGTGATATTGAGTGGTGCCATCATTAGCATAGTAGATCACGTTGTTTCGGTCAAATTCAGGCCAAATCTCTTTCTCCTTGTCCCAACAGTTGGAGGACTTTTGGGTGGTTGCTTGCTTGGCGGTCCGTAGAGTTCGCCTACGCTTAGGAACCGTCTCCGAAGCATCTGATGCTGCACCACTAGGTTTGCGCTTCCGCGCATTTTCGGACGGTGCCTCAGCAGTTGATGATGAAGGCTCATTTGGAGGAGCATCCACTGCAAGGGGTCCTTGAAGAATGCTTGGCTTTATGTGGCGCGCGCTACGTCTCAATGCCGTGGAGGATTCTCTGACGGTGGATGCTGCTTGAATCTGTGCCTGTACTTCAGTTTCTGGAAGAGCATCAGCACTGTCAGATCGTGTCGCAGCCGAATTGCGTCTTGATGATTTGGCAGAATCAGGCGGAGTGATTGATGACTGGGTGGCTGGGGAAGAACGGTCTGTCTTGGACGTGCTCGAAGTGTCGCTGAGTCCAGATACGGGCGGTCTTCGTCTGCGTTTTCGTGATTTGATCGGGTCTGGCACAGCTACGACCGCAGTATTTCTTCGTCTTGGCTGTGTCGACTCCGAAGGTGTCTCAGGATCACCGGAGCTTGAGCTTGACCGTTTTCGCTTGCGGGTTGCGGAGCTCAGAATACTCGGAGGAGTATCTGGTGGCGTCCCTAGTTCTGACAATGAAGAGTCCTCCAAAGATGAGTTTGATGGTTCTGGCGTAGTCTTGATGCTCCGATTTCTGGTCCTCATATGGAATTCGGTTGTTGGTTCACGCGGGGAGCGTTTTCGAGGCATTTTGCTGCTGATGAGGTTAGCTTTTCTTGTCCGTGGCCTGATATTGGAGATTTTCGGTGTGGTGAGGTCAAGCCGTCCGGTGTATGAGGCGGAAATTCAATTGCTCGCCGGAATGGCACGAGACAGGGCAATACGCAACAAGATGGAGAACGTAAGGGTAGACAAATGCAGAAAGGTCCTTCTTCGCTCACCTGGAGTGATTTTCAAGACTGTCCAAGAGACACAAAGAAATGATTCCTGCTGTAAAAGAACCAAGCGGCTTTTTAGTAGCTCTTGCCGAGGAACGAGATGAGCGAGCACCACGAAAGAGTGCTCTAGCACGATGCCTTGATTGTGCTCGGATGTCGCGATCTAAGATTGGTTGAAGGAAGTCGAGGAGCCACAACTGAGCATCGTTGAGGGGTATTTGAGGTTGAAGTGTGCTGGTTGTCGCAGAAGGAGGCAGCTGGAAGCATTCGGGAGGTGAGGTATTGATTGACAAGGGTCGGGATGCAGCAGAACAATGGGAAGACGAAAATGCGTCAATAGTATTCAAGCCCGGAGGCGGAATAAGCTGGCAGACCGCCATGGCGCCGGGGTGAGGCAGTGAGAGATGCAGAGAGTGAAGGATTGTGTTGTTGTAAACCTGACACGGTGGACGGCCACAGCTGCTGAACTGTGTGAAGCATTCTCACAGTAACTTTAGTTGGATTTTGCATTTTGCTTGGGCTTGCCGAGTATGACAGCCACAGGCCGATGACAGCCTCTGACTGCTGGCGCCCAAGCCCTACCCAGAACAGGCGCAGGCGAGCCGCCTATTGCCCACCATCCCCGCCTAGACCAGTCGCCAGTGGCCACCCCCGAGCCACCTTCCGAAAAGGCTCGATGCCGATTTGCGGAACGCGCCGCGAAACGCCGGTCAGGGCTGCCCAATCACATCAAAAGAACTCCTGACTGTGTGATTACGGCATTCACGTGAGTGCTCCTTACTTTTCAGCGTTATTGATTCATCCACCGAGCACGACAAGTGCTGTGGTATTAAAAATCGCTTTTCACATCATTGGTATCGCACCTGCAATCAACGGTAACTGTGAGCCCTCATGGTCAAGGCCATAAAAAGTGAGCATTTCTCGCCAACTCCGCGCTAAAACACAATTCATGCCAAACGTGCAGCCATTCTCGATCCTCCATAAAGATAACCATCCAGGCGCGGTACCAGTAGCCGCGGCAGAAAAAGTCCTATCCAGTAGCCTATCCGTTGCCTCCTCATACCATTATTTGACTCAGTCGATTCGTCACAGAACCTGAAGATTTCGTTCGTCCTTTCTTGATGCTTTTCCGCTTCCCATAACCCACCAAGCTGGTGCGTGATCCCGCGGATAGCACGAAGCCAGGTAGAATTGGTGGTAGCTCATCCTCGTCTACAATCGAAGGACCAGGGCTGCCCAGTGGTGTTACCCCTAGCGCAGGGCTATCTGGGACTGACGGTTCGTCCCCGTCCGTCGTCGGCTTGTCAATGCTTGGCATGATGTCCTCGCATTTGTGCACAGGAGGCGAATTACTCCGAAGCCTGGCTAGAGTTTTAGGCGTGATCAGCGTGTTTGCCATTGGCGAAGCTGTAACCATGGTACCAGCGGTGGGAATGGGAGGCGGTCGAGTGCCGTTTAATCTAAACAGCGGGTGAATCAGTTCCTGCTTAGGGGACTCAAAGGGTTCGAATTGGGGTGGTGGTTGTTTGTTGTTATATGAAGACGTAGGGCGAGAGGTCGGCCGGGAGAAGTTGATAGGACTAGACGGCGGTGAAGATTTCAGTTGTCCAGGGGGCGAGCTCCAGACAGCAGTGTCTGAGGTTGCGGCGTGTGGTGGTGAGCTCGAAATTGGTGATTGCGGTTCAGGCAGGAAAGGTCCATCGAGTATGGTCGATTCGGCGGGACTACCGGGGATTGTCTCCAAGCCTCCGGAGGTGGGGGGCGGGGAGGAGTGGATGGCGGCTCGCATCTCTCGATGGACCGAGGATGTGTCCCAGTCGTCAAAGGCGCTGTCTGGCGACATAGCCTCTCTTGCGGGAAATGGTATCGCTTCCGACGACCACTGATTGGAATACCGGACCACTTTCGAACTTGATGATCCCGCTCCAACTTTCACCGATGACGATCTTCTTCTGGTCAATGACTCTCCTTTGGAGATAGGAGTTCTCGGTGACGAGTGGAGTGTCGGTTCCTGGGAACCGAAAGATTGCGTCGTGTGCTGAGTCGTCGGCCTCAGGGTAGTCGACAGCGACGGCGCTCGTGCACGAAAGTCCATGTCGAGCCGGCTGGCTCGTTGCGCTGTCAAGACATTTCGAACCCACGAATGCAGAAGGCAATACAGGACTATTTGGAGTACAGAAGCGATAGCCCAAGTGGCGAACCATATCCCGATCAATGTAGTAGGAGCGGCCTGCAAGATCCGCGTTGGTAGGTCGCTTTGCCTCATCGCCAGCCAGACCAATACAACGCCGGAGACAAGGATACCAAAGACCGCGATGCTCGTGCCGCTGGCCACGTAGCTCCATGTATGTGCCTTTGAGCCCAGCGAATGGCTGTCCAACTTCTTCACAAAGGATGTACAGAACAGAGCCAGTACTGCAATGTTGACTAAACTGGCGCCGAAGGTAACGTACAGCAGGGCTCGAAGGGCTGAGAGCACTGTGATATTGCCGACATTCGTTGCAAAGACGACGTTTAGAATGCTGCTCGCAATGCTGAAGGCTCCCGCAAGGGCGCCAATGGCCCAGATCTTAACGCGCCTCTCCATGCGTTCGTGTAACCGACGAGGATGTAAGGTTGACTATTTTCCGTTGTCGCTTTTCAATGCTCGAGTCGAAAAATGCTGCCCAACTTCCCAAGTTTCCCGTCTCGAAGTCGACATCCAGATCAATAGCTTGGAGGGATAGCAAACACGCCGAACAATGAATAGAAGGGAGTTCGAACACAGAAGCGCGTCGGACGGTAGACAACTTGAATAGTCCAAGAGCTGAAGTTGTTGACCTCTGACGCAAAGCATAAAATCTGACAGCGGTCTCAGTCGGGATGTTCCCTGTCAGCGGCGTGCTGTTTCCAAGCCTGACGTTGAACTGCCTGCAAAAAAAGGCTGAGGAAGAGGGGTTCAAGGCAAGACGCGCCCTTCAAGACCAATCAAGGCGGGGCCGGTGCAAGAGCAGGTGGAGTCCCCGAAATTATATAGGCGCACGACATGCAGCATGGAGTAATAGTAAACAAACAAAGCATGGAGTCGAACTGGAGGAGCAGTCCTGTACGGGGATATCTCTGCGACGCGAGTAACAGATGCAGTGAAACGACCATCGAACACTTACCAGTGTTATCTCTTTTCACGCGTCCGGCTGTTTTCAAGAACACACAAATCACCTAGCTCGAAGCCTTGAGCCAGGGAGAGACCACTGGCGCGTCAACTTCGTGGGAAATCTGGGAGGATCTCGTTCGTGGCAACAAGGGTTCTCGGAATCGCTAGCCGCAACATCTGCGATGGCGGCGGTTGCTTGCGGCAGTCGGGAGCGATAGCACCAACGAGACAGCTCTTTCAGCGCGGATGTGAGAACCAGAAGCGCAGCAAGCCCAGGATGTGGAGGTTGAAAGAAGAGGTTGTGATGGTTGGTGGCGAAATGCAATCTCGCTATCAAACCTTATTTGCATGTCTGCAATTTGCCTGCCCCGCGTAGGCATCAATTTCTGGTGCTGACAGCCAGACCCGCTGGGATCTTCAACATAGCATCCTGGAGCAGTTGCAGCTCGCTAATCAAGGGTGTTCGTCCTCGGCCATCGTTGAACGTGGCAGCCCGGGTTCCTGGAACCCTAACGAAGCGAGGTCTTTCGCGTTGGGCTCGCATGTCGCCAGCGGCAAGAGCTACTGTGACCAGGCTCCATGCGACGCATCGCACTAGACATCACGACGGAGATGCCTGAAGACTCGCGACAAGAATACAACGCCTGCTGAATGAACAACTGGCTGTGGGTGGATAAGAAGGTAATCCCCGAACAGACATCGCGGACATTAAACGACAGATGGAAATGCGGAGGGAATAAGGAAGCTCCGATTGGGTCAAGAGGTTCTTGGCAGTTTCCAAACCCGCCATTGGTCAGTTTCCAGAACTACCGAAGACGCATCCGATATTGTCCGGTGATGTGATAACCAGTGATCTGCTTGAAATCCGCTTCCGAGTATTAACAAGAGCTGAATCGAAATCCGAAGAGTAGATCATGGCATTTGTGGTTCTCGATTCGATGTTCTATCTTGAAGACTGATTGACCTTGTCTCCGACCCCGTGATAATCTCGCCAACTTGTCCGGTGAAACTCTGAGGCTCAACGAAATATGTCCCTAGACCCTTTCGCGAAGATCAGATACGTTCGCTTCGTTAAGAAACGAAAATTGTCCGGCGGTTGCCTCGCAGAATACCCAAAGTACCTCCCAAGCCCTACCACAATCCTTCCCAGCGCCTTCGCTAATAGAAGCAGCAATCATTGATCTTCCAATCGTTCGTAGACAGGACTATCTCGTCCCAGAAACCTCCTGTTCCATTTGCCACACATCATTCCTCAGGGCATCGTAATCTATCTGCGGGTTTGAGCGCATCGCATCCACACTGCCTTCAATAGCGTATACGACGTGTTGAAGGCCATTCAAGAGTCGCTCAATCTCGGCACGCTGGTCACTGATTTTGCCGAAGATGACCGCGTTCTCTTGCTGGGAATTCTGTATTCGCGTATTCAGTTCATCTGTGACTTTTTGGAGGTAGGGCGTCAGATGCGCCGCGTATAGCTCTTCGGCGGATAATGTGTGGAGTCTGACTGCATCAGCTAAGACAATGGGGGCACTGGGAGGACTTCTCACGGTCTATCTGGCATCTCTCCTTCGACCGCGCGATTCTTTCTCTTTCGCGCCTCTTCTATCATGTCTTCCCACTGATTTAACCCCTCCACCACGTGCCTGTCCTCCAATATCTGTTCAAAATCGCGCATGCATTCCTGCTCGAGACGCGTGTTCAGTTGCGCCCACACTCCTTCAAGCGCATTTGGACAATATTTTGCCGGCGTCGGGAAACATGAGCTGAAGTTCGCGTACGAGTTCGCCTTAATCGAGGCTGACAGAGCCCCTGCGAAGACCTTGTGTAGAGCTGTTGCGCGCGGTCCTGGTGCCGATGCAACCGGGGTTTGTGGAGGAGGTGACGGTGAGGCTGAGGTACGCCCATTCATCTTTGTCGCTGTCTGTATCTTGGAAGGCAGAGTTCTGGGCTCTCAATTGAGAACCACTCGCGGCTAAAAGTTTTCAACAATGGCTCTCCTGCGATGCAGAGGTAGGCACAAATGCAGTGCGGGAATTCTAAGTTCGGCTTCAAAGTAAACATGCCAAGGGTATGATGTCATGCGGCCAATCCATCAGTGGCACCCAGCTGGAGGGCTTGAGCGGGTATCTAGCTACAGGTAGTACCACGACCCTCTGGAAGCTGCACAGCGACCTGCGCAACAACATCGACAGTCTGATGCCGGCTGTATGGACACCGAGCAGTGTTCCTCTGTTGTAGGGAAGCGCCCCAGGCTCAGGTCACCCGTCACTATTCCAGCTTCACATGAGTTCGTCAAGTGAAAGCGCCGTGATCCTCCTTCGCGCACCGCATGAAGCTTAACGGCCAATGCCACTCGTTTCAAGATAAGAAGGCTTCACTGCTGGAATTCCCACTTGAAGACACATCAATCGATGCCTTCCGCGACTGGACAGACTCAAGATAATCATACACGCTACTCAAGGTGTGAAGACAGGTTTAGAGCGCTTTCCTGATTCATGACTACTTTTAAACAGCCCACGCACCACCCAAAATCCTATAACTTCGGCTGTCCCTGCTTCCTCTTCCTCACGTATTCCATCACCGCGTCAATGCCCGCCTGCGCGACTTCTGTATCTTGCGCCGGCGTGCCCGTGCTGCAGCCAATCGCTCCCACGCATTCACCATCGACGACAATCGGGATCCCACCAGCCACGTACATGAACCTGCCATTATTGCTGTTACTCAGACCGAACGCAGCTCCACCAGGCCAAACATTCTCCTTGTAGACCGATGTTGGCGCGCGGTGGCCCGCGGCGGTGAAGGCTTTGTTCATCGAGATGTCAATGGAGGTGAGTTTCGCACCGGGCATGCGTTCGAAATGCAGCAAGTAGAGGGAGGCGTCGACAATTGCAATGTTCATAGGGACGCTGATGGCTTTCGACTTCTCAATACATGCTGCCGAGGCCACTTTGGCGGCATGGTGTGTGAGATGTGCGGGCCGGTGGATGGCAGCCATTTTGTGCGAAGGGAGATGACGGCCGGAAGAAGGAGAGTCTGCTCGATCAATCAACAAGGCTGGCGAAGGACCCAAATGGAGCAAGTCGACAAGATGTGAATGGTGTCAAGACCCCCGACGGTCACAAAGATAGCTTTGACTATTTGGCGATATGAAGGTTCAGAAGTCTACAATGAAGCAACGACAACTCGTATGAAGTTCAAAGCTACAGGGCAGACTGGCGTCAAGGGAATTCGTTAAGATGCGTTTGTCGGCAGACAACGGCGACGTCAGCGGACGGGTTGGTCGCCGCACACCCGAGACGTGCTGCACATGCGCCTAGCCTCGACATGGGGGGACGTTGTTGCGGGGAAAGCAGGGGCCTCTGGATACATACTCCGTACTGCAGCTGGGGCTTATCCAACTGATTGACTACCACAGGCCTTTCATGCCAGGGTCTCATGGCTCTGCAGCGACAAACAATTAATGCATGCGAAGCATAGGACGCGGAAGCGACTTGATTCTAGAAAGAGGCTGCCCCGAGTGCAGACATTTGGCTATCTTATGAGGAACTCGTTACACTGGTTCGCCCACTTCCAGCTACTCCGTACAGCGCACTCGATTCTTTAGCGAGGCTGGTGGAGCGGACGGCCTCTGTGATAGAGCACCTCAAATGTCCTTTGGCTTTCCTTGTCCAGATACTCCTGCGCCTTCCTTACGACCGCACCTTGCTGCTTATAGTTCGGCCCTATCTCGAAGATCTCTCCCGAGGTCTGTTCATCGAGTAACTTTTCGAACGTGTCGATGACACCTTCGATCGGCGTCAGCAGGTTCTCCTTCTCCAGAGTGTCATAGAATGCGCCCGTGGAGATGTTGGTGCGAATCACGTTGGGGCAGATCGCGTTCATGGTGATCTTTTCTTCCGGCAAGTATTTCCCGTAGCTCCTCACTAACCCGACCACGGCATGCTTTGCCGCAGTATAGATGGGTAGGGTCGGGCAGCAATAGAAGCCGCAGACACTGGCAACACATCCGACTCAAACACAGGTTAGTCATGCGGTCACCGGCAGTAGGGGTTTTGCTCACTTGAACCCCGAAGACCATTCTTGCCGGGCTGCTGCTTCCTGAACTGCTGCACGGCCAGCGAGACGGTGTACAAGACTCCTGTCAGATCGATGTCGAGGACCGTCAAGTCGGGCATCTCGAAACCCGTCGCGGAAGGGTCATTGGGGATGGAGACACGCTCGCCGATCCCTGCAATGGGATATACGTAGTCGATCCGACCGAAATCTGCAACGGCTTGACTGAATGCTTTGGCTTGGGAATTCCAGTTTGCAACGTCGACGTGAGCGCAACTGGCGACCTGAGAATCCTTGTTCAGCTCGTCCACGACTTTCTGAGCGCCGTCAATATCTCTGTCAGCGATAAAGACCTTGATACTACAGCATTGTTAGTACTCCTCCCATCAATGCTGACTTCTCCCACAACAATGTCCCTTACTTGTGCTTCACTAGCATCTGAGCCACCCCTCGCCCAATCCCGGAAGCCCCTCCAGTTATGTATGCAAAGCCAGACATTCTTCCCGTACTGTGAGACTCGCAATTCTGGGAATAGAGGAACACTTCTTGAAGTAGTAGTAGGGCAGTCCTCTCGTGAATAGAAAAGGATCCTACCTTCAATCGAGTGTGAGAGACATGGTCATTCTGACTCGCAACTCGGTCCTTCTGCTGAAGTATCTAGATCTCAACGTGTGAGGGGTTAGCCGTCGGCCGAGCTTACGCTTAGCAGGCACCGTCATCTGGTGTACGCCATACTCGTGTTCCCGACGTGTGAGGAGACCCAGAGAGCAAACCCGAAGCATCGCTGTAAGAGTGCAAAACAGAAATGCGGGGTTGCAGGTTGCCCTGTTCGGCTGCGGAGGCTCTGAGCAAATTGATCAACTCTGCAGGTTGGGCCCGAAGAACCGAGCTGGAGCTGCATTGTCGACACCGTAGTTACCACTGGTGGAATGGAATCCTCAAGGATTTGGCCAAAGTCGACACGGTATGGAGACGGCTGTCTGACCGCTCCATCTTGTAGAATTTCCACACTCACTTGACGCCACGATGCCATGCGCAGTATATCGGCTCGAGTCGTTTTCGCATCTCATACTGGAGTACCGGTAACGAACTTCAGGTTAATATGGTCCAGCCATCGCAGAAAACGGCGCTTCAACCCCATTCAATCCTGCGTAAGTGGTGTTGATGCACCACTGATTTCTTAGATACAACAAATATGGACGATCCTCCGAATGTTGATCAACCGACCTACGGCGGAACACGCGGCCACTTCACAGCGCTGGGTGTTGAACAATCATCGTTTCCGCCGCCTCCGCAGTAAAATCTGCCCATACTGGCTGAGCCCCAGTGCGTATAGCCCCAGTTACTGCGCCGTGAGACTGACATCAGCAAGGGGAGATCCGACGGTATCCCCGAACGAAAGGAGCACTCTGCCCACCAGGGCCAACGAGGGGTTCATACCAGAGCGGTCCAGTTCAGTTCATGGTACAACAGGATAGTCTCGCCAGCACAAGCACAACAAAAGGATCGCCAGACTGAATACACCTCCTATCCTCCTACCCGTACTGTACTTAGACAATGTCACCCTCATCCTCACCCTCACCAGCACCCTCGATATTCACCCCCTACCTCACGCCCTCGCTCTCCTCGCATCTCTCGCACCTCCCACCAACCATCTCCCTGGACAGTCTGAGCCGCACCACCCCGGCCCGCCTACAAAGGACAGCGCTCCCAAACATCGGGGCCATCGAGCTCGTCTCCTCGGCAAACTTCCAGACGCTCTACGACCCACTCTACACGGCCAGTTTCCCGCGCCGCGCCGAGCGCGAGAGGTCCGACTTGATCGTTGAGCGCCTCGTCGCGCAGGCCAGAGGCGAGAGGGCGGGACTGGCGCCGTACCGGATCGTCGGCATCCGGGACCACGCGGGCGAAGTCATTGGGGCGGCTCAGTTCTCTGTCCTGCCGGTTCCGCCTCGTCCAGGGGGAGCGGGACAGGGACAGGGACACGAAGCCGGACAGGGGACTACTGTGGTCTCAATCTCAACGCCAGCCGAGGATAGGGGTGGGGACGTTCGCGCCCGCGAGACAGCTTCTCAACTGCGGTCCATTTCGACTTCCACGGCCAACTTCGCGGTCCCCTACCTGCAGTACATCTACGTGAGGGCGCAGAACCGCCGCCAGGACATGTCCGAGGTGTTGCATGCGATGGTGCTTGCCGTGGCGAGCGCCGACGCCGCGGTGATGGACCTCGAGGATGGAGTGCCTACCTTGGGAGCCGACAATCCTTCGCGCACCGTGCCGTTCACGCTCTTCGAGACAGACCCGCCCGATCACGGCGACGACCACGCCAGCCGTGCGTACGCGCTGGAACGGTCCAAGATCCATACGTCGAGTGGAGGCGTGGCTCTCGTTCTGCGACGTCCAAAACGCTGGGAGGGCAGGTCGGACGATAATGGGGCGGAAGATGAGATCCTCTCCGCGCACGTCCAACCAGGGCTTGAACCCGCCGATCCGCCGTTAACGCTGGTCTGGGTGATCCGGCCTTCGCCAATATCCGTGCCGGACAAAGACTACGATCTCTCGAGGATGGGCGCGGCACTCATTGCTGCCTATTACCAAAGTCTCCGAGACGAAGGCTTTCCGGAGAAGAACATCCGACTCGCAGAAAGAATCCTTGAGCAGAGATGTAAAGGGAGTACTTTCGGATTGACACCGCTCGCAGATGTCAAGGACTTTAGTATGGAGAAGGGATATCTGGATATCCGAGAAGCTGACTGAGGTTTGACAATTTTGATTTCATTTTAGGACTGTAGCTCGTCAGGCCGCAGCACAGACCATAAAGCAAAGTAACATCCAGCGACATTCTCACCAATATTCATAACAACCAATAGGACAGAACCATGTCGTCTGAACTCAACTTCCTCAAAGCACGGCCTTACAACACCGGTCGGGAGACAATTTGGAAAGGAAATAACTCGAAAACAATCTCTACAAAACAACAACGCCAAAACTCAGCTGTAAAATGAAGGACGGGTCGATTGCAGGAGTACAACATGTGCCCGACATATCTCAGTCCGGCAATCCAGGACCAAGTGTCAACCAGCAGAGAATAGCACAGCTCCGCGGACTGTCGAATGGTGGATATCCGTATCCGCCCGCTCAGTGTCTGGGTGATCTTCTCTTCCCAGTAAGTCTACTATAGAGATCTCCACCATCGTAGGAGATCCCCATCGACGTCATGATGTTGACCGCGGCAGTTTCACCGGTGGCAAAAGCACCATGCACACATCCGTTTCCGAGCCGTGCACAGTGCTCACCAGCGAACTGAAGCTTGCTTCCCTTGTTGCCATCGATGGCGTCAAACCAAATTTCCGGGTCGTCACCGGTTTTGTCAGCAGTGTAAGTACCGTAGCCAGCCAGAGGGTCCTGTGTCCAGTGTGTCGTTTCCAGATTCACAACTGGAGGAAGTTTCTTGTATGGCTCGGTACGGAAGAGCTTAAAGAGAGGCTCGAAAAAGGCGAAAATGTCAGCTTCCGAGGTCATGGACTCGATTCGCTGGGTGAGTGGCTCCACGATCTGAACAGACAGTTCTGTGGTGCCACTCATGATCCAGTTGTTACTAGTGACTGTCATGTACGAAAGGATTGAATCAGGGTCGAAAGTGTCTGCCGGCTCGGGATAATAGATGAATTGATCATTGTCTTTCGACCAAAAGACTGTTTCAAACTCGACGAAAATCTTGCCGAGGGCACCATATCCCAGTCGGTCGATACCGAGCGAGAGTTGTGGTGGGAGAGAAGGACTGAAGTCGACAAGCTTGTGTTTCAGGACACCAAGGGGAAGGGTACACACGATAGCATCTGCAACGAGTGTGGTAGAGTTGCCGTCCAAAGTGGTCACATGCACTGTGCACGGTTGGCGTTCGTCTTCATTCCACTCAATCTGAGTGACCTTGTGGCCAAGTCGGATAGTCTCGGGGTCACGGAGGTTCGAGGCTGCCCAGTTGACGATGGTGTCGTAGCCTCCTTTCATATAGAGGTTTCGCTCAGTTGCGAAGTAGGCAAGATGTTTCGACGAGGCTTGTTCGAGACTGGTACCTATCCAGGGTTCGACCTCCCGAGCGGCCTGAGGAGCCCAGAGGCGTTCATCCTCGCTGACGAGAGGATGGGTACTGAGCCATTCCTTGATGAAAGTCAAGGCGGGCTTGTCCTCGGCGTCTGGATTCTCGTCATAGTACCATTCGCAGAAGTCGGCAAACTCGTCGGCGACTTTCTTGGCCTTAAATTGGGATCCGAGACGGCCGTCTTTGGCATAGTAGAGAGGAGTACCGTCGTCATAGTAATGTTCAATTTTGAGCTCACGGATCAGACGGACCAATTTGTTGTTGGCAGTTTCGTGCATCCAGGCGGCTCCTAAAGACAGTGTGAGTAGAAGTGGATGACATGGGGAAACAACCCCACAACGGCGCGTGGCCCAACAATGAGCGCTCTTAACGACATCATGTCAAACGCCTACGGCGATTGTCAGTATTGCCTTGGTAATATTTACCAATGTCTCTGGGAGCGTGCCCAGCTTTCCTGCTCGTGTAAATCCGTCCGCCGATCCGGTCGGACCGGGCTTCGAGGACCACGACGTGGACTCCGTGGGTTCTCAAGACGGAGGCAGCACGAAGACCGGCGATGCCGGCACCGACTACGATCACTTTCTTCTGGGTTGGAAGTCCACCTGCTGTAGATGGTTCCTTTTTCTCTGGACTCACAACTTCATGGACATTGCTCTGTCCCGGGTCTTTCGGGTTTAGACCATCCTCCAACTCTTTGGTAGCGGCAGATGAGGGGAGTAGCCGTTGGGCGAGTTGCAGGATGGTCGAAGGACTACTCGACTCCTTATTGGGTTTATGAGGGGTGAGCTGAGCGATGTGGAAGTGTTGAGCCATTCTGAGCTGGCAAGTCGACATCAGCTATATGATAGGCTGGAGGCAGTAGAGAGGAGGCCTCGTGGCTACAAGGCTGTATCGAGCAGATACGTAGAAAGAGAAGCGAGAAGTAAGTAAGGAGAGATGGGAGGTTGTGGCAACGAAGGGATGCTGGACGGGAGCGCAGGCACAAGGGTGGGATGAAGCGGAAGTAAGGCGAAGGTGATGTGGGATGGCACCACGCTAACCACTTTCTAGGGAGGTGTAACCGCACCTAAGGGCAGGCGCCACCAATAAGAGTCCTGGTTACAGCGCGAAACAGGAATCTAGGGCTGCTCGTGAACTGCTTATCGGCGTCGAGATGACGCCGTGGCGGCAGTACCAGTGCGGGCCCCATTAAAGCTCAGTTTAACTGGGAAAAAGCATCGTCGGGCCTGGTTAAGCATCAAGGTCAAGCCGGCAGCTTCCTTTCTGTCGCTTATTTCGGGCAGCTCACACACTCCCCAGCCAGGTAAACCTGCCTCAAGCCTCCGATGATTTGCCCTCCATTGGACTTCTTTAGAAGACAGTACGCGCAAATTGCTGACTCACCACTTCTGTATCTGTTTGCCACTGATGAGCTTCGCACGCCAGGCGCTAATGACCGTTCCTTGGTGGGCTCTTTGCGGGGTCTGCAGAATATTGTCAAGGTGCTGGATCAGGCAAATCTCCTGCCCGCACTCGTCAGTGGTCACCCACGAGAGCTTTTTTGGGGGCAAACCACCATGATAAGGGATCTAAGCTTGGGCTGACCCCCAGGCGATATGGCGCACACCTTTCGCTGACTTCATAAAGTACTCATGGCCCAGCTAAATCTCTCCATCCTCCTCTAATTTTGGCGCCGCGGACTCCCCACTCACCTTGGAAATTGTAGTGAGCGCATGGAGTACGCCGAAGAGCTACCAGGCACTCGCCGCATTTTCGATACAGAGGGAAAGCCATTGTATCCAGGAGATCCTTCGCTGAAGAGAGATGGCGACATTGTGTTGGTGCCTCAGCCAACCGACTCTCCCAATGACCCTCTTCAGTGGTCGAAGCCACGCAAGATATGGCATAGTTTCCTCGTCTGTTTCGTCACAGCGCTGACCGCCGCCACATCCAACGACGCTGGCGCCGCCCAGTACAATGAGAACCTTGAGCTCGGCATCAGCTATGGCTCCTTCAATACGGGTGCTGGGATTCTGTTTTGTGGGATCGGATACTGGACACTACTGTCTTCCCCAGCGGTTTTTCTTTATGGTCGCCGCATCCTCTACCTGATAGGCATGACATGGGGTTTCATAGGGGGTATATGGTTCGCCAGAGGTCAGAGCACAAGCGATGCCCAATGGAACCAGCTCTTTGTCGGCGCGTCCGAATCAGTCGCCGAAGCAACCGTGCAGTTGTCGTTGATGGATCTGTGGTTTCAGCACCAGCGTGGCTCAGTGCTCGGTGTTTATGTGTTAGCAACCAGTATCGGCACGTATCTCGGACCTTTGATTGCCAGCTACATTGCAGACAGCAGTCTCGATTGGAGATGGATCGGGTATTTTGGAGCAATCATCTCTGGCGGGACTTTCTTTGTCCTTCTCTTCGGCCTTGAAGAGACCACGTTTCACAGGGATCGATACGTGGTCAATGACGGAGACAGGTACCTGATTGATGGCGTCAACAGGAACAGTTCCACCTCTGCAGGGCTAGAAGGAGAGTCGACGGACAAAGAGAAAATTCCCGATCAGCCAGACGAACCACAGGCTGGATCACCACGTCGACGTTCTGTTGCTGAAGAGCGACTTGCAGCTGAGGATCGACCGAAACCGTATTGGCGACGCATTGCGATTATTACTCCAGCCCCGAATTTGCGCGGATTCGGATTCAAGCAGTACTTTCGGCGGTTGTTCCACACCCTGCGCATCTTCACATTCCCCGCAGTTTTGTATTCGGGCCTGCAATGGGGAGCGCAAGATGCCTGGCTTACCTTCTATCTGACAGTGGAGGAGGATAACTGGTATGGTCCGCCGTGGTACTACAGTGATGCTGCTGATGGGGTAAGTCATCTCTTATGGCCAAAGCGGTCGCCAGAGGGGAAGCTGACCCAATTTTTAGCTCATGAACGTGCCGTGTTTGATTGGCGCCGTGATCGGAGCCACATATGGTGGCTGGCTCAGTGATAAATTCATGATTTGGATGGCCAAGAGGAACGGCGGCGTTAGCGAAGCTGAGCATCGACTTTGGCTCATGTATCCGTGTGCCGCCATTTTCCCCACTGGTCTGTGGCTGTTCGGGATTGGAACCAGCTATGGCTGGAGATGGCCTGCCCCATATGTTGGTCTCGGCTTCATCGGTTTCGGATGGGGTTGCGCCGGGGACTTGAGCATGGCGTACCTGATGGATGCGTATCCCGACATGGTCTTGGAAGGCATGGTTGGTGTAGCGACAATCAACAATTCAATCGCGCTGGTCTTCACCTTTACCGCCTCCGACTGGATCGAAGCAAGCGGTGTTCGCAACACATTTATTGCTATCGGTGTCCTGGCATTCGTGTTCATCATGACGACCCTGCCCATGATGATCTGGGGGAAGGCCTCTCGACGGTGGACTAGGGACCGGTATCAGCGATTCCTGGAGATCCGTGACGGTTTTGAGACTTAGCTTTGTGTCTGAATAGATGATACGAGAGCTTGTATTGTATCGAAAAGCATCCCCCTGAACTGGGACGCGATGCTTGGGCACTTCTCCTGTAAGATTATGTATATTCAGGCAATGTCAAATGTTGGCGAGGTACTTGCCTCCCTGGGAACGATACAACTATTCACATGAGCGATACAACTAATTGCGTGAACGATATAACTAAGTCCTTGAGCGATACAAGGTGCCTGGACGAGTATGTACAGGAGCTTCTGGCTAGAGGACCCGGCACCCTTTCGCTTAGACTGATCTGATATAGGCTGCACTGCTTTTCGGTCTTATGCTCATCCGTAAAAATACGGCCACTCTACTGTCAACCATTCACCTACTTTGGCCTGCAGTAATTGCTTCCATCACCACATTCATGCACATTCAAGCTACACGAGGTACAGCGTACACAGCATTTACTCAAGCGTCTCATCTCACCTTCCGAATAGCCTCTGAATACTCTCACAATGCATCCAACTCTGCCCCTCCAACGCGGCCTGTGAGTCCGTTGCTTCTCCTCGGGGCCATCTCCCAAGACGCTGCACATCTCAGTCCCCTCAAGTCCACGAAGCTTCTCTGCACGGAATACTGACATCCAACAGCCTCAAACGCTCCTCATACTACAACCCAGACTACCGGACCGGTGCAGCCCTCCTCCGCGCCAGACGACCATACCTCGTAAAGAACACACTCACGGGAATCGCAATATTCGGGTTTGCAATTGGAGTTTGTATGCCTGCCTGCCTGCCCTCAGCTCACCTCGTTGCTATTTCCTTCGAGAATCAGCCGCTGACGGACGTGTTCGCAATAATAGTTTCATTCACACTAAAAGCCGTCGGACAGGAGACCTTCGACGACGTGATCGTGCCTTCCGAGCCCCAGACTGCGGCGCAAGCAATACAACATCAGAACCAGTCCCAGGCAGTCAAAGCGAAGATTCCGACCTCACAAGTAAATGGGATGCGCTCCTGAAGAGTTCCTAAACTAGGGTGCTACGATGAAGCGATCTTTCGGCGCGTCACCAGCTGCGTGCTGGACAGAGGATGGCGACGGCAACAGCGGCAAGGGCAAGGGGTAGCGAGAGCGGGAGCGGCAGCGGCAATGGCAGCACTATCGCCATGATCAGACACATCAGGAAGGCCTCTCTCGTACCTGCTTGGCTAGCATTTGCCAGGGCTGGGCATAATCGTGTGCCACCAGAGGTTGCTTGCCGCACTATCAATAACGAGAAAGAGCCCGACCGATAAACAGTTTCGTCGAACGTCATTTATCAACACGGAAGACCTAACAAAACCAAGGGCGTCGTGTTCCTGCCGTCACGACGGTCCCGAGATGTTGGAGATACAACGAAGCGTGGATTTTCTGCCTTTTGGCCAAAGCTGGCATCTCTACTCCTCTGCTAGATATCACGGTTGCCGGCGGCGACGGTCGATTGAAATCTGCTGTTCGGGTCTACCCGTCCAGCTGTTCGTGAGATGGCGGGATTTTATCCCGCAAGCACTTCTTCCAGTGTTCAGGCCTGGACCGCCGCGAGAGCAAGTATTGCGCTGAGGATTTGGGTGTTGGGTGCCGTGGCAGAGCGGTGGGTGAGAAAGATTGACGCGCATGTCTGTACATCCACCAGCATAAGGCAGGCTTTTACCCTACCAGTTTATGGTCAGAGGAAGCCGATCAGTGGTGGTCCAAGGAGAATCGTACAGATCCGTTCAAACCAAGTTGCCCCACACGGCCACGATGTTTTGCTCCTGAATAAGGCGAAAACCATTGTTGATCAGTACTTAAATCAGTTCAATCACTTCTCATTAACTGAAAAGTAAATCCAGAATCTACAAAAGCCTGCAATTCCAGAGGGGTGTCATGACGTTTGCTTGCTCCTTCCGCAATGCCCCGTGTGCTCGTTCCCAAAACTGCAATTTCCTGCTATCATTCAATGCCGTCAACGAACACTAAATCTTCCCGTCCCAGCCGTGATAGCAGGTGGTCTCGGCGCCGTTGCATTAAAGTATGCTCGCGAGGTTAGAGGTGAAGAGCCCGTGTCACGTCCAGCGCTCATCATGTCCTTGTCCTTCCCTGGCTGATCATTTGACTCGGGATGCCGCCTCATATCGAGGGGGCTCGCAGAGTGGATGCGGAAGTTATGTAGTGCAGACGGTCCTGCTTGGACCTCCGTCTTAGAGGTGCTGTTCTGTCCATCATGGGGGGTGTTGATGGCTGAGGACGCTTGGGCCGACGCTGAAGGGTCGGCGATGGTAGAGGCCGATCCTCCTGGGGGCTGGAGGTTGTCCGGCATATTCCGTTGTTGATTCGCTGGCGTGAGAAATTCGTTCATTGGTGAGCGGTTGGAGTTCTGCCGGCTCAGACGGTGAATAGGATGTTGAGGGTTAGCCCAGGGAGTCTGTTCCAGGAACTGCTCTTCGGCTTGTGGCCCGGACATCTGTGATTGCACTGCTGGGCGCTGAATGGTTCTGGCAGGTCGAATTTGTGCAGGTGAGATCTACGAGCTGTTAGTTTGTCGCATTCGTGTGCGTGGCTGTCAAGGTAAACGTACCCCCATCTTCTGGATGTCGTCTTCAATATCTTTCTGCCTGGATGCCTCCAATTCTGGCGCAGCAGGGAAGCCCACGTATTTAGCTACGCCCGACAAAATCGAGACTTCCTTATTGTAAGCCGTCTGCTGGAGAATTTGCTGTGATCTCTTCTCCGGGAATGGGATGCTGAAACTGGGTATCGAGGAATCCGCTTTAAATCTATCACGCTGAATCCGGTAAAAGTGCTCGCTGATCCGTTCAAGGTGTCGCTCTCTGATGTCTCTTACGGTCTGGAAGTATTGGCTGTGAATCTGACTCCGTTCCGCAACGGCCTTGTTCTTCAAGGCTCCGACCTTGTAAACGAGCAGCTTTTGCTCGATTTGGAACTTTTCGTCGCGGTATCTCTGCACTGCTTCGACCTGACGTATCAGCTCAGGATGAGCTGGCTTTGGTTCTTGCAGTAGCTGTAGCTCATGGTTGATTGCCGCTATGCGTTCGTCATAGAGGCGGTCCCTTAGTGTTGCAAACTGCTTCTCAATGGCCATCAGCGAGTCCATGGCCGCCATGCGTCTGGCTTGCTCTTCTTCGCTTTTCAGGGTCGCCTCGGCATCATTCTCATCCGCGTCGCCGGGCTCTGAGTCTTCGGCCGCTTCGGCGTCTTCACCGTCTTCTGGCTGCGGCTCTGGTATCATAGGTTCTTTCGTTTTTCTCCTTAACCGACTTCTGCTTTTGCCCTTGGAGTCTTCGCTAGTATCAGTTTTCTCAACTTCTTTCTGTTCTTCTTCAGCGACTTCTGGGGCGTGTGTACCCTGTTCAGCGACTTTAACTTCGGGTTCAACGTTGAGTTTCCGAGTCTGAGGAGCAGGAGCTTCATCACCGTCACTGTCTAGTTCTGATTTATCCTCGTCAGACTCGGGTGAGCCTGGCCGTCGTCGTCTTCGTGATCTGGGTGCCTCCTCAAGGTCTGATGCGCTCTCTTCTCGTTTACGCTTGTTGGGGGACATCGTGCCAGCAGGCACAGCCTCAACTGGCAGTTCTTCATCTGCGTCCGGACCGTCGCTCAAGGGATCGTCATTGTCCGAGTCGGGGTGGGAGGATATAGGAGACGAGACCAGGCTTTCCGTCAAGCTCTCGATTTCAGGCCGCATGTCTACATCTTGTCTTTGGGCAAGCTTGCTGGGACTGCTCTCAAAAGGCTTCTTCCTAGAGAGATTCTCTGGCGTGACTTGCAGTCGCTCAGTTTCAGCCTCAGAATCAGCGTCCCCCAGTTGTGTTGGATCTACTTCTTCGTCTTCACCATCTTCGAGGTCTTCCTCAAGCTCGCTAAGGCTGCTCGACCGATCATCGTCCGAGAGTGGTTCTTCTTTGGCGGCAATGTTCGTGGTGGCATTAGAAAGGGCAAGGAGAGAATCTGCGGCCAGATCCATGGGTGCTGCGAAGGAGGACTGTCGACGAGGTCCTCGAAAAAGGCGGAGTGAGAAGCTTGGACTCTGAGGAGGCCTCAGTAATGGAGCTGCGAAGGTCGAGAACAGATAGCTTCTGACAACACCGCAACGGTTAGCCAGACTCGAGCTATCTTCCATGAAAGCAGGAATGCGGGCTTCCGTCACGATTATGAACCTACTTACCGAGTTGGAGTGAATGTCTCTCAGTCACACTCGCATCGTGGTCAGCGATTCTTGTGCGCCAAGTGACATCAAACGGCTCGGGCGCACAAGGACTGCGCACGAGGGTCTAGCCGTTTGTCGGCGATGCCTGACACGAAGATCTTCGCATGTATGTGTATAGACCGGTTGCGATCTCTCGAGGAGCTAAGGGTGGGAGTGACTGCGAGCACAGGGCTGCCAGCGGGGTTGGGAGGATGATCGGTGGACAATGCGTGAGTGGTAAGACAAATCGCATGTGGGAACCAATGCGAAAGTGATCGTTCGAGTATCTTAAGAAAGTCAAGCAAGGCGAGAGAAGAAACCAAATTGAATCGAGTAGTCGACGTCGCAGGCGGCAGAATGCCAGGAGGAGCAGTTGACTGAGTCTTGCAGCGTGTTGGCGTCGGTGGAGAAACGCAGCGCAGCGCCGTGCAGCCCCAAGGTTTCGTTTTCCTCCCTTCAGGGCACAATGAGACCCTGCGGCCTGAATAATGGGCGCTGCCCACGATGTCATAGGGGCGAATCATTGTTCCGGGTTAGCCTCGGCGATAACCCATATGCACCAGTGTTATCCCCATTTGCACTTTTCCGCCAAACCACCCAAAATTTCTTGGATCCGGGGAATGCAATACTGGGTTGTGTCTACCGGTTCACAACATGTCCAAATCCAAGAAGACGAGAGCTGCAGAGCCAGCTGCTCCTCCTACGAAAGCCGCCGCCAAACTCGGAGCGAAAGACGACTCGGTCGATCCCGCGCTTGCTTCCCTCTTTGCTTTCAGTGTAAGTCTATAAGTACCCAAACTTTCTTATCGGCACTGACTCTCTTGTTTAGTCTGGACCAGTAAAAGTACCGAGCAGAGTAGTCCAACCAACAAAAGCAGCTTCTGCCCCGAGAGGCGGCGCTCAGGAAGTCGTATCGTCAACCTCGGACCCTAGATCCTCTCAGGACGAGGATGGAAAGGAAGAGAGCGATGACGAGGACGAGGACGACGAGGAGGGCAGCGAGGAAGACATCGAGACCGCAGATGATCTACCTGAAGACGACACTCCACGAACCGCTATAAAAACACAAAGCGAAACGGTGAAGCCACGGAAACGCAAGCGAAATGCGGACGAGGACGACCTCGAGCAAGCATACTTCAAGCGCCTACAGCGAGAAGAGGACAAAGAGACGCAGCAGAAGCAAGCAGGACAAGATTCAAAGGACGTGGATACAAGCTCCAACGACGACTCAGTCAGCGAACCCTCCGAGGTCGAAGTACCTCTCCGCCACGAAATTTTCGACAAGAAGCTCAAAGACCGAGACAAACTCAACCGCACCGTCTTCCTAGGAAACGTGTCCACCGAGGCCATCAAAACAAAGCACGCCAAGCGGACACTCACCCGCCATCTGCGCTCCGTATTGAAGACTCCCGCTCAAGGCGGCAAACGACCAGGAAAATTCGAGTCCATCCGATTCCGCTCCACGGCGTATGCCGCTGCATCCGGCCCCAAAAAAGCCACGTACGCCAAGAAAGAGCTCATGGACGCGACCACGACCAGCACCAACGCGTACGCGGTCTTCACCACCGAAGCTGCCGCAGAGCACGTTGCCAAAACGCTGAACGGGAGCGTCGTCCTCGATCGCCACCTCCGGGTCGATTACCTCGCCCGCCCTCTCCCCGTCGACCACAAACGCTGCGTCTTCATCGGCAACCTCAGCTTCGTCAACGAGGAGACGCAACCTACAGGTGAAAACGAGACCCGACGCCCCACCGCCAAACAACCCGCCGACGCGGAAGAAGGCCTCTGGCGCACGTTCAGCAAGTGCGGCGCCGTCGAATCTGTCCGCGTGGTCCGCGACCAAGAGACCCGCGTGTCCAAGGGATTCGCCTACGTGCAATTCAGGGACGAGAACGGCGTAGAAGCCGCGTTGCTCATGAACGACAAGAAATTTCCCCCCATGCTACCCAGGAAGCTGAGGGTCATGCGCGCGAGGAAAACAAAAGTGAAGACATCGTCGAGGTTGCCTTCTGGCGGCAAACTCCCCAGCAAGAGCTCGTTCGCCAGAGGACGGGCAGGGAAACCGCTTGTCTTCGAGGGCCATCGGGCGAGCGAGGACGGCGGGAAAAAAGGCAAACCGCAGAGCCTCAAGGATAGGAAGAGGGAAAGAAACAAGAAAAGACCGGACTCGAAGAGCGCAAGGCGGAGTGCAAATTTCAAGCGCGCACAAGCCAGGGGTCGAAGTTCAGGCCAGGCAAAGTGATCGGCCTGCCAAACGTACAGCAACCACGGCCACACGAGATGTAATGTGCTTTCTCTCCGTACAGTATTAGCATATGAGCAGCACGGGTGCCATGGTTCGGAGTCTTCCTTCAGCGGTATTCAAAAAAAAAGAGCTAAGAGCACCTTTGATGACTACGTACGGAGTATATCTTTTTCCTCTCTGTCGCTGTCGCTGTCTCTGTCTCTCTCTCTACCTCACTGCTCCTACCAAGCACCGCTCCTCGCGTTCAGAGCTTCATCTCAGCCCAGCAGTCCGCTTCTACCAGCCCAGAGCTCTGCTCCGCCCGTGCCATCCACGCATTTAGTCCTGACACGGTCCCCAGGAGGAGCAGATTTACACGGAGTCTGCATCAAAGTCACACGCCAGGACACAGACGGGCATGAGCGAGCAGAGCACAGGCGTCACCTACCTCAACTGTGCATTGGTCGCGATTTTACTCGGCAGGGGTCTTGGGCCTTCCTTCTGTGATGCCGGTACTGTTACAATGTACAAGGCTCCCCCCTGGCCTCACGGCTTCAGTTCGATGGTGTGCAATAGATCCCGGGCCTGTGAGCCGGCAGGTTGCCTGTTCTGAGCTCGCGCACAAGATGAGCTCGGGTCAGGATCTCTGATAACTCGAATAGATTTTTGACAACCATGACCGCGATACTTACCGTCCATATATACCTGGGGACTCATTCTCGGCAGCATCAACCTCAACCTGAACCTGTCCCAATGCATCGACCAGCTCTTTGATACTGGGATACTCTGCACTCCTGCTCCTCAGCTCCTCGCTAGCCTCTTCTTGGGCAGCGGTAATGCTCCTGTTCTTGACTTTGACTTTGACTTTTTGTTCCTCTCCTCGGAGGTAGAACAAGACGTCCAGGTGCCCCGATCTCTCTGCCCACATCGCCGCCGTCAACTTGAGGCGATCTCCAGCAAAGACATCAACCCCATCTTCCACCACCAGCATTCGAACGATGTCTATGTCGTTCTGACTCGCGGCGATATGCAGAGCGGTCATCCCACGGTCGTTTTTAGCCTCTGAGTTGGCCCCAGCAGCTAAGAGCCGGCGGACAACCGCAACGGAGCGAGAAGACGCAGCTTTATGGAGCGGTGTCTGATTCGTATGTGTCCGCGTGTCGGTTTTGGCGCCGTGAGCTAGACACAATTCCACAAGGTCGACGTCACCCAACGAGGCCGCTATGTGCAAAGCCCGCCAGCCGTGATAGCCTACCGTTTCGATCGAAGCTCCTCTACCGAGGAGATATTCAATAATAGACCTCTGCTTTTCTTGGACTGCAACATGCAGAGGTGGTTGGCCGTCTTGCTCGAGTGAGTTGATAAAGTCAGGGCTTTTGGCGAGAAGCGCTTGAATGGCTTGCAGATCGCCTTCCTCAATGGCCGTGGGGAGCAGGTTTGCGCTGCTTGGGTCGCTCATGCCTTGGGCCTCCTTTTCTGCGACGCGCAGGTATTTGTGGATGTCGTAATGAGCGGTGAAGAAGGCGACCTCTCGTGGCGTAGATCCCTTTTTATCACGACAGAAGAGTTGTGCTCGTTTGAGTTCTGAATCAGGACTGCATTCGATAAGAGTTTTCACGGCCCCCATACTTCCCGATCGAACGGCAAGATGTAGCGGAGTATTGTCCCTGAAGTCCAAAGTCAGAGCATTGGCTCCTCGCTCTAGAAAGAAGCGCACAATCTCAGTGTGGCCTCTTCTCGCCGCGCGGTGCAGCGGTGTCCAGAGTTCGCGCCCTCTGTGGAACATGTTGCCGCCATTCTCGACCAAGTAGGCGACCACATCTGTGAAGCCGCCGGTGGCGGCGAAGTCAAGTGGGCATAGACTCTGCCTATCTCTCACATGCACCAAAGCACCCGCCGATACCAACAGCTTCGCTATGGCTAGGTAGCCGCGGAGCGCTGCAATGTGCAAGGGAGTCGTTCCTTGACTGTTGGAGGCTGCTACCAATGCTCCTGCCTCCAGCAGGGTAGTGACCATTTCTTCATCGCCTTGTTCCACCGCCTTATGTAGAGGTGTGAATCCCTCAGGACCCGGGTAATCCAGCTGCTCTCGTCCATACTGAAGAAGAAGAAGTCTCACTATGGAAAGCCGTCGGAATGACACTGCCAGATGCAAGGGCGTGCTTCCGCTATCATTCACATTCAGCACATTACCTCCATGCTGGAGGAGCACTTGGGCGACCTCTTCATCACCAGAAACGGCTACTGTGTGCAGTGCTGTCTGTCCATACGCGTCGCGTGCATCCAGACAGAGGTTAGTTTGCTTTTGAGCAATCAAGACTTTGAGGAGCTCGGAAAGGCCGAATTGAGCTGCTAACCAGATTCCAGCACCACCTGAATAAGCCCACGCCCATGTCTTCTCCTTCCAGTTTCGAAGGTGGTTCGCTTGGAAATCACGCACGCGAGCCATAGTGAACATGCGAAAGCTGTCCGAAAGCAGAGGGAGGGCGGTGTCCCTGATCTTCTCGGCGGAAATCTGATAGGCATGATGGCCCCATTCAAGAGCTGCATACTCTAGGAATGCAAAGTCGTCCAAAGCCTTGGCAAAATCTTGCCTCTTCTTGTATGGTAGGTCCTTGATCGAATCAAGCATCAGATACTTGATACAGGTTCCGGTGATAACAAGGTTGGCATCCTGAAAGAGGCCGTGATTATGGTGCCGCAGATACTCTTCCAAGGAATGATGCACTAGGCGTATGAGCGAACTCTCATGATCCACCTCGACAAGTCCGCAACAGCAGTCAACAAGGGTCCTGACAGAGGGGAAGTTGTCCCTGTCCAAATCAGTATCTTCAAGCCTCAGGGCCATGGCATGCTGCAGTTCGGATGGTGACAGTGGCCTTCGGGCGTGGGATAACCACATCAATATCCTGAAAGCAAGATCTCGTCTGGTAACAGACAGGTTCGAAATCCTTTGTATCGTGGACTGGAAGGCATGCGTTAGATCTGTCGAGAGATGGAGCAATGTTCTTTTCACATCGGCTTTTGTGATTTGGTCTAATATCGTCTTGACTTGAAGAGCTGGCAGCAGGAACAGGCCATTAGCGGTATTCGTTAACGTGTCAAGAACTTGTGTTCGAAGCTCATGGCCCATCAGATCTTCGGAGTCGGGATGTTCGTCTATCGTTTGGACGAGATATCGGCGAAGATCTGCAGCATTTGCAATAATTTCGATTGTCACCGGGTCGTTGAACTTGTCCAGCAGAGTAAAGGCGTGGGGTCTGGTGGTGGCAAGCAGCTTTACCGTGCTTCCCGATGAGGATCTAATGGCGCCCATGACCTCGAAGAAGCCTGACCTTTGGCTCTGGCTGTCTGCCTCATCAAGGGCGTCGATTATGATGAAGCAACGGGTAAACGTCGCAACAACCCGACGCGTGACTGCCAACAAATCGTGGAACCACGTCTGGTCTTTGACGGCATTCCTCGTTCGTTGATAGAACTCGGCAACGGCAGATGACACATTTTCGGCATGAGAGCTGAGTTGGCGCAAAAGGCACCTGGCAAAGGCGGCAGGGTGCTGTGACACTTGTTCGGAGTAGTCGTAATAATAGTAAGCTACGGCGACGTCCTGGTCTTTGAATCTAGCTCGCAGAAAATCAACGATATGTGAGGATAGTATAGACTTCCCAGCTCCCGGTCCACCAACGCAAAGGACGTCATGACTCGTACTTCTGTCATCGAGCCAATCGAGGAAGTCGCGATGCTCGAGGAACCATCGTCCTGTGTCCTCGGCCCGTCGTACTTGGAGGTCGCGATGCTTGTGCAGTGACGAGACAGGAGCAAGCCAGTCCAGTATATCCGTCGTCCTTCGTTCCTGCTCTCTTAACTCAGCTAGTCGTGCAGCTTGAGAGATCTCGTTCACGTCGGCAGCGGTCTTGGCAAGCATGGGTACCAAGGCAATGATGTGCTCCAGTTGAGCGGCGCGTTTGGAAGACTCCTCGGTGGACAAGCCCATCTGAGCAGACAACTCACTGATCTTCTTTGAAACTTGGAGCATCTCTTGTAAGCCTTTCGTGGCATCTTCTGACGACTTGGACAAGAGGTTGAAGCCTTCAATGGTGAACGCAAACTGGAAGGTCTGGCTGTATCGCTTCAGATTGTCCACCATCTGCATGACTTCCCTCTGCTCGAATGGCCATCTGAGCTGGTCGATAGCTCGGACAAATCTCCCGCCGTCAGGCGGAGGCTTTAGCCGATGCCCAATGCGCTCTATCCTCTGCCGACAATCTCTGATGGCTTTCGAGAGAACAGAGTAGCTGTCAAAAGACCTGCCGGCTGCCTTTCCGCTATTCAAAAAATCCCGCAGGTTGCTGAGGACCTCGCCCAGCAGCAGCAATTCATCTTGGAGTTCTCTGGCATTCTTGGACCGCTCCCTGATGGCAGTGACATAGGTCGCAACCGTGCCGCCAACCTGTAACGTGAGGGTAACGAGACCAGCAATACTGCTGGCGACGGAGACACCGTCCATGGCCGAGCCGACAAGAGGTCGAAGCGGACGAAAGCATGACTCGTCTCGCAATCATTGTCATGAAGGTCTGGATGATCATGAATGACTTATAAGTGGAACCTGAGTAGTCCTGGTGGTGGCAAGGTCACCTAGCACTCATACCGCGCGAAATCACCAATGTGGGAAGGGTTGGCCCCCCTGACTAATAGCTTAAGCCTAAGTTAGGGCTCCCTCGAAGCGCTTAGCGGGCCCCAAGGGGGGGCCTGAAGCTTGGGCATAATGTACATACGAGTAGCTTGCATACCCCGAGTCCTGTGCGCGTGCCCCTGACCTGCGGCTCGCGCCTTACCTGCCTTGGTCGACACAGCCACCTGGAAGGAGCCGCCTCTGGCAACTTGAATGCCGACCGTCGCGACGACAATGTAACATGAGAGAATGAAAGGCAATGCTCTGTTGGCGCAGGCGTCGCTCGGCTCAGTCAAGGGTCGACTTATAAGCATCCCAACGGCCTTGCTGGTGTTTTGGATATTTCTCCTCTTGTGGGGGGAACGTCGCATCTTCGATCAAAGTGTCAGGCAGTGTCTTTGGCAACAGTGGGAGTCATGGGTGAGTGCAGCATCCCTTTGCAGGGCCCAGTACTGACCATGGTAGCCGGCTCACACACAACCTCACCATGTCCTCCTCGTCGCAGACCCTCAATTGGTGGACCCGCATACGTATCCTGACAGACCGTGGCCACTCTCAAGCTTGACAGTCCTATACACGGACCGGTATCTCAGGCGCTCCTACCGGCTCCTACAAGAACACCTTCAACCCGACGCGACCCTGTTCCTTGGCGATCTGTTTGATGGAGGCAGAGAATGGGGCACTGGCGAGTCGAGCTCTCCAGAGCAACGATACAGGAAGTACGGGTCGCGGTTTTGGCTAAAGGAATACATTCGTTTCTCGAACATCTTCTTGCGCTCCTGGTTGACGGGCTCTTCGGTCTCGCCAGCGGAACCCACAGGCCGTCGCCTTTTAGCCTCGCTCCCTGGGAATCATGACCTGGGCTTTGCGGCGGGTATACAAATGCCCGTCAAGGAGCGCTTCGATGCGTATTTCGGCCCCCTGAACAGAATCGATATTATCGGCAATCACTCTTTTGTCCATCTCGATACGGTGTCCCTAAGTGCCATGGATCAGATTGATCCCAAGACCGGAAGTTCAGGGACGGGAGACGGAAGCGCGGCCGCGACTGCTTCCAGCAAAATCTGGAAACCGGTCGAGGACTTCCTTGCCGAAGCCAAAACTATCAGAGCCAAGGCCATTCAACATACATGCGAAACAAGATTCAGCTGGAAGAATCCTGCTCCCCTATCGCTCGTCCCGGAAGTACAACGAGCCGATCAGACTGAATCCTCGAAGACACCCCAAAACTCACTTTACCCAGTCAGCTCTTCACAGTTCCCAACAATTATCCTCTCCCACGTCCCGCTGTACCGCTCCGCTGAGGCCAATTGTGGACCCATGCGAGAACGAGGCTCCGCCATCCCACTGCAGGCAGGGTACCAGTATCAGAACGTCCTAACGCCGCTGATATCAAACGACATAGTCAAGCACCTGACTGCCGAAGAAATCACCATGATCTACTCAGGCGACGACCACGATTACTGCGAGATCGAACACAACGAATTCACTGGCCGGATCAGAGAAATCACCGTCAAGAGTATAAGTTGGGCCATGGGCATCCGCAAACCCGGTGTCCAACTCGTTAGCCTGTGGAATCCCGTCGGCGTGGACAAAGCCATGTCCAATGACCCGAAACTATCAACTCCGCGAGACACGGTGCAGAACCACATGTGTCTCCTCCCGGACCAACTGAGCATCTTCATCCGCTACGGGCAAGCAGCAGGGCTGACGCTCTTCATCCTCCTCCTGAGCGCTCTTCGATATAACCCTTCAGCCGCAGTCTCCCAGGCGCAGCACGAGAAGTCAGAGGCCTCTCTCCTCCCGACCGCTGAATCCCGCCGCGCCCATGAATCCAGTAACCACTCCAATAGCTCGTGCGTCCAGAGTGGCGGAAGCTCACACTCGCACTCACACCTCTTCACGCGCAAACCGGGCTACGGTCACATCCCAGCCTCATCGCGCACGGCGTCGCCCGTGCCCTCGAAACCTCCATACATCGAGCACGCCCGGAACGCGTACCCCATAGGACCCGTGGACGTCGCCGGCAACAACGACGACGACGACTGGGGCATGCCCAAACGGATGGTTGCGATGGCGAAGCGCAGGAATTTGCCGCCCGCGACAAGACTTGCGTATTTGCGCCGTGAAATAGGACGGACCGCGTGGCCGGTGTTGGCGGTCTATATGTGGTTATTATGGAACGGATGATGAGATCTGGCTTTGGCTGGCCCACATACCGGATCTGTAGTATAGAGGACAGATATTATATCCTGTACCAAAACTAGACATGCTCGATGTGAAAATCAAGGGGCAGCAGACAGACAGACAGACAGACGAAATGCTAGAAACGACAATGGTCGTCTTGTGGTGGATTGAATTCATCGTGTGCTTGTATTCGCCCAGGAAGGTTCTACAGACCAGGTGATCTGATCCTATCTAAAAGGCCAACGCTTGTGCCTTGACAAACTCCTCGACTCCTTGCCGCTGCTTATCGGCTCCAATCACCTCCACCATTTGCAATACACGAGAGCTAATCTCTGCAACCCCGTGCTGCGTGCCTAGGTAGATACCTAGGTAGTCATACATCAAGGTCACGAGCTCTCACTTCTTCCCGTTCTTGGGGCCATCGGTCGGACAACACATCTTACTCCCAGCGCATGCGTCACCGCAGTCCAGCAGGCACACCGGCTGTCCTTCACTCCTCAAACTCGCAGTTTTGCTGCCGTTCGCGTTGTTCTTCGGCGTTGCTAGTCCACTGCCACTGCCCGCAGCGCCGGCCGCACCGTCATCATCGCCGCCTGCTCCGCTGGGAGAATGCAGGTGTGGTGCCTCAAACTCGGGCTGGATCGTCGAGCTATGAATGCCATAGCCATGCAGACAGCTTCGGATCTCACGTGCGAGGTGCATGTAGCTGGCTGACCCGGCCCCTTCCACCTCGCAGTCAACCTTGACGTGTAGACTAGCCACGAGTTTCGTGTCGCTGAGCTGCCAGACGTGCAGGTGATGTGCTTCCATCACCCGTGGGAGAGATTCAATGTCGGCGGTGATCTCGTCGATAGACATCCCCACGGGGACGGCTTGCAAGAGAATACGGCCAGCAGCTCTGCAGAGGGGTATGGCGCTGGCGAGGATGATGATGGTGATGACGAGAGAGATGGCGGGGTCGAAATAATATCGTCCCTCGAATGTGGTGAGCCAGATGATCAGCGCCGTTACTATGACGCCGATGTTTCCGAGGGCATCACCCATGACATGGAGGAAGACGCCACGCATGTTCAGATCGCCGTGAGAGTGACCATGTCCACCGTGGCCGCCATGGCCATGACCAGAACCCGAGGAATCTTTCGGATTGTTGTGATTGTGAGCCGCATGGTTGTAGTCGAGGCTCTTCTTGCGGTTATTAATACTACCATAGCCTGAGACTCGATTGCTTCTAGATGGCGATGCATGATGGTCCTCTGGGAATGTGTTGGAACGATCCTCTGGCGAGTCCACGTCGATCAGCAGGGCATCTTCTTCACCAGACTCGGATTCGGATCGTTCCTCCAGTCGTGCAGCCTGGATAATATCCTGACGGAACGATGCTGGATGAATGTGTATGTTGTCCACGGAGCCGAAACCTCTTCCAAACGACCCCGACGTTCGGCGACGATGTCGACCATGAACCTCGCCGTTAGCAGGCTTCCGGTGTGGCGTGTTGCTGGACCTGGCCGAGAGGGTGGTGTTTTCTTCATCCGACTTTGTGAAATTCCGCGAGTCCGAGGCCCTGTAACCAGCAATGCGAACTTGCGGTAGGACATCCTCGATATTGCCATGCTCATCTGTCATCTTGTGTGTTTCACCATCTGCATGTACGTGGCTGTGACCTTCTTCGGCAGTTCTTTCGGGGTTGTCGTCGTGCGAATGCTCTTCCCCACCATGACTGTGGCCATGCTCGTGGAAGAGGAACAGGCCAAGGATGTTTGAGGCTAGCCCTAAGCAGCCGACGATGAGGACAAGCTTCGGGTTGCTGACCTTCTGAGGTTCGACAAATCGTTGGATCGCTTCGAGGAAGATGGACAGGCAAAGAGCAACCAGGAAAACTCCGTTCACCAACGCACCCAAAGTCTCTGCTCGTTGCCAGCCATAAGTGTACATCTTCGAGCTCCCCGTGTTGGCGACACGGACCGCCCATAGTCCCACGCATAGAGATAGGACATCGTTTAACATATGAAAGGAATCAGCCACCAAGGCCAGGGAATGTACAGCATAACCTAGAGAGACTGCGTTAGTGTGCTATGTCATCAGCACAGGATGTGGTGGCCACCTCGACATACCGCATATCAGTTCAATCAAGAAAAACACCGCATCTATTCCCAGTAAAATACATATCCTCTGTGTCTTGGTGAGGCCCATTGTGCTGGTGGTGCGGGATGGCTGCGCGCAAACGGGCGCGCAGCACTCGTGGACTGTCTCACTCGATGTCGTATGATGAGATGAAATGCGTCGATGCGGGCTGAAGTACGCACGCGGCGGTTTCTGGACAGCCTCTGGCGGTAGACTATCGCGATTGCAATGTGTGGTAGATGGTACAGATGGAGGAGAGGGAGGAGCAGGAGGAGATGATGAGAGAATTACGGACGCGGATTTCTCCTCGTGGCAATCGTAATGGCCATGCGAGCCACGGCAACATGATGGCAGCGGCGCCGGCGGCGGAGGAGGAGGAGGAGAAGATGCGGCAATTGGCAGGTCATGTGATCGGCTCTCAGCTTCCGTCACTGTCATCGTCATCCTCGATCGTCCGGCATCAACCTCGTGACTTGTTCATTGAAGCTTCACCCAACTTTCACCACCTGTGCCATTCGAAAATGTCGTCGACTATATGGCACTTCCCACTTATCCAAGACACGCTCTATGCTCAACTTCCGTCAACGCAACCGCCGCAGGGCTCGGTGGGAACTTGGCCCGGCTTCCATAGCACAATTGTGACACACGGCGATGTTACCCTTTCACACAGATGCGGTCCCTTGCCGACCGGAGCAGGCTTGCTGCATCCACGTCTGTATCATCCGTAACTGCTGAATCCTCGGTAACACTCGCACGATCCTGCACGCCGCGGCTCCTCTGGCTTGCTCTCATTTTGTGCTCGGATGCATTTGTCAATTGCATTCCCTCTCCGCCTAACGATATCGTCAGTGTCACGCCTATCGGGAGATTCTCGACAAGCCTACAGCGGATGCGCGTCATGCTAGTACGTGGACGAATCCCTCTCGTCAAGAGTTTGTCTTCCTTTGCCCGTCCTCCCGATTATGCTGTCCAGTGGTTGGGCTTGCGACACGAGTGGCTACGATGGGTCTGGGAAAGACAGTGGGATGAGGTCGCTTGTAAGAACAGCATGTCAAACGCCGCTTCACAAAAGTCATTAGCGAAGCCTTTCGTCTCTCCGCTGTGGCCCATTCAATAACGCTCCAGCATCGAGAGCAGCTTTACACACCAAGCCTTCAGCGGCCTCACCTCCTGTTCATCAAGCATAATCCACTGATGGGAGCCAATAAAGAAACTTTACAGGAATCTCCAAACTCCTACGATCCTTGGCCCCGCCGTTTTGATATGATATGTGTCGAATGAAGTTTTGATTGCCGATGTGACCATTTCTATCAAGAGAGTACATTGCCGACACGGGTGCTTTCCCACGCGACCAAAAGGAAATCTATTTTTGCCCAACCCCCCAATATTGATACAAAAAAGAAAAACCATTCAGCCCAGGGGTATCACGGGGCATCACTGTTCATGTGCATCATTGACCTTTTGGCACCTCGCATACTCCAAGTCCACATTCCTCACCTGCCATCCGCCCTTGGTTCCTTCGCAACCTCACCAGAATGCCGCTCCTCGATCGAGAAAGCGAGACGCGCCTACGGACTGAAAGCCCCTCCCAGCATTGCTCGCACTGTCGTCCGGCATCACCGTAGCCGCGGGATCAATCACCTCTTGCGACTCGGGGATGGGAACCCTCGCGCCGCCCATGCCCAAGAAGTAGTGGTTGCCGGACTCGTCGACCATGATCTCGGCGACGGTGTTGGGTCGTATGCCAGGAACAGGCTGCTGCTGCTGCTGCGCCAAAGGTCCGCCTGGAGTGCTGCCTGACATTGTATTCATCCGGCTGCCACCCATGATGGAACCATGGACAAGCCCTAAGCCTGGCGGAGCAACAGTTCTCGATCGAGGACCCAGCATTTTCTCACGGCGCTCGTTTTCTTCTTCCTGCAGGCGCTTCTGCGTCCCGTAGTTCCACATGCCGATGTAGTCGATTTTCGAGACCAGCTGGACGGCCGTGTCGAGCATGGACCGGATGATGTTGCGGTCGAGGAGGGCCTGGCCCGTGGTTTCGGCGTCTGTGAGATCGCCAATCTCAAGAGACTCGTTCTTCGCGAGGACTTCATTGATGCCACGGTGGACGACAGACATCTCGTAGTGGATTCGACCGGCGTCGGCGAGTTGCAGCTTATAATCTGCTTCTTCGGTAGGGTCGAGGATAGGTTCATAGGCCAGCCACAGCTTCTTATCGTCGGCGTGGACCTTGAAATGGAGATTCTTTGCCTCCGTCACCTTGAGCGCAATGTCTTTGCCATCGGGTCTATTGCTCGGATGGTAGCTGACTCGCTTGACGATGAGGTTTCGGATCTTAAATTCGCCGTCGTGAGGCGGGCGGAAGTACAGCATGATCTTCTTCCGGTCGGGCAAGATGTAAAGCGACTCGACGAAGGACTTGACACTGTGCGCGACCGTGTCCGAAGGGTCCGACCACTTCAATGGCGCGGACAAAGCTGCCGAGAGGTCCCAGATCTGAGCTGGAACGTGGATGCTGATCGTGCCGACGTTGACCAGACCCTTTCGTAAGTCATAGGTACCTGTCTCGTCGACGACGATCTGAAAGTTCTCGTTGGTTCGGCTCTGGCACTGAAACTCGTAGGTGACGGATAGAGAGCTAGGCGCTGGATCCCAAAGCCTGAGGTTGCCACCTCTGCCAGCACCCTTTGTTTCAAGAGCGCGATCGATATCGGCGCCGTTGGACGTCAATATCTTGGTGAAGCTGGAGAAAGTATGGCCAGATCTGCGGGAGTCGAAGTGAGATTTCCAGTCGTCGACGCTGTGGAAAGTCTTGTCGGACAACTGTTGTCCAGGGGTAACGAGAACTTGCCCGACTTGGATTTCAAAGTTGAGTTTCCCGGGCAGAAGCCTCCCTACCTCGAACACTGGTTGCAAAAGTCCGACAAGCCTGTAGGCCTCTTGGTCTCGAAGACTGTCGCCTACGATTTCGGGATGCGCTTGTGCTATAGGTGTCTGCTTCTTCATCTGCTTTTTCTTCCATTCGCTCATGTCTTCAACGTTTAAAGTGGTTGATCGTGGTGGATTAGCTGGCGGGGTCGGACCGTGAGCCTCTCCGATCGCTCGTCTTCTGCGGGCCGCCACTTCTTCTTTGGTCTCTTTCTTCCCCGGCGACTTCTTCGAATTTTTGCCAGGGTTTCCAGCCTGCTGGCGCATGGTTGAATGTGTCTTTGGCGTTTTTTCCTCGTCGGCTTTCTTGTTCTTGCCTTGCAAAGCTGCCACGGCTGCCAGAGCTTCTTGCAGGGACTTTTCCCTCAAAGCCGCTTGGTCAACCTTCGGTATGAACGTGGTCACCCATTCTGCACCTTCATCACTGAACTTCCAACGGGTGCTACGAGACCGCCTAGAGCTCGGAGACTGCGAGGTAGTGCCAGATGGTATATGAGACTGGGACGGTGGCTTGCTTGGCGGCGGGTTCTGGTCCGCGCTCCGTAACTCCACGGTATCGGTATGGGAAACAGCCGTTGGTATTGGAGAAATCTTGGACTCAAATCCTGGTGGGATGGCAGGAGCCCGGGAAACCGTCTCCGGCACGAGCGGCACTATCGACTCGAAACCGGGAGGCACAATAGGAGCACGGCTCGCAGTTACTGGTTCTCTGACGTCGATAAGATTGCTGTCCGATGCCTGCGGTATATCCGCTACAGTGTCATGAACTCTCGCAGATCTTCCGACAGATGCAGAGACACGAGGGCCTGCATGTGCTCCTCCTCGACGACCACCTCGAGGAGAAGCTCGTATAGGAGCTGCCATGGGTCGTGGTTGATCAGCGTGGTTATTGTTTGGGTTTCTGCCGCCTTGGATACTGCCGCGGTAGTGATCATTAGCGCGCCTACGCTGACTTCCCCGGCCACGTTGATATCGAGCTGGTTGCGAAGGTGATCGATATGCATTAGGATCAAAGATAGGTCTTCGGAAAGGCTGTGATGGCGAATCTTCTGGGGTCGTTGTCGGTACGTCTGTGGCCTTGGAAGGGGCCTCATGTGACTCTACTGGGCTTTCCGCCTGCCTATCGATGAGCGCTTGGTCAATGACCAGATCTATTGGTTGCGGGCGAGGACTGGGGGCCATTTGTTGTAGCATGCCTGTGTTTACAAGATTGGCGAATGGGTCGGTTCGACCGACGTGAGACTGTTCTGCATTGGTGGCGACATCAGTGTCTTCCTCCAGGCTGGACGGCAGTGGCGTAAATGCCTGTGCAGACGATCTGTCCGCGAGCGTACTCTCTTCTGAAACGTCGACGAGAGTGTCGTCGTTGTGCTTGACGGGGAAAGAGGATAGAAAGGGTGTAGGGTTAAAGGCTGGCTGTGTCGTGGCCTCTGTAAGATCTTCTTCATCTGATAACCGAACGAGCGGAGCCGCTGTAGCTGCTGGGACGATCGGAGGAGCAGGTTTTCTGGCACGAGGAGGCTCATCGTCGTCGCTGTCAGACTGGAGGATGACTCTGCGGCGTGGAGGCGGGGCTTGCTCCACCGGTGGTGCTTCAGGGGCAATCTCCGGATTCGCCGAGGGTACAATATTGTGCGTCCACGCCGTAATTCTGTCATTTCCGGCATCCTTCACGGTGCCTGTATCGCTATTGTCCTCGGAGGTCGGATTCGAGGTGACGATGGGGACCATATTCTGAGGATCTCCGAAGCTTGCGTACTGTTGTGTTTCCCAGATCTTCGAGGCTTGACACTCAGCAGTATGTGTAACGCCGTGGTACTCCAGGTTCTGAGGGACTTCCAGAATCCTCGTCCTTGAATCCAAGACACGGAGCTCACCAAGCACTTTACTAAAGAGGGATTGCTCCTGCCGGTTGACAACGACGCGGTGGTAGGAAAAGTGATCAGGCACCATGTGGACGTACTCTAGTTTAGAATCTTGGTGGTTGGGAGGCCAGACGAGAAGATTGCCAGTTGCACGGAGAGACCAATTGCTAGTCTGTGTCGCGAGAGTTTCCTAGAGCACAACGTTAGCGATAATATCTGCGAGAGGCATGAAGCGTACCAGTAAAGGCTCAAGCCTCACAAGCTTCTCAAGAGCCAGCTGAAAATTGCCTTGATAGATTCGATAGCGCTTCTCAGCCTCTTCGGCGAAGAGTGAAGATCCTGTCAATCGTGCAATTTCTTTGGCGTACATAGGCGGAAGTATGCTGATATTCCCACTTCGTGGCTTCCAATAGGCGGTCAGATGTTGCATGGGGCCAGGAGCGTCTCCATCGGATGATTCGTTGTCGGAATCGTATTGCAAGAGCACTTGGTCCCCAGTAGGCTCTTCTGGGATTAGATCTTCTATGACAGTGCCCGGCAAAGGACGGATACGAGGCTCATCGTCCAAGGCAGGCGGAACTGATAGCTGGTACTCGATGTAGCCGGCCATACGGGTGAGGAAATCTCGCATGGTCTGGTCGTCGTCCTGGTCGACTTCAGCACAGAAAGCCTGTATATCCCGGTTAGCAAGATCCGTAGAAGCCAACATTCCTGTTAGTTCATATTGGCACATACCTGTTTAGCAGCGTCGAAGTAGAAGAAAGGTGCTGTGCTCGGGTCATCATGGGCATCACTGCATCAGAGGTCAGCACAGCGGACCGTTGTCGCCATATTGCGGGCGTTCAGGGGGCGGGTAACGTACATGTCGGCTTGGATGAGTTCGTCCGCCTGGGTCATAGGTTATCATTTGAATTAGCTGGTTGAATCAGAGAGTACTCACAGCCACCTCACTGAACTCATACAAAGATGCCACCATGATTATCTTCTTCGTTGCCATCTTGGCTGCCATTCCCACGATCGTGCACTGTCTCAAAGACAGTGCTCTTGCCTGTCTAATGACCCGTAGACAGGACCTGCAAGAACCAGGCAGGGATAGAAATTTGCGTCTGCACCAGGCAAGGTGCAAGAAGTATTGGAAGCAGAACAGACCAAGAACCCATCGCCTGAAGGCGGTTAGGCGATGGGAGGTAGTGTGGGAGTGGGGTGTGTTAGAGAGGAATCTGAGAGGTGGAGCGGGAAGTGAATTTCGGAGAAAATATTTTCCGCGGTCTTCCGTGAGGGGTATCACAGCCTCGTCAAACATGTGACTATTTGTCTTCACTACTTGGTCCTATGATGTGGTCGTCTCAGTGTGAAGGGTAGCCCTTCACAAAGGCACATTCAAGAACATGTCTCGGGAGAGCATCCATTGAGCATCTCCGTCGGCAGGTCTCGGAGGGTGCTTGTGCAGTTTGTCATTTGTCTTCCGACAGTCCAACATGGGTGTTGTCATCTACAGCAATAGCCCAAAAACATGCGGAGGGAGATCAAGCAAACACCTTAGTCGCGATCGCTCCGTCCCACAAAGCTAAAGCGGATGTTCGCATATTTCAAGCCTTTTCAATGCTGCTTTTTGAGATGTGATGTTTTGACCCTTGAGAGGCAAGGGTACGTATTAGACATCTCTTCTTTCATCTATGTCTTTGGTCATAACTTCATATAGTCATCAACCTCCGGGCGCAAATCAACATCAGCGTCAGTGCCTTCACTTGGGCAGTTTTGTCGAATCCTTTCGTCTGTGCTTGGTAAGCTTGAGAGGACTACGGCTTCTCTTTCCATCGGGTTCGGTGGCTGTCTGCGGCCTCGATGTAGCGCCGTTCCTTGGGTCTTCTGCCTGAGACGAAAGCGGACCAGCGTGATGACGGTGGACAACATCTCCGATGTTCATCACCCACCGCATTCGCCCTGTTACCTCAGTCATCTCATCCAGCTTCTGGTCCACTGCCTGCTCGTTGCGACTGGCATTTTGTCGGAGGTCGGTTACGGCGCTGTCAATCTCACGCCTGTATGCCTTAAAATTCGTAGACAGCTTTCGATTGAGATCCTCAAGGTGGGAAATAGTCTGCTGCTGCTGTTCGGCGATTATTTCCAACTTCTTCTGCTTCTCGACGTTTTCCTCCTTTTGGCGTAGAAGCCTACCGACTTCACTTCTGACCTTGTCGAGTCCAGCCTGGTGGCGATTATAGTCCACTTTCCGACAATCGACAATCGTGTCATACTCCACCTCCTTCTGAGTGGCAACGGCCCTCGCCTGATGGGCCTGGTTTCTCCATTCCTCCTCGTTCGAGATTGCAGCCGCCGCTTGGGCTTCAGCCTGCGCTGTCCTCAATTTCTCTTTTCTGAGTTCTTCCCGTAGCTCTTCGACCTGGCGTTCTCTTCTCGATAATACTCGAAGTGTTGCTTCGTGAGATTGCTCGTAGTTACTCGTCCGGTCTTGCAGGGATTGGTTGCGTGTCTTTAAGGTCTCGGTCTGTTTTTCTGATTCCTCTAGCCGCGTCGTCAGAAGTTGCCTTTCCCGCCGTAGTCTGTCAATGTCGCCCTGAAGTCTCTCGATCACTCTGCCTGATTTGCCAGTGCCAGCGTGCCCGATAGCAGATGACCAGGGTGCCGCGTCGGGCGGCGGCGACTCGGACGAGGACTGAACTAAAACCACGTCAGCAATCCCAAAGGCAACCTTCGAAAGCGAACCATACCTGAGCGAATCATAAAGGCACTGGAGACTCGACCAGATGTCGGGCGCACCCCATCCAGATGATTTTGCTCCTTAAGCACTCCACTGGATTCGGACATTATTGGAGTCGACGGGATGGGAGAGCTGTTGGAGAGACGTGTTTTCTTCCTCATGGCACGCCCTGGTCGGTTCAGCGTCTCCAAGCAGACGTACGACCTGCCCAAGTGAAGTTGGAGTGAGTCGTGGCTGAGACTGACAACAGCAATTGCGGCTGCGCTCTGCGGCTGAGTTGGAGGCTTTTGGCCGACACGGAAGGCGCTCTTGACTTCAATAACGCAGATACAAACGCGACAGACTTGCCGCGGGCAACAGATAATATAAAGCAGAGAGAGGTGCCAAAGAAACAATGTGTGTACTGTGTAGAGACTCTCCTTACTCATGCCGAGGTGACGGCATATTATTTGTTTGAGATCGGCCTTTTGGGTCAGTGGAGAAACAGCCTTGGGCAGGCAACGGCCCAGCGCAGACCAGGGCTGCGCGTGCCGGTAGGGAAGGCCGGTTCGTCTCACGCGTTAATGGTTTCCCCACAGCGAATGGGACTGTGCCCAGTAAGCCCCAGTAACGGCTGTTCCTGGCCGCCTTCCGGGGCTTACTGAATCCTAACCGCTTCCAGAACAGGCCCAGGAAGATCTCCACGCTAACGCCAGGGGCGAAAGACGCGTGGTGATGCTACCAGAAAAGTGACGCAAAGGTCCAAATGTCAGATTAATTTCACGCAACCACGCGACAAATGAGTTAATTTGTCTGAGCTGTTCTGTCAATCCTGAAAGAGAGTTCACAGGGTACAGGCGTTCTTAAGGTCAAAGAGCGACTGGCTACGGGCGTAATTAATCACATGTAACGAACTCTTTCACGGGAGAACCGTGACAATTAAGGAAATCTATAACGCCTTGCTCGGTAGCCAGAAACCTCCGACCAAGGAACGCCGCTTCTCTTCCTCCTCAATTCAGGAACACCACCGCCGCAAAGACTCCCATCACCAAAGCAGCTGAGCTTCCTAGCTGAGGTGCACCAGCCGAATCAGGAACACTGGTCGTAGCTGTATTAGTCTGTGCTGCGGAGGTTGAGCTTGGCTGGTCGCCAAAGTTGAAGGAAGAGGAGGCGGATGCAGAAGAAGTCATGTGTTCGGTGACAGCGGGATCTAGACTGGTGCTGGTGGTGCGCGAGAGGGTTGCAGAGCTACAAATCAATCACAAGTCAGTCTCGGTCAATTTGGCGCAGCTTGATTGACGGTCGGACTTACCTGAAGGTCCCGTTGCTCGCCATCAACGTGCTTGTCCCAGCAGATATGATTGTAGCGTGCGTCGTCGTCAACGGCGCAGTGGCATTGGTAGCAGCGGTTGTTGTGCTTGCGCCCGTCACAGAGATTGAGGATGTGCCACTTCCACCAACAATCGAGAACTGTCCGCTGTAATTGATTGAATCCTGGCCTTGTGTAATCTGAAGTGCGTAGTCTCTGTGATGTGGCACCCTCAGTCAGTATACGAGCAATCCTGTCGCAAGTGGTGAAGGACATACGAAGCTGTCGGAAGACTCTTGGAGACGTTCCAGACAAAGAAGTCCTCATCAACACCATCTGCCAGTGTCGCAACCGTCTTCAAGTCGTTCGAGTTGCCCTCTCGAAGAGTTATCGTGACAGGGGATCCATCTCCTCCGCCCCAAGTGATGTTATATGATTCTCCAGCATTCGCAACAGCCGGAACCGACGTGAATGCAATCCTCGTCTGTGCTACTGCATATGTGAAGAGCGATGCTCCTAGGAGGAGGAATTTCGTGGATAACATGACGTCTCAAGTTGGCGAAAAGTAGCTCGAGATAGGAATCAAAGATCAGCGCTTGAGCACCCGAGCTGGCAGTGATTAGATAGAAGATGCGCTTCGCGTCCTAGAACTAAGGAGGACGGTGTAAAGTGTTTGCGCAAGGCAATAAACGAATGGACGGCGCAGTCACCTACGCCTCTGCTGGAGCTGTTGCTGCTATCACCACGGTAAAGGCAGGACTGAAAATCACCTCAACGACAAGAAAACGAAGTGGCAACAGGACGAAGCACGCGGCAATTACTTAGGTGAGTACTCCGTAGAGGTACAGCCATTTCGACTCGTCGGCATGGGAAATTTTCCGCCTGCTACCCAGCCTGGAAGGCAAAGTTGTTTGCCCCAATTATCGCGAAATAGAGCCAGAGCCAGACACGCTTAGGGAAGCCTAGCTGACTTAGGCAGCCAATGGCAGAGCGGAATGGTAGACAGGCTTAACCAGTTTTGCCATGGCCGCGTCTAGCTGGTCCCATGCAATTTCCATGATCCTCTCAATGCTCCACAACTTCCGGATCAGCGATCACGATGCACCACATGTTGAGATCTGTTCGGCCTGACTGAACAAACCAGTGCATCGAGCAAAAGAATAGTGGTACCGAGGAAGCATGTCGACTATGTCAGCAGTGGGAGATCGAGTCCTCCCACTCTCATGATGCTCCTCATTCGTAATGCTGCGCCGAACAACAGAAGTCGCTCTTACAGACTTTCCAGGTCGGTGAAACACAAGCATTTCGATCACATCTGTCAATGCGCACGCCCTGCCCCACAGGGTTTCCCCTCCGTAACCGAGTCAAGCCATTGCACGGCACCGTACTGCGGAAAACGATTTCTCGCCGTTCGAGGTACAACTGGTCGTGTTGAGACTGATAGTGAGAGTCCGGAAAGCGCTGTGACTGGCACCTCCTCGCCTGCAGGAGTGCGAACTTTCCATGTCAGAGCTTTCTGCAATAGCGGGACCACAGATTGCGGCGAAAGGTCTCGAAGCACACCTCTAGACACACCTACCGCCAAGGTATGTGTCATAGGAATCTCTCCACGCACTTGTCCTTCAGGAAATCCATTTGGATGAAACAATGTCACGTTGGCAGGATTGAATTGGGCATACGTCCCAATCAAATTTGCAGCTGTTGGCCACTGAGAGACTTCGTGGGGAGCATCACCCATGAAGAAATCAATAGAGAAGCTTGTGTCCAGCGGGAAGCGGTCGACCAGGACGGTGATAGACCACTGTGTATTGAGGTTGTTCACATTGAGATGTCGTGCGAGGTCGAGCGAGATATTACCGAAGGAATCTGCGATGTTCGTGGACCTACTTTTGATTTCCTCTGACGCACGCCGGACAGTGCTGTTGGTGGAGGGGCCGTAGAGTGAATTGACTATTGCCCGTACGTGCGCGGCTAATTGATCCGGGTTCAATTCCCAGTCAGGGAGCTCAGGGTAGCTGTAGCCAAACGTTGCAGTGCTGCGGACATCGTGGGAGGTAAACATTGTGCTTCCATCGTCAGAATGAAATGGAGCAAGAGCTGCTACGTGTTAGCCGCCGTGTTTCGTGCAGTTTGCGTTACACTGACCGGTAGCCGCCGTATCGACAAACCCAACAGGCTCGTAGTACGACCCGTATGCATTAACGGTGGGCTCCATGTAGCTGTCCGGATACAGCGCTTGCCACATGGCAAACAGACGATCAACGTTGGCGTGATGCAGGTAAAAGACAGGATCAAACCCTGCAACCTCTGGAAATTGCATGTGACCATATCCTCCAATGCTGTTGTGGATGCTGTTGTGAATGGTTTCGATATTGTTACCAGTATTCTGTTGACCGCCAGGCCAAGTACAGGAGAATGCGGTATAGTCTGTCAAGGCTGTAAACATCTGATACACCAGTGATTGAATCCTGGCATTCTGTATCAGCATAGCCCGCGCTCGAATCAGGTACAGCGCACTCACGAAGCAGCATTGGCAAGTAATGCTGCAGTTGCTGCACTCTGATTGCTCGACTTGGTTGTCTGGTCCCACCAGCGGACAGTTCGCGAAAAGTTGGCCATCTAGATCTTCCAGGTCAGCAGAACGATCCTGTGTCGAAAGGACCGCCTCAAGTATACCGGGTCGGAAAGGGGAAAGCCGTTCCCTGCAGCATTGGATTGGAAGACGTATTGGTAAAGTGGATTGTCCATTGTCCGCCACCCTATAGGCGTGTTCACCGTGATTCGGGGTTCGGCGACAACATCTGGCAACGCTGGATGGACCGCCCAATCCCAATACGGATGCCGCAAAGTGACGGAGGCGTTCACATATTGCTCGCGTTGGTCGTCGGGATAAGTACGCGCAATATTCTGAGCGTGCTGCCAGATGAGTTGCTAGAGCTGGTCAGTCAGATTTGCAGGGAATGACCAAGATCGAGTAGGCGGAAGTGATGGGGAACTGAGACGAGAAAAAGCTCAGATCAGATTGGCGAGATCAGACGTACCTCGTACAATGCCAAATAGGGTCTATGCCAGGTGGGAAACGGAGTAGAAGCATGCATGCAGAATCCAGGATAGCCACCACTGCCTGCGACTCCGTCCCACGAGACCCGGGGAAACCCATGAATTCCTGTGATTCATGAGCTCTGTGATCAACAAGGCGACATTGGCCACAAACCTGCAATCTGAAAGTAAGAGAGTGGATCAGTTTGGTTCAGAAGTTGGAAATCCCTCAGAGCGAGGATGTACAAGTCGAAAGCTGGCCCCGGATTCGCGAAGTCGTGTATCTCATATCTCAGGGGCCGTTCACCGTTAGAGCCGAACCCTCCAGGAGCACCCGTGATCCGAAAAGCGGTTGAACAATCAACGAGAAGGAAGAGGAAGAAAAGAACGAATGGGGAGCGCCCGCTGCGCGCAAAGGTGAGATGCATGATCAAACGTTCTGGGTCCGCAGTCTGGGATAGAGAGAAGGATCACATTTGGCGGGTGCGATTTCTTCATAAAGCACGAGCGATTGACATCGCAGCCAACATGTCAATCAACTACGTCCTCGACTCCAGCTCGAATTGTTTGTCGTAAGATGCAGATTGCCGTGCTCTGGGACTGCTCACCGTTGTGCTGGGCCCAGTGATTCGGGCAGGTGCATTTGTCGCCTCCCATTGTAACAGTGGTGCAAAGTAGCCGTACGTGTTTGCACCAGAAGGCAATACCCACTGTGGGCGACATCTGCATCAGAACAGTTCGAATGACACCACTTTCTCCTCGCCCCTACTGCTGTCCAGCTCTTGCAAAAGCTTGGTCGCTCATCGGTAGGTAGCCCAGCACCAGGTGCATATCTTATGGCTTCAACAAGTTCGAAGTGGTCAGTACAATATCGTCGGCCATCTCGAGTGTGACACGAGGTCGCAAACTGGGCCCAACAATGTAGGTGCGTGTTACGCGGGAAGCAAACGAGCAGCACCGGAACGAAGGAGGAAGAGGACAAAAGATTGTTTTGAATTGACCGCGCCACCCACCGCTGCTTGGCGCCTCACATCAGTTAAAGTTGCTCGGGGCTCACGTGCGACTCACCCCGGCCGTGCCGCTTTTCTGGTGGACAAGACTTTCAGGGGCTTTCGAAGAATCAAAGAGCAAGATGTACGAACACGATTCCACAATCTCGGGTTTATAAAGGCAACAGACCAGAGTATGCCAAGCTGCCTTGATCGACAATGCCTTCAAGAGAATTTGCTAGCAGCGAGTTCCCAGCACTCCTGCCATTGAGATTCTAGAGCCTCTGTCATGTAAAACTGGCCGGCGATGTCTCTAATCTCTTCCCAGTCTCGCTTGACTGCCATCTGCGAAATCACATGCTGGAGGATCATCCACCGAGACTTGGGCACAAGGCCAACGTTGAGAGGCATCGAGGCGAGAACCAGGCCTGTCCAGAGAGCGCAGTCTTCAAACGCGGCCGTAACAATCATGCCATCAAGCTCTAAAGTATATCTGGTCAGGACGTGTGGGTATCGTTCAGCCATTGACAGTGGAGCGAGCCCAATAAGTAAGGCGAAGAGCCCGAGAGACACCAATCGTTCCATTTCCCTCGAAGCACTTTTGCGTAGCAACATGTGCCATGTCTTGGCCAAACTCGCGCGCACTCTGGTTTGATCTCGGGGGAACTCGCTCCCATTGGAAATTGGATGCGTACCGAACCATCGCAGCGTCATTTCCAGCGCACAAATGGTAGGGCATGCCAACGGAAGCTGCTTGGCAATACGGAAAAAAGCCGGAGAGTACTGGCGTAGTGATGAAAGTGCCTTCTCAGGATGCACTTCGAACTCGGGAGCTTCAGATGATACCTCAGGCTCGACTGGGGAATTCGGGTCACTTGGGTCAATGTGCTTCGCATAACAGGACTCCGCCCACGAGTACATGCTGTACGAGCGGTCGCGTAAACTCCGTAACGATTCCGGGCCACCGCGCAACTCTATGATCTGCCGGATTCCGCGGAGGTTAACACCATAACTACGCCAATCATCCCGTTCCTGGTCATTGATAAGAAGTGCAATGATCGACCAGAATATTGCGTCGTTGTAGGCTGCCGAGGGCTCTGATATTCTACCCCGGAGCAGCGTGAGCGCTTTGTTATAGTGTTCCAGTGAATCGAGAAGAACATCACTCGATGGTTGTGCAGTGACGCCCATCGATCGACTCGCCGCCGCGAATACAGCCTCCAAGAGGGCGGGTTCACACAGCATCAACTGCACGAATCTGGAGCGCCACATCTTGTGCTCAGTCGAATCCGTAAACAAGCGCCAAATGTAGACAGGACCGTAGTGAATGATTGCTGATGCGGAGCGCGTTAGAGACATGCAAAGCTCGACTGGGCAACTCACTGTAATCGAACAGTAGCGACATATGACCCCTTCGTTCGCCCAAATAGTTCTCGAGCAGATATTGCACGTAGCCTGGCGATCCTATCGCCAGATCTTTCCCCAGCCTGGAGCCTTTGGTGGGCGGCAGGTTGCCCATTGTATTCCTGGCTGCTTGTGACTGTGCTTTCCTTTTCCCATCCGTGCTGTCGACGTCACAGTAGGGATCAAATATCCAGGTCCTTGGGAGGTCGTATCCGCCACATGGTTTCTCCGACTTTTCGCAACGGAGGCAGCCAGGCCTGCGTTCGTCACATTTCAGATGTCGTGCCTTGCAAGTGACGCAGCCGGACCGGACTTTGTGATGGTAATTTTTGCGTCTACGCACCATAGGAGCTCGTTGATCGCGTTCGGCAGTCCAATATTGGTTAGCGCAAACATTGGCAATGTGAACAATGTAATTACTGTGTAGGAAATACTGGAGGGCGGCGCAATTATCAAGCCAAGGGTGGTCCAGACGCAGGAAGACAAACGTCAACATGAGGCGGGCCCTGACTCCGCAACAGCCAGGGCCAAAAGGGCCTAAAGTTTACTTAGGCAGGGAGGCCTGAAGAGGCATCGCATCACGGTTGGTGCGGTAGGCTTCCAGAATGGTCTCCAATGGAGCCAGAGAGGCCGACTGCACCACGCTAAAACTAGACGTGATATGCTTCCTTGGACAGCGAGCGAGTCTCTTCCAACATCTGCATCTTGAAACTGCTCAGATGGGCAAGCACTGGCCTTGTTGGAGGTTGCCAGTGACCGCATTGACGCACAGTTCGAACGGCTCGGCTGTGCTACGAAGGCGCCCTCTCAACCCTAGAGTCTCTGATACTGTAAGCTGCTCAGTGTCCATCAGCGCTTCCTCCAGCACCGAAAGGCAACCAAGGACGCTCGAAATGTTGGCAGCGTGTATGAAAATCCAGGCTGATGAAGAAGAGGCAATGAATGTCCATGAGCGAGGAAGACTCGAAAGACCGTGAGAAAAGGCGCCCTAACGGGAGACTGCCTTGACTGGGCGATTGAGAATTGCCATTGGTAGGAACACGTAGCAACCATAAGAAAGCAAAGCAAGGGGGTCAAAATAAGGCCAGCTAGGATGAACCAATTAGGGATCCGGTTGGGGACTTTCGTCGATAGAATCCCTGGCCAAAAAGGTAAACGGCCCTCCATCTCTCATTCGAGCGTGCCAACCATCAAGGCCCGGCCGTTTGGCTTGGCTTGGCCTCCGTACCAGCGAGCCGCTTATCAAGACCCGGGTTTCTGACCCAGCCAGCCATTTGCTCCTGTCCAAATGTGCTGAAGCTCTGGAGGATTCGTGGCGAGATAGATGGCCCCGCAAGCCACTCCAATATACAATGCCCACACCACAGCGCCGAAAATCTGCTGCCCAAGTACAATAGCCTTGATGCTGGCACCATCATTGAGCATCGGAAAGGAGGCGTCTGGTACGTCAACCTCGAGAAATTTGCAGAGTGGTTCCCAGCCCTGCTTCACATTGTACTCCAGCAGTCGACCTTTCGGAACCAGATCATGCACCTGTTGATTGTGCAGACGATATATGTGGGGGCCCACAGAACCCCAGTCCCTCACGAGTCGTTTGTTGTCTTCCTGGATCATAGCATTCAGACGTCTCAAGCGCTTGACAGACGATATGAGAGACGACCAGATTGTGTGTCTCCAGCCCGGGATGAACATGACACCCAAGCTCTCTTTCCAGGACCGCCACCAGACCGCCTCCGAGTCTCGCACAGTCAATATGAACTTCGCGTTGGGATATGCTGCGACCAATTCTGGGGTCATGTCACAGAGAGGGCCGTCTAGGGTCGAACGATATCCCCGCATGAGCTTGCGTAGGCGCTCGATAGTGTCGGGACTTGGCTGCCGACTTTCTTGCGGATGCTGGTTCAAGTACTTCAGAAACGCAATCATCCTCTCGTTATGGTCGGCACGGCGGAAAAGTTCCTTCTCTTGTCAGTAGAGGTCCTGCTGTGGTGATCATTACTTACGACTCCATGGTGAACCGGTCCAAAACCTAGCATAGCAAGGCCAGCGCGCATCGATGTGGTCCCTGTACGCGAGAGCCCCAGACAAATGACCTCGAGCTCAGCATTACTGCCGGGGTACCATTGGCTAGGGCCATGTTCGTCGGCTGAGATGCCGAAGGCTTTGTACAGCCTACCCTCGGTTTCAGACGGCATTGTCTGGGTTTCTGTTGGCATAGCTGAGGAGGATTCTGGTAGACTGGTCTGTAGCACGGTTTGATCTATACAACAATAGCCGGCGTTGTTTCGAACGGAGCCGGAGAAGCGAATCTTATGAACCTTCGGAGGACGCACCACTAGAGTCTGAGACGTTGCAGATATTGGGCTGGCCGACGCAATCCTACCCTGTGAGCCAGTCCTCAATTATTAGTCGCCCATTGGGTCACGTACATCACATACTAGCCATAGCAATAGCTCAGGCCCGCAAGCTGGTAATACGGTGGCAGGGTTATCTCTGCATGATCTGCATTGATGCGAGGGGCGCGCTCAAGAGGACAAAAGGACATAGTTTCAATCACCAAGCAGCATCTACAGAAGGCCCAGCGCACAGAAGAGTCTCGGGCTTTTGCTGGCGGATCCGCAGTATGCAGTCGCGCCAGTCGGTTGGCCAAACTTTCGAGGTCGTACGGCTCTTCTTGGTATAGTGCGGTAGGAGTTGTCGACTCTGCCACTTGATATTGCGGGTGCGTGGTGGTGCAAACCACCTCGGCGTGAGCCTGTTGTTATAGGCGGAATAGAACATCCAATACGTTGGTCAGGCAACCCACAGAAGCCGTGTCGTAGGCGACCAATCATCCACTTTTTGGTGTAAACAGGTATCCGCTCGTAAAGTAGCTCGAACTTCCAAATGCAGCGGAGCAGGGCAAGTCGCCCCAACCCAATATTCGCGAGGTGCAACGGAAACGGGACGGGATATCCCGAGCGGTGGCCTAGTTGAGTATGGGGTACACAGTACAAGACGTTGATTACTCTTTGTTGGGATCAATGAGGTACTGTGTAGTCAGTTGCAGTTGGGACCTCGTGGGTGCCTCGTATTGAAACTGATTATCTTCGTGCGGTGAACAGGCACGCAAAGGCCGTGCTCAGCCGTCGAAGACCTCGCAGTGCTCTGCCAAGGCTTTTTCACGTGACTCAACACGTGGACAGCGCCAACAGCCTTGCACGCTTGCATCATCCTGCAGCGACTCATTGCGCGAGGCGCGGAGGCCGTAGGCTGAGCAGATGCACGCTGTCGGATTGCGCGGAGGACACCCAAGAAAATCACGCGATTCGAACACTGACCCTCTCAACAGCAGCAGGCCAAGAACTTGATTCTATTACTTCCCTTCGTTCCTTTCCTGGACTTTCTCCTTACCGCTCGCCTCCGCTCCTTCACTGAAGGGAATGTGAATTGCGGACACACGGAGGAGAAAGAGAAACTTCAGTATCCACACCTGCACCTCTTCAACTGTTCGCCATGGTTCAGTACACTCCTCCGCCTGCGGACTTGTCCCACCTTAATCCGATTCAAAGATATATGCAGAAAGGAGAGCTTGAAGGTCGAGATTGGGCGTACCTTTTAATTTTCGTTCTGGCATACCTCGCAGCAAGGCCTGCCATTCAGCGGGGCATCAAGTGGTGGATGGCCGACGATGAACTGAAAGAGGGCGAACGCGCGCAGGCTGAATTCCTACAATCAAAAGCAAAGGTCAGCCCGAATACGATACGAGGAAATAAGTCGCAGGAGGCCACCACGATACCAGAGGGCGCTGGCGATACAACAACTGGCAGTAGCTTGGACCACACGGGCAATGTTACGAACCGCAAGGCTAAGGACAGGTCACAGGCAGAAGTCTTGCTCGACTGGGACGATCAGCCAGAACGGAAGCCTACAGACGGTGACAAGGCAGACGTCGTTACATGGATGAACAGATGGTCAAATGAAGAATGAGCAAGGAGACTGAGCGGATCAGCCACCGCTCCCATACACATTATCTTGAGAACCTGCGCCATCAACAGGTCCAACCAATCCGTCAGGCTTGAATCGCGATAACTCTGATCGGATGTATCCACCTGAAGGAAAACATCTGACAAGAATTGACAAGACGCTCAACCTTGATCAACGCTCTGCGAGCGCTGTATGTTGATATGGGCCGCTCCGTGGACAGTGCCCACCACGGGGATATCTGTTCTAGCCGGCGTCATCTCAGTACAGATTGAGAAGCTGTGATAGTAGACCCATGGACTTAGCAACTAGAATTCGGCCAGAACCTGGCTTTGGAGCGCTCATTGTGACCACTCAGCGTAATAAACTGCTGGTCAGCGACAAGGCTGAAGTTGTGCTTGGCAAGGCTACCGTTTCGTCCATTCACAGTGACAGGGGTCAGAGGCTTGGTGTTGGAGAGGTCACGTATGCGGCATCGACCTCCAACAGTCGAGTAATTCTAGATTCGTGGTTCTGCGAGCATTCCTCCCATCGAACAGTTCCTTCTTCTCCAGCACCTTGCTTCCTCTTCCTCTTTGGCCGTCATGGCCGCTTCCACGCACTTAGACCCGTTATTCCGTGGAAGTGCCAGCAAAAACACCCGGGGTCTTCTTCGAGTTACGATTCTGTTGACCATCGCGGCCGCAGCAGTAACAGCCCGTCTGTTCAGTGTTATCCGTAGGTCCAGACTCGCGGCGCAGGTTTGAAGCGTCTCTGCGGTGGAGTAACTAACTCTGTCTTTCCAGGATTCGAAAGCATCATCCACGAATGTGAGATATCCCTTTACCACTCCTCCGCAACCTGCGCATGCGGCGCTCCGCGCACAGAGGAACCCCTCTCCTCTTCCGGGCCCGTTTCTGACAGTGTGCACCAGTCGATCCTTGGTTCAATTTCCGCGCCACCAAGTATCTGGTCAAGAATGGCTTCTACAGCTTCTGGGACTGGTTCGACGATCGTGGGTTGTCCGCAGCAGGTTGGCGAGAATGGAAAGACTGACGGAATGTAGGAACATGGCATCCCCTCGGTCGTGTCACAGGAGGAACGCTGTATCCTGGCCTGATGGTGACCTCCGGCGTCATCTACCATGTCCTCCGCCTCCTGTCTCTTCCTGTCGACATTCGCAACATCTGCGTTCTCCTCGCCCCCGCCTTCTCCGGCCTGACAGCGCTCGCGATGTACCTCTTAACGTCGGAAATGTCCTCCTCACCGTCTGCGGGTCTATTGGCTGCCGCCTTCATGGGCATCAGTCCAGGCTACATCTCGAGATCAGTGGCAGGGAGTTACGACAATGAAGCCATCGCTATCTTCTTGCTTGTCTTCACGTTTTTCTTGTGGATTAAGGCTGTCAAGAATGGATCTATCATGTGGGGAGCTCTGGCTGCCTTGTTCTACGGCTACATGGTTTCGGCGTGGGGTGGCTACGTCTTCATCACGAATCTTATCCCCCTCCATGCGTTTGTCCTCGTCCTAATGGGCCGGTACAGTTCCAGGCTCTACATCAGCTACACGACATGGTACGCACTAGGGACGTTGGCAAGCATGCAAGTACCATTTGTCGGGTTTCTGCCTGTGAGAAGTAGCGACCACATGGCAGCACTTGGGGTGTTTGGCCTGCTGCAACTTGTTGGGTTCTTCAACTTTCTCAGGGAGCAACTTCCCGGCAAGCAGTTCCAGACTTTGCTTGTTGCCTTGGGCGGAGCAATCTTCGGTCTCATGTTCCTGGCTCTTATCGGGCTTACGGTATCCGGGGTCATCGCTCCCTGGAGCGGCCGGTTCTACTCACTTTGGGACACTGGCTACGCAAAGATACATATCCCCATCATTGCTTCAGTGTCGGAACACCAGCCTACCGCTTGGCCTGCCTTCTTCTTCGACCTCAACATGCTTATTTGGTTGTTTCCGGCGGGCGTCTACATGTGCTTCCGCAACCTCAAGGACGAGCACGTCTTTGTCGTCATCTACGCCGTTCTTGCGAGCTACTTTGCGGGTGTCATGGTGCGCCTCATGCTCACCCTGACACCAGTGGTCTGTTGTGCCGCAGCTCTTGCCCTCTCTCACATTTTGGACACTTACCTTTATATCCCAACCCCGGCTGAGGAACCTAGCGATGGAAGCAACGGATCAGCCAAAGCCAGCAAGATCGCGGCAAATCCATCTCTACGCTCGATTCGAAACCCATTAATCGGGATCTACTCCATCTTGTCGAAATCTGTCATAACGTCCATGATGACAGGCTTCCTCCTTTTGTTTGTGGCTCACTGCACATGGGTGACCTCGAACGCTTATTCGTCGCCTTCAGTCGTCCTGGCGTCAAGACTACCCGATGGATCTCAACACATCATCGACGACTACCGAGAGGCGTATTATTGGCTGAGACAAAATACTCCACAAGATGCAAAGATAATGTCTTGGTGGGATTATGGCTATCAGATTGGTGGGATGGCTGATCGTCCAACATTGGTCGATAACAACACGTGGAACAACACACACATCGCCACTGTCGGCAAGGCCATGAGCTCCCGGGAAGAAGTCAGCTATCCCATCCTCCGTCAGCATGATGTCGACTATGTCCTAGTCGTGTTCGGCGGTCTCCTTGGCTACAGTGGCGACGATATCAATAAATTTCTGTGGATGGTCAGGATCGCCGAGGGTATCTGGCCAGAAGAGGTGAAGGAGCGAGACTACTTCACCGCGCGTGGCGAGTATCGCGTCGATGAGGAGGCCACGCCCACCATGAAGAACTCGTTGATGTACGTGTACTTGCACCATCCCCCAACATGCGGAGTAGCTAATCTCTTCACAGGTATAAGATGTCCTACTACAACTACAACAACCTGTTCCCGGCCGGCCAGGCGCAAGATCGTGTCCGAGGTTCCCCTCTCCCTGCCCAGGGTCCTGAATTAAGCACGTTGGAAGAGGCATTCACTAGTGAGAACTGGATCATCCGTATCTACAAGGTCAAGGACCTAGATAACGTTGGCCGTGATCACCAAAGTGCCATGGCTTTTGAAAAGGGACACAAGAAGAAGCGTAAGCTCGGGGCTAGAAAAGGTGCCAGGGTGCTGCGAGTTGATTAATGCCGCCCGCCACACAGCTTTGAAAGGGCCGGGCCAGGTATGTGACGATAATGTGACAAATAGACAGAGGATCTGGGAACAAAAGCATCTCGCGTGATTGCAGGTTTGTATCAACAGAGCATCTTCGTGTCTGACGCCGCGCCACGTAAATAGAGCAATGGCTCGGTACCCATGAGCAGGGAAGGAAGCCTCATGAAAGGCCATCATGGGCCGCAAAGCGCGTGCAGTAGTTTCCGTCTTCGCAGCCGTACAGTCCAACTCTTACACAGCCAAATTTGAGGACGTGCACACCAGGGGGTCTTGTTCTCAGCCGTCGGTCACCTGTCCCTCTGCCAAGCTTTGCAACCACGATTCATTCATTCACGTTTGTTTCTGTCCATTTTCATGTGAACACTGCTTTCCTTCCAACCCGTTGGCACCAAGTTATGGCTCCTGCGTTTGATGTTTGCAGAGCAGCGACGTGGTAGCAAACGAAGAGCCTCAACACCCGCGTCTTACACTCCAATATTGGCGTCGGAGAAATCCTCAACGAGACCAAAATCGCATAAGAACGAGAACGTCCCAACGCACCCGTTTCTGCCTCCAGCACCATGGACGAGCATCCTGCAGAGTGGGCAGTCGTTTGTTCGAAATCATCCAGGAACAAAAGACGCAAAATCGAGCTCAAGACAGACGGCTATCCCAGTATCAGTTTCCTCAAAGCGAGACCCGAACGTATCGAGCTGAGAGCCCTGCAAGATCTCGTTCTCTATGTCTTAGCAGACGGGGTTGCGCCGACTTGGCTAGCTGTCAACAATGCCAGGCAGATCAAGAAGGCCGTTGTCTTGATGGTGCCCGGGCTCGACCGTGAGACTCTGCAGGATTCTGAACTATGGACCAGCATTACGGAGAAGAATGAATACGAGGATTCCAACTTGGTTGAGCGCCCGACAGATCCCCCTAGTGTCGCTCTCCAGGATCATCAAGGCTGCGCCTCAGTCGACTCTGCTCCCGTCGAGCTACCTACAGAAGCAAATCCCAGTGTCCAAAGCACGAAACCGCCAACCCCACGCGAGACTCTTCTTGAACACGTCCTACAGGTTCGAGCGCCGGGTGACTCGAGCATGAGCAGAGTCCACTCTCCCCTGCAAAACATGCTCATTGCTCCATTCTCAGGGTCATCGAATCAGAAAGCGAAGAGCGGCAAAGACGACAAGTCCTTTCAAGCAGTCCGCACCCCGGTGGTGCACTTTGTCCATTCGGCCGATGAGCTACGCGACGCAGAGTACCCAATTCATCCCGCAGCCTTTACTGATCCACAGACTGCGAATCTGGAGCGAGAACGAAGAGAGAAAACCGGCCAGGCTGCGTCCGACGGTTGGGTCGACACCGACGTGGAAGTCCCAACGCCGCAAATTCTCCCGTCCCTTAAGACATACGACCCCGTGACGCAAGGCTTGAAGCCTTATGCGCTGGACTGCGAAATGGTTCTAACGGCAGACGACAAGTATTCCCTCGCTCGTGTCTCGCTCGTGGACTGGTCCGGCAAAACCGTGCTGGACAAATACGTCAAACCATCCCTACCCATCCAGAACTACTTTACCGAATTCTCCGGCGTCACGGAAGAGATCCTCAGGGACGTCACGACAATGCTCGCGGACGTGCAGAAGGAGCTTCTTAGTATTCTTGGCCAGGACTCGATCTTACTTGGCCACAGTCTCGAGTCGGATCTCAACGCGCTGAAACTCACGCACCCTTTCATCATCGACACTTCGATAATCTACCCACACCCTCGTGGCCTGCCGTTACGTTCGTCCCTCAAGTTCCTCGCCAACCGCTATCTCAAACGAGAGATACAGAAGGGTGGCGCTCACGGACACGATAGCGTAGAAGACGCGCTTGCGGTGTTGGATCTGGTGAAATTGAAGTGTGAGAAGGGACCAAGATGGGGCACATTGGACGCCAATGGCGAGAGCATCTTCCGCAGAATCGGAGGCACGCTGAAGATGGACGACGGTCGAGGAGAGGTCGTGCTGAAGACGTCAGCCATCGTCGAGTACGGCACTCCGGAACGAGGGCTCGGAAAGGACGCAACCTATCACATTGCCTGCGAGAATGATGACGAGATTGTACGTGGTGTCCTCAAGGCTGCCCACGGAGACACTGTCGACGACGAAGGGGACCGAGATGGTATTCTGAAAGAGGAGGAACTAGATGGGAACACCGTAGATCAGGGCAAAGAGCACCAACCCAAGGCCAAGGCTCAAACTATCCCACCGCGTGGCGTTGACTTTATCTGGTCCCGCCTCCGGGATCTCGAAGCACTACGCAATTGGAACACTCTTCCCAGCGACAATTTCGCCACACCGCCCTCCACGTCGACATCGACCGGTTCAGAGCCACCAGCCAGCGACCGACTCAGGAACGCAATGCGCCAGACTCTCCAGCGCATCCTGCAGATCTACATGTCTCTCCCACCTCGCACGCTCCTGATCATCTACAGCGGCACCAATGACATGCGTCCTCTCCTCCGCCTGCAGGGCCTACACGCACAGTACAAGCGAGAGTTCAAGGTGAAGAAGTGGGATGAGCTGAGCGTGAAGTGGACAGACACGGAAGAGCAGGAAATGAAGAAGGCGTGTGAGAAGGCGAGGCGGGGCGTCGGGATTCTCGCTGTGACACGCTTGAACAGAGAGTGGAGAGAGAAGGATTAGGCAGTCAGTGGTATTGGTCGAACTGTACTGTCGACGGTCTCTTGCCGTTCCAGTCGGCAACGGATATTGCGAATGAAGGGGTTGTCGCTACGAGAAAGTGAGTTAGAAGCCGAGTTTGTCTTCGGTCACGGACCATAAACGCATCTTCAATCCCGGTGCTTGGCTCCGCACGCTGCGTCTTGTTGTATCCGTCCTTGTCGGTCCGTCCGCCAGTGCAGGGACACAAGTCTGGTCTTCAATGGCCCCCACCTGCGTGATCAGCATTGTAGCTGACATTCTGCGGCACGAGCAGTAGCATTGCAGGGGTAGGGTAGCTGCAACCAGGTAAATCGGAAAGCCAGCGCAGTCAGTCTGAACCTAGACACGAAGATGCCGCGCGGAGACCTGTTCGCTGTATAGTGATTTTGTGTGCAAGTGGAGGATCTAGAATTCCTTGCTGGTGATGAAATCTGTTTGTCGGATCGGAGCTGTTCGGACCCAGCGATGTCGTTGTCTTATCCGTCGAACGGCAAGCCAGACGAGTCGACCCTGGTTCGCACTGTCGGCTCAAATCCCCGTGTCCCCTCTAGATGTATAGCAAACTTAACTGATACCTGGGCAAAGGGGTTATTCCCAAGGTCGCATCAACGACTTGCCTGCAGTCCAGTCGATGAGTACACAAGCCTGCTAGTGTACGAATACGAGCCTATATACCAGCTCGGGTTCGCCTGCTCGGAACACCATCGACGTAGGAATTGTCCGCGTGGGCTTGTAGGCCTACTCAATTTTCTGGGAACGGCCGAAAAGTGTATGTAGAGGTTGGTGGAGGAGGCCTGTCTGTTCTCTTGCACCGGACTGTGGTATTAACTCCTGGATAATCGCAGTTCTCTTAGCCCATGTCGGTATTGCTTCCATGTGTGTAGAGTGCTCGGAACGCGTTTGCCACTAAGCAAAGAGGCGACGTGGAGGAGGTTTACTCCGTCCTGGAGAGCATGTTTGAGCTGAGTTAACTTCGCGGCGATGAATATAGCTAGCAAGGGACCTGCAGGGTCGTTTGCAGCTTGCCATTGTACATACAGAATTTTGTTGTCTGGTCAGAGATCTGCAGAGTTAACCCCGGGCAGGTCGTTTCGATTACCGCATCGCAGAGCCTGAGATATTATTCTTCACTGTCTCCAGAATTCGGTGACTGCATAGCTGATCCGAGTGGAAGCGTCCCACAGCACCTGTACCGATAGGTCTTGAACAAGGCCTTGACGGCCTTGAGATCTGCTGCAGGCCAGGATACATCAAGCAAGGTGTGACAGAGAAGTCCGGCTTTGGTGCCATTGCTTGCTGTTGTGGTCCAGGACAAATTGGCTTTCGTGAAAGGAGACCGACCATATGCCTTCAATTGGCGCCGTTCTTCTCCGGTGCTGTGACGTTCGACCTTCGCCCCTTCTTCAGGGAAACCTTGATGCATGAAGTATCATCTTGGGCGATACTTCATCTGCTGTCATGGGGATCTGCTTCTTGAATTGGGCCTCTTTCGTCTCGCTGCCGAATGCTGAGAAAGGCACACGCAACCATCAATAATGCGTTGAAGACAGCCATAATGTAGAAAGGAGCTCCCAGTGACACTTTGTCGAATAACAGGCCTCCCACTTTAGTTAGTATCAGAATCGCAGCGCCCCCGTAGAGCGAGTACACGCCGGCGATAGAACCCTTCAAATCCGATAGTGGTGTTTCCCCTGTCGATTGCGGCACGGCTGAAAGAAGAGGGTCGACTTCATCTGCATGTCTCCCATTTCCCTGTCCTTCACTACTCAGACTAGTAGGTGAGGTTTTAGGGCTTGCCAGAAGTACACCCCTACTAAGTGTACCAAGGCTGCACACGATGGCGCCGATTTGGCTGATGCCGATGAGAGAGGCAGCCAGGAAAGCGGCGACGCGCTTCGACGTGTTTCTCTCATCTGGGTCAAATTCATTTGCAAACAAGGGATAGCCGATGACGCCGGCAATGGAAGCCACAAGTAGTGGGACCTCTTTCCTGGAGGCCTTTGCGGCCCAATAACCGAAGATGGGTGCAAATACTAGCGCGACCGTTTCCGTAACGCCAGTCAATTCTGCAGCGACAATATATGCTCGCGGACACTTCCTCTTGATATCTGGAAGTCCTGTGTGGTCACCATTTGTGTCTTGAGCGTCGCACAGAGCAGATGAGAGGAACATTGCGTTGACGAGAAGGGGTATGAACAGAGAGATGCCGACTGAGGAAGCGCGGGCGACAAAACCTCCGATATATCCGATGGCGATCTCTGTCTGCTTGAAGCCGGCAAGGACGGCGGTCCGAAAGCTGTGAAGCATCTGCCCAAGAGGACCCAAACGGCCCAGGACACGAACTTCAGCTTGAGAAGCCGAAGAATTCGAGAAGCCCTTCCGTGGTTTTCCTTCCAGATGCCGAAGACCGAAGAAGCACCAGACAGCAAGCACGAAAGCGACAGCAGCCACAATGTAGAAGCTGTCTTTTAAGGCTGCCTTTTCTCCAACACCTGCATACTGGAACTTCGCTGGAATGGGCAGGAATACAGTCAATGCGATCAAGGCACCGCAGCCGGTGAACATGCCAACGAACCCGGCGACTTGACTTGTAGATCTGATGATATCAGGAGACTCCGCGGGCAAAGTTCGATCAGCCTTATGTCGTGAGTAGCGGGACATGAATAGTTCGGGGGTAATCGTCACCTCTGACTCGATCGAGGGGCTCGACACATGACCATTCGCAACCAAATCCTGGGCGGCCCTCGTCTGGTGATGGTGGTCGACGGAGGTGTCCCTGAGCGGAGACGTGACAGCAGGAATAATAGCTGTGACCATGGTAGAAGCAGCGGCACCACCTAGGCTGAAAAACAACCTCGCAAGAAGTAGCTGAGGATATACATTCTTTGCTTGAACGAACAGGACCAATGCCAGACAAATGATGAGATAGGCAGATACACAGACCTGATGGCAGTTAGACTAATGCTGATTAGGCTCTCTGGATAGGTTGCTCACAAAACGTAATCCCATACGGTCCGATAGCAATCCCCAGAAAGGGCATGCTACAAGTGCAAGCAGCTCATCGGCGAAGCCCAAGCTTCCAACTGCGTTGCCGACCCCATCCCTCTTTCCAACGAGATCTGTGATGACGAAAGACACAGAGGAGTTCAGAAAAACCAGAAACGCTATTGAGAATGGACAGACACCCAGAAGGTACGTGGCGACTTGTAGTTTGGTTGCGGTAAACATGACTGAGGAGTAAAGGAATGTCGAAAACGACAAATTGTGGTAGCGAATTCGATTCCAGAGGAAGCCAACACCTAATTGTCACACAACCACGTCCCTAAGGTGTATCTGCCTGGTAGAGGTCACTGTCAACAAAGACGACTTCGTGACATTGACCGCGAGCACCGGAACTCGCAGAGCCACGCTAACCGGAAATGGGCGCGGGACACAGTCACTCCCTGCTAGGCGAATTTGGTCACTTTGGGGACTTTGCTGGCTTTAACACGTTGTCAAACGGTACAAACATTCGCGACGCTACCAGCAACGCACATCTCATCGAATCCACCTTCGATATCTCCTCTAGCCAGCTCACAGAGGGCCGTTTGCGCCCTCCGGGCCTCGCAGCCTAGAGCTGCTCACCTATGCGACCATGTCAGACCCTACCTTTGCGGACGACACCCAACTCATTGCAGGGTTGATACAAGTCGCGACCGCGTTGGAGGACGAACAGAGCAGAGAATCCTCCGCTCTCGGGAAGCGCAAACGAGACGAGGGCTTCATTGAGCAAGGTCATGCGTTGCACGGAGATGGTTTTGATGCCGCTGCCCAAACCAACACTCCTCAACTTCAAAATTCGGCTGCGGTTCTATTTCGCGAGCCTTCGTCGAAGAGCAAGAAACATACCAGGCCTCCCCTCGGGAAAGTCTTCTCGTCCTTGGAGCTTGCTCCAGAGAACTTTCTACGACTGCAGACCGCTGCCAAGGCCTTCATGTTGGACGAGGCGCACCCTGAGAGAAGAGATGTAGTTGGGCACAAGAAGAATTCAGGCGGTGCTGACTTGGCTAAGTTAAACCTGTGGAATTGTGTTGACGAGTTTCTCTCAGTCCACGGTTATGGTGAGAAGTACTTTACACCAGGAGCAGGCAGTAACATCCCAAACGCACCTCCAAGAACATTGTTTTGGCCTCAGGACAGCCAATTTATCATCAAACTAATGATGCCTCTGATGAGAAAGATGGTGACCAACGAGCGCCAACGCATCTATGCTGCAGCGTCGAGGAAGCAAGGCTCTGCAAAGGTGGCTAGCGAAGAGCAGTCACCTTCGGTGATAGAGGAGTCTATCACCTCTAACCAGCATACTGTTCTTGAATCAAGTTACGCAGAGCAAGAGACCGAGGATCAACCTCTGATGCCAGCACAACAGCAAGAGACGGAACCTCCACATGCCGTGCCAGCGCAACAAGAGGTCGTGACTGCGGCCCCACCTGTCTCGCCACCAACAACAACATTCAAGCAATCGGTCGTCCTTTATGTCAATGTGGTGTCAAACGCTGCCGGCACGCTGAGACGTATCACACCCCGATTTAGCTTGACGCCCGAGGCAGTCCCCAACCTCGCAGCATTGCTGTCCGAGGTGGACAAGAGATACCCTTTACCGTCAAGGAATGGATCAACGTCTGGAGTTGAGAATCGTCCAGGCGTCAAGGTGTGGTTGCAAGACGGTCTAGTGACTGTAGCAGACGACGGCGAATGGATGGTTGCTCTCCTTTCTGCGGGGTTCGTAGACTGGATGGACGCCGAGGTTCGAGTGCTCGTAGAGCTTTAGACGAGTGGTTGCTCTGGGGTCGGCAGGCTCTTTCCCCTAAAGACCGCTGCGAGACAGAGAACAGACCGGTGGGGTAGATTGTTCTTTCGGGCTTTGCGGAGGCGCCACATGAATCCCGAAAGAAGGCACAACGCCTCGTTATCAAGAAGTAAAGGCTAATGCAAGCCTCCAAGGGCATACAGTAGTTTCCAGGACAAAGTGGTTGCGACAGACAACAGCTCCACAAGAGGGAAAGCGCAAGACAGCAATCGCTTCAGCAATATATTTCGGGAGCTGATCGTCGCCTCTTCACCGTATCTTGACAGTTTTCAAAGCGGCACATGCGGGAAAGCTTGACAGAAACGCTCTGGCAGGACGCGGCTCACGCTCCCCGTTGCGCAAGGCCTGGAGGAGATCTCAGCGCAAGACCTCACTCGCCGGGATATTTCAGTTACAATCAGACTACGACGCAGAATCTGATGCGTATCTTGCGCTACGACAGCTCCAGGGACGCCAGGAAATTGAGAGCCCATTCATCAGCCAATGAATATCATGACCTACAGTACCTTTCAGCCAGCCTTCGCATAGGTGATACGCGTCCTCGGAGTCTGAAGCCAACCACCTGCGCAAGCTTACGTATTGGTTATCGACAGCGAGAACAGATGACATGTGGGTTCCGACGTGGCAAGAATCCTTCAGAGCAGTTTGACGGGCAGCTCACCATCGTCACTGGTGCGCAACGCGTGCTCGAGCACACAGTACGAGTACCTATTTTCCTATACCCCATAACGTGCGCCGTTGCAAAAGCTTCCGGTGCTCCGTGTAGCCTAAGTCAGTCAGCCCCGTTGACAAGACCGAATTCCCCGGCGCCCTCGTACACAGTAGGAGGCACAGGGCTATCGTGGAGTCCACTAGCTTCATGCAAGCCGCACAACAGCATCCTGGTAGAACAGGGGTCGCTCTTGGTAGCATTGGAGAGAGCACGAACTGGTGGCAGAGCGGAAACGACCACTGGGCACTTCCAGTTGACAGGCTGCCTACTGTGTTAGGGCCCGGTATCAGGGGATCACAATGCATTCATGGCCCACTGCCGTCTCTGCTGAACGGAGAATCTACTGCGTGTTTTTGAGCTGCTATAAATGGACTGATACCCTCATGCAATTGCCGGTGAGCCCGATTCTGAACTTCTAGTCCGATCGGCGTCATAGGCGAGAGATACGCGTGCTGTCGCTTGGGTCTCGGAAGAGTTTCAGCCCGCACGAGGCGGCAAGCGAGGAGGAGGTGAAGAAGAGGACGTTTAACTCGGATGGGACACGGTATGGAGCTAACGTGTAGCAATGTTTATCTTGCAGGTGGTGCTTGAACCGTTGAAGCCCGGGGAGAGGGCAGTGTGTAAAAGCTCAAACAGGAAGTGAAGGGTTGATCAACTTGACCCAAAGGGAACACTGGACCAAAGTCAGCGCTCCTCTGGAGGCGCACTGCGCACCGTATACGCAGTAAGGCTGTTTTGGTTCCGCTTAGCGCGCTCATGTGCTGCTGCTCAACGCCTCTTTAGGCACTCGCTTCACGCCGAATACCTGAGACAAGCCGAAAAGATCGAAAGGCTGGCTGCCGATGGCGCTTGGCTGCAGGGACAGCGAAATGCCAGACGAGACTGCCGAGAAAGCCACCCCCCGCTCGGTCCTCGTTGCGGTTGGCACTGGGTAGCTTGGTAGCAAGATTTGATGGCGCGTCCGCCAGCTGAACACGAGAGGGATGAAAAGCGACTGTGAGGTTGGCCTTTTTCAGCTTCTTGTTTGGTCGGACTTTTTGGCGAGAGGCTGCCCGCTACCACCAATCTGGTTGCAGCTGGTCAGCCAACGTTGGTCGCTCTTAACTAAAACCACGGTCAGATCTGCAATTGACGGACTTGGGCTCGGGACGATCGCATGACACCGATCCAAAGTGGAGGGGCCTTCACGTCAGTAAAGCCACAGCTAAGCCGCCTCAAGTCTAGCTCAGGCCCGAGCTCCGACAGGCACCTGCGCTCAATTGGCTCGGAAAGTCCACCACCATCATCGTCATCTCCAAGGGAGCTTAATCGCAGCTCCTTTACCTGGAGCATCCATGCGCATCTCTGCTTTCCCTCACCCTAGCATCACGGCCAGCCGGGCGCATGTGTCCAAACTGGCATGATGATTATTTGACATTGTTCATGCTTTTCTCTTCTCTTCCTCCCATGGTATCTGTGAACAGCCGTTAGATCGTCGGTAACGAGGCTTTATCTCGACCAACGGTGCCGCTGTCCTATTGCTCTTCCCGCTTCCCGCCGCCGCTCGTTTCCTCAACTGTCAGTTTTACGGATCTTCGCCGTGTCAAGCCTCTTTCGCAATTGCATTTCCTCGTTGTACTGCATCCTTGACTTTGGGTCTGCTGCAAGCCTACACTGCTGCGCTGGCCTTTTTACGTGTTGTTCTAAGCATAAGGCACGAGTCTACTCCCCGAGCGTCACTTCTCCACTCCACAGCTGTACATTCTACGCGCCACGTCCCTTCGCCATAGTCCGGGATGAGACATATAAACCATTGCACAACGACGCTATAGCTCTAATTCCAAACCGTTCGAACTTTATCGCCAAGCTACGATGAGACGCCTGCAGGGCCGCGTGACGCGGGACGACATTCGTTCAGCTGGGCTGAGGCGATGGGATGGCCGTGGAAGAGTCACCACCGACTGGATCAATATCTTTCATGTATGTGCTTTCTCTGAAGCGGACCTATATCTTTGGGCTGTGTCCAAACTCATGTCATGCACTATCTAGGAGCCTGAGCTTTGCTGGCCGACGGGCGATTGCCTCGTCTACCTGCGAGAACCGGGCCAGTCGAGTCGAGGGCCCGCCTTCCGCGTTCACACCGACTTCCTCAGAGTCAGAGGCTTTGAGTCACTTGTCGACCGCTGCATAGTGCGGAACTCGATTCACACCACAGTGCAGTGTGCTTTGCCGAATTGTGCAGGATGCGACCCTCACGAAACGATCCACGAACTATACATCCCTGCGCCACATGGGGCTTCTCTCGAAGACGTCTTCCATCACCACATCACCACACGTAACTTCTTTGCTTGGCTTTATAATCGACCACTGGCTGGTCGGACACTAGGGACCGCGCTGGCGGCCTTGAAGGCCAGATTAGATGAGTATCGACCCGACGCCAGCTCCCAAAATACCCTCGAGGTGTTATCCTATGCAGAGCATCAGAGGTACTTGGACTTCAGGGAGTGTGTTGATCATGCTCTTGCGGCGCTTTATCTTGCAGAGAAACTCCAAGTGGAGGATCTGTGGGTTGATGCCTTCGCACACTGTGTGGGAATGAGTCATCGTGGCCTTCGATCAAGTATCGAATACGCTGTGAGTGCTCCGGTCTTGCGACTACCGGGAGCAGCACAAAGACTAACGGCGTTAGGTCCTGAGTGCAAAGGCCAAAACACTCGTCAATCGAGCGAGACTTGAGATGGACGCTCGACTCGAAAACGTGAATAAGTCGGTTGTTTCCTTCTTCGAGAAGGAGGTCTCGTGCAGCTTCCTCGGCCTCCCCCAGCCAGCGCGAGAGCATCTTGACAAATTCCGTGCCTTTCTCAAATCAGTCTACTCGGAACAGTACGGTTCCTGGCCTCCTGACAACTTCGAGGAGGAGGTTGTACAACAGGAAATCTACTCAACGTTATTTTCCGATTTTCTGAACCTGTATCAGCACTTGGTCGATCCCGAGTCGTCAGCAGATATGGTGGAAAGCGACATGAGCAAGACGGGTGGTGTCTGCACGCTGCAGAATATCCAGGCCTTTGACAAGGAACACTCCTATACGCCTCTTGCCCAGCCCCTACCCAGGTTACCGGAGCCCTTGGAGCCTAGCTCTACGCGGCCTAAACTACAGCGAAGGTTGTCTTGGAACCCCAAACAGAGGCGTAAGGCACTCAAGAAGACACAACGAGCACATGACAAAAGCGCCCTGGTTGCCGCTTCTAACCGGGATATTCTGCTAATGGATTGCCCCTTGGTGAGAAGGTATTCGCACTTCGAGGAGTCGACAGTCGACGATGATTTGGGCGGTCTCCCTGCAACTGAAGGGCGCAAGGTCAGGTGGATCTTAATCTATGCAGTTCTGCAGACTTTCCACTCGATCGCGCAACCACCGAAAGAGGTTCGTAACATCTCGAATCTCACGTACTCTCTCTGCTGTCGACCGCCGGCCCAGAAGCCGTGGCAGGAACAGCAGCTGCCAGAAGTCCGTACTCTGGACAAAAGTGACTCGCAGCTGGTTCCTGACAACGGCTACTCTCACACCAACCTCTCCTCTCCTTCGCTTGGTGAGACCTTGACACGAGGCAGGTCAGCCAAGGCCCGCAGGCGGACGCTGCCGGCGAACTTATCAGCCTCCTTCCTAGCATCCTTGCCCAGTAAGACGCCTCCAGGCTCGCGGTCAACTTCTCTCCGGAGACTGGTGTCCAGACGAAGTAGGACGGCGGCAGATGAGGTGGCACCGACGAAGCGGCCATCGTTCTGCGAGATCTTTGTCGAAGGATATGGGAACGGTTTGAACGAGATGTCTCGTGACAGTGCGAAAAACACGCCTGCAGAGCTGACTGCAGACACGGAAGCAATGGAGAATGCAATCAAGGAAGATCCTACAGAGCCACAAGAGCTTCAGGGCGATGTTGTCCACGAAATGGACGCGAACGACAATGACAACCACCCCCCTCCTCCGTCATCTGACGATTCACCGACTACTCCACCCTCGATGTCTCGAGAGTCCTCCAACAGCTCCGTCAGCGAGACATGGTCAAGCACCAAGGAAGAAGGCGATATCAGCCCCGTCATGCCGGGGGCAAACGCTGTTTTGTCCCTGGTTGAGATTCTGAAAACCACCGGCATGAACCCAGCACCAAGCAGCCTTCGTACGCACGGAGCATCTCCGGTAGCCAAGCAAAGGCCCCGATCGCTGATTGTCGAAACCACTCGGTCCGAAGTCAAGATTGTTGACATGGATCGATATGACCCGGACTTCGAATCGCCATATGTCCATTTCAACACCCAGACTTGGGACATGATATTGGAGCCAAGGCCGATGACAGCACCACCTCCTTGTCCCATAGCTGCTTGAGTTGGAGCCATGGCAGTATGCCAGCATACATATCAGAAGGCCAATCCTTTATGGAAGTCATGGGCCATCACATTATAGCCCAAAGTCCCTGACACGTCCCTTGAAGAGCAGGGAGAAGCATGGTTGAGGGGTCACTCATAGCAATGAAACGATGATACGAATCTCATTCAACGATGGCAAAGGCTAGCTACAACGGAGGAATATAGTGATTAGTGTTGGTGATCAGCGTTGTGTGCTTCGGATACCCTTGGTTGATGTTTGTAGTTTGGTTGGCGTTGGGACCTCTCGAAACTTGGTTCTGGATATCTGGATTGGCTATACATAGCAACAATATCTTGGTCACACACGTCCTTCTTGATAGTTAAGCCAGCCAGTGATCTGACGAGTGCTCATTGACGGCTTGCACGGCGAGCTGGCTCGCTGGCCACCTGCTGATAATCACGCACCAAATGCATCGAAGTCACTGACGTCATCAGATGGACGCGACCCGGCCAGATACTACGCGCCCATTGATGCCTCTTTCACTAGGTATGTACGTCTCCTAGGGAAGCGACTTGCTCTAATTCGGACGATGGATTCAGTGGTGGATCTCGAAGCCCAACGTCTCAGGAACTTGCAGCACAAGCAGAAGCTGCTCGCCGAGCTGAATCTAAACAATGCCACTACACGGGGTCATCCGCCGGCAGATTCCACGGAGGTCAAGCCAAGGCAGAAGAGGCGACGACTCGATGATTCAACCGTTGTGCAGCGTGTCTCTTCACGGACGTCTGCCAGAATTGCTGCCAATGGAACGCGTCCATCTTACAAGGAAGAAAAGCGTACCAGCGACACGTATCCTCGGACCCAGACCAGGACAAAGAAGCAGAACGACCCAAAGCTGCGACGTCCCTCACCGGTACAGTCTCAGTATTCCAACCCAAAGGCCATATCACCACCGCTTCCCACAGAGCCAGCGTCATTGATCCGATACTACACTTCCTGGACCGCTTCTGCCGGTGTCCCTGAGCTTGATTCGCACACCAACACATACCACTTTGTCTCCCACCCGAATTTCACACCAAACATATCGCCCCTCTCGATTCTACTGCAAGGTGCTTTTGGAGGCACGTATTTCTCGCCCTGGCGTAGCCGCTCTTTGCCGGTGACATTGGAAGACGACTACCTCGCGACTCTGCCCGCCGACTGGCTAGCACAACTTCAACCGCCTGAGAAGTACATAACGTCGCGCACGTACAATGCGGAACTTAACAGACACGGCGTTCAGGGCGGCCAGACGCTTTCTCAGTGGGAGGACGCCGGGTGGATCAATTTCCAGCACGACGCCCGCGGATGGTTTGAGTGGTATATTCGCTTCTGGCTCGGGCGGAGGTTGGATGACGGAGAGGACGAAAGGCAGGTAGGACGGTGGCTGAGATGCGTGGGGCCGAAGGGGAGGTGGAAGAGGGTGTTGTTGAAGAAGTACGTGGAGATGGGGGTCAGGAGTGTCTTTGACGACGAAGATGGCGAAGATGGCGACGACGGCGACAACGCGGAAGACGAGCGGAAGGTCAGTCCGGTCATACATCAGACTTGCTTGCACTGGGGGTACCAAGTCACGCAGGAGGACTTAGATGAGGCGTGGCGGGAGAGAGAAGGGGCTTAGCCCCCTCTCGTTTCGCATAGAAGCTGTCCCTGTCGGTATGCGGCAGGCGCAGAGGCCGCTGAAGGTTTTGATGAAATCGATATACCACGGAAGAACACAGCCAGACTGTTTTCCTCGCTAGGTCGGCCTAGCGGAACATTTGATTCCATGCCTCCCAGTGGTTTTTAGCAGCAGGTTGTCGTACCAGTCCCCACCTCTGGAGTTCCTTTGTCTCATCGCCAAAGGACGCATCCGTGTCTCGCCAGAGTTCGAAGTCGATGATGGTGCATTTCTTGGACGCCCGTTCCCACAGAATGTTCCGCAAGCCGCAATCTACGGGCTCTATGCCTTGCTCGTATATCCAGCTGTCAATGGTCAGTAAGGGGCGTGATGAACGTGACGGAGGTCGACTGACTCCAGCGCCACGAGGAACTTCTCTCTGATCTGCTTTCTTTCCTCATCCGACATGCCCCAGTAGTACATGTTCCAGAGGGAATCGCCCGGCATTTTCGTCATTACGAGGAACGTCAGGTATCCGCCCGGCAGAGGCCCCTCTGCAGGCTGCACCGTGCTCATGAAATTGACCAACACAGGTGTGTATTCACTGCTGGTCTCATGGAACTTCTTCAACGCCTCGAGCTCGTGAGCCGTGGTAGTGCTGGGGCCAGGGTCGGGCGTATTGCTTGGTCTTTGGTCCCCTCCTGGGATTCTCAAGCGCAAGTCAGCTTCATCTGTTTCGCCCGCCAAACAATGTGAGAACTTCACAGTACTGGATCTTGATCTTGACGACATATTCATCTGTCGACAAAGAATCCGCCTCGATCCGCCGGCAGGTCAGTACGATCCGTGCCTCTGCTGGTGTCCCATCGTGGCACGAGCGATATGTCGCCAATGGCTTCAAGAGCTCATACGAGGTGCTGTCGGTGAATTTTACGATCTTGTCAATATACCCCGGCACGACAGGAGGACTGTCACCCATCTCATGTGCAAGGGGCGGTACCGACCAAACACCTCCGCTTATCTTCGGCCGTGGAGAGGATATTGATCAACCTCTAGTGGCGTGAAGGGCGGCTCAAGAGTGTTCGACGAGAAGGATGACTACTGTTCAATCGCCTAGACTCCAGAGCTGTCTCGGACTGTGTTCTGCGATCTTTACGACTCCCTAAGATCTCCAAGGCTTCGGTCGAGCGTAGACGCCTGGGCTGACGGCCGATCGCAGGGAACTGGGGGTCCAATTCGCTTGGCCGCTCGCGCTGGGGCATATTTGATCCCACTATTTGTCCCACCGCCGGGGAACCGGGCAGTCACCGACGAGAGCACTTGCTGCGTTGCGAACATCATGGAGAATTACTCAGAGCTCACAACACGCTAAGAGGACCATGACACCGAGCTAAATTACTTTGCCTCACGAACCAACTTGTCAAAAGCTCGCTTCTCTTCCAAATCCCCGAGATTCTGCAGACCATTAGAAGCTTCCGAACATGGCATGACCATCGTTACCTAGTGATCGATAGTGTGAGGGAACAGCTGGAGCCAGCAGCTTGGACCAAACCCTCGTCTCCATCTTTTATTTTGGAGCCTTTTCAGAACGACCTTTGCAGATCGGGAAGAGCGTTACTGCAGTACCTGCATGAGATACTCCGTATCGGCCTGGCAATCCCCACTCGACTTCCGTTTCGAACGTCTTGACGTCTATGGTTTCTCCTTTGGCTCTCTCGTCTCCTCGCCGTTGGCCAAGGTGAATCCCCAGGACGGGACGACCTCGTTCTGTTACTTCCTACCTGGTCTGCCGCGATCTGCTTTCGTTTAGCGTCCACTGCTGTTTTCCAAGCGATCCCACTGACGCAGGTCCGACCGCGATCCCAAGGATTCCTTCTCCTCCCGATCGAGCCACCGTCCACCTTTGTCTCGGGTGCGTAGCGTCTGGAAGAGACGATCCTGGGCTACGGGCTCTACCACCCGTGGACTCGAGTCGAATATGACTTCGACTTACCAGGAGACCGATAGGCCTTCACCTACTTCTCTTCGCTTTCGTGCTCACGATGCCGCCACTACCAGCCAACCGACGTCTGTTACGGCAGCTTCTGTGACCTCTTCTATTGATTACCCTACGAACTACTCGACCACCTCACTTGTTCGCGAGTCGTATACGGAGACGGATATGCCTCTACTTAATGGTACGCATCACGGGGGGCATGAGCTGCCTCGACTGCAAGCCAACGGACACCTGGAGAACGGTGACAACCTAGAGCCAATCTTCGAAGATGATCCCGCGTCTTTCAATCTAGTTTCTCCTCCGGCCGGCGAACAAGAGGTCTTTTCACTAGAGAACCAGACACTAGCGCTTTTCTCGAAAGGTCATCTGCAAGTCATCTTCGCCGACCCGAGCTACCTCTTCAAGTTCACGTCTTTTCTGGGCACGCACAGGCCGCAGTCCGTGCCCATCCTTGTACACTATCTCGATTCCCTTAAATCACTCCGAGCGATCAATTACGCGAACGCGATCTGCGAGGGGCTTGACCCTGTGGAAGGATACGAGTTTACGCAAAAGCCGGTCAAGCCGACGGTAAACATCGCATTGGAAGAGAGGGCAAAGGCGGCTTTCGAGGTCCTGGCGACCGAGGAGTTGCCCTCTTTCATCACACATCAGTACATACAAGTGGTCAGCACGACCATAACAGCCAGAATAACGGGATCGCTGTCCCCGGGTCTGCGCGAAGCTTCCGATGGGTTGGCCGAGGTTTTCTGTCTGACGGATCCTTCCAGACCAGACAACCCGATCGTCTTCGCCTCAGAAGGTATGCTGGATCCTTCGCACCGGAGAAGAGACAATGGCTGACGGGTTGCAGAATTCAACCGGACGACGCAGTATGGCATGTCCTACGTTCTCGGCCGCAATTGTAGATTTTTGCAAGGACCCAACACAAATCCACATAGTGTACGGAGGATCCGAGACTCCCTCAAAGCCGGCAGGCAGCATCAGGAAGTCTTCCTCAACTAGTACGTGCTCCCTCAGCCACCATTGTTGTTTCGATCTAACGGGCATAGTCGGCGGGATGGGTCTCCCTTTGTGAACCTCCTTATGATGGCTCCGCTTTCCGACAGCAGAGGCGTCGTTCGCTATCATATCGGTGCACAGGTCGATGTCAGCGGTCTGGTCAAAGATGCCTCGGAAATGGAGTCTCTGCGAAGGCTGCTAGACCTTCGCGCTCGTGGTGAAGATCCGCCGGTCCCTGAAAAGCCAAACCCCGAGAAGAATGACGAGTTGCGCGAACTGAGCGAGATGCTCAACCAAGGCGAGCTGAGCACCATCAGGAGACACGGTGGAAAGATGCACCGCGAAGTCCAGGAAGAAGATGTCGAAAGCGTGTCGTCCCACCAACCGCGCCTGTTGTTGAAGGACCCGGATACCTTGACCCCGCCAATTGGGAGTCCCAACGGTCGCCTTGGGGGTATCTATCAGCATGTAAGTGCTGGTTGGACTGGCGGACGTGTTCAAGTCGCTGACAAGGCTATAGTATCTACTTGTGCGACCGTATCCATCGCTGCGCATTCTCTTCGCCAGCCCGGCGCAACGATTGCCGGGCATTCTGCAGTCACCCTTTCTTAACAAGATAGGTGGTTCGCAGCGTGTACGGGACGAATTGACGACAGCATTTGCTGAGGGCAGAGGCGTGACTGCCAAAGTCCGCTGGATCAGCAAAGGCGACGAGCAAGGCAAGAACAAATGGATCCATTGCACTCCTTTACTCGGCCAGTCAGGGCAGATCGGAGTGTGGATGGTGGTGGTGGTGGACGACGAGAAGGGCAATAACAGGTGGACAGGTGCAGGACGACTTCCACCACAAGTGGCCACGCCAGACAGGTCTCGGACTCCAGCCCCAGCAGCCAATGGGCATCGCACCGCGGAATCAAGCCACCACGACTCTGGACCTAGCAACGGCGCACATTCAGAGCGTAATGGAGGAGGAAGTCTCGGGAGCGCCAGCGGCAGTGTCACAAGCCTGAGGATTATATGATGAACAATTTATGCACATATTTAGAGTGTATGTTCTGATCTCGGGCTTCATGCATGTACACCATCTCACGACTTGGGCGGGCGGGCGGCAGCGCTGTTTATATTGTGAGCGTTGGGATCAAACCTCAGCGACATCGTACAGTATTTGTATGGAGCTCGACAGTTACATCAACGCTATTAATACTACGAAGTAAATATTTTCTTTTCTTTCGGAGAAAAATGAAGTCGACCCTTGCTACGAATGTATGACGCTGGAGAAAGTTACAGTACCTAGGAGGTAGGTAAGCTTTTCGAAGCCCTGGACGCAACTGGGCGGGGCATTCAGCTCAGGTCCCGGGGACGCCTGAATCCCTGCCGGCCACCCGGGCTCCTGCAGCCACTGGCAGGCACGACGTGCATGTTCCCGGCGTGCCAGGCTCTTTGGCTCTGTTTTTATTGACACGGTTGACGAGAGCGACCGTGTCTCCGCTTCCCCTTTTCAGCTCCTCCTTTCATGCATGTCTTCAGCTGCGTCCCTCGTGGTGAAGGATTCGTCATCACGCCTGGCTGCTGTTGCGGCGCATGTTTCATCAACATCTAATTGTGGACCAGGCTGCTCTTTGGCACATGATCTTCAGTTATACAGACTCTGGAAGTGGGGTCAGCATGAGCATCTCGGGCGAGTCGCCAGCCCGTACAGGGTTCCTCGGTGAGTGGTAAACATGCGAGGACTGTCGATGGACATCCTGTCTTATACAAACGAGCGAATACTGTGGGTGACATGTCTCTCGCACCTTCTTTGCCTCCCGACTTGTCCTGTACTGACTCACGTCTGCTCGTGCTTTTGTGCCAGTTGCTTGCAGGTTCTTGTTCCTATCCATCTATAAGCACCCGCAGTTGCCTGGCGCCTACATACGTTGAAAGAGGACCAAACACTGCAAGGTCAGCCGGATGAGCCCTCGACAACGTCTACTTCTGTGTGTTTGTTTTCACCATGATCCTGGCGAGACGCACTCTCGGCTGCCTGATTATCGCGACCCTACTTAGCTTACTGGTCTATTATCGATCGGCCAGTGCTTCTGTTACTGTCAGAACGCTTCGAGAGAAAGTACCTCAGGTCGTTGGATTGGGCGAGTACTTCGAATCACAGGAGCAACACCTCCAAGATGAACACGTCCGACCTTTCAGCCACCCGGGCGATCTCCACGCCCCCAGCGACTCACCAAACTCGGCAAAACCTGCAGACACAGGTACAGATAGGCAATCGAGCAAGCCCCCGGGATCGATATACACGCGAAACCTCGTCATGGCCAAGATGACAAAGGAAAATGTCACCTGGCTAGATGAGGTCGACCTAGGCCCGGAGCTCACCAGGAAGATTTACGTGGCGGACGACCCAAAAGCAGCTTTGCACCCATCCGAAAATAAAGGCCACGAGGTTAGGACTTATTTGACCTACATTATCGACTATTACGATGATCTACCGGACGTCAGCATTTTTATGCACTCTCACCGCACCGCATGGCACAACAATGAGCTCTTGAATTGGGACGCTGGCGAGATGATTTCACGGCTGAGCAGCGAGAGAGTGCTGCGCCAGGGCTATATGAACATGAGATGCCACTGGAACCCCGGCTGCCCAGAGTGGATACATCCTGGTCAAGTGGAGGAAGACAAGGAGAAGCCTGAACAGTCATTGATGGCCTCGGCTTGGGCTGAGTTGTTTCCAGACAAACCCATACCCACCGTACTGGCTCAGCCTTGCTGCTCACAATTCGCACTCAGTCGATCCAGGATCCGTGCGGTACCACTGGCTAAATACAAACACTATCGGGAATGGCTCCTTCGATCCGACATCAGGGACACCATGACCGGAAGAATTTTCGAATACTTGTGGCAAGTCGTGTTCACAGATGAAAGTGTCTCCTGCCCGAACCAGCGGACATGTTACTGCGATGGGTACGGCGTCTGCTTCGAGAACGAAAAGACATTTGACAAGTGGTTCGAGCTGAGGTATCAGAAGCAAATGGCCGAGATAGAGCTTAGAGAATGGGAAGAACAGGCAGAGAAGGTCGAGGAGTTCAAGGGCGACGATGGAAGGTGGTTACAAGGGGTGGAGGCTGGAGAGCTCGAGGTGCCGGAGGTTGGGAAGAATCAACAGCTGAAGACGGTAATTGAGAGGCTACAGGCAGACCTGGAGCGGCGGAGGCTGGACGCTCTAGAGAGAGGGACAGATCCAAAAGCTAGAGCCGAGAGTGACGGACGGCCTTGGAAGGAGGGTGATGGGTTCTAGATGCCGTGCATGGCGACCGAAGGTCCCTAGGTGCCTTTTAGACAAGGCTATTTTGGCTGGATATAGAGTTATAGAAGGGCATAGCGTTGGGAGTTGGGACATGGTATGGCATGATATAGCTCCTTAGTACATTTGATGGGCAGGTCAACAATTGTACGCGGCTTCTACTTGAGTGGTACTTGGTGCCACCGACGCTTTGCGTGAGATGTAGCCAGGCTTATAGGCCTGATCGGGTGACGAGGCCTCACCTCCGAGTTGGTGCATGCGCTCGGCATGCGGAGGAACTTGACAGAAGGAACCGGGCAATGAACACCTTTCGTCTTCTACCAACGACCACTCCACCATTTGCCATCCTCTCGCCTGTTTTGTTCATGCGTCGCTCAATACCGATCGTCTAGCGTTCTTTCCGTGTGATTTTCTAACCTCATCGCGCTGCACGCTGCACCGATCGGCCATCAGATGATGGCATCCGCCAGGACCCATTTCATCCGTGTCTGAGGAAGAAGGACTTTGTTGTCGTACAGTAGCAACGATGCCGGCGAGGATGAGAATGAGGTGGACGGCCTACGCCGGGGTAAGCCTTCACGTTCCCTTGATCTCGACCTCACTGTGCTAATGGACACCTCTGTAGGTCTCTACAGCCCTGGCCGCCGGCGTCGTCCTCAAAGCTCTCGCGCAGCGACCCAACTTCTACTCCGCCGCCGTCTACCTGTCGCAGTCCTCTGCCAACCTCATGATTCTGACGAACCTACTTTTCGTCATTGCCTGCTCATTCATGCTCGGCCTACAGAAGCTACTCTACGGGAACCTGCGGCGGATTGAGATCGAACAGCTCTACGAAAAGGCATGGTTTGCCGTCACGGAGACGTGTCTGGCCATGACGGTGTTCCGCGGGGAAATTGGCCTCACGTTCCTTGCCATGTTCTTCTCCCTGCTTACGGGCAAGGTCTGGGGCTGGATAGGTGAGGGCAGGGTGGAAGTGTTGGAGCAACAACCACCGCGCAACCCCAGACTGTTCCACACACGTCTGGCATTGAGCTTGGGGCTCAGTGTCGCTTTCGATCTGACGATGCTCGAATACGTGGTGAGGCAGGTCATGAGGATGGCCCGGCCCGATATGATGGTCATGTTTGGCTTCGAGCTCGCCGTCCTCTCGGTCACGAGCATCAGTACTGCCATGAGGTATGCGATCGATCTGGTCGAAATCGGGATTCTCCGCGAGCAGAAGAGACATCGCATAGATGAGATCAAGCGCGAGCGCGTCCAGGCCGCGGTCACGCAGTTCCAAGAGAGTCTGAACGGGCGGACAGACGGCCCGCTGTTATCAAATGCTGGAGAAGCGGCTGCGACGACGTCTACGCCCACGCCGACTCAGCATACCCTGGAGCAGGTGTCGCAGGAGGCCCTCAACCAACCAGTCGACGAAAACGAGGTTGAAGTGGAAGGGTGGGAGGACAAAGGGCGCTACATGTTCTACCTGAACCTGGCCACCGATTTCTTCAAACTTGTCATCTATCTTGCTTTCTTCTTTATTCTTCTTGTATTCTACGGACTGCCCATCCACATCTTGCGCGATGTGTTCTTGACGATGCGGTCATTCTTGAAACGAATTTCGGACTTTATGAAATACCGGACCGCGACACGCGACATGAATGCGCGATACCCGGACGCCACGGCGGAGGATATCGGACGGGAAGATGTGTGTATCATATGCAGGGAGGAGATGCACCCTTATCAACCGGCCGTCGCAGAGCCCGGTCAACCGCAACCACGACCGAATCCGGTAGCGGAGAGGATGAGGCCGAAGAAGCTGCCCTGTGGGCATGTCCTACACTTTTCTTGCCTGAGAAGTTGGCTTGAGAGACAGCAGATATGCCCGACTTGCAGAGCGAACGTGGTCCGCACCGACGGAGCCCCCACGGCAAACGCATTTGGCGGAGCAGGTGGAGCGGGACAAGCAAACGGCGGTCAACATCCACCGGGAGCCAGACCAGGGCCACGAGTCTTTCAATTTGGTCCGCTGAGGATAGGCGTCGGAGCTGCCCGGGGGAACAACATGTTCGAAGAACTGCAGCAACAGCTGGGAGACGCAGGTGCCCCTGTCGCCCGAGGGCAACCCCAGAATCCAGGCCCAAATGCGCCACGGCAATTTGGCGTAGGCTTCCGGTGGTCACGCCGACGGCAGCCAGAAAACCTGACGACTCAACAACAACTTGACGCTTTAGAGGCGCGAATCACTCGGGAACTCCAGGATCTGTCCCAGAGTTTGCGGGAGGTGAACGTCTTGCGCTTGATGCAGGCCGAGCTGCAGAGATTGAGGAATCAGCGTGCTGTAGAGGGCTCGAGACAAGGGAATCCTACAATGCAACTCCCGGCGCCAGCAGCGGCACCGTTTCCGCCACCTCCTCCGCCTCCACCACGCACCCTCCAACGCACGACGACCTTGGTCTCGGACAGTCATACAATCCTCCACGCAGGGAGTGACAGACTTCCAGCTGGACTCACGCTACCCGAAGGTTGGACAATAATGCCCTTACAGCCTCAGGCAACCCACCAGCAATATCATGATGGGCAGGTACGCACTTATCCCCCTCAGCCTCTGGTGCCGTTTGGAGGGATGCCGATGGTTCCACCGCGGTTTCAACAGCATCCCTTCAACCCAATGCCACAGTTTCCGCAGCCTCCGCAGCCGCCTCAGGTCCAATTTCGACCTGAAGCCAACACTGCGAACAACGGCGCAACTGGAGGACCTGAGACCAATGGAGCGCAACCCGAAGCTACCGCCACTCAGAGTCAACAGCTGCCAGCACCTGCTGGAGGCCTACACGGGGAAGAGATGAGATTCACGTGGCCGCAATGGGGAATGCCGAACCACGACCAGCTGCACCAACAAATCCACCAACAGCATCACGCGCAGGGGCTGGCTAACTCGATGAACCAGAATGACCAGAGACCGGCGGGCGGTGCAGGCGCAAGTGTCATCGAGGCGACTGGTGCCGGAACTGAGCCGCGTATGCCAGTACCAGTAGAAGGGGGAGAAGCCCCGTTAACGGAGCTGCGTCGGCGAGCAGGAGAAGGGCGACAGGCAGAAGCGGCACAATCAAATTCCATCCAAACCCCGTCCACGTCTGCGCCTGCATTACCGGCTTGGGGTTCGGCTATTCCAGGGCCTGCGAACGGTGAATCTAGCAACGGCCATGCAGGCGCTGGGACTTTGGAGCCACAGACCAATGGGGACCATGACCATGGCCACGAAACAGTGGGCACGTCTCAGGCGGCGGCATCTTCGTCGTCGTGGTCGTCGTCGCAGCCGAAGAATAGGCACCCGACAGTGGAAGATCTGGTCGAGGATCCAGACTAACGAAATGCTCGGCCACGGGGCTGGACAAAAGGGACAACTGTACTCTGTACTTGGTACTTCGAACGGTACTGTAGCTACCTAGTATCTTCCAGCATAGCAAGGGGCAAGTTAATGAGCATCATCTCTTCGTACCACGTACAAACAGGTATCAATTGTCTCTTTCGTAGACGAGGCTCCGATATAGTCAGTCATGCGGAGAACTTTCTCTATCCCGAAAGTCGTTTCTTGAAACTTAAGCGCAAACTAATGCGAAGTACGAGACAAGCGGCGGCGCTCTCTTTTGCCCGTCAGAACGTGACTAACCTATACACCGTGCTCCAGGTGTTCGAGGTTATCTTCCGTGCATATTATTGTATTGGCCGCGTAGAGCGGCGGGGGACCACATGGCGCGTTTCAAGAGACGATTTTTGGAATGAAGAAAAGTACAAGAGGGGACCGTGTAATCCAGTGTAATACTGAGTAGCACTTACACACCTGCAGCAAGTGGTGTGTATGTACTCGTACCTCTGTACGAAGAGGATGGTACGAATATTTGACGCATGCATGTGGCGAGGACGACGCGTCACATCGCGTGTCAAGAAACTGCCGCACGGCTACGGTACGATTCGAGGCTTCTTCCGTCACATAATTGGAGTGATTGGCCGTCGGGCCCTCGTTGCGACCGCGTGCCTCCTGAGGCTCTTGTTTCATCTGCACGGCAACCGACGTGGCCTTGAGACAAGAATCAAGATCTGTGAGTCCCGAGTAAAGCAACATGCAGACTGCCACGCGTCCCTCGCCTGTCAACCCACCGCGGTGGTGCTGGGTCGCTGGCTCGTCGGGCTGTCTCTGTCAACATCAACAGGGAGTACGGAGTACGTACGGTGTATGCTAGTTGATTGATTTGAGTGCTGCGCCTCCTGATGGCTGGTGCAGCCTGGCTCTGGCAGGGTGGCAGGCTGGAATTCACAGATGCATGTTTCGGAACGCTCCATGCTGCTTCATCTTGCCCTTGTTACGTATCTTGCCGCATCCAGCATTGTAGACACTTCAGAAACTCAACTGCAGGTTTTGTGAAGCAGGCCTGAGGTCGAGCAGTGGATTCCAATCATTCGCTCTACAACTCAGTTGTTTAACCATACTCTTGCACTCCCTCTAACTTTCAACTGTTCGACGATACTCTTGTCTCCCTCGATCGCCTTGTCGGCATTGACACTCTTGTTACTCACTCGCTCACTCGCTCTTTATACATCTCTGACTTGCTGGACATACTACAAACTACACACTACACACTACACACCGCCCTCTCACGGTCTACTCTACCAAGTGACACTCACTGCACTGACGTCCTCGGTGGTAATACCACAAAGAGACACACACTCTGTCCGTCACTTCCTCGGCTTGCACGGCTGGCACGTCTATCCTCGCCTCTTCCTCCTCGAACCATTGCATACCAGCCGACTCGATCCTCCTCGACACCTCACATACTAGCCGACTTCACCCTCCTCGACTCCTTACATCCACCCGACTTCATCCTCCTCGACCCCTCTTATACCAGCCCCACTTCTTCCTCCTCGAATCCTCATATACCAGCCCGCCCGAGGCGACGGACCGCGAAGCAACAATATCATAAGAGCCAGAGCTCACAAGCACAATGGGCGTCCTAACGATCCTCAAGAGACAAGTGTCGACCGAAGACGACAACACCCCTTATGTGTGCGATAGTTTTGGCTGTTACGAATACTCCCGTGTGAGTTCTCCGTATACCTTGCCAGCACTCGCGCCCTTTGCACTCCAACCTGTGTCTTAACCTGTGCCTTGCCATATCACGCCCCCCATCCACTCAAGCCATGTCTAATCTGCGTGTATTGTTTTACAGACCGCTTACGCCGTCAAATGGGCCATCATCGCCGCCATCTTCCTCATCTTCTCCCTCTACTTCATCGGCGGATATCTGCATGCTCAGCGGAGGATGAAGCGGGGTCTTCCTCCCCTGGCATACCATAGGGTAGGAGACCCTTTCCCAAATTCCCGAGATCTCGACTTCAGACCGGCTAATTTACAATAGTGGCTCGTCACGCGCCGTCAAAAGGCCGCCTTCGTCCACTCCCACCCCCAGTATGCCGGCCAGTTTTCATTCTATCGAGCACAACAGCAGGCCGGGTACGGACACGGACACGGGCACGGCCAGGCATACCAGATGGGCGGGATGTATGGGCATGGGCCGCCGCCGCCCGCGTACAACGAGCCAGAATACGTCCCGCCGTACAGTGGACCGAACAAGGTCGACCCGGACCAGCGGTATAGCCCGCCGAGTGGACCGCCTGGCGCTGCGACGGCCACAACGGCCACGAACGCTCCAGTCGCGCCAGCGCCGGCCAGGGTGGCTTCGTGAGGGGTCATTGAGGATTGGGTGGTTAGCGACGAGGATAGTTTGGTACAAAAAACAGGGCACGGCGTAACACCACATGGCGAAACAATGCATAGCGTAGGATATCATAGCGTGGCGTGGCGTGGCACCGCATAGCATGGCGTTAGAGGTCCCGCTTCAGGAAGAACGGCTACATGCAGGAAGTTAGAAATAGGAGACCATTATTGACGTCAGCACTACGGAGTAATCATTTGTGGTTTCCTGGTGTTCTTGCCCTGCCACGGTGTGACCAAAATAACTGGGGCACAGCACGATCCTCACCAAAATACACTGTTTTCATGGCTGCGTCGCGTGCGAGTACGATACCTTATGGTACTGTATGGGCTGTGATTTCTTGACCTCGGGCTTGCACAGGGAGCCAGAAGCCAGGTAGTCATATGGCGGACGCGGAATAAATAGTGCTCAGAAGCCAACAGATAGAGTGCACCGACTGATTGTCTGTACCTAACTACTACATAGACCTGAGTCTCAGTTCACGTGCTTGCTACAGTAATGTTTCGAAAGTCTCGGGTGGTCAGGTCATCGAATCAAGAAGGTCACACTGCTCACTCTATGTCCATGGCGTCCGGGTCCGGGTCCGAATCAGAATCCATTGGGACCTCGTGGACCGCTCCCGCGTCTTGGAACGAGTGATCGACCATGCCGCCGTCGTCCCAGTGTTCCTGGAGGGCCCTAGTTTCCGCTTCGCGCGCGTGCCGCTCCCTCTCGCGTTGCTCCTCCGCCGCTTTTTCCCTCGCCCGCCTTCTGGCTTCGATGATCGCCTTCCGCACAACGTCCTCCTCCTCCGGCACGGAGATGCTGCTCGGGTCTCTGTATAGGACCAGCGCGGTGTTAAGATTCTCGGTCGGCGGCTGACCTAGATCCATCCCCATTCCTAGTGAGCCGTGCCGGTCGTGGTTCTGCCCTTGCTGTAATAAATGGTGGGGTAGGGTTGAGACCTTCTTATCGATGTCCGGGAGGAAGAGAGTGGCGTTGTGAGCCGCTTCTTCTGCTTCGATCTGTGCGATTTCGGAGGACAGGTCGTGGATTATTACCCTGTGGGGGGTTTCGTCGATGGTCATGAAGTCCGTGTCCGCGAGAGTTGGGGGCTTGATGGTCTCGATCGCGGGAGAGCGTGTTGCATGAGGTGCACTTGGGGGGAAAGCGAAGTCATGGGTATGGATGTCTCGATCGAGGGCAGGGGGTTCTGGTGGTGGCGCGACTGCAAGGGCCGGTCGAGCGTCGGTGTTGGCGATGTGAGGGCGGAAGGAGACCGTCGGGGAAGTCGGCTGCGCATGGTGTAGACTATACGTCGAGGACGGCAATGAAGGCACCGCTGGAGTTGGGTAGGAATGCTGTGGTGTGTATGTCTGCGAGTGCGCAGTCGCATGCGTCGGCTGGTTCACATGGTTCTGGTTCTGGTTCTGGTTCAGGCGGAGTTTCTTGAAGTGCGAGGAGATGTGTGACTGGGACTCAAAGTCCTCTTCGGCTTTTCGCTTGGAGTGGGAGAGGATGTTGCTGCGATGCTGGTTTGCGAGGGCGGGGTGCCATTCCGGAGATGCTGTGTAGGGTGCGTATTGGGCCATTCTACGGGGTGGACCGTCAATGTGGCGATATCTTAGGTGGTGGTGCAGCGACGGTGCGGTATATGCGGGAATGCAAGGCTGATGACGATCAGCGCCGGCGCGAGTGAGCGAGGCTGGCAGTGTCGGGAAGGCTGCCTCGTTGAGTTCGGCTGCAAATCAGTTTTGGTCGACCTTTCTTTCACCTAGCGTTTACTATTTTCTTTGGCGTCACGGACACAGCTTGCTTGAGTGTCGGAAGTCCAACTTGACATGATTTTAAATGTCACTTGACGAGTTGCGAAATCATAAGTCTCAAAGTCCATCTTGCCTCACCGAGAAACAAGCCTGGGGTGCCTGGAAGGTGCTCGAATCCCAGAAACAGTTGAAAGGGGAAGGTGAAGTGCAAGTGAATGCATGCGGAGCACGGGGCTGCACGTCGGGAGAGCCTTCTCTGCGGGCTGCCAATCGGCCACGGCGCCCACTAGCCGCACCCCTCGATTCTCAAAAATCGCGGGCTTGACTCACGTTCTCAATACAAAGTCGCCCAGAAGATTTTGTGGACTGTCGCATTCCCTTCGTGTCGGAGAAGAGTCAAATTCCACTCGGTCAAAGAAGGGACTGTGTTCAGCTACGTCCACAGGTGGAATACTCGTTGCTGCCCCTCTGACCGCTTTGCGCTCGGCTATTGTGCGTCGGCACGAGACCTCGACCATGGCGTCTTCGACGCCGGATATCCCTCAGCGTTGGACCGCTCCTAAAGTTCGAGATACATTTCTCAAGTACTTTGAGGAGCGGGGACACACGTTCGGTGAATCCGACCTTTCCCAGAGCTTTGGCGGCCAGGAATACTGACTCGCCAACTAGTCAAATCCTCCCCGGTCGTCCCCCTCTCCGATCCTACCCTGCTCTTCACAAACGCGGGGATGAACCAGTTCAAGCCCATATTCCTCGGCACAGTCGACCCTACTAGCAAAGAGGGCCAGTATAAACGCGTCGTCAATTCCCAGAAGTGCATACGTGCGGGTGGGAAGCACAATGATCTGGACGATGTTGGCAAGGACAGTTACCACCATACCTTCTTCGAGATGTTGGGGAACTGGTCGTTCGGCGATTACTTCAAAAAGGAAGCCATCACCTTTTCTTGGGAGCTGTTGACGAAAGTCTTTGGGCTCGAGCCGGATAGGTTGTACGTCACCTACTTCGAGGGCAATGAGGCTGGCGGGTTGGAGCCAGACGTCGAGGCCAAGGAGATATGGAAGAGCGTTGGCGTCGCGGAGGACCACATCTTGCCGGGAAACATGAAGGATAATTTTTGGGAGATGGGCGATCAAGGACCGTGCGGGCCTTGCTCAGAGATTCACTTCGACCGCCTCGGTGGACGGAACGCAGCACACCTGGTCAACCAGGATGATCCGAATGTGCTGGAGATCTGGAACAACGTGTTCATCCAGTACAACAGAGAACCCGACCGAAGCTTACGGCCGCTGCCGAACAAGCACGTCGATACCGGCATGGGCTTCGAACGGTTAGTCAGTGTCCTGCAGAACAAGTTGTCGAATTACGACACGGACGTCTTTACACCACTCTTTGCGCGCATCCAAGAGGTCACCGGCGCGAGACCTTATTCAGGAAAATTTGGCGAGGAAGACGCCGATGGGATCGACACAGCGTACAGGGTCGTGGCGGATCACGTGCGGACCTTGACGTTTGCCATCAGCGACGGTGGAATTCCGAACAATGAAGGACGAGGTTACGTTGTTCGAAGAGTGCTGAGACGCGGTGCCCGATATGCCCGGAAATACTTCAATGTGGAGATCGGCGACTTTTTCTCGAAGATCGTGCCTACGCTCGTCGAGCAGATGGGCGGCATGTTCAAGGAGATCGTCGCTAAGGAAGAAGAAGTGAAGGAGATTCTCAACGAAGAAGAGGAGTCGTTTGCGAAGACCCTGGATCGTGGTGAGAAGCAATTCGAGGTCTATGCTCACAAGAGTCAGGTGCAAGGACAGAAGAGTCTGCACGGCGCTGATGTATGGCGGCTATATGACACTTTTGGCTTCCCCGTTGATCTGACACGGCTCATGGCCGAGGAGCGGGGTCTGTCAATCGATGACAATGAGTTTGAGGCCGCGAGACTGGCCGCCAGAGATGCCAGCAAGGGACAGAAGAAGGCCGCCAGCGATTTGCTCAAGCTGGACGTACATGATCTTGGCGAGTTGGAGAAGATGCCGGGCGTCACGAAGACGGACGACAGTGCCAAATACGGCAGGCAAAACATCACCGGCACCATCCAGGCAGTATACCACGCTAAGAAGTTTCATCCCGGCACGAAAAACATCCCGGAAGGTGATCAGATAGGGCTGATCCTCGATCGGACGTGTTTTTATGCCGAGCAAGGTGGTCAAGAATACGATACTGGCCGCATTGTCATTGACGGACAGGCCGAGCTTGATGTGGAGAATGTCCAACTATACGCTGGCTACGTATTACACACTGGCTACATGAAGTATGGCCATTTCTCAGTCGGCGATAAGGTAATATGCGAGTATGATGAGTTGCGGCGATGGCCGATACGGAACAACCATACTGGTACCCACATCCTGAACTTCGCTCTACGGGAAGTCCTGGGCGACGGTGTCGAACAGCGAGGCTCACTGGTTGCTCAAGAGAAGTTGAGGTTCGACTTTAGCCACAAATCGGGTGTCTCGGATGAGGATCTCGCGAAGATCGAAAATATCTCAACTGACTATATCAGACAAAACTGTCAGGTATATACGAAGGATGTACCCTTGGTCATTGCGAGGGAAATTGCAGGTGTGAGAGCTGTGTTTGGCGAGACATACCCCGATCCCGTTCGGGTCGTGTCTGTGGGTGTCGATGTCGATGATATCCTGAAAAACGTCCAGGACAAGGGCTGGGAGAAGGTCAGCATCGAGTTCTGTGGTGGGACTCATGTGAGGAGTACCGGCGATATCAAAGACCTTATCATCCTCGAAGAAAGTGGAATTGCCAAAGGGATCCGAAGAATCATTGCTGTCACTGGTGAGGATGCACATGAGGTGCAGCGGTTGGCTGAGGAGTTCTCCGGCAAGCTCGAAAAGCTTGAAAAGATGCCGTTTGGTTTGCCCAAGGAGCAAGAGGCAAAGAACATTCAGCTTGAACTCAACAACCTCTCAATATCCGCGGTAAGGAAGTCACAGTTCCGAGACCGGGTTTCGAAGATTAGCAAAGAGATACTCGAACAGACGAAAAAGCTGCAAAAGGAGCAGACGCAAAAGGCCATCGACACGATAACAGAGTACTTTCAGAAGAACGAGAAGGCTCAGACCGCGGTGTTGAGGTTACCAACTGGTGGCAGCTCCAAGCTTGTCCCCGATGTTATCAAGCACGTGCAAACCAAAATGAAGGACAAGAGTGTGTACATTGTTGTCGCGGACGAGAAAGACCCGGAAGGCAAGGTATACCATGGTTGTTTTGTCGGCCAGGTAAGTTTGGTGCACCGCTAGTCCCTGTATTTGGAGATTTTGCTGACTGATTCTCCAGAGCGGCACCACAGCTGGATTGAAGTCCCCAGAGTGGTCATCCACGGTGTCGACTTTGGTGGGTGGCAAGGCTGGTGGAAAGGCGCCCGTCGCCATTGGAACAGGTACGGATCAATCCAAGGTGGATGAGGCTTTGAAGGCTGCCACGGAGTATCTCGAGAAGTTCAAGCTATGATCGCACGGAGCTAGAGGTTGGAATTTACAGGCGAAAACAACTACCAAGGTCTCTTCCGGGGGAAGCAGGCAGGTGCTTATCGGTCTTTGCATGTTGCTGGTACGCAATTGTCTCCACGATTGTCGGTCGGCGTGCCCTTCGCCGCATGCTATTTCCACGAAGCACACGCCAATGGGAGTTGGAGATATCGAGGAGGAGCACCCAAGCAGCAGCGGCAAGCGTTATGACGCGGTTGTTCGGTCCGCTGGCCAATCAGCCGTGCCCGTCTACGCGGTTCGGGAAATGACGATGAGGAGCAAATGACGTGGGCGAAGCTCACGCTGAGTTGTAAATGAACAGTCCAATGTACTCGTACTTTGGTGCCATCAGACTTTAGAGATATCAGCTCGAAGCCTTTTCTACCCAAGGAATGTTCAACTCGAGAACAATCTTACTTTCGCAAGCAGTGCAACGTCTGCCATCGCGGCTTGCTAGGAGAACTATTCGACTCACAATTCCGGCCTCGACTTCATCTCAAGCTCTTCCACGAGCTAGAGCTCTTTCTGCGCAGGTTAGTCTTGTACTCAACTCGGCCTCGAGGACTCCTCTTCGTATTCTCAAGCCTGCTTAACTTGTCCTTCTTGAAGGTCTCAACCTTAACCTCGCGGCAATTTCACACAAAACCCCGCTCCTCCAAAGAGGCAGCAACAACGAACAACATGCCTCAGACAATACCAGGCGGGTGTTACTGCCGCAAGATCCGGTATGAAATCACCCTCGACAACCCTGATGAGCAGGCCCGCACGTCCATCTGCCACTGCGGCAACTGTAAGAAATTCACCGGCGGGGAGAACGGCATCACGAGCAAGATTCCCAAGTCCAGCTTCAAGGTCACGGAGGGAAATGACTTTATCACCGTCCATGAGGCGGATAACGGGACCGGGACGATCTTGCATCGCGAGTTTTGTAAGGAATGCGGGGGCCCAATCTTAGAGTACGGGGTGAGTTAGCGTAGTTTTTGGATTTTTGCACTTGCTCAAGTGCTTTGAATAACGTCTGGTCATGCTGACAACCTTATCTTTGGGATTTCAGGCAAATGCGGGTGACTTCGTTTACATTTTCTATGGCTCACTAGACCATCCGACAACTCTTCCTCCGAAGGGAGAATTCTTCACCAGCAAGCGGGACTCATGGATGCCAGAGGTTCCAGGTATGTTTCTAGCCTCAACTCCTTTCTAGCCTCATGTGGAAGCTAAGAATATGGTACATGCAGGATTGTTCCAGAAAAAGAAGATCAAGGAATAAGTGACCGAGAAGACATCGAAACTCGGAGGTCAACTGTCGGCAACAATGATAGCCGCGGAGATGCACCGACCCTACCTAGCATGATGCGATCAAATTGCGAGTCGAGGATGCTTCTGTCCATAGGCGACGTAGATCCTTGGAAAACCATGAAACTTCCGATACCCAAGCTCTTTCCTCATGCCTGCCAACAATCTCTATACCCGGGGAGTGTCCCCTCTTGCGATTTCCCGTGACCAAGACCTCTGGAAATGCACCCTTGGACATCGGAATAAAGCCGTTGACGTCTCGCCGTTCCCTTAATTCTCCGGTCTTTTGAGGGTTGGTCATGGCACTTATACCAGACGACATTCGCCCAGGCTCACTCACATTCGAAACTGGTCCGGACATGCATAGAACACCAAAACAAGACCAAACACACATTATGAAACGTCCCGCATCCATCGTGTTAAGATCAGTGGCTCGGCGTCCTCAGTGTGAGCTGGCATACAGTGCCACGTCCATCGCCCGGTTACCGGCTCCTGTCTCAAATGCACGGGAGCGGGCAGCGCCGGGAGTCAGACTGTAGCGCAGAAGCTGGAGGTGCCGGCTGCAGGTGATATTGGTCAGGCCTCGCCGATATGTAGTGTCAGCGGACTCGTGGAGCAACGGACGAACGGTAAAGGGTCTGGATCAACGCCTGCGGGTGACAAAAGTGCAACTTTCTGGTGTTCCAACAGAGCTACATCTGTTATCAAGTACTTACTTATCAACCAATGCTCGGAATAAAATACAATGTACTGCATTGCAGCCGCGACGACTTCGAAGACACAACAACATGGGCCTGTTTCACTTTTCAACGCTGACGCTTGTCAGTCACCGCAGTCTGAAATATGGCCATGGAATAGGTTCAGTCTTCCACACACCTTCAGTGGGTGGGCGCACTTGCCTACGCTGGCTTTCTGTTCTGGCTTGTGCTTTACCGAGTATATCTCTCTCCATTGGCCCGATTCCCAGGTCCTAAGTTGGCAGCTGTCACGGTATGGTACGAGTTTTATCACGATGCCATCCGGGATGGAAAGTAAGTACACATTCGAGATTGCTTGGATGCATCAGCAATATGGTGATTGTCTGCGTTTACCGCTATGCGCATTGTTCCCTGACACTGTTCGTGAAGGGCCTTACCGTCCGAATCAGTCCTTCGGAGCTCCATATCGATGACCCTGAGTATTATGAAGTCCTCTACTCGTACAGCCAACCCCGCAACAAATACAAGTTCTATGCGAACATGTTCGGCAATCCGAAGGCGGCCATCGCGATACTGGATCATTCCCACCATCGCCTCCTACGATCCAACATGAACCCATATATCTCCATGCAGCGAATACGCTCGCTTGAACCCGAAATCCAAGCTCTGGTCAACAAATTGTGCCAGAGACTTGACGAGTTCAAGAATACAGGAGTGCCGCTAACACTCCAGCATGCGTATACCTGCTTCACCACCGATGTCGTTTCCGATTACACCATGGGCACTGGTTTCCACTACCTGGACGAGCCAGATTTCATTCCGGACTGGAGCGACACTTTAAGTGGTATTGCACAAGGCAGTGCCTGGTTTAAACCTGTGCTTTGGCTTCTGACGCTGCTGAAGGCCCTGCCGCAAGGTTTTGTGAAGATACCCAATCCAGGCATGGGCCTGATGTTTTCGTTCCAGGACTGCTGCAGAGTGCTCATCAACTCGGTCACCGAAAGCCGGAGAACCGGAGAAGAGAAGCGGCAATACAAGCATCCTACCTTCTTCCACGACGTGTCAGCGAGCGATCTTCCTCCGGAAGAGCAGAGTGCCGAGGGACTAGCACAGGAGATACAAGTCGTGATCGGTGCGGGAGCAGAAACTGTCGCGAAGATGCCAAGCTGGACGACGTATTATCTGCTCGAGAACTCCGAGAAGCTGAAAAGGCTACAGGAAGAGCTAGATCGTCTCGACCCAGACCGAAATGTCACGTTGGTGGATTTTGAGAAATTGCCCTACTAAGTAAGTACCTTGTGAGTTTCGGATCACTCCAGTCTTATCTGGACTTATGGTTTAAATTAACATCACATCAGACATCAATGATGCTTGAGGGACTAAGGTAAGTCAGGACACACATCATTCATTACTAACCAACAGGTTTTAATCTGGCTTCTTTGGCTCCAGGCTTTCCGCACGGTGTGAGCACTCGAATTGCAAGAATAGCCCCCGACCGCGCTCTGAAGTACTACTAGTATGTACCGCGAATACCTCTATTCCAGCTGGTGTAAGTTTCCGCTCGCGGCAAAGCCTCTTCTATCGACTCACATTGATGCTTCGACAAACTCTCGTCGGCATGACGAGTATACTAAGTGTCAGGAATGGCGACCAGAGCTTACTAAGCCTGCCAAGAGGACGCCTTCATCTCTCATGCAGCTCGCATGAGAGTCTTACCCTCCTTTCATGCTTTAAGTCCTGTTTGACCTAGAGGTCTAGGGACACCTAATATCATTGAATCCCACCACTATTACTCTCTGCCTATCGCTATAAGCTGTTCCTAACATTCTTAAAGCATCTCAACACGATCGGTCGGACGAAGTGATAGTGTAGGCGGTAATAGCGCCTAAAAGAGCTACACCCGCAGCTCGGGGGTCACCTACAGAAGCCGGGTCTTCAACTACAGCCCCCCGAGAAAACCCAATAAACGATGAACCCATCGAGGTACACTTAATACCCCCGACGCTTATACGCGAGTCGAGGACACCTCATACCTCAGAGGGTGAAGATGAAGAATACTAATAACTCGTCGCCCGGCGAAAAGCGCTCGAGACCGAGTTAAGACGCAAGCGACTCCGGGACGAGATTTAGGCGATAGAAGAAGAGAAGGCTAGCCGCGAGCCACTATAATATATAGAAGTTATAGGTATAACGCTACCGAGTCGTAAGCGACCGTATAGCTCCTCGTAAGTAAATAAAGATTACGAATAATTACAGCGGATATTACGAATACTTAAGCAGCCCCTAAAGTTTAATAGGAAGAATATATAAGCCTTACGCGACTTTAATAATAGCTGGTAAACAGTATTTAATGCGATTCCGCCCGAGGTCACCCTTAACTAGGGATACCGTATACGAACCGCGGCTAACGGGCTTAAAGACCGCGCGATTAACCGCTGGCGATAAGACCGCTAGCTAGTATAACTTATCCCCGAGTCGTAGCCTCTCTTCATCTTATAGTGTAAGGACACTATTAAAGACGCAGATATTCGTAAGGGAGAAGTACTAGTTGCGCTCGCGACTCTTAAGCAAGAAGCAGGCTAGTCCGTACGGGACTTAATACACTAGATGGAACTCTTAAAAGAGGAGATTAGCCCCCTTACTAAAGAGGAGCGGTAAGGCTAGGCCCTCTTCTATACTCTAATACTAGCACTGCGAGATACTATCTAGAGGGACTTAAAGAATATCACCTCTAGAGTATAAGTGCTGATATTAGCTTAAAGACTAGAAAAGACTATTAGTAAAGAGAAGCGAGAAAGTACTAAGCGAGTCGTACCCTCTATAATAAAGAGAGTTACATTAACTACGACTACTACTAACCCCGCTCGCCACCGATCCCTATACGGTTCCCGTACGCCTCGCGAGCGGACCTCGCCCTTACTAATAAAGAAAGCCCGTTATAGAGATAATAGACTAAAGTCACCCTTCGACGGAGAATACAATATCTACTATAAGAGAGGGTATCGGGCGAGAGATTATCGCTCGCGACTAACTAAACCGCGAGACGCACCCTCCTCGTATATAAAGAAGGAGACTAAGGGGAAGGGGAAGAAGGGCGACTAGTTAAAAAACTAAGTACTAGCTTACTAAGTGCCGTAGCAGCGCTAGGCTTAGATACTAGCAGGGAAATCGCTAGCTCTAAGGCAGCACTTAAGGCACTTACACTAGAAGTTCACCTTACTAGACTAAACGGTATAAGGACGGCTTATACGCTGCTTAATAGCGGCGCGTAAGCCAACTTTATTAGATATTTACTAGTAGCGGAGTTAGGCGTAAAGTTAACCGAGCCGAATATCCGAGTCTATATAGTGGCTGGCTAAGCAGTAAGAGTCTACGGTCGATACCGCCTTAATATAATAGTAACCGACTACTAATACACACGTAAGTCGCACCCTTAGGATTTCCTTATAACTAAAATTATATCCTATAACACTATTCTTAGGTTTCCTTAGCTAAGAGATGCTAACCCTAATATAGATTAGTTAACTGGTGTATAGAGCTTCCGAGATAAACCCGACTTACGTATAATCGAGATATTACTACTAGAGTTAGAAGCTAAGGCGGAGAAGGACGAAGTTCTAATCGCCTATATATAACCTATCTAGGAAGATAACGAGGACGAGGGCGAGTCGCACGAAACTCGCGGCGAGGTAGCACTCGACGCGAGATTAAGTCGGTTCGCTTTTATCTTTTAAGAGCTTAGTAGCGATCCTTTCGCTATCGACACGAAAACTAAGTATTAAATCCCGATTTAAGAGGGCGAAATAGTCCTATACGGCCCTATATACCCTCTTAGTACGAAGAAACTACGGGTCTTACGCGAGTACCTTGATTCTAGCTTAGAAAAGGGGTGGATTTAACCGAGTGAATCATCGGCCGGGGCACTAATCCTCTTCGTACCTAAGTCCGACGGTACCCTGCGACTCTACGTCGACTATCGGGGCCTAAACCGGATCACGAAGAAGAATAGGTACCCCCTACCCCTTATCCTAGAGATCCTAGACCGCTTAAGTAGCGCGAAGGTCTTCTCTAAGCTAGATCTTAGGGACGCGTACCACCGTATTCTAGTCGTAAAGGGGGATCGTTAGAAGACTACGTTTCGCACGCGATACAAGCACTTTAAGTATTTAGTTATACCTTTCGGGCTTATTAATACTCTAGTAATATTTTAAAGCTATATTAACGAAGCCCTCTAGGGCCTTCTAAATAATATCTATATTATATATATAAATAATATACTTATTTTTAGCGCCGACGAGGAGAAGTATAAGAGACACTTACTACTTATACTTAAGAGGCTAAAGAAGTATAGTCTATACGTAAAATTATTAAAATGTAAGTTCTTCACGAAAGAGGTCGACTTCCTTAGGTATCGTATAGGAGTCGACGGTGTCTTAATAGACCTAGGGAGGGTCGCGGCGATTCGGGATTAGCTTATGCCGAAAACTTTCCGGGAGATCCAGGTTTTCTTAGGCTTCGTAAACTTTTATCGAGGGTTTATTTACCGATACTCGGTAGTAGTAACACCTATTATAAACCTCCTTAAGGGAATAATTACTAGTAAAAAGATAAGATTATTCGAATGGACCGTAGAGGCGGAGTATATATTTTATATATTAAAAGAATGCTTTACGAGTACGCCGATACTTACTTACTTTAATTTAGAGAGGTAATCTCGGGTCGAAGTAAATATATCCGGCGAAGCTATCGGCGGCGTACTAATATAGGCCTACGAGATATAAGGAGGTCGCACGCTATAGAAGCCGGTCGTATTCTTCTCGCGGAAGATGTTAACCGCGGAGAGGAACTACTATACAGGGGACAAGGAAATGCTAGCTATCGTACACATGTTTAAGGTATAAAGACACTACCTCGAGTCGCCTACGAGTAGCACGATAGTCCTTACGGACTATAAGGCGCTATAGAGTTTTATAACCACGAAGATACTAAATAGGCGTTAAATACGCTAAGCTAAAGTACTAGCCGTATACGACTTTCAGATCTAGTAAAGGCGAGAAAAGGATAATCTAGCTAATAGGCTATCCCGCCGTCTAGACTATATAGGTAAGGAAGAACTCCCGGAAGAGAATCCCCTTTAGGTATTACTTAAATATCGTATGCCTATTAAAGACGATAAAGACTAAGGATGTATACGAGTAAGTAGCGAGGTCTTTATCGGGGTGTTAACTCGGGCTATAGTATAGTATAGTCGAGAACTAACTAAGAGTAAGTATAACATCGTAACTCTACTAACCCTAGAGGCCGAGTTAAATCTATAACTAAGCTTAAGCGGGGAAGAAGCGAGTGTACTAGGAGTACACCGCGACTCGCTCGCGATACGCCTAAGAGAACTTTAACACTAGGACGAATAGTGTCTAGAAGGGGCGTAGAGATCCGCACTAAATAGGCAAGTCTAAAAAGGTATATTCTAAGGAATATAGACCGTGGACTCGCAAGGTGTTATCCGTCGCGGCGGAGCCGTATATATCCCGCATAATCCCGCTACGAGATAGGAGATTCTCTGGGTAAATCATAACAACCCTTAGTAGGGGGGATATTTCGGCCGCCGGCGGACTGCTGAGACTATTATACGATACTACTAGTGGCCGTAAATAAGAAAGGAGATATATAAGTATATTGACTTATATAATCTATACTAACGGATAAAGGTACTAAGGTATAAACCCTATAGGTACTTAGAGAGCCTACTTATACCGAAAGGTCCTTAGAAGGATATCTTTATAAACTTTATAATAGGATTGCCGCTATTAATATATAGTAAAAGTGTATATAATATAATACTTATTATCGTGGATAAATACTTTAAGATAGTTATCTTAACGCTATATACTAGCACAGTAAACATAAGCGACTTAAGTAAGATTATCCTTAAAAAGATCGTGGCGAAGTATAGAGCACTAAAGTTTATCGTGAGTAACTAAGGATCGGTGTTTACCTCAGCTTACTAGAGAACCCTATACTCGTACCTTACGACCCGTAGGCTTTTCTTTACCGCTTTCTACCTGTAAACGGACGGGTAGACTAAAAGGATAAATTAAACCCTTAAGGATTACTTATATTACTATATAAACTACTAGTAGTCTAATTAAGCTATACTACTCTTATCCGCTAAGTATACGATAAACTCGTAAGTTAATGCAACTACTAGGGAGACACTATTTTTAAAGGTCCTCACCTTTATACCTTCGCTTCGCATAAACCTTAAACGCGACTCGGATGCGATACAGCCCGAGAACACGCTTATAGAAGGTAAGGCGAGAGTACTTATAGAGTTAATACGAGTCGTATAGAAGGCGCGCGAGACTATAGTAAGACACTATAATAAGAGGAGAGCACCTAAATACCTTAGTATCGGGGATCGTGTACTACTCTTAATATAGAATATCTAGACTCTCTATATAAGTAAGAAGATAGCTAATTAATTTCTAAAGCCTTTTATAGTACTAGAGCGCTTCGGGGCGAACGCGTATAAGCTAGACCTACTTAAGAAGTACGGTAGGCTACACTATATATTCTATATATCGCTGTTACGGGAGTATTATATACGAGCTAGGATAGAGCCGCTCGAGCCTATTAGTATTAAGGGAGAGGAAGAATAAGAGGTTAATAAGATCCTTAATAAGTGTACCCGGAGAAGAGAGCGATAATTCTATATAAGATAAAAGGGCTTCGGGGAGGCGGATAACTCCTAGGAGCTAGAGGAGAACCTTACGAATATACGCGAGAAGATTATAAGCTATAAGCGAGACACGGGAAGATAAGGGTAAAAATCCTTTATTCGAAAGCCGGCTTATAACTACTTACACCGGACCTATAGTAAGGGTCGCGGGAGAGTCAGCTGCGGCGAGCGCGGCCTCTACTCCCAGCCCTTCGCTCCTATAAACTCTACTAACGCCGACTTAATGCCCTCTCGCGCTGGACCCTATAAGGGAGTCGCAGCCGAGTACGCTGCGGAACTTAATTATCCTACCCGTCGAAATCCCTAGAGGTAGATAAGTTAGGGGTAGAAGGCGAGTTAAATAAATCCTCCTCGTCTTTCTCCTCCTTCTTATCCTCCTTATCCTCGTTATCCTCCTTATCCTCCTCGTTACTAAATATAGTTAAGATAATTACCTCCTCTATACGATTAAGCCGCTGCTCGAGACTATTAAGGTAAGTAGTTATAGTCGCTTATAACTTGTTAGTAACTCGTACTTAATTATATAGAACCCGTACTTACCGCTAAAGTATTAATAGCCCTTTATAACGCCTATATAAATTATAAGAAGGCACCTATATCCGGGTAGGCGGGCGCCGCGGGGGCTAAGAGAGAGGTAAGAATAAAGGCAGTCGTAGCTAAGTTAACAGCGAGAAGGCGGCGCGAAGCCGGGGAATTAGGAGGCGGGGCAACTAAAGACCGAGTCGTAATTAGGTCGGCAGTAACCGCACCCGCCGCACGCGCTTACTTATTAACTACGCGCGTATACGATATTATATCGAGGTGCAGCCGCTCCGCCAGCGACTCCACCTCGGCCTTAGTCACCCCGGACCCCGCGCGCGCTAGACGCCGATTCTTACCGAGCAACTCGCGGGCGTTGTCCTCGAGGTGCTCCGGGATTTACTGCGATTAGTATACGGCTTAAATATAACCAGGCGCGACCTTACCGAAACATAAGCCGAAATCGTCCGCTTACTTAAGCCGCAGCGGCGGCAATAGTGATAACCCGCTAGGGTCTCGCACGAGACGAGCTCCCTAGCGCCCCTACCCATCGCGCGCAGCGTGCGGATGCAGCGCTAGTAGGGTAGGGGGTCGCCGCCGCGCTTAGCTCGCTTACGGCTTAAGCGCGGGAGGGAGGGGGCGTCGTTTAGTAAGTCTATATATATATTAGATATAAGTCCTATATAAGCCGTATATATATATATATACTCCTCTTTTAACTACTTAGTAGCTTATAAGGCGGATCGCCGAAGGGAGGTATTATAATAGTAGTATCGGCTATAACTATTATATAATTAGTATATAAGTTAGGTGTAACTAATATCTTAACTTACTACTAAGGTTTTCGAAGTCTACTATATATATATAAGTTAGCACTAGTACTTAAAATTAAACTATAACACAGCGTAAACTTATAGGTAAAGGCAGCAGTAGGATAGAAGGCGATCTATAAGAGTGTCAGCGTATTACGAGATACAGGGCATACCGCAAAAGATGCAGAGCACGTATGTTGTTGTTGTTATTACTGTTACGAAGAGAGAGAAGAGAGGAGAGAAGAAAAAGATAAAGGTAAAGAAGTTTTAGCCGTAGGCGCGTGACTGTTTACAGGGTACGGCAGCGAGCTTACCGCCGCAGGCAACGACATGAATAGCAAGGCTGCGTATTCACGGTAAGGCTGCGCATTCACGGTAAGGCTGCGCATTCACGGCAAGGCTGCGCATTCACGGCAAGGCCCTAATGGTTACATGGCGAAGTAGCACTATAACGGAAGTGCTATATATTAACATCTGCCATATGCGCACAGGCACACCTATGCTCACGGAAAGACTTATCGAGCACGTGTCGCATGCGACTAGCCTGCTTCTCGAGGACGAGAAGCCTAGGGAGGGGGATAATGTCAGGAATGGCGACCAGAGCTTACTAAGCCTGCTAAGAGGACGCCTTCATCTCCCATGCAGCTCGCATGAGAGTCTTACCCTCCTTTCATGCTTTAAGTCCTGTTTGACCTAGAGGTCTAGGGACACCTAATATCATTGAATCCCACCACTATTACTCTCTGCCTATCGCTATAGGCTGTTCCTAACACTAAGCTACCCCCCTTAGGGGGTCTAACCCGGTCTGGACCCGGGTTCAGCTCGAGCTGAGACCAATTTAGCGATTTAAGACCGATTTAAGACCGATCTGAAGTGGTCTAGGACCGATCTGGGACCGATCTGGATCAGCTAGATCGATTCAACTGATCTAGAGTGGTCTAAAACTGATCTGGGATCGATCTGAGACCGATCTAGATCGAGCTATACTTAATTAAGTTAAATAAGTATAATTAATATATTTTTGGTATATATTTTATAAAGCGTAAAAGTTATATTAAAGAAAAGTTAAGTTATATACTGAAATACAGTAAAGAAATAAAAAATAAAAATTCGAGAAAATAGAGATTCGAACTCGCGACCTTTTTTAATTTACACTATATCGATCCCAGATCGCTTCCAGATCGCTCCCAGATCGCTTCTAGACTGGTTTAAACCCCCCTTAGGCGAGCTATACTGTATACTATGCTGAGCTTGGCAATGCTTGTGGTGGCCTACAACACCTGCAAGTCTGCATGTAAGCGCCCAATGATAGTCGTACAAACATAACCCCCAGCGACGCCTAAAGACTGCTGGAGGCCAAGTCACCTGCGCCTCCATGTTACTATATACATACTAGTCTACCAGTATATTGCAAACACCTCCTGCGTTACCTGGGCCCGTGTGTTCCTAGATAGGAATAGGAAGGCACAATGCACGCACCCCTGGAGAGAGGAGCTAACGTCCTCTCTCGTAGTAGCTGACTGGCATATGGAGAAAAGGCAAAAGCGAAATAAGACCTGCCAGGACCTTGGCCATAATTGCTCGAGGTCCATGCCTGGGTTCGCGGATGTGATGAGTGTCCTTAGTCGCTCTCACGTCTTGGTTGCTGTTTCTCTGCCGTCGATGTCCTAAGGTCAGCCCTTAGCGTGGTAGAATTGGCTCGTTTCGAAAAGTCTTGTTCCGCCTGGGCAGGTGTGGTGCTTCGCGCCAATACAGTACTGTATGTAAGTACAGTACGTACTAATCTTCCGGAACATTAGATGCGATATATGAAAAGTAAGATGCCGATAACTCGATTCGTAGGAAGATGTGAAAGGCTGGCTGGACGCGGTTGACAAATTTCGAGCTCGTTGATGCCGCTTCTTCGCTTTTGGTGTGTGTAGTACTAGTATGTACTTAGTACTTAGTATTTAACGAAGACTTCCTCCTGTGTTCGCCGTAGCTCATCGTCGTTTAGCACCTAGGTGTCCTTGTTGAGCCTGAGAGTTCTTCAAGTCTGACTGGTGATACGAGAGCTGACTTGCAAGTGACTTGAAGAAGGCTTCGAGGAGGGTGGGATTCTTGTCGTTGACCGCTCATCCTGTTCATTGAGCTGCGTCCTAGCCTTTGAAACAGAGTACTTGATACAGTCAGCTCTGGCAGGTGCGCTTGTGGCCTGTGAGGTGAAGTTGCGGTAAATGGGCATGGTATCAACGTGATGTTCAAGTTGGTAGGTACCAACACCGGGCCAGAAGCCGCCGCCCGCTCTCCGCATGAGCGGCAACAGAGCACCACCCGATACAGGGGACGCCTTCCCAAACCAGAATTCATCGTACCGTGCTTGACAAAAATTCGTCCAACTTTCACTTCAACTTCATCTCACACCAGAATCCCCTCTCTCTCAACACATGACTCCCGCGGCGCTTCTTGCACCCCATCGCAGCGGCGCAACTCGTCCCTCCCCACAACGTACACCTTCGACCTCAGCACGCCGAACATCCTATCCGAGCATGGCCTCGTGTACGCGACACCACCCAGATATTCTAGGTCGTCCTCGCCGAGCCCGAATGACCCGCGGTTGGCCGACGCCCTGAACCGCAAGATCTCCGGCCCCATCGAGGTCATCCGCCACCGCAGCTTGATCATGAACGAGAAGTGCGGCAGGTGGATGAAGTAGCGGGCGGACGGCCCATCTACCCTGACTTCCATGGAGACGACGTGCCGCCCCGGGGCTAGGAAGAAGCACACGACATGCGAGACGCGGGTGCGGGCAAGTCGGTTGATAAGGCCGACTTGGCTGTTGGAGACGGTGGCGGCTCGCCTCCGAGGTGGCGATGAAGGTGAATATGAAGGTGGAGTTGTGGAGGCTTCGATCACGACGTCCTCCAGACTGAATGCGACGGAGCCCATTGTGGTGTAATAAGTACGGAGGTGATGAAGTGGACGGCCGAGTGTGGATGCTACTGGAGGTGTCGCTCACTGGCAATTATCGATAGTCGTTGTGTGGTAAGCACTTCTGTGGTACTGTGCGTATTAGCAGTTCGGTGGGATTTCTCTTCCATCGACATCGAGGCGGCTGCTGCATTTAAATAGACGCCCGTATGTCCTCAGAAGTACTCCAAAGTCATCGAAAGGGCTTTGCTTGCGATGGTCGACGAGGACCTGTGCGAGGACCTGGTGGAAGCAGACCTGTTCCACATCGTGGTTAAACATCATCCTGGCGGCGTTTACCTGGAGTCGAAAGAACACGGAATTTGAGGACTGGCTGAACCGATGGCTGCGAATCAGTAGTGTACGTTGTCTGTCTTCCTTAGTGCATTGCCTAAGTGCCTGTGCGTTGAGATCTTTTCGAAGTAGTGGTTGAGCCGTACATTCATGGCCAAGTGAGGACCTACTAAGTACACAGTACAGTAAATATTGGAAGCGGGGACTCGAAAAGTGTGGTCTAGCCACTCATATCAGTATTCGCGGTTTTTCAACGGAGGTACGGAATCATATCGATGTCAAGACCATGCTGCGAGCAGAGTAAGTACAGAATACAGTGCCTGCACCACGGCATGAAGGGTCTGGTGGAGTGGTACGTGATAAGTAGGTTGCGTAATACATACGGAGTAGATACAGAGCCTCAGCCTCGTCGGTCACAGTTTTACCCCTGCCAAGTCCTCTCGTTCTCAGGTAGGTACCACCTGTTCATCCGCAACCCCACACCCATCCCATTCCTCTGGTCCACAATGATTAGGCCGGGACGAGTACGGAATACTCCGTACATGCTGCGGTAGTCAATGGCCAAGGCACATCAGGCTTGATTCAAGGCTCACCTCGATCACGGCAACTACGCAGTAAGCCTCGCTGCAACTAGGCACCGCTGGCGCCGGGCGGCACACACGACGGTGTCCTATGGATACATTACTGTAGTATTAGTGATCTTCCAAGCTGGGCCGACGTACCTACTGTATCCATGGCAAGCGTGCTCCTCACACTCCAGAGACCTCTACGCAGCTGCCGCGGTCATCACAATTCGGGGTCTTTCATAATATACATCACTCGCTAATATATCGGATATACTACTTAGTATGCATTGTAGAATTATAGTGTCGTCTCCGGTTGGGCGCCAGGGCGAATCATGCACGCCGGCTGACTTCGCTGGTCTTGGAAGTGGCGGAACAGAGCGAAGAAGAGAGGAGGATGTCGACAACAGTGTGGTGTTGCGGCATGGGCGTGACAAGAGCAAACTGACAAGCTGTACTCCGTAGCTATCAAGAGATGGACATCTTTGAAGTGGGACACGGTGGAAGGCGTGAGTGATGTTGAGTGGGAGTTCCGCTGGACTATGTGGACAATTTCCGGGAGCGCCTTTGCTCAACCAGTCCTAGAGAACTGGTTGTGTCTCTCACACCATGCGGCAGTCCTACTCGGCGTCAACCAACCGACTGGTGTCGGTATGATACATGCCCAACAGTGTCTCGCGCGCTTTTTGCAGGCTGAGACCGTCAATCCTCTGCTGGATGTCCCGTTGGCTACGCCGCACTTGTTCTGCCGTTTCCTTCCACTCCATGGGCCCCTTCTTGTCCAGACTGATGTCCGTAGCGACAAGTTTGCCCCCACGCTTCCTCAGCACCCCATTCACAATGACGTGTTCAATATCAGCAGCTTCACTGAATCGCACAATTGCAACAACAGGATCGTACTCGATTGCGCTCAACATACCTACGCTCCCCGCCGCGTCGAAGACCACCAGGTCGGCTTTCTTGCCCGCCTCGATGCTTCCTATCGCATCTCCGAGGCCCAGACACCTGGCTCCACGTATTGTTGCAAGGTTGAATGCTTCCTCCGACGTGCCGGTGACGTTCTCGGAGGGATATTTTCCTTCTGCGCCAATCCTCGCGTTCTTTTGAACTCGCGTGAGTTGTAGCAGCATTCGTGCCTGCAGGAGGATGGAAGACGGGTCGTTTGTGTGGCAGTCCACGCCAAGTGAAACATGCGCGGACTCTTGTGCTTTCAGTGCTGGGTCCAGGCCGACCGGAAAGCCCATGCCCATCTGAGATTCCGATCCGGGGGTGCTTGATATCGGCGTCCCGGTCGTCGCGAGCGTGGACATGTCCTCGTGCGAGATGCCATTGCAGTGTGATAGAAGCAAGTACGGCATGCTTGCTGACGACTCTGATGGTGGATAGGGAGTCCGCAGGAGGTCGTAAGACTGGAGTAGCTGAACATGGGAATGGAGACCTGCAACCGGTCAAGTCAGCCACGGCCAAGGGATATGCCAGCAAACACTCTCACCCATAAAAGCATTACGCGCGACGTGGCTCGTAACGAGTCGTAAACCCTTCTGTCTGAGAGTCTGGAACATGCCCAAGACCATGTCCTTTGGGAGGAACCAGAGATCGAAACCCATGCCTATTTCCACTAGCGATGCGGCGTTGTTGTGGTTCTCGAGCAGATCGCCTAACTGCTGGACCGCCCACTCGGGCACGAGATCCTGCTCGGGAACACACTGGGCTTGATCCCACCGCGCCATGCGTGTCGCAACGGTATACCCGAAGACAGCGCGGATGCCCGAGTCAATAGTTGCCTGCAGTGCAGATGTGGCTGCAGGAAGCGGTCATTAGACTCCCCCTTGACAGGCAGAATAGATGAGGCCGAGACATACCGTGGTCAGGTGTATAGACGCAATGCGCATGATCGAGGACTGTTGTTGTCCCCGCATGAATAGCCTCCAGACAGCCCGATAGCTGACCCCAGTACGTATCTTCTGGTTTGTAGGCATAGGACATCATATTGCCTAGAGTCACAGCCCATCAGAATGCGCCTACCTTGTAAAGGGAAAATTCATGAGTGACCGTACCAGAATACATATATGCAACAAGCCCCTGCTCGGCATGCCGGCCCTTCAACTGCGTCTGCCAGAGATGATGATGGGTATCCACGAAGCCCGGAGAGACGATCTTCCCTTTGCAATCAATAACTTGCGTAGAGCTGCTAGGAGGATCAATATTTTCCCCGACATGCTCGATGATATCGTTCCGAATGAGAACGTCCGTGTCACGGAGAACGACAACGTGGTCATCCTTGTCGTGAGTGAGGACCGTCCCACCTCGTAGAAGGATCGATGATTTGGGAGGCTCGTTCGCCATTGCGACGACCGGCAATGAATACTGCGTCTAAGGACCAGCAAGAAATTGAGAGGTCCAAGAGAAAGCTGATACACAAATCAGCAACAGTTCGTATCTCCTCCAGATATATTCAGAGAGTTGTGTATCAAGTATTTTTGATGTCCTGCCTCGAGAATATATGCCCTCCAGCACGTTTGTTGTCGACTTGGAGCGGTGTGTCAATGTCTCCGCATCCTCGGAGCAACTCTGCTTCCGCACACCACTCACAGGACGGCCAGCGGTTGTACCGGGGCACTAAGTACAGCGTTGGCATGACGTTGACGCAGAGCAGTTTCAGTTCCTTATGAGCGAACTCGGCCTCGTACAAGGGAAGTGGCCGAGCTGGAGGTTCATCGTGCCTCGAAGATCAACGGCCTGAAAGAGACCATCGCCTGTGGTGCGGGGCCCGAAGTGTTTCCTACCGCACGGACGCTTCCAGGTTGAAGTCAATAAAGGTAAACCGGCGGCAGATACAGCACAAATGGATCAGAAGCCACAGTCCCATGTGTGAGATAGGTACGGCTTTCCAGACGTGTAGAGGAAGTAGACGTTGATAGTTCACCGAGACAGGGACTGCCGTGTCAATGACTCGCGGGTCCGTTCGTCCTGACTCGACCGCGACCAACGGTGAGAAAGCAGGTCGCAGGAACGATAGTGGTCGCGATTGCCCTCGTAGGCAAGGATGACGTCGACTCTGATGAAACTTGAATTTATGTCGAGGCGCGACGCGGTGAAGGAAGGAATATCTGGACGCGTCACCCAATGATCTAGTCAGGCGTCACTCAGCCCTACGCCTGAGCCTATGCCTACATTACTCATGCCTACCTTGGTACTCAGTTAAAATTGTATCACAGCTTTTGCAGGAGCCAATGATCACGCTGCGACGCCTAATGCCATCCTTTGCACGTGCGAGAGCATCGCACCTCGTGGCCCGCCCGGCAGTGGTCGACGGTCCTTGGTCGATTCTGTTATCCTGTTTCGGAAAGTGTTCGAGGAAGTACTGCCCGTGCTCACTGGCTCCCGGAGACTCTTACAGGTCCATCAGGCCGGTAAAAGCTCTCCATTGACTGAGTTGTAGTGCTTACTTCGGCGTGATAGTCATAATGCTTGAACCGTCTCGCCCTTGCACGCTTCCAATGAAAAGCTGCTGTGCCGTCTGTGCTAGACATGCCGTGCGGTCTCGTCCTTTGCTCCCCCGACAACATTCAAAGCCCACTGCGGAGCTCAAGCTAAGCCCTACCGTGTTGTGATACCCCGGCAAAGCACCAATTGTGACACTAAAACCCTGCACCCTGTACCTTGTACCTGTACAGGCTGTACTGTGATCCCAGGCGGCATGCGGTCCGGTCGCGACCACAGTCCCAAAATCCCCGCTCACCGAGGAAATGTCTGTCATCCGCATCATGGGTTCGTGTGCCCAGAGCATGTCGCTACCCGACGTTGCACCGTCCGTCAAGCGAGCCTTGTCACCGCTCGCCGATTGGGAGCCATAGCCGCAAGCTCGCTTGAAGGGTTCGAATATCCTAAAGGAGCCATAGTCTAGAGTGCTAGACAAAGCAATGCAAATTGGCAGACCTGTCCAAGGTTGAAATCACCTGTGTCGAAATTCATGCGGTGGATGCACTTAGTACAATAAGAAGTGCAGCTACGAGGTAAGAGTGATGCTTCCTACTCCGTATATGCCCTATCGATCACCAACGCCACTATTATCACTGCCCTGGTCGCTCTAGTCAGGGCGTCAGGATCCCGAGAATTGAAAGACTCTATTACACTAGTGCGCCCTATGGCCCTCCACTGAATTAGTCGTCGGAACCTAACCACAGATGGGCATTGGGTTGGGGCATAGACAAAGTGCTTACGAGGACATCTTCCCGGCATGGTGGACGTTCTCGATCGGGCTCTGATTACCAGTGTCCTAAGCTACTGTAGCCCGCCATGGCCGGCCTTGCTTCGGTAAATGCAGTCCGACATCAGTCAGTATGCGAGTCATCTCGTATTGGGCCACTTGAGGCTCGCACGTTAGCTCGTGGTCCCTGACCAGGGCGTCGCACAAGTTGACTAAGCCCTCGCAGGGTCTGGTCCTCACGGTGATCGGGCGCCGGAGCGAGGATATCGGACGTGACTTCTGAGGGATTAGGGCTCGGACAGGGTTGAAGGATCAGAATAAATCCTGCAACGCTTATGATTCACGCATTATGCTGAGCATCATGGAGGCCGAGTATGTCCCCACAATCAGGTTCAATTGCTTAGTTTCGGACTTTTGTTCAACACCCCAGATGGTGCTGTCGTCCCTTGCGCTAATGCACCAGCCATCTAGAATGGTGTCTTGCGTACTAGGTATCATTGATACAGCCGTATTTCGGGACTGGTACTCCGTACGCCGCGTACCTATGCCGCGACTGTTGTCATCAGGCCCTCCACCGACACGGCAAGCAATTGAGCCTCCAGGACGGGGCTCATCGACTGATCTGTTCCCCTTATCGGTGTAATTTGTACCTCCGATGGGACACGACGGAGCCCTACCGTGGATTTGGCCTGGCAAGTCCACAGGGATACCAAGCTCCTTGTGATGCCGCATGGTTCCATCGATCATGGTTCGTTAGAGTCTCTGTTGCTGCTAGCGCCGCCTTGCGAGTCAAAGCATGTCCCTGTCATCATAGAGCCTCTGCCGCTTATGAGCGGGATCCTATCCGCCCTTGCGTGCAGCCAAAATTGAACCCATGATATCTCTGCCACCAGGTCCAAGAGGGCCTGATTGAGCGGAATGGTCTCCGGAAGCGACATCACTATCGTCCCAACTCTCGTTCTCCATGCCCCACCCTTTCTTCTTCGACGGTGGCTTGACCTCCAAACCAGCATTCACGACTTGAAGTCGGATCAACTTCATTCGAGCTTCACGAACAAAAGCTTCAACCATGTCTAGGGCGGACTGCTGGGCCTCCGCTCGATGATTGTGCTGGACGGCTTCAAGCACGCCGCTTTCCATGTCGATCCGTGCATCGAGCCTGCCGTCGTCGATGAGGGCGATGATCTCATCAAGGAAAACCCGTCTCGCTTCAGCTGCGTTGATTGCTCCGCTCGAGTGTGTGGGCGTGCCAAACATTTTCTCCATGCTTGCCAGGGTAACTTTGCTGAAAGGCTGAAAGTATTGTACGATGCTCTTGGTCCGGACTCGCTTGTAGATGTCTGCAACCAGAGGCTGCAAGTAAATGTCAAGAAGATAGTCCGCTCGATACGACTCAAGAATGTCCAGGCATTGACTGTACTTACTCCCGCAGAAGAAGGTAATAGCTCGACGAATATGGGGTTCCAGCTCGAGGAAATTGCGGAAATTACTGTTCTCCAAAACTTTGCTCTGGAGCTCAGCACGAGACATGGACGCCAGCGCGCACAGCCCGCCATATACAGCGATGTCATTGCTCGTGACTACGTCTCGGTAAGTGTCTCCCAGGCTGGGATCAGTGTTGATAAAGCTGATGGCAGCTTCATGGTAGTCAAAGGTGGACATCTGCTGGAGGCCCATTGCCGCTTGTATCTTGGGTTGATTTCTAGCAGATTCCTCGGGCTTCAGCTGAATGTTCCGGACTTTGTGCACCTGTGACTGGACCGCCAGCCAGTTTCTCTGTTCAATTGCGACAGCAATAATCCGGAATGCGGTCGATGCAATGTGAGCAGCAGTGGTGCAATAGTCTCGCATTCGGGAGTATGCCTTGACAGCGTTGTTGAGATCGCCGATGGTGTAGTAGTGTGTTCCCAGGTCTTCGTTCCCCATCTGTTCGTAGTCTTAGCAGATAACCCAGCGGCTCAGTACCAGTCTCGTCACGTACTCGAATGCTCTCCTTGATGAGGTTATTCTTGTAGCCTTTCAGTTCGTTCTCCATGCGGGCCGTCTCTGCGTTGTTTTTCTTCTCTTGCTGAGCAGCCCATAACGGATCAAGCAGATTGTCCAGGTTCTTGCCTGCTGACACCCGCTTAAGTAGCGCGACGGCCTCTTGATAGTTTCGGACATCATTGCCTCTCTTCGCCTCGATCAAAGCCAGTCGAGCAGCCTCCTCGGCGAGAACGGTTGAACATGATGCGATCAGGTGGAGGCGGCGGAAGACGGTGCGACCTACTCGGAAAGTTAGCACAAGCCAAGGGATACAGTGTGGGATCTGGCAAGCCTTTGTAGTTTGAGATGTAGGCGGCAAGGTCGAAATTTGGGGCCTCTTTCACCACGACACCGTAGTTGTATTGTTCCCCCAAGGGCACATCTTTCGCCATGCCGATGGAAAGCTGCGGCGGCCGTCGCCGCAAACGGTCTTGTCAGCAGCAGTAGATAATGGCCTCGGTCCTGGTGTTAGAGCCAACACTAGAAGTTTCTGTGGCCAGTGGTGGAGCGGTGAATTTGAAGATGATTGAAGAGTAAGTCAATCATCGGTGACTTTACTCTTCAGCAGGCAGTGAGGTCGTCGCGCGCTGCTCGCTTGCCTGCCGCGTGCCGATGACGGAAAGCTTGGCGTGTGGCTCTTAACAAAGTTAGTGCCTGAGGCAACACGCGGGCAAGCCCAGGCTTACCTGGAGACAAGTTGGGGGACTTGTGAGGACAGCCCGCGGCCCTAGTAGAGCCTCGGAAGACGTCTTCACGGTTCTTGAACCATTCACGGCTGTCTCAAGTGAGAGACTCAGTTCAGTCATATTCAGATGTCTGCACTTGATTCCACCAGCGCTCAGCGCGGTTGCTACCTTGCAAGATTATCTATCGTACACAAGCTTCTGCTCCCTGAGGGAGGTCATCGGGTATCTCTTGTGGCTTCGAAGACCCGGCCCGTCCGTTTCCAGGCAATCCCATATTCACAGTCAGTTCCCAAATCATTCATGTCGTCTCAGTATTTTGAAGTCCCGTCGAAGCCCATGTGGCCGCATTGAGATGTTCATCATCAAAATACATTAGATGATAAAAGAAGGAGCTCTCTTGAACTCAAGGACATCGAAGTCCAATTCCAAATCGCTAGAACGCACCACTAAAACACACATAGAACTTGCCAGTAGGCGATCATGCCATAAGGGCGTTGAGGTCAAAGGTGTGGCCCTCGTCCTCGGTTGCCGGGATCCAATGTCCTCTCTCCTCGGGGGCGGCATTGTGGAAGGCCTCCGCTCGCTTGAGAGTCTCCACGTCGAGGTCGGTGACATAGTTCTTGCCATCCGGCAGGGTCATTCGGACTTCAAATTCGTTGTGGAGCATCATGTCATCTTTCCATAGGCGCCGCTGGCCATCGTAGACGCAGAGCACGCGCTTCTTCATTCGCATCTTCTCCGCCGACATGCCCCACGAAGGGGGATAGTGCTTTCTCTTCTTGCGGCCTTTGCCGACGAGAGCGACGCCACCTTTTGACCAAGTCATGCCTTTCTTCGAAGACTTGCCTGGTTTCGAGATACCCCCCCCAATGATGGCTCGCGCAGAGGCGGGGTGCTTGTTGGATTTCAGAGCCCCCTTGCCGGACCGGCTGTTGAACGACGGATCTTCGTCCTCATCATCCTCATCGTCCTCTTCGTCGTCATCTTCGTCGTCGTCATCAAAGCTGGTGGGAGCGTCCTCCGTCTTGATCATATGACGGTCGAGAGTTTCTTGAACCTCATGGTCGTTGTTGATCTGAGAAAGATGCTGGACATTGACTGCTTCGGAGGGTTCCTCTTGCTGGACGACGCGCAGCACACAGTCATCCAAATGCTCATAGAAGTCTTGAGCATTGTTAAAGGTTGCCGAGCAGGTAGAACACTTGCCTGTCGCGTCTTGGCAGTAGCTGGAGAGTTTCCGGTTGTTGGCCGAGGGACTTCGCTTTCGGCTGTTTGGAGGGGTCTGCTCCACACCATGCACCGAAGTCAAGTGTCGCTTGAAGACATCTGCTCGGTTAAAGCTCTTCTCCGCTGGGGAGCCCGATCCAGGGCAGAAGCCGCAAACCATGGTGCCTTTGTAGTGGGTCAATGTATGTCGGTTCTTGTCGTATTTTCGAGCGAAGCCTTTCAGGTTGTACTCGCAGGTAAGAATTGGGCACTTCTCGGGCCTTTCGGCTTGGTGAGTCAACATATGGGCCTTCAGATCCTTGAAAACCTTTCCACAATCAGGGTGGGGACACCTGCCCTTCTCCGAACCATCCTCGTCTACATGTGAGGACGGGCTGGGGTGCGATACGCCTGATACAAAAGATGCCAAAGACGGCCTTCGGCTCATTAGGTGCTGTTGTTGATAGTAGTTCGCGTTCGTAAGGGGATCGGAAAATTGCGTGGTGGGGTAGACGCCGTATGGTCGCGGGGATGGAGCTGGCGATACTGAAGGTGAAGTATACGAGTGCAAGCTGGGTGCGAACTGGCCTTGCTCAGAGAATATGTGGTCGCCGTAAGCTCTGGGTGCATGGATCAAAGAGGGATCTGTATGTGACGATGTTAGTGGACATTTCCCAGTCGGAACCAAGCAGCGATCGGCAGATAATAGTATGCACGAGCAAGGGAATAGTCAAGGAAAGACAAAGGAAAAACAGGCGGAAGAGACCAACAGGATGTTTCAAGCGGTGGAATGAAATTACCGCTGCTTTGAGCAAAGAAATGAGACTGAAAATGGCTGGCTTGGTGCTGTTGCGGTGCATGGTTTGCAGTAGGACGAGGGGACATATGGGCATGGGGAGCGTAGCCTGTTTGCGAGCGCGACGTGGGTGGGAAGCTTCTCGCGTTCAAAGGAGAGACAACAGAAGACCGTCTCGAACATGCTGAAGCAGGTGTCGTTGGTGATTTGAAGCTGGGTGTCGCTCGGCTTTGGTCGGTTGAGGGAGAGTGGGCTGCAGTCGAAAAGACCGAACTGGAAGCAACTGAAGGTACAGTGGGGACTCGCTGGTCGAAGAAGGTATCGATAGACAATGAATGAGGTGATACAGTCAAGGACAGAGATTGGGCAGCAGGTGACGATGATGAAAGCGGAAGCGCGGATCGGGCTTTACGAGGCGCAACCCGCGGCGTCTGGGTCTGAGAAGAGGAAAGATCGGCACACTCACCCACAAAACTGTCCGGAAGCTTTTCATGGCTCGACAGTGACAGTTCAGCTTCCATCGCGTTTCCCAGAAAGTCTTGCGAAAAAGCTTCATGGTTGACTATTGCCGGCATCACGCCCAGGCCATACGAAGCTACCGCGTGGTCGTATCCGTCCTGACTCGGGACCATATGAGCTGGACCTGAGTATGGCGAGCCGACAGTGGAAGACGACGCGCTGGGGATCGACGGTGCCGAGCCAGAGGAGATTAAAGCGGGCGGTAGATCCTGGAACTGATGCATCTCTTGCTTGATGGAATGCATCGGAGCCGTCGCGAACATGGACGGGTTCTCGAAGAAGGAATAAGGGAGAGGGTGGAAGTTGTTCAGCGTTTCGGCGGACTCATACATGTCCATGGTGAGGCCAGGGAATGGTGCTTGAACGCTTTGCTCGAGGTCGTAGAGTTGGTCGAATTGTTGATGGCGGTTGTGCTCGAGCGCGAGCATTGTTATGGGGGGGCACTTGACTCAATGGGACTGCATGAGGTCAAAGATGGACAAGTGCTGGTCGTCGGTGAGAAATAGATCTCCTAGAGGCAGGCTCTCGGAGGATGTGGTCAGGCTTATGGACCAACAATGTCTCCAGAGAAGTCGCGCGGGGCCAAAGAAGGTCTTCGAGTGGCGTGTAGATGTGGGTGTTCTAGGTCTCTTGATGCTCCGGAAGCGATATCGATAGAGTCCGAGGATACGGACACTAGGGCCTAGACGCTTCACGGCCGTGGTTTGTCAACACGAGTTATTGATGAGGCTTGCTGAGCAGTGTCGATCAATACTGGAAGTAGCAAGGAGGGTCTGCGGGAGGAGACGGTGCCGAGGGAGGGAACGGACGGTGTACCGGTACGTCGTCGAGGTCGTGGGCTAATATCGCCGTTGACCGTCCAGGTAGGCTGTCGCTACAGGTTTCGTCGACTATCCAAGTCAACAACAAGCTGTTATGAGAGGGAGAGTCGAGAGCAGTTCTGCAAAGTGAGTCTCAGGCTGGAGATGGGGGGCGAAATCGCCGTGAGTTATAGTCTTTCATGAAGCAAAGGGTCTTGCCGAAATCAGACTGACCAAAGTCCCAAAGATCGCGGATAAGCCAAAGCGTTCCCACAAACTGGGTGGTTAGCCCTATGGGCTCGGACCCGGACCAGGACCAGGGTGTGAGGAGACAAACCCCCTGGAAGACTAAAACTTCAGAAAGAGAAGCAGTGCCTCACCGCGTCGTCCGAGGACTAGCTCGTTAGCGCTTGCATTAGCCGGTACGGGGGCTTGGAGTCCAGTATTACACAATCCTGTGCACGTCCTAGGTGGCCTTAGCCAGAAACAGCCCAGTACAGAGCGCATCCTAATGGATTGGTCTTGATGACTCGTTGTCAACGACTACCCTGCTGCTCATCCAGTGTATGCCTAAGGCTCACCAGAGCGTGGGATGTCGCTGCCGGTCCAATAGCTGCCGGCAATGGCCAAAATACAAAGGTGGGCATGTTTTGGGACCGGGGCGGCTGGCAGTACTGTAGAGCCCATGGGTTAATGGGAAGCAGCATGGAATGCATGTTTTTCCGGCCCCTCTCCTTCGTACAGTGAGCATCGACTGAGAGCAAAAGTACACCTGTTTTGGTTGGCTCATGCTGTCTTCCAGCAAGCCATTCGTGACGCCGAGAAGCATCGTAACCTCAGAGCAGACTACACAGTACACTACCCTGTCCGTGGTAGCAGTCGTTTGGAGGAGATTTCGCTACGGAGTGCCTGGAGAACAATTCCCCGGAATGAGCAAACGGGAGGCCGTCCCGCGGCGCAGTCAAAACGTGGTGGACAAGTCACAGGAGACGTATCGTCATATTCTCCTCACGGCACCAGGGAGTGGAAATGTCAGAGTGGCAGGGATTAGGCTCGAGATGCTGGATCTGGAAGAGTGGGGTCTGGGCGACGAGTTCGCGTCTGGGGACTAACACTCCATTCGAGTGAGCCGGAAGCGAAATGTGCGGTTTGGGTTGCCCGGTTCGAGCGACAAGGGAAGCAGGATGCGCCAAACAGAGAATGGGCCAACCATGAAACCCCCTTTGTGGGTTGTGACACAACCACCTCGCCTGCTGCTCCTGCGGCCAGCAGTTGAAACGCTTTCCCAAAACAGGTGTAACACGGTGCTGGTGTAGGCGAAGGCCGATGCGATTGGCGCCATCGTGCAGATGCGGTCTGCTTCCCTGCCAGAAAACGTGGCTATCAAGTCTGATCCACTATAGCTGACCTGTTCATTGGCTTCAAGTGGTCGGGGTCGCCAGTCTGTGCTCTTTGATGATGGCGCAGGGTCATTTAGTGGCGGTGACAGGGCTCCTGATTCGCTGCTTCTCCCTCCTGAGCCACAGTGCGAAAATAGACACACCGCAAGATGGCTGTGACCCCCGTCGACGATGACATGCACAACATCCACAGTCACCGACTTCTATGCAGCGAGCAGGAGCATGGTGACATCTTCTGCGCATGACGCCTTGGAGTCCATGACCCAGTCACAGGTCAATTGGTAATCGCAAAGCACGCTCACCGATGCAGGCTGCTGGTTTCGTACTGAGTACGTTGCGGCCGTGGTGAGCACCGAGCGGTGACGAGTGATTGGTGCTTGAAGAAAAGCTCCAGGCAAATTCCTCTGCATGCAGCACTCCGTAGTTCACCCCAGCCTCCAGTCTTGGCCCGCAGGTGAAAGAGCGACGGAGCAGGTGCGTGGAAGGCGGCTTCACCACTGAGTAAGACAGGATTCATTTGGTGGTTAACACGCATCGAATTGCATCCACCAAACTGAGTGCACAGTAATTTTCGAACTGAAGCCCCCATTACGCGTCCACAGCAGCAGCCCATATGCTCATCTGTCAGTAATTGACAATACCATAGCACTTCTGAGCTACGTGCGTATACCACACACGGTACACGGCTTGGTGTTGTTGCGCGCCCTTGCAAATGCTGAAGCCGCTTGAAACGCACCTGCCCCTCCAACGGCGAGCCCGGACGGCGGACGGGGAGGCTAGGCCGCAAACAGCACGTGGTAAAGGACTAACCTCCTGCTTCGTAAAACTGGTGGCCGACTCGTCAAAAGGACGGACCCATAGTTCAAGGACGTACGCAGGACTTCCCTTCACTGCATTTGGGATTGAGCCTCCCTGGCATTCCTCCTCGTGCCCTGCATTCACAAGTCACGCATCATTCACCCCCTGTTTTCCTGGCTTGCAGTCAATCCATTCCCGTCCGATACGATCAGTCCATGTGGCACAAAGCGTTGTGGTTCCCGGCACCGGTTACCCCTCTGCCCTTGTATCGTTCTTGCTTCGCAGCCCCAAGGTCCAATTGAGCACCGAGCAGTTCTTTGGCCCCCGAATGCATCTTCAGAACACGAATTCCAGGATTGACGCTACACGAGACTCTGACCATGCGCCCCTCGTAGGGCTGCAGCTGTCGACAGCGCCCAACTGCTGAGAGCTCGACCTTGCATGATTCATCCATGATATCGTCTTCGGGTCTTCTCATTGCTTGACTTGAAGGCCACATCCAAGGCTTTGAGCGCCGCTATGCCCAGTGGTGCTTGGTGGGGAAGTTGTTGCGCCCTGGCTTGAAACTTTATGCGACACACCCAATGCAGATGAAAGCGCAGAGGCATCCACCACCGCACATGTCCAGAACCCACGAGGTGTCTCAATAGAATCTCTAGAAGGTGATCTGTGGAAGTCCGTTTGGTTCCGCCAGCCCATTTTTAGGCTCGGCATGTCGCTTAAAAAGAATCGGTCTGGCATCGTGGCCTCTATCCAATCAATCGGAAAACCCCACCATTTCCTCCCAAACCGTGTCTGTTTATTGCACGTTCATCAACTGCAGCGACTCTCCGGACCGCTCGAGTTCGACAGCCTTCACTTCACCCCTGGGAGCCTATCAATTTTTTGTCGGAACGCTTTACTGGTGCCTGGTACGTGGGACAATACTCTTCCGTCCCCGCGAGGGACCGAAAATACTCACGAGCTAGGTGCCTAATATGCAAGATAAATCGAAATTGATTCCAAGCAGTGATTATGTACGGACATAAAGCATCAGGGAAGCTTCCCAAACACCTTCACTGCCAATTGGCCGAGTTGTCTTTGATCGCTTTCCTCCATTTGCCCTTTTGAGCCGGTATCGCTCTCTCGTTGACTGGAATAAGAGGGCCGAAGCCTGAGGTCGTGATCTGAAAGGGTCTGGATCGTGAGGCCATTCCAGATCCGGTTGTCGGAATATGCTTAAGGCTGCAAAATCACATGCTTTCGTCTGATAGCCGAAAAGTCAATCGAGGCTGGCTGAGCTCCCTTGCTCCTGCAGATCCTAGCACGGAGAACTGCAGAAACTCGCAGGATGTCAACCCATACAGAACAATTCCAGTAGGTAAGCAGAGGCAGATTCCCGAAGTAGATGAGTCGAGAATCTCAGCGCGAGGGGTGCGACAGATTGGGACGCAAAGGCTGGTGGCAATGCCCTGTCACGCCTGTCAACTTGCCCGTTAGTGCCAACTGCAAGCATCCTGAAGAGCTCGTATTGGAGCAAGAAGCTCGGGCAACTCATTTGACCCTGAAGATGCCAGAGACGGTCGCTTTCCAACACGAATTGGTTCGGAACCCCGCGCCAACCCCAGCGATTTCCAATATTCAGCCCTACGAGCATGAACCAACCGTCGCTTGCCCCATCCCATCTCTCGTGTTGGCTGTCTTCGCTTGTTCTCCTGCACCGCTTGACCGGAGCTTTCCAGTCGAAAACTCTCCCTCGGAAACTGCAGCATAGTTAAATCGTGGCTTGCGCAACAAGCGAGGATTTCGGGGTCTGGACTGCTTGGATCGGTCTGGTTCCTCCCCAGTTCGGGTCGACTGTAGCTGCTCGACTGCGGCTTCGCCAGGCGTTGCTATACCTTATCTGCGATTGACTGTGTCGGGTCCGCTCACTGTAGTGCCCTACCCTCGATCCGTACAACCTATCGTGGAAGTGCACACTCTCGCCATGGCGTTGTCTCTATGTCGGAAAATGCGGTCAGACATGCGCCATCGCAGGGCTCTTTCAGTCCGTATTTACTCCTTGGCGTCGGAATCCGTGCTGAAGTAATGCTTGCAAAGGTGGTTTTCCGTGATCACCAAAGAGGCATTGACCAGGCTGCTGACCCTCGACCATTTTGTCAACGACGCAAACCAAGCTTCGAATTTGTCTTGCATTCCGCAATTCTTATAAGTCACCTCGTAAACGTTGTTTTTCTTGGTTCTTCACTAACACTCTTGGTATTTGACGCTGGACGAGGGTGTCCTGCTGCTCGAGGCTGACTTCAGGCGTCGTGTTTGCGGGCAGCTGCGGTTTTCCTTACCATGCGTCAGCCGCCGATGGTGAGGATCGATCCATACAGGGTTGTGGATAGCACGCTATAACCGTGACCAAATTCGCCAATGCGCTGGGATTTTGGGTATCGTACGGAGAGGAAGCTGAACAGGCGGAGGTGAGTGCGCACTCAACCTGACAGTTTTAGCCATTCTTCACATTATCGCCGCGAAGCTAAAGGATAACCAATAGCTGTTAGGAGCTCGTCAAGAAGGGCATGATCCTGTCGAAGGATATCCCATTCTGTCTCGTCCTTGACCATGAGGGTGCCCGCGAGAATCGTGCCGTTGATTGCTACCGAACTTCCTGGGCCAGCTCCAGGAATGGCTGTTGCTTCTTGGCTCCGGGGACAAATGGCCATCCTGTCAGTTGTCATGGCAAGGTTGTACGAGAGGAGAGTTTGGCCGTTCATTTCCACTGCTAATTCCTCGTTCCCGTGCTGATCAGGACGTTGCATGGCGGACATAGCTGCTCTCATCAGTGACAAATATTTGCGATGCAACTCTGCCTTTGAGACTCCTTCTTCAAGTGGTGTCGAGAAGTGCAAGATCGGCAAACAGGGATCCTGAAACAGTGGCATATTTGGATGAACTCTGGTGTTCATGCGATCAATGAGAGGGCCCCACTCTTGGTTGTCAGAACTCGCCATGTCCTCGACGGGGAGGAACTGCAGGTGACGGTGCACCTGGCTAGCCCCGCTGTGCTCTCCTGAGTTAAAGAAAGCAAAAAGACGTGAAGAGCGTCCCTCATCCTGATGAGTCTGCCAGGCGCGCAGGCAGGCATAGGTAAGGCCCAGGTCGTCTTCTTCCAAAAGGTCTGTTTGCGGCTTATTGTCCTTGGTGGCGATGATGAAATGATTGTGAATGACCGGGTACTTGTTCAGGACTAATGTATGAGACGGGTTCGGGGCTGGGATTTGGGCGATGAGGAGTTCTGGTGCTGGAGCTGCAAAAGGATCAAACTTGGTGCCGGTCGACTTCGGTTTGGAACCCGAATCGTTTCCTTGCGGCTTCTTCTGCAGAGCGGGACAATACCGCAGTTGGAACTTTGAAGGATTCAATAAGCATCTGAAGTGCAGGATGGTGTTTGCGCACTTACTAAAGCTCCTCCTTTGGCACGAAGATGTGCAAGGCTTGTCTGAGAGAAAACAATATCCTTGGCGTGGAAGGCGGTCGTGAACTTTTGGGCCACGGTTTTGGGTAGTGGCTGCGCGAGGCCTAGCATCTTCTCCAGATCTGTCATTATGGACGGCTCTGATAGTCACACAGTGGGCGTCGCCGAAAGGCGTAAAAGACCGAGTTGTACATGTAGCTGCCCGCCGTAAGATGTCATGGAGGAACCTCGGCCCACTCTCTTGGCGATCTGGGTTTCTCACAAGTTTAGAGAGGACTGACACCCAATTGAGCTTAATTACTCTCATTTCACTTCTGGTTCACTCACCATGCTTCCAAGACTCAAAGTCCAGTATTGCCACCCATTGCTCAACGAGACCTTTCTCTCCTCCTTGAGCATAGCTCACTTCCCATGCCAGTTCTACTCCACCGCCTCTTTGCTTGAAAATGTGGGTGACACAGTAAAATGAGCGTGCTTCGAGCAGGCCGAAAACAGCAAGAATCGAGCGATGCAAGCCATGCAGCGGTTCACGAAATTCACTGGTCCAGTGCTAGGGAATATCAGTGTGGCAGCCACGTTATAGAAGAGTAACGCGTCTGTAAGACGATACGACACGATGGAAAGCCGCGAATTACTACAGACACCATACTCCTTACCCATAGCAAGTCAGTCGCGCCCTGGAAGCCATACAACAGGAAGTCAGTTGTTGATCGGGTCTCAAATGAATCTCAAATGACAAGCGTCCCTGGTTCCGCTGCAGCCGCCCGCACATGACAGCTCCAAGACGCGGGCATATCAGTGCGGCGAACAGGTACGATTCAGAAACCCCTGTGCCTCATATCTGCTTGCGCATGAACATCTCAAGGAGATTAAATATATGCTGTTCTTGCCTCCCACACATAAATCTCACGGTGGGAATTGACCGGAAAAAAGCGGACCCGCGAGCTATCCCAGAACTGCTCACTGATTCCGGCAAAGCGCGCCAATAATGTAGCACAATGCCCCTGATGTTTGCTTGCATTATCCCATATTTTCCGCCTGGTGACCCCCTCAGCATATCACCAACCTGATCTAAACACAGATGGGTGGATTCTGCGACGATGCCCACGCTCCAAGTGGTAGGTGGTCACTGCTATGGCTCTGCGAGCACGAGGAGGGGCTGTCTACATTCGTGGGCTTGCGATGCTGATGCATGTGGCAGGCTAGGATCTTCGCAAATCGTGCTCTGAAAATAGACAGTTCTCGTTTGCCGCTCTCAACCATGGCAACTAGCAGAGACGAAATTACGGAACACTGCCACACCGCGACTGTGTCGAACGCGGTCACCTTTCCCTTTCAAGACATCTTGATCCCTTCTCCCTATACTTCTGATGGCGGCAAGCGCTTCCACGTGCCGCGGAGCAGCATGCACACAAGATGAACAGAGCATGACGACAAAGCTGGGCTGCTTCGGTCGGTTTGTCGAGATCGTACTTACTGACAGATTGGTTTCGAAAAGCCACGTTCGATCGAAAAGTGTGCAAAATCCCATCCGTTAACGAAGAGCAGCTGTGCAACACCTTCATCCGCCAGCGTTTCGCAGGGTTAAGAGCAACATCTATTGATGTATTGAAGCCAATCGACCTGTGTATGGGGGGTCCCGAAGGTGTCTGCGGCTGCTCAGGTAAGTTTGCCTCCTTATATGCAGCCTCTTGTTGGAATCCTCAGGGTCTTCGGTTTGCTCCCGAACCCGTGAGAAGGAGTCTGTTTGCAGTACGAACAAGATGTGAACCCTTTCCTGGGAGTGACAGTGCAGATGTTGATTGTAGCGGCCAGTGACTCGATATGAAAACGCACTCGCTTGTCCGGGCTATGGCCCTGAATGACTTCAGCTCGCTCACCAGTCGGCACCCTCGCATTCTTCGACACGTACTGCATTTCACAGCCTGGAGTTCTCTAAAGATGCCACCTGGACTCATGGACTCAAAGTACGTGTGCCCATGCACTGATACAGGCGTCGATCGAGATCCGAGGCGTTACATACACGAACTTATTACCTTGCGCAGTCACCTGCCCACGAGGACTCTGTCGAATGCTTTCACTATCTACAACAGTCATGCATCACGAACAGTATTTTCTGACACAACTCGTGCCTGTCACCCAGCTGGAATACGATGTTCAGAAACCCCTGTGGCTACTTATAGGAGTTCGGTTCCGACGGAAGACTGTCAAAACCGCACTTCCATCCAGAGATCCATGGAGCAACCTGAGCTTTGCCATAACCTGGATCGTTCAGCCTCCCCTGGCCCTAACGCGAACCTCTATTCCTGTCGATACCCGCAGGACCATACACACATAATGCCAACAAGTAATAGCACTTTGTACAATTCATGGATGGCAAACGGAAGCGGGTTTGGCAACGCTGTGCATATCGATGACGAAGCGACCTCATCGACCTCTGCCGGGTTACGGGACACACAAGTGCGCAGTCCGACTCATAGCAATGGCACTCCCATGTTCTTGCAAGGAGGGAATGATGGCGTCGAGGACTGGCCGCCCCCTAGGGCCGCGGCTGAAATACCATTCCACACCACCCAGAGCCCGTTCCTAAACGATCCTACCTTGGCTCCTGAGCTCTCTTTCGACGACATGGACCTCAACGCCATGCTTCAGACACCCGGCAACGTACCAACATCGCGATGTGCTCCGCATGAAGTAACCCTTCAAGCCAAGTCCTCAGTTGACAACGAGCTAACAGCTTCGAATGTTGTGGACGAGCATGCATATGACGCCGGTGTGCATTGGGGCTACGACTTCTCGGGATATGCGGCGGACCATCCAATTATTTCGACATCATCTGCAGACATACAAGCAACGTCAGGGCTCGAGTTTTCCGATATCGACCTTGGATTGGCACCAGCACAAGATGCGATGGGCCAGGGTTCAATGTCGATCGACCCGTTTTTACCTGGGCTGCATGGCAGTCAACTTGGGATTTTGGATGAGAACTCCCTCTTTGCAATGGACTATGTCTCTCCCACACCGCAATATCGGGGAGCTGACGCATCGCTCACTTCGACCTATCCACTACAATATCCTGACCCGGAAGATTTCAACACTCCAGTCTCCTCAACGCCCGGCCTTACGAGCGCTACCACCACGCCGAGTGGACAGCAAGGCCTCAGATGTGCACAGCGTGACACATCCAAAGACGCTCTGCTCGTGAGACTGCGACAAGATGGGAAATCATACAAGCAGATCAAGGAGATTGGGGGTTTCGAAGAAGCAGAATCGACCCTCAGGGGGAGGTATCGCACCCTAGTCAAGCCTAAAGAGGCACGTGTCAGAAAACCTGAGTGGCGAGATCGGGACGTGAGTGAGCTTTGTTGATGTGACTGGGTAATGAAGATGCTGATCATCGTCTTATCGCAGATCCAACTCCTTCTGCAGGGCGTTACCCACTTCTCGAACTCGAATCCTATTTCTCTCGGGGCATGGCATGGTCTTGATGCAGATGCCATTCACCAATTTACCAACAAGGTGCCGTGGAAGCAAGTCGCTGAGTGGATGGAGGACCAAGGGACCTACAAATTCGGAAATTCCACGGTCAAGAAGCAATATCTGGCAGAATTGAAGAAGCGAGGTGCTCCGGTATGAAGGCGCTTGCGTGGTATCCGAGCCAGATATCTCGAGCCCGACTTTGAGTACGTGGTATTTATCGCCCCCCCAGAAGTCCACCCCAGGGGTTGCTCCCCATTGCCGACTCTTCTGAGCTCCGAATCCAAGACCTCAAGATCTATGCGACATTTGAGGCACCCCACCGATTCAACTGTATGAACACAAGGACGACACTTCGCACGTACCTACGGCACCATCTTCATGGCTGGAACAAAATGGCTGTTGTTAATAACGGGAACCTTCTCCATCCTTGTAGTACTAATTCCTGGCTTATTGCTAGGACTACTGCAAATCTACCTCCTTCTTGGACGTGTTCGACCAAGAGAACATATCAAATGCGGCTCCCCTTTTCCACGACACTCGACTTTTGCAAACAACCAGTGCCTGGAACTACCATCGGGGCTCGACAGCAGGATCCTGGTTTTTGTCGCTTTGTCCACGGACTTTGGTCCCTGCCAGCGGACTCATTTGCACGCCTGGAATTACATTTACCAAAACGAGAAGTCCTGCTGAAGACTGGCTGGTCACGCACTCAGAGGCGCTTCGACTCATTCGACTTGACTCATTCCCCGGTCGAACGCTTTCTGACGCTCAGATATCTGAGTCAGGGAGACACTACCGAAGGCCACGCGTCTACTGATCACTTGCTGCACCAATCGCCTTTCACCTACTAGACCAGCCGAAGCCTCTCCGTGGATTCAGCAATGGTTTTAAATGCGGGGAATTCGGGGATGCTGGGGATTCAAGCTTCAATGAATGCAGTGGCCTTGCTAGAGCGGGTGTTAGCCCGTTCACCGCTGAAGCGAGGGCGACGGTGCCGCAGATATTGGGCCAGTGAGATGAACCGACAATCACCACATTTCACTTGATCTGAGGATCTTAGTCTATAACTTGTTCGTCGCCCTCACCCAAGCTGGAGCTCTTGTTTGTTACCTTCAATCTACTTGCTGTACTCCAGAAAAAATGCGTCGCAACTCCGCGTCAGAAGGCCTTCTTCGCAAACAGAAGCTCAACGTACATACCTGTGCGGTGCTTGCTGTATTGGGATTCGGCTCCTTGACATATGGCTACACAGCCAGTATCATCGGAACGACCCTAGGTTGGTGCTGGCTGCTCATCGGCAACAATTTTCGAGCTGACGTCGTCGGTAGGGCAACCATCGTTCATTGAGTACTTTGATCTTGACACACGCACCAACGCGACGGATCTGATATCGACAATGAACGGCCTGTTCCAAGCCGGTGGTGTGATAGGCACAATGATGCTACCCACGGTTGCGGACAAATGGGGACGCAAGTGGGCGTGCGCTGTGGTAAGGCGATCAAGGGTCAAGTCCATGTCACATCTTTTCTAACCTGGTCACAGTCAGCCATCCTAGCGATCTTGTCTGGTGCTATCGTGCGTCCTTTTCCCCCGTCAAGCTCTTGTTGCTATCTTCAGACTCTGTTCTCCACATGTCCGTTGTTTCGATGAACCTGGTGCAGCTCTGTCTCAGGGAGGATGCTAATCTGCTGTGATCCAAGATGGCAGGATCTGTGAACGTCGAGATGTTCATAGTCTTCAGATTCGTGGCAGGAGCTGCGGCCTTCATGATCCTCGCTGCTGTGCCCATTCTCATGAATGAGATTGTGCCGGTCCATATGCGAGGGGCGCTCGTGGACGTCCATGGTGTCATGTTGGTGCTCGGTTACACCATACAGGGATGGGTTGGCTTCGGGTTCTACTTCTGGCAGAGCGGCAGCACTAATACCTGGAGACCCCCTGTTGCGATTCAGTGCTTCTGGCCGTTGTGTCTGCTGGTCGGATTGTTCTTTATCCCCGTAAGTTGAGCTTAAATAATCACTATCCCCTCCAGCAAAGCTCCGAGATACCCTGTGACCGAGTACCTCAATGGACGAGGCTAACTTTATATGTGTTACAGGAGTCACCCAGGTGGCTAGTCATGCAAGGGCGCGACGCCGAGGCCGAAGCCGTGCTCATGAAACTACACGCCGATCCCACCGACCCAAACAACGACGCCGCCAAAGCTGAGTTCTACCAGATACAGAAACAAATCGCCATCGACCGAACATTGGGCAACTCGTGGTGGCATATCTTGAGGAAACCGTCCTATCGAAAACGCGCATTCCTGGCGGTCGGGATTACCGGCATCATCCAGTGCTCAGGCGTATTAGGTACGCAGCTTGTGCCCGACAATACTATGGTCCCTTCGTACTAATTTCATGGTCGCAGTCATCAACAACTACGGGCCCTCTCTATACAGGTCCCTCAACTTCTCACCCGTCAAGCAGCTTCTCTATCCTGCGGCATGGCTGACCTTTGCGCTGGGCCTCAACGCCATGGCCATGCTTGTGGTGGACCGCTTTCCTCGCAACAAGTTCATTTCCTTCGGTGTGCTGGGCTGCATGGCCAGCTTGATCGTGGAGGCTGCACTGGTGGCCAACTTCGTGCCCTCTAACAACAGAGATGCCCTTTCGGCGGCAGTTGCGATGTTCTTTATCTTTCAGGTATTCTATGGGCTGTGTCTGGATGGCACCCAGTTCTCGTACCTGGGCGAGCTCTTTCCGACACATCTGCGAGCCAAGGGTGTATGTCTGGGGGTTTCTATGATCTCGTTGATGAATATTATTTGGCTCCAGAGGTATGTTCCGCAACAACTTTGTCATGCTCTTGAACCAGCTGTTTGCCACGAGCTGACCGGAAATTCCAGCGCACCCACTGCATTCAACACCATCGGCTGGAAATTCTACCTCTGCTTCATCATCCCTGGCACGATCGGCGGAATCGTGATGTGGTTCTGGTTCCCGGACACGAACGGCCTACCGTTGGAGGAGGTAGCAGCTCTTTTCGGCGATGAAGATGAGGTCGCAATCTACCAGCGCGATATCGAGGTTGACCTCGCAACGCATACGATTGTGGAACATCATGCTGGAGAAAGCGTCAAGGGCACTAATGCGGCGCATTATGAAGCTGACCCGCTTCCTTCAAGCGAAAAGTAAGGGTTGGTCAGTTTTTGCTTACCGGAGCAAGCCATGGGACGTCTACCCGTGACTTTCCGTGCTGCTAGGGGAGCATAGGCCGCATAGCTGTTTCGTAGAAGACACGGGCTTATCTTTTCTTATTGCCCAAGTCGTCGTCCGTCACTGTCGAGGAACGAGTAAACCACGGGTACTCGTTATCCGCATCCAGCTTGTCAACCTTTTGTAACAAGTATTTCATTCATCGCTCAATTTCAAGAGCCTCGCTTGCTAATTTCAACTTCAGACGAGGATGGCCTCCAGCCATCCAGGCTGAAGAACTGGGCCTTTCGGGTTGCAGGACATCAAATGACATTAGCGGAGTTTCCTCCGTCGAGGGAACAGTTAAGGCTAGGAATAGAGAAAGGCATGTTTTGCATTTCGGCGGTGTGTGCGACAGTCACATTGTGGTATCTGTTGTTCGTATCTGAGCAATAGAGAGGAGGCAGGAAGGAGGAAGGAGGAGGCCGGATTTGGTGTGCGTGGGCCGGTAGCGGCGAATGTATTTGCCGAAGGGCTTGGCAGCAGTGTTCAACGTCACTGCATCACCGCCACTCAGTACGACATCGTAGCACCGTCGAAGGTCCCCTGTTGGATCATGGATGCCCACATAAGCGTGAGCTGACAAGATGAATCCAGAGCTCAGGAGACAAGTAATCCATGTCTACAAAGGTATATACTACTCTGCCCCTCATGACCCAAGCCAGCAGGGGACCTGACTAGCAAGTAGAGCTCTTGGAGATGGGCAAGCACTATCCACTGGGCTACGACTATTTCAGGCCCAGACTGCATAAAGCATTCATGTCGAAAGCACATCTGCAGAACGAGGACGAAATACGGCAAGGTATCCAGCGAGCCGAGTATGTCAAGAAGGAGATTGAAGCTCTGTATTTCTTGAAGAAGTATCGGTCGATGAAGCAACGATACTCATGACCCCGGAGATGTCTGGGACGCAGCTAAGATCTGCCTTTGGCCGTCTCCAGCTCCAGAAGTATCAGCAGAGCCATATCTGGTCGACACACGTGCCACTGGGAAAGACAGGCGTACGCAAGAAGGGACAGCTCCTTTCTACTGGTGTTCTAGCCGGACAGAAGAAGGGAGCCTGATCTGCTAGAGGATGACAAGCCGTAGCCAGGAGGACGAGACCAGGTCTTGTGAAAGGAGAGATTTGCACATATCGTGACAATTTTGCACTGAAAGTCCCAAGAGGCAGTGTGCAAGCCCGGGTTAGTGTTTGTGTATGCTGCACATCGCTACTGTACTGTAGATGTCTGCCGGATAAAGTCAGGAAGACGCCTGCAGTTGAGAAGGGGCTGAGACGAAGCCAAGGCGTGGGCTGGGTGCCGCAAGGGTGGATTGGGGCCGTGCCAGGCACCTAGGACGCCCCTGCGAGGGACAAGGTACGCACCTCACTGCAGCTGAGGCACCCCGGAGGCAACCAGTAGCAGCCGCTAGTTACATACGTACTAGCAGTTCCTGTCCTGCTACTTGCTACTGCGCTGCGTATCCCACCCGGACTTCCCTCTCCTGCAGAGCGCAAGTCCAACAAACACCATCTTTCACCATCTTAATTACTATCTGCGCAGTATCTCCAGGTCAATATTCAGTCAGTCGCCCACAACAATATCACCGCGGAGAGACAGACACCCGACAGTGACGCACCACCACACCAACCGTGGTTTTCCATCCGGTCATCTGTCCTCGAGCGTGAAGTCACCCAACCTTCTCACCGTGCAGATATTACGCTTCGGTGCCAGATATCTCAATCCTCATCACTGCGACAGCTGCAAATCGAGCCTGTCTTCCTCGCGGGTCTGATGTTCAAGAAACGACGTCCGTGCCTTTCCTCCGCCCGACCCTCGATCACGCACAGCGCCGTTCCAGCCCCTCCACCTCGATCCTCACAACCGAGAAAAGACGTAGCCCGTACCTGCCTGCCTCGTTAGATGGCAGATGGTGCATTCCGGTTCCATCAGCCTGGAGCCGGGCAATATTATCCCACCCAGCACAACAACCATCGTAACCAGAACCGGCCGAGCTCCCCATCGGGCGCACGAAGACCTTTCACCAACGACACACCTTCTCCGTCAAGATCGCCAGTGAATCACTCGCTCGGCCACAACTTCAACATGTACGCCCAGAACGGATACCAGGGACAGCATGGCCTGATGAACGGAGCGCAGAATCATCAACGTTATGGAAACATGCATCTGTCAAAGTACCAGCAGCCGCACCATGCTCACCACAATGTCAACCAACACCACGCGCAGCACCATCACGGCGGACAGTTGGGCCACCAGCACAATCTCTCCTCTGGCGGCTTCCAATCTGCGACCCCTCATCTGCCCACCTACGCTCACGAGCATCTGCCCAACGGTAACGGTAATGGGATGCCTCACGACGATGTGGACGAGCCGGACAACGAGCACTGGCGGGAACAAAAACAGTTTTGGGAAGAAAGCAAAGATCTCAACGGGCCGAATCAGCGGGCGCGCACGGTGGCGCATCATTCGAAAGGCGTCAACTTTGTCCCTTTGGGTGCGGCTGCGGAGGACATGAACACAGACAATGCCCGCATTGCAACGTCGAACGGACAGATCACCAGCCGACAGACATGGGACGAACTAGATCTGGGCGGCCAAGGTCTCTGCGCGCTCTCTCCCGTGCTCTTTAACCCCTCGTACCATTTCCTGAAACGTCTCGATCTCGTATATAATCAGCTAGAATCGCTTCCCCCGGAGATTGGACGATTGAAGAATCTCGAGCATCTCGACGTCTCTTTCAATCAACTGACAGAACTGCCTGAAGAGATCGGCATGCTCACGAACCTCAAACAGCTTCTCCTCTTCAATAACCATATCCAGACACTCTGCTATGAACTTGGATTCTTGTACAAGTTGGAGGTGCTTGGTGTCTATGGCAACCCCTTGGAGCAAGGCCAGCGCGACAAGATCACCGAAGGTGGAACACGAAAATTGATCGAGTATCTCAGAGAGAGCATGCCAGGTCTGTATTATCCATCAGTCTCATGCTATCGACTAGCTGACATTTTGTCTAGAACCTCCCCCTCCGCGAGAACGAGAATGGCATCAGCTAGAAGAGATCGACGGCGACGACCCGAATCAGGATACCATCAAAGTATTGAACTACAACATCCTGTGCGACCGTTATGCGACACAGCAGCAGTATGGCTATGTCCCGGAGCGCGTTTTGACTTGGGGCTTCCGCAAGACATTGATTCTAGAGGAAATTCGAGAGATGAATGCCGATATAGTCTGTCTGCAAGAATTGGATCGAAACAGTTACGACGACTTCTTCCGCGGGGAATTGTCCATTTCCGGCTACAAAGGTTACTACGCTCAGAAGAGTCGGGCCGAGACTCTCGGTGATTCCGCCAAGTTTGTTGACGGGTGTGGCACCTTCTGGAAAGACAAGAAATATGTCGTGCTGGACACTCAGCATCTTGTTCTTGGACGAAAAGCGGTGGAGCGTCCAGGTGCAAAGGCCTCGGCAGATATGCTCAATCGAGTCTGGCAGAGAGACGACATTGCAACTGTCGTCTTCCTCGAGAATCGTGTGACCGGGTCTCGAGTAGTGGTCGTCAATGCTCACATCTACTGGGATCCCGCATTCAAGGACGTGAAGTTGATTCAAGCCGCGGTTCTGATGGAAGAGCTGTCGAAACTGACGGATCGCTATGCGAAGATGCCTCCGGCGACAAACAAACAAGCTTTCCGCTTCTCTGACTCCGAGGACGACCCCTTACCCGAGCCCGGCCCGTCGCTGTCCTATTCTACAGGTCCTCAGATACCGATGATTATTTGCGGCGACTTCAACTCCGGCGCAGGATCAGCGGTATACGATCTGTTCACCAAGAAAGGTTTGACTGCTGAACACTCTGACCTGGATGGAAGAGATTACGGCGCCTTTTCACGTGCGGGCATGTCCCACCAGTTCGCGCTCAAGTCCTCCTATGCCGCCATCGAGGGAGAGATGCCCTTCACCAACTACACGCCCAACTTTGTCGACGTGCTGGACTACATCTGGTACTCGAACACCTCCCTACGTGTGGTTGGTCTCCTCGGCGCAATCGACCCCGAATATCTCAAGCGCGTCCCGGGGTTCCCGAACTTCCACTTCCCGAGTGACCACATCGCCATTGTCGCGCAGTTCAAGGTTGAGAAGCAGAGAGGCGCGCAGAAGACCATCGATGCGGACTTTGGACCCTCTTCCAAGAAGTAGCGACGCGTGGAATTTGGGTCCATCGGATGCGGAAGGTACTTTCGTGCGTGTTGAGAGACTCTAGAGCAAACAAGATTCCGACAGCTCTCCGAAGCAGCATTTTCCTGGGGTGCAAGGTGGGCCAGAAAGGCCGGGCCGGTCAGAGGTAAACGACACATGAACTGGGGGCAAAAAACGGAGGGAGGGTGGTTTTTGCGGCAGCTGGAGTTCTTTGTGCAGCTTGTGAAGATATGTGTCCGCGGGATTCTTTCGGTCTCTCTACGGTGCTTTTCTTGCATGGTATTGTATCTATGCGAAAAACAACCAAAGTTTTGTTCCTGAGTCGTTGGACATCGACGGGATAGGCTAAACGAGTACTCCATGCGCAGTCCGGTAGCTTGCGTGTTTTTGCGCGCCACTGCGGGAATGCGAACACAACGTCCAGGCAGGTGTGCAGTCTGAAGGTGTTGGAATTGTTCAAGCGTGCTTCTTGCGCCTCTTCTACGTCGACTCTGTTCTGTGCTCTGTCCCCCGCTTTGCATACCCATCGTGATGCTGAACGGATGTACTGATTTGCCTCTCCTCTTAGGTACTGTAAAGCAGAGGTCCACAGCCGGTGGGGATTGCCGAGAAAGAATGAGAATCCAAGCACTTTGTGCCGGATTACTGGGCCTTTTTACGGAGTACATAGCTATGCTTGTTCTGAACTTGGGAGGCACTGCGTTTAAACATCGTAAACAGACGCTATACGGACCCACAATTCATACGTACGTGCTACGAGCCTACGAGTATAGCATAACATAGCATAGCATATACATACAAAATGTATGCCTCACCCCGTAGTTTCTCTATAGCTCGCTCCACGCTGGGCCCTTTGCGGCGAATTCACCATGCTCTTAGGGTGCTACCCATTGTGCGTACGAAATAATGCGTAGCACGACCCGCCAACCCGTGAAATATCTGTCAAGCATGTCTGGCCTGGTCTGTCAGGTCCAAAAGGAGTCATCGCCCATGATATTTGCTTGCCATGGGAGGTTTCCCTTTCCTGGCGTCACCTCGCACGCCGAGTTCGAAAGGTCTTCCTCCAGGAGCGAGCGGAGCGAAGCAACCAGGATCTCGCCCGCGCTTCTTTATACCCCTGTATGGAACTGGAAGAGCTGTGGGTGAAGACGGCGAGGCTCGGTACCACAGAGACCACTGGGAAGCCATTATCGTCACTTGGGAGGATCTCGATCTCGACCTCGACCTTGCAGTCGCAGGACAGCATTAGATCATGCGATCTTTCAAAGAATCAACTCCGCCCCCATCTGAACAGCAGACCAGAACGAGGGACCAGTGGCGTCCCGAGTTGCTGGTAGACTCCTGTGGAGGCTATGCAATCTGTCCATGTCTGAGGCAAAAGAGGGTGCGACCGACGATTTGATGCAACCCCCTCTGGATACCGTTGCGGCCGTCCAAGCCGAGGAATCAAGGGATTCTGAGGACTTATTCGTTGTTTTCATGGATGCAATGACTGTTGTTCGATTCCACGGCAAAATGGGCCAAAGTTCAATTCCAGGATCAACTCGGCCATCACCATCTGGTGGAATACTTGATGAACGCCATGACCCGTGTCAGATTTCGTGACACTCAGAAGGATACTTGGGTCGCCAGACCCGGTGCTGATCGACACTTGGTGGTAAAATTGCCAAGTTGATTTCCCCATGGCGCCCAGAGAATACGGCGACGAGCAAGGCTTCTGGAGAACGGGTGTCGTCCACGCGACGAAAGTCGGTCTCGTGGAAGCCAAGCATCTGGTCTCATCTCATCTTTTCAACCCGAACTCCTTCATCTGCCTCTCCTCCTCGGCCTTCCTCTGCTGGCTCAGGCGGAAGTCGCGTAGCTTCGTCTCCAAGCCGACCTTTTGGGCGACAAGCTGTGCACGCTTGTTCTGCAGTATTTCCAAGCGTTGAGCGTATTCTTGTTCTCCTGGAGCGTTTGTGGTTGAGTTCGTCGCGGCTATCTCAGCCTCCTGGGTTTGCGGCGGACTAGTAAGGCGCTGGACTTGCTGTTCGAGCGGACGAAAAATGGTTAGCATGAAGATGGACGAGACAGAACGATGATCCTGACAAGGAGGCGTTGGGGTTGTCTTGCTTGAGAGATGCTTGGTATGGTGGGTAGGGTTGTATGGGCTTACCTTCCTTGCTGCATTCTGCTGCTGGCCGGTCTTCAGGTATGCGCCGATCAATGCTCCCGAACCAACTATGCCGGCGATTCCAATGGCGTAGATCAACGGACGAATACTGCGAGACGGTGTGCCCCGTGGTAAAGAGGGAGGTACCTGCGCTGGCGTTCGGACATTGTGTTCGGCGGGTCGTGCAGGAAGGCGCGACTTTGGGGCAACGGTCGGGGACATTATCAGTTGTCTGGGAGAAATGAAGCCATCCGTGCTCAGGCGACGGCCATGTGTCTGCCGGCTTGGAGGGTGGACGTTGCAGAGGTGAGCGGCCCCCGCTGTCGTTACTCGCCTCGCTCGTAACATGTGGTGGCAGGTGGAGGGGAAGGTTACCCGGAGCGCGGACATTGACCAATGAGAAAGCAGCAACTCTGGTCTCACAGTCGCGGCAGCCTCTCCTCTTCGCGTTCTCTTGCAACAGTCGTCGGCGACCGTCCATGACACTCGACCACACCATGCGGCGGTAGCTTTGACAGAGCAGGACAGGGTACAGAACTACAATCCTAGCCCAACATGGCGGACGAGCCCGGCTCCCTCAACTGGCGTCTCAGCGCCCACCCGATCACTCTACTCACGTACCTGGGTTTCCGAATAGGTATGTATGCATTGCAATGGCTGGCTACTCATCGCTTCACAGTCGAGCCAGGGTCCCACGCATTGCTTCTCCCATGTCCTTCTGCTAAACTGACCGTACTCCAGGAAGCCTCCTCATGTACCTCTTTGGCGTCCTCTTCATCCGCAACTTCGTCCTGGTCTTCATCTTGACCCTGCTGCTTCTCTCCCTCGACTTCTACTACCTGAAGAACATTGCTGGTCGCCGCCTCGTTGGTCTGCGCTGGTGGAATGAAGTCAACACCTCCACGGGCGACAGCCACTGGGTGTTTGAATCCCGCACCTCGCAGGAGAACCAAGGCGGGTGGGTCGAGAACAAGACCGACAAGCGGTTCTTCTGGTTGAGCATGTATATCGTGCCGGCATTGTGGGTGGGGCTGGCCATTCTGGCGATTGTCAGGCTGCAGAACCTGATTTGGCTCGTTACTGTTGGTAGGTACACGGGACAAGGTCTCGTCGATTTCGAATCTTTGCTTACGAGCCGACCAGTGATCGCATTAGTCCTTACCATCACAAACACCGTTGCATTTTCACGTTGCGACAAGTTCAGTCAGGCGTCGAGTTTCGCGGGTTCGGCGCTGTCAGGCTCCGGACTGGCCAGGAGTCTCGCGAGTAATATGGTTGGCCGGTTCTTCAGATGAGCACATGGGTCAGGGCTCACCATAATGCATGAAAAGGCGCTTTGGACGGTTGATTCTTGTGAGCCATGGACGGGAGCAGGGTGTGTGGGTTATAATTTCACGGACAAGGCGAACCAGAACAGAATGCGCGCTCGAAATCTACCGCAGAGAATGGGCACCCATATCGATCGTTAGCGGTACGCTGAATTATCAGAGCAAAGTTCCTTCCACGCCCTGATCCAGCGCACATCACAAGTCCATAGAAGAACAACGTCCAATGGTTCCCAGATCAGGTCAAGTCAGGCGCAATCCTCACCTCGCCGATACATTGGATCGCATCTATGGCAGGGACACACCCAGTGGCACCACCAAACAGACCCAGTGAGGGCAGACATCTCCAACCTAGTACCAAAGATCACATGCGGAACCTATTTGACTGGGAAATCGAGTGTAAAAGGTGAGTCGTCTGCGAACGGACGGGGCTTAGGGGTACTATGCAGGAAGACAATTGATGGCATACAAGGCACCCATGCATTGCTTTTCCACCATACATCACCCTTCTCCGTCTTACAGTACAGAATGCTAGGTAGTCCGCTACTGTAGAACACTCAATTTCACTTCCTGCCATGCTCGGCGAGGAGGCGCGTCTCCATCGCCTCAAACCCTTTCAGCGCCCGTGCATACCGATGCCACACCTCCTCATTGTACCCGTCCGCGATCTTCTCGACAAACTCCTCCTCCCTCCACCTCTTGCCGATCAATTCCTCGAACGTCTCGCCCTTTTGCCTCTCGACGGCCCACACGGCTTTATACGCGGCCCCCAGGGCGCACGCATTCTCACCAACATCTAACTTGAAAACACCCTCCGAGCCGCCGAGGACTTGGCCCGCGACCTTGGCGATGGCTTTGTTGCGCGAACCGCCGCCCACGAGGTAAATCCGGCGCGGCTGGGCAGGGAGGCCGCTTGCAGGGTTAGACACGAGTTCCCGAGAGCGGAGGCGGAGGGAGAGGAATTGGGACTCGACTATGACCCTCGCATCTTGTTCAGGAGGCTGTGGGACAGATTGCTCGGGCTGAAGGTCATCGTTGGACGCGTTATATGAGTAATGCCATTCTCCCACGGGCAGGTTGGGGATGATTTCGGGTCGTGGAAAGTACAGGCCCAAATGCATTGGGTCCTTTTCGTCCGCTTGCGCAAGAGGGGCAGTCTCCAGCAGATGCTTGTCGAATTCTTGCCACGAGTTCTTCTCCTTGCCTAGCTTGTCGTTGATAGCGTCTCGGACCTTTTCTCGGGCAAGACCGCCGTTCTTGTAGCACAGCATGAACATGTATAATCCCGGCGTCGTCGGGTGGTTGAAGAAGTGAGTAGCCGGGTCGGGCTTGTACTGGCTTGTGGACATGAGAAAGGTTGTCGAGGTGCCCAGGCTGACCATGGCGTCGTTGTCCCGGAGTGGTAAGGCCAGGATTGTCGAGGGATTATCACCTGTAGAAGCGATGATTGTGCAATCATCGGAGAATCCATGTCGCTTGACGAAGTATTGAGAAACGGTCCCAAGATGTATACCACCGTCTTCAGGCACATCGCCTAGTTTCTTCTTCAGTGCATCCACTCCTGACGGGCCGGCTGTCAGTTCGAGGAGTTTCTGATTCCAGTTGCCTGCTTTGATGTCCCACAGATTCATGCCGCAGACATCCGAGATGTCGAAGGGCGCAAACTTCCCAAGGAGTATTGTAGCAATCCAGGATGAAACAAGTGTGATCCGGTGCGTCTTTATGTACTTGTCCGGGTACTTGCGTTGAAACCGCATTATCTGGGGTCCTGTGAAGCGGTGATGAGCCTTACTTCCGGTGACGTTCGCCAGTTGCGCCTCATTGCCCAGGATGGCATCGAACTCGTCGCATTCTTTCTGCGTGCTCGCATCCTGCCAATTCGGGCTGTATGGATGCGCAAAAGCTCCGTCAAGTTGTGATTCCAGCGTCCTCGAGGAATCCAATTGTGCCAGTAATTGTTCCGCATCAGCATTCCAGAAGACACTTCCATGCTGCATGCCGGAGCCGCTAATTCCCTTGACACGACTGAAATCGAGACCATTGTCTTTTAATCTAGCCAGGACAGTGTCGATGGCCTGCAGCCACATTGCCACGGGTGCGAAGACTTCATGTTCTGCTTCGTTGACAAGGACACCTTTCGTAACACCGAAGCCTTTGTTATCCGCATCGAAATCAAATTTGGCCTCGTGAATCTTTTTCAGACTCGAATCCACGACTAGCCCCTTTAACTGTTGGGTGGACAGGTCGAAGCCCAGATAAAGAGGTCCGGAAGAGGTCATGGTTATGATGTCGATCGCAACAAGCTTCTAGGTATAGACCGTACAACGACCAGACTATGCGTATAGTACCAGATGAGCGAAGAAGAGCTCGACTCTTTCATCAACAATATTTTCCGAGTGATGAAAGCAGGTGGAGTAATCGCGCGTCCGTCATGAGGGGAGGGATGCTCCGGTGGTCCTCTTGGCATGATGATATCAGCCTGAAATCGATCGGCGAACTGTGGTTTGCGCCGCACGGAGTGACTGCCCACAACTGGCAGGGGAAATTTAAGCCTGCTTCTTCTTTGTGCCCGAGGCTGCAACGTGCCCATCTGAACGCCCGTGTGCATGAGAATGTTCGTTTCCATGTTCGTGATGATGGCCGTGGTCATGCTCGTCCTCTGGTTCCGGGCTGCTCCTAGGGCTGACGTCGGCCGCAATAAAATCATTCCCAAGGCTGGCGTTCGTATCGTCGAGCTGGACGAACTTGACACGTACTCTTCTCACGCCCCGAACTTTGTTGCCACACCGCTGACGGACCGCATCCTCGATAGGTTCCATTTGCTGTACCGTAAAGTCCTTGGGAACGGCGAGCTCAATGTCCATTAGATAGTTCTGACCAGACTTGACGCCCTGGATATCTCGGATCTCGGTCTCTTCGCCGTACTGAGCAGGTTCTAGCCCGGTCGCGGGATCGCCCTTGAGTGCTCTTGTGGCAGCTCTTCGGACGTTGGACTTCACCTCACTGTCCACGGTGACATCAGCGAGCTCGAGTAGTGCTGCCTTGGTGTTGCCCCAGCCCGCCCTGATGACCATGGCAGAGATGAGGAGCCCACCGACGGGGTCTAACCATGAAGCGTCTGCAAATACGTGCGCACCACCAATAGTCGCAAGCGCCACAATGCTGGTGAGTGAGTCGATACGGTGGTGGACGGCATTGGAGGCTAGGACCGAGGATTTCCGTTCTCGAGCAATCTTCATAGCTGCAGAGTTAGGTTAGCGACCGGGATGCAAGATGGGTCCAAGCAGAAGAAAGGCCTACTAGCTCGATATAACCACTCCTTGACCACGATAGAGCCCGCTGCGAGCCACGCAGCATTGAGATCCGGCAACGTCTGTCCATGACTGTGACTGTGCCCGAGGAAGGATAAGAGTCCACCATGTGCATGCTCAGCATGGTCATGCGCATGCGCAGCAGCCTCAAGAAAGAACTGCGTGTAAAGAGCGTCCACCCCGTTCAAGCCAATCCCGATACCGCCAAAGAGCAATAGCCCACTGACGCCCAACGCACCCAAGCTCTCAATCTTGCCATATCCGCTGGGAAACCGGTCGGTGGCTGGCTTGAGTGACCAGGAAATCGTAGCGAGGGTCATGAAGTCGGAGACAAGATCGGTCAGAGCGTGGAACCCGTCTGCCACGAGGGCTTGGGAGTGGAACATGACGCCTCCTATTCCCTTGCCTAGGGCCATGCCCAGGTTGACGAACAGGCCAATCCTCGTGATCCTAACCCCGGCGTCATTCCTATTCTGTGAGGTCAAGTAGGTGTTGTCGTGCGAGTGGCCGTGGCCATGCGAATGTCCTGCATGGCTCCTGGTCTGCTGCCGGGTACTCTTCTGCGAGGCAGCCATTGGAGCGCAGGCAGTATCGAAGGATGTGGAATGAGTGAGGGAGGGAGACAATGTTCTCGAGGGCCGGAGGGTGGCATGCAGACGTCTATTAACAGCCAGGCCGCCTAATGCTCGCAGTCTTGGTCGCTGGGTGGCATTGTTCGAGCTGAGGAATGCTCGTGGACAAGTGGAAATGTGTCGCGTTTCGGCGCGGAACCAATGCGTCAGCGGCATTTGGAGATTCGATCGGGCGGCCCTGACACGCGCAGGCACACAACGAAGGGGAATGATGATAAGCTGTTCTGTATCTCGCGACCCATGCTGTCGTGGAATGCAAGGGCAGCTCACAAAGCCATGGGAAAAGAGAGGTCCGTCATCAATTGTGCACGCAATTGGACGCGTCGCAAGATCTTGCCGAGAAACAAATTAATTTTCCAGGTGAAAGTGAATGAAGTCAGAGGCTCTTTTGCTGCTCCGACTACGGACTCGCCCGGCTCTTGGGACTTCTTCATCTTGGCGAGCCACAAGCCGACACATTAAACAAGCGTCCTCTCGGTGCTCGGGGGGTGGCTCTATCTAGCCAGCAGGAGGACAACTCCGATGCGGCTAGCCTAGCTACGACGGACGGATGCTCTTCGCTAATCCTCTAGAACCCTGAATGCAAACACTTGCCCTGGCTTTTGAGCCATCAGACGAATACACGGGCTTGATCAGCCCTCCAGCTTCAATCTCTCCAGGTCCTTGATCGCCTCCTCCAACCTCTTGACCTCGCTCTCCGCATCTTCGAGCTTCTCTTGCTCCTTCTTCCTGGTCTCTGGGTTAGCTTTCTCCCACCCTGCTCCGCTCATAATCTTCTTGCTCTTGTCCGCACGAGCCTTAGCATCCTCGATGCTCTTCTCCCGCTTCTTCAGTTCCTCGGCGACATCGATCCGGCCCACGATCTTCAGGTACACAGCAGCGTCGGCGTTGATGCTTTGCAAAGCGCAGCCTGCGGGTGGGAGGGCGTCGGCAGCCGGTGGGAGGACCTCGATTTCGCCGGCGTATTTGCCACTCAGCGACTTAATTGACGTCTTCTCTTCCGAGGCGGTCTTGAAGGCGGACTCCGCGTATGTTTGGATGATAAGATCACCAGGTTCCTTGAAGCCGTACTGCGCAAGCAAGCTTCGGGCACCAGAAGAGATATCCATAATGAACTCGTACTTCTCAGCTTCTTCCGGCGCATCCAGCTCCTGCTTGAATTCAGGGTACTTGGCAATCATGATACTCTCGGTTGTATCGCCCTTTCTTCGTGGAAGTTTCTGCCATAGGGCTTCGGTGATGAAGGGCATAATAGGGTGCATTAGCAACAATCCGCCCTCGAGTGCGGTATACAGAGTCTGCTGTGCGGACTTTCTCTCATCCTCCGGCGCCTCAGGCGTCAGAATGTATTTCGAGTTTTCAATAAATGTGTCGCACAGTTGAGTGAACCAGTATTGATACAGCGTGCCTGCAGACACCGAGAATTCGCGATCCTCAATGGCTTCGTTCACCGCTTTTGTCGCCTGGTTCAATCTGTGAAGGATCCACTTCTCTGCCAGCGACTTGGGTTTGTTGTCCGTCAAAGTAGCATCTGGGCTGAAGTCTCCACCGAGCCTGCCTAGGGCGAAGTTCGTCGCCTGGTAGATCTTGTTGCAGAACCGTCGCTTTGCTTCAATTTCTCGGACGTCGAAGGCAATATCGCCTCCGCCAGTCGTGTAGTTCACAAGGGTGAACCGAAGAGCATCAGCACCACACTCCTCGACACCTTTGGGGAAGGCGCCCTTTTGATATGCCTTGGCCTTCTCAATTTCGGCAGGGTCGAGGTTGCCGCCGTAAAGAGTCTGATGGAGACCCTCCAATGTGATACCTCGGATAATGTCCAGCGGGTCGATGACATTGCCCAGCGACTTGGACATTTTCCTGCCCTCAGAGTCGCGGATCAGGGAATGGCAGTAGACCTCCGTGAAAGGCACGTCACCGGTCATCTTCAGGCCGAGCATGACCATTCTCGCCACCCAGAAAAAGAGAATGTCCCAGCCTGTCTCCAGCATAGAGGTCGGATACAGTTCTCGCATGTCTGAGGTTTCCTCCGGCCACCCTAACGTCGACCACGGCCACAACCCTGACGAGAACCACGTGTCGAGGACATCTTCGTCCCATTTCAGAATGAACTTCTTGCCGGGGAATTTCTTCTCCGCCTTGGCGCGGGCCTCGTCTTCATTGTAGGCAGCCACCCAATATGTGCTGTCAGCATCATTACTGGACTTGTCCTCCAACTCAATGTAGTAGGCTGGTGCTCGGTGGCCCCACCAAAGCTGTCGCGAAATGCACCAGTCTTGGATGTTCTGCATCCAGAAGTGGAACCGTTTTGACTCTGACTCGGGTTTTATCATAATGCGTCCGTCGAGCACGGCTTCGTCTGCGGCTTTAGCCATATCCGTCATTTTCATCCACCACTGTGGCTTGAGCACTGGCTCGATCACGTCCTTACTTCTCTGGCACATGGGAATCACCATGGCGTTATCTTCCTGTTTCGTGTATAGATCGAGCTCTTTAAGCGCATTGATAACGCCATAGCGAGCATCGAAGCGTTTCTGACCGGCGAAAGGGCCTGCGTTGGCATTCAGCGTACCATCGTCATTGAGAATATTGATGAACTCTAGATTGTGCTTCTTGCCCTTGGTAAAATCGTTGGGATCATGTGCCGGAGTGATCTTCACAGCTCCAGTACCGAAATCCATCTCCACCTCTTCGTCCGCGATGATCAGGATCTTGCGGTCGGCGATGAAAGGATGGATGGCCAACTTTCCAACGAGATGCTTGTACCTCTTGTCTTCGGGATGTACGGCGATAGCTGTATCACCAAGCATTGTCTCCGGACGAGTGGTAGCAATCTCAATAAACTCGTAGCCTTTGAAGCGGTCGGGTGAGCTGGACGATTTGTGCGAGTCGTCGCCTTTCTCAATCGGATACTTGAAATAGGTGAGTACACCGAATTCGATCATCTTGTCGTAACCGGGCACTTTGAGCTTGGTGCGACCCTTCAGCTCCTTATTGTCCACTTCCAAATTAGACAATGAGGTGCTCAGCGCAGAACACCAATTCACCAACCGATCTGCTCTGTAGATGATACCTTCGTCGAACAGGTCGATGAAAGTTTTGCGCACTGCCAGAGAACGCGTGTCGTCCATGGTGAAGGCCTCGCGACTCCAGTCCATCGAACCACCCAGTCGCTTGAGCTGCTCCGTGATGTTGCTGTGATATTTCTGCTTCCAGCTCCAGATCCGGTCGAGGAGTGCTTCTCTTCCTAATTGATGCCGAGTCTTGCCCTCAGTCTTGTAAACCATCCTCTCCACCACGCTTTGGGTAGCGATGCCGGCATGGTCACAACCAGGAACCCACGCCGTGGTCTTCCCTTTCATTCTAGCATGTCGAATCATGGTGTCCTGTAGGGCGTTCGTGAGAGCATGTCCCATGTGTAGCGATCCTGTCACGTTCGGAGGGGGGATTGGGATGACGAATTTGCCCTCAGGCTTGATCTTTCCATCCTTGGTGAATTGGGGCTTGAAGAAGCCTTTGCTCTCCCACCATTCGTAACGGCCACTCTCAATCTGTTGGGGCTGGTAGGCATCTGCGGCGACAGCCTTCTTGACCTTCTCCTTCTTTGCAGCAGCTTTGGAGGTGTCGGGCACAGTAGCGGGTGCGGTCTGTTTCTTGGACTGTTTCTCCTGGAACTTGGCCAGCTTTTCGGCTTTCTTACGCTCTTTTTCAACTGTAGGAGGCATGGTGGTCAGAGAGGAATTCTTCAAGTGCGAAAGCCAGCGATGTCGTGCGGGTAACAAGTGTATGGAAGTCTATCGAGGAGTGAAAGATTGACTATGAGACCCTGCTAGGTCTTATGAAATCCTTTCCCAGTCATACACCACTGATTATCTGGCGGTCCGGTACTCGTCTTCAAGTGAGTCATCTTTCGTCATATACTCCGATACGAGTGCGCGAGGGGAAGTCGTGTATCAATGCGGTCCTTCAGTGTCATCGTGCGTACTTTCTTTAGCAGTCTTCTCCTTGCCTGCTTCGCCCATTACTGTCTGGCCCTTGTCATTGTTCTGGAGATCCGTTCCAGGCACGTTTTGGCCCATGGCGTCTTTGGCCGCAGAACCTTTTGCGGCGGACGTGATATCTGAGGATACCGGGGGTGGAGGGCCCGACGGTGAGCCAGTCGGCTCGCCAGCTTGAAGACCATGTTAGAACAGCCCATAGAGCATGATTAGATCGGGTAACAGCCATACTTGTGTTATGTGAGGCGGCATTGAGGGCCATGTTGAAACGAGAAAGCCGTCTCCAAGCAGGAGGGCACCGAAGCAGAGGCCTGATAAGTATTTTGCTCGACTGCCTTTCGGCAGAATTGTCGCCGGAAGAAGTTTGCTCAGTATGTTAAGGAGAAGATGTACATAGAATACAGGAGGAAGGCAGCTCAACGGCACGAGGGGTATATTGGTATCGGAACGCTGCAGTCTATGTATGAGTCGCAGTGCTCAGCGGAAAATTATTGGTGACGTAGACGAGGAAGGTTTCCCGAACTCCTTTTGCGCTCTGCCTTCAAAGTACGGAGTACCCATACTCCCTTCCACCCTCAAACAACCGCTCATGACGCCCTTTCAGTCGACATTGACCTGCGTTGAGTCCCATCCGCTCAGTTCCCATCCGCTCAGGCCCGCTCCCGCTCGACTGCCATCCCTTCCTCACGCAAGGACGCTCTCGATCACGCCAAACGGCCCAGCCACAGCACTCCAAATCTTGACCACCTTTAGACCCACACTCTCCAGCAACACTCTCCACTGCTGCTCCGTGCGCTGCATGGAAGAGAACGTCGTGCGGCTAATATCAGCCAGGCTCTCGAAGCCACTGCATCCTGTGGCCGGTAGGACAGTTTCGCAGACCAAAAGCCTCGAGGTACCGGCCGTCATGGCGGAGACCTGGTTCCTGAGGATTTCGCGGCATTTACTGTCCGGAAAATCGTGCATGACACGGCGCATAAAGTATATGCCGGCTCCTGTGTGCGCGCCGCAGGCGACGCATGACATTAGACTGAACCCGACAACCGGAAGGTAGGAAGAACATGTCTCGACTCCTCCGCAGGAAAGGAGAACGTGCGAATGTTACGTACCTTTCACTGGCTGCTCCGTGAAGAAGTCATAGTCCATGACCTCGAATGTGGGCTTCTTTGCCCTCGCCTCGTCGATGATTTTGCCAAGATCCTGCACGAGGAAGCGTCCCTTGATGGCCGGGTGTGCTTCCATCGCTTTCTCCGTGACTTGGCCGATACCGCCGCCAACGTCGACCATGACCACGCCGGCCGGGCCCACTGCTGCTCCTGCGGCTTCAAGGATAGGGGTCGGGATCGGACTTGCAAGGATCCCTCCGGCACCTTTCATGGCCGAGTTGAAGCGGACAAGTCGTGCCGGGTCGTTGCGTAGGTAGGCAAAGAAATCTGTCCCGGTGGTGTAGTGCGAGAGGGTGTTTTCGGGCTGGTCCGGGTTCTTGTACTCGAGAGACTTGAGGTAGGCTGGCATTTTCCCGATGCAGTCCCAGCTGCTGTCAAAGCTGAAGAGAGTAGTATCTTGTTAGTAGCAAGACCCGACGGACGACTGCATGAAACTCACATGTGCTTGTTGAGGTCAGCAATGCCGGGCGTAGTCAGTGCCTGCGAGACAGCCGTGTGGGCATAGATCATCTCCCCAAGCTCAGCGACGATGCTGAATCCTGTCAGGACGCGCATGAGGCGTGCTGGATATCTGATTTAGTGGTGATGCCCGAAGGGAAAGCTCCTCGTCACTCAAGAGACGCTCGCACCTATCAACACCTCGTCCGCTCCAGTTTTCTGGGCCAGCTCAGCCGCTGTCATCGAGTCTCCGAGATGATTAAACAGTTCCAGCTCCAACGCCGTGCGCACAACTGCATTCAGCCATGGCTGGACAGAAGGCACCCGTCAGAGCCTCGTCCGCTTCAAACCACTCTCCATGCTCACCTGGAAAGCGATCAAGGTCGCCTGTTGCTGCGGCACGACAGTTTCGCTGGCAAGTTTGGTCGCTGCTCTCCATATCTGCTGGCGTGCTTGGTCGATTTTGGGCTTCTTCGCTCTCTCTTCGGGCGTCAGCGACACATAGGCATCGATCGAGGCATTGATTGAATCTCGGATGGCGAGAAGGCTGCTGAAGTCATCTGAAGGCGCCGCCATTGTTCAGCCAGCTCCCTGTTCACCAGCGTCGAAATTATCGCGTTATCGGGCTGGTAAATTACCTTCTTGAGCGTTGGACAAACGATAGAGTTGACCAGCCAGGCTGCTCCATCAACTGGAGGTCGACACAATTTATTGCTCGACATAAAGTGCCGTGACGCCGGGCCTCCGCCTCGAAGGAATAAGCCCCCTTGAGATTGTCCAGTTCAGGAGGTGGGTCTGATCGGGCACGGCTCGTATCGACCTGCATTGAGCGAGGCACCTACCTGCCTTCAGGCGTGACGAGACGTACCGCAGGATAAGAAGGAGAGCGTGAGATCTCGTAAATGCTGACTTGCCGCTAGCCACTTGGGCCTTGGCTGCTTCCAGGGGCATTTCAAGGTACTTCTACCTCCACGTGCTTGATATTCCAGGGAGAACAAGAACAAGTAGACTTCTCTGGCGCAGGCTATGCGAAGGTCTTGATCAAAATACGTACCTTCTGAACCTCCTCCGGGTGCTCTCCGCGCTGAAGGAGCCATCAGACGTACGGTAGTAATTGACGTAGAGTCAGCAGCCACATTTGGAGTCTCCGGAGCTACAAGTTATCTTCTAGCCAGCATAAGCCGGTGACTCCCAACTTGGAACTGCGTTGCAACGACATCGACTCAAGCTTCCCGCCCCGGAAACCGTCGTGCGTGGCTGTCGCCTATCACGGCGTCTTCAGTTTTCGCCAACTTGGTCGCGGAACACGGCACCATGGCCACCTGGTGGTAAGCGTGCTTCGACGTACCCATCGTCCCCTGTCTTGGGCCACTTCCTGCCCAGACGTTTGGAGGGAACGACTAGGTACAGTAGCAGTAAGCTGAAACGGGACGTTGTTGCCGACCTAAGAGGGGACACATGAGGCGATTTCGTGTGGTAAATACCCTCCGTGGTTTGTTCCCTTGCCATAGGGTGTTTATTCGCACGAAGAACGAGCACATCTCTGAGACGGAAGGGCGCAGCAGCAGTGTGAGGTGTACTCCGTATAGACGCAATGAATTAATCATACCAGCCATAGCGCCAGTGATCCCCAATTATGGTTTCATTTCCACCGCAGGATGCCGTAGCAGAGCAAGAAAGCGAGGGAACAAACAAATGAATATATCAGATTGAGTCGAGTGGATGGACCGATCCTCTTCCCCGTTCCATACCATCGCACGCTGCACATCGCGGCGTTCGTACATCCTTTTGATATCATACCACCATATCCTCATCACGGCCGCTAACGACCCGTCGTTACACTTCGTCATCCCATGTCGAAGAACCATTAAGATGAAATGGCGTCACAGGTAGGCTTGCGAAACCGGTCGAGTGTCAGAGTCCGATCCGGTTTTGGGACGTGGCTTGCCCTTGCGGCATTCATTCATCTTACTTGATTCAGGTGGTCCTCATAGACGGCCAATGTCTGTGTTTCGAAATCTTGACGACATTCAAGAAACGTGGTTCTGAGAATTCTGCTGTTGAGCTGCTTGCGTCCTCACAGGTGCAAAGTACGGATGGGCCATGGCTTCTTGAGCAGTAAGACGTTCCTATGGCTCTAGTTAGCTCGCACATCGGGACGCCACAGAGGATGCCATAGAAACACACCTGATGGTCATATCGCAACAACTTGTCGAGAAAGTCAATAGCCTCGGGACTCACGAAGCGCTGATTATCGGCATTGACAAAGCTCTGCCACGGCTTCTTCGGAAACCGGCTTAGTATGTCGTCGTACTGCGCGTCCAGCTCAATGTCATAGCGATCAAGGTATTCGAACAGGTCGTCCGTGCCGAGGACCTTGGCAATCTTTACCAGTTGATCCGAGTTGGAATTGCCGTGGAAGAAGGGCTCTTTTCGGAAGATCATCGAGGCGAACATGGCGCCCAAGGACCACATATCGAGGGAGTAGTCGTACTCCTGGTAGTCGACCAGGAGCTCGGGGCCCTTGAAGTAGCGGGATGCGACGCGGACGTTGTATTCTGTGCCTGAATGGTAGAATTCGGCGAGACCCCAGTCGATCAGTCGAAGCTACGCGAATGAGTCAACACCAGGAACAATCATCGCTCTCCTGTGCGTACCTTTCTTTTCGCATGGTCGATCATAACGTTATGCGGCTTGACGTCTCGATGCATGATGCCCTTGGAATGGCAGAAATCCAGGGCCTTGAGCAGCTCGAAAATATAGTAGCGCACATCGAAATCCACGAACCGTGGGTAGAGGGTCCTGAAATCGGTGTTGTCGACGTTCTCGAAAATCAGCGACGGAGTCTTGCTCTGGCTGTCTCGCACCACGTCCAACAGGGCCACAATATTCGGACCCCCGGAGAGGTTTTGTAAGATCTTGATTTCACGCTTTATCTTCTTCTTCTTGACGGGCTTCAGGACCTTGATGACGCATTTCTGGTAGTTGACAATGTTGATGCCTTCGAACACTTCCGAGTACTTTCCTCTTCCTGTAGGCTCCTCAGTAGGTGCACTCCACCTCGTGGTTTGTGCGATTGATGGCCTCACCGATCTTTCGGACGATTTCGTAGTTCTCTAGAACGCCCCACGATATCGCGACAGAGTCGTAGTCCCAGTATGACCGCGGCATGTTGGCGTTGACGTCGGCGTAGACTCGTGCCATGGCTGCGGTTGCGGCGGTCTGATCGATGTGGGATGGTGATGTATCATGCAATTGTGGGTGGAGGGAGTGGGGAGTCAGGCTGGATATCGCGGCGACTGAATGGGCGCGCTCGCTGTTGATTATGCCGTCGGACTGGCAGGCAATCAATATTGGGAGGAGGGAACAATGTGGATTGGAAGAGGTGTCGAGATGGTATGCAGTTGCGCCCAGCAGGGCAGATGCAAGATGGCGCTGTTGTGTGGGAGCCTTTGCGATCCGCGTGGGGATCCAATACGGTACCTCCGGAATTAATCTCCGAGGCGCCGTGAAGCCGAGAACTCACATCAACAGAGAATCACTCCGTAAGTCCACCGCAGTTGTAGTCGATGGCAATACATGAACACCACTGTTAACGCTGGTGCTCGCTCAGATTTCTTCACTATACCTGAGGTCCATCATGCTGACCATATCTGACATCGGCCTGACGCAAAGTTGCGTCCCCCATCGACACGATGCCGTTCCATGATCTGAGCCTTCCCTACACAACCAACCATGCGGACCTCTCGCACACCCTGGCCTTCCACGCCGAGCTAGGTTATTCGGTGGTCGCTGTCTCCCTGACCGTGACGGGAAAGCTCCCATCTCAACCTCAAGAAATACCCATCTCAGCCTTGACAATACCCAAGACTGTCACGACAGTCCTCACACGGCTCACACTGACTATCTCTGACGCAACCCAAAACCACCGCCTCACACAGTTCTCCCCAGCCTACAATCTCCTCGCCTTGCGCCCAACCACCGAAAAGACGCTCCAACTTTGCTGCACGTCGCTCGAGTGCGATCTGATCTCTCTCGATCTGTCTCAACGCCTGACCCACAGCATAAAATTCAAAACTGTTTCGTCCGCTTTGCAGCGTGGGACCCGTTTCGAGATATGCTATGCTCCCGCCATACAAGCTTTGGGGAATAGTGAGGCGAGGAGGAACCTGATCAGTGGAGCGACTCAGCTCATCAGAGCCACGAGAGGGAGAGGAATTATCTTAAGCAGTGAGGCGAAGAATGCGCTGGGTGTGAGGGGACCACATGACGTGATCAATCTTGCGCAGATATGGGGCCTGGGTCAGGAGAGAGGGAAGGAAGCCCTTTGCGAGGAAGCCGAGAAGGTTGTGAGGTTAGCGGCCATGAAGCGGACAAGTTTCAGAGGTATCATAGACATTATCGACGGCGGTGGTCAAGCAACTGAAAAAGGTAAAGACATTGAGAGGGGAAAGGAGGTCATCAACAACGCCGCGAAGCGAAAAGCATCCAACACCTCCCTAGCGGCTTCCACGGCTCAAGAGGATCAAAAATTGTCGGACGATAAACCGCTCTCCAAGCGTGAGATGAAGAGAAGAGCGAAAAAGGCGAGATTGGAAGCAGCACCTGGAAATGGTCACGATAGTAAGGCAGGGCCCGACGACGTCGGTGCTGATACAGCCCGCGCCCAGGATACCTCTGCGTTGCATTTTTCTATCAAAGCATGACCACCCTCGCTACAAGTGGCCACCAACAAGAGCTGATAAGCTCAAGAACCCGGCCGGGCTCGAGCTTCGCTAAGTGCCCAATATATAAGAAATGAAAAGAAAATAGGCTACTCTAGTTCCGAGAGTAGGTGGACTCATCCATCGCTTCGCCTCGTTTCCAACAGGGGTATAAAACTAGGTCGTCTGTAGATGTTGCATGGATTTTGGGTTTCGTCTATGATAACATTGTCGGCGCTGGGGCTCTCCTCCCGATACCCAAGGTGTAAGCGTTCTTGAGCGTGAGAGTGGCTGGATCGATAGTATTGAATGCGCCGAATGGGATCCCATCACCGGCTCCGGTAGGGCTCGAGGCGGCTTCCGCACTTGCCGAAGATGCACTTGCAGAAGAAGATGAAGTGGTTGGAGAAGATAAGGCCGCAGCTGGTACTGTGGTGGTGGTACTCGATGTTGCTGATGGTGACGAGCTCTTTGTTGTCGTCGTACTTGTCGAAGCTTGCGCTGGAGAAGCCACGTCTGATTTAGGAGGCTGGGCTTCGTTAGATGAGACGATGCTGCTAGAGCTAGAAGGTACCGTACCAGATGACGTTGCGGCCGAAGCGCCTAAGGAGGCAACGGTTAGCATAAAGCTATTCTCTTCGGACCCTGTTTCGAAACTCACTTGACGATCCAAAGAAGCCGCCTGGAGAAACAGTGGCCGTGGCGGCTGGTGGAGGGCCAGCAGGACCAGCAACTAACACACCAGTCTTGACAGCCTCCGCGGCTGGGATGGACGAGAGACCCGGTGTGATTGAGACGCTGGCAACAGCAACCGCTCCCCCAGCCGGGAGGCCGGTGGGAGGAGGACCGCACCAGCACCCAGGGGGAGCGTTTTGCCACTGAGTGACATAGGCGGTCACAGTGCTTCCTGAGCAGGCCGACACCGCGGTGACAGTGGTCTAGTTACTCACGTCAGTCGCGCCAACGGTAGACTCGAACCAGGACTTACAGTCTCGGTCTTGGTCTCGGTGGCGGGGGGTGGGCAGTTCTGAGCTGGGCAGGTCTGAGGTGGGCATGTCTGAGCGGCAACTTGGGTCGTTGGGGGAGCTTGCCACTGGCTCGCGGTGTACTGGTTCTTGCCACCCTGATCCCAACCCTGACCTTGACCACCCCAAGAGCCACCACCTTGGCCACCACCTTGGCCACCACCGCCTTGACCTCCCCAAGAGCTACCGCCTTGGCCACCACCCTGCCCACCATCTTGCCCACCGCCGAACTGGCCTGCACCGCCAAATCCGCCAGAGCCACCATCACCGCCAGCGGAAGCCTGATGCCAAGGTTAGCCAAGGTCCAACACAAGACTTGGAGAGTCGCAGAAGTCGACATACTTGCGCCAGGCAAGCGGCCAGGATTGTAAGAGCAAAGAAGGAACGGAATGCCGGCATCGCGTCTGAGTATGTAAAGCTGTTCTGTTCAAAAAGGAATGTCGAAAGGAAAGGGCAATTAAATGCTGGACCAGCAACACAATGAACGAACGACTTGTTGGGAGAAGGAGGGATAGAGATGGAGGTGGAGGAGAGAGAGAGTAGAAATGCGAAACTCGGGCCTCTAAATGGACATTTTGAACCTGTGAAGACCAGGGGAGAAGCGACTACCGGCCAAATTGAAGGGGAAGAGCTGCTTTCGGCGTCATGGACTTCCGGACAGCGGCTTCAGACCACGAATGCCACGGAGTGAGTTGGCGAAATCGACGGCGAGGTCAGCCGAAGTGCTTGCATCCGCTGGCCGCACGGTCGCCATTGGGCGAAGCCTTTTCTCAAACACATCATGCGACGTTTGGATCTTCAGCCAAGGTCTCAGAGGTCAGCCATTCAGTGGCTGTACCGTGTCAGGTTGAGGTGAAAGTGTTGCAGAAGCCGTTTGTTGAGACAGGGGGTGTTTCATGCCTGGGCGCTTGGCCAAGGAGTGCGATTCGTCCACATGGATGGGCGCTCATTGGGCAGCCTTACCACGTTCTAGATTCTAGATGCGCTAGTCTACAGCCTCGCACTCCTGCCGCGACGAAGCGTTGCAGTATCCACCAGCGGTGTCTAGCCATTCTCATATCGCGTGCGCCCCTCGTGGCTCCTACACAGCATTCCTATTGCTACTTGTCAAGCTTTTCCAAGACCGCTTGCACTTTAGCGACGAGCTCCTCTGCCTTGACAAGTACACCGTCCTTTTCCGGGTGACCGTCAGGGAGGCCCATCTGCTTAACCTTGACCTCTCCCCGTGCCTGCTCGTCCTCGCCAAGAATGACCGCAACAGGCGCCGCGGCACGGTCTGCGAGCTGGAATTGCTTCTGTAATTTGGCCTTCTGCTTGGAGAACGTTTCTGCCCGGAGACCTGCCTCCCTCAAAGCAGCCAAAATGTCAATACGCTCCTCGAACATACCGCTGAAGCCGGAACCGCCGAATGCCATGATATATGCATCGGTTCTGTTGGGCTTAATGTAGCTGAAGCGCTCGCCCTTGGCCATCCTCGCCTTGGTAATGGCAATTATTCTATCGATGCCAAAGCTTACGCCAACACAAGGCATATTGGCACCGGGCCTAAAGCGTTCGACCAGGTTGTCATAGCGACCGCCAGCCGCGACAGAGCCGACGCCAACTGTAGGATCGTCTGACCTATCTTCGTCTTCAGAGGCTTTCTTCTTCTCCTTTGGTCTCCTAGGGACACCGTTCGTGCTGCCATTCGAGGTCACGGGAGCGTCACTCGAGGCTGACTCTGTCGAAGCGACAGGAGGCATGGGGGGCGTAGAATCTTCGACGGTGGCGGGGGCAGGCGCCTTTACACCGGCAGATCCCTCTGTGACAACTTCATAGATGACCCCCGTGTAATAGTCGAGCCCGCGTGCTAATGAGAGGTCGAAAGAAATTTTGTCCAGAGCCTTCCATCTCTGTAAATACCGCATCAGCAGTTCCATTTCTTCGATCCCTTTCTTAGCCTTCGGGTTGTTCATGAGAGCTTCGTCCTTCTGCAGTTCCTCGAGTAGTTCTTTGCCGCCCTTCCTCGTGACGTACGTCCGAATCTTGTCCGCGACGGACTCGTCAAGACCTTTCTGCTCTACCATTTCCTTCTTGACCTCCTCCCACGGCAGTTTGTCCAATTTGTCAACCGCGCTGGATATTGTCCTCAACTTGTCCTCCGGGACACCGCACACTTCAAAGAGCCCATCCAGGATTCTCCGGTCATTAAGTTTTATTGTGTATCCGGTCCACTCCAACGCCTCAAAGATCTTGACCACGCAGGAGATGATTTCACTGTCGTTGAACATGGGTGCCGTCTCGCCAGCAAAGTCGATGTCGCATTGCCAAAACTCCCGCATGCGCCCCTTGGATATGGCGGGTTGATCCCTCCTGTAGACCTTGCCAATCGCGTACCGCTTCGAAGTCTCCATGTCTGGATTCATGGCTAGCCATCTGGCGAAGGGAACGGTCATGTCGTAGCGTAATGAAAGGAGCTCCCCACCCTGATCCTGCAGGTCGTAGATTAATTTCGAGTCTTCGCCATATTTGCCCTTTAACACCTCTTGCAACTCGAAGACTGGCGTATCCAGCTCCTGCGCACGATATTTCTCGAAAACGGTCTCGATCTGACGCCGAATAGCTCTTAGGAGGACAACATCATCGCCGAACCAGTCGCGTGTGCCCTTGGGATTCTTGAGCGTTTCCTTGTTCTTGCTCTTCTTCTCTTTGGCCATCGTGGCACAGGTTCTAGTGCAATAGCTTAGACGGACAGGTTGGAGCGACGCGCGTACAAAATTTCGGGTGATCAGTGAGGACGTGCGCCAGAGTCGCAACGGACCGCACATATAGTACTCGGGGTAGTATGACTGCCGCAGGTAATGGTTAGAGTGAAGTGAAATGTAACTAAATTTGAGCATGCAAGTCACGTGCCACGTTGCGACTCATAATGAGCAGGTAGGCTTGTATGCTCTGCTGCATGCTACAGCTTACACCTTTTCACCCTCGACAACTTCACCAGCTCCATTGTGTTCGGCGGGCTCTACTGGGTCGAGATGCAACGGTATCCCGTTTGATCAACTAGCTCTGACGACGACGAGATTTGCAGCGTACTAGAACTGGCGGGGGCTACTGCGAAGGAAATCTGATCGTGCACGACCAAGAAGTATTTCTTTGGAGCTACCTCAAATCTGCTACCTGGATCAGGGATACCTGTTGTCAAGGGATAACCTGCATGAGCCTCCATTTTTGTACTATCGCAGCTTTTAGCTCGATCACTACCACGTAGTCGAACCCGGGATGTGCCCTGGGCTGTAGCTGCCTCTCTGCGGACTGCGCAACGCACCACCAATGATCCCGGCTGGGCTGCCGTTGTTCTTGCCTCTGCTACTGCCGCTGCCTTTTCGACCAGCGGTATCGTACTCCGTCGTTGTCGGCATAGGAGGTATAGGGTCCGCATCCTCAAAATCAGCAGAGAAGTTACTAATTCCGCCGGCTGAGTGGTTGGTGTTGGATCTTGGTCGGCGTTGATCAACGGTGGGAAGAGTCTTGGCGTATGCCGCAAAGGGAGAACCTTGGACTTCTGGGATGACTGGACTGTTGGGAAATGCTTGAAAGCTGCCGAATGCGTAGGGACGTGCGTGCTGCGGCAGGCTACGGGTGCCTGGCAGTTCACCTTCTGGCGTCAGAGGACCGCTGTTACTGAGCATCATCTGCCTATGCGCCATTTCCTGCCTTTCAAGGATATCAAGCTCGCGAGCGTTGCTTTCCCATCGCATCTTTGCGCCTCTTACCTCCCGCTCAAGGTTGAGAATCTCTTGGTTCAACTCGGATTCGCGCTTCTGCTGCTCAGCGCTTCTAGCAAGTGATTCAGCAGCTTTCCTTTCCTTTTCATTGAGACCCTCGACATTGGCATGGGTGATTCTGTCGTGCTGCTCGGTCAGCTTCGAGTTGCGGCCGGACAGGCGTTCTTTCCGCGCGACGATCGTGCTCAATTCCTGGTTGACACAAGTTGTATCGTCATTTGCAGCTGCACGAGCTTTCGCCAGAGCTTCGTTCGCTTCCGAGAGGAGGTTCTGCTGCTCGTCGTGTGTAACCTTGGCGGTTGCGTAGTCGTCATGGTCATCCTCGGGCGTGGAAACCAGATTTTCAAGGGCAGCGCCAAGCTCCACGTTGGCGTCCTCAGTCTGCTGCCGGGTCCGTTCAGCTTGCCACAACTTCTGCCTCTGCTTGCTATCGTCGCTGGCGATTTTCAGACGAGCCGTGAAGTTTTCCACTTCCTTCTCAACCTTGGCTTGTGTGCTTCTGTGCTGGCGCTTAACCTTGGTGAGGCGATTACGGGCTTCAGTTAATTTAGCTTCGCCTGTCGCAATGGAGTTTTTCAAGGTGGTCGTGGGCGAGGCAGGCGCAGTCGGTTGAAGGGCAGATACGGGCGCCATCGAAGGGGGTAGATCCTTGTCCGAGAGCATTGGGGTCTTGACCATAATAGAGGCAAAGTCCTCATCTCCCGTGCAGTCGATGAAAGTGCAGGTATAGGTGCAGTTGGGCGCTAATCCTGATATTGTTCCAGTCCAACGAGCGGTTCCGTCGGGTTTGGAGCGCGTTACCGGCGGGTCTAAAGATAGTGCGTGCCATTTCGCTCCGTTGATGCGAACGTAGAATGGCCGGCAATCTGCTTTCCGTGAGGAGTCTTGTGGCTGCGCAGATTCGTAGGTGTAGGTTGCTTCAAACATGATGGACGAGGGTTCTACGTTAGTGATAGACACCAGGTCGTGGTGGGTTGCTTCGAAGGGGCTGCCTTCCTGTTTTACAACGGTTGGTAGTGCTTTGTTGTGCTCGACCTCCCTGAGCACATGGACTTTGGTGCTAGCAAGCGCAGCCCAGAACGGTTGTTTGCTTCTGACATGGTTCGCCTGGCGCCTGCGTTTCTTCGCACTTATGCTTTTGTTATCCTTGCCATCCTTGAAACCAGGCGTGGGAGGCGGTTGGTAATCGACCGAGGACGACACCCCCGCCGGAGTCGAGCCGTCCAGAGCTGAAGCGTCAGATATGGAGCCTGCAGAGGCTTCCGTATCTATTCGTTTTGATTTAGCGGACCCGGTGGAGTATGAAGAAATGTAGCGACGAAAACTCGCCATTCCACCTTGAGCAATGATATGTATTGCAAAAAGACTTCGGATATAGGACGGCGGCCCGGGGCTATCCCCAAAATCACGATCTGTCGGAAGATATTTCAAGTATTCCCATAGCCCGGTCTGAGAAAGCAGGTCGACCGGTACCAGGTTCGAGTAGAGGAAGCGGCGCACGTCCCTGCTCCGAGCCAGATGCAACAGAAGCACGCCTGCAACGCAGAAGGTGTTGACCCTGCTGGTTTTACCGGAGCTACCATTGCCTAGAGTGATGGCGATTTGTATCTGGGCCAAGTCGAGCGCAAAATTCTGTGCCCAACCCCACAAGCAGATCCATAGTCCAAAGATAATTGTGTCCACAATCCCTATAGTGCTGAAGTTCGGAACTCCTGCCGATCCCTGGAAGATATCGAGCAATGACAGCAATGACGTTGGGGTACCAGCACCGCCTCCTGGCATCAGGGTCAAGGATGCGAACAGGGCCTGAACGATGGTCAAGATTACCGAGGGGAGAGCCAGCAGCACAATCAGCAGGGAGACGGTGTCAGTAGCTGGCCGGGATCGCAAGATTGTCGACGCCAGATGGAGGACACTGATGTCTTGAGCCTTTGATTTGGAAACCCCCATGTCGCCTCGTCGTTGATGTAGCATAGAAGATCCATTCGCCTCCAACTTGATATCTTTCTCTTTCGCCGCGCCTGAATCCGTGTCGCCAACCACGGATTGAAGGTTGAGCGCGGGTCTTGAGGGATCTTGTTGCGTATCCGAGGCTGCTGCCGATCCACGGTCGCTGCTTGCTGTGCTCACGGGGTTCTCGGTAGGACTGGGCTGAGAAACAGGCTCGGATGGGACAGGGCCCTTTGCGGTGCCATTGAGGTGACCATTCGACTTTTGCTTGGTGACACGTTTTCCGGGTCCTACAAGACCATTCTCATGGCGGTTGTTATGCTGGTGCTTCTTCGCCGCCGGGTGCCGCGGCATGAAGGTCTGTAGAACAGGCGAAGGGCTCCGTCCCAGTCGGCTTGGTGACTCTCTTCGGGTCAGCAAGCCAACTGGAGGGATCAACGTTCGGGTAGGCCTCGGAAGGCGAAAGGGGAAATCGGCGGGAAAGGGTGTGCGTGGAGGACTACGCCCCCGTCTGTATATGTCGATAGATGGTTGGCGAAGGTGGTGGTAGCGATAGTGGCCACGACCTGAAAATGCGAAGGGGAAGAAATGGAAACGAAAGTGAAAAGCTCAAATTACACGACCTTGGGCCAAGTCAGAATCTGGATGTGCAGTCGTTGCACCACCTACCCACTTGACAGCCGTGCGTTAGGTGGTTCGGATTTGCTGGGCAGGCATCCTCCCGGTTTACATACAAGCAAAGAAGGCCAACCCAGCTGGTCCTTAGTGCCGCCCGCAAGTGGCTTGCTGCACCCTACGATCGCCCATCGTCATCATCTTCAGCCTTTCTTCACGGCTCACATTGTCGTTTAATTACTTTTGACCAAGAATCCATCTACCCTGGCAGGACTGCCACCGTACTCCCCGCGGACAACTCTGTCTGACCTAACAGGCTTCCAGTGGCATGAGGCCATGGGAGACAGATGCCATGAGAGCGAGTGACTGGTTACTACAATCAAAGAGGGGCTGCGGGCTTGCAGAAATCGAGCAGATGTGGGTTTTCGACCTCGAGGCCTCGAAAGCCCATTCGCACAGGAACCTCACCCATCGCCAGTATGAATCCTGCCCAGCTCTTCCTGAACTACAACAGTCGATTCATCCTTGCTGTTAGCTGCATGAACATACAAGCATGAGTCCAGCACATCGGATTGAGTCAAGACCGCTGTATGTTGTTCATCCCCTTTCAATGTTCGTACCCGGTCTCGGTCAGCCGGTGCTTCCTGCACGCCCATGACTGAGCATGCTGCCATTCGCCCATTTAGTTAGGCGCAAACCTGAAACATAAAACTCTGCAGAGAGTCTGCCCGCTTGTTCCTGCCTACTGGGTAGACCTTTGGAGCCACTTTCCCAGCTAAGCAAGCCTGCTGGCTTGTTTGGGGGCCTACGTGGAGAGCGCAGAGTCGAGCAGTAACCACCCCACACCACCCCTAGGAATAAAGGCGCCCCTAAGCATTCTTTAGCTGCAGCGCATGCACACAAATTGTCCAGACGGAGAGCCTCTTGAAATCTGCCACTTGGGGTTGCCGATGGCTGCCGACTCGCTCAACTGGCTTGCCTCATTATGAGGTGCTGCTGCAATGTTGTCCTACCCCTCTCGAACACTTTATTCTGCCCTATCCTGGCGCTATCCGTCGATCATGGACCAAGAGCCTGCTGAGGAAGGTCTTGTTACGTTTTAGCGTCCCATTTCCTCAGTGGAACTCACTCTTGCCTGCGTGGGCTTGTTGACAGGTGAAAGAATCACCGACTTCTCGCCGCAGGCACCTCGATTTGGCCCCTCCAAAGAAAATGTTCAGCGGATTGCGGAAGGGGTTTCGCCATACACATTAAGCAAATCATCCGTGTTTGGCTTATCGTTCGTTGTCGTCTGGCTGCTTTGTCCGCATTCAGCGCTACCGCCTCAACCTTCACGGACTACTGTATTGTGTGTACTATGTAAGCTTTTCCAACCTTGTCTCAACATTCTAAAGGGAGTAGTAGGGACGTCCTACGAGAGTCAATTCCGATCGGGTCGTTTTCATACAAGTATCCGGATCCTGGCGACCTTATGCAGTTGATCCCTGACGGCTTCCCCATAAGGTCGGCTTGGCTTGCGCTCACTTTCTTAATACCTCATCTATGCACCCCGTATTAGAGTCGGTGAGCTCATCTACCGTGGTAGTCCCGCGGAACTCGTTCGATGACCAGACAGGAACTCCCTATACGCGCTTAGTGGAAGAGGCGGTCATCTACGAGAATATTCATCATCGAAGAGCATTGGACCTTCAACGGAGTGTTCCACTACCGCATCCCCACACACCCTGCAAGATCCCTGTTGATGATCAACGAACGTCTATTCGAACATTCACATTTCCTTTTGTTCGCAGCTCATTTTTTCGCAGGAAACACAGTGTATCATAGCAATCATGGGGTGCGATAACAAAAGAAGGGCTTGGTAGCACTTCGTATCGACTCCTGATCGGTCGTGTCGGACACAACTGATGCAGGGTGCCCGAGGATAAGAAGAATGGTCACACGCCCTTTGAGTTCCTCTGTCGATCACATCGGCATGGCACTATACTGTAGTCCAATGCAAGCAAGCAAAATCGCCGGACCACTGAGAGGCCGAGCAGGGACAGATATGACAGTCAAGCTTCTCCGAACGTTGACCGCAGTTGTGACACAGGTGTGTACAGGTCGGGTTGTGATTGCCCACAGCCTGACGCCTATCCAAGTAATGAGGTGATCCAGCCTCCTCGACTGACTTTTCGCTCACAAGCGACTTAGCCTGTAAAGGATCATGATCACTATGACTCGCTAGGTCGCAGGATCGGCGGCCTTGTGCTCGGTGAGAAGCCCTCGAGAGAACGCTACACGAGATTGATATCAGTCACTAGTATGTCAAATGCATATGCCGTATTGACATTGTCACCCCGGTTGAGATTCTGCGAATGGAGCAGTCCTCAGATTCTACCATCATACGCACGGTCAGTGTGTACGCAGACAACGCCAGAAATTGCGAAAAAGGTAGGACTCGGGTAAAGCCGCCGGCTCTGTTAAGGGAGTTTCGATATGTATCCAGGCATAGAAGAGATTAATCCCTTCTAATTACAGCTTGTAATCAAGGTTCCCTTTATCGATATGCGGAGACGAAGAGAATATACTTGATATTGGTGTCGAGACATTGTATTTAGGCCGGATCATGATCTTCCTCTCTACGCGGTGCGGAATACAACGCCACCTAACTAAGGTAACATAGCTATTCCCTGGCACTAAGATGCACACAGAGCTCCCTCACGGGACGGAGACCAGAGATATCCCTTCAGTCGCTACTGTAAGTCGGCGGCAGCACCGATTCTTATTCATATCTTACTCCGGTCAAGACCCTCGGTCTCCTCAATGCGGTACACATACTTCACGGCACTAGCCTTGCCATGCTGGAGATTCTCCAGCCCAGTCTGCACGCCATTCAACCCGCCCGGCACGACTTCATAGGGATGCCCGCTGAACCAGCCCTCCTTGAGCCCCAGGGCGAAGAGTCGGAACCAGGCGTATCCGAAATCGCTCAGATCGTCCGGCACTCCATGCACGGACCCGACGGTCGTGAGCGTCTGGTCGATCGAGTCCGGAATCTCCTCGTACTTCTTCCCGGGCAGCACCAGACTGATGTGCCCCTTGGGATCGAGCACCTTGCAGACATTCTGGTAGCTGCCCTTCTCGCTGACCGCGTCGAACGCATACATGAGTTTCTGGCCACTGGGGACGGCGCTGTGCAGGGCCTGGACGACATGCTCATCCCCTTTCCGGTAATCGACGACGACATCGCCCTTGGATTTGTCCAGCAGACCCTGCACAAAGGGGATCCCGCGGCCCGCGACCGCGATGATCGGATGGATCTTACTCCGGACGAGCAATTTGACGGCAAATGCGCCCACAGCGCTCGCCGCGCCATACACGACCACTCCGCCCGCGAGGGCGTCCTTGCGCGCCTGCGAAACACCGCCGACCCACGGCTCCGGCAGGCCCAGGCGACAATACAGCCCCACCGCGGCGGTCATGGCTGCTAGGGGGATCGTGGCGGCCTCCTCAAAGGACGTCGACTTGGGTAGATGGAACGTCGTCTTGGCCGGCGCGATCGCATACTCGGCAAAGGAGCCGTGCTCGGTGCGCATCTCATGGAAGGCGCCCACCCGGTCGCCGACCTTGAACTCGGTCACCTCGGAGCCCACGGCCTCGACGTACCCGGCAATGTCGTCGCCCGTGTTGAGGCCCTGCGAGCCCTTGACCAGGATCGAATACTTCCAGTCCTTGGGGTTGGTGCCCGACACGACCACCTTGATGAGAACCTGGTCGGCATTTGGCTTGGGGACGGGAATGTCCTTGATCTGGACGTCGAGTTGGGACTCGCCCTTTTTGTAAACATGTGCGGATTTCATCTTGGCTGCGGGTCGAGACCGGGATGGAGTGGTCGTGGTAGTGGTGCTGATAAATTTGTACTCGTACAATCGTGGACGTCGTGGAAGCGTGAGCGTGAGCGTGAGGCGAATGGATTGGAACGGTACAGGTACTCGTACTGTCCTCAGCGATGTGGCCAGGGGCTGAGATTGAGATATCTTAGTCGTAGAGGCACACACGAGTACTTTGAAAGGCATAGATCACATGTGGTACTGGATCTGGATGGATCTTCTCCTCCATCGGCAATGCATTATTAATACTGCCCTGCTATCTTTGCATCATGAGATGTGTGGCCGCTCGGCAAATCCAAACTGATCCTAATACTGGCTGCTGGCTGCTGGCTGCTGGTTGCGTTCTTCTCACCTACCGAGGCGGGATGAGGGGAGCTGAAGCCGTTTTGTGGAGATAGGACACTGGCCATGAGCACGAGCCGAGCCAATTACTTGTGAGCCCTGCGTATGGTGTCATGGTGGTGACGGCGTGGTGGATGGAGGGGCAGGGAGGGCACTGTGATGGACCGAGGTCGGTGCCGGATATACATAACTCAATGCCCTTGGGCGAAGCGGTACATAGTGGGACCCTCAAGTATTCCAAGCATCTTGTTTGAGCACGCTCGTGACGCTGTACATGGGAGCAGTTTCTTTGGGTTGTGTTTGCCATTGAGCGAGGGACAGGGGGAGGAACGAGACGAGAACTTCTCCTTTGAGGCCAAAGTCGGACCTGGAGCGAGCTTGAATCGGAGGACTCGGGATAAAAGTCTCACATCAGTCACTACAGGACAATCACCCAACAATGGCACAATTGTTTCGATCCCCGTGACATTACCACCCCGCGATTCACGTAGAGAGAGGTATGGCAACTGATCTTCTTGTCTTAATTATGTTGCTGTCATTTATGACTCCCAACCAGTTCCTGTCAACTGGCCCCGTATATCTCCCGTCGTGGCCAAGGCTGTAGGGGGTAGCCTTGCACACCAGGTCGCTTCTGCAGACTCGAGCGGACGAGAATCATTCTTCTTCCACGTCTCTGAGTTTCAACGGCTGCGTCCTAAGTGCACGTCTGAAGTCGTGTATGCCGGACAGGCCTAGTTTAGCTCAACTTACCACGCTCAAGACACCCAGGTGGAAGTCCCTTAAAGATTATGCCCCTGCTGATGACATCGAAGTCGATCCATTCTGCGAAAGCCCTTACAGACCACGAATCGTTGCCTTCTCTGTTGGCTTGTGTCTGTAGCTCGGATTTTAGGCGGAAGAGATTCGAAATCTGAACAATCAGTAGACACGGAAACAAGGCAATGTCTCTGTTGGCACAGGTTGATTGAAGAACAAAAGGAATCGATTCGAGGACTGATATGTATCTAATTACAATGAGACACACTCGTTTGACCGACCGCTGCAATCAGTTTGCAACTTGTCCTGTTTGTGCCTCAATTCGAGCGGCGTCGTCCTTTTCTGACCGAGCCAGAACATTGTACAAGCAACTCTTCCACCATCACATCTGTTGACGGCTTAGCCTTGCTACTGTTACGTTGCGCGGACCACACGTACCTATGATGTGAAGCTCTTGGTGAAGTTTTGGACAACCTCCTTCAGTTGTGCCTCGAGATCCTTGCTGAGCTGGCCTTCCTTGTCGATCTTCGCCAACAGTTCTGATTGATCGCTCTTCAAGTGTGCAAGGAAGTCAGCTTCCCACTGGAGGATCTTGCTCACGGGGACGCTATCCAGGTGACCGTTGACACCAGCGAAAATGAGAGGAACCATTTCGTTAACACCCATAGGACTATATTGCTTCTGCTTCAAGAGTTCAGTGAGACGTTCACCACGGCTGAGGGTTTGCTTGGTGGCAGCATCAAGATCGGAACCGAACTGGGCGAAGGCGGCGACTTCTCGGTACTGGGCCAAGAAAAGCTTCAGGGAACCAGCGACTTGTTTCATGGCTTTAAGCTGAGCAGCCGAGCCGACACGAGAGACGGAGAGACCAACGTTGATGGCAGGTCGGACACCCTTGTAGAACAGTTCGGCTTCCAGGAAGATCTGACCATCGGTGATTGAAATGACGTTGGTGGGAATGTAGGCAGACACATCACCACCCTGGGTTTCAATGACGGGAAGAGCGGTCAAGGAGCCACCACCGTGCTTGTCGTTCATCTTGGCGGCACGTTCCAAAAGTCGAGAATGGAGGTAGAAGACATCACCGGGGTAAGCCTCTCGCCCAGGAGGACGACGGAGCAAAAGAGACATCTGACGATACGCCACAGCCTGTTTTGATAAATCGTCATATACCAAGAGAGCATGCTTCCCGTTGTCGCGGAACCATTCACCAATGGCAGTCTTGAAGATAAGAGTCAGTAAGGATCGATCAAATTGAACAAAAGTAGTCAAATGAATAGGGGAGCAGCTTCGACGAGTATACTCAGTCCGGCACCAAGAAGGTGGGAAGTGTACCCTAGAGACGGTACTCTACTCGCCACTGCGTTGAGGGGAGATGGAAAGATAAAAGGAACTTACTCCAGTGAAAGGAGCGATATACTGCAGAGGAGCGGCCTCGGAAGCGGTGGCGGCGACGACAATGGAGTACTTCATGGCGTCGTTCTCCTCAAGGGTCTTGACGAGCTGGGCGACAGTGGATCGCTTTTGGCCAACGGCAACGTAGATGCAGTAGAGTTTCTTCGACTCATCATTGCCGTTGTTCCATCTCTTTTGGTTCAACATGGCGTCCAAGGCGACGGCGGTCTTTCCGGTTTGTCGATCACCGATGATCAATTCACGCTGACCACGACCAATCGGCACCATGGCGTCGATGGACTTCAGGCCAGTTTGGACCGGCTGGTTGACGGATCGTCGAGGGAGAATACCGGGGGCTTTGAGCTGGGCACGACGTCTCTCGGTGGTCTTGATCGGGCCTTTGCCATCAATGGGTTGACCAAGGGCATCAACAACACGACCAAGCATGGCCTCGCCGACAGGAACATCGACCTGATATCGTTAGACGCGGTAGTTCACCTCGGAAGTACGGTTCATCTCACAATCTGGCCAGTCCGCTTGACAGTTTCACCTTCTTTGACAAGACGATCAGAACCGAAAAGCACCACACCGACCTGACCGGCTTCCAGGTTCATGCACATTCCCTTGACGCCCGAGGCAAACTCGACCAACTCTTCTGCTTGGACATTGCTCATGCCATGGACACGGGCAATACCGTCACCGACGGACAAAACACGGCCAGTCTCAGCTAGGCCAGCCTCTTCTTGCACACCCCGGATTCTCTGCTCGAGGATGGACGAGACTTCGGTAGGGGAGGCTTTGGCATCAGCAGCGTATGATCGCACTTGTTTCGAGGCGGCATTGAATGGGGCAGGGGTGACGACACGGGACTGCAAAGATTTTGATTAGCTTCAAAGTCGAGCCAGATGCATCGGAGGAGCTTCGTGCGCTGATGTTGAGCTTGAAGGGAGCGTGAGAGAGCTCATTGAGCGTGGTGCAGGTGTAATCGAAGCTTTGCTAGAGTGCTGAAAAGGATTTGAGCTTACAGCAGCTATTCTGCCCGAAGCAGACAGAGCACCGGCAATGCGGCCAGATTGGCGCAAGACGTTCCTCGACATCATGTTGCCTACTCGAGAAGCTGAAAAGGAGGACTTCCGAGAAGCAAAGCAAGGGATGAAATGAAATGGAGGGAGTGGAGAGGAGATTTCGATATGAAGTCGAGGTTGGCGACAGCAAGTAGTAAGGGGAGCTTCAATCCAATTCCTCCGGAACTCGCCAGCCGATGAGGAATCTCTGCCGAAAGGTTCTTGGCACTGGTCACGTGCTGAACGGGGAAATGAATACGAGGCGCCCGAGGCTGAGGGATGCCTCACCTGGCGCAGCGGAAGCGAAAGAGGATCCAGGAGACACTTTTTTGAGAAGGGAATTTCAGTCTCTCTCATCGCAGTGTCTCGAGAGACATGGATGAGATAGGAAGACTGCTACGTCAGCAATTGCCATCTTGACATTTCCCTCCCACACGAACCCGCCATGTCCTCTCCTACCTCGAACAAAATCTCCCATCCACCGTCGTCAAAAGCCAGCGCGGCATCGCCCAAGGTGACTTCGGAAGATGTCGAATTGGGCCCCGTTCAGAATGGCCAACCCCAGCCCAACCTCCCTTTGGAGGAGGATATCATGCAGTGTGCCCGGATCGGCGCGCTTGAGCATATCCAGAAGATGATCCAGTCGGGTAAACACAGCGCCAACTACAAAGATGAGGAGGGGATCAGTCCGTTGCACTGGGCTGCCATCAACAACCAATATGCCGTGTGCAAGTACTTGGTCGAGCAAGGCGCGGACGTCAATGCGAAAGGAGGAGAATCAAATGCGACAGCAGTCATGTGGGCATCACAGAGATGTCACTACTACATTGTCAACCTCCTACTACAGAACGGCGCAGACCCTCTCTTGACAGACGGGCAGGGCTACAACATTCTGCATTTGGCGACGATCGATGGGAATGCGCTGCTCTTGATTCTCCTGCTGCAACAGAATATCCCGGTGGACATACCCGACCCGCAAGGCCACACCAGTTTGATGTGGGCAGGCTACAAGGGCTGGCCAGCATGCGTGGATCTTCTGCTCAAATGGGGAGCTAGCGTCAATGCCACGGACGACAACGGCTACACGCCTCTACACTGGGCGTTGGTCAAGGGCTCAAAAGCTTGCCTGGACAAACTGATCGAGTACGGCGCCGATAGATTCGCAAAGACCAACGAAGGCAAGACACCCAACATTTGCGCAGAAGAAATGAATACGAAGCGAGCATACCACCGCGCATTAGCCGACCATGGGTACGACGCCTCCGGCAACACCAAGACTCTCCCCATGAACCTCCACACGCTCGTGCGCGACCGCTCGAAAATGTCCAAATTCTTCTTCTTGTACCCCTTTTTGATAATGATCGTCGGCCTGTACATTATAAGCCACCTCAGCATATACATCGGCGTCCCTATCTTCCTGGCGGTATGCCTAGGCATGCAATACCTCGCACAGCGAATCTGCATGATCGGCCCTCTCGAATTCCGCCAAATCCACAAAACGCCCTACTTGGCCGGTGTCTTCGCCGGCACGCTCTTCTGGGTCGGAATCAGCTTCATCACGTCCATCCTCCCCCTCGTAATCTCCACCAATCCGTTCACCTCCATCGCCTTCCTAGCCGCCTACTCGGCAACCACGTACTTCTACTTCCTCTCCATGGTCGAAGACCCCGGCTGGATCCCCAAGCTCGCGTCCCGCAACCAACAGCGCGCCACGATCGACGAGCTCTTCTCGCTCTGGAAATTCGACGAAGACAACTTCTGCATCCAATGCATGATCCGCAAACCACTACGAGCAAAGCATTGTCGACGGTGCAACCGGTGCGTCGCCAAACACGACCACCACTGTCCCTGGATCCACAACTGCGTAGGCAACAACAACATCCGCCACTTCTACATCTACATCCTCAGCATGGCCGTAGGGATTGTGTTGTATATCCGGCTCGTGCTCTCCTACCTCGAACTCCTGCCTCCACCAAGTGACGCCGCCCTGTCGCAATGCCACATCCTCTCCCCGAGTCTGTGCACCTTCGTGCTGCGCGACCCCTGGACCGTGGCCCTCGCATTCTGGACCACCCTGCAACTCGTCTGGGTCACCATGCTCATCGTCGTGCAAACGATTCAGATCACCAAGAACCAAACCACGTACGAGAACATGAAGCGGCACGATAAGATCCACGACCACGCGGGGCCTATACTCCCCACGCACAATCACAACCACCCCATCACGCAGGGCGCCTCCGCGGCGGCTACCTCGTTGAACGATTCCGCGGCCGCGAGCACGCGACTCCGACCCGCGCCACGCCGACCAGACGGGTTCTGCACGCGCTGGAAGAAGATCCTGGGCCTCGACGCCTTCCTGGTCACCGCCAGCGACGCGAGCCACGGGCACATGCAGTCCCGCAACCCCTTCTCCCGGGGCATAATCGGCAACTGCAGGGATTTCTGGTGCGATCCTGCCCCCGTGTTCGGGCGGAGGAAGAACGGCGAGGGCTTCCTGGGCGGCGAGGTGGTGGACTACGCGCACATGTATGAGGTGCCGTTGCGGTTGAGGACCGGCACCGGCAGAGGCGCAGGCGGCATGAGGTACGAGAGTGTGGCTGGTGAGGATGTCGACGACGTATGACGATCTAATCTACATGCAAATTTCATCGTCCTTGGGCTTGGAGCATAGAAATGAGCACGTTTTGCAGGGTGCTGTGCACCTGCCACTCCGCTACGTTCTGCCGGTGTTTAGGACAGGACCGGGATTGGAACGGCCTCGAATGTATAAATCTTCAGCGTTGCTTGTGTGCACGTGTGGTAGAGCCTGCGTCTGTATCTACGCCGTTGTGTTTGACACATGTATGCCCAATACGCCTAATAATGTTTCCACAGATCTCATGCTTTTTGAGCAAGTCATTATCCTACATATCTGGACTACCTTCCACCCTGGCTCCCAAGCACAACCACAGCAGATAGAGCGAATAATGGGGCTCTCTCGAGGTAGAGCAGCTACCTCGTCAGGACAAATCTGCACAGTCGTCTTGTGGAACAGCTGCCAGACTACAATATATTCCGTCTCTACAAGCTGTGTGGTCCTCGCCATCAACTTTGGTCCACCACGGCGTCGAACCAGACGTCTCCGTCGCCAACTCCATCTCCCGCGCCATCATCAAGGAAGCCCAAATCATCCAGGACGTCAAGAAAGTCGAGATATCTCTGATCGCCGCATGATGCCGCGATCTGAAGTGTCGAGGCAGAAATCCCCCGTACCGACTCAGGAATGTCCTTGTCGCATGACGGCAGCGTCCTCGCGCGCCAGTCTGCCCCATTCTGCAGCAGTTGGCGGATGATATTAGGATTCCCATTCTCCACGGCAAGATGGAGCAGAGTCCAGCCTGTGAAATCCGGGAGGTCAACGTCCCCGTGGTCCAGAAACCACGGGAGAAGCGAGAAGAATGCATCCTCCGCACCGTGTTGAACAACCACATGCAAGGCCGTCCAGCCTGACGCTGGGGGTCCCTCGGTCGGATCGACTCCATATCTGATCAGGGTGAGCATGTCTTCTGGCGTGCCGAAGACGGCGCACCGAGCAAGGACAGTCCAACCTGCGTCGTCCACAATGCCGCGGTGTAGGCTTTGCCAGTCCACCTCGCTCTGGCTTCGCAGGAGGTCTATAAGGTCCGAGGCCTGCTCTTGCTGGACGGTGTCCGACCAGAGGTAGAAGAAGGCAGACCAGCCCCACGCGTTGGTATGATCGAACTGTGCGCCTTCTGCGATCAGGAGCCGCGCGATTTGCAGATTCCTGTGCCGTAGAGCACATGAAAGTGTCGACGTGTGGTACATGCCAAAGGTCGAGTCTACTTTGGCACCATTGTCGATCAGGAGCCTGCAGATGTGACCATGCCCAGCTGCAATGGCGACGCCCAGCGGTGATTGCTCCCAGGTATCCCGGTAGTGTGAAATGCCGGGATACTTCAGCAACAGTTCCTGGACGAGGTTGACATCGCCGGCCCCACAAGCTACCATGAAAGGATCGTCTTCGGGCACAACGTATTTGAAATCGAGCATGATTCTGTCGATGCGGAAACTAGGGATCCAGCCGGAAAACTCGAATTGTAGCCCGAAAAGCGACATCACATCCAGCCGGAGCAACAGGGACGATGTATTCCGGCTCGAGTCACATGAATAAGCAGCTTGCATGGTCAAGCGAACCAGTTCCGGGTAGAAGCACTTCCATTGCCTTAGTCCCGTTGATTTGCGGTGAGGTACTGATTTGATTGTCTTTGCGGCTAGATCTGGATATTTCTGGCGACAGTGGATACAGTAGTGAGATGGCCTGGCAGTGCGTGCGGGAAAGGTGCTCATGGACATGTCCTGTTTGAATTTGCTCACTGTATCACAGAGCACGTCGAGTCGGCGACTGTTAGAGTTAGCAAAGAAGGCTACGATTTGCTGCCGCCCGGAAACTTACCATTGTAGTATATTCAGTACCACACTCAGCGAGCTGTCGAGACAGGCCAGTTCTATCATGAACTCCTTGCTTCTTGCTCGTCCAAGCAGCGCCCAACGAAGTCGCTTGCCGTGTTTTTGGCCAACTGTCGAGGCAAGGGAGGCGCGAACCGCGGATATGCCATGATGGCATTGTCGCAGCATTGCCGCACAGGATCTTTCCAGTTCATCAACCCGCTCAATGCTTCTTTCCACTTCCATGAGCGTGCGCAATTGCAGCGCAACAAATTGCACATGACGGAGTGTCCTATCAATTTCCGAGGGCGCGTCTTGCAGGCGTTGTTGAAGCTCGACTGCTACTTTGAGCACCTCAACCAAGGTGGCGATAGAGGCTGCCGTTCCGATGATCTCCATGGCCAGCAAGAGTGCCCAGGTTGGCAACGGTGGTGAAGACGACCATATTGAAGAGTCCGCGATTTAACAGGTCGTGCGGTGCAGCTGGCAGGTTTATGTAGCGAATACGTACCTCGTAGGACGAGTTCTATTGAAGGCGCCTAGGTGCCACAAGAAAAGGGCACATCTACCCAAACTTGAGGCATGGAGGAGGCCTCAAGGCCATATGACTCGAATCGATTGGTTAAAATGGCTACTGTAGGTTGTCGACTCCGTGACTTAAGCGCCCAGATCGATTGGGCTTGTTGTGGCAGATGTTTGTGAGGCTGAGGTGGCCGTTGAGGGTCTGACCATGGCTTCACACTCGGCTGACCATCCTGACCAAACGGCTTCAAAACAGGCAAAGTGCTTCACAGGCAACCACTTCTTATGAGAAGTCATGGTTACTACAGCCCGGAATCCCTTTGACCTGTAGCAGCTTGAGAAAGACCAACACACCGCAGCATGGACCTACCGAACTATCTGCTAGTTGGAGACGTCTAGATTACAATGGCCACGGCTGATTCACAGGTATCAGCTTGCAAGAATGATGTTTCCCGCATTCTCACCGCTTATATCGCAAGAATTCAACAACATCTAGAGTCCACTCTAGACCGATTAGACCCCAGGGAGCTATTCAGCATCATGACAGACCTTGGCAGAGGATGATTACCGGCTGCGCCAACTCCTTGGTTCGGTAGATCTCGCCCGGCGGATGCTATCTGTTGAAAAGAGCCGTGGGGATGCAGGGATTGAAGCGGCAGCAAGTGCCTGGTGGGATTGTCACGGGAATGCAGAGATTATAGCGCTCAAGAGGGAAGGGCGTGCCAGTGGCTGAGAGCGATGGGATTGTTGGTGTCCACACGTTGGAGTCAACCAACATGCTGGCAATAATGCAGCACATTTCCAACCTCGGTGGCCGTGAGCCTGATGAATGGGCGGATCACAAAGCATTGAAAACGTCCCTTTCTATTCTAAAGAGACTCGACAGTGGAACCGGGCAGCGATGCATGCTCAAAGTTCAATCCTCCTTCTGACATATGATCCAGTTGAGGTAGCCTATGGGCCAAATAAAACATTCCCTACCGCTCTGGAACTTCCACTTCGCAAGCTTCTCGCTAGATACATGTCGGTGAAGTAGTGCCTCGACCTCATTCGGTGTCCTCGTCCTCAGGCAGGAGATGTAGCCGTCGTACACCCAGATAAATGGGACGATGGGCACCAAGTAAGTGAAGAACAAGTGCCCCGGTGAGTGCCAGAAATAGTACGGCGTTATGAGCATGGCGAGCGGCCAGAGAAGACTGACGAGGATGAAGGAGCTGAAGTGACGCGATTGGAGTTCGAAGATGCTGTCCAGGTGCTTAGCCAGCTCTCCCAACAACCAAAAAGGGGCATTGTATGCTTACCAGAACCCATCAGAAGTCTCGATCGTGTTCTCCAAAACCTTTGCTGCAAGGTCGTCGTCGAAGTGATGGAAAGCCAGGCTAAAGAGTCGCATGACTTTCTTGCCCTTGACTTCGGGCAGGTCCTTGAGGAGTGTCTCTGCAGCAGGTGCATTTGTGGCATCCACGCTCTGAGGGATATAGCTGATGTTCTTGCTGTGCTTCCTCGCCGTTTCCCACGCACCGACGTGAGGACTGATGTCCGTCAAAACAAACTTGACTTCCTCCTTGCCTGAAGCTCGCAGCTCGCCGTTGAGATGGTTCTCGATGTGTGGTGTCGGGCCACCTGCTCCGGACGCGAAGTCCACGTAGACGTATTTGGTGGTGCGAGGTCCGAGAACGGTGGACAGGATACGAGAGACAAGGGCTGCTGGTGACACAGGCTGAATGAACGGGAACTTGTTGATCCAGCCCAGAGTCAGGTAGTCTTGCACCTTTTCTCTAAGCGTCTGTGGGAACCTGGACCGAGTTAGTAAAATGTTTTGTGGTCCAACGTGGGCTGTGACACGCTCACCATGGCTGGTCGTTGACCTCGAAGAAATGCCTCCTACGAAGCCACACGGTCTCACTGTCTGCCATGACGGACAAGAGGAACACCTCTCAAGCGGCTGCCCCGACAGTCCACGACACTGTCAGGCAGTGGGGTGTTTACCGATAAAACGTGTTTGCACATCACCGATGTCTTTTGACAGCCTTCCCAAAGCATACGTCCATGCTCGCACGAGTCGCGGTTTAGTTTCGGCTTTTGTCGACGTCATCCAGATCGTGGCTTTTCACGCCGGGAATTGGGCGGAAAAGCGATCAGCGTTGGCTAAGCGCGATGCTCTTGACAGTTGACACCGGCTACGGTAACTGGAACTGTGACACGACATCCATCTCCTCTGTCTTTCACTTTTGTTTCGAGGAAGAGATGGTACGAAATGGGATGTACTGCAACAGCATTCTCTCATGCCACCTGGGCTTCTTGATACATATCGCCATCGAGATTCCAGCCTGCCTTTCCTTCTACCTTTTCCCTTCTCGCCAACTTGGAACCTACACGCCACATGCACACTCAGTAGTACGGCAATACGCCGTGCTTCTCTTCGCATCTGTCCTGGTAGCGGTGGTATTCCTGCGACATCCCATGGACGAAACGTCTGGAAAAGTGGCTGGGGCTCTGGCAGTCTATCATGTCGCCCCCTCGTGGAGATCGATTGAGAGGTTGACAAGACAGTCACGCATGCAGGAACCGACCATTCTTTCCGAAGCAGCCCTCTACTTATTGGTACATGTGCTTTGTTGCGCTACGTTACTCCATCACGCTTGGGGTGGTCTGTACGGCGGATTGCCTGGCTAAGAATCGTCCATCGAGCCAAACTCCTTCGAGCTCAGTCAACGTCCTCGGCGACCAGAGTCTCGGTAGGACTGGCTGTTCCAGGATCGGAGATCTGGCTGGTTCGCTTGAACATCATCATCTCCACCGCAATTCCGGGACCAAAGGCACAACCGACGATGTGCTCGGTGGTTTCGCCCTCCATCAACCTGTTCAGAACACTGAACATGGTTGCACTGGAACTGTTGCCGTGAGTGATGTAGATCCCATAACTCGCTCGGAGAAGCTCGGGCCTCAGTTTCATTGCTCTTTCGACCCCAGAAATAATCGTGGACCCGCCCGGGTGCAGGGCCCAGTCATACTCTGAGGCTTTGAACTTCCCTTGGTCGACCAGCTCTGGTATTGACCCGACCAGGTCTTCGAACATCGGGGGAACCGCAGCTGCCGCCAATTTGGGAACTCTTTGAGTCAAGACAACCTTCCAGCCTGGAAGGGATATTAGCTGCTAAACCTTAGCGATGATTGTTTCTCACTTACCGACAGGGTCGACGTCAAATCCCAAATCTTTCTCAGTATCCTCAATGATTCTGTGGTCCCAGCCCAACAGCTCAAGCATGGGCTCTTCGTCAAAGCGGTCACTGAATCCATTTCCCAGCACTACCGCAGATGCACAATCGCTAAACAGTGCCACACCTATCCTGATTTCCTGATCCTTGTGGATCGATTCCAGCTCGGACCGAACAAGAGTACTTGAAATCTCGCATGCAAAGACCAATATCCGCGCAGGCTTTCGGCGAAAGCTGGAGCCAAGAGCGATATTTGCCGCCGTGCGCAATGCGCCCAACCCGCCAGAACACCCTACTCCATGCAGAAGGACCTTCTCTACGCTCTGATTGAGACCGAGCCCCTTGATGACAAAATGATCGTAGCCAGGATTTGCCGAGTTCGTGCAGGTGGTGGCAACAACATGAGTGATTTCGGACAGGTCACCACCCCATTGCTTGATCGCTTTGCGACAAGCCTCAATGGACAGTTTGACGCCGTGGTCTAGAAAGAGATCGCAGAGCTCGGCGATCGTCGGCGGATCTGGCGAATTCGCAATAGGATGATCAATAGTTCCTATTGCGGAGCGAGTGTCAATCCCCGTGTATTCGTTGATCTTAAGGACCTTCTCGAGCCTAGAGATTCGAGTCAGCGACGTTGTGAGCCGCAAAGAGCGAGGGTTGCAGCTTACGCAGGGGTGCTGGGATAGAATCGCCGTGCGAGAGTTTCCACATGTTCTGGCTTGATCTCGTAAGGAGGATATTCCACTCCAATTCCATGGATATACAGGTTCGGCCTCTGGTATGGCGGGGTGACCTTGCCGTGGATAGCGGAGGGCGACATTGCTGGCGAAGCTTGGGCGCGGGAACCGGCTTTGGGATTCGGACCCCAACAGATTCTAGGATGATGACGTTGGGATACTATCGCATTGTGTGAGACGCAATTGAAACAGACCGTCTAACGAAGGTAGCTTTGAGCGACGTGTAAAGAGCGACAGTAACGAAAGGTGCGTGAGGTCTCAAACTGGCAACTTGCGATAGATAGACAGAACAGTAGCAGCTGGTTCTCGTAAAGTCAGTGGGCGGCAAAAGATCTGGAAAGATGGGAACAATTGTTGCCGAGTGATCGTGTGCGCGTGGCGTCGGCGTCGGAGGTCGTCCATGGAAGGAACCCACGAATCACATGGCGAGGAGATTGTCGCCGCGGCCAGAGCCAGTGACGGTGGAAACGATGACAGCCAGTGCATGCCAACGGAAAAGAGTCAATCATGTCAGGGACTGAGCAGCTCCGAGTGGCCCTTTACCGCAGTACTGCCCAGTGTATCTCGTAGCTCCTCCTGCTCCTCGTACCAGAATGCGCCCGTGCAAGTCAGCCACCCATCCCACGTCACTCGTCGCCCACTACCGCCTCACCATCTTGCCACCGGCATCTGGATAAGATCTCTTGGGGGATGGCCTGAGGGCCGCTGCCGACGAATCACAGCATGATCTGGCTCACTACACTCGGCGCCCTCCTGCTTGGGATACTCGTCGTCCATGGCCCTTTTGCGAAGAGGGCCAGAATCCTTCGCGACGGGCAAAGACTCAGGCAAGCATTTTCCGCTGCAAACGGTTAACCCGACGCCAGTATCTTCTAACGAACATCACCCAGGCGTCCTCCTGGTTCTCTTCCCATTCTCGGCAATGCGTTCCAATTCCTCAGACCGCGGCACGTTCTCTTCGACTGGTTTGTAAAGTGCCAGAGGATCTTCGGCCACGAGACATTTGAAATCTCGGTTCCTTCGCTGCCGCCGGGCGTGGTCATCAACAGTCCCGAAGTACTAGAATATGTGCTCAAGAATGAAGCATCCATCACCAAGGGAGAATTCTTCAGGGACCGGTCGTGGGATCTCTTTGGTAGGCTCCCCTTCATATCGCTCCTGCTTGCAAAACACCAGCCTGGGCGGATGAACTGACCCTCGCCCAGGCTACGGGATCATCAATGCGACAGGCGAACTATGGCGAGCCCAACGGAAAGCCGGGCTGAAGTTCTTCAGCGGCACAAACCTTGAAGTCATGGTTGATGATGTTCTGCCAGAGGTCTACGGAGAATCCACAAGGGCAGGACTTTTACAAGCCTCGCAGGACCGGTCCGTCATGGACATGCAGAAGGTGTTTCATGATCTTACCACCACGGTCGTCGGACACATGGCGTACGATGTAAGAGTGGACCCGGCTCTTCCGACTCGGGAGACATACTCAACTAGATCCAGATGGAAATCGATGCTTCGTCGCCATTCAGCCAAGCGTTCGACCATGCCTCGTCACAGATCGGCCTGCGATTTCAGAACCCTCTCTACCGCGTCACCGAGATGTTTACGGGCTCCTCTTTCCGCGCCTCGCTCGTCGAGGTGAAACGGTTCGGCAAGCAGATTGTGACTGAAGCTCGGAAACGGCGCGCCCGGGATGCCTTCGAGAGCCTCGTGACCAACACCCACGAGGAGGAGGACAAGCTCAGGACGCAAAGGGCAGATCCCGTTGCAGACGGCAACGGTTTCGCGTTTGGAACCCTGATTGACTCACTGATCGAGTCTCTAGGAGATCCCACGATCGTGGCCGACGCCGCGCTGAATTTCCTCTCCGCTGGCCGCGACACCACAGCCCAGAGCTTGACCTGGACACTCTACGCCCTCCTCCGCCATCCTGAATCGTTACGACGCGTCAGAGACGAAATTGACGCAGTCGTCACATCGAACGACAAGTCCATAGGTATCAACATTGCGCAACTCCAGCCCTCCTCCCTCCCATTCACCACAGCTACATTCTACGAGGCCCTTCGGCTGTACCCGCCCGTGCCATTCGAAATCAAACAGACAACCCAGCCCGTCACGCTCCCGGACGGCACCTCTCTGCCCGCGGGAGCAATCGTCGTCTGGTGCATCTGGGCGTTGAACCGCGCGAGCAGCACATTCGGCGAGGACGCCCACGTGTTCAACCCATCGCGGTGGCTCGAGAACGACAAAGCCAGCGACAATCAGCACTTTACTGGGAGTACCCGTCCGGTCGGCGAGTTCCCGGTCTTCAACGGCGGCCCGCGGTCGTGTCTGGGGAAGAAAATGGCCGAGGTGATGGCGTGTTGGGTGCTCGTGAGGTTTCTGGCCGAGTGGGAGTTTGAAGAGGTGAATGACGGGTTGAACATGGATGCGCGGACGGGCGAGAGGAGGAGCGCCAATAGCTTGACCTTGCCTATGCAGGGGGGTTTGCCTGTAAGGGTCAGGACCAGGGAGACGGGGAAAGTGGCTGTAGGGAAGATGAGGAAGGTGGAAATAGAGGATGAGGACGGATGGTGAGGAGGAGAAGGAGGACGGAGGTGAAATAGAGGTTGCGGAGAGGGACTGAAGATGTGGGAGCTAGACCATAGGAAGCGCTCTTGACATTTTAGCAGCAGAATTGAATTTCCGACACATCGGTTTTTGTGATGAGCTACAAGCGTGCACTACTCGTTCCCTATGGGGATCTTTCTCCTAGACATTTCTCACACCCACTTCTACACTCGCTCTTACTCTGACTTCCACGCTCACGCTCACCTGCTATTTTCCTGTCTCGATACCGAGTTCGGAGTTGGACGGTCGTGCGAAGCACCCGCCCAGGACCGCGAGGATTGACAACAACACATCAACCAATAATTACTCCTGCTACCCAGGTACTGTACATACCTGTCCAGATACTGACGACAGGTTTACGGTTCACAATTCACAATTTACTCTCCCCTTGGGCCACGCCGGAGCCAGCATGCTTCTCCTTCTGGTCCATCCACCCAAACTGCGCGGCACTATCCAACCCGGGATCGATAATCACATTCAAGAGACACACCTTTTCTCTTTCCTGAAACGCGGCCCTCACGGCGCGGGCCAACTCATCTTCCGTGCGGATGAACCAGCCTCTGCCCCCGACCATCTCTGCCAATTTTTCGTAGCGCGTCTCGTATAGGAGGGATGTGCTTCTGAGGCCGTGCCTTTTGGGTGCTTTGGCTTTTCGCACACCGTCAGCATCAGCATCGGCATTGGCGACCCGCGTTTCTCTTTGTCGGACATTACATGCGATGTCTTCGCCACCGTCAGCATCAGCCTTGATGTGGCGCCACGTAGTCTGCCTCTGCATTTGATCCCACTCCCCCTTTGTCAACGCATCGCCCTTGTAGATCCCGCTATTGTTCATCACCACGATCATGACGTCCATGTTGTGGCGCGCCATGGTTTCAATTTCCATGGCGGAGAACCCAAAGGCCGAGTCGCCTTCTAGAGCAATGATCTTTTTCTGCCGCCCTTGGGGCCCACGTGGAAGATTATGCGCGGCCCACGCGGCGATCGCGTAGCCCATGCCGACGCCCATGGTGGCGTACGTCCCCGCGTCGAGTCTCCGGCGGGGACGCTCGAGCGGGAACGCGGCGCGAGAAATGTCCATTGTATTCGCGCCTTCGGAGACGTAGATTATCTCGTCTGCCCCCAGCGCGTCCAGTGTGGATTTGATGATGTGGTAAGTCCGTTCGTATGTGAGGTGCCCACCCTTGGGGGTTGGCGTGGTTGCGAGCTTGTGTGAGCGGGCTTCATTCTTGGAGGCAGCTGCCGACAAAAGCGTGATGTACGAACTCGATTCGGATGGTGAGTGGGCTGAGGGTGGCAGGCGGATCGTTGCTTGTGGGAGTGCTTTCCAGTTGACCCCGAGTTCGCGGTGGATTTGGTCGACAACGAGGCCAATGTCCCCGAAGATGCTGAGAGCCGGCTGGCCTAGGCTGTTCGTCCGACCGAGCTCCTCGGCCGAGATATCGACTTGGATGATCTTGACGTCTGGTCTGTACTTTGAGGCCTCGCCGAAGTGGAGGATCCAATTCAACCGAGCGCCCAGGAGGAGAATCACATCGGCATGCTTCAACGCCGTTGATCGGGCAGAGGACGTGTTCAGTGGATGAGAGTCAGGAATTATGCCTTTACCCATCGGTGTCGGCAGGAAGGGCAGGTTGTGCGCCTGGACGAGATTACTGATGGAGTGCTCGGTGCGAGAGTATGCTGCGCCTTTGCCGACGATGACGAGCGGTGACGAGGCGTATTTGAGAAGCCTCGCGGCTGAGCGAACCAGGTCTGGATCCGCTGCTGGTTTTGGTGGGGGAGAGACGACAATGGGCGAGTGAGATGCTGTTGATGTGGCGGCAGGAATGACGGGCTCCATGATCATTTCAGTGGGTAGATCCACGAATGTCGGGCCAGGTCGTCCGTACAAGGCGATTCGATACGCATTGCGGATGGCTGCCACTATGGTAGGAGGATCTCTTGACGTGGGACGAGTCGCGAACTTGGTATGAGGCGTCAACAGAGAGACTGCGTCCATTTCTTGAAAGCCTCCCTTTGTGGACAGGCTGGATTCAGAAGATCCTCCCAGGACTATGAGTGGAAATGCGTTTGCTGACGCATTGCCGATCTGCAGCATGGATTCAGCGAGGTTCCCAGCAGAGCAGCCACAAGGAACCACTTACACCTGCTGTCCCATGGAGGATTCCCGGCCCGCCAGTCAGTATACAAACACCTGGTCGCGCCGTGAGGTATCCATAAGCCGAGGCGGCATAGCTGCAAGCCTGTTCGTTCCGGTAGCCTATCACATGGATACCCAGATCAATTGCTTCCTCCGCGATTTCGGCGACGGGAATCCCAACCAAGGTGTGAATGACCGTGACTCCCAGATCGTGAAGCGCTTGAGCGATTACCTTTGCACCTGTCGGAACAGGCATGATAGAAGTGGCTGGGGACACTGGTACTGGGAGGGTAGACGTCAGTAAATTATCAACTCACCGTTCCGCCTCAGAAGTAATGCAAGGTCGGTTGACCAGTCCTTGTGTTGGCCCATTCCATCGCATTCAGTCCATTCCCCGCGATATAGAGACATGTCAAAAGCGGAGGCGAAGTCCATCTGGATGCAGATTGCGCGATAGGCCGAGGTCCTCGATCAGGAAATCCATGCCATAGCCGGGCCTATCACGTCAAACAAGCTTTTGTATCACTGGTGATGTTTGTCTGAATACTTCGAACCTCATTCATACCTAGGTAGTCTGGGTCAAGGGTGCCGTCAGCACTGGACACCCATGCCAGTCTAGGCCCAACGCCAGTCTAGGCGTCATTGTCATCAAAACTCGGGGATGGAAGTCCCAACCGAGGTCAAGGTGATGATGGAGATGGCCGACTGAGTGTTCTCTCCGCAGCACAAGTTCGCTTCTACTGTATCCTCACCCAGAGTCGAAGCAAAGCCAGCGACGAGCGCACCGGATTGGTAGCGATCGGGACTCGGAGCACAAGATAGCGTTGGACGCTTCTGTTCTTGGATTTTCTCAACTCTCAGTGAGCGACCGATGGCGAGCGCGGTCTCGTCCCTCTCAACCGGCAACGGCAATGAACGCTTCAACGCAGAAGCCGCGAACTGGGATAAAAACCCCTTCGTGCATGAAGCCAGCAAACTAGCAGCAAAGGCCATCATCCAGCAATTCCCAGCACTGCAGAAGGCACGCCCAGGGAGGCCTAAGCTGGACGTCCTTGAGATAGGATGTGGCACGGGCCTCCTCTCCTGCATGCTCGCACCCTATGCGCGACATTATGTGGCCGTCGACGCAGCCCAGGGGATGATCGATGTGCTGAAAACAAAGTTGCAGCGATCTGAATCCCCACAAAACATCATCCCAGTCGCGGTGTTGCTGGAGGATCCCGAGGACCGCCACCTGCCCCCAGCTGACGAGAACGAACCTGACGGGAAGAGGCTGAAGTTTGATCTCATCACCTCGCACCTTGTCTTGCACCACATTCAAGATCTGAAGGCTGTCTTGACCACCATGCTCGGCTGTCTCAAAGATGGGGGAAGTGTGGCGTTGACCGACTTTGAAGACGCCGGTCCAGAGTCGAAGAGATTCCACCCACAATCAAAGATGGGCGGGGTCGAGCGGCACGGGATCCATGCCGAAACCATGGAGCGCTTGATGAATGATGTCGGGTTCGTCAACGTCGAGATCAGGGCCGCCTGGAGTATGGACAAGACGGTGGAGAAGTTTGAGGGCGAGTTTGGGCATGAGGCCAAGGCTGGAGAGCCTGGTCAGGGGGTGGTGCAGAGTTTCCCCTTTGTGCTGTGCATGGGTGAGAGGAAGTGGTGCCAGTCAAGTGACGGCTCTTGACAGTATGTAGCATTCGTGGCCTGGACAGACCAGAGGCTGAGCCCGGGACATCTCAAACCCACGACGACGTTGGTGGCATAGACACGAACAGCTCTTTGAAACAAGGTATCGAGGAAGGTGGCGATCAACAGTTAATGCATACTCGTACCACAACAAGCTACTGCGCTTAAGAAGAAAGCTCCAATCTTGTTTCCAATGCCCCCTTCCTGCTCCTTTCTGCCAGGCCTCATTCATTGTTCCTGAAGCACAGTAGAACATTCTTGCCCCTAGATTGACAGTGCCAACTGGGCGAGCGCACTGGCTTCCCAAAATCTTCTCCAAGTCTTTCCGGCATGGCGATATTCTGCGTCCGTGGCAGACCAACAGCAACTAAAAGCCCTCAACGTATTGTTCTGGCCAGCGGAAGAGAATCGCAAGTGCAGCTATTTCGACATCAGTCCTGTGAGCTGCAAGGGCCCATCCACCTAGACCTCCATAAGGGCAGCCTTCTCGTCGGCGGCACCCTCCTCCGTTCTGGCAGCCTGCAACCCTTGCTTGCGTGCAAGTCTCTTTTCCAGGCGGAACTGCATGACTGTGCCCAAGAGGATTCCAAAGTTGATTTGAACCGGCACCACGACGATGGCATATTCGAGGGTCTTGACATGCGCGAGATCCATATCGGCAAGGATCTGGAACGCCCCATAGCCCAAGCTCGTAGTGATGGCAATACCAAGCAGCATGAAGGCACGGACGGCCCAGTTCTTGCGGGTGTTCTTTGGGAGCGTCTTCGAACCATAGGCGCGGTTGTCAACGTACACGAAGGTGTGGACGACGTAGCATGCGTAGGTGAGGAAGGAGATGCCGATCGAGATGGGGAGGAGGACCATGTTGAGTTTCTTGAGGAAGCACATAACCTTCATCGCAAAAGAAGGCTTGAGTGGATCTTCGGGAGTGTCAGGGAAGACCTTGTCAACCCACCACTGTTGCTGTTAGTAGTGAAGCTTTTAGACAAGACTGGCTTATCAAACGTACCTGGAAGAAAGGCACCCAGATGATCATGAAGATGCAGACATAGAGCCAGGAAACAAAGTATCCCACGGTGTAAGCAATCTGTTCATCACGATTGTCAGTATGCTTCATTCGTCGTAAATTATGGGAAGAGGCATACGCCGAAGTCGTCCTCTGCAGGGGCTGGATAGCCATGCTTTCCAGCGTAGACGATCTGTATTGGACCAACCCGGAGGGCTTCAATCAGTGCCATCAGTAGCACAATGTAGCGGACTTGCTTCCTCATCATGCGGAGGTCGTGTCTGCGGATGTCCTTCCATGTCTCGACATCGGGAGCAGTTGAAGAGCCGGCCATCTTTGCTTGCTGCGCTGCGAAGTTGCGCTGAGCCCATCCGCGAGTCCACTGGCAGGGCATGGTGATGCTCAGTTGGCGACGGTGCGAATCGAGTTGCATGGACTGAGGCCCGGTGGGCTGTAGATGATGGCTACGGGCGTACTTATGGCAATGGGGAGTACAATAAGTGTATCAACACAAGCACGGTGGGGAGGTCGAAGGTGAGCTCAAGGTGAACGGACAGTGAGGCTGTGAGTATTGGCGGCTGCCTTGCATCACGGTGCACAACGGGCTAGTTTGGCATCAAGCCTCTGATTGATCAGTCTGGGTGACAGCCACCCCACCCACAGCCCCTACCCCTCGTCACCCTCGTCAGAGTAGTTTAATTAGTGGGTGTCCGGGTCTCTCTAGGCTCCTGTGTCAGCCTTGTTCGGCCCAAAACGCGCTCCAGCCTCATCAAGATGTGCCTGGTAATTATGCGCACTGCAGTGCTACTTCTTCATTCTTCTAATCCAAGATTATGGGCACACCATACATGACAGGTGCTGCGCCGTTGAGATACTTCAGCATGCAAGCCTCTCGACCGTCTGCTACAGCCTGATCCAGGGACACCGGCCCACGCTTTGGACTCTTCTCTGCCTTGCTCTTCGTCGACTTTTTGAGACTTGGTCCTTCGGAGCCACTTCGTGCCTTCAACAAACCCCAAGTTTCCATAAGCTGCAAAGCAAAACGGTCAATGTCTCGATCCGTGACATCCCAAAGAGTCCCGACTAATGCTGGACTGCCTCCACTGAGATAGCTCAAAGGCATGCCAGATGGCTCGTAGACCCCATACTCGGACAGCCTGGCGCTGCTGCAGCCCATCAACAGCGTCGTTGCACACTTGTCCATTTTACGGATAGTGCGAGGCCGAACATATTGCCCAGCGCCGCCATGACCAAAGTAGAGCATCAGGTCGTGCTCCTGTAACGCCGTCTCAAATTCGCCTGCTTCTGGTGGCCGGTTGACGATGGCTTTGTAGCTAGGCAACTGATCTTGGAAGATCTGGCCAAAGGCTTCTTGCGTCGACTTCAGATCTGAAGATGGGTTGAGTATATACGCTCCCTTTGTTTTCCGGATCATGTATGCTTCGAAGGCTGGCGACTGTTCACTTAACGTTCCCAACCGTTTCCATATAGCGCCTAGCGAGGGCATTCTCGATACAGCGTGCCCTCTCAGGCACGAGAGTGACTCCCAAGGGAAAGCCTGCAACTCTTTATCCAAGACGAGTATCGTATGGTCGTCCTTGTCATCACCGAGTGGTGTCGCGTCATGGTAGGCATGCAATCCATCCAATACTTCAACCAACATGGCATCGAAATCAATCTCATCGTATGCGTTGCGCTCACCATTGAACTGGAGGATGTCAATTACAAAGTATAACAGATCTGTGACCGCATCCTCCAAGTCGGCTTCTCGAGGGTGGCCAAGTCCAACAAAGAGCTCCAGCACATGATCGTGTAGTTGGACTGGGGAGTTACCTGACCGCGACGTCTTTTGCCTGGATGGAAGGTGCCTGTTCAGTATCGAGTTGAGTCGTTGTCCAAAGGCCAAAAGGTGGCGCTCGTCTCGGCGAGAAGCGCAGAGCATTCCACGAAAACCGCCAAACCAGACATTCTCAATGTTATCCAAAAGCGTTGACAGCTGCTGATCCAAGTCTCGACGCTCGGCCAACCAAGCTGCTCTGACTGATTTATCCGCTGAAGACCCTCTGGCATCATGTGCTGTCGCATTGGCTCTCGCGATAATCTCCAGCATCTCTTTCTTTGCGCTGGCCAGGTCGAGCTCGTCGGTCTCTCCATCTGACGGATCTGGTCTTGCCAAAGGGATTCTGACCACGAACGGAGATGCCTGACGCCTCAAGCGAGCTACGAAGAGCTCGTTCTTATCTTCGCTTAGTTCCAGGCAGACCACGGCCCACGAAGCTGGCAGGAGAGCCATATCCAGTCCCTTGGCTGTGTCAAGTTCCAAGGATCTTTCGTTATTGATTTCACCAGCGCTTGGCCATTCCTGGATTCTGGTTCTTCGGGTCGCGCTGAGCTCGGCTAAGGTGATGAAGTCTTCACGAAGCCGTGCCATATCCAACGGACGTGTTATATGCAATACCAAGTCGAGTGACGAGGGGACCAATGGCTGATTCAAGGCAGTGGAGAGCAGAGCTATCTGCGTCAGAATCTTGTAACAGGTGTGAACGAGATCAGTAGAGAGCCGATTCGACCGGGAATCGTTCAGTCCCTGCAGTATATCATGGGCCTGAAGCAATAACGCGCTCCCGTTTCTGAAAGTGCTGTTCTCTGATTGTTGCTTTGCGACCCGAGTTTTGGCGTTCACAATAGCTGCACCCTGTACGAAGGACACCCTTCCACTCTTTCTTGCAGATATATACCTCACAGGAAGGGCCACGGCTGTTTCAGCGAGCACGCTGTGTGTGGCATCATCAGAGAAAAGCTTCAAGGCAGCTTGAACCAAGTTGAGGGCCATGGAAATCGACAGTCGTCCGTCTTCGTCGTTGTGGCAGCCAATAATATTGCTGCATCCTGTCGCAGCTCCTGCCTCGCGCTCCAAGAACATGAGTCTCGCTTCCAAGGCGGATATTCTCGCGTCGACATCTCTGGCCTCGAGTGTAGATGATTCACACGACGTGGTGGTTAGGCTGAGTTCATTGTCTTTTCGGCGACCAGCTGTGCCCTGCTTCCCTGGCTTCATTGCAGTGGATCTGGTGATTTTGCCTTTCGGAACCCGACAGGCAACATTTTCGTCACTATGGATGGCATACGAAGCCCGGTGCTGCTTTGCTTCTGCCAAACACCGGTGAGCCGCTGTAGGGTCTGACATGACCAGATACGCCTCGCCTCTATTAACTAGGGCGAGTGCCTGATGGTACTCTGAGGCGTAAAGAACGTTCGTTTGAATGGACTCCAGCGTTAGCTCTCCGGCTTTTGCAATCTGGCCCGCTCGAGCATGCAGGACACTCAACTCACTCAGAACAATGGCTTTATCGGCTGAACGGCCTGTTGTCCTTGATATTTTCAGTGCCTGCTCATAGAACGTTGCAGCATCTTGATAAATCCCACAATGAGACATCAAGAATGCCATATGTCGGAAGACATCAAAGCATAACCGAACATATGGCGTACAGGAGACTGAGCTCGCCGTTAGTTGCAAAGCAGGCTGCTTCGACAGATCGAGCTTCGAGAATTGAGCAGAGATGTCGTGTATCTCGGCGTCTGCGGGAGCAGTTGATTTTGAACAAGCTGCGGAAGCCCACAAGTTGTTGATTGAGGACCAGATAGACGTAGCAATCTTGGCGGATTGTCTTGCGAGAACAATGGCCTCTAGAAGTCGATGCTGCTTGAAAGATAGCTGTGACTCCAAATAGGCTGCTCTGCAAAGCAGGCCTTGTCCTCTCAGCTTGGATTTTGTCAATGATGGTCCAGCCGACATGTCCTGGCTTTCCCAGACACCCTTAGCTCGAAGCAGGCAATGTAAGCATTCTTCGAGATTCAAAACTTGTAGGTGGTATTCAGAATATGACAGTAGCAGCTCGACTGCACAGAGCGGTTCAATCCTGGCGTCTCCAAGCATTTTGTTCGCTATTGCCAGCGATATTGCCGCAGATTGGGCATCCTGCAACCGCAGGTGGATACTGCTCTTGTGCATGAGAATGCTTGTTATGCAGAGGCCCGGAGCCTCGATTCCAAGATTCGACAGATGTTCCAGTGTCCCCAAAGCCACCAGAGCAGTGTTGTCGTTGCCGTTCATGCTGGCGTAGGCGCTTGCGAGTAGAAGTGGAAGAACATGTGCTTTCACATCTTCAAAGAGCATCTGTGTCTGCTCCAAAGTTGTACAGGAGTGGGCAATGTCGGAGAGGTGCTGCACCGCTTGGGTGAGCTCTTGATGGGTAATTGATCCACGAAAGAAACCGTGCTGAAGACACAGCAGCGATCTGAGTTCCGGCCCAAATTTGCGCAGGAAGACATCATCCTTTGTTTCATTCGCGCGAGTCAACAGGTCTTGAACAACAGCAGCGTTCACTGGGAAAGTCGAAGCTGGCGTTCTCTTCCTCAGACAGAGACCAAGAAGATGGCTGAAGGATCTCAGCATGCACACTTGGTACTCCGGCTGGCTCAAGACCTGATGTAGCGTTTCCGCCATCCTAGCACAAGCGCTGAATTGGCGATCACCCAAATCCAGCTCAAGAATTGAAAGCATCTGTTTCTCTATTAAAGCAGCTCGGTGTATTGGTGGCAGGGAATGGTCGTCGTAGAAGCAATCATTCACGTCGTCTCGTGGTGGATGATCGAGTATAGTCCTAGCATAGGCGGTAAGTACCTTTGCGAACGCTTTGCGGTTCAAGTCTTGCTCGGACCATGCGCAGCGAAGTGGCCCAGACAAGAGCAATTCCACAATGTCACTGAGTAAGCCTTGTTTGATGGTGGCAGAAATGGCATTCCGAAAAGCACTTGTAGCCATGACGAAGTTGTTCGATTCCAGAAAACAGTGCCCGAGTTTCTCGAATTTGAGTGGAAGATGTGCAGATCTCTGATCCGACAAAGGCAACTCGAGGAGGCCTTGGAGTGATAGCTCAAGCATCCTTGCTTGTTCCAGAGGCGGTCTGCCCTGTTTCACGGCTGCTAGATACCGCGACCAAGAAATTTGGGAGATCCGTAGTCGAAGCTGATTGCATTGAGTCTCCATTGAGCTTTGGGCCTGAATCGAATGGTAGTCGGTCTGGAGACCATATATCGCGGCTGAGCAGTCTTTAAGAGCCTCCCACACCATCTGCGCCAATTCAGATGTCTGTGTGATAACACAGCGATCCGTGGACAAGACAGTATCGATGGTCTTTATGAAGGCCGTTAGATAAGCTTGCTCGATGTTTTTTAGAGGAGTCTCCGCCGTCTGAGTCAATGCCGCTGTCATATGGCGTTTCAGAAATCTGAAAGAGGCATATATGAGGCGAACAAGGCGAATTTGAAGGTCTTGGGGACAACCCTCATGGGCGCGGACATGACCTTCCGTCTGATCTGCCATGACCAGCGCCGCAACCGCCTTACGGAGTCGTGCAAGGTGCACAAGGAGTCTGGCAAGTTCTGGTTGTGAGAATACCGTCCTCTCGTTAAGAGCACGTTCCAATACTTCCACCGTGCTCAACGCCTTTGGGAGATTGTGAGAGACATTCCTCAACAGTAAGGTGGTTATCCGACAATGCAGTACGAGGTTTAGGTCCCCAGACTTTGGTAAAATCTCTTCAAGAATGTATAACAGTTCTCCACCTCCATCTTTATCTTCCATAGTGTCCATTAGTGTCTCAGCAAGCTCAAGAGGTATGTCAGGTTTGCACCCCGCGGTCGTAAGCAGTTCCCGGATCGAAACAACGGAGTGTCCGACCTGTCGTGACGACATGCCCAAAACGCCGGTATAGGTTGACAGCTTCTTGAGTGCATGGTGAAATGGTCGCCATACATCGGCTGCTGGATCGGGTGTGACACCTAGGTGTGTCCAAGATTCGAATTTGACACGCAAAGACAGGAAGAACAGGTGGAAAAGAACTTCTGGTCGTGGCTTCTCCAAGCATGACTTAATGGCTGTTGCATACATTCGAGCAACGGCGAGTGCTATGGTTCGAAGCTGCAGCCCGGCCTGCTCAGGCTTGAGTCGTCCTTTTGACAGTCCTCTTGTGGTGATCCAGGCAGGACTTCCAGCTTTGTCGGGTTCGAGCGACTTCACAAGCTCAGGGCTAATACACTTGGGGCCCATCAATAGCGCAAGACGGAGGGCTTGACTTTGCATGGACGCTGTAAACCGGAATAAGGACTCGTCGTTCGCTGCATCAGACCGGCCGAGCAGAAAGCCCGCAATATTGCTCTCAAAGGCGATATTCCCTTCAGTGTAGCTTCGCCAATACACTTGTTGGATATCAGACAGCTGACAGACAGCGTGGCTCGCAAGTTCCAATGAGATGCTCCTGTCTAGAAGAATCAACGCAGCATTCTCCAGCCCAATACTTTTGCTGGCGTTAGGGCTCGTTGTTCCAGCGTCAGCTTTCCGCAGGTACTGCAAAGCGGAAAAACAGCATTCGGCAACCACTTCGGGATCACTTGGCTTGATACATGAGGGGGTCTTCTTTGGACCGACGGCATCTCTTCTCCTCTCCCCATTTCCGGACCGCTCGTGTAGAGCTCTGTCAGCCTGGGGAGGACGAAGTGGCGGTTGGCTGGTAGCGCTACATTCCCGGTCGCCTTTCAGTGCCTTGATAGTCTCTGCGAGGTTCTTCAGCGTAAGGTTGAAGGCCTCGGTAGCGATTTTGAGACAGTCGCTTTGCGACAAGTTGAGTGGGCGACCATCGTTGACCTCATGGATCTCGAACGTTGCGCCTGGTTTCTGACGTTTCCTGGTGGCAGCTCTCACAGGAGGCTGACTTTTGGCAGAACCCTTCTTTGCCGGTGGCAGCTTAGCTGGGGCATGTGCATTTTTCGTGTCGCATAGGTCGTGGGAGCGTAGACCAAGAACCGCTTGCAAGTAGCGGAGAGTGTCAGGCGTCGGTGCCGTCAATTTGAGCTCCGTACGAACAGTGTCAGAGGTCGTGGTAACAGTGGCATCGCGGCTAATTGTCATTATGCAGAATAATGCATAGTATACGTGTACAGCAGTACGATGTGTTGAGCCTATGATCCCGATGATCTGTGCAGCCACGTAATTAGTTCGAGGTCTATTCGAGCTTCTGTTGAATTGAAAGCGCGTCCACGCTGTCGCTCGATTCGATCAAGTAAACACGGCGGATCTGGTTCCGGATTCGGCTCGAGCTCGGGGCAATCGCTGCCGATCAGTTATGGCAAGATTAACCGCGTGGTTCTCCCTGCAAAGTCCCAGGCAGTGACGGTCAAAGTTTCCAAGGTTCAGCGAGAATCATAGTCGCTGTGATACTCCGCTCTACCAATTATCCTGGCCATATTCGTTGGGCAGAATGAGGCCACTATTGTCATATAGCGCCCGCCCAAGTCGTTTCGTACGCCCTCAGTCAAGCAAAGTGTTCCCTCCCCGGCGGCGCTGGGTGCAACGGCACCAACACTCAGCCTCAGAAAGCCGCCTCCCTCGTCTGGCACAACCTGGATTCTGGGACTTGATCATTCCCAAGTCGCTCCGCAGTCACTTCACCAGGTGGGGGAGCGCTGTCCCAGAAAAGCCGACGAATCCGGCAACGTTCTTCATCTGGATCTATATTCTGATCGGCTCTCAGGCCATTCGAATCATGGGCCTCAAGAACGAATTCATGGCCTACTCTCGCAAGGCCGACGTCAAGATACAGCAGCTCAGGGAGGTCGTAGAGAAACTCCAACGCGGCGAAGAAGTGGACGTTGAAAAGATCCTCGGTACCGGCGACGAGACGCAGGAACGCGAATGGGAAGAGGCTTTGGAAGAACTGCAGAGAGAGGACAGAGTATGGCAGGAAAACAGGGAGAAAAGCCGGGAAGACAAAGAGCGCCTCGCTAGGAAGGAACAAGACGCAGACCCAGTCAGTGATGCTCAGGATAGACCCGAGACTACGAATCCGTTACCCTCACCAGACGTACCTCCAGTTGCGCGGCGCCCTGGGTTTTATTGATGCTTGCAACACTCCTCGGATACATGTCACTGCAACCATGGCAAACGTCGTAGCTCAGTACTCGGTGCTGCTAATGGAACACAACCCGGGCGTCATTAAGCCACCGTGAAGGTGGCCTACGAGCGGCATCCTAAGTCAAGCCGTCTTGACCACAAACCCAAGCCGGGGAAAGTGCAGTCGGATACTGTTCTCAAGCTCGATGACTACTTCGCTTCTGCTGAGGCCCACCAATTTACCTTCTTGTGGTCTGCCACCAGGTTTAGCACTGCGGTTGGTGAGTAAGTGAACCACGAGCGGAGGCAAGAAGGACTTACTCGTCGGTTGTGCCTATAGCGACTCTCACGCCTGCTTGTAGACCTGAGGGGTCTGCGGAGTCTATGCCGATGTCCTTCGCGGAATAGGCGGAATTCAAGATCTTCTGTTTGGCGTCGTCCGCACTGATCTTCTCGGCATCCTTCTCGGGAGCGTGGAGAGGGAGACCATTGATCCAAGCATGAACCTTGGGGAAATTTCTCTCTGAAAAGCCTGGCTCGCTTTTTACGTCCAAAGTTTGCAAGACAAACTTGATCATCCAACTTGCATGAACGTCGGCAATGGAGCACTTCTCTCCGCCGATCCAAGGCCCTCGCGCCAGGAAGTCGTTCTCTACAAGATCGAGCATTTGACGGAACTCGGCCAACGCACTCGGCCGCAATTCCTTGTAGTCGGGGCGATTGAACACTGAGAAGAGCTCAGCCCTGTCCTTCAAAAACTCTTCGCTCATCAGCTTTTCTGGAACGAGTGGGAGACAGATCCAGAAGGTGCGGTAGCCGAAGGCCTCGTACGCATGGTCAGCCGGACTTTTGACTAGCGCCGCTGCCTTCTCTGGGAAGGCACTCTGGACTGCTTCGAGGAAGACGTGATTATCTGCATACAGATCACGCCCGATGGCATTGACCGGAATTCTTCTGTATGTGATTCCGAGATCCGCAAGGATGGGCCGGGGCATTACAAATGGCTGTTCGCAGACCTTGAAAGGAATGCCACACTTGCTCAAGAGATTTCTCGCCTTCTGTGCGTTTGGCGCGAACTGGTAGTCGAAAAGGACTACTGGTGGTTCCGAGACGGTACCCATTATGTTCTTGTGGACAACTATCTGAGTTATGATCGGCGGAAGAGGCACCGGGGACTATGCCAGCGTCTGACGAGAAGGACGCAAGGACCTGTCTGTCTACAACAAAATGCGCCTTGAAGATATCCTTCTCTTCGCTAGCTCGCGAATTCACTTCTTTGCGGGGGAACAAACTATCGCGACGGGCGGGGAAGATCGAGTTGCAGGTCTCGGTTACGATGGGCCAGAGGAAGCTTTTCTGGCGACGATCCAGATCTCCCGGTTGGATGCCGAGATCACTGTCATCAGCGTGAACGAACGATTCTGCGTCATTCAGGCCCGAACACAGGTGCCACTGATGGGCCGTCGTAGTAATGAATCACGCATTGGCAATGTCTGGTGGTGCCGAACGGTACGCTTACATACGCGGGCGTTAAATACACAGCACGAGTTCTGGGGGTACTCCGTACTTGGTGTTGAGTCCTCGGTACTAACACATTGCAGGCAGAGGTCGACCCTCCCTTCTCGTCTTTCCCCAAATATTCTGTTTCTGCCCATGCTTGACGGACAGCTCCGTGGTATTATCCATCCAGGACATGTGAAATCGAGCCATAGTGAAGTCATTGAAGGTAGCTGTAGGACCGTACCGATGTGCCCGGACGGGAAGGAACCTGAGTTTTCGCCAAGGCTGCGCCTGCCTCCAACTCGCCTCTCCGCTTTTATATTTTTCATACAACTGATTCACTGCGCTGCGATATTCAAGAGCACACGGCCAATTGCCTTTTAATCCATCCACTAAAAATCCCACGACCGACCCTCGCATCCCTCAGCCTTTCATCACTGTGTCCTAAAACATTGCCATATTTCTGCTACACCCTTGGGTGCTTCCCCTGTGACTCTATTTTACCTTGTACAAGATCGTCTTCTTGCTTGCCTACCAGATTGCCGCAGTTCTGCGAGATTCTCTTTTCTAGATCCACTGCGGTCTAGCTCAAATATATCGCGTCCATCCACGCACAGGTCGACAACACTCTAGCTCTTCATTTTCTTCGCGAACGCGACTTCGACTATCAGACAATAACACCGGGTCGCGTTTGCTCATCTCCCGCTGACCTCGCACCATGGCTACCGAAATTGCTCCTGTCAATGGCTTGTACGGCACATCTCAGTACACCCAGCCAGCTGAGCTTGCTGCCTCTACTCCCTCTGCGCCCACTCACGCGACCTCGGCCTCACAGAGTACGACCGCGTCAGCTACCACGCAACAACAGAAGGCCGACCCGCAAGAGATCGGCTGGTACTTTGTTGAGCAATATTATACTACTCTGTCCAAGACCCCAGAGAAGATCCACCTGTTTTACTCCAAGAAGTCTCAGCTGGTCTCCGGCGTCGAGGCTGAGAAGGTCGTTCCTGCTGTTGGCACGAAGGTGTGTCTGTTCTTCGGAAAACCTTGAGATAATGCTAACGTGTGAGCATAGGCCATCAGCGACAAGATCAAGTCCCTGGACTTTCAAGACTGCAAAGTCCGCGTTCTCAATGTCGACTCACAAGCTTCGTTCAACAATATCGTTGTTCAGGTCATTGGGGAGATGTCCAACAAGTCTGAACCGCATCACAAGTTCGTCCAGACCTTCGTCCTTGCCGAGCAACCCAACGGCTACTTCGTTTTGAACGACATTTTCCGTTACCTTAGCGACGATGTGGATGAGATTGTCGAAGATGAACAGCCTCAGGCCGAAGTTCCTGCCGAAGAAGTCCCCACCCCTGCCGAGGGTCTACAAGACACCCAGCCTCATATCGAAGATCAGATTGTCACCGAGAACGCAGCCGACGAGGTCGACGAGAAGCTTGAAGAGCAGACGGAAGCCCCACAAGATATTGCTGCAGATACCAACGGTGATGATGCCCCGGAACCAAGTGAAGAGCCCGTGGACGTTCCGGCAAGCGCGCCTAAAGAGGATGTGTTGGCAACAGAGACGACTGAGCCAGCCGCACTTGAGCAACCTGCCGAGCCCGAATCCACTCCGGCTGCGATCGAATCCACAACAGAAGCTGCTGCACCTACACCAGCTCCGGCAGCCGCTCCCGAGGCGCCAGCTGCGAAGAAGACTTGGGCAAGCATGCTTGGAGGAGGAAGTGGTGGTGGTGGTGGTGCTGTCCAGAAGCCCGCCGTTCCCGCTCTCCCAATCACAACACCAGCACAACCGAAAGCTCCGCGACCTGCGCAGCCTGCACAAGCTCCCAAGGCTCCGACTGAACCGGCATCAGCAGCCACACCACCCACAGCTAGCACGCCCACTTCGCAAAGCAACGGCTGGCAGACGGCTGAGCACAGCAAGAAAAGCAATCGACCGCAAAACAAAGCCGCCTCTGATGGAGTCACTCTTGCGTACATCAGGAATGTGAATGAGAAAGTCGACGCCAGGATCCTTAGAGAGGTTCTAGAGAGCTTCGGCGACCTCAAGTACTACGATGTGTCCCGACCTAGGGTAAGTATCAGTTTTCTCGTGCTTCTTCGCTTCCTCTAACGGAGTACAGAGCTGCGCCTTTGTCGAATTTGCTGATCCGGCTGGATACGCAGCGGCCGTTGCTGCCAATCCCCACACTGTCGGCACTGAAACAATCTATGTCGAGGAACGACGTCCTCGTCCTAATGCTTACGGCGGCAGCAATGCTAACTACACTCGTGGCGGCGGCCCAGCCACTCGTGGTGGTCGTGGAGCGATTCAAGGCGGTAGTCGGTCTGGAAGCCAGACCAATTTCCCCAAGGACGCTGGACGCGGTGGCAACGTCCAGCACCAGAGAGGTGGTAAGCCTGGCACTGGCACTATCACCCCTAAAGGTCGTGGCCAGGGTCAGACCGTGTGATGCTCCTCGGTGGGACGAGATGATGCACTCGGTCGTCTCGCGACCGAGACCAATGACATCGTCAGTCTCTGCTCTGTCGGGCCAACCCGGGCGGTACATGGGGTCGAGGTCGGACTTCAGCACCTCTTTCAACGGCGTCCTTGGAAAAGTTCTTCGTGATATCACCTTACACATCCTTTACACGATTCCAGCAGTGTCTTTCGCATAGCCAGCTTCGGGGTTGATTAGGACAAACAGCGATCGGATCACTATCACCTTTGACCATTTCAGAGAGGAGCTGTGCACAGTACCAGATTCAGATGAGCTCAGGGTCAAGGGCAGAGGGAAGCGTTGTCCTTTTGAGCGAGACCATGTACTTTGCTGTTCTAGGAGGGGCATCTTTTCAAAGAATGGCGTGGGGTCATCGGATGTCATGAAATTGTACATTAGATCCTCCTCACAGATGGGACGTTACTACGCTACCTAATGAAAAAGTTGAGGTTTCTCGTGTATTTGACAAGAGGATTAACAGAGACCGGGGTTAAGACAAACCGGCCTGGCACCCCTCACGCGTATCGTACCGACGACGTGGGGTAGTCGGCTTGGATGGGCGAGGCTGCGAAGTAACTTCAGGCCGCAATGTCGGTCGGTGGCATGTATCACTTGTACCATCCCTTGTCAGGTGCCGGTCTCGAAGTTGTGCCTCGCACGCAATGATGCCCTCCCTATAATATCCTACCATAACCCGGCGACCAGACCTACAAGATACCAGTTCCTATGACCACACGATGCGACCTGGCGTCAGCCTCGATAGCAATGCAGCCGAACCACTCCGCCCTCGCAAGTCGTCCAACGCCGATGCATCCTCCCTAACCAGCGAGCGCGATCGATGTACCAATACTGCCGCCACTACCTTCTTCTTATCCCGAGATCCTGATGGCGGCGCGGGGCCTCAACAGGCTGAACGGGCATCTACGACGATGTTATACAACTCACCCTTGAGTAGCCTGCAAGATACAGTGCAAGAAGCCGACCGTGCTGCGAAGCACGTAGCACCTCGCTCAGCGAGAAGCGGAAGTCGACGGCGGTCAACAATCAGGCCAGGCACCGCAGGGCGCTTCATTAGAAGAGGGTCGTCCGATGCCAGCGCGGACGCAGAGACCTGTACCAGTCAACCACCTCAGTCCACGCTATCAGATAAGGAACGGACACGGGCCATTACACCTTCTCCGTTGCCCTCGCGAGAGACATCCCTCCCAAGCAGTCCGAAATCGCCCGCTTCACGGCAGTCACTGTCGAAGTCTAGCTCAGCCTCCGATAACGAGCTGTTGACCAGCGCCGACGAGACGGACAGCCAAGCAGTACTGTCGAGTGGTGAAGAGGACGAGAACGAGTACCGGCCGACTCGAAGTCCTACTTCACAACGACTACGGTTGCCGTTCGGAGAAGGCATTCATGATAGTCACCCTGAACTCATCATGCCCAGCATCAAGATGCCGTCTCGAAGGCCTTTCACACAGCGAGGGAAGAGGTTGGGGAGGTTCAAGATTATGGTTGCTGGTCGGAAAGGTGTGTATCCATCCACCCCTAACTCCTGTAGAGTGCTGATCGACTTAACCGCCCAGGCATCGGCAAGACATCGCTTATCAAGTCCATCGTTCAACTCTGCGAAGACATTGTCCACGTCGATCCTATCGTCTCCGCACCAGGCTCGTCTCACCCCTCCACAAGAGGCCGAGATCAAATCAATGAAGTTTATGCCTCGACGAAACCCTACCCCGAGTGGTGGTCTACCATGGAGGAATCCCGCATTCTCCGGAGGCGGAAGTCCATGGGAGATTCCGTACTGGAAAGAAACATCTGCTTCGTTGACACTTCGGACACGGCTAGACTAGAGCGGGTTATCCAGTATGCCGAGATGCAGCTGGTCAATGCTATGAGCTCGGTGGATCAGCTCGGCAGCGAGTTCTCAGGTTTGCTCAGCGGAAGAGGTGCAAGCCAGGTTGATGTGATTCTGTATTTGATCTCAAAAGGTAAGACTCCCTTCGTTGATGGTGCGCCTATTTGTGACTGATGCGAGGAACGCAGATAACCTGCAAGACGACGCACAACGAATCCGCCAACTATCGGACCTTTGCAACGTTATTCCGCTCATTGCCAAATCCGACCTACTCAGTCCTCAAGAGCAAGATCAACTGAAACAATCCCTCGATCCGAGCCTATCTAGTTTACCTCGCCTGCCCAGCTCTGTAACTTTCTCAGAAGCTGTAACGGCGACCGTTGCAGAACCTAACAGAATTCTTGCGGCAGCAACAGCACCCTACACGGTGACTTCTACCAACGGGCCCGACCTCGATACGATGGACGCTTCCCTCCTCATGTCGCCAGAATATATTCAACCTCTACTGCCGTCGGAGCTCAGCCTTCTGATAGACCAGATCTTCGAGCCCGACACAATCGCATATCTGCGCCACAACGCCGCTCGCAAGCTTGTTAGCTGGCACGTCTCTCACCCAAAACTGGTCTCAGCACCACGGTCACCGTCCATCGCATCCTCACCACCTCAATCATATAATCCATCCGTGCGCAACTCCATTCTAACGTCGCCGTTGCAGACACCACTCAGCCCGTCGCAGTCAGGCGTTCTGATCCCAGGAGGGTCGGAATTTTCTTTGAATACGTCCAACTCCTGGGCACTAGCCAAGGTCGCAGACCACACGCATCGCGAAGAACGGCTTGCCCAAATCAGGCTCTCGAAGTGGGCCAGCGAGTTGCAGTTGAGCCTACAGCGCGAACGCGAGAGATATGAGCGACTTGCCCGTGGGGAGCGAGCTGTCTGGCTGGTCGAGAAGATGGGCGAGGAAGTCCGTGATGGCAAGATTATGCCCGTAGACAATAATCAAGCGCTAGTGCGCAAGAACGGCAAGGGCAGCATTACATATGGCGACAGCGAAGCAGTCCCGAGCTACCAGATGCATGACCCCCTTGGCCTGCTCAGGTGGCAGGATTCCATGCGCGCAAGGGGCTGGATCGCGTTGCAGATTGTGGGAAGCTTTGGGGTAATGGGTGGACTTGCGTTTTGGCTGGCAAAGAATCTCGGCATGACGGGAAGTATTCATGACTGGTGGACGCAGGTTTGGGATTCTCTCGGCTGGCATGAAGGATGAACGACTGGGATGACATCTCCGCACAGATGTGTATGAATGACTGACGACGTTGAGCACAGCAGGAGGATGAGACTGATGCATGATTCAGACCGATGCAGCATGGTCCGCGCAGTGGCATTCATAGCATCGGGCATGTGTTGCCGAAGCAGCGCTTTTAAGCATGAATACCTCGACTTCCAGCCGCCTCCATGGTCGTGAATAGACTCCGTTCCCCTCCGAATAACTCGCTGTGGTCAGTATCGCAGAACAGAACCACGAGAACACGCGGCTCTGCCCTCCCATTTTGGTGGGAAGTTGTCGTCGTCGTCAACCAGATTACTAACAGATACGAGTTGCACTCCTTAAGTTGAGCCGTTCAGCCACAGACTGACCAAGCACTGGAGTCTGGCCCTGAACGAGTCTTCCATCGGCCCTACCCCTCGCATTGTGGCTGACATCCTTCGCTTCCGTCCCGCCTTTCAAGTTGACTATCGTTCTTCGTGCCAAGCGAGAGTGGAAGTAGATTGTGGCACCACGGACGGGAAGTGAGGAAAGAAACGGCGACAGTGCACCGGCTGGCAAGGTGGAGAATTCAGACACGAGGCCGTGAAACACGAGGTTGCATAGTCGAGATCCGATGGCCGGATTTGTTATCTCTACGCATAGCCTTGAAACAATAGGCTCACCGCCCGCTCAACGGTCGAGCAGATGTCGACGTTACTGCACTGAAGTTAATCGTGAGGAGCAGCAGATTCCTGCCTCGCTTAGAGCTAATTCGTAGGCCTGAGAAAAGCAGTCAGTTCTCCGATGCCCGCTTGGAATCGCATGTTGCTTCTCAGCTTTCTCCCGGCTTTGACGTCAAGGCTCCAAATTACGAAGTGGTAAGCACAAGACTCTGTCAAACATGTTCTAGACCACAGGTACGAAAGCTTCAAGACATGTCGAGCACCGGCGTTCATGCAGCTCGGGTCGACGGTTCTGCAAGGAGTGGCCACGAGGGTGCGAGCAGTCTGGGTGCACGGAGTAAAGGTTGGCATGCATGCAGGTCAGGAACCACGTGGAGCAGTGGAACCATGCATCTTTCTGGATGGCTAATTCTGAAGCAGTGGCGTCATGCAGGGGAGATGAAAACAGAAAGGCCCAAGGCCGTGTGGAAGGTGATTTCGCGCCTAGACAGGGGAGAGCAAGCAACGGGCTGTTGCCCAAGTGAACGTCGGTAGCTGTGGCTTTCACAAGTAAAAGTGCCATTGGACAGGCACCTCCGGAAGAACCCCCGGACGCTAGACGGCGGTTTCTTAAGAGTAAACCAAGGCAGCCGTGGAAGCTCCAGGTCACCAAGCAACATCCGCAAGGGCATCGCTCTTCATCCTCTCTCTTCAGCTTCCTCACCCGACTCACCGGATATCCGAACCACAAAGCGACACGCCGTCCTCGTACATATCTTTCTGCCCACCCCATCTGAACCAGACCTGAATCAGCCCTCTCCAGACTAACTATCATTATCCGACTTCAGTCACCACACCGACTCTTTTCTACACCTCGTGGCATCAACACGTCAGGACTCAGTGTCCAACACCTCCCTAACCGGCTTTGATCATCAACGTAACTGCGCTTTTTGGAACACACCTGCACAAAGCAGAACTCCACTGCCGCCGCTTCTGGCTCTGAGCTTCCCTCTGCTGTGGGGAGACCTTCTGAGTGTCGAGCTGGAACAGCGTCACCACCAATTTGAGAAAGACCACCACTGCCACAGCAACTATTCTTTATCGCCCCTGCGCACAACTCTCGACACTCTTTCCACCACGTGCCTGTAACACACCACCGCAGCCATGTCTCGCAGGTCTCTCGAATCTCAAAGGCCGATCATCGCTCCAAGCGTGCGTGACACCTCCAATGCAATCTTAATGGAAATTGTCGCTAACGGTCTTTGACAGATCACCTCGAAGCGCACCTCCAAACGCTACTCGACCTACTCTGCCTCTCCTTCTTTCGCTACTACCAATAGCAACTGCTCCAATTCCCAAACACTTGTCTCCGGCTCTGCCGCCGCCCCAGCGACCATATCCGTCAGTCCCGAAGTCGGCATGGCTGAGATTCGACACGTCACGCAAGGACTCGACAGACTAGAGAACAAACACCTCCAACAGCAACGCTTCGTGCCTTCGCTCAAGAAGACCGATGAGCTGAGCAAGCTGAGCTTGGGCGCAAAGGTCGAACGTGCCCTGGGCAGAAGAATGTCCAACCAAGACGCTGTCCTGCGGGTCAAGCGGCCCAATACAAAGACGGCGAACTCGTTCTCCATTATCGATGAGAAAACCGCACTCAAGGCTTAAGCCATGAATTTCTTCGACCATGAAGCTCTGTTACTTCTGGTTTGACTTGGCAAGGCCGAGATTCTGTTGGCAAGCTTGCCTAGCCGTCGACCAACACCTCCACTCGAGGTGTTGAAGCAAACTACTTTTGGGGCAGTGTACGATGTCTATGCGGCGCGGTTGTATCAGTGTTACGATGCTCGTTTCAAATGTTTTTGATGTTGACGCTCTGAACATTGAGATACCATTTCATTTTCAAGCTTGCATACGCTTGAACGCGTTGGCGCGATTTGGGTTGCGGGCGGTTCGCCTTGCGGTTTATGAGAGGCCGGTGGCAGGGACGTGGTCTTCGTTGGCGGTGTTGTGGTGACGATCTGGTAGTGGGCGACGGCTATTCGGCACACGGCCATGGCGACCAAGGGGACCTGGGTCGACCGGCAATACTGGAGATGGGGCCATTCTGGTGTCGGATCTAGTCATAGACACGCAAGTCAGCAATGCAAACTATCAACATTTGAGTAAAGTATCAAGGGCTCACGATACTTGACCTGCCGCAATGGCAGTATTCCTGAGAGGCCACGGGCACACTGCTCGAGCGGGGACATGAAGGCACAACTTGCAAGTCAGAGCTATGTACTGAAGACTCACCAGCCTTTACAGACCAACAATGCCTCGGACAGGTATGCCAAAAAGTAAGTCGGTCTTCACTTAGCCTGTATTGAGCATCAAGCTTAAGTGGGCATGTTGCAGAGATCCGACAGATATGGGGAGCCCTTGGATCTACTTAGTGTATCACAACATGTACATGTATTTCCCTTGCAAGTATCGATCGATCGACCTATCTAACCCTTTGGGCAGTCCACCCAGAAAGGAAGGCGGGTGGGAATAGGAAGCCCATGAATCTACTGTACCACGGCATGTATACATAGTTTCCCTGGCAAGTATCTTATCTATCTACCTATCTACCTGTCTACCTATCTACCTGTCTACCTATCTACCTGTCTACCTATCTACCTATCTATCTATCTACCTATCTATCTATCTATATAGGCGGCCCACCGAGACCGGAAGGAGAGTGGGAACAAGAGAGGAGGAGAGTGTTACGGAAGTGCGGACAGCATATTGCAGAGATCAGACAGACATGGAACCCATGAATCTAGTCGCTGTATCACAGCATGGATCTCGAATCCCCTGGCAAGTACAGTATCTATCGATCTACTGTATACCTATCTATCCGCGTAGACTGTCCGCCGAGGAACGAACGAGGGTGAGGGTGAGGGTGAGAGTGAGAGCCAGAGTGAGAATACCAATAAGAAGGGAAGGGCGCCCAGCGGGTCGGAAATCCAGGCCTGGTCTGGGGTTTCTCTGCTCCGTTCTCTACTTCACTCCAAGGTCTCGACTTTGTCTCTGCTTCGTCTCTGCTTCGTGTCTGCTTCCGCTTCTACTTCCATCCAACATCTCCTTTAGCCAACTGCTTGGGTCAGACCGCCCATTGTTCAACCACCAACACAAACATCCGGCAGACAGAGACAAGACAAGGAAAGGGAGGTGGAAAAGAAACAGAGAAATATTTCCTCTGCTTTTGCTTCAGCTTCGCTTCATCATCTCTTCGGTCCACTGCTTGAGCCAGACGCCCCATTGTCCACCCCCACACACATGCATCCGACAATGCCAAAGTAAGGGAAGGCGAGGGAAGGAAAGGTAAGGTAAGGTAAGCTCACGTTCACGTTCACCCACACAAGCGTCCGACAATGCAAAGGCAACGAAGGGCAAGAAAAGTATAAGGTTAAGGTACACACAGAGTGAAAAGGAAACAGAGAAATGTCCACACTCAGTCAGGGAATCAGTCAGGCACGGCCCATACACGCACGCACGCACGGCACGCCATACACCAACGGTTCACGCACTGTTCATCCACACGCCGATCCTCGCACTGCCACCGCAGAACTCACGCGCATCGCCCGCACAAAGCATATTACACTCCGCCTCCGGCGCCGGAACCGCGGCCTTGCCCCCTCCTCCTCCTCCTCCTCCACTCAGGACGTTCGCGCAGTAACACTCCTTGCCAAACTCGACGCCCGCGAACTTGTATCCCTTGGACAGGCACGTCGAGGCGCACATTTCCTGCGTCATCCCCGTGGCGTTTGCAGATGCGTACCCGCCGCCAAGTGTGCGCCGCGAGGCCGAACTGTCCGTGAAGCACCCCTGGTAAGAGTACCCTCCGGGCAGGACCGGGTTGGCGGCCGGTGGCGACAAAGAGGTGTTGTTGTACACGCTCAGCCGGCTGCGTCCGCCGCATGTGCTCTGCGTATCGCCTGGGCAGGGCATCGTGCAGCCCGTCGCGTCAAATACCGTGGTCGGCGCGAGGGGGGTGGCTAGACCGCAGTAGCATTCTTGGCTGTACTCCAGCCCTGCGAGGGGGAGGTTGCGCGCGCTGCAGAAGGAGATGCACATCGCGATGGTCATTCCAGGGGATGTGGTGGACGCGGCGGAGAGGAGGCGGCCTTGGGTGGCTTCGGCGGCGCAGCCGAGGTATACGGCTGGGAAGTACGGGTTGGGTTGCGGGAAGGCGGTGGACGAAGTGGTGGTGCTGCTCGTGGTGGTGGTGGAGAGAGTGCTAGAGAGACGGGTGGAGAATGTCGTCGGGAAAGAGGTGGAGCTGGTAAGACGGTTTGTCGTAGTCGCCGAGGTTGTGCTTGGGCTCGTGCTTGTGCTTGGAAGGACCGTACTGCCACTCGATGACTGAGCAGGGATGAAGCTGGTGCTGAAGCCGTTGCTGCTTGTCGACAACGTGCTGGTTGGTGATAGAGTACTTGCTGGGGCAGTGCTCGTACTGATGCTGAGTGTCCCAATTGAAGATGTCGAAGAGCCGACGGTAGAGACTGAAGTTGAAGTTGTGCTGGTGCTTCCTGATGATGACCGAGTGGTGGAAATAGTAGGGCCTGACGAAGTGGTGAGGCTAGTAGCTGACGTAGAGGTTGCACCAGTTGTCCCAGGCCCAGGACTGGACGTTGTGCTTGTGCCTGACGAGGACCTGGAAGTAGAGCTAGCCGGTGAGGTCATTGCCGAGGCGCTCGATGTTGTTACAGTGGAGCTTGACGAAGTTGGGGCGGCCAGAGTCGAGGGCGATGAGGACGCGCTACCAGTACGAGAGATACTCGATGAGGCGCTAGAAGTAGATACTGCCACAGCAGTGGACAAGCCAGAAGAGGTCGTCACTGAAGTCGACGTGGACGCGGCTAATGAGGAACTGGAGTTGACGCTCGATGTGGAACTTGTGGTTATACTCGAATTTGACCTCAGCGACATCGTACCTGATGACGCGATCAGGGACAAACTGGAGCTGACACCCGATGTGGTACTTGTGGCTGTGCTTGGATTCGCCCTCAACGACATCGAAGTCGACGTTGACGCGATCAAGGAGGAGCTGGAGCCGATACCCGATGTGGTGGTTGTGACTGCGGCTGAACTCGAACTCGGCGGCACAGCATATTGGTAGAGAGACAGCCCATTCGGCCCGCCACAGATGGTCGACGAGTTGCCACCACAGGTCATGGAGCAGCGCCCATCTGTTGCAGTCACAGAGCCAGACGCAAGACTGTTGCCGCAGTAGCACTCTTGGCTGTACTCGATGGCAAAATAGGTGAAGCCAGTACAATTGCCCGCACAGAACGGCACCGTCATGTCCTTCGAAGCGACAGCCTTACCTGTCAAAGCCCGCCCAGGGACTTCAGTATGGCAGTCGACATACTGGTAGTTGCCGACACTAGGAACGATGACTGGGCCGGATGGCTGATTCGGTGTCTGTAAAGGAGGAGTAGAAGCAGACCAATCGGTGTTCCGGTACAGTGTCAAGCCATTGGGGCCACCACAGGTGAAGCTTGAGTTGCCAGAGCAAGCCATGCTACAGCGGCCATCCGTTGCCAAAATGCTTCCTGATGTAAGGGCATTTCCGCAGTAGCATTCACGGCCGTACTCGACGCCAAAGTATTGGTATTGGGCGCAGTTGCTGGCACAAGTTTCGAGTGTTAGACTGTTATCCGCAAGGGCGAAGCTAGTGAGGGCCCGACCAGCCACTTCGGTGTAGCATGACTGATAAGTGAAGTTGCCGATGGTTGGTGGAGTCGTAGGGCCTGTTGAGGGAGTGGGATTGTCGTTACCTCCACCCGTGGAAGGTGGCGTGCTGGACAGTGTACCATTCCCGTAGACGTACATGTTGAGTCGGCTTGGACCTCCACAAAGTTCAGTCTGATTGTTGTTGCATGTCATGCTGCAGTCTGTTGCGCTCGCACTTACAGATCCAGCTGCCAACGTATTCCCGCAGAAGCATTGACCGCCATATTCGACACCGGAGAACAAGTAGCCTTGGCAAGCTTGCAAACATCCGGCCACCGTGTTGTTGGATTGGGTTTGAACATTGAGAGCACGGGAATTGGTGCCTTCGGTGTAGCATCCGACACTGTTGAAGCCCAGTTTGCCAGGATTGACGTATGGCCCTGGTGCGTCAGTAGAATTGCCGTTCCAACGGGTGATGTCGCCAAACAGGGAGATGTAAGACCCTGTCTCGTCGATACCGTTACCGCCGCAGACCTCATTGACATTGCCATCGCAGGCGAAATTACAGTTGGCATCATCGACGACTTGCTGCGGCCGATTGTAGCCACACCAGCACTCTTGCTCGTACTGGGTGCCAGCGAAGATGTACCCTGCAGCAGAGCACAGACCTATACACTTCTCGTTTGTGTTAGCTGGTCCACTGTAGATGGCTGTTTGGAGTTGTCGACCCGGGTTGTTCTCCTTGAAGCAGCCTGCATATCGGTAGATACCTTGTTGGGTGACCGGGTCCAACGGCGACGCTTGCTCCGAGACGGCGTTGCAGAAGAATTGGATGTGCTGCTTTCCGAAAGTGGGATCGTTGAGATTCATTGTCCATTGAGCCGTGCCGTTGTAGGGATCGACGTTGATCTGACTCTTCGGCACGGAACAGAAAAGCGTGGCAGTGAGGTTTTGCCTAGCATAGACGAGTGTGCCTTCCGCAAGATCGACAGCGTTGTTGGCACCGATGATGCTGCCTGAGATACCGAATGGAGGCTTGCTGACAGTTATTGAGATCGGCGCGGCATTTGCAGACCCGTTGTTGCTGAGACGGAGTTTGAGAAAGCGGCTCGTGTTCTCCGTGACATTGCCGAAGCTAAACACAGTGGTGTTGTCGTATGGCACCCAGCCTCCGTTGGGTGACTCGAATTCAAGGATAGCTTTTGGCTCATCCGACCCTGCTGCAAGCACGTCGATGACTTTCGTGCCGCCATTCGACACAATACTGACGAAAGCAGCGAAATTGGCCGAGTATGGCGGATTGAAGTTGATCGGAACCGTAACGGCGCTGTTAGGCGGTATCGACGACGGCATGTTGTAAAAGGTGAAAGCGGATACGACAGCCGCCGCTTGTGTACCATTCGGAGTGATCCAGGGCCCAGTCTCACCGACAACAGAATACTGAATCTTGCTGATAATGAGAGGACTGTTGCCGAGGTTGCTGATGATGACGGACTGATTGACACCCCCAGCTTGCTGTCCAGTGATGACGCCGTTCCAACTGACTGTATTCGGTGAGGTCATCAACAGAGCAGCTTGGCTTTGACCCGTACCTTTGAGCTGTACGGGCGTATTGATACTGAAGCCAGCAGCTTGCTGTGTGGTGTTGAGGATGACAGAGGATGACAAGGGACCGACTGTTTGCGGCGTAAAGGTCGCCTGGAATGCGAATCGTTGTCCCTTGGCAATTACGAGAGGGAGACCGGGCAGAGCACTGATGGCAAAGTTCGGATTGCCCGAGATACTTGCGGCGGTGACAGTAACAGCAGTATTCGCTGTGCACTGAATGGTCATCGGTGCCGTGGTGGTGTTCAGATTGGCTGTCCCGAACTGGAGAGAGGTGCAGTTTAATGGCAAGTTGACAGGCGCACCATATGCATACAGGTATCCTTGCGTTGTACCCTGATACACGATGCCGTCTCCAAACACAGGTCTGGTGAACTTGGTGGTTCCGGGCGTGACAAAGGAGTTGATCTCCGTCATCAGGCCGTTGGAGTCCGGGATAGCATTATAGATGCGTAGGTTGGAGCCTTCGACATCGGATGTCCACACCAGGCCGGTCCCAGGCCGATCGTTGAGCGAGGTTACTGTGCCATGACCGACACCGAGAACGTACGCATTCTTCTCGGGAGAGTCCGCCACCTTGTTGAAGTAAGGAACGCCGTCGTTGCAGGAGAACTTGAACACATGTGTCTGATACTGGATGACGTTGATATAGATGTATCCACCTTCGAGAGGGTATACGCCGGCACCAGCGTAGACCGAGTTCTCGTTCTGATAGACCTGAACGACGTTATCGAGTTTATTTGGGCCATTTTGGTAACCGCCAAGGTTGTCGAGGTTGAGCCAGTAGGTCTTCCCACTCTTGCCGGTAACCACTCCGATGCGTTTGATATCTCCACAAGAGAATTGGCTCGGAAGAATCTCCAGCGGCGACGTACCAAGATCTGGTCGTAGTCAATTCGAGTCCAACGTGTTCAAGATGACGGATCGTACCTTTATCAGCACCGTCCAGTTGGGTCTTCTCCCAGGGCATGAAGAAGTCGACGACATTCAAAGAGCCGTCTTCGTTGATTGCCATGTGAACTGCGGCTTCCTCGAGAGAGGTAGGTGGGTTTCGTCCATTGACTGGGACGCCACCGAGCTGAGAAGCATAGCCATTTCCAGAAGCGAAGAACATCGAGCCCTTGTCGTCGCTCGCGAGGCCACCTCCCGACATCCACACGCCTGCACCAGGGACAGTGGGCCCGACGCCGGCTAAGACAGTTAGAGACTTCCGAACGATGCAACTGCATTTCCACGTACCACCTTCAGTCGCGAATCTCTCCACGATCTGTCCAGTGCCCTTGTGCCAGCCCACGATCCAGCCAGTAAAGTTGTACAGCACGCTAGCAGAACAATGGAGTCAGTAAGTGGGTGTGGGAACGAGCAGCAGGAGTTCTACGCACCAATGACTCGCGAAGCCAGCGTAGACATAATCGCCAGTGTGGAGCAGAGCGGGACGTTGGTGATGGATGCCGCCGTTGAACGATCGCACTGGATTGTTGCGAGCCACCATACCCTCAAGGTTGAGAGGGAAATTGGGTCTCTCACTGAGATCCACAGTACTGATGGCATGGACGTAGTATCGGCCATTGGGGCGGCCGTTTGTCCCAGTAAGACTCTGATCGATATAAGTCTTGGATGTGAAGTACCATGTGTCCTGCATATGTCAGACTTAACCACGATGCCTATGGTAAAGTGAACAACCGTACCGTCTCTGGGTCGATAACGCCAGTAGCCGTTACACCGACGGTTGGGTTGATATCAACACATCCGTCCAGATCGTTGACCAAGAATGGCCGATGCAGGTTCCGGGAAGCGACAATTACGCCCGTCTTTGCCGCGACTTTGTACACATTATTCTGGGTCGTGGCAACATACACATACTGGACACCGTCGGAGCCAGTGTACACAAGCGGCTGAGAGAATAGCTGTTCGGGGACGTTCTGACCATTGATGGGGTATGTTCCCGGCAACCGGGCCTTGAATAGGAGCCCGAATTGAGAACTTCCAACCACAGCTGGGTCCATGTTGTGATTATTCTGGTAGCCGCTTCGGTCGTTGGAGCCACCCCATGTGATGGTGTCTGTGCTAGCCAGGGAGTCGACATGCGGGACAAAAATTAGATACAAAGAAAGCAGAACTGTGGCGAGTGACTGGAATGAGAAACGAGTGGACGACGCCATAGCGACTGAAGAGCACAGAGAACCGTTAAAAAGAGTGGCTGCAGAAGATCGGCGATGAACGAAGGTTGTGGAAAGACTGCAGACTTTCGAGTTGCAGGAGAGGGTAGAGTCACCATAATATCATGGCCTCAGCAGTCCTCTTCTTCGGAGAGGTCGTGAGGGCCATGGCGCAGAGGCCGCATCATCTGAGTCTCGGTCTTGGGCTTGATGCAATTACGAGCGTTGAGGTGTTTGTGAATTGGTCCACACATCCCCAATTCGGTGGTCGTCGAACCAGGATTGAATCAGGGGCAGAGCTGGACTTTGGACAGTGCTCATCGTTCAATGAGGCCGTACAAAGACTCCCTAGGCCCAGGGGAAGCCGCTTGGAAGCGAAGCTGCAGGCGACATCTGCGACGACAGGATGACCCTCCGTATGCGAGGAGGGCTGATCGCCTCCCAGTTGCTTTCGCAATCTCTGTAAAGCTTCGGGCCTGTATGGTCGTACAGCTTCTGTCAACCACGAATGGTGGTACGAGCTCATCCTCGGGTTTGATGTGCTGGAAATCAGATTCCGAAAGTACGTGTCACTTCCTGTAAAGGGGATCTGGAACATCGGCTTGGTTGACACGTCGACGAGTTGTGTGGCAGGTGTGGGGGTAAGCCACCAACCAGGATGTTGACAGTCGAATTCACAACTGAGGTAAACGTCGCGCCTGGGCTCATCACGCCGTCATATGTTTGAGTAAAGTGCAGTTGGGAGCCGCAGCCAGCCAAGATTTGAGAAAGTGTTCTGACAGTATCGCACAAGTTCAAGTCCCATTACAGACGACCGCACGGATCCGCGCTGAACTAGGGCGCGTGTTCGCCACTTCGGGAACTGCAATATCCCCTTTTCGACCGCTAATCTCATCATAGTGGAAGGGAATCTGGCCGTACCATACCTTTAATTCATCTTCGTCTCTTGGTGGAGAGAGCGCCGGGACAGACAACGTAGAGAATTGACGAGGAGGATCGAGAGAGGCGTTAGTGGCCGGCAACGTTGCGTCTGGACATCAATGACCCACCCTATAGAGCCCCCGCGGAGCAGTAGACCATACACGCAACGCACGTCTGCCGCTTTCAAGCCAGTCGCGTCAGCACCGCGTACTCCCTACTGTTGTACCTGATGATGTGCGCAGCGGCCTCAAGATCTACCAATCTCATCAGGCACAGAGCTTCAGCTGCGATTGGAATTTCATCTGACTGCGCACGTCTTGTGGTCGGACCCTTTTGTTCTTGGCAAGGCTGCGATTCGAGAGGGGGCTCCGGGTTGGCGCAGGAGGTCCAAGGAGGCGAAATCAGAGCCATCTCGAAAGGTTGAAGTCCTGGAAAAGTATCGGATTACGGACTACCTACCTCGTACTGGATATCCAGATCTAGGTGGGTTTCGGCAACAGACGACCAGGCGAGCACTCTAGCTGGTGGTCTGAGCTCTCCATGACCAGCACACAGTATATGACTGTGTCATTTTTCATGTCCGGCATCCTCTGTCGAGGAGACCCACCAGCACACAATAGAAAACGGAACAATTCAACGTTCAAAAATGGTGTGATCCCAAATTATTACATCCAGGAGCAACACTCGTGTGGCCGATCCCAAGGCCTGGCATGAGTTTGCGGGGAATCACCGAGCCCGAGCTGACCACCAATAAGGGCAGGCTTTCTTTGGGCGTGCTCGCATGTCACACATGGTGACACGGCGAGGCCCTTTGAGGTGACGTCCCCTTTGCGATGGAATAATCATCACATGGGCCAAGGTAATGTCATCGTTCCACCTTTTTTGGTCGGCCTTCGTTCCTGTCGATGGCAAGGCGAAAAGGGCTCCATGGGGCTCTCAACGACCTGCCCGCAGGATATAACCGTCTGTATTGTGGCGGGGTAGATGACTACGGACCAACTCTCACCACGAGTTGAACAGCGAGTGGCATTGCAGATGATTCTTACAGTACTTGATAACCGGATCGCCACAGGACCTATATCCACGAAAAGACGATTAGCGATCTATCGGACCAGATACATGCAGCCTTGTCTCGCAAGTCATCCAACAATCTAAAAGGGTCAAAGTGTCTCCGACACCCTAATCCCACACCGAACAATTCGAAAGACAAGAAGCGCCTCTGACCACATAAATCCCGCACAATTCAACAATCCAGAAGACCAAAGGGCTTCTGACCACACGGAACCCGCAGAATCCAAGAGTGAGAAAAGACCGAAAAGGCATCCGACAACGCAATTCTCACACAACCCAACAACCATGTCTTCAAACTCTCCCCCAGCATACACCAACCCCGTCGACCCCAAACTCGACCCCAAACACCACCGCCTCCCACCCTACCGCGCCAAACACAGCTTTGCAAACAGCGCCGAAGAACTCGCCGCCCTCAACGAGTTCGCCGAGTCCAAACTCTACGTCAACCCTGGGTCGGACGGCACTCTTCCCGACTTACAGAACGGGGGCTGGGGCTTGAAGTCGCTGGCGTGGGGTGGACCCATGCAGGGTGAAGTGCCGGGCGACAGGGGTTGGCCCGCGCCAGAGACGGCCGAGGAGAGGAAACGGAGGAGAGAGGCCGAGAAGGCGAGGAAGAAGGAGGAGCGGGCCAGCAAGGGGAAAGGGAAAGGGGGTGTAGGGGAGAGGTTGAAACGGGTCATAAGTGGAGGGAGTGTGAAGGAGGGAGGCAGGTAGGAAAGCGTGCGTTGGTAACCTTGTGTTGCGCTGTACTGTGCTGTGTTGTGCTGTGTTACTGTAAAGTACTCGGCTGCTGTGTTGGAAAACTTGCGTGGGTGGGCATTCCCATCACCGGTTTTGGTCCTCTTTCCTGTAGCCGGCGTTGATTATCGGCTTCGGATACTTCGTACTTTTCTCACTCTGCAATATCTGGCCTCACATGGAGAAGTACATGGCGACTGGCGAATGTGATCCGGATTATTAGCATTTCCCTACACCCCAACGATCAGTAGTCGGCGTGTTCATTGTCCGCGTGGAAAAGTTCCTCTCCGTGACTGGAGTCTACGTTCAACCGGCGGAATAGTGATTGTAGATGGGCGCACTGAGTACTGTGACTCTAGTCGTATATTCTGCTCCGCTGTACACACCTCCAGGGATGAATGTGTGAAGTGCCCTACCGGACAGTCCGCTGATTCGACCCATTGTTGGTGCCTCTCGTGCCTCACAGTACATTAGATGACTTGGTTCATCATCAGCTACTCCAATGCCATGGTGCTCGCGGCCCAGCCAACTTGGTTACTCACTCGACATTGCACATGGGCCTGGTGTGCTACGGCGTTGACGAACTACATTGCCGCGCACTTGCTGTACTCGGACATTGCCTCGTGGGGGATGGTGTCGGTGTCCCACCTTGCGATCGTAACACCGAGAAGTGCTCCATCCGGTTACACATGGTGGCCTGTGGGGCTACGCCCGTCACCACTACGAGCACATCTTCTACCTCACTTGTACAGATGTTCTACTTTGGTTGCGTCAGATCTAACAAAGTCGGTAGCACATCTGTAGAACAGCGTGCATGAGTACCGGCAGTATACTGTAGGTATAAGTTCCCAGCGGATTTACAAACGTCACACAGGTCGCGCCCGTACTGTGTACAGTACTGGTGCTGGGATCGACTCGCGGGGTTGAAGTTCAGTTCGACGCCCGAGGCGGACTGATCTGATATACAAAGCGCGACAAGAAACAAGGATCGACACCTCTCCCTCCCACTCCAACAACCAGGACTTCGCCCTGAGGCACAGTTACACCCACGAGCCTCCAACATACCAAGTAAGGAAGGACCATCAATCCAGTCTTCCAGATCCAAAGCCACCGGTACACCCACAAGCACACTCAGTCCGTGGCAGTCAGTCACTGTCACAGCCATTACCACCACCACCAGAATGTCCGTCTCAACGTCCGCCTCCGCGCCCAAATATGCCCCCTTCACAATCCTTACGACCTCATACAAATCCGTCGATGACCACCCAATCAACGTCTACACGCTCGTTCCGAAACTGGTCCTCGCAAACATAACCCCCGGCGACGCCGCAAGTGAGACCTCCAAACCCACGCCGCTCCCCGTATTGGTCAAATTCCACGGCGGGTTCCTGGTGACCGGCGACGCCCTCTACGACGACTGGTTCCCGCAGTGGCTGGTCGACTACGCCCTGCAGCACACCGCCGTGGTAGTCCTACCAAACTATCGACTCCTCCCCGAGGCGAACGGGGCGGAAATCATGGACGATGTCGCAGATTTCTGGACCTGGCTGCGCGATGAGTTCCCTCGGTACTTGAGCCACGAGGCGCCCGGGCTTCAGGTCGATCTGTCGAAGGTGCTGGTCACGGGGGAGAGTGCGGGCGGGTATTTGAGCGTGCAGTCCGCGCTGGGCAGTTCCGCGGGGTTAGCGAAGGCTAGCATCGCGACGTACCCCGTGCTGGATGTCGCGAGCCCGTTCTACACGGAGGAGTACGACAAGGTGATTCTGGGGGCGCCGACTCTGCCCAAGGACGTGCTGGGGCGGCACATCCAATCCGTCGAAGACGAAGCGGCCAAAAATGGGAGGAAAAGCGTGGTGACCAGCGCGACGCCGCCTGATAGGTTGCCCTTTGCGCTGTCGATCGTGCAGCAGGGGTTGTATCGGAAGTTGTTGGGCGAGGACAAGGTCTTGTACCCGATGGAGAGGGTCGAGGATGTGAGCGCCCAGAATGTGCCTTCGATCTTGATCATCCACGGGCGGGAAGATAGTGCCGTGCCGGTGGAGGGCAGTGAAAAGTGGGCTCAAAAGGCGAGGGAGAAGTTTGGGGAGGGAAAGGTGGACTTGATTGTGCAGCCTGGGGAGCATGGCTTTGATACGGACCCGAGCGTTACGCTGGAGACGCCGTGGCTGAAGGATGGGTTGGGCCGGATCACCGAGGCGTGGTTGGGCGTGAAGTAGAGGTTGCGTTGTGGCTTCTAAAGGAAGTAGAGCTTGTGGCTTCTAGACAAGGAGAGGTTGTGTCTTCTAAAGAAGTAGAGCTTGTGGCTTCTAGACAAGGAGAGGTTGTGTCTTCTAGATGGGTCGACGTTGCGTGGCTTCTAGACGTAGGAGAGATGTATAGAGAGGGATTCTGGACGGCAATGAGCAAAGGACGATGACTGGCCATGGATCTGTTCGTTGTAGGTGGCGTCTATCCCACGTCTGCACCATGTGCGGCAATCACTTAGGATCAACACCGGCGTCTTCATACTCGAGGATTTGCTTCGCAGCTTCAGACATTGACAAAGCTAAATGGAGAACGAGTTCAAGCCCTCTTTCAAGCGTACTGCCTTCTGCGATCGAGAGATATATTGAACCACCAACAAAGCAGCATTGTGCAGCTAGAACAGTGTTGGAAATCTCTCTGGCCCTTCCCTCCCTATGTCCCATCGAAGGGCTGATAAAGGCAGCCTTGTAGTAATGTGAAATGGAGGGCGAAGCCGCGTCGAGGCAGTGGTTGTATCAACAAAGCGGCCAGAGTCACAGTCACAGGCACAGTCTCTTCCAATTGCCCATCACTGCCTCGCGGCGCATATACTTAGCGACCCGTCTTCCTGCACTGAACCAACGTCCTCTTGTCATCATACATCTCACGCCTTCATCCAGCGAGCCGAAACACATTAAGCCCGGCGCACCAGGGCTCCAACCTAGGTGTTCGCGGACTTGTTGACGCGGCACTCCGTCACGCTGCCTACCCAGGTACGATAATCCCCCTCATTGAGCGCCTGAGTAGACTGACGAACTCACAGTTCGGATCCTGACACCAACTCGCCACCAATGGGTGCCTCGCAATCGGTTCAGGATGCGCGAGGCATTCCGCCAGAGGCCGTCCAGAGAGAGATGGAATTGATTCATCGACGATTGGACGCAGTCGCCTTCCCCAACCAAGCGACCGGATATGCCGACATACTCCCTCATTACCGCGGTGTGATTTCCATGATCGATCCAAAGTCAATGCAGCAGACCATTGCCGTCATCCACCTAATGATCTCCTCCCACGCAAAGGCCACAAGACTGTCGACGACGTACGCAAGCCTGACGGCAGAATTGTTCGGGTGCCAGAAGATGCTCATTACGCTTCACACCAAGATTCGTTCCTCCAACATCGCTCTTATGCAGGTTTCCGGCGCGGAAGAGACTGCGGGCCAAATGAACGTGGACGCCATCAAGGATTGCAAGATCAAAGAGCTCGCCGACACAATCACATCGCTGGTCAACCAGCTGGACCTCGTTCAAACACACTCGTTCCGTATCCTGCATGTGATGTTGAAGGCAAGTGAAGCATGCACCAGTGGCCATAACCACCAGCCAAACACAGCCGAATCGAATGCCGAGCTCAGTGCTGCGCTTCAAACCCTCGACGATACCAGCGTCGCCGTAAGTAACAGGATCTCATCGGTGATGTCGAACTATACCAAAGCGGTTGAAAGAATTCGAATGCTTGAGGAAAACAAGAAGCACCAGACTGATCTGGTGGAACAACTTACGGCAAATGTGAAATTGGCCAATGATGAGATTGAAGCCCTGATGGCACACATCGCAAAGCTCACGGCAAGTTTGAAAATGGCCAACGATGAGATCCAAGCCCTGAAGGCACGTAACGCAAAACTCGCTGAAGATTGCCGGGAGAAGAATAGGTGGGTTTGCGATATGAAGGCCAAGATCAACGGCATGGGCGACACCATGAAGCGTGCCGAGTCCATCGTGCTTGCCGAGAAGGACAGGCTTCGTAAACAGACGAGGGATCAGGAGGAAATGAAGCAGTTGAAGGCAGAGGTCGCAAGGCTCAAAGATCAAAGCAACAAGGTCGAAGCACTCCATGCAGAGAACGCAAGACTCAAAGTACAGTCTACCAAGGCCGAAGCACTCCGTGCAGAAATTAGCGGGTTGAAGAGGAAGCTGAAGGAATCCAACATCAAGGACCTCGAAAAGCGGCTACACGAGGCCAACGCAGAGCTGGACCACCTCCGGGCACTGTCCAAGGACCAAGATGATGACGGCGACCGACCGCAGGACGACCATGATACTCACATTGACGCTGCATCTTCTGACGAAGAAGGAGCGAGCACCGTAGTCGAAGGTCTTTCTTTTGCCGAGGGAGCGGCTCGGATCTTGCAGTGCCACAAAGCCGTTCTCGCTGAACTGCGAGCTCAGATCTCAACGATGAAGGACGTCCGTGGTGGCTCGGGCTGGAGTATTGTGCACCGGACAGACGCGATGGTTAAGCGGAAGACCGGTCGTATGCTCAAGGACATCGATGACTGTCTTGCACTGAGGGATGCTGGCGAGAGGGAAAAGGAACGTGTGGAGCGATTGGAGACTGAAGGTTTTCCGGCCTTATAGTCTGTTACCTTCGGGGCTGGCCACAGCACCAAAGACACCAGTGCGTCCAAGGCAACAAAGTCAAAGAGAAGAAGAACCAGGGCAAAGAGCTCCATCCGAGCCGATTCTCGAGATGGTGACTGGAAGAGGGAGTAGTGAAGAGACCGAGGAAAGAGAAACGCTCGTGACTCTAAGAAGGGTTTGCTGAGTACGTGCCTGAGCAATTAGAGACACAGGGCTTTCCGGCCTTACAGTCTATTGTCACTGGGGCTGATTAGAGCGTCAAAGATAAAGGTGCATCTAAGCCAACAAAGTCAAAGAGAAGAAGAACCAGGGGGAGGAGCTCGACCCGAGCCGATTCTTGAGATGAGAACTAGAAGAGGAAGAAGTGGAGAGTATAGTTGAGAAAAATGCTTGGAATTCTAGGAAGGTTTGCCGAGCGACAACCTGTTTTTGCATTTACGTTCCGCTGCTCTCTAGTGTGATATTCACCTGAACGAATAGGTACACACGAGGGTCAGTACTTTTCGCTGGAAGTGTGATCATGCCATTGACATGGATAGTCGGGATAACACTGTCACACATCCACAGCTCCACAACAACAATGCCGAACATTGTTTGACACCATGTTCTTGTTCCCGTTTTGTTACATGCAACCTTCGCCCATCTATTTTTCCCAGGCAAGTATCCACGCCGACCGATCTAAGTGTACAAGGTAAACCTGAGCCTCGATTTTCTAAGGCCCATTTGCATGATTCTGGTTGTGATTTGTCCCCCCTGGCACTCCAGCACCTGTCAGATCCGTCTGTGGGTGTTCATTTTATCCCACCCAGTAGTCCTGATATCGCTCCGAAACTCCATCAAATATGCGCTCGAAAACTCCGGCAGGCCCTGGCAAAAACGCTCAAATGCTCGTCGTAATTTGTGGGCACAATAGTCGCTTCATGCTCTGCTTGGAACATGTATGGCCCCAGGTGGTCTTCATTGGAGCAGGCCCGGGGCGGACATTTAATCCTCCCTTGTCGTGCTTTCCTTGTCAGCTGTTCTCCTGAAGCTCACCCATCGTTGGGTTATGGCGGCCTTGACCTTTTCGCGCCACGAACGGTTCAGCTTGTTGCTGAGCTCGCGGTACATGTACATCTCGGCCCAACAGTCTCGACCCCACTCGCAACCAGCCATGTTGACCATGAAGTCCCGCTCCGCTTCACTATAGTGGAACCTAGGATCGAGGACCGGCTCCCTGTCGTGGGCCTCTTGGTCAGGGGCCGGCTGAGCCGCACAAGCACCCGGCGGAAAAGAGTTGATCTTCCGCTGATGGATGAATGCAAAGTGAGTCCGTAGATACGGCTGAGAAGCGTAAAGATGCTCCAACGCGTCCTGTTCTTTGTGCTCCCACTCCATGTGCTTCTGCTCATACAGAACAGGGTCCCACCATAAATCAAGCAATCGATCTGTAAAGGCAGACCGTCGGACAAAGAAAGAACCCAAGTTGAAGCCGTCACAATCTTGGGGAATGATGACGTCGATCGAGGACGTCAGGTTGTCGCCAGTGGGCGACCTGGCGACAAGGTCAAGGAATTCGGTCTGGGGTGGATGGGTAATGTTGAGAGGGTTGTAGACATTGATATCGCGGTACACTTGTGTGTCGAGGGTGTTGAAGATGTGTTTCTGGAGAGATATTGAGGGTTCCATGATGAAAGTGTTCAAGTCAAGCCACCAAAACCTGTCGCGCAAGTCAGTCATTGTCACAGAGACGACTCGAGAAGATGTATGAATACCATTCAGCATTTGGATACCGAGCCATGGCGTTGCGGATCAGGTCAACTTTCTCCCAGCTCTCGCGCCATTCATGGGCGTATCTCTTCTTGGTGCTCATGTCTGCAATGTCCAGGTGGTATCCCCATCTTTCCGCATATCTCTTTTTGTTCTTAACACTGTCGCGCTCGATGGCCCATTCCCTGGGACCTTTCCACTCCATGACACCTCCGCCTTCGTTGGCCCCAAGGACAATGACGAATTTGCTTCCGCCTCCTAGGTGAGAGTTGCCGCGATACCGTCTGAGGACATCTGTAGCCATTGTTAGCATTCGTGTTGTGCCCATGGCTTCCCTCTCGGCACACACTTGTCTGTGAGAGTAGCACCGTTGTCAACGTCACAACGGACAATATTATGAACAGAAACTTGAACTTCCTCAAGACATTGCCAGCAAATGTCTTGACCCTGGACAAGCTGCCACCACCTCTCGGATACCACCGGCTGCGGCCGAGTTTCTCTGGGTCTTTCCAGTTGGCGGAGAGAGGAGTGTAAGGACTGAAGACGGGAAGGGTCGAGATTTTCCGCTTGGACCGCAGGAAGAAGCCTTCATTCTTTGTTTGTATGCTGGGATATCCTCTAACCTGTGCGCTTCTTGCTTTTGCCGCCGCCCACTGGTCGTCATTATGATCTTGGTAATTGCGGGCTCCAGCATACAAGCTGTTGGGAGTTGAGGTGCGTTCGGTCAGGCCTGGTGAGTTCCATCGTCCGTGAGGAGGTAGTGGTGAAACTGATTGGGACATCGGAGCAGGTGGTGAATGTCATACGACGTGCGGGTTCTGGAGTTCGGCGTGCGCATCAGAGAGGCCCGCGATTCGCAATACGTAGATACTGTAGAGCGGTTCTCCTGTGGTGCGGCTGTTCTTTCGCGAAAGACTGTAATGAACAACCGTCGCAGCCGATAATTACGCTGGATAAAGGAAGTGCGGGTGCGGCAGATGGGAACGGCTCGATTCACTTCGCCGATTCAGCAGGCAGGTCGACGCAGGTGCCCATCCGCAGGCCAGCAACAGAACAGCATCAGCAAATGCGACGGCATCAGCAACCAGACGTCGAATGTTTTACTGGAGGCGTCTCACTGTCAGGCGGAGGAAGGGCGTTTGCCAATGTTGTTGAAGCCTTTCTGGAATTCAATTTATTATTGGAGACGCTGAAAGGTTACAAGTCCTCGAATCTGCAAGTCCGCGTGCCGCCCCTCCCGCCTGCAGAGACGTCGCCGCTACATGACTTTAGGAGGAAAGCACTAGTCCGCGAGGATGGCTGCAGCCGCACATGGCACCTCGCAGGATTGACAGGGGCCTTTTCAGAAGTCAAATGCCACCTTTCAGAATTTGAAGTCGAACGGCTGTCTCCCTGCGGCGCGGAGCTGTCAAGCCCGAACATGACATGCTACTGTACTTCGAAGTCTGCACTTTCTAGCGAATGATCTTGACATCCACCAAAAATCTCTATTCCGATTGCAAAGAACTGCAAATCACTCCGAGGACGCGTCTATTTACACAGTACGAGTACCGCGTCAAAGGGACAGGGAAATCTCAGTGCAACGTCTTGAGACACTGTCACACCGGGCGCAGCTGCATCTCCGCTGCACGATCTCCGCTCTTAGGCGGCCCTGGCCAAGGCCTAGGGGCGATAGGCGCACCTGCAACCTATCACGGCTCGTTGTGCCTGTCGGCTGCCCCCTTCGATAAGCGGTCCAACGGCGTCCGAACTAGTTGGACTCGGCAGGACCTGTCCCGAGATCTCGAGATGCACCGTACTACACAGTATATTTCCATTTTCTCAAGAAGCACAACATCATGATTACATTGCACATCATTTTCCAAGCTATTTCAGGGACCGTACATATCTTACTCAGGGCCAACCGGTGGATTGGGCACCTCACCGCCCCCCTCCCTCATGCTCAATCGCATGCTTTCCCGTTCCTTCATCCTCTGATGGTGAACGTGTTCCTCTTCAATGAGAAAGCCTTTCTCGCTGGCGGGGCGCCGGCGAGCACTTCCGCCAAAGGTGATTTCTACCTTGAATTTCAGGAACCCATCAGCATCATCGTAGATGGTGATGATGTCATCGGAGTATATCTTCCCATAATACGACGCATCACCAGACGCAGACTCCTTGCGCAAAGCAACACCGTTGACCCAGATACACCTGCTGGCACTGGTGGCGATGAGGGTGCGAACGCCTGGTACATCCATCCAATTTCCGCCACCAGCAACATACGGCGCCATACCCGGTGCCCAGAAGTAGATCTTGAGCGCGTATTTGGGCACACGAGCGTCGCTAAGGTTTGGATAGCGCACCGTGCAGCCGTCGCCTCGACCCCACATGGTGTCCTTAGCTTCCAGATTGATTGTGATGTTAGCGAAGGACCCCGGCATGCTCGTGAGCTTGCCGTAGCGTCTAGGTGGCTTGATAAACTGCGAAGTCTGCGAACTTGTCCCGTTTGTGTCTGCTGAAGCTAGAATCGTGCGAGTGAAGCGCTCAGCTCGAGCTCCACTGTGGACGACCTGGCCAGTCTTCGCGTCTATCGTGGCGGCAAGTTCGGTTGAAGGAGAGCGGACTCTCGCGGCCATGTTGACGTGGAATGTCTCTGCCTTGGTCCGTAGCTTGTTGGCTCTGGAGGCGTTTCGTGCTTCGACTTCGGCTTGAAAGTTGACTGGGTCTTGCACAAGGTTGAGATCAATCTGACGTGTGCAGATGGGCTCTCCCACTGGCTGCTCAGGTCCTGCGATCTCAGCGCCGACATGGGGCGTGAGAGACTCGGAAGGAGACATTTGTCGAGTTTCAGGTGTTACAGGGTTCGTCGTTTCTGGAGTCGCAGCATCTGAAATATCTCCCTCCGAAGACATATTGAGTTGACCAATCTGCTGTTCCGCCCCCATAAGACTTGCAGCTGAGGTCGTCTGAGCCGGAGGCACTTCCAGCACCTGAGGATATTGAAGTGGCTGACCAGCGTTGTCTTCGCTTTCTGCACGCCTCGATGATGGACGGTCCACAAAATCATTCACGCTGATTTGTTCGACGCCGGCCCGGAGGTTATTGACAAGGGTCGGTGAAGGGAGAGGGTTAAGCTCACCGCCAAAGACGCCTGAACTCCGCAACACCGATGCGGATATTTCACCAAACAGTGTCTGTGCAGGCGGTGCCGTTTCGTTAGGAAGTGGCGGAAGGCTTTGGTCTGCTCCTGGCAGATATGGATAGTTGATAGAGCTCGCTGTTGGCGGCATGCCCATGAATGTACGAGCTCGCTTCGCCGGTCGAGTTGGAGAAGAAGACGCGGGTTGATTGAGTTGATTCAAGTTATCGATCATGTCATCGTCAACGAAGTCTTCACTCAGCTCATCGATATCTTCCAGCTGATTCTCCGCATCAGCAAGTGGCTCCTCGACATCGTCGTAATTGCAATTGTCAGGTACGTCTCGCAACCATGGATGTTGCAGACACTCGGCTTCTTTCGGTCGAGAAGCAGGATTGCGGTTTAGCAGCCTTGCAATGAAATCAACAGCCGCCTCCGAGATGCCTTCTTGTCTGAGCGGCTCGAAGTCGACCTCTTTGGTCATGATGTTGTTCAACATTTGCGCGCCGCGATCATCGCCCCTCCCGGTCACAGGCGGCTTCCCACATAGAAGGTGGAAAATGACGGCGCCGAACGACCACATGTCCACTGACTGATCATAGGGCGATGGTGGAGGCTTGGAGGCAGCTTCGCCAAGGCCACGCCGCCGTTTTGGACCAGATCCTTGAGTATAGTTTCCGTAGTCAGGATAGACTTCCGGGGCGCAATAGAGAAGCGTCCCACAGAACGTCTTGAGAAATGTCTCCTGATCTGTGACACATTTTGACAGACCAAAATCTGACAGCTTGACGATCAATGGGTTCAAGCTTGCTATCAAGATGTTGTCGGGCTTGATGTCGCGATGTGTGATGTTTCTTCGGTGAAGGTAGTCTAGAGCGTGCAATATCTGCTTGGCGATTTGTTGGACGTCCGCTTCGGGGATTGCTCCACGGTTCCGCAGTTGCTGTGCCAGTTCGCCATACGGCACGAATTCCATCAGGATGTAGATCCAATGCTGGTAATTATGACAGTCGATGTAATTTACAATGTTGGGGTGTTTGAGGTTCTTCATGATGTTGAGCTCGCTGTCAAACTTCAGGTCGAGAACACCATTTTTTATGAAACGACGTTTGTCAAGCTCTTTGGCTGCGTACAAGTCGCCTTCTTTCTTGGTCTGGATTCTGTACACGGTCGCAAAGGCGCCCCTGCCCAGCAACCCGGTGAAATTGTACAAGGAACCGCCATTCCAATGATTGCCGTATGTACTTTCCCTCATGGAAGCAAATTGAGCCACATCACCCCTTGCTGCAAGATATTTTCGGAGATTTTCTTCGTAAGCATCTTCGAAATCTCCACGGCTCGGGATCCGTACCATCATCTTGACTTCTTGCTTGTCTGGACCACAGACGACACGGATAAGGGAGCCGTTTTTAAGGACTGTGGTGGCGGGTTTGAGGACAGGCTTGCCTCGTCGATCTCTCGCCTTCAGGTGGACATCGTCCACAATCGTACCATTCGTAGACAAGTCGTGCAACATTAGACTGCCTTGATTGTTGACATATATCTTGAAATGAATTTTGCTCAGTAGCGTGTCATTCTCGTGGCCGGTCAAAAGGACGTCACTTTGGTTGGGGTTTCGACCGAATCGGAATCCGTCCTTAGGACACTTGACCTTCGAGGACAGCCTCAGAGCTAGATCTCGAGACTGATTAGAACCGAAGAGTATTTCTTCTTCGACATCTTCCAAGTCAAGGTTCTGCAGAATGTGTTGGGGAGCGTGTAGCAGGTTGGCCTTGACAGCCTCAAACGCCGATGGCGATGTGGGGGTGAGCATACAGATAACATCTGTTGCATCTTCATCGGAAACATTAGAGAGGTTGTACCGGAACCTGGCAGGCTGTGTTGCAGGTTGAGTGGCATGTTGAGACATGTTGTTGCTTGCAGCGTCCAAAAAGTGCTTAGATGTTAATGGAGACAACGGCTGATGGTGCTGAGAATCTGCAGTTCTCGCTGGTTTGATCGGTCCCACTTGAAGAGATGTTAGGATAATTCTTTCGTCTTTGAGTGCGACTGACCGAGTGCGACTGTAGTGCCAGATTGTCATGGTACTCCGGAATCAGGTAAGTCAGAACTGATCCAGTAGACAAGCGCCTGCCATCGCCTGTGTGTTGCCAATCACCTTCGCCTACGTTAGCCATGTCCCAGTGGTGGCGGTTTGAGGTGGGAGTTGAAGGGAGGACAAAGGTATCGCTTAGATTAGTAGCAGATCGAGTTGGACGGAATCCTTGCTGTCCACAGTCCGCACCACAACCGACGATTCCATGCCAAAGGGGAAAGAAGGGTGCCGAGATGGTTCGGGCACGTACCTGACGATATGCTTGTTGTCCAAGAAATGCCGACCAATTTGCAGGATCTGTCATCGCATGCGTCAGTCGCAGAACCCAGAACCATTTTCCAGGCAACATAGAAGTAAGGTCTCGCTTTTGCACAACAATCCCGATGTTAAGGGCTGCACTGAGTCGTCCTCTACAAAATTGTCCTCCGAAATGTGACGTCCACGAACGACCCTTTGCCTTCCTGCGATATTGTGCCTTGGAAACCCCCTCCTGCGCACTTGCCCATAGATCGTGAGGCTCCTCCCTGCTGCGTCCGGTGTCCGAAACTGGGCAAGCAACTCCACGGCTCTTCTACCCACCCTCAAGGGCAAGTGACATGTCAAGTCGACGTGGGCTGACTGGGGAACGGAACAACAACCGATGAAGTGAAGTAAAGTTTGCAATAGCCTACCAGTACAGAGTCGCAAGGAACGAGTAGGTGAGTCGATCACAAGCAAGGTCTTTCTATACAGTTGTTAGTCATTGTACATGCGTACTGGGGTCGAAAGATTGGATTGGTTTCCTACGATGGTTCTTTTGTCGACGAGACGAGGGTACGGCTGCACGTGGCCGCAACGCTACAACACGCAAGGGACCAAGCAACGCTATCAGAGAGACCGCACTCGTAAGGCAAGCAAGCAGTAGAGTGACGGAACAAATGTGCGAAGGTCCAAAAGGAGAGAAAGGGCGTGGGTGGGCATGGATAGAAGAAAGTCGAGTTAAGTTCTCGACTGCGCTGCGTCTCGAAGAAATTTCCCCGCCAACGCGGACGCGGGAGGGCGGCAGACCCCTGCATTGCATCGGCTCTCCAGCGGCGGTGCTTCGAAGCTCACCTGCAGCTTCCGAAGATCGATTCCTGCTGGTCCTAGGCGACAGCGCGTGCGTGAGGGGCCAAACGGGTGCCTAAGGATCGCGGTCCCGGCATCCCCGTTCCTGGCTAGAGTAGCGCACCGTCGTGCCTAATGAACAGGAGCCAATGGATACGGATGTCCTCTGTTTGCTCCTACGGGATGGTTATGCACGGTAGACGTCACGCGCCGATGCCGCGACGTCCGAGTCTAGGTCTATTCATCCAGTCCGGACTGCCTCCTGCGAGCAACTTTGCCAGTGCTTGGAGACCCGGCCACACGATAGGATGCAGGATATACAACCAAACATGTCAAATTCAGCCACACGCGCAATCTACCCTCGCTCTCACTTATCGCGTTGACGTGTGTCAAAACTGCACGACGCCCGTTCGATACCATGCATGACTGGTGCGGATAGGTTCAATTTTCTGTCTTGACGCCCTGAGCTTTTTGCTCCGATCTCTAGTCTGCCATCTCCATGGCTGCCTTTGCCAGCTCATCTCTTTTGCGAATCTCTTCCTGACGATGGGCTTTGGACTTTCTACGCTTGCTGATAGGACCAACACTGACCGCCTGTCGAGCTGGTTCTGTTGTCTTTGCTGGGCCTTTGACGGTAATCGGAAGTCCCCCATTGGTCGCATCAGCCAAAGCCTGCGCTTGTTGCAATGCCTCTTCCAAGGAGGGCGTAGATAGTCGCAATGCCTCATCCATATCCGTTCCTGGAACAGACACCCCCCGACTAGCGAGTGCGGCCAATTTGGTCTGTTGCCGCTTGCGCTCTCTGGCCTCCTCGACAAGCCGCTTGTATTCAGGCCCCGTCTTGTCCCTGTCGATCCATTCCTCCAGTCCGAGCTCTTTCAACTCAATGTTCAGAAGCTTCGTGCCTGTCTGGACATAGGTCTTGTACTGTCGCGGTCCTTTGGGCTTCTCTAGCTCTATTAGTTCAGCCTCGACCGTTTCTGGCGTCGCGTGTTCGAATTGGCCCGTTTGATCTGAGCTTATCCGGCGCGGCAGGATCCTCCGTGACGCTGGTGGCTCGGGCGCAACGCTTCGTCTATCCTTGAAAGAGACGACAGCAAACTCGATCGTCTTTCTACGCGCAGAAGCGGTGGAAACAGCCTGAGTCTTGCTGCGAGTTCGTTTGGCCGGTGCCGACTGGACCGAAGCGTCGTCTGGAGTAGAGGTGTCGCTTGCTTGCGTCTGTTTGTCTTTATTCACGTCCACAGGAGAGCTTTGACGAGCTTCTGATGAGCTTAGGTCCTCATACTGGTCTACTCCCTGACCCTCGTCATCACCGCTAAACTCGACGCTCTCGCCCATTGAGAAGCGGTTGGCGGTCGTCTCGGTCGGGCTGACGTCCATTGCTGGCTCATCACCAATGCCGCTCAACTGCGCGCCGTCTTTTGGATTCGTAGCATCGTTATCGGCATATGGCTGGGACTCATTCTCGGCAGCCTGCATTCCATCATCCGCAAGGTTCGAAGGTTGATCATCTTGCGCTGATGGTGACTGTGATGGATCCATCATTGGGACTGAGTTTGAACTGCCCCGTTGTTCTTCACCATCCGAAGCACCGGCGCTTGTAAGGGAATCATCGAAAGATACATCGCCCAGGGCAAAACGCTCAGCAGGACTGAGTCCCTTCGAATGCTCATCAGACACTGCAACCTGCTGCTGCTTCTCCGGTTGGTGTAAGCGTGGCGCTACCGATGCCTTGGACTTCTTGCTGTTCTGCGGAGAGCATGGCAGGTTGGGTTCGTCGTGTGCATCATCAGGCGTGGCGTTACGTGAACTATTGGAGGTGTCTTGGGATTGGAAGTCTGAATGTGTGCTTGATTGGGGGGTTGGGACCTGTGCGGAGGACGATGAATTCCTCAGCCAAAAGGGCTTTGGCTGTGATGTAGGGTTTGAGCGACCAGTAGAGCCAGTTCTACTGACGTTGCTGGCGCGCTTGCGCTTCCCCAGACTATTGCCATGCAACGCCGTCGAAGAAGAGCTCGGCGGTTCGCTTCCCGCTGCAGTCGTAATGGCTGACTGGATAATATCCCACTTCGCCTTGAGCGTGGTATTTTCGGCACGAAGGTTTTCCAGCTCTTGCTCATTGGACTGCGCGGCATTCAGAGCCCTGGCCATGGCGTGCAGGTTGGCGACAAAGTCGCCACCGGCGGAGTTCCCGGTACTAGATATAGTGTTCTGAGATTGTAGTTCCTTGACCGACGCGTTGATGTCTTCGAGGGTGCCACGGAATGCATCAAGGACCGCAGAGATCGCTCGGAGTTGTTTCTCACTCTCACGCATTCTGGCATCCAGTGCTAGGAATGCCTCCTCCTGCAGGCCCAGTCGTACGTCTCGCGTTGTGAAGCGGTCGGTGGGCGGATCTTCTGAGTCTCCAGAGGCTAGCGGATTAGGCTCGTGGTTCTTTCGCAAAGACAGCTGGGCTGAAGCTCGACGATGCGAATCTGGCAATGGCTGGAGGCGCGAGGGAGTCTCCTCTGAGCGGAAGGGAGTATGCGACCACCGAGGAACAGCAGGCAGGCTCGCACGGGGCGTGACGCTTGTCCTCGTGGTTGCTTGGACAAGATCCCCGCTATAGGCGAATATAGGGTCAACCTGTTCATTGGTATCGCCGCTCTTGAGACATGTCTTTGACAACTTATAAAGATACTGCTTTCTATCACCCGAGTCAGATAACCAATTTAGTCTTCTGCGACATCAGGGCAGGCTCACAGCATATTTCTTTTTTCGGGTCCTGGTATCTCCTTGCAATACTGTCCAACCACTGCTGAGCATTTTGTGCAGAAGACCTCGGCGAGGGTACACCCCTCCAGCAGACGTTGCGCAGCGCCTGTAGGCACAATCTGGGTTCGGTTCGCGGCGACTTCGGTGCCAAAATGAGCGCCAGGGTGGGCACAGCGAACATATGAAGAGGTAAGGCGAATCCATTCGTTGTCGAAGATTCCGATTTGGTTGTTGCATTGCAGACAATGTAGATTCACATGGGAAGACGGAGGCTGCGGCTTGTGTCGCGAGGATGAAGCCATCTTGGTGGTCTCTTGACCTGGTGCGAGACGCGGGCGCACTTCAGAACGAGAGTCGTAGGTTCACAGGTTTTGAAGCGGCACCGGCAAAGGGAAGACAAGTGGGTGAAGCGGGCGACGAGGGCGGGAAGTGCGACGCGACCGCGACCAGCCAAGCGAGACGCGTCCAATTCCGGGCCACCAGTACCACCAGCACCGCCAGGGCCAGATGATTATGTCCAAGTGCGAGCCCAGTCGGCGCAGTCATGGTTAGGTGACCGTACATCACCGCTTGATAACTCGATGCTTAGATGGAAACAAAAGGAGATTACCGCTCCCGATGGGTAGAACTACTTGACACAAGTATCGTATGTTTGGACTCCCTCCAGAGGAAGTGGCTAAATCACAGCCATCAGAATGTCTAGCATAACCATCCCAGCTCGCACAGGCGCCTATGTCGGCCTCAAGAAGGGCCAAAGACTCAAACTGATCAACCCACATGGCAACCAGGTCATCGACTTTTGGGCTTTTGTCTTCCCAGGAAGTACCGCCGACGACATACCCAGGAGCTTCATATGTTCCCCGCAAGAAGCCAGCGAGGAAGCCGATGCAACGCCCTTTCCTTTCAGCTCAGGGGTGCAATACTTTTCAGCGTCCCGGACTCGCTCCATTCTTTCCAAGTTGATCCCCTCGGCCGAAACACACGATGTCCTGTACACGAACAAGTCTGTCCCGCTGTTCACGCTCCTAGAGGACACCACCACGGGCATCCACGACACGCTGTTCGGCTGCTGCGATCGATTTCGCTACCACAATCTGGGCATCGACGGCTATGACCACGGCAGCTGTGCTGAGAACATGCACATCGCGCTTCGCGAAGCAGCCGCGGCAGGGCTGCTCGCTGCGGGTTCAATCTCGACGGAGTGGACGCCCGATCCTCTGAATGTCTTCATGAACGTGCCAATCACGACGCCACTGGACCGTCAGTCTGGTGGAGGAAAGATCGAGTGTATAGCCCCGGAAAGTCGGCCTGGAGAGTACATGGTGCTAAGGGCCGAGTCGGACTGTGTCGCCGTCATGAGTGCCTGTCCCAACGACGTGATCCCGGGAGTAAATGGCGGGGTCTGTACGGATGCCCAGTATGAAGTGTTGGCCTGAGATCAGACTCCGAAATCACAGCACAGCTCTCTACTCGCTCAACTACACACTCTGGTGGTATGCATTGAATAGCATAAAAGTCCGCGATCGTGCCGCGTCCCATAGATCTCAAAGGGGAAGGTGCCATTGTTTTCTTCGAAGTCTCTCCAGCGCCGGCGCACTTCACCGCCCCAGTCTCCACGCTCCACAGTGCCACCGGACGTACGCCTTTTTGACGACCATGTTAGAAAAACTCTCCGAACATTATGACTGGCAATGCTGGCAGCGGCGAGTCGAGTTGGCCTGCGATCAAACATACGATTCCGCGCCCTAGCATATGAAGAGTTCGCTCCTCCAACATACTTGTACAGACAACGCACAGTGAGGAAATCATCCAACATGGCCGTCGACGACAGGCCCGACCCCATCTCCGAGATGGCACCCAACGAAGCCATCAATGAAGCCCACAGCGCCGCGGCAACACACAAGCGCGTCAACGCGTGGCAACAGCCCGGTCCCGCGTGCCTGGACTTCCGCAGTGACACCATGACGACGCCAACGGCCAGCATGCTCGAGGCCATCATGTACACGACGCTCCAAGACGATGTCATGGTCGAAGACCCCACGACCAACAACCTAGAGTCCTACATCGCGGAGCTGGCCGGCCACGAGGCCGCCCTGCTCGTCATGTCCGGCACAATGGGCAACCAAGTGGCCTTGCGCACGCATCTCACGGCCCCGCCGCACTCTGTCCTCTGCGACATCCGGTCGCACATCTACAACTACGAGGCCGGCGGCGTGTCGTCGCTCTCCAGCGCCATGATCCTCCCCATCCGGCCGCGCAACGGCCACCACCTGACGCTCGAGGACGTGAAAGAGCACGCGATCGTCAGCTCGGACGTGCACGCGTGCCCAACCCGCGTCATCAGCCTGGAAAACACCCTCGACGGGATGATCATGCCACTGGCCGAGGTGCGGCGCATCGCCGAGTTCGCCCGCGCCCACGACATCAAGCTCCACCTGGACGGCGCGCGCATCTGGGAGGCCGTCGCCGCCAACGCGGCCAGCCTGCCGGACTACTGCACCCTGTTCGACAGCGTGAGCATGTGTTTCTCCAAAGGCCTGGGCGCGCCCATCGGGAGCATCATCGTGGGCTCGAAGCCGTACATCGCCCACGCGCGGCGCATCCGCAAGATGATCGGCGGCGGAACGCGCCAGGCCGGCGTCATCAGCGCGGCCGCCCGCGTCGCCGTCGACGAGGGGTTCGGGCACGGTCCCAACGGCGAGGGCGGCAATCTGAGGGCGTCGCACGCGCGGGCGAGGAACGTAGCAGAGATGTGGACCTCTAGGGGCGGCAAACTGGCCAACCCGACCGAGACGAATATGGTGTGGTTGGATCTGGCGAGGGAAGGCATTTCCGCCACCGAATTCGCTCGACTGGCGGCCGAGGAGGGCTTGAAGGCCTTCAGTGGGCGGCTGGTCGTGCATTATCAGATCACGGACGAGGCCGTGGAGAGGCTTGGGAGGGTCATGGACGCGGTGTTGCGAAGAGGAAGGGAGAGGGAGACCGGAGTTGCGGATGGGGAGACGACAGACGGGGTCAATAACAGCAATGGTAACGGCGAACGGTACGGGTCAAAGGAGAGCAAGTGAATCAATCACCACAGAATTGGAAACTTGGTCCTTTTCTCTCTCGCTTGCATTCCTGACTATTCAATACAACAAGCGAGCTCCTGGACTTCACCCGTACAGGCCATTCCAATTGCCATAATCAGCTCGGGCGACAAGTACATAAGGTATTTGGCGCTTGGTCCAGCGCCCCCAAGAGGACTACAAGGCGCTCCAATCTCTCTACTCTTGTCCAATGTCGGGAGTGCCAAGCTCGATCTTGGTGTGAGAGAGCGTGTGTAGGCACAGGCAAGTTCAAGTCCCTTCTTCCGTCTCCAATCCTCCTGTTCATGATGCCGTCTGCCTGACCGGGACTCTCTGCTCGGGCCATGTGCGGGTTGGCTCTCAGCGAAGTCGTGCTCGCCGTATCCAACACTCAACCGTACACCGCGGCACAACCAAATCTGCCCAGATGTCGTCCTGATCCCGCTGTTTTTTGATGCCTTATCTGGCAAGAATTCTCCATCGAGGAGGCTCTCAAAGCCCCGGAAAGGGAGCGTTCTCAACCCTTTCCCGTTTGGAACTCTGCACATCTCCCGTCCCTGCTGAGGAGTGCGAAAAGAAAAAAAAGCTCATAAGCTACCAGTTTGTTGGTGGGTAAAGACAGGATCGCTTGCTGTGAAGAAATCGTAAACAGTCTGAGGCCAGTTGGTGCGATCACCCCGCGGCAATTGCTGGGAAGGTGAAGAAAAGGCGTTTCCAAGTTGCTGGGAAGCTCAACAAGCAGACTGTGCAAAAGCTCTGCCATTGGTGTAACGTGGATCGAAGAGGACACGCATGGCCCGCTGGGATGGTGAGGAACAAAAGAAAATACTTTCGTGTCGTTAACTTCGTGCAGGTGTTTTGGTTGGCCACCATCGCGCTCACGCGTTTTCCGCAGTTCGCCCCTGAACAAAGTCCCAATCAACCCTCTGATGCAGTAAAACGCCGCGACCGTGATGCAGGTGAGTGAGTGTGTGTGTGTGTGTGTGTGTGTTTGTGTGCGATTTGTGTATGCTTTCTCAACCCGAGACACCCATTTGTCCGGGTCTGGTCTGGTAACTCTGCCGCCCAACCGGTTGAGGTTGGGCACCGTGGCTACCTGAGCTGTCAGCGCTACCGGCACGATCGCGGGCATAAGGACTTTTGGGGGTGGCGAAATGGAAGTCGTTTGCAGGAGCGGAAGTGGCCGAAGCCATGTTCTGAACAGGACGGACTGAGCTCTGCTTCTGCCATGCTGTGGCTTGGTATGGGTCTACGTCCACTCGGGTCGCGACAGGGCCGACAGGCGTCGAGCCTGAAGCTGGGCTGCGGATAGGAGCATCTGCTGCCGACGCAGTCTGTCTCTGGACCTGACCTTTGGCAATGTGGCCATATCTCGATAGAATCTCCTTCGTCGTGAGTTCTGCTGACCCGCCATGGAGGCCGGTGTCGGTCAGAATAGACTGCAAATCTTCGGGAACCTGCGCATGTGTTCAGCCACAATCATCACTTCATGGTTTAGTTTAACTTACCTGACAGAAATAGTCGTTGTACTCGATCAAAGTATTGACGGCCTCGATAGCTAGAAAGCTCTCATCGACCTGCGGAACGTTGGGTCTTGCACCCGCTGCCTTCTCCTTTGCGTATAAGATATTTGGTGCCATTACGGTAGCCAGGTTGTGGATGTCCATTTTGCTCCCAGATTCCTCGTCGACTTGAGAAAATGAAGCCGCCCACTTCAGAAACGAGAACAACACTTCCATCGTATCACGATGGCTCTTTGGCATCAAACAGCAGGTGAGATGCAACACTCTTCTCCGCCGCTCGTCGTCAGCGATCTTCTGAGATATGATGAAAAGCTTCTGCAGCTTGTAGGTCAGCAGAGGTTCCGGCATTTCTCTCAAGAATTTCTTGAGCAATGCGGCAACCTGAACGGGGTTTTCGCGGTTGAGATCTGGGGTCTGATTTGCATCGATCGCCTCCGCAGCCTCTTTCAAGCGTTTGATGTTGCCGTTCTTTCTGAAGACACCTTCAACCGACATATCCATCTGCTTCATGGCTGAGACGCAGTCGTCTACGATCGCTGGGACCCGCAAGGCTCCGGGACCGACTCCGTTAGTTGACTCTGCGCCTTCGCGCTCAACCAGAGTCTCTAGTGGTACGCCGAAAATGCCCTTCTTTTTTACTCCTCCGTCACCACGCAGGGCACGACTGACTTTGCCCCAGAATGTTGGCTTGCGCTGTTCAATGAGGCCAAGCAAGTCCTCCAGGGTATATTCACCATCCAACAGTGGTTGCATCGACAATACAGCCACGTGTCGGACGATGAAGTATTCCAAGGCGGATAATTCTGAGAAGTATCGCTTGGTCCGGAGGGGGTTTTCGCCACTTAGAAGATCAGCCCCGGCACCAGACGTACCCCGTGAGTGACCATTGACGAGTCTGGGTTCGTTGCCACGGTGACCTATAAGGTTCGTCCCCGCGTGGCGGAAGGCATTGGGTCGTTGCTCCTTCGCTTGCTCGGCGGCGACAATCCGCGGGATGTCGTCCAGAGTCAGACCCTCTTGATTGCCAAAAGTAAGTTCTGGTCTGACACGACCATCGAGATCTTTCTCCTGGACGATTTGGAACCCTCCAGGATTTCGGTTGTCCGGGCCATCAGTGCCCTCAGAACCTGGACGAACACCAGTTGGCCCATAGAGTATCTTCGACTCTCGGGCTTTCCGGAATGTAGTAGACAGAGTACGTTCATTGCGTGTAGAGCGCAGACGTTTCATCTCGCCAACGGTCTGCTCCAATGAGGATTCTTGCTGAATGGAGGTGCCAGCATAGGAGCGAGATCTAGATCCCATCTTCTGGACTGGTCTGGAATGCTCACCAGCAGGAGTGACATGGTGGCCTTCGTTGGTATCGTATGGCGTCAAGTTTGGGTCATCCGAGGTGTGCGGCAAAGTGCCGCCAGATTTGAGCACCTCTAACAATCGTGCCAACGCCACGCGGAGTAGGAAGACGTACTGTTGTAATTTGGTAACATGCGCAAAGCCTGTGACCGTCTCGGATGTTCGCCTGGCGTGGTCGATACAGTAGACCCTCTCTTCTCTTTCGTTGTACATTGCACTGCCAAGCTCGCCAGTTAGGTCTCGCTGGCACACGCTGCATGTCAAATGAGGAGGCCTCGCGTGCCATCTCCGGCCATAGATCATGACACACTCATCGTCAATCGGTTCCATGCACGCCGAGCAGCAATCCGATTCTTGGCTCGCCAGCCCCGCAACACTTTCTTGCAGGTCGATGGATTTCATCTCTTGCTCTTTAATGGTCTCAAGGTCCGCAAGTTCATCCAAGAAGGCATGGAGACCTTCGGGAGATCCTTTCTCGCGTTCAAGCTTCAGCGCGCCCTGAAGACCGATCCGAATGAGAAGCTTCAGGTAATGAGCCAGGCCAGTAACCAGGGATAGGAGTTCTTGAGTGACACCGAGCTTCCGCACACCAGTCTCCTGGGTTTTAGAGAGAAGCGTGAAGAAAGCAACGACCTTCTTACAAAGGAGTTTTGCTTCCCGGGCATAAGCGAGTTCCTTGAGTTCGGCTTTCACCACCAGAGCGCCAAGCGTGTCGATGGCGCCGAACAGAATGTCAACATGCCAAATGAATTTACGTGCCACGATGACGCCGTCGACGTATACCCCGTTGCTAACGTGCAAAAGCATGTCAGATATGCAGGAGGCTGATGATTCCTCAAAGGTAGAGAGAGTGCTCCAAATTCGATAGACCTTGTCTTCCATTTTTTCTTCGTCCTCTTTGACAGCCTCTCGCTCATCTTCCGTGACTGGCGCGTCGATGTCTTTCCTAGCACCCTCTTGTTCGTTTTGCGCGAGTCGCACATTCCAAAATTTGTGGATCATGTAACATTCGGGATGCCAGTGTTGATTCTGCCCATTGCGGAAGATCTCAACAAACTGCTTGAGAATAGCAGTCTGACAACCGTTGCACCGCTGCGCAAACTGGGTGGAGTAGTGGTAGTGACAATAGACCTTGGCATCATGTTCGTAGTAGCTGTCCTGAGCGCCGAACACGGTTGGGCAAACCGAACAAGTAAAATGCTCAATATGGTATTTCCGATCCAGCGCCGTGATGTAAGAACCTCGTAAAGCGCCGCCGCATTCAAAACACAGCAAATCAAGACGCCGAAAATAGTCCGTTTCGCATAGAGGAAATTGGCCAGAGCCATCTTCTGCATCGACGGGGAAGAATTTGGACGCGACAATCTGACCGCAGTCGGCGCATTTGAAACAGTCAAGGTGGAAGGTCCCTCCGAGCGCACGCACGAACTGACCGGTCAGCGCTTCGCCACACTTCTTACACTGCCGCACTCTCGAATCTGACTTCCCGTTACTGCCATTTGTCCTTGACCGGCTCCGTTCGTTCGGGCCACCAAGTGATCGCTTACGCCCTGTTCGACTATCGGATGAATATCTGCCATCGCTCTCATAGGGAGCATCGTTGACATTTGAATTTGCATTCCCGTTCGTTGGATTTGGTGGGTTGTAGTTGTATTGCCCATTGGAGTTGTGCGGAGCAGATTCGGGCTGGTTTCTAGGAGCACCTATGATGTATCTTGTTGTTCCAGTGTTGCCCTGGTGCAGCTCGTCAAGCGGAGCCGCCATGCTTGGTAGTTGCGCTCAGTGCGTGCATGTAGGTATTGCAGCGAGCCTACTGAACATCGACAGCCCAGGGGTTACTTCCAAGGTAGCGCAGCCGGCGTCTAGCTCAACCGAATCCCAGGGTAGCGAATGACTTTCTTTGTAAAACAATGTGGGGGCCCTCTCTTGTTGCAAGTTTTGACAAGTCCATGCGCAGGTGCCTCAAGGAATTAGTGAGGGAGGAAGAAGACGCAGAAGGTCGTGTAGCAATGTTTCGATAAACTGTCCTTCTCAAAGGCAACCCTCGTCTTGTTATTAGATTGAGCCGGCCTCCTGGCGATATGATGACCGTAATGGGCACTCGGCGAGGGGTCTTTTGGTAGCACGACAGCAAGCGCGGGCAAGGCTCGGGAAGCGCAGTTGAGAAGGCCGAGATGTATCTGTCGGACAAGGAGGAGGAATCGAGAAGGAGGAGACGCGTTGTGGAGTGTACTTGGAGTCGTAGCACGGTCCGGCCGAGTGAATGCGCAACGCGACCATAAACAATTGATGAAGGGGACCTGACGTGCCAGTATGTGAGTCGAGAAAATGGTGGCTTATCAGATTGGTTTAGGATTCGTGCATCGAAGGATGAGGATGTAACGGGGCGTGAATTCGTCGACGGGACATGGACAAAGCCACTCCAAATTTAGCAAAGCCTCAATCAAGGCCTTCGGAGAATTACCCTGATCACGTGTGACCACGCTAGTAGCACAACTAGCGCTGTTTTGAGCTTCAGCCGTCGCTGATTGGGCATGTTCTCTGAGTGTCTCGAAAAGGCAGGATTGCCGGGTAGCGAAGGGCGGCTCACTGGCTGTCGCCCGTCACAAGGAGCGGAGCTATTGTTGTCGCCGGAGTTGAAGCATGGGAAGAAGCTTGTGCGAAGAAGGTTGAGAGAGTTGTGCAAGGATGAACGTCAGGTTCAAGAAAGACAGAAGGACAACAGCTACGGGTCGCGCTGAACGCTCCACCCCGATACAAGCATGGTATCCAGACATGAAGTCTGCCAGATTCACCCTACGATGAGAAGCACACTGTTGGGGACTCTCACCGTCGTAAACCCAACACAAGACCAAGGCAACTTCTAACGGCCAGGTCTGAATCTCCTTGTTCACGATAGCTGGCTACCCTGTCAACGAGACGGATGTGGTTGGGATCAGCAGACGCTCCATTATCATCAAGTAGGCTTGCCATGTATCAGGCCGCCTGGCTGCAAGCCCAACATTTTACTCCTTCTTCTCCGTCTCAAATTTCTTTGCAACTCTGACATACACAATACCATCCTTCACCTCCATCTTCAAGCTTCCAGGTCGGCCTTCGCAGGTAAAGTGACAGATCGTTCAAAGGGACCTTCATGTCTTTCCTTATGAACGGTCTTTAAGATTTTGCTTTCCGTCTCGCCAAAGGTTGGAATCGACCTAGTTGCCAGCTTTCCACGGATGAAGATGGTGGTACAATCAAGCCAATCTACCTGGATTGCCTCTTCTGAATTTACGCCCGGAACGTTGCCGACAAGAAGCCATCCGGGCGTACGCCCATCTATGTCGAAGATGTCGAATTTGGGCGCTTGCACTCCCCGGTGCGAGGGCAAACCGTCGATACTGTAGTATGCATCGCCCGCATGATTGACTTTGGCTCGCAGAGAATGGACGTCGACTAGAGAGATGTGGTGAGGATGGAGAAGACACTCGAGCGTCCACATCGTGGTGTATCGATGATGTTCGGTCGGCTGCGAAGAGGCTAGCGGTACTGGTATTCGGGATTTGATGGTGTCGCCTGAAACTTGGGTCTTGATTTACTATTCAGTGGTCGTTCGCTTTGTTCTCTTTGCAAAGCGAAAAGCGCTGAATGCTCATCTCCTTAGATATTCTATCTGTATCTTACCTACCTGCACGTATGCTCGTGTTGCATCCGTACAAGTCGCTGTTCACACCAGAGCGACCGCAGCCAGAATCTTCTGCGTGGTCAAGCAGGCGACAGTAATTGAGGGATTCATCGCAGTGAGCTACTCTCATCCTCATAATAGGGCTACTTAGCTAGTCGTTCCACCTCGTCGAGAATCGAGCGATTGTCACGCCAGTATCGCTCCTTCCAAAGGCAAGGGGAAGCCTCGACTTGGGTCCTCACATGCGGCTGCACAGGACAGCGTGAGCTCCTGGTGACTCGTCGCTTTCGGCGCCACGGGCGAAGCAGTCATATGACAAGCAGAAATGGCAGGCTGCCGGCTGGAAGTCGTCGAACATGGTGAGATTTCAAATGATCATACAGGAGGAAAATACCGCAGAGTTTCCCGAAGTTGATCGTGGAGAAGGAGCTAGGGCATACCGCAATCGTATGGGGTTCTAATGACCGTCTTTGGAGCAAGGGCGGCGTACCGAGGTAGTTGCAGCTCCAGTTTCACTCTCCTTCGTTCCTCTCTACTTTCCTCTCTGCCAGGCCGTGGCGCTTTGCATGTCACCGCCGAGGCAGCGACTGAGGTCTGGCCGACATGAGCCTATCAGTTGACCACTACAGCCATCCACTGAAGAGGCACTGCAGCCTTTGAAGCTTTAGAAGCCCATTGCTAGGCCTGCCAAGCAACGTAATCAGCATACATGCTCCTGGTATTGACGACCACTTAGGATCTGGATATCACTCCACATCTGCATTCCCCAGTATGCATGGTCTGATGATGTGAGCTCTCCTCTCTTAGCAGTCATACGATGGATATTCAATGATCCCCTCGTCACGGCACCTGGATTCCGATCCTTGCGTCGAAGATACAGAGGGAGAGGAGCTTGCCCTTGCCCGTGCGTGCTTAATCGGCTGTCATCGGAAAGACGATAGCTGCCCCAACCCTTTTCAAGGAACGCGTTCGTGATAATGGTCCTGGAACCAGGCACACTAATGAAGTTCAAGGCTGTCTTCGTGGCATCCATGGTCGGCATATGTCGAAGCGAGGACGAGAAGGTCGATCTAGACCGCCAGATAGATGAGCCAGGTCATGAACAGAGGTAGGTAGATAAAAACGTACGCGCCCCTCCATCTCTCAGAGATCTTTCTCCTTGTCCAAATCCAATTCACACAAGAAGAGAACACAGTTCCAGAGCAAAACACCCAAGCACCACTCTCACAAGCCGGTCATCACGGCAGCCCAATTCGACCTGAGAACCCCAGCGGGTCCAAAACCAAACTCCCTCGACACAATGGCCTATGCATATGTAAGTACCTCCTTCTCCCTCAACTGTGGCATTGCCAACGCCGGTCATCTAGCCACAGGGTGTCTGCCTGTCCACACTCTCAGCTTTAGGCGAAACGCGAGACGGCTTCTAACCCATTTGCAGTACTACGACTACCCTCCCCCTTTGGTGGACAACGCCCATGAGCGCCACCATCAACATCAATCTCTTGTTCAATACCTTGCGCGCCGTCACCCTCGGCCAGAAGACCACCCGAATCAGCCCGACCTGGACTTCCGTGACGCCATCAAGGAATACCTCATCGAGGTGGAAGTTCCGGGGATCAGGAAGCCCGACGAAATCACCGTCAGCTGGACCGGTCATCGGGCTTTGGTCCTCACGGGGAAGGTCGAAAGACCGGACTACGGCACACCGGAGAACGCGAAGGTCGAGGAAGAACAACCCGAACATTCTGCTGGAGGTGTTCACTTGCTTGTAGGAGAGAGGAGGGTTGGTCCGTTTAGGAGGTATATCAACTTCCCGACAGATGTGGAGAATGTAAGTGTTACGTTGGAAGCGGGATTGTTGAAGATCAGGGCTCCGAAGAAGGGATTCTCAGAGGTGGCGAAGGCAAAGGTGGATGTCAAGCATGAGTGAGTTCTTCGCAAGACTTTCGCTATGTATCTAGCTTCAGGGATATGGACGGAGACTAATATTGATGTGATGTTGAGGGAACACACGAGTAAGAAGCATACCTTCCCGATCTTGAACACGTTTGCAGGCCTCTGATGTGTTCGGCTTGGGGTTGTTGTGATTGCCTCTCCTTACGTGACACTCTTGCAGGAGATAGCGAGGCTGGGTCAGTGGAGGATGTTGGTCGGTAGGTAACCAAGGGGCTTCTTGGGCCGGTTGTACAAGATGTTGGAGTCTCAGTACACCTACAGGTAAATTCAGTCTGAATGTGACGTTCATTGGTACTCAATCTACTTGCTACCACGGCAGCAGAAGCACGCCGAGTGATCGACCATTCAGGACATGCACCATGGCTTTCCCGATCTTACATCTCCAGTGGGTAGGTATGGTCCAAGACTAGGACATACCTCACTCGACATTGTCCAAACAGCAAGCTCTGCACGTTTGACCTCGTAATCTCACCTCTTGCACGGTTGCCAGCAACGCTAGTAGTCTCGTCTGCATCTCGTGCATACACGCATATTACATCCATCACATAGCCACAAAAAGAAGTGACTCTCCCAATGACAATCTGCACAAACATGAGATCCCACATTAGGACGCAGCACAACTCGAGTCCAGCCGGTGTGGCGACATGGTTCTTCATTACGCAGCTCCGCAATAGCACGCTGGACGTCGGCAGGTTGTCCCTGGCGCTCCGCCTGGCGCCCGGCGACCACGGCAGCACGTTCGAGAAGGCGATTTTCGTGCCAGCGTTGGCATTGACACGTCTTCCAGGTGTTGTTGCATTCATAGCAGAATTCAGCGCCACAGAAGCACCTATTGTTCAGTCAGTCTAGATTCGGTGCAGGTGTATGGTTGCGAATACACACCTCATGTGGTTGCAACCATGAGATATGATAATGACTCTATGACAGGCGTAACAAGTTGCCGATTCGTTGTCCCGTTGCCACTGTTCGAAGGCTTCGTCATTGACGGTCTTGCAGTCCTCGCCTTCGTGAAACTCCGCCTTACATCGAGCACAGGTGGTTTTCAGGCACATAGGACAGGTGGCCTTTGTTTCGTCGATTGTGGCGGGGGCGATGAATGCAGAATATCCTGCGTCGTGGCAATAAGTCTTGTCCTCGGTTCCATATTCGACGATTTTGGCCTCGACTGCCGGAATGGCTTCAGCTCCGACCAGAGTAGCAACACCAGGATGGTCGAGAGGAATGCTTGGAGATTGGCCGCAGCATCGTACAGGATAGTGGCTCTCGTTCTTTGTAGCCAGGTCAAGTGCCCGCACAAGGCAGCCGCGGCACCAAACGTGGTTGCATTCGCCGACTTCGGTCGTTAGAGAGTAAATTGTGTCTACCATGCAGATATAGCATTCCCGAGGCGCATGCTCTTCGTCCAGCTTCAAGCTTTCAATGTAGGTCACAAGGTCGGTACGACCATTGGGATCCACACGATCGTCTTCGTAGTATCCCTCACGTCCACTTTCTCTTGGAGCGCGTTGATCGCTGGCACCGCCAAGTTGTCCTTGTGCAGAAGCATCAGTCGAAGTGGCGGCCTCCTCTTCAAGGAGGGCACTAAGCTCACGGCAGTCCGAAAGCATTGCCTGATACATGCTTCTCTGGATTCGCTGGTCGGTCTGGACTTTGTCGAATTCTATCGTCTCTTGCCGGAGAAGGTGCAAAGCAGCAGCACGATCGGTCAGCATTGTAATCTCGTCAGGGTTGGTGGCTTCTCGCAAAGCTTCCTCAATGTCTTCAATTTCCAAGCGCAAGGCCAGGCGCGCATTGGCGGTGTCGCATTCGATGGCCTCGATGGCTGCTGTTGATCATCAGTGAGAAGACGCCGAGCGTGCACTTTCTGACACTGACCTTGTTTTCAGGAGTTCCAGGCTATTTGAGATCTTGTTTACCAGGACCGAGGAGTTGACCTTGCCGCCTTCAAGCACGAAAGAACCTGGCCATAGCCCAGGGTCCTGAGAATTAAGGGAGTTGGAAAGCTGTAATAGAACTTCGCAGATTGCTTGACAGGTTTCTTTCTTGTAACAAGCTGAGTTATGCCTGGGAGGACTGCAGCTAGCAGTGAAGTACAGCCAACACCCAGTGACCGCCGTTGTTGACGAAGCTCGCCATCACTGCAATCCTGCTACTCTTCTGCGTATGTGATCCGATCTCCCTGAGTTTCATTTGATGTTACGGTCCAGTCTTATTAGACCAGAGTCAAGAGCAAGCTGTGAGGAAGTTATTGCTCCAGCTTGTACTCGTACATTTGACCGTTCCATTACGCCGAGCTCATCCCCAGTGAGGTAGTCCTTTGTCATGGGCTTGGTGAGTGAGAGGTTCCAAAGGTTTCCAGTCGGCTGCACAACAATACGAGCTACGCCGAGGTTTAGAGCAGAGTACCTGGTACCTTCCCTCCCTCGTTGTACGTGCAACGTACTGTGTTCAGTCTCGGCAAGCGACTCCGACAAGCCAACAACGGTCACCCACCTTTTGTGTGCCCCAAACCAGTTAGCCCCGCCGTGGGAAGTCCCTGAACACATCCGAAGTGGCACGATTCCCCACAGAATTTTGGGGGATCTTCAACATGTCCATCAACAAAAGAGTCGCCTCCTGCGCCCAGCACATTTGCACTCTGATTAGTATTCGGACCTCAAGAACACTGTAAATAAGCCGAGCTTGAATCTGCTTCTTGCAACCCGATAGCCTTCTTGCCATCTATCTGTGGTGGAAACTGAAATATGGCTACAAACGGCGCCAATGGTGTCCCGCACCAGAAACCTTCTCTGCCACCCGTCTACATTGTCGCTGTCGCACGGACACCCGTGGGCATGTTTCTCGGGTAGGGATTGTTCGGCCTGAAATATCGGCGATGACACTGACATCTCTAGGTCACTGTCATCCCTGACAGCAACTCAGCTCGGTTCTCATGCCATCAAATGTGTGCATTCCCCTTACCGCACCACAATGCAGACAACAAACTGACCCAGTGTAGCTGCCCTTGAAAGAGTACCAGAGATCAAGCCTCAGGACGTACAAGAAGTCTTCTTTGGAAATGTATTGTCTGCAAAGTGAGCTGGTCCCTGCAATGTCCTCTGCTCGCAACCTAACAAACTGTCAGTCTTGGTCAAAACCCTGCGCGTCAATGTGCCCTCGGAGCTGGCCTTGGAGACTCAACTGTCTGCACAACCGTCAACAAGGTCTGCGCATCCAGCGTCAAGGCCATCGTTCTTGGAACACAAACAATCATGACTGGAAACGCGGACATTGTCGTTGCAGGCGGCGCGGAGTCCATGTCCAACTGTCCCCATTACCTCCCGAACATGCGAACCGGTGCCAAATTTGGCAACCAGACACTAGTGGACGGAGTGCTGAGAGACGGTCTAACAGACGCATATGGGAAGCAAGAGCACATGGGTCTCCAAGGTGAGGAGTGTGCGCGGGACCACGACTTCAACCGAGAACAGCAGGACGATTATGCTATCAGATCGTATCAACGAGCGCAGGCCGCGCAGAAAGATGGCCTGTTTGACTTCGAAATTGCTCCTGTCACATTGCCTGGTGTTAGAGGAAAGCCTGGCGTCACGGTGGACAAGGACGACGAACCGAAGAATCTGAACGAAGAGAAGCTTCGCTCAATGAAGCCCGCTTTCATTCCCAATGGGGGCACCGTGACTGCTCCTAACGCCTCGCCTCTGAGCGACGGCGCGGCAGCTGTTGTGCTTGTTTCAGAAGCCAAGCTCAAGGAACTGAACATCAAGCCTTTGGCAAAAGTTCTGGGTTGGGGCGACGCTGCCCAACAGCCGAACAAATTCACCACTGCCCCAGCTCTCGCAATTCCCAAAGCCTTGAAGCATGCTGGTATCAACCAAGGTGACGTGGATGTATTCGAGATCAATGAAGCATTTAGCGTTGTGGCGCTCGCCAACGTCAAGCTGCTGGGACTCGATGCTGAAAAGGTCAACGTCCATGGTGGTGCTGTCGCAATTGGCCATCCCTTAGGAGCCTCCGGTGCTAGAATTGTTGCGACACTGTTGGGTGTATTGAAGGCCAAGAGAAGCAAGATTGGCTGTGTCGGTATTTGCAATGGTGGCGGCGGTGCTAGTGCACTGGTGCTTGAGTCTTTGATGTAAGCGAGTAAAGTCAGCTAGTTATCACGCAGCGGAAGTGAGGAGCCTGGATGACGGCGAGGACTTGACTTCTCACTGTCGCGTTCCGTAAAGCATAAGAGCCGGAATACGGCTTCCGGCCTGGATATCGAATTGGCGTTGGGTTGGCAGTCTAATATCCCCGTGCTAGTCAGGCCGCGGTCAAGCATAACTGCAATTGATCTTGACTTTCGAGCCTAAATTAAAAGATACCATTTTGGACGTTTTCCTACCTGGCACCCACCCGGTAGGTGCCCAGGTTTCAAAAAGGGCTTGGTCGACAAATTCCATGCAAGGCTCGCACCAAGATGACGAGGCTGCAGCCTGCATCTGCTCCACCTCAATTTTTTGTCGACTCCAACTCCGCAATTGCAGGACATGCTTGAGCTTTGCGCCGCATTTTCTCCAGTATTAGCGACAACGCCTTCGACATGGACGACCTCTACGATGAGTACGTTTTGTCTGGAAGCTGGCTCGGTTCCACGTTACTGACTTTCTCATAGGTTCGGTAACTTCATCGGCGAGGCTGCTTCGGACGAAGAGGGATCCCAGGATGGCGTCGCGGGCCAGCACTACGTGTACGATGAGGAGTCGGACGCGGAAGAACAACCCGCTGCGGATGGATTGATGGAAGTCGATGATGAGGGACCATCAAATGCTGTGATTCTACACGAAGACAAGCAATACTACCCGACGGCGCAACAGGTGTATGGCGAAGATGTCGAGACCATGGTGCAGGAGGAAGATGCGCAACCACTCACACAGCCCATCATCGCTCCGGTCACGCAGAAGAAGTTCCAAGTTCAGGAAGCGGATTTGCCGCCCGTCCATTACTCGAGGGAGTTCATGTCAGATCTGCTCAGCTTCCCAGAAGGAATAAGAAACATTGCTGTCGCCGGACATCTGCACCATGGCAAGACTGCGTTCGTGGACATGCTGGTCATGCAGACGCACGATTTACAAGAAAGACTAGATAAGCGCATCGGCAGAAGGAGGGATGAGCAACTGCGATATACCGACACGCACTTCCTGGAGCGAGAACGGGGACTCTCGATAAAGGCCGCGCCAATCAGCATGGTCATGCAGGGTACGAGGGGAAAGTCGCATATTCTGAACATTATCGATACACCGGGGCATGTCAACTTTGTCGACGAGGTGGCCTCGAGCATGCGCCTAGTCGACGGAGTTGTTCTTGTAGTTGATGTGGTTGAAGGTGTGCAGATCAATACCGAGCAGGCCATTAAGCATGCCGTCCTGGAAGATCTACCTATGGTTTTGGTCGTTAACAAGATGGACCGCCTAATCTTGGAGCTCAAGATTCCGCCAACCGATGCCTACTTCAAGCTGAAACATGTGGTCGAGGAAGTCAACACGGTCATCGAAAACACCATCCCAGGCAGAGGTGAAAAGCGGCGGTTATCACCTGAAAAGGGAAACGTCGCCTTTGCTTGCACCTCAATGGACTGGGTCTTCACGCTACCGTCGTTCGCCAAGATGTACGCCGAAACGTATCCTAAAGTGGAAGCCAACGAGTTCTCGAGGAGATTGTGGGGAGATATCTTTTTCAACCCTCGAAGTCGGAAGTTCACAAGAAAAGGTGTAGAAGAAGGCTCGAAGCGAGCATTTGTGAATTTCGTGCTCGAGCCGATCTACAAGTTGTACGCACACAGTATCAGTGAGAGCCCCGAAGACCTCGCGCCAACGCTGAAAACCCTCGGCATAACATTGAAACCCTCACAGCTCAAGTCCGACGCCAGGGACCTGCTCAAGCTTGTGTGCGCACAGTTCTTCGGGCCAGCAAGCGGGTTCGTGGACATGGTTGTCCAACACTTGCCTTCCCCAGTGGACGGCGCAAAACGAATGCTGGACAACTATTATACTGGACCGCTCGACTCAAAAGTCGGAGAAGCGATGACAAAATGCGACTCGGATGGGCCCTTGGTGGTGGAGGTGACCAAGCTGTTCAGTTCCGTGGACGCGAAGACATTCCATGCCTTTGGACGCATACTCTCCGGAACAGCATCATCAGATCAAGTGGTCCGAGTCCTGGGAGAGTCTTATAGCGTCGAAGACGAAGAAGACTCGACCATGTCTACAATCACAGCAACTCACCTCGCTTGCTCCAGATACAATATTCCTGTCTCCGGCGTACCGGCCGGCAATCTTGTTCTCCTTTCCGGCATCGACAATTCAATGGTGAAGACGGCTACCGTGGTAGCTGAGAAGTTTCCCGACAATGAAGATGCCTACATCTTCAAACCAATACGACACTTCACCGAGTCAGTTTTCAAAGTTGCGGTTGAGCCAGTCAATCCATCAGAACTCCCGAAAATGCTCGAAGGTCTACGGAAGATCAACAAGTCATACCCTCTCATCACAACTAAGGTCGAAGAGTCCGGTGAGCACGTCGTGCTTGGTACAGGGGAGCTGTATATGGATTGTGTTTTGCATGATCTGCGGACACTTTTCGCTGAGATGGACATTAAAGTTTCTGACCCGGTAACTCGATTCTGCGAAACAGTCACCGAAACGAGCGCCATCATGTGCTACGCATTGACACCCAACAAGAAGAACAAACTCACCATGATTGCCGAGCCGCTGGACGACGGCGTCGCCGAAGATATCGAAGCCGGTGTCGTTAAGATTCGCGATCCAATCCGGAAGGTGGCGAAGTTCTTCGAAGAAAAGTATGAATGGGATAAACTCGCAGCCCGATCGATATGGGCATTTGGGCCTGAGGAGATGGGGCCCAACATCCTGTGCGACGACACGTTACCCTCGACCACGGACAAGAAACTGCTCAAGTCAGTGCAAGAAAGTATCAAGCAAGGTTTCTCTTGGGGGACACGAGAGGGCCCACTCTGCGAAGAACCTATCCGCAACACAAAGTTCCGGGTCACAGGCGCCGAGCTAGCACCCGAACCTATCTTCCGCGGCGGAGGACAGATCATACCCACGGCCCGTCGAGCGGTGTACAGCTCCTTCCTGATGGCCGGCCCGCGACTGATGGAGCCGGTCTATAGCGTGCACATGACTGGCCCGGCCGATGCGGTTTCTGGCCTTTATACCGTTCTGATGAAGCGACGAGGGCACGTCGTTTCCGACGGCCCCGTGGCCGGAACGCCGCTTTACGCAGCAAAAGCTCTCATTCCCGTCATAGACAGCTTCGGCTTCGAAACTGACCTCAGGATACACAGCCAAGGCGCAGCGAGTGTCTCCCTGGTCTTTGACCGCTGGGACGTCGTACCCGGCGACCCACTAGACAAGAGCATCAAGATCAGACCCCTAGAGATGGCAGGCCCGCAGCAGGCGGCTCGGGATTTCGTGTTGAAGACGAGGAGGAGGAAGGGCCTGAGCGAGGATGTGGATGTCAAGAGATTTTTGGAGCCTGAGCTATTGGCCGGACTGAGAGAAAGTGGTGTCTTGGATTGAGCAATAATCGACGCCGCCCAAGGTGCCCCAGTCCGCATGAAAAGGGATGTCAGGACAAAACTTGCATGGTGTTAGTGCGGCAGGACAAGTCGACGCAACCCACGTCAATGAATGATACCCAAATTAAAGCGCGAACCAGGCGTATCAATGTGCTGCACAGTCTGACCCAGTGTGGAAAAGGTGCACAATACACAGATCGAGCTGACTGTGGACCAAGTTGCGAACGAAAGGTACCGTTCTCAGGGTTTGGCAGGTGTCCTTTTTTTCCCACAGCGAAGCGCAAGGTTATCCGTAGACTTGTAGCTGAATCGCCTGAAATATCAGCACCGCAAGGACGGATGGCTATACTGTGTTAGAAATCGAGAAATGATCCTCACGGCATGGGCCAAGACGCTTCTGAAATCACACGCCTCGAGAGACGCACACGCGCCCATCGCGCACAGCGCCGCTAGTACTTGTGGTCCACCGGACTCGGCCCCATCGGCCTTGGCCAAGATTTCGAAATTTTGAGAGGCCCACCTAAAAAGTTCTCGAAGGGCAACCCGCAGCCGACGCATATCAACTTTCTTGCTGCGACTAGCTCACCTTCCTTTCGTTCTCACCAATCTTTACGAAGCGCATTCAAGGAAGTTTTCGAATATCGCAATCATGGCGGACGAAGTCTACGAAGGTGCCATTGGCATCGATCTTGGTGGGTTTTGCCGTGCCGCCTTCACCGTTCTGTGTGTCGCCTAACCACTTATTGCAGGTACCACCTACTCTTGTGTCGCCGTCTACGAAGGCACAAATGTCGAAATCAGTATGTTACCCTGAAGCGGAGGAGCCTGGAAAAGCACGCTGACAAGCCACAGTCGCCAACGAGCAGGGTAGCTTTACCACTCCTTCCTTCGTGTCCTTCACAGACGAAGAGCGCCTCATCGGTGAGGCCGCCAAAAACCAGGCTGCAATGAACCCGGAGAACACAGTGTTCGATGTCAAGTCAGTGCAGTCGCTCGAAAGAAACATAATCCCTGGCTAACCGCAGTTCAGGCGACTGATCGGAAGACGCTACGATGACCCGACCGTCAAGAAGGATATCGAATCATGGCCATTTAAGATTGTCGACCAAGGTGGCAACCCTATGGTCCAGGTCGAGTACCTGAAGGAGACCAAGACATTCTCCCCTCAGGAAATTTCTTCCATGGTTCTCACAAAGGTGAGTGCGGTCCGTGTTACTCGCGAGCTGCCGAGATTAATCCGTGGGCGCAGATGAAGGAGGTCGCAGAGACCAAGCTCGGCAAGAAGGTCTCAAAAGCCGTCGTGACGGTCCCCGCCTACTTCAACGACAACCAGAGACAAGCTACCAAGGATGCTGGTGCCATTGCTGGCCTCAACGTCCTTCGTATCATCAACGAACCTACTGCCGCCGCTATTGCCTATGGTCTGGGTTCGGGCAAATCCGACAAGGAGCGAAACGTCCTCATCTACGATCTCGGTGGCGGTACTTTCGATGTCTCTCTGCTGAACATTCAAGGCGGCGTCTTCACAGTCAAGGCCACCGCAGGTGATACCCACTTGGGCGGTCAAGACTTCGACACCAACCTTCTTGAGCACTTCAAGAAGGAATTCCAACGAAAAACAAAGAAAGACATGTCTGGCGATGCCCGCGCTCTTCGAAGACTGCGTACCGCCTGCGAGCGTGCGAAGAGGACTCTGTCAAACGGAACACAAACCACGGTTGAGATCGACTCGTTATTCGACGGCGAAGATTTCAATGCTCAGATCACTCGGGCCCGTTTTGAGGACTTGAATGCCAAGATCTTCAATGGCACTCTTGACCCTGTTCAGCAGGTTCTCAAAGATGCTGGCATTGACAAGTCAAAGGTTGACGAGATTGTCCTTGTTGGTGGCTCTACCCGTATTCCTCGGATCCAGAAATTGCTGAGCGACTTCTTCGATGGAAAGAAGCTGGAGAAGGTATGAAAAAAAGGTGGAGAGCTGAGCTATGCTAACGCAATGGCAGAGTATCAACCCTGATGAGGCCGTCGCTTATGGCGCTGCCGTCCAGGCCGGCATCCTCTCCGGGAAAGCCACTTCGGCCGAGACTTCTGATCTCCTGCTTCTCGACGTCGTCCCTCTCTCATTAGGAGTCGCAATGGAAGGAAACGTGTTCGCTCCTGTCGTGCCTCGTGGACAGACAGTTCCTACGATCAAGAAACGGTTCGTAAATCCCCGATCTGTTCCTGTGCTTCCTCATTCCCATACCCTACCCCTTTTCTCGCGTCCCGAAGATTATCCGTGTGCGAGCACGTGGCTTCCACGTGACGCAACCAGTCTTTTTCCTGTCGAACGGATACTAATGAAATTCACAGAACCTTCACCACTGTCGTCGAGTAAGTCGTCTTTGCTTGTGGAAAGAGCGTGCCAAGTTAACATCCACAGCAACCAGCAAACTGTCCAGTTCCCTGTTTTCCAAGGAGAAAGAACGAGCAAGTCGCCCCGAAACCTTGTTCACAACCAAACCAGCTGACAACAAAACAGATTGCGAAGACAACACTTCCCTTGGGGAGTTCACCTTAAGTCCGATCCCGCCTCAGCGCGCCGGAGAAGCTGCTTTGGAAGTGGTCTTTGAAGTCGACGTCAACGGAATCCTCAAGGTCACCGCCACCGAGAAATCTTCCGGCCGATCCGCCAATATTACGATCTCCAATGCCGTCGGCAAGCTCTCCACCTCTGAAATTGAGAAGATGGTTGAAGATGCTGCCAAATTCAAGACTAGCGACGAGGCCTTCACCAAGAAGCTCGAATCGAAGCAACAGCTTGAGTCTTACATCGGCCGGGTTGAGGAATTGATCAACGACCCTGGTTTGTCGATGAAGATGAAGCGTGGCAACAAGGCCAAGATCGAAGAGGCGTTGTCGGATGCCATGCAACAGCTCGAGGTGGAGGATTCATCTCCCGACGATCTCAAGAAGAAGGAATTGGCACTCAAGAGAGCCATGACAAAGGCTATGGCCACGAGGTGAATGTGACCGTCCGCAGGTCCGCGCACTGCCTCATTTCCCCACATCGTGAGGCATAGGTGAATTATGCAAGGCTTCATCTTGCACGAATGTGCCTCAGACGCCCACGAGAGATTGCATTGCATCTCGAATGGGAAATGTGACAGGCGTCAGTTTCTCGGATACTTCATAGCATGTCCTTTCTACCACGTCCATGGTGGGCCTGACTTGCACGAATGGCTACGTGGAAAAGTTGATGCCTTGGTATGATTCTAGATAGAGGGGCAGTCTTCTTTCTTGCGCGGCACGAAACAGAATGATCAATTCATGTCGTTTCAGAGACAAAGTGCTCCAATAGACTTCAGGAAACGGAGTTAGTCGTCGTAGTTGATTGACAGACGGGGAGATGTCTTAGGCAACTTAGTGCCGAGGAAGCTCCGCCTTCGAGCTCTAGGTCCACACAGCCTTGCATTGAATTTGTACTGTGGTACTGTGTACTCCTTGTGGAGTAGCTTCTCCAATAATTGTAGAAGCACGAAACGCGACAAGAGCTCACATCAATTGAAACCCGGAACAGCACAACGGCCCGATTCCAGCTGATAGTACGGAGTACTTAGTACTGTATTGATCCTCCAAAATGCCAGCCCGAACCGTAGACACGGCCTTTCGGCTCATGCACCACTTCCTGACCACATCTCGAGCACAGCGCCTTTCCCACCCGTCCTCACCACTTCTCTGTCCACAATGCCAAACCGGAGTCCAACGACTCTTCGAGCCTCAATCCCGCTCTCCTCGCCTCAGCATACGTGTCGCCACCACCATACCAAGCACAAGACCCTTCTCCAGCACCGTGTCGCGGCCCAAAAAGTCCTCCGCCTCCGCAAAATCGAACCGCAAATCCCCCTCGCTCGACTCCCTCACGCACAAGGACGACAAACACATCCCGGACAACAAGGCCACGCGCAACCGCGATGCGGAAACCGACCCGTATGACTTCTCCGAGCTTGAGACGGCGATCGCCAAGGCCGTCGCGCGTCTGAAGGACGCGCTGGTCAAGACCAAGGACGCCGGCCGCGTCACGCCGGAGATGATCGAGCAGCTGGGGGTGGAAATCAACGTCAAGGGCGCCGACACGGGCAGGGGCAGCGCGCACAAGGAAAAAGCCCGCATCGGGGACCTGGCCAGCGTGGTGGCCAAGGGTGGGAGGACCGTCAACGTGTTTTGCGCCGAAGAGGCGGTAAGTTGCCCCAAGTGCATGCATGCTACATCCACAGTCACAGCTTGCCGCGAGCTAGGGCTTCAGACGCGTGAACCGTGATCCATGATACTGATACTGATACTGATACTGATGCCGTGGCCACCTCCTAGCACGTCAAACCGATAACTTCGGCCCTGCTGGCCAGTCCGTACAGTCTCGTCCCGCAGACCACGGCGCCGCATACGCCCGGCACGACCTCTTCGTCCCAGTCGTCTTCCCTGCCGCGGGACGCTAACCCGCTGTTGATCACGGTGCCGGTCCCTCCCGTCACGGCCGAGACGCGCAACCTGGCCAAACAGGAGGCGAAGAAGATGTTCGAGCGGGCGAGTAGCGAGGTGCGCAATGCGCGCGGGGAGGCGCAGAAGCGGTTCCGCAAGATGGAGCTGGGCAAGCTGGTCATTCAGGACGAGTTGAGGAAAGCGCACAAGCAGATGGAGGAGGTGGTGAAGAAGGGGCAGGACGAGCTCAAGAGGGTGTATGAGGCGAGTGTGAAGGCGTTGGAGGGGTAGGTATGGACGATTCAGACACGCCGGCTGGTCGAGAAAGGAGGGGGGCTCAGCTCCTGTGAGTGTCGTTCACTCAGAGGACTAGCGGAGTCTGCTGGACGCATCGACTTGCTACAATGAGGCCCAAGGCCTTCTCTGGGGTCATCTCCCTCAGGACACCGCGGCCAGCTTTGAGTTCATCTTCGGCTTGCTTCCTTCATGCTGTATCGCCGGGTATTCTCCTCGCTCACTCCGTCTCTTCCTCCTCAACCTGGCGTGTCTACATGTCCTCGCAAGCCAAGCACGTACGAGCAGCTTGCAGTCATGACACTTCTGGACACTCAGCAATTCCCGAGAAGGGCGGTCTAGAACGCCGAGCCTTCCGCTGGGTTGTGCATTGCAATACCGGCTTTCATTCACTGGACCTGTGGATCACGCGTTGGTACCATTGTTACAACGGAGCCTTTGCAAGTTTCCTCTATATGAGAGTGCTGTCTTGGAGAGGTCCGATCAAATATTGGCACCGTCGTTCAAGACAACCTCTGCGACGGTCCTCTACATGCAGATGCTATCCTTTGAAGGCACGGCAGCCGCAGTTACACTTGGGGAGTGTGGTGGACTCGAACAGCAGGCAGTTTCTTCAGACACACAGGCGGACAAGACAAGGTTCATGCATTGCCCAAGCTGGTCTGCATCTGATACAGCTATGACCGGCGGAAGAGATATGTCTGGAGCTTTGGGCAACCTCTAAATCGGTGCTTAAGCAAGGTATGGACGATACTGCCTATTCCCAGGTACGGTCTCTTGAATACTACGCTCTATCACCAGCTCCAGAAGCGGAGCGGACGATTTGCGAAATGTGGCGGGAATCTGAAGATAGCTGGTTTTGCAGCATGTTATGTAACTCGTGCTACGGGACCTCGTTGCTACCTAGACACTCCTCGTCATCCGGCTCGTCTCATCCTACAGTAGCATGCCGTAGAAACAGATTACCAGCATATCTGTACAGACGATCGGTATCATCTCAGCCTCCATTCTCCGTGAGATGTTGTCTCCGCGTCCGCCTCCTGTCCATTTCCGCCTTCGCAAAAGCATAGCATATCCCGCCGACCATGGTCATAAGAGACCCAAGTATGACTCCGCCGCCCGGCCCTGCGCCTCCACCACTCCCGTCACTCTGAGGTTGCATTGTGGCAGGAGACAAGTCGAAGAGTAAAATGACGACCTGCTTCAGGTTACTCGCCACGCCCATGCTTAGCGGCCCACATCGCTTGTTCGCTTCAAAGGACGCGATGTTCAGAAATGATGTTGCTAGCGCGTTCAATAGCCAGAACCATAGCCATAGCTCTCGGGGTTGGTTCCTGTTCCCAGATAAAATCGATCCCTTTGTTGACACCAGCGCTCTCGTTTCACCGGTCCAGCTTCCCATGACTATTGTGATGATCATCGAACATAAAGAACAATATCGCACGAGCACCGAGGATGAGAGACCCAGCCCCCAACTGTTCCGGCGCGAAGGTTGTTGCAGGTGGTTCGACGCGATCGTTTTGGCGACAGCCAGAGTTGCCCCAAACACGGTCCATGCGAAGCCACACGCATTTGTGCCGGACGAGGTGTTGTTGCTCGTCACGGGTGCCGCATTGACCGCCAGGATGACACCGCAGATTGTCAACGTGATGGCCCCATAGACTCCTGATGAATATTCTCTCCAGCATCTTCCGAGAGCTGTGATGGACAAGATGACGGTCAGGGCGGGGACAATGGCACGAATTGTCTGGTGCATAGTCAGACTCACTAGACCCAGAGTCCAGTTCGACACGACGATGTTGATGGTGTAGAGGAGGGAGAAAGGACCGAGGATATGGAGATTGTTGAGGAGGTGCGCGTATAGCTTGCGTCTAGATTCAGGCGGGTCGGGGTGGTTGTCGTCCTTATCATCTTGCTTTTCTCTTCCAATGCCAATACCCTCTCCCCTTCCGAACCCGCTCGAGTCGGACGTGTATACTCCACACCACGAGAGTAAGCTTGTGACGATGAACGTGAAGACTGCGTGAGACGCGGCGAGCAACCAGGCACTTTGCATGTGAGACTGGACGTGCTTGCTCGTGAGGGTGACGAAGAGGTTCAGGATGAAATAGAACGATATCCACAGACTGCTCAAGGTAACGCTGTTGCCTGCCATAATCGAGGAGTGTGAACGACACCAGAATAAAAGTCTGCAGATTCCGGCTATTGGGATTTGGAGCTGAAGTCAGCGATTGAATATCTCGCGAGCAAGGCAGTTGAACAGGCGAGGCAGAAAATGACCGCCAAACGCAATCCGTGCCCGCTCTTCTCTTGTCAATAGTCCGAGAAGCAAGACGAGCAAGGAGAGCACTTGGACGGAGGCTGCCAGTAATCTCATGTCACTCTCCCAAATTATGCCCACGTCCCATCCCTGCGTCGAGACGGACGCACCCAAGAGTTGCATCACTCTGGTTATACCAGGTGTGTCAGTCTCCCACATCTTGCTATGCATCGAGGATGGTTGCAGGATTATTTTTCTCTCTCCTCCTCTTGTGTCTCATCAGTTGGAGGCTTCTCTGTCCTTGACGTCCCTTCTCGCTGCGATGGTTGCTTCCAGGCGTCTTCGGTGTCTCCTTTTTCTTTCTTCTTCCCTTCAAATTTATAAAGTGCTCCCTTGGCCGCCGCTTTGGGTGTCTCCTGTTGTACCCACTTCTCCATGTTTGGTGACAGATACGTGTCCTTGATGATAGGCTGACCGACGAGAGAATCAGTCTCTGGCGAGTAGACTGCTACAACGTGCATGAAGAGAGTGCCCCTATCACCGACAAAGGCAACGTTCCCCCTCAGCAAGACACTGTTTCCCGTGTGCGATTGCATCGACCTCTGCCGCTCTTGGAACCAACGAACCTGAAACACAGCGCATGCCGACTCGATTGCGCCTTGGTAGGTCATGTTCTTGACTAGATTACGATACGCTCTCCGTGATTCATGCTCTCCATACTCGCCACGAAGGAAAGGGAGAAAGGCTTCTTTCCAGGTCTCCGGCATGCGACCGATTACGATCCGCTTCAAAGCCTTCTCGTCCTCGGACAAAGTCTTGCGAGGTATGCTGGGAGGTTTCTCGGTCCCGGTCAATGAATTGATTTGATCCACTAGTCGGGCCTTGGTAATCAGGTAGGAAGCCCAGACAAATTCCTCTACGCCGTGGTAGAATGCTTTCGCCAAACCAAGGGGATGGAATACGCGATCCAGCTTTTCCCCAACACTGTGCGGTACTTGACGCCACCCATAACTTGTTCCGTTGGGCTGAATGAAGATACAGGGAACCTCGTATGAGGCCGGGGCGTACAGGGGAGGAGCTAATCTCCAGCTCTCGTGGTAGGTCACCTTGTGCCTACCATTCGACTGTTTTGAACTGAGTTCCATCAGAGTTCGTCCATATTTGATCAGAACCGCTTTCATCAGGGAACTCTTGATACTCGCTGTGACGTCTTTCAAGCGTTTCTTGTCATCAGCCAGAGCTTGAAATGATTTCCAAGTCGGGTCGTCCGCCTTCCAGGGCTTCGGTTTCTGTTGGCGAATCCATATCGGTAGCATTAAGTGTATAACTTCCAGCTCGTTTTGTGATACAGCGGCATTCGCCTTCTCCCCGTGTTCTCCCCATGCTTTCGAATGGTCCTGAGGTCTCTGTCCATTCTTAACAGTGCCCGCCGATTGTTTGGAGGAATGAGCACTGTCCGGGTAGAAGTGGTTGATTGTCCTTGCTACAAAATATGTGACCGCAACCGTCGTAAATACGCGGTAAAGGACAGGGCTCGATCTCGTTCTTCGGGTTATCGCAACCCTTTGCAAGTCGACTGTACCATTCTGGACGGGCACGCGAACGCTAGGCGGCCTACGGAAGAGAGACCGAAGCATGAGGAGAGCGGAGGATCAGTAGGACGCATCGTCGCTAACGGGAAGGCTCAATACCGTAATCAGCCCATATGCGTCTGCAACGGGTGCGGTGGCCAGCTGGCGGACGGGCTGAATCGTCAAAGAGCTATCTCAAGCAACTGGTACCGTATCTCCCACAGAGGCTAAGGGCTACCTATTGATTTAATCTTGGGTGTGAATTCATGACGACAGAGGGTGCCTGCGCCCGTGGATCCTGCCTCGCAAGGCTCGTATCTGCACGTGCGAGGAGGAGGAGGAGGAGCCGGGGGGTCTTGTTCCAGCTGCAGCTTCATCGACTGAACCTTTAGCCATGCCTCTAGACTTCGATTTCACCGTGCTGTCACCTCTCAACCGCCTCCTCCCCAGCAGGCGAAAGCAGCAACCATGAAGTCGCTCTCAAGTCTAATACTGCCCTGCGCAGTCCTCGCGCAGCATGTCGCCGCCCAAGGTGGCTACCTGTTCACGATCGATCGCAGCATCACGACCCCTGCAACCGCCATGATCGATTCAGAAATGGCCAGTGCCATCATAGCGAGACGGAGAGCCCTGACCGCAGACCGATACCTAGGCATCACCGACTCGATGCTCCTAGAAGACATAAACACCTACGGAGGGTACCAAGCCCCTCTATTTGGTGAAGAATCATCGCCCGCAGACGCCCCCGGGAAGCTCTTCATCCGGATATCAGGCGTCGACATGAAGATCCAGGACTTTGACCTCGCGATGCCGGACCTCTGGATCGACGCACCAACGAAAGATCTCCTCACAGACTTTAAAGCCGTCACGAACAACAAACGCAAAGAGAAAGACGACCTCTGCGAGTACGCCGTGCCCGCCTCCCGCAACGCTCCGGACAGCAAAGGCGTCGAAGTCGTGTTTACCTACCCGTCCGAGAACGGCCGATGCCTCGCGGATACCGAAATCCCAAACATCCCCATCATCCTGTCGCTGCACAGTTTCCTGCCGACCAACCCTGCGGCCGTCAAGACGCAGATCAACAGCCTGATCCGCATCCTCAAGCACTTCTCCGCGACCGAGAACGTCGAATCCACTGTCCTCTTGCTCCCCTCGGAGAAGAAGCTGAAGAAGTCAAACGCAAACAAACACAAGCACGCGGCCCGCTCGGCCCAGCAATCCGAGGAGGAACGTCTCGATCTGCCCTCTCCCTCCTCCGCGGCCACCTCGTTCGACACGATCACGCCAGCGAGTAACGCATCAAACACCACACACCCCCTCCCGCACAACATCCCGCAGTGCTTCACCTCGCAATCGCAGTGCGAGAACGTGACGAACACCTGCTCCGGCCACGGCGCCTGCTACAAGGCCCACGCCAACTGCTTCAAATGCCGGTGCGGCACCACCGTCGTGCGCGTCAACGCCGATGGCACGAAAAAGACGGTCCAATGGGGCGGCAACGCGTGCCAGAAGAAGGATGTCAGCGTGCCGTTCATCTTGTTTGCCAGTTTCGGCGTCGTCATGACTGCCCTGGTCGTCGGCGCCATCGGAATGCTTTGGAGCATGGGCAGCCAGGAGTTGCCGAGTGTGATTGGCGCGGGAGTCGCTGGGCCCAGAGCTGCTGGGAAGTAAATGAGATTCTGGCCGAGCTTGTGTATGTGATGTGACCGGAATGACATGAAGAGGGAATGTGCGTTCCTGGAGGAATCAACCCCCCGGTCTTCAGTCGACAGGCTCGGTCGGGCATGCTGTATAGATATCACTACCAACGAACATGGTCGAGATCAGGGGCGTCTGCCTTTCACAATGCATTGGGATTACAATTGTAGTTCGAGTTTTCGTCCCATAATACGACCATATTCAACTCAACCTGTTGTAACCCTGGGACAGTTCCGTCCTTGCACAATAGCTACAAGGTATACCCATGAAAGTCCAAAGTTTTTCCACCATACTACCTCCCAATGCGATACCCATGATATAGGGCCTGTCACACAAGCAGCCACATGCACTCCTATCGCTCATTCACGAAGATGCCACTGCCCAAGAAAATCACCCAAACTCATACCCAATCCTACGTGTTAAGATGCACAATCATGGTACACCTCTCGAAATCGAACTGCAGCTGACTGGGCGCATACTCCTTGCGTTCCCCCTCCCTCAAATCTGCCAGGACTTCCACAACCAGCACATTTTCGCCGGGCACTAGTCTGACCTCAAACGCCCCGGGAACGTGCACGCTATTGCTCTCCTTGTACACCGTGGCATTGTGCATGAAGAAAACGCGGTGGCGGCGCCGGGCATGCAATTCGGAGGTCAAGTCGGGGATCACACGGATGTCGCGGTAGGCAGGCGGCAAAGCGATGAAGCCAGATGTTTGGGTTTTGATGGGCGAGCCATGGCGGATCAGTTTCCAGCGCGGGTCGTTTGGCAGGGAGGGGTTGGTCATAAATGTCACGGAGGAGAGAAGGGCGAAATCCCAGCCTGTGGTCGTATTAGTACGAATCCTCCTCACGAGTGCGCAAAGAGAAAGACAGCTAGCTTACCTCTGCCCGGGTCGCGGAATCGACGTTCCATGGGCACAACGGACTGGTTTAGGTAGTTGGAAGCATTGGTTGTAGAATCCTTCGCGGGGCTAGCCTGAGGGTGTGGCGCATGGAGAGTTATTCCATTGGTAAGTAGCCCATCACTGGGAAGAGGTGTCTCGAATTCTTGAACCGATGTGGGCAACTGCTGAGCCGGAGCCTGCGACGTCTTCATCGCTTCTTCAGCCTGTGGTGTCCTTGAAGTACCGTTCATCTTGATGTCGGCCATGGCCGGGTCGGCTTGTTCAGCTGCCAGAGACATACTACGTCGGACACTGGCAGCTGCGCTGGAGGGGACAGGTGTAGATCCGTTGACTTGCGCAGTCCTGGAAGTCGCTCTGTGCGCTCTATTCAAGGCTTCACCCATTTCCCGCTTCTGCCGTCGTAGCGACTCACTGTCAATGGTGCCGCCGACAACATTTGGTGTTGGTGTTGAGGGACCCATGGTCAATCTCAAAGCTTTTGGCTTCGGCTGAGATAATGAAAGTCTGAGGTTGCGGCGTGGTTGTGCACCAAGTGACTGCAACTTTGAATCGGACCATGTCTGCGCAAAGATAACGTGTTAGTCGAGTCATCGAAAGGTTCGACAGGTGTTAGCGTACCTCGAGCTTCTCTGCCATTAAGTAAATGTCGGATCCTTCCAAGTTATATTCTTTCGCATTGTCCCAGATCAGCCGGACCTCCTTCGCCAACGCATCCCAATCTTGCACAACTCCTTTCTCTACTAGAGCGCGTACATCTGAGATAGACGTCGGCTTTTTGATCATTTTGTAATAATCAGGATAGTCCTTCTTGGGGACCTTTTCCTCGAAGTTGCTGAAAGTGGCTGTTAGGACCCCATTCTCTCGGACCGTGAATGAGAGAGGAAACTTACATTGCGTCCTCCTGCTCCGACAATTCCTGCAGGAAGGCTAGCTGCTCTTCTTTCACGTCCTCTCCTCCACTAATGGCAGGAGTACCCGCGGTAGACGAGGGAACCTGACTTTGACGCCTCACAGCCGCGGGATTCGAGAACCTCAGCTTGACCTTCTCTGGTGCACCAGTCCCTTCCGATGATATGGACTGCTGTCTGATCTGGTCATACAGTTCCTGTGGAATGGGCGTCGGATATGCACGATAGTCCTCTCTCAGATATGCTGGATTGTGCTTCGGCATGAAATTGGACAAGGCCTTGCGAATGCGCTCGGCATCTTCGAAGATTGAAGATTTGCTGTTGTTATAGTCTTTTGCGTTCTGGACCATCCTCTTCAGATCAGACTCCAACCGCTCAAGGTTCTCATACTCGAAATTCTGCAGCCGCTGCTCAATTATGTTCAGGGATAGAGGCATGGCAGTCCGTTGATAGTAGTCTGGGTAATCGGTCCTGCTAGGCAGGTCGAGGAAATGAACGGCGACATTGCGGCCATTCTTGTCTTGTGATCTTTTCAATTGCCCTACAAGTCTCAATCCGATATCTGTGGTGGTTTCGCGGGTTTCTATATCAGGGAAATGGGTGTCCTGCGGCAAGTCGAGTTAGCGAACCTGCGTGCAGGATGCATTGAACATTGCAAGTGCACTCTGATCGAGTTGCATGCACTCGAGTCTGCAGGCATGATGATGGGTTCGGAGTGCGCTGCGTGGGGCGTATCGCAATGGCTGCGCTGCACTGCACTTGATGGAAGAAGTGGCAGTTGGGCATGTGAGGACATGCGGATTGTTGTATACTTACGTCGCTGCGCTTGCGTCGCTTGAGATCAGGACCTGGCGTGGCTAGAAAGTCGTCGGGGTCGAGGCCTGCAGGTCCGCTTCTGCGCTTCGAACTCATGCTTTCGCGGCCTCACGAGATTGCGTGGATCGGGGAGGGATGCGGGTTCACCGGCGTAGGAGGGGGATCACCAAGGGAAAAATGCAATAAAACCGAATGTTTGGAGAGCTGATAGGTGCAGAGTCGTTGGCCGCGAACCTATTCAGTGGTTTGAGCGTTGCAGGCACTCTGACTTAGGGAGGTCACTGAGAAATCGCCCTCTGTCTGATCTTCTAGGGCTGGCCAACCTGCGACGCGACAGACTTGCGCTGCAGTTACCTCTAGTTAGGTGTCTAACCCTGCAACTCCCGCACGTGCCTGGCATTCGGAATATTAGCTGATCCGGTCCGGGACGGTCTTCCGAGGTTGAGTTTGTCCCTTCACTTGGCGTCCACGGCTTCTTTCATTGGTCAGCCTTCCATGTTTACTCCCGCGCTCCATCTTCTGCCTCTAGCATTCGTTTCAAAAACAACTGCCCTGCGCTTCCCACGCCTTTGTTTGGAAACGCCCACTCCAACCACACACGGGTAGCTGTTTGCATACCAGCCCTCAAAAGTTCTACTACCGAAGACAGCAGCCGCTAGTCTGTGCCCGCCTTCCTCTTGTTTCTACGCGAGCCCGAACAATTAATTGGGGCACGAGACCATTCCCTGACAACACGCGGCCGTGGTACCGTGGGCCCCACCACAATTCTTGCGTAATCTTGCTTCGACCTTTGAGCACGTAATAGACGGACGTGGAGGTCGGATCTCGGGGACTTTTCGCCCCTACAAACAGAATGACAGACATCGACATGGCAAGAAGAAATAAGAAGCCAAGATTACTGCTCGAGTCTGAGAGGGCACGCCTGGAAGAGTTCATCGACTCAATTGGGTACTCTGCAAGGTGGGTGAGGGAGGTTCCCAAAGGTTTCGAGGGCTGAAAGACCCTAGATATTCCGACAGCGAATACGAATACCGACATGTTCAACTTCCGAAAGCCATGTTGAAGGTTATCCCTAGAGAGTACTTCGATGACTCAAAAGGCACATTAAAGCTGCTCTGGGAAGAGGAGTGGAGGGGACTGGGCATCACACAGGTAAGACGCATCATTCCGATGGCCTCAACACCTAGCTAAGCATTGCACAGAGTCTCGGATGGGAACACTATGAAGTTCACGAGCCGGAACCGCACATCCTCCTGTTCAAGTACGTCTACTACCCCAAACGTGTTTCCTTTACTAACAGTCTCAGACGTCCCATCGGATATCAGGCTCCAGCTCAGTGATACCCCAGCTCGTCAGATCGACTCGATCCTCCGACTAGCGCAGCATTGGAATGGCGTTATTTCCGGAACGCAGGAATTGTCTTCATATGTGCATTCAGCAAGCGTGCTTACAGACGTGTTTGTGTACGTTTTCACGAACAGATCCCAAGAGGCGGAAGATTTACACACAAGACGATACTCTCCATTCAGGATTAGCAGATCCTACCAGTTCCATGCCGAACTCAGCTCGGCCAGCATTAAATGGATCTCTGACTCGCGCTCCTCTTGTCCCTTACTTCTCCCGCCCCGCTATTTAGAGCTTGAGGCGTCGACCTTGAACATATGGGGACTGTCCTCCTAGTCAAGTTGCGTTCTTCTTCAGCCACTCGTCCCATTGCTCGAAAGTCCAAGAGGAGCTGATGCTCCGTTCCTCGACCCCGTTGAACAAAACTGTTGGTGTGACATGAACGCCTGTCACTCGGTTCGCCTTCACCTGGAACTTCACGTCATCCGTGACCTTGTTGCCGATGTTGAGGCTGCCATCCTCACCCGGCGTGTCAGTCACCAAAAGTAGATCCAGGATGGTCTTCTCGTCGACACCATCGACCGAACCGGCCAACTTCGCAAGCCTCTTGTAGGTTTCATTGCGGCTCTCGTTCACAACATTGACATCAAAGTAATCTTTCTGGTTATCGAACAATTTCTTCGAGAATGGCCAGAAAGACTGGGGCGCAGTCCTCAGCACAGCAACCCCGGCTTCGTGCGTCAATGTCGAGGAGGGATGCCATGGCTGGATCTGCTGGCGGAAGATGACGCGGATGCCTGGATCTGTGTATTTCTCCTCGATAACCGGTGCGACACTACCATAGAAAGTCTTGAAGATTTTGGCACTGAAAGGACAGACATAATCGAGATAGAGTTCAATTGTATGCTTTGCTTCGCTGCCGGATGTTGAGGCCAGGAGCTGTCCGGAGAACTTTGGTGGAAGAGCCATGGTATGAGGTCTCGGTTGATGGTTATGTCTAATTCAACCGCTCCTGTTTCCTCCTCTCCTGTGGAACGTTGAGAGAAGAGCAAAGTCGATACTTAAGGATTACCTATGAGCCTACTCCGTATTCACATGCAAGAACGTTATTCAGCGCTTGGATTCCGTCATCAAAGCAGAGGTCACAGTGGTAGATCCCTCTCGCCGTGTACGGTAAGGTAAAAGTGCACTTTGCGATAATATCAACAACAACAATCTACATTTTGAGCTAGGTCTTGACTGTGTCGTTGCGTTCCTCATCTCTTAGACATACAGGCTCTCGGCCGCACCTCTGTACTAAGTCAGCTAGCCTACCGCCTATCCTGCCGTCCTCATAGCTGCCACCATCTGCCTCCAATCAACAAGAGCGAGAGGTACCCTTTGCTCTATACCTGGAGCACTCTAGCCGCGAGGATGCAGGTATGTGGAATAGACTCGATCGAGGCGTTGCAAAGGCGTCTCGATTTTTCTTCACCATGCTGCCACAGTGGTTGCGCTTACCAGGCATTGTCTCTACTCGGAAGGTTGTTGTTTCCTCATTCATTGAGACCTGTTCTTCAGAAGCATGTCCTACTTATCTATCTCTCCTTGTTCTCTGCTACTTGTAGGTACATTACTTCAACATTCGTTTGTTGTTACAGCTGCTGCCACAATCTACTTTCGCTGCATTTTATCTCGCGTTTACTTCACAATTTCATAGCGCTGTTGGTATTTTACTTGTCTTTCTTCTTGCTACCATTCGCTTCCCCGATGCTTGTTCTGCATCCCCGAAACTCAGTGGACAACGGAAAGATGGACTGCAAAAGGCAATCTGTGATACACTTTGACATTGCACCTTGCGTCGATGCTGAAACGAAGAGCCTAAGACCGCACATCGCCAATGCTAAATTTGTCCTGATCAACAAACTCTGGGTCATTGCTAAGCTGTCAGACACCATCAATGATCGGACCTACAGCTTCTATGGCATCAGCATCCCGGCGTGTCTCTATGCCACATACTCGGCGCCGGGACAGTCGTACGATGATGCAAGGCGCAATCTCCACAAGGTCAACGGTCGGATGCAGGTCTATCTCAGCTTTCTGGAGCTGGCGCCTATGCTCTGCATGCTCGCGGTGCTGGACATCAGGCGACTTGAATGCGCCGCTCAACCCGACTCCTTCCTCCTCGCGAACGTCCGTATCACTGTATGCTCACCACGCCAATACCCCGAAGGCTCAAAGTTGACCAACCGGTCACTGGTCAATTATAGCATCTTAATGAGCTGGGCAATCTAGGTACATGTCCTACAGATCATGGCTGTTATGGACGGAGATATCCTACCGGCAATGTACTTCCTTACCTTGTTCCTCCTCGAGCAATACCGCTTTTTGGAAGTCCAGGAAGCCTACATATTCGACAACCACGACCACGCCATGAAACTGTGTCCCAAGGTGCCGTTCAAGCCTCAACGTCACCCCACAGTGTCGCAAGCCGAGCATGGGAACGATTGCGCCATTTGCCAAGTCGAACCGATCGGGCTTTTTGAAGACGTCTACAAGCTCCCGTGCAAGCACCAGTTCCACAGATGGTGCCTGCTCAAATGGCTGTGTCATATGGGCAAATCGAAGTGCCCCATGTGCCGAGATACAATTCTCGCCAAGGACGGGCTCTTGGGTGTCAAATGTGTCCCTTATTTGAGATGGAGAGAGGAAGTGTTGGCTTAAGCCCGTGGGCGGAGGCACAGCAGTGTAGTGGTTGGTTTAGCCACGGAAGAACGGTGATCTCGTGGAGTGTCAGAAACCGGCATGGAAAGGGAGAGCAAGTAGGCAAGGTGTCTGGATAACGGGCGGGCGTCTCTCAGGCTCATCTTCTATAGAAGATTTCGGTCACTGGGGATGGCTGATGGCGGATTTGCATGGAACCAACATTTATACATATGTAGCCGATGCTAGTCCAGGTCTATGGATTTGTCTCGGATGCCGCCAGCCTTCGACTCCTTTTCTAAGGTCTTTCTACAGTGTGCCAAACCTGCCTCATTTCTGAGCCGCCTTCGGCGCCTGAGCTCCACCTTGCGACAACTGCCTGGAAACAATGACACTCTGCACCGTCCGCATGAACTCCTCCGCCTTTCCCGGCGTCACTGTGCCATTATTATTCAGATTCCTCACGATCTGGTCCAAGAAGGGCATCTTCTGCTTCTGCACCTCGGGATACACGCCCTTGACCCAGGTCTCGGCCAACCCCTTCCGCTCGCTCTCTCTGTCCGCGATGCTGTCAAACTCCATGTTCTCAGGCTGCACCTCTCCTCCCGAGCCACCAGCCCTTTCGGTATCGCGATCCGCCCACTTCTGCGCGAGCTGGCGTGAAATGGAGACGACTTCGTCGCGCTCCTCCGCGGACTCGAAGCGCGTGAGGTATCCGCGCGTGTAATGCATGGCGAGCTGGTTGGGCGTCTGGTAGCCGTGCGGCAGGCGGTGGGCGAGCCATTCGATGCGCTGCTGCACGCTTTCCACAAGCCCGGCGTTGCTTAGGGGGGTGTTGGGCCAGTCCTTGCGCAGCTCTGGCTCGGCGAGGGTCGTGCCGGGGGTGTGCGGCAGTTCGGTGGTCGGGTTGACGGGCGGGTCGACTATTGTGTTGATGTAGTTCTCTACGCGGGTGGGGAGGTCTTGGGCGTGGAAGGACGACGGGTCTTCCTCCTCGGCGGACCGCGAGGCCTTGGTTTCTGCGAGGCGGCGGACGCGCCGGTCTGTGCGGTTGGTGTTGGCGTTGGTGTTGGAAGAAGCACCTGCCCCAGGAGTTCGAGATTGGAATTGGGATGGAGCTTGACCGCCCGGGCCTCGGGATCCGGACCGTGGGCCACCGAATCGCTGGCCCTGTGCTTGTTGTTTACCGCCTTGCCCTTGTCCTTGGCCCTGATTTTGATTTTGGCCCGGTTGTGTTCGTCGGATGAGAAGTTGGCCTTGGCCCGGACGAGGTGGTCCCGTGCGTTGGAGGACGCGGTTAGGGGGAGGTGTGCGCCCTGCGGTTCCTATACCACTTCTAGCTCCTGCGCCCGTTCCTGTGCCAGTGCCGGCGCCGGTGCCGGCGGCGGTGCCGGCGGCAGCCTGGGTTCGTGGTCCGCCTGTGCGTTGCAGGTGCGTGCCTCCTGGGCGAGGGGTTGCCGCACCGGCTCCTGTACTCGCCGGGGCATTTCTGCGTAACAGAGTTCTAGGTTGCGGCCTGCCCCGTGGAGGTGATGAGGATGATGGCTTGTTATCTCCTGACGTGGTCTGTCAGCTATCCTGTTGAAAGCTCTCTGGTGGTTGAATTGTGTATACCTTCATCGTAGCACGCCCTCGAGGTGGAAAATGCCCTAGCACCGCTGGCAAGAGTGGCTGAGGGAGCGGTGAATTTAGATCCAAGGCCAAGTCTTGCGCATCGTGCGCAGACGTGCTCCATGTTGGACCGAGAGGTATGGTGTTGATGGTGATGGGTTGATGGACACTGATCTGGTAATGTCGAAATTGCGGCAAGCTGAAGCTTGGATCGAAAGTGGTGGTCACGTGGAGGTGGGTCTCCGCGTCGCTCAATTCTCCGATGTTGAACTTCTGTCTCGCTTCCTTACCTTGCTCCTGTCAAGCGTTGATGATGGCTGAGAAGATACAACATGGACCGCGACACCGATGATACTGTGTGTTCTGTGCCGAGTTATTTGTCAACCCGTTGTCCTGAGACAAAATGTGCTTCGGCATTCGCCTGGCGAAGGTAAAGTATCAGGTCACCCAACACGGATTAGAACCTGGCTTTGGTGTCGCGAATTTGATTGCCCTCATGCGCAGGCTGCCCTTTTCTGAGGTAGCCATGCTATACTTCGAAGGCAGTTGAAGACTCTTGCGATGTGGTTTGCGCATGATTGGACTCGACAACAATGAATTGAATCTACCTCACGTTGATTCCTTTCCCTATCACTCCTCTCATGGCGCTTGCCCCGGTTTCCAGAGCTCTGGCACTTCTGTTATACCTGACCGCAGCGATTTCTGCGCAACCGACTTCCGATTTCACGATCGTAAATGGCCAGATATATACTCCAGGATTAGCCATCGTCGACGCGCCACAGCCTTTCACGCCTCTAGGAGGAGGTATGTAATCGCTAGCCTGAGCAATCAGCATTGCCCTCTGTCGAGGAGCTGGAGGTGTCAAGGAAGGACGAACCTCAGGCTCAGCGTCGCTAACCTGTGATTCTCAGACTTCCTCCAAGTGGCGCTCGACATCTCTGGCAACGGTAAACTCCCACAGCCGTACTATCCACCGAAGGGAGATACAGGAACCCTGAGCATCACCATCTTCCTGTTCAGTTACAACACCTTCCTCAACCTGACGATATCAAACGGCACTCGCTCAGGTTGGCGCGAAGATACATTCGAAGACGCAGAGTTCAAGTGCAGCGGGACGACGACCCAGGGCTTCCAAAATGCCGGCTGTCAGGAAATCATGGCCCAAGAGAGCGGAAGCACTGTGAAGCACGTCAACTGGGCATGGCCCGACTGTTTGGTCGGGATCGACGAGAGTGATAGGGATAGGGGCTCGTATAATGTGCGACAAGAGAACGCCTGTCCTGCCAGCTCCATGCAAAGTCTGACGTTCTGACCTGACAGATATCGATCCATCAGTCGTTCCGAATCAACGGGACTGGATTCTATACCATCTTCAATCTCCCGATCCAGGTCACCAATTCTATCCCCCAATTGACTCAGCTCGCGACGATCGGAACACGGCCGCTATGTTCCCTCCGGCAGAACGCTCTGCAGAATCAAACCGCTCAGGACGCGAGTACTTCTTCACCAGCGTCCCAACCTTATCTCGGTGGCACGTTGAGCATTGGCGGCAGTGATCAAGACGGATCGCCATCTACAACGGCGTCCACAACCAACAACCCGGGACTGCCATCCACGAACGAGGCATTTGCACAAAGGGCGACTGTAGTCAACATTGTTCTCCCGATTGTGTTTATTGTAGCACATCTAGGTTAGCGTACTGTCGCGACCTTTTAGGGAAGCGTCCCATAAAGTTTACGAAACAGCTTTACTTCTATCCGGTCGGGACCTGCGGTATCGAATATAGCGACCTGAAACCTGCCTCAAGACTTCAGGGATCGATCGAACGAGGACTACGTACAATCCCCATGTTCGTCTTGCATGATTTCATGCCGCCGCCTATCGACCTGTATATCGCTTTCAGCAACGCAATGTATCGCATTTTTATATCATAGAAGTTCCGAACTGACTTTTATCATTATCATTAACGCCATATTGGGCTGCGGAGAACATCGCTATCTGGACATCTATCATAGCTGATCAAAAGCTACCTAATGCACTCTTCCTCTTTCCATAGGGATACACGACCAACGCGCTCAGATACAAGCCAACGCTAATACCGATGGCAACCTGGACCATGCTGTAGCCGACGGTGAAGATTGTCCCATCGGAGTAGTCATTACTCGAACCATTCTGAGCACTTGCCGTGCTGTTCCCAGAAATTTGATTGGCAGAGACGACGCCTGCAACCAGCGATCCAGAAGAGGCCAGACCACCGGGCACTTGACAGTAGATGGCGGGTAGCATGGCAGTTGCGGCCAGACCGTGGAACATGCGCGAGTACAAATTGGAGATACAGCCGATGACGAAAGCGCCAATGGCGTTTGCAACTTGCGGGTTGCTGGAAAGCTGGGTGGAGATCCAAAAGTTGGCTTGATGGCCACAGACGGCAATGAGGGCCATCAGGGGCAACTGCCGCCATCTGGCCTGGTAGATGAGACCCACGCAGCACGCAAACAGCGGAGCCCAGATAAAGCGCGTATGTATCAACTTCCAGTTCATCTCCGCTGCGAACCAGGGTGGGATGTCGCAGGTGGTGGTGGAAACAGCGCCACGCTTGATAAGGCCGAAGACAGTGGTGCCAATGAGTAGGCCAAATGCGAGGAACAGAACATAGACAATCACGTAAACCATACGTACCGAGCCGGAGATCAGATTCCGGCTTTGTAGTTCGAGAGCGGAATTCAGCATCATAAATCCCGGGAGGATCATGGCAATGCTACTCTGCGCCATGCCCGAGAAGCAGAAAATGTACTGTCCGTCGGAGTATTGGATCGAACCGAGAGCGCGGGCAATGAAGGCCGCGAACACGCACGCGAAGACCTCGAACACGTTGCTGAAGTGTTCGGACCTCGGCACGATCTTGACCTGCATAAATCCAATCGCGCAACCGAGAAGGAAAATAGGTCCAAAGTCGACAGGACGGGTCTGGAAAGAAAAGGGCCCAACCACAATCGAAGCCACCCCGGACATCAAGATGCGAAATAGTTCCGAGTAGTTATCGGGTCGTCGACGAATATTGTCGATCTCGCGAATTCCGTCCTCGGCGGTAAGTTTGTCGTGAATGACACATTTGTACACGTTGAACACGTCCTTGAGACGGGCGAAATCAAGCCCGGCGCGCTTTCGGACAATGTCGACGTTGTTGGCGTGGATTGTTCGGTCGGCAAAGGTGCAGATCATGGCACCTGGGATATGGAGAAAGTCGGCATCGATGAGTAGCGCACGGGCAGAGGCGCCGAGGTATTCTTCCATGCGATGGGTGGGGGCGCCGTATTCCATGAAGGCGCCACACAGCCTGAGCAGATAGTCCCTCCGGGCGATGATATCGGCGACCTCGGTGATGAGGCCGACGTGGTTTTCTAGCGTGCTTGTGCTGTATGCACCGCTGTGCCGGTTATGATCGTGTTTGCCATGTGTGATGATGTCGACAGCTGTAGAGATCATGTCGGCGGATTTGGGACGCACAGGCCGAGGGCGTGGGATGGCGCCCAAACCTGCCACGCTTGGGCCGGTGGACGAAAGAGCTGCTTGCATCAAGGCCGCGGCGGTCGGGTTGCTCTGTTCAGGCTTCTCGTACCATTTGACCTTCTTGGAAGGTGTCGCTGTGCCAGAAGCGGGGAGTGAGGTCGTGAGTGACTGAGAGTGCTGGTGACCTTTCAAATCATGCTTGGTCTGTCCACCTGGGCGGCTTTCTGGTTGTTTTTGGCTGTTGGACCAGTCTTGCTGTAAATGATTGAGTTTGTAAGCGAGCAGTGCCCCGAAGAGACCAGGCTTGTACTGCTCAGGGGCCGGTACGTAATCAACATCATATACGTGTTGGCCAGCTGAACGTTTCTCGTGATCGAGGCTGTAGCGGTCAGTTTAGAACAGGCTCTAGAAACAAGGATGAGAACTTACTTTGCTCCCCTTTCGTACGTCGAATCCTGGCGCAAGAAGGTATGTACTGTTTCCGCCGCAGCTTGGGTATAGACTTGCGATAGAGCTTCTCCATCCTCACTGCCCTCCTGTGGGGATTCGTGTACATGGTCGTCACCCGATGGTTTCTCCTGACTGGCCGAAGAAACCTCCCCGAATTTGGTGTAGAAGGACGTTGATGGTCTGAGGTTGGCCAATCCCAAAGGTCGATTTTGCTCCTTCTGCTTTACCCAACTGATGACCTTCGACCAAGCAGGCTTTGGTCGCTGGCCTGGGGATGCTTCGTCTGCGACACTGTTCTCTGAAAGAGACCCTGAGGTTGGATACCTGCCATCTTCGCCTCCAAGATCTCCCGCACCGAACGTTTGCAGGTCATCAGTGCCATTTGAAATGTGATTGTCGTTGACCCGTTGGTTAGAAGTATCGTTGCTGTCGTATAGTCCTGCTTCCAGCCGACTTGGGTCGAGATTGACGTATTGGTCTTGATCTGAGTTGCTATCCCCAGTTGCCATAGGCAGGTTGGTACAACTTCAACCGCGAGATGGGAGAGGACAAAGACAAAGGATCAAGGGCGGTGTTGGTGTGATCATACAGTAGTCAAATCTTTTCCACGGGACTAGGGTCCGCTAGAAAAGACCCGATCTGGCGGCAGTGGTGTACTTAAGCGAGGCTGACTCGTCCAAGCAAAGGCACGGTGGCCGTCGGCCAGTATGAAAATAGTTCCTCGAAGATCCGTCTGGAGATCTAACTTCCGTGGCCGACGCCACGGAGTCTTTCGATCGAACGCAGTTTGGAGCATTACTGAAAGGAGCCCGGGGTTGACGTGGTCGGCGGAGCAAGTTCCAGAGTCAGTAGCATCGATAGAGTTGTGATGTGGTAATAAGAAAAACAGTTTGCCGGCGTTTGTCTCAGTAAAAATTCTTCTTCCGCCCTGTGTCGCTCCTTCTGGGAATCCCTTACGCTTGCCGCTTCCCAAAGGAGGAAAAAAGTCCATTGGATTACCCGTATCACGTGCTCAGCTAACCCCAGGGGAGCGTATTCGGCAACCGGCCCCTTTTCCTCGTTCTTGCATAGCAGCTTAGGTACCTATGCATCATTCCATCCTTGATCACGACTTAATTACGTCTCGTCAAGTTGCACTTCAAAGAGCCCTAGATATCTATACAGCATTTCTTCTGCTACCTCGAATCGATCAGGCAGGCCGGGCACTGTCCAAAGTAGTTAAGGCGCGAAGAAATTGTCTCGTCAGTGTTTCTACTCGAGCACAACTGGCTGATCCAGGATTGGGGAGATACTATCTACGTCCGCACTTGGAGAGCCTGAGGCGCCTCTTCCGCCGTGATATCTGCGTCAACTCAGATTCCTAGAATGGCGTCGCCCTGTGTCTGGACGTATTCGCTTGTATATCGGATGTGCAACTCAGCTACCAGCAAGTTGAGCTTTCTCACGATCCATTCTTTCATCTCGTCGTCGCCGACAAAGTGAGCGCAGATCAAAGGCAATTGGAGGAACTGTGCCCCGAGAGGTTTCAGCGTTACGGCATACTCGTAAGACATGCAGATCTTGCGTGCTGCTGCATTGGCAGTTAGACTCGTTCGTCGTGGGAATTCATCATGCCTGTGGTAGATGTTCATGATGCAGACTTCGACAATGATTGTCACCGCCCAATACCAGGTATGAAAGATTGCACCATCGGTGGACTGGAAATTGAGCACTGATGGAAATGTTCCGTCATCGCTCCGAGACGTGGCGGGCTTGAAAACCAGAAGAGTGTTCGAGGAGGATTGCTGAGCCTCGGCGGACAGGAGTGCAAGTTTTTGATTAAGATCTTCTCCATATTGGATAACTTGGTCGATGGAAGTCGTTGCGGCAGGGATGTCTCGCACTTGTTTGACAAGAGACGGCAAAGCGCTGAAGATTTGAACCAGCCGGTCTACCAACGATGAAGCCAAGTTCCGAGTCACGTCCAAATGAAAGTCCCGCCAGCCGTCGCTGAGCAAGACGCAGTCTTCCTGTCGAAGGAATGCCTGCAGGATCTTCCTATGATAAGCTTTGACTGACACGTCAACTCGGAGATGCACCCGACGTACCATGTGCCCCCGCTGTGTGCGCCATAGCTCCTGCTCGAAAATCGAGGACATATTCTGTGGTCCTCGTAGGACGATCAGTTTAGTAGCTGCTCCAGCATGAGCAAGATACTGAGAGCCACGTCTCTCGGTGACCATCATCTGACGCCGACAGTGTCTCCATGTCAGTTGATGTGCATGTGCCAGAGCAGTATCACTCACCTCGTAGTGTGTCATTAGAATCGTGGCGCACACAGTCTCGGATGAAAACCCTAGCACTGGGTGCTCAATGACTTCTTGCAGTATTCGCAGTGCTCCCATGTACTCCGAGCTGGGCAGAGGGTGCCTCCCATTCAGAGGGGCAGGGGCTGATTGAGGTATCTCGGTGGCACCGCGTACTAGGTCAGAATGAGCCTGTAGAACGCATGAAACTGCAGCGTCTAGGGCGGGATTGTGGCCAATGCGGGACGGAACACTGCAGATGAAGTTTCCCAGGCACTGCAGTTGATAGCCGCGTGGACCGGTATTGAGCGCAGCCACGAGGGCAGACGCGAGCTTGTTCTGGTCAGTCGTGCTTGGCGTGACAACAAGCGACAATGGAGAATGCCTTTGCGAGGACGGGGTCCCGGATCTGGTGCGGACGAGTTGCATTTTCTGCGTTAGGCCACCGTGCTCCATCTTCGAGGAGAGGACATTCATTTCCGTGCGTAAGAAGGAGGCAACTGCTGACCCCGCTGGCAGATAAGGCTGCTGGTCGCTGGATATGCCGAATCTCGCATTCTCATCGCGGAATTGGTAACGAGGAGAGTATAGGCACTCCCGGCCGGCCTTGAGACACCTGGCACAGATAGGACGGCCTTCGTCGCACTATTTGCCATGCGGTTATTCTTGGTTCCTAGTCAAGGGAAATGTAAAGCAAGTCTCCTTCTTACCTTGACTTTCTGACGTCTGCACCATGCACATCCACCACTCCTCCTCGTCGTAGACGCGGTAAGGTATTGTGGCTCCATCGAAGTATCTGACATTCGAGGCGGACACGAGTTGACCAAGAGAAGTAAAAGGCTGCGAAATCAATCTTCTCATGATCCTCCTCTGTACATAATGGAAACGATGGGTGCGCGGTACAAGCGTGCCTACTAATGCGAGGTGAGTAGCCCAACGGCGCATGGTCCGAAGGGCAACAGGTCTCTAGCGCTGCAACATCAGCTAGGATATTCTGCTGGATGGTGGAAATGTCTCTGCGCGATGGCCTCCAATGGCGGCGATACCCACAAGATCAGAGGACAACACAGCCAGAAGCCCTAGTACCGAGACAGGAACGCGCTCCGGCATGATGGCCAGTCTTGGTAACTGTGGGATACCGACCCCAAGGTTGCAGGAGCCGAATACCTCTGAATCGTGTGCGAATCGTGGTTGTGTCTTCGCTTGTCCTGAATCTGTATCAGGATCTCCATCAGGCCAACATGGCGCAGCGACAAGATGCAGGTACAAGTGAGATGTGTGGCGTCATTGCTTGCCTGGCCGTGGTAGGAGTTCAACACGCGCCGATCTCTTTGACCAGAAATAGTTTAGCCTTGCGTAGCGCGTCGGTCTTCACCCCAGCTTCACTTGTCTTTCACCTTTCTATCATATCCACCACAACCTTTGTGATCGGGGGATGTTTCTCACAGCTGAGATTGTACGACCAGTGGTAGTTAAGATGGAGATCTTCATCTCGCAGAAGGTCACCGTCCCTTCGGTATGATGCTCAAGTGAACAAGATGACCCAGTTTGGGTCTTTTCGCCGATGGGCATCGACTTGAGCAGGGCAGTATGCGCAAGGTGGTAGCATATAAAGGGGACAGACGGGCTCCCTGCTGCATCTGAGGCATCTTTCCACTGTCAAGGTGCGAGGTCAAGCTGAGTTTCTTCTTGTCTGTTTGCTCTTCTCAGCCAAACGGTTCGTACAGTGCAATGAAAACCATCTTCAGGAACCTCGCTGCAGCCGCAGCGGCGTCCATTCTGGTAACAACATCGAGTGCAGCAGCGGCGCTCAGTTCCAACTGTTCGACGCAGTTCTTCACACAGGCGGTCGATCATGGTAAGGCCGGCGCCGGAACCTTTCAACAGCAGTACCAGATAGTCTCCGATTCCTTCAAACCTGGAGGACCGATCCTCTTCTATCAACAGCCTGAAACAAAGATGTTTGCATGTATGGTGAGTCTGTAAACCTCCTCAATGATGTGCCATCCTTACCTGACTTTGCCACAGGAGCTGTCCATATTCCCTGAATGGGCCGCGGAGTTAGGAGCCCTTGTCATTACTCTCGAGCACCGCTTCTTCGGTCTCAGCAACCCGTCGAACGCGACCGACCCCGTTGAGAAGTACAGGACTTTGACATTGGAGAACGTCATGCTCGATGCCGTTACTTTTGTCAACCACGTCAAGAATACAACCAGCGGCGCAAAGGATAGTAAAGTCATCATTACTGGTGGTTCGTACGGTGGCTTTCTCGCCACCGTTTTCAAGACAAACTATCCCGACGTCTTCTACGGGTCGATTCTCTTCGCGGCGCCACTTCGGTCGATTGGAGCCAACTTTCAAAATCCCCAGAGATACAACTGGTTCAATTGGGTAAGCCGGGTCTTCCAAGTATACGTTGGTATTGACGGCTCCTTCAGGTGAATCAAATCTATCAAGACTTGTCCGCAAGTGCCGCCCACAAAATAGAGTCCGCTTTAGACACGCTCAATCGACGCTTTCAAACAGGTGAGTCCCCATCACAACTGCCATTAGCTGTACAAATCGCCGGACGACGTGTTGACTGTATCCATGCCAGCAACCAATACGACAGCCATTGCCCACGACCTGAACCTCTGCTCCATACCAGATACAGATGATGATCTTGCTACCATCATGGCGTTGATCAACGTCGTTGCGTTCTCAATTCCCCTGACGAGTTACAACAACCCCGTGGCCAACCCCGTTGGAGCCAGCCCGCAAAAGCTTGTCAACGAAACGCTCCACCTCAACGACTCGACCGATATAGTCAACGCAATCTTGACGACCTACTACCCTCCTTCAATGTATCCCTGCATCGAGTGGAATAGCACTGCATCGGCCAATCCCACTCTGCAAAAGGACTCTTTCAACTATCTCCTCTGCAAATATTTCCCTCTCAGCTCCAACGAGATCCCCAACGGGACCATCTTCGTGCCAACGTCCATTCAGACGGAGACTGACCCGACAACTTGCAAAACTCTGTACAATCTGGTACCACCGACGCAGGAGTTTGTCGAAAAGAAGTACCATATCACCCGCGATGAGCTGGTCAACGCTAAGAGAATTCTCTTCGCGTACAACGAGATGGACCCCACTACTGGCGTCGGGATTGATCCATTGCCGCTCACTCAGGATCGTAACGCATCGAGGTATATGTTCACATCGTTGTCGGCCCATGGCGAAGAGAGTTTAGCGAGCTATCCTGGCGACAAACCTAGTGTGATACATGCGCGACAAGTGCAGCTGCAGACAATCAAAGGGTGGCTTGGATACATATGAGATGGCTATCCCGGATTTGGTACTGTGAGTGCGCAGGGGCATTCATCTTCTGGATTTCTGAGAAAGGGGCTCTGTGCGGGTTTTGATACTACTGATAAAGAAAGGATATTTGGTAATTGCCGTTCGGCTGTACGGAGTACTATTTTTCAAACCGGGAGCCTTCTGTTTCCAAGCCACCCTGAGGACGACACCCGGGATCTGACTTTGTGCCCTTGGTGTTCGTGCTCTTCAACCGTGTCCTATAACTTATGAGTTCTGGCCAAGCCATCAACATACCCACTTCCATGTGAGATAAAGACTGAGCTGTTGTAACGAATGACCGGGATATTGGGCGCGATATCGAACTCTGACCCAGGGTTAAGCTTGATGGACCCCACTCCAGACCACACCTCGCCTTCGGTGACCTGCATGAGCAACGAAACAAACTCGCGGACGACGGGATCGTCACTGACGCCAGCGCCGGGAATGATCCGCAGGACGAGGATCCGTTTCTCTGGTGGAGGAAGAGGTTTGACTCGGTGGACTCTCGCATCAGCCTTGAAGGCGAACTGAATGCTCCTGTGCCCCACTGGTCGCTCCACATATGCGGTAAGTGCACCTTCATCACTGCTGCTGCAGTTTCTGCGGTCAAACTCAACGTGGCCAATGACTTTCGGCATGCCGAATTGCTCACGACCCAGGAAGAGCGCGGCCTCGTTTTCCAGCACCAATTCCAGGGCGAAGTCGTACTTTTCACCCTTGTATTTGATTTCGACGTAGCCGACAAACTCGGTGTAGGCGCCCATGCTGCTAAATCCCCAGTTGGCGATAAAGTAGGTGACCAGAGGTTCTTCTTCGATCTCGAGCTCTTCTGGTACGTACTTTGCGATAGCCTCAGCCTTAGTGTAGAAGCTGATGAGGATCATGTCGATGTCGGCCCATTCGACTCTAGCCTTGGAGTATGCTGGGGAGAAGGCAGGGACAGCATTTGCCTGCTTGGTCTTGAGACGTCCGAACGGCATTGTCGATTTGGTCACCAGCAAGGTGGGCTTGGTCGGCCTTGTGTCGAGGTAGTCACAGGTATAAAGTTACTAGTGCATCACCAGCATCAAATCCTCCGCAAAGGGGCGACGAAGATATATCTGCATGGAGGGGTACCATCTTGATATTGCTTCCATGGTGGAAGGAAAAGCATGGCGGCAGACTTTTAGACGCCGAGCAAGAGTGAAGTGCATTCGACGTATGAGTACGCATCGGGGTCATCTGGAAATGCTTAGGTTGCTGAATAGAGTAATATCACGACGTCAATAACCCGCAATACGAATCGAGACATGCTTCGGATATAGAACTCCGCGGGGATACAGTGGGTATCCGTATCTGTTCCCCGTCCCCAGGAGGTTCATGCAGCGATGGAGTGAGCTGGCTACGGATCTAGCAATTGACCAGGGCGAAGCTATTTGGGCTCTACACGCTGCACAGGGCGACGAACTTTGTAAGCATGTAGCCGCACAGCGGCGCCTCGGCTGTCGAGACCTTTTGATTACCTAGGTGGGAGATTGTACCTTTGACTCTCTCTCAGCTAAACCGCTTGTGCCCTCGTTGGCTGAGGCAGATATTTCCGAACCGCGGCCGGTAGATGAGTACGGCATATGGTGTTCTACCGGACGCTGAGGAATCCTGCGTATATACATCTTCAGCAAACTTGTGAAGAAATCTGGGAAACCGTGCAACTTTTGCCAAGCCCGAGCCCCTCTCAGGCCTCCGATGTAAGCAGCGGCCGAAACATCGGACAGAGATTAGTACAATATTGGTGTCTAAGACTCTCCTTCTCGTCTCCTCACCGTCAACTCCAACCATGGCTTCATCGCAAGTCGCCGTCGGTCAGTACCAGATTGCCACGCCATGTGCGAATCTTGTCCCACCCACGATCCCTGGTGCTGAAGTATTGAGCTTTGTTGCCGAGGAAAGGCACAACTACAGCTTTCCAGCATTCCCACTCTTTTATGGACCCGCAGTCAACGACCTCAGTTTCTGCAATGTCACTCTGAGTCTAAGACATACTGATGCGGACGATACCGTATACGTCAACATCTGGCTGCCTCTGGAGAACTGGAATGGTCGATATCAAGCCACCGGCGGAGGTGGTCTCGCTGCAGGGTTTGGCGAACCCATACTTGCTGGGCAGGTCGGCAACGGATATGTTGCCTCGTCGACCGACGGTGGCTTGACACTTGACAACACCGTTGATCCGAACACCGGTGTATGGGCGCTCAAGGACGACGGTACTCCCAACGAGGCCTTACAACTCAATCTGGCGTGGCGGTCGATTCACGACATGGCCGTGTCGTCCAAGGACGTCATCAAGCAGCTTTATGGCTCGGACCCCCAATACTCGTACTGGCATGGCTGCTCACAAGGAGGTCGTCAGGGCTACGCAGCCGCTGCTAAATATCCACATGACTTTGACGGCATTCTAGCCACGGCCCCGGCCCTCGACCTGCCCGAAATGGTGCCTTCAGACTACTGGGGAACGGTGGTCATGCGGAACTCGGAGATACCACCCTCCTGCGTGTTCGAAGAGTATCAGAAGGCCATTATCGCCAAATGTGATCCCCTCGACGGCGCCTCGGACGGGCTGATCTCCAGCCACGAGGTTTTGGAAACGTGCGACTTCGATCCAGATACCTTGGTCGGCAAGACCTTTGCCTGCGGCGAAGGTTGCGTGGTTCCAGACCCTTTCACTCTCAGGAAGAAGGTGCCGTGCAAATCAACACACGACCTGACGATAACCACAACTCATGCCGATATTGTGCGAAAAATCCTTGAAGGTCCTCGGACTGCTGAGGATAAACAACTTTGGTATGGTTTGGCCACCGGCGCCGATTTCGGGGTGCATGCAAACGTCGTCCTTACCGAAAATGGTACCAGGGAAGTTGTGCCATTCGTTGTCGCCGAGAGTTGGCTCAAATACTTTTGCCTTCGAAATCCGAGTCTCGACATGACGAAGATGACTCCTCCCGAGTACGAGCATGGCTTTGAACAGTCTGTGACCCTGCTTGGACCGCTCTGGGGAAACCAGCAACTCGAATTATCTGGATTCAAGCAGGCAGGAGGCAAATTGCTGACATGGTTCGGCATGGCAGACGAGTATATCAATCCACGTGGGATGCTGCGGTATCGGGAGGGTTTGGAGAAGACATTCGGCGGATCGGATGCCGTGGACGAGTTCCAATTGCTCTTCTTAGCTCCTGGTGCTGGTCATTGCATGGGTGGAACAGGCCCTAACCCGGTGGACCCCCTCGGAGCGTTAGTGTCATGGGTCGAACACGGCAAGGCTCCTGATGTTTTGCCGGCGTCAACCAGGACCGAAGCAGGCGTCGAGATCACAAGGGATTTGTGCCGCTATCCAAAGACGTTGGTATACCGAGGAGGAGACGCGAACAAGGCAAGCAGCTTTTCATGTTCAGATGTTGGTGGTGGAAGTGGTCACGACGAACTGTAGGGCGAAATCCCGGTTCTAGAAAGGGACGCTTCGATATGCCGTTGCTAATTGCGGGTGGGTGACATGTAGTTAGAACACTGCCCAGTGTGGTAGTTACATAGCCATCTCGTTGAGCCAAACAAATAGGGGAACTCTCCCTCCTGGAGCCACGGGGCTTTCCCACCAAAGTGTCTGCTCGATTTGAGATCCAGTGGTGTCCACACGGTGCGTGCCCGTAAAAGGCTGGAGAATCTAGGGGCCGAGGCTCGCGAGGCTGGACTTACAGTACCTGAGCTGCGGCGAAGCCCCTGCAGCTGACACGCATGAATACGGCGTAACGCAAACGAGCCGAGTGCATATCTGGCCACCTCGACTTCTCCCGCTCCCACCCACTCACTCACCCATTGCTAATCGTTAGACTTCCGCGAACATCCTCCTCATTATCAGCATGGTAACACCGGGGTCTGGTCCTTGCCACTCCACAAGTCTCCGACTAAGTCTGGGATAATATGTAGCCTCTAAAGGCTCCCTGGCAACAAAACAATGACCGCCGGAGCCAGAGTCGGAGACCTGCCGCTTCTCCAAGATCAGCACGAAGGTGTGGTCGGTGATGAGAGACCCACCAAGAGACAGAAGGTGGCCGCCGCCTGCGATCAATGTAGGGAGAAGAAGATCAAATGCGATGGCTTGAGGCCGCGGTGCAGTCCGTGCCAGAAACGAGCGGGCGCAAATGCGCATTGCGAATGGGGTGTGAGGAGGAAGCGCAGCACCGGAGCCTCCAAGCTGGAGATTGCACGGCTTCAGTCTCGGATCGATGAGCTGGAAAGAGTCCACCGAAGGACGTCGCTGCCCGAGAACACAGATCAACCAAGTCCATCTACGCCTCGATCAATCTCGGATCCGAATCGTCACTCCCATTCTAGCGCAAATGCAATGATGGGTCTGATAGATGAAGGTGATGGCCATGGCGAGGAGAGCGTCGTTGGCGACTCCAGTGCCGCGAGCTTCATGAATCGCATCAAAGCCGTGCTCGACCAACAGGTGTCCCCCGGTTCGGCGCAGCAGCCACGGTCTAATTCTACCAGTTCTTCTTCTGCAGTAGTCACGGGCTTACGACGCCGCCAAAGACGGTTCCGAACCCCTGACTATGTCCTTCCCTCAAGGCAGCAGGCAGACAAGCTCCTCGAGGTCTACTGGCGCCTGGTGGATCCGTTGTATCCGTTTATCGACAAGGACGATTTCATGGGCAAGTACCAGAGCCTCTGGGCGGGCACCCCGACAATGGACGACGAGGTATGCTTCATTTGTCTCTTGAATGCCACTTTCGCAGTGGCTTGCATTCTCGATTCGTCGATCCGGCCTCAAGACCGAGTCAGCGCGGGCGAAGTCTACTTCAGGCGAGCTCAGGGGTACGTGGACCTCGAGTTTCTCCAATTCCAATCCGTGCATACGGTGCAATGCCTCCTGCTACTGGCCCAGTACTTGCAGAGCACGCGAGAGCCGCAACAATGCTGGCTGTTCGTTGGCTTGGCGATCCGCATTGCACAGAGTCTCGGCCTTGATCTGCCTTCCACCAGCGCCAGAACACATAACGGCCGGCCGGACGAGTTTCTCCGCAAGGTCTGGCATGGTTGCGTGCTGATGGATCGCATATTATCCATGACATTCGGCCGGCCGACCATCATCACGCCACAAGCAGCAGCTTCGGTGCCTCGGCCCTTGCCTCATCCAGGAGTCAGTGTCGCTGACTGTGAATGCCACGGGGACCTTGGCCACTTCGACGCGTCGCCTTCAGATCTCCATTTCTTCCTCGAGACGCTCCAGCTGTACGAAATCATGAGCGAGACTCTCCTGGCGCTCTACAGTCCCACCCACTCCGCGGAAAGACCTAGCTCCATGGCAGCAGATGATGATATTTATACGCCCTACTTCGGCGCTCTCGGCTCAAAAGCAGCAGGCACGGTGCTGGAAATGGACGCGAAATACTCCACCTGGCAACGATCTCTGCCTCTGCATCTCCGCTTCGCCCGCGGGTCGAGTACTATCCCACAGAATCTGAATCTGAACCTGACTCACGCTCGTCAAGCGAAGGTTCTCTACCTCCGATACTCGCACACTCGGACCCTGCTCTTCAGACCCGTCCTCTCTCGGTTCTGCAGCATCTGCCACAACCACCACGAGGAGCATATCGAACGAGACTCGCTGGCCTACAAACTGGCCCTCCAATGCTCGGTCATGTGCGTCCAGAGCGCGCTGGACACGGTGCACCTTTTCGGCAAAGTGCACTCCGAGGTCCGCGTGGAACTCCTCGATGATATACTCCCAGCATGGTGGTATTGCATTCTCTACCTATACACCGCGGCGACGGTCCTCGTGGCGGCAAGACTGAACGCGACGATCGAAAAGGAACTCGGGGGCGAGGACGTCGTCTTGACGGCCTCCCGGACCGTCACGGCAGCATTGCACCGGTACGGCAGTTTCGGGAAACATACAAAGAGGTGCGCCGCGGCGGTGGAGCTCCTGTTTGACCAAATACCCGGCCAGAGCCAAGCTTCCCTACCTCTGCAGGGATTTCATAGGCGAAGCGAAGTGGCCACAACAAATCCAAATCCCCACAGCGTCACGAAGGCTACCAACACAGACCCCCACCTCCGGGCGGATCGGACAGCTGCAGCCAGCGACCCCCAGACGTGGACTTTCGCGGATAATCGCGCAGGCACGGGCGCGAGTGTCAGTGTCGATCTGGACCGAAGCGCCTTTCTCGATAATGATGCGCCCGTTCATTTTGCGGCGACTGCAGGCGGAGGCGAAGCAACAGTGCCGTCTTTGATGGAGGATGAGGCCCTCCTTGAACCCTCGGATCTGCTGCGGTTCGACTTTGATCTCGGCGGCGACATGTCCTGGCTGAGCAGCATCCCGTTTGAGCTTTATAGCGAGGGTGTGTGAGAGTTCGTGTCATGTCTTGTTATATCATGTGACGTGGTGTGGGGAGTTGTAACTTGGGCAAGCACGTCTCACATGGTCGCGGTATGTTGTGAGTTGACGGGGAGAAGGACCGCGGGAGTCCTGTAGCGGGACAGAAATACAGTATAGGTGGAAGAACGAGAGCGGGTAATTAAATCCAGCTGAAACTTGAACCCCAGTAATTGTCGTATGAAGAATTCAGACAGAGGACCGGACTGGCGCGTGGACATATGTATAGCTGCATAGAGCATACCTAGCAGTGTCACCCCCAGTACAGAGCAAGGCAACCGCAATTTTCAACTTCTGAAGAAAGTCAAACAGTACGAACTTCGACGGACTTCGTGCTCACGTTGGAGTAATTAATCGTCTCTGCCTCTCTGCGCAGTGCACACTGCGTACCTATGATCTATTCCCTATTGTCTCTCCTCGAGTCCCTAACGGCCCTCTACTCCCCGAGGAGGATTGCCCTTATTTGTCGATCGCTGGCGTGGCTGAAGCGCCCTGTGCTCTTGGATAACCCCGTCGACTCAGCGCTGCCTTTCGGAGGGCCCCAAGGTCATCTATTATCTTGCCTTGAGCTTGGCTTTTAGAAACACCCTGCGTCCACACTTCCCGGCGAGCATTGACAAATGCAGCGCGCGTGCTTAGGATGTTTAGGCTCCGTGCAGCGTGATCAGAATGCACGAGAGACTAGGTATTTCGGTTGGCTAACAAACATAGCCCAAGTGTAACGAGGCGAGGCACCCGCCGCAGAGGACACATTACCGCGGATACTTCTCCTCGGCTGGTAGATTCCGCCGCGGCTGTCGAACGCTCTCATTGCGGCGACGCTCAGAGCGACCAGAAGCTAATTTTTCCCTCGCACTACTAGGTGAGTCTTCAGTGCAAAGTCACATGAGCTCGCACGTGCGAAAGGGTCTGCGTCTGCTCCCAATTCACCTGGCATGCCCGTTCTGGCTCGCCCCAGGAGTTGCGTCCAAGTCGAATTCCTTCCTGATTGCCGTGCCAACTCTCCTGACAGCCTCGACCATTTTGTCGGCTGGAGCTGCCGCGAAAGTCGTGCGGAAGAACAATTCGGTATCGCTGCCTCTCTGGGCCCTAAACCAGGATCCTCTGGCAATCAGTACCGACTGTTCGGCCGCGGCCAGGAACATGGCCTCCTCAATCTTGAGTAATGTAGGATGGTCGACACTTCCATCGGGCTTGCGTCTGGATTCATACAGAGGATGTTTCGTCACGTCGACCTTAACCCAATGGAACATGCCCGCTCGGGGAGCCACCCAGCTGCAAATCTCTGTCGGCAGATGTTGTTCGCATGCGTTGATGATGATATCCCTTCGCCGAGTATATTCTGCGCGAATATACATCAACCACTCCAGGAAGCCTCTGTGGCCCCAGTTCTCTTCTAGTAGATTGTACAGATGGATCATTGCGAAACCCGCGGGATTTTGTGCGCTGACTTCGTTGTGACGCATGAAGCGCTCAACGATCTGCTTGGAGCCAGTAACCCAGCCGCAGCGGGAGCCTGGAGCGATGATCTTGGAGAACGAGTCGAGGCGCAGGACACGGCCGGAAGTATCGATGGAGAGGTACGAAGGGACCAGATTTCCCAAGAAGTCTGCCACCGCGGCCGGCTTGAAGGGTGTCGGGACGGAGTGCGTCTGGCCCGAGACATAAGAGTCCATCTGAAGGAAGTAGTATGGCTCGTCTTCGAGGATGAAAAGGTCGTGCTTTTCCGCTAGCGTGTACAGCTGCCTTCTTCTCTCAAGCGATTGGGTGCTAGCTGTGGGATTCTGTCCTGTGGGCACAGTGTACACCAGGAATGGTTTTGGTGCCTTCCTGGCAGACTCGTCCCATGTCGACAAAACGTTGTCTAAGTGGTCGGGCAGCATTCCATCGGCGTCCATGTTGATCCCCAGCATTTTGCAGCCCAGTGGACTTACTGTCTCTATCGCAGTGCTAAAGGTATATTCCTCGGTCAGGACATAATGCCCTTTCTCCGTAAACATCCGCAAAGCGATTTCCAGGGCCGAAGTACTGCCAGCGGTCAGGCAAACATCCCAATCCGAATATGGCGGATGATGAACGATTTCGGTATGTTCGGTGAGGAATCGAACCAGCGCGCCTGGACCCATGGCTTGACCGTAATTGAGTGCAATGGAGAGGTCGAGGAATGATTTTCCTTCCCTTGCGTCGTACTTGCCGCTCGAGAAGTGCTTGCCAGATTTGGCCGTTTCATCCTCCGAGAACTTGGGGACGATAGGGACCTTTGCACTGAGCTCTTCGAAGGGGAAATAGTCACTGGACATGGTTCAGAAAAGGCGCATCGTCAAAGCAATGATACGAACCTTGACGGCAATCCCCCACAGAGGCTGATGGTATCTGGCTTGAAGAACTTCATGGCTCCCTTCAGCGACGAAGCTGTTCTCGCCCTGCTCTCTGCAGAAAGGCGATGATCCCATCGCTTAGCTTTTGGTTCCTTGAGGGCCCCTTTGCTCTTGAACATGTCTGCTTCTGAAAAGGCGGCGACGCCTCTCGAGGGCGGGGTCGACTTCTGGCGATGTGGCAAGACATCATCGAGTGTAAAGATCGGATGAGTCTCGCCATTGCTAAGAACCGGGTCATTCAGAACAATAGCAGATGTGTCTGTGAGCGCCTCAGGCTCAGCATGGGGTGCCATGATGTTTGGATTTGCAAGTGGTAACTCGAAAAGCCCTTTTCAAACGCCACCCCGGGAGACCCAAGTAGCGAATGTTACTCTCGACAAAGCAGACTTCGCGACACTTGAGGAGAAATGAGAGACAGAGGAGGAGCAGCCTCGTGACGTTCCAGCTGTAAAAATTACATACGACGAACTAGGGGACTGGATGGACTCGGAGGGTATTATGTAAATCAAAGAGTGACTTGAGCCTTGGTGACTGTTCACTGAGACAAGGGGGTCAGGGCAAGGTGAATGAGAAGGAAAGAAGCGGTTGACGTCGGCGTTTCCGCATTTGGATGGTTGATCACCACGCCCACGCACGCCCTTGCTTATCATCGGCCGTGCCATCTCCGACCGGCCAATGATATTCCGTACCGAGAGAGCTCTCTCACGTGCCAGTTCCTCCGGTTTCGCTTGGGGAAGGTACATACCTGACCGCCACGGGCTATGCAGCCGTCTTGTGAAGGGCGCACATATCCAGCATCCTGGGCAGATAAGGACCTTCAGCCGGCTTGTCCTTTGGTCACTTCACAGTCCTGTCAAGTGAGTAATCTTTGCGACAGATCGGACAGTCTTGCTGTGGAGTTCTGCTTGCGGGGGCTGAGTTCGTTCTCAATGCTGCTTCCCGTGTTGTGTTGATCTACTCTGTCTCACCCGAGCTCCAAGGTAGCTTCATTCTCTTCGCATCCTCCGGACAACCGATCACTCTTTTCCCCGAGCGGCCCGTCTCGATTAAACCCAATGCATCGCGAATCTTCCGTGTTCAGACAGCCCGCCGGTGGGTTCCATCCCATACAAATCTTCGTGCGGCAAGTACAGTCACAGAAAAATTAACGAAAGAAGCTTGACTTCCTCATTTCCTCTTGTCCTTCCGAGCTCCATTCCACCAGACCATCGATCCAACCGGCCGTGCTCGAGGAATGGGCAGACGGTGTACTTTGGTCCTCTGTTGCCCCAGAGCTGCCTTCACATCCTCGCACTTTCTCGCCGGGAGTCTTAGAAGTTGTCGCCAGTGATGCCGTTGTGGCCGGTGGGCACGGCGCTGGGATAGCCGTAGGAGCCGGTCGCGTCGTGGTCGTTCGCATTCAGCCCATGGCCCTGGCTCAGTAGTTCGGTGGCATTGTCGGGTTGGCCGCCTGGGTACCCGCCGCCGGCCGCGGTATTGCCCTGGGCATTCCCGCCGCCGGCATAACCGCCGCTGCTGGTAGGTCTGTTCTGGTTCTCGCCCCTTGTGGATTGGGTCTCATCCCAATCAGTTCAATTGTTCAGATTGAATTCCCCGTCAAGTGGACAAAGGAGAGGGAGTAGGGACGGGGTGGGACACCAAACTTACTTCGCGATACTTGGACAGGTATATTTTCAGGGCTTCCGCATAGTTCTCGAAACCAAGCGACGTCATGGCGAAGAGAATATCCTCCCCGTTTACCGTCTTGCGCTTCTCCTGTTGACATTTCTCGGATGCTGTGCAACGTGAGTCACTGATTCCCACCTCTGTGGAGATAAGAGCGATGGACGACGCACCTTCGCTGGTAATGAAGCTGATGAACTCGCTCACGCATTCCTGCATACACTCCTTGGCCTCTTTGGCGATTTTGGCGTTGTCGGGCAGGGCAGTCTTCATGATCCGGGCCACTGGTGCAAAGTTGTGTATGTTAGCATCTGACATGGATGACATGCTTGCAGAATCCGACGGTCGACCTCCATGACGCTTCTTGGATAATGAAGATGATTTGCGCTCCTGTTCTGACTTGATGGAAGGCATGATGGAGGTGATCTGTGCTTGAAGTAGACTTTGACAGTGCGGCGTGAGTGGTCGAGTTACCGCACCAGTCAGCGTGTAGGAGAGCTGCGACCCGAACCATGGCTGAGGAGAAGGAGAAGCAACAACGAATGAGATGAAGTTGGCTAAAGAGAAGCTGCAGCGTCGCACACTCGGATTCGTACAGAGGGAAACTGCGACGTTGCCGATGCGCGCAAAGATGCATGGCTTGTAACGCAAGGGTCGAACAAATCAAACCCCAAGGCCCGAGCTGTGCGTCTGGTGACACGGCACCGAAACAGCCAGAGTATAGACATCAGAACACACGGACAAGATGAAAATTGCACCAACCATTTGCTATGGGGAGCCATCGGTCCTGCTCCTTGACCTCAAAGTCCAAGCCAGTGCCTTGTGTTCCTTCTTGATCGCGGTCCATATGCTCCTGCTCTTCACCAGATTGTGCGTTTTGTTCGACATCGGGTTCCTTGGGTGGGGAGGCCGACATGATGTAGTCCGGTAGTCTGAGGGATAGCCGCAGCGGCCGAGTTGCAGGGCGAAAATTGCTTGGTTGCAGGCAGCGACCACGTCACACACTGGGGCGACACCGATCCAGAGTGCCTAATGCTGGCCTGCGTCACTTCCGGCGCAAAAAGGTCAGACGATCGTCTTCGCCGGCTTCGGTTCGTGCCCAAAATGATTGTCGCCCGGCGTAGTTTCTGAGGGCTGACGCGCACCGAGGGCGGACAGTGGGTAGATGCGTTGTCGTGCAGGCGGGCCTGCACCTGTCTCGGTACCCTGCGAAGGGGCGTCGAATGAGGCGGTCTACCAGGACGCCGGGTACGAATGACGAACTCGAAGGCAGTAGACTAGGTCGAAGCTTGACCGGGACCACTAGCTAGAGAGAGATCCAGCCAGCAGGATGGGCGGCGGCGAGGCGATGCGACACGCGAGAGTAATGCGCAGTGATGCTATGCGGGCACGGACAGCTGCAGATGAGATGCAGGTCTGGTTTGCGGTCAGCCAGCTGGGACTGATGCCATTGGCGATACTAGTATCGCCAAACTAGCATCGCGATCTAGGATAGTAACCTCTAACGGCACGAAAGAGAAAGGCAAATGAGAGGTACATACTTGGATGCAAACGCGCGAGGCAAGGCGCAAGACGACGGAGAGACGAATGATTGTTGATGTTTGGCCGATGAGGGCGGAAGATTATTGGAGGAAGGGCTGTGAACTGCCCGCGGACGATTCACTTGGGGCCGCCTTAAGATGGTGTATTTTGTCGACCCTATGGTAAGACGGTGCTGCGCACGCGATGCAGATGCCAACGCGACGAGAGGATGAACAAGGTTGGGTAGAGTAAGAAAGACGATGATAGTTGGCGGAGGAGAAGACAAGTCGGAGTTGGTTGGACGGAGGCTTGGATAGAGAGATGGAGGTGGAGTGAATTGGAGGGGGAGCTGCCGGCCGGCTGTGAGGGCTTCAGGCTGCCACTGACGGCCGCCGCGGCTGATACGCACCATCCCAAACCTGAAATTGGTTTAGCTGTCTAAGCGCTGGTTGCTTTCCTGGGTCGGTGAACGCCGCCGAAGCACTTCCTCCAGCTGCCTCTGACTGAGCTAGACCGATGTTGCCTGCTGCCAACGTCGACCTTGACAACGATGTACTGTGTACTGTGTTCTCCCTCCTTGACCCAAGGTGTCTGTTATTACTGCTTTCGTTGATGGTGAACCGCTGATCTTCGGCCTCGTTGCCGAAGCGTCCAGATGGATTTAGTGGCTGAGCTGGCTCTACATGACTTATCCAGCTGCACCTTGCTTCAGCATTCTCTCGCTTCCTCTTTGCCCTGCACCTGCCATCTTCTGACCCATTGCGTTTATCCGAGTTACGAGTCGGATACGGGTCCGAATTGCCGAAGTCAGCATCGTATCGGTCTGCTCCAACCTCAGAACAGCCCCAGTCACCGACCGATGCTGAGACTGTCACCGCTTTACCGTCCATTCCTGATGCTACGTCCTGGGCCTTTTCCGGCGGCTAGGGCGGTTGGAATCCTTGATTTTGGTGACTCTTTTCCCTACCGCATGCTGAAGCGGGAAATCAGTCAGGTCAAGCCCGAGGCTGTGGTCAATTTTCCTGACGAGCCCGAAGTCGCGGTGAAGCCACCGCCATCTGCCTTCCGGCCCGGTTGGCTTTGCCTTTGCTGGAGTGCAAAGCATGGTAATCTCATTTCTGGGCGAGATGTTGGCTTTGACGTAGGCGATCACGGCGGGCTGTGTTCAGATCATACAAGTTGTAGATGCTTCAATTTCCTTGAAGTGTGACAATCACCAACCAGCGACAAGAAGGCACCATATCACATGAAGGAGACATGACGCACCGGCCTTACCAATCATTGACTTGTCGCATAAAGTGACAGCCACCGTGATGGGCCGCCAGGCCAAATCGAGTCAACGTCCGAATTTTCTTCTGCTCCTTTGTGCATAAGCGCGACGGGGTCGCTGCAGCCCTGTCTGTCTGGCACTAAAACCGCTGTCAGATGGGGATCACGACACTTACAGTACTGCTACTCAATAAAGTGAAGCCTCAAGTGTCAATGTGCTACACAACATCCGCAGGGAGCCACGCAGAAGTGCCACAACGCACAAAGTCGATTCTGTCAGCCCCTCGTGTGATTGTACCGAGTTTTGCACGCGGAAAATGTCCCCGACCACCGAAAAATGTCCCCAGAGCGAGCATGGTGGCACATAGCGTCCGCTAAGGACAAAGTCACATGGTGGGAGTGGGGTCCGCCTCACGTTGGGCACTGATGCATGGCGTGCACACCAGGGCCGCGCCTGCTGGCTTTACGCCTGCTCTCACAAAATAGAAAAAAATACGGACAACCACCACCTCTTACCTTAATTTGTTGCCCACGTGCTGATGTTGGCCATGACCATATACTTGGTCATTTCCAGCACAACAGGAGAGGTCGAAGTGCCCAGCTTCGGTGGTTGACGAACAAGGCTATTGCACTTAGTAGGCTTCTTAGAGCAAGAGACCCGCAACAAATTCGGTTTGGATAGAGCAGATATATTATGTGATTGCCCATGCGAAGGCATACAATAGTGTGTAGCAGCAATGTTCATCGGCGAGGAAGATGCAAAGGGGTATCGTTGAAAGCAAAAACACCGAAAATTCCCTCTCCAGATTCGTTTCGTAATCACCTCACGCTTGAACCCCAAGAGCGAGATAGCCACCAGCTGGTCACAATGCCTATTTTCTCTCAGACATCGAGCCCTCCCACAGCCCACTCGCGGAGTAGAGCCACCTCAGTCTTCAGGACGGCTCCTGCCCAACGAACGAGCCATTGGTGGCTCGATTGGTTGGTAAATGACATCTCGATCGTCGAATATGAGGGTCCGTGTTCGCTGCTCTGGGACCAACTGCTCCTCGCCACGACAGCGGTCGTCGAAAGCCGGTCTTCTAACCTCCTCAGGGCGATATCCAATATCGCTGACTTGATATACTCTAGGCATGGCGCTGCCCAACTCCTGGCGGCCAACAGCCTGGTGGACAGAGTAGCCTCCATCATCGAAATAGTGCATCCCGGCCGGCGCGTATGGCTCGTGAAAACCGCTTGCAAAGCTATCGTGTTGGACTGGGTATCTCTCCATGGCCATTTCCCGTATCTCTTCATACTTCCTTCCATCTCGATCATAGACGTAACGGTGCTGGTACAGAGGCTCCGCATAGGCTGCACCTCTGTCACGTATCTCTTCCCTTTCGTGTCCATATTGAAGCCGATTTGGTCGCTCAGGACTCTGTTCCATGTATCTGACACCAGCACCAGAACCAGGACCTCGCGACACCTCGTAACTGTGAACTGATGGCAGTGAATGGCTGTAATGTTGTTGGGTTGCGGCGGTGTCGAGCAGTCCAGCTGGCGCCTCCATCTCGCGTATAGGCAAAGAAGTCCTATGCGCTGGAGGCACGACATGAGGAAGATGGCTCGCAGAAACGCTGCTGAATGTATCCCAGCTCTGGTGCTGCAGGGGTGACCCACCGACTCCATCTGACAAGGCCGTGCTTGAACGCATTTGGTATCCAGGTGGGCGCAAGGTACCGACGCGGGCACTGGCAGTGCTCGAGATGTTTCCAGAGACCATGGGGTCCAAGCCGCCCAGGAACTCATCGACGGCACTTTCGGCCGCGTTCTGATCGGCGGCTAGTCTCGAGGTTTCCCGTTGATGCGCCGAGGCTCCTGCCTCCGAGCCTTTCTCTCTATGAACCGAGACATGACTCGTAGCTCTACTTTCTCGTCCAGTTTCAGACCTCAGTCCGTGCAATCTTGCGTACGGCCCTCCGTATGAAAATCTGGACGAGGAATCATCATATGAATAAACCATGGAGCTCTGGGAAAGCGGCTGTTCTTTCCAAGGTTCCATGTCACGTGACCCACGAAGGTCCTGAGTACGTTCCCAACGGACCCCTTCGCTCGCTGGGGGTAATGGTCCTGTCCGCTGGCCAAGCGCTCCACTCTTGAAGGAGTCTCGATGATATCTTGTCCCTGTTGAGGCCCCATGTGGCACCCGTCCGGTGTGATATTGAGGATCGTGTTCATCTTCCATGGCAACTCCGGAAGCCTCAGACCTAGCGATAGAGGAACGTGTAAAAGCCTCTGCCCCAGTTCCATTACCAAACCCGGTGGTGAAGTGGTCCACGTTGCCCGAAGTATAGGCCGAATTATAGCCCGACAAGGTCTGGTAGCTGTTGGGCACGGTGTAAGGTGGAAAGTTACGTCCAACTGGATTCACATGTCCCAGCTTCTTCTCACCTGATGATGGCAAGCCATGTGAGAAGGCTGATTGCGACAGTTGAAGCGTTTGACCCTTGGGAGCACTGCTAGTTGTTCCGAGGGCCCAGAGAAGATTCGGATGCGGGTCGAATGGAGGCTCGATGGGCCAGTCAGCCTCCCAGAAAACGATGCTATTGCCGTGGCTGAATGCGTTAGTATGTTTTGAAGCGAAGTGCTGAATTATAGCCTCGAACGCGAAGAGTTTCTGATTGGTGTCGCAGACGTGGCACAGAAAGAGATCTTTGCCGAAGCGTTGGGTGTGCGGTTGCACAAATTCCGTGAAAGCCCACTTCATATCCAGCAAGTTCAATTTCCTGCAGGCCAAAGACTCCGGGTCTTGTGGAAACGCGGTACCTTTCAGGGAAAGCATGTGGTCTTCTTGGGCAATAGCTTCGTCAAAGCGTTGTCGTATGTGGCAGAGAACCTCCGCTGCGAACTTACTTGCCGTCGACTTTGTCACGGCGCGACCATCGGACCAGGTCAAGTGTACGAATTCGTCAGCAAATTTCCTAAGCTTCTCGCGGCTTGGGACTTTTAGCCCAAGCCACATGTGAGTGGTGTTTTCCTGAGCAACACGCTGTTCTTCCTCCACTTGTCGGCGCTTGGCTTGTTCCACAGACGGACCGCTGAGGGCGGCCCTCATCTCCCGTTGTGCTGCATCCGCGCGTTGAGTCAAGAGACGTGGTCTGAGCACGTCCCAGCCCTTATCATCAAGAGGTAGGGATATTAGAATAGCAGCTTGGAAAGCATCCATGTAGGTCAAAGTAGTCGGCATAATGGGAGGGCTTAGAGCCAGGCAGCGCCTCTCAATCTCTTTGCGACGTTCTTCTCTGGCCGCCCTTGCTTCCTTGAGACTACGTTCGGTTCTTTGACGAGGAGGTCGAAAGGCGGTTTGGCATTGAGGATCCTGGAGAGGAGAAACTTCAATATTTCCGGATGGGTCAGGCCGCGATTTGGTGGACAGCTTGCCAGCTGTGTACTGAGATTCTGCATGGGACAGGGGTCAGCCTGAAGCCGGAACTTTGTATCTCCCGAATGAATATGATGCATGCAAGACAAGAAATAGGACTGATGATTGCCTACCACCAGAAATTGAGCCTGCAATGGACGAGTCGAAGGCAACGTATCCTGAGGACGGTGTTCCTGCGGCGGAACGCAGTCGGATCTGCTGCATGCGATCCATCTTTGCCAAGCGGTGGTCATGATTTGACAGAGTCCCTGGATTAGTACGCATGGCTGTATCATTGTGGCCTGGAGGTATGGAGATCCTGGAGAAGCCTCCATTAAGCTCCCATTGCTCGAACCGAGTTGCGTCGGCGTTCCTCTCTCGTCCGGAAGTCTCGAGACCCTTTCTCCATTCTCCGAGTGTGGCAGCTCCTAGTGCCTCCACATTGTGGAATCTTTGTTCAAGCTCTTCAACCTGTGGTCTGAAGTAATACTTGACAAGCTCAAGGTGTGGAGGCGGGGCTCTCTGCAGAATAACTGAAGACGGAACATAGTTCAAGTCGGTTGTCATGATTGCGAAGGGTAGCCCAGATCGTAGAGCAGAACGGCTAGAAAAGGCCAATTCTGTGTCCTGCGAGCAATTAAACAGTGGTTATGGATCGCGACTCCTGGATAACTGACCTTTACAAGCCTGGGCTGGAGACAACGGCTACATGATCGGACCCGGAAGGGCCAAATGGAGCGAACGTTGTCCAAACCAGGTCCGGCATTCCAGGGATCGGGTGTCGTGTACGACAATTGCTGGTTGGCCTTCTTCCCACAATATTGGCATGCATGACCACGGACAAGTCTCCACATATCTAGCTCGGTCATCGCATCCATAGGCTTCGGAAATCCGTGGAGAAACGTCCTGCGTGAAAGGGCCCAAATCGAGTTCTGCTTCTGTATGCACAAATGCTTCATCGTGCTAGACGCAGATTTCGAGGGCAAAGCACACGTGGGATCAAGCAGGGAACGGAAGGTACGGTTGACACAAATCAACCGCCCAAGAGTGATGGGGTCAGCAAAAGTGAAGACGTATTGTAGTATTTCCGAAGGCAGATCCATCAGCGTCAATCGACTTCGCAAAGAGTCATCTTTTGGTTCCGATGGCGAATTCACGGCGCCCATGGGGGCGGAAAGCCTGGGCCGTTTTCTCCTCATGTCGACTTCATGTAGTACGTCTGCTGGATGGTGGTCCAAAAGCATTGGGATAGACTCAAATGAGGAAGTATTGTTTTCCAATTCTAGAGGACGCAGTCTCTTTCGCGAGCCTGGGACAGGCGCGAAATCCGAATCATGCCTGAGATCCATAGCGAGGGGCCGCTAAGGATCATTTGCACACAAAGGAAATAAGGGAAAGATACAGAAGGAGAAAAGTCAGAGCCTGGAGCCGGTAGCTAAGTGTGCTAGCCGGCTTGGTTCTGACGAGAGAGACAAGGAAAGCATGTCGAGCAACGGAAAACGTGTGCTCGACAGCAAAGTGTGCGGGTTGTGACAGGCAGAAGCCGTGTCTCGCGCGCCAGGATTGTCCGGTGGTGTCGGTTCCAGGGTCAAATGCAGCACTAGCTAGCAATCGTGTTCCTTCAAGGCGCTTTCACAGTAAAGTGCAGCTGATATCCTGCGAGTGCTTGTTATGGAGGCCGACCAAGGAGATCCGTGGCCAGCTTGGATTGACAGATTCTCAGCCGGGCTGGAGGGAGCATAGGTTCGAGTGTTCCAGGGACGTCAATAGCGAGAAGTACACCAGAGGATGATAGCCTGCGATCGTCGCGAGAGCGCTCGGCGAGGGATGGGGAGAAACTCTGTGTTGGTGTCGAAGTAGAAACCCGGTAGTGACAGCGCTCGTTGTGAGGAGCTGGCGAAGTTGAAATGAGGAGAGCGCAGTTGTGAGAAGAGGTAAGTGCAGCCTGCCGAGTCACATGATAGGTTCCAGCCTGCTAGTGGCTTGGCAGATGCAATCATCAGTGGGAGCCACAGAGCTAAGCATTGCGCAGCGGGACTGTAAAGCTGGAGGGCTCCGACTCCAATGCCACCAACTGCCTAGGCAGAGTAAGCTGCCTCGCATTTTGTGCCCCTTCACGCACATCCCTTTGCCAACAGTTGCAATAAACGGATTCTGCCTTTGCATTGAGTGTCTCCCGCCCCGGCATATACACAAGAAGTTCAGCATACACAAGATTCCGCCTATTTCCAACTCGCGGAGAAGCAGTCAGAAACAGGCGGCCCCGGTCGACCTCGACCTTCGTTACCGCAGGCCATGGCCTCCCTCAATACCTCGACGAACGGCCCCTCAATTTCGAAGAGCTATCAGTCCATCGTCAATGCTCCGCCTCCTACCGGACCTGCCGCAGCTTCGCCCACATACGGCCAATGGGCTGTTTTCTCTGTGTCGGCTCCCTTAGCAAATGCATTCCAAGACTCGAGCAATAAAGAAAGTGTGTTGAAGGTCCAGAGCACAGGGGAAGGGGAGCTCGTGGACTTGGTTGATGAATTCTCAGACGGGCGGATTCAGTTCGCGTTTGTCAAGGTCAAAGACTCCAACAGCGGGCTGCCAAAGTGTGCCCTCGTCGCTTGGTGCGGCGAAGGCGTCCCTGAGCGGACAAAAGGCTATTTCACGAGCCACTTGACCACGGTTGCCAAATTATTGCATGGCTACCACGTTCAGATTACCGCTAGGTCAGACCGAGACCTCACACCTGAAGGCATCATCCAAAAGGTCGCTGATGCCTCTGGCTCCAAGTACTTTTCCAGCACTTCCGCGGCGGCTGCTCCCCCTCCAGTTGCTGCGACCAAACCTACCATTGCGTCCAAGCCTGTCTTCACCCCTACACAGAGCAGCGGTGTCTCTTCCGGCTACAATCCTGTTTCCCGCAACCTTCCGCAAAAGAGCTCGAATGTGGATGAGGACGGGTGGGGGGCTGACGCTCCCCCGGTGACAAGAACCCAGTTGGAAAAGGTCGCTTCGGCGTATCAGCCAACAAGAGTCGATATGAGAGAGCTTACATCACAAAAGCCTACACCGTCAACCTTCTCCAGCAGTGCGGCAGAAGATCGACCTGGAGTGGTTAAAGGTGCATACCAGCCCGTGGGTAAGGTGGACATCGCGGCTATTCGCCGGCAGGCGCAAGAATCGGGTAACATGAAAGATGACCGACCAGCCATCGTCAAAGGTGCTTACGAACCCGTCGGTAAGGTCGACATTGCAGCTATCCGTGCCAAAGCCCAAAAGCCCGATGACTCTACCGGCTTTCCTCGGCCGCTGCCGGCTTCGAGCCCATCCACTGGGCCGTCCGAAGAACCAGACCCGCCCTCGAGGTCGCTGGCAGACAGATCAGCCGCTTTCTCACAGGGTCCCGAACGTCTGACCTCGCTCCCTAAACCCAAAATCGCTAACAAATTTGGGGGTGGTTCGACGTTTACGGGCACCAAAGCCCCAGTCCCAGGCGGCTTCGAAGCGAAACCATTGGCCACCGCTGCACCCGTTGGCACCGCCAGCAGAACCTTCGCCGATCAGGGCGGGAAGACGCCTGCTCAGATTTGGGCGGAGAAGAAAGCTCGCGAGAGAGGCTCGAGTGCGCCTGGGGAGCCACCAGTGTCGCCAACGGCCTATGATGGGCGGCCTCCTCTTACCAGCCAACCGAGTGGTGAGGCTGGGTGGAAGAGCAGCTATACGGGCAAGTCGTGGGCACCAGTACAGACCAGCCATACAGGCCGAAGCAGCCTTGGCCAGCAAGTCACTGGCGAAGGTCCGGCGCCAGCTGAGGAAGAAGAGACTCCCAGCTCCCCAGCCGGAGGTATCAGCTCGATTCGGGACCGCTTCAGTGGAGCGCCACCAATGGGGGCACCAGCGACTTTCGATCGAGCACCACCTCCGGCTCCTGAACCGGACACAAGTAATAAGCCCAATCGTGGGATCCCGATTCCAGGATTGCCGGTTTCTGAACCCAGGGAAGAGAGAGCACCTGCGCTTCCACCGCCGCCTGCACAACCCCGAAGTCCTACACCTGATGAGGAGGAGCCCCCGTCTCCCATCCGCGTGGCTGTGCCAGTTAGTGCTTCAGCCCATGTAGCCGACGCACACGAGGAGCAATTATCTCCGCCACCCACGATGCCTACAGCCTCCCTCGCGCGGGCGATTCCCTCTCCACCCCGGCAAGAGGAGGATGATGAACCTGCACGTGGACCCGACTTGGGAAGAGCCGCAGCGGTTACAGCAGCGGCTACGACTCTGGGCACTGCGGCTGTAGAGTCTGCTCCTGCTCCAGCTGCTGCAGGTGGAGGTGAGCGGGCTCGAGCTGAATACGACTACGAAGCGGCCGAAGACAACGAAGTGTCGTTACGTGAAGGTATTTAGTCCAAATTGTGTACTAGACAACAACCACTGACTGCTCTAGGTGAATTGGTGACGGATGTCCAGCGAATCGATCCAGACTGGTGGCTAGTCAAGAACGAGGCTGGACAGGTAAGCTGAGATGTAGAGACCCGGATGACTGCAAGTGCTAACAAGAACCCAGACTGGACTTGTCCCAAGCAACTACCTGACGGTATTGGACGATGACGAGACCCCCGCTCCGGCTCCGCCAGCAGCACCTGCAGCGGTCGAGCCGACTCCCCCAGCCCCAGCGCCAGCAGCAGCGCAGAGCCAAGGCGCAACGGCAACAGCACTCTACGATTACGAGGCTGCTGAAGATAACGAATTATCCTTTCCCGAGAATGCCATCATCACCAACGTGGTAAGTTCCATTCGCTTTCCTCTCGCGTCTCGATGCCCGCTAATGCATTTCTATCCAGACATTCCCGGACGAGGACTGGTGGCACGGCGAGTACCATGGTCAATCTGGACTGTTCCCCGCGAACTACACCAAGATCAATGATTAGATGAAGGATTGGACGGAAGAAGAACGCCGCCGACCAGACGCTTCGGTACACAATGTGGGCTGCCACAAAAGCCTTTTGAGCTTAGAGGTGGTTGTATGGAAAAGAAAATATTGCTTCATACTGGCTGAATGCTTGACGCAACACAGATCGACACTGTCGTACGTGACGCAAGGACCGTCACGAAAGATTTTTATCCTATGCATGGCTGTGGATGGCATTCGACATGAAGGGCGGAGATGGGGCCGACCCTGTGTGGAGGAGTTGTCTAAAGGCGGTGGCCCAGAAGCGTTAGAGCATGCAGCAAATCCGCAGGCTTGCCTGTTTTCTGCCACCTCTGATGTTCGTTTCCCCAGACAAATTTTTTCGCGGCGCGATAGCGACGAAGGAAAAATTCATTGCTTTTCACGCAGCAGGAGAATTTTTCAACGTCTTGGTCACGCACCTGCATCGTGGTACGGAGTAGATAGGTCACGTAGATGTAGCATAAGCATTCGCCTATCTGTCACAACCCTTTCGTAGCAGCTCAACCACGTCGAGGGAATACGTACTGATCCTCGAGCCCCTTGAGCTTCTTATCTCGATCTTCTCCGCTGACGTCGAAGCTCCAATTTGTCAAATCCAGCTTATCCATTGGCTGCCCGCGCTCTGACTCCCAGCAGCCGCACTGCACTTTTTTTTCCAGTCGGTCTTGCCCACATTGCTGTTGACCGTACCCTTCTCTTCAGTTATACTTGAGAGAACCCACGACATTGCCTCGACTGCTTGTGCAGCCCAGGTTGAGCTACCTGTGAAAGGAGGTTGAACGGAGTCTGCGGTTCCCTTCTCCCACCGCCCGTAACGAAGGCTTGCTTGACTACCTACAATGGCATCCACCACGCGAGCTCTTCGCCAGGCCAGCGGCATCCTGCGACGAGACTGCGCCCCGATTGTCCGGCCCTCTCTCCGCCCATTCTCTGCCCGCACCGGCGCAATCACTGCCCGGCAACATTTGCTGGCCTCGAAGCCACCTTCGTGGCAGCAAGTGAGGAAATTCACACGATCTGCACGACGGTGCGCGCTGGTGGAAGAGGCACCACGTCCGGAGGCTTACCTCGAGAGTGGTGCAATCGACTATGGCAAGAACCTGGTGGATGTCAAGAAGGTGCTAGTCATTGGAAGCGGTGGGCTCAGCATTGGACAAGCTGGAGAGTTCGACTACTCTGGTAAGTGATGTATCCCAAGAGGAGTAGGAAAGCTTCTGAACGCCACGGGCAGCCAAGGTGTTTGAGCAACATCACCAAGCAGGAATTGACTTTTAAACAGGATCACAGGCCCTGAAGGCTCTGAAAGAAGCCGGTGTCAAATCCGTGCTCATCAACCCTAACATCGCGACCATCCAGACCGACCACAAGCTTGCCGATGAAGTCTACTATCTCCCAGTCACGCCCGAATATGTGACATATGTGATCGAGCGGGAGAAGCCGGATGGCATTCTCCTCAGCTTCGGCGGTCAGACTGCCCTCAACCTGGGTGTCAAGATGAACAAGATGGGCATCTTCGATCGGTACAATGTCAGGGTCCTAGGAACAAGCATCAAAACCCTTGAAACCAGTGAAGACCGAGACCTCTTTGCGAAGGCTCTCAATGAGATCAACATCCCCATCGCCCAGTCCATCGCAGTGAGCACTGTCGAGGAAGCCCTAGAGGCTGCTGCAAATGTTGGGTACCCGATCATTGTTCGCTCAGCATACGCCTTGGGAGGTCTCGGCTCAGGATTTGCCGCCAATCCCGAAGAGCTCAGCAATTTGTCCTCCCAGTCTCTGTCGTTGTCTCCACAGATCCTGGTCGAGAAGTCGCTGAAAGGCTGGAAGGAGGTCGAATACGAAGTCGTCCGTGATGCAGAGGACAACTGCATTACCGTCTGCAACATGGAGAACTTTGACCCGCTTGGTATCCACACCGGAGACAGCATTGTGGTCGCCCCGAGTCAAACGTTAAGCGACGAGGAGTACCACATGTTGCGAACGGCAGCCATCAAGATTGTCCGTCATCTTAAAGTGGTGGGTGAGTGCAACGTTCAATACGCCCTGCAACCGGACGGCCTCGATTATCGTGTCATCGAGGTCAATGCCCGGCTTTCCCGCTCGTCCGCCCTAGCATCGAAAGCGACGGGATATCCTCTGGCGTACACTGCGGCGAAGATCGGCCTCGGTCATACCCTCCCGGAGCTCCCAAACGCCGTGACCAAGACCACCACTGCCAACTTTGAGCCAAGTCTGGACTATATCGTGGTGAAAATCCCTCGGTGGGATCTGTCAAAGTTCCAGCACGTCAAGCGTAGCATTGGCAGTGCCATGAAGTCGGTGGGAGAGGTCATGGCCATTGGTCGCACCTTCGAAGAGTCCTTCCAGAAAGCTATCCGTCAAGTCGACCCTCGCTATGTGGGATTTCAGGGTGACAAGTTCGATGACTTGGACGACGTCCTCCGAAATCCCACAGATCGGAGGTGGCTCGCCGTGGGTCAAGCCATGATCCACGAGAATTATTCTGTGGACAAGATTCATGACTTGACCAAGATCGACAAGTGGTTTCTTCACAAGTTGCAGAATCTCAAGGATACCATGACTGAGATCCAGGACATCGGCAACCTCAACGGTGTCAAGCATGAGTTGATGCTGAAGGCCAAGAAGCAAGGGTTCTCCGACAAGCAGATTGCAATGTATGCAAACTCAACCGAAGGAGAAGTCCGGGCTCGTCGCCAAAAGTTCGGTATCAGACCTTGGGTGAAGAAAATCGATACACTGGCGGCGGAGTTCCCTGCAGACACGAACTACCTGTATACGACATACAACGCCTCATCGCACGATGTCACCTTCGAGGATAAGGGCACCATAATTCTCGGTTCCGGAGTCTACCGTATCGGATCCTCCGTCGAGTTCGACTGGTGTGCTGTCAATGCCACCTTGTCTTTGCGCAACATGGGGCAAAAGACTGTGATGATCAATGTAAGTCCGCATTGTTCCTCTGCTAGGTCCTGGTGGACGCTCCTAGTCTGTGTCTGTCCTGGGCGGTCGAGCTCGGAGCTTGGCCTAACAGCTACTTCCGGACCGAGCTCTCTCTGGGACACCGGATCTCCACCAACATCTTTTCTTTCTTTATAGATCTATGCTAACTTCCGAAGTACAACCCGGAGACCTACAGCACTGATTTCGACACGGCCGACAAGCTCTATTTCGAAGAGCTATCGTATGAGCGGGTTATGGACATCTAGTTCGTTTTCCTTTTCCCCAAATGATGGTACAAGCTAATGATGTTCTGTAGTGAGCTCGAGAGTGCCTCGGGCGTGGTGGTCAGTGTCGGAGGCCAACTACCGCAGAACATCGCGCTCCGACTGCAAGAAGAGGGCAAGGCCAATGTGCTAGGCACCGATCCTGTGGACATCGACAAAGCGGAAGATCGGCACAAATTCTCACAAATCTTGGATTCAATCGGCGTCGATCAACCAGCCTGGAAAGAGCTGACCTCAGTTGCAGAAGCAGAGGCTTTTGCCGACTCTGTGGGTTATCCCGTTCTTGTTCGACCTTCTTACGTCCTGTCGGGCGCTGCTATGTCAGTCATTTACAACCATGACGAGTTGAAGGACAAGCTGGAGTCTGCCTCGGCCGTCTCTCCCGATCATCCCGTTGTCATCACCAAATTCATCGAGGGCGCCCAAGAAATAGACGTCGACGCCGTCGCATCCAAAGGAGAACTCATTCTGCATGCGGTGTCTGAGCACGTCGAGTCCGCAGGTGTCCACTCTGGAGATGCCACACTTGTGCTGCCTCCTGCGAACCTTGACGACAAGGTGATGGCTCGCGTCAAAGAAATTGCAGAGAAAGTCGCCAAGGCGTGGAGTATTACGGGGCCCTTCAACATGCAAATCATCAAGGCTGATAGGCCTGGCGAAGAGCCTGCCTTGAAGGTCATCGAGTGCAACCTCCGTGCCTCTCGATCATTTCCCTTTGTGAGCAAAGTCCTTGGAACCAATTTCATTGACACGGCCACCAAAGCGTTGGTGGGTCAAAACGTGCCCGAACCTCGGGACCTCATGGCTCAGAAGCGCGACTACCTTGCCACCAAGGTGCCTCAGTTCTCTTGGACTAGATTGGCCGGAGCCGATCCCTTCTTGGGCGTGGAGATGAGCAGCACGGGCGAGATTGCGTGCTTTGGAAAGGATTTAATCGAAGCATATTGGGCATCGCTCCAGTCGACCATGAACTTCCGTATGCCAGAACCTGGCGAGGGTATCCTGCTTGGCGGGTCGACCGAGCTCCCTGAGCTGCCGAAGATTGTGGAATACCTCCAGCCACTCGGCTACAAGTTCTATGCTGCAAGCAAGGGCGTGAAGGACCATCTGGCCAAGTCAGGAGCCTCGATTGAAGTCATCGAGATCCCCACGACGGACAAGAACAAGCTCCGACAAGTTTTCCAGAAGTACGACATCAGGGGAGTCTTCAACATCGCCAAGACTCGCGGTAAGACCCTGGTGGACGAGGACTATGTGATGAGACGGAACGCCGTGGACTTTGGGGTGCCTCTGTTCATGGAACCTAAGGTGAGTTACCCACTGTTCTGAGACTGGCGAGCGAGCGACGACTAACAAAAGCATTGCAGACGGCCTTGCTCTTCGCACAATGCATGAACGCCAAGCTGCCCCGAGCGGAAGGCATCCCGCCAGAAGTGCGAACCTGGAGCGAGTTCGCCGGGAACAGGATGATGTGATTGATCAGATGATTACTTGCGCAAGCTCTGAGAATTTCGGTAACGTGTCAGTAGCGTCACGCAATGGCCCGCAAGAGGGATTCCGAAGTCACTGGACGCGAAAAGTATTTGGACTACTAGAAGGATGATATATTAGGCGCCAGTCGATCGGGTGTTGATGTCCAGGGGTATGCATCGGTCTGAGGAACCAGGGGTCTCAAGATCCCAGCACTGTGGCGGCAAAGTCATTAGCCCAAGATTAGTGAGGTTGAAAGACCCTACACAAGAGTAGTGCTGCTTATAACTTCTGTAGAAGTTGGAGGGCGGAACCGTGGCCTTACCGTCGACTAGGGAGTGCGTGTTTTGTAGAGTGCTTTCCGCCAGGTGATACGGAGTATTAGACAAGTAACGTCTGATGCCGTGTTATAATTACCAGACATGCATACATTGGTACAACGCTGCTCAGCAAGACGTCAACAGCACTCGCCCACATCCGAGACTCCCTGTTGAACACAGCACAGTACGGGGAAGCGCGGCCAGCTACAGTACTGGTGCTCCGTCCCCACGGCGCAAAACCCGTAAATCAGGGTCGCTCAGTCTTGTCTTGAGCTTGATGTCCGATTAAGCTTCTATGTACTCCGTGACGAGGGTCCCGACGGATGAAGACTCGACGGGGAAAGATCACGACGGTAGCAGCTCAGCCCATCCGTGTCAAGGAGAAGGGTTTACAGGCTCTAGTGATCGTCCAAAAGAAACAGTCAAGACTGATATACTGTATCCGAGCACTTTATGCCCGAATTTACTGGCCCCCTCTTACAGTAGCTGAGATGGATATCCTTGCTATAAACCCAAACCCGGGGGGGAGGCTGCCGTGGATTCTCCAATGACAATCCGGTCCCTGATTACCTATTGAGGGCGCCGTTGCAGATCCTCAGTCCGGAGATCCGAGACAGGACTGTGTGCACGCGCATTGCAGGGCTGGCTGGACAACCGACAAGCTGGGCAAGACAGACCGAGACGCTTGCGAGTAGAAATGGTTCCAGGAAGCCGCAGAACTGCCGATTCGAGAGGGGAAGGGGGCGGTTCGAGAAGCACTTTACCAACCACACTCAAGCCGGCTGGCGGCTTTGGGTACTGTATACTGCGTACTCCGTACATGTATGTGAAGAGGGACCGTCTTCGCCACACGGGACGTCGGTGCATTGGACACTGCCGTGTGCGAACGAGGCCTGTAGGTAATCGGGCACTTTATGAATGCACGAAAAACGGGATACGGTAAACTCTGTGGGGCGTGGCTCTACTGTACCTCCTACATATGTACTGTACCTCGTATCGAGCTTTCATCATTCCCCTGGGTTCAGTGGCTGGCACGAAAAAATTCCGACCTTGCTCCTCGACTACGACTTCACTTTTTCCCCACCCTCTTCGGACGAACTCCCGCTCCGAATGTTCTCGCCCATCGAGCCCTTGCCTCCCGCCGTGGCGTGGCCTTCCCTGCCTTCTAAGGTCATGCCCGCAGGATGACTGTGGCCGTGGCTGTCGGTATTGTGCTCCACATCCTCATACGGCCGCCAGAAGTCCTTCTTCCCCTTGGCCGCGCGCACGAGCCAGGGTGGCAACAGGCCGCCCTCGATCTTGTAGGTCCAGAAGTCCTTGTACTCCTTGTCTGCGGGCCTGATGCGGTTGCCCGACACCTTCTCGACGATCCACACAATGGTGTTCAGCACGATGTAGCTGACGATGCCGGCGATCAGGCCGTACGCGATCGAGTATGTGAATGGCATGATGGCAATCGTCAAAAATGCGGGGATCGCGTCGCCTATATACCGCCAGTTGATGTCCGCTGCGGCTTTGGCCCTGCGGAGCAGTGTTAGTATTGAATTTCCTGTGAGAAGAGGGTTCCAGTATCGCAGAACTTACATCAATGCGCCGACGATGATCAGCACGCAGCCCGTGGCGTAGGGCGGGATGGACGCAAATATGGGGGCGAAGAAGATCGAGATGAAGAAGCACAGTCCCGTGGTCATTGCCGTCAGACCCGTAGCGCCGCCTTCGGAGATACCGGCGCCGGACTCGATGTATGCCGTGACTGGTGGCGTTCCGAACAGGGCACCGATGGAGATGCCGAACGCGTCGACCAAGTAGGCGACAGCCGAACCTTCGAAGTCCTGTGTCTTCTCATCGATCGCGCCGCAGAACCGCGCCATCGAGTAGAGAGTGCCAGTGCAGTCTAGGATGTCGACGTAAAGGACTGATCCAGCGTCAGTATTCGATGGCAGTCAACGAGGTAGACACTTCTCCCGCGCCAATGTGCTCTCAAGGTGACTTACAGGTAATAAAGGCAAGGCCGAATTGGCCGCCGTATCCAGATATGTCCCATTCTTGCACCACTAGGATCTTCTCGATGGGATGGAAGGTCACGACTTTTTTGAAAAAGTCAAACATGCTGTCTCCCAACTCGGTATACGGGAAGTAGGTCACTGACGTTTGGTGAGCACCTGAGCGTTCACGCATGGGGTACAGGCGGAGTGGGGGCTCCTGCTGAACTTACCTTCGGTTCCACGTGGCCAAGAGATGATGCTGACGAGCAAAATCCCGAAGATGATAGCACCCTTGACGCGGAAGAGCATCAGCAAGACCGTGAACATGCCGCCACAGAATATGCCGATCCACATGGTTGGGTTGCGCATCTTGTAGGCACCTGGGCAGACCCCTGTTTCGTCCATGTACTCAGGCTTGCAGCCAGCCAGCTCGAGAGGAGTAGCTTGCGCGCCTGTAACGGCGCCAATGCCGGCGCTGTACGTCAAACCGATCAAAGTCAGATACAAGCCGATGCCCACACCAGTAGCAAGTTTGATGGATGCTGGAATGGCGCGGGCCAGCCACTGGCGAAGACCCAGGACGGTGAGTCCCACGAAGACGAACCCTTCCACAAAGACAGCCGTGACAGCAACTTGATATGGTACAAGCCCGGATCCGTGATATCCAACCACAGTATAGGCAAAATAGGCGTTCAGGCCCATTCCGGGCGCCAGAGCGATGGGCATGTTGGCGAAGAGACCCATGCAAAACGTGGTGAGGGCAGAAATTGCGGCGGTGGCGGTGACCAGGTCGCGCTGGACGCCGGCGACGCAGATCATGTAGTCGGGGTCGCTGTCGCACAAGTCGGGACTGTCGGGAGGGCACACGCAAGTGCCGCCCGACTGGGAGACGATGGTCGCGTTGACTGAAATGATGTAGGCCATTGCGAAAAACGTGGCCAGGCCGGCTCGGATTTCGGTGAAGAAGTATGATCCCTTTCGTTCCTTGGGGTGACCCGAGCCATCCAGCCGGAAGCGTCTGCCCACAAAGGAGCGCGCCACGGCCATGTTGGCGTTATGGATCATCTCGTTGATACCCATGGCGGCAAGGTCGATGCACTGAGCGCTGGAGTCCAGGAAGAAAAGAGAGGACTGCGATTGACGTCGGGCGACCACGTCAGGGTGACAACCCCTCGTTGATATAGTTCGACAGCGAGGCTGAAGGTCAGAGCAAATGACAAGCTGAATGAGGGTTCGAGATAAAGCTCTCGCTTGCAAATCTGTGCGGCATGGGGAGGGGCACGCGAGCGACAGCTGCGAGTGGGTGGAACAGACTCACGCCAAGACGAGAGGCGGCTTCCGCTTGACCCGAATTCGACGAGGTGCCCTTGGCGACGGGTCTGGCGGCCTTGGCCATGATAGGGCTTCAGACCCTTGTTGGTCCATTGCTTCTGCTGCTGTCGGAGAGCGGCGATGGTCTGGATCTGTTCGCCATGCCTTCAGATCTGCGCTTCCATGCTTCCAGAGGACGTTCGGAAAAGTCCTAGGGCTATTAGGCTCTCCACCTTGATCGAGATACGCGGTTTACTGTGTAGACAGTACGAGGTACCACAGTACATTCATTGACATCAGACAGATAAGGTACTCCGTCCTCCGTCATACCGTGTCGCCGTATCCCGAACTTTCAAATATGCCCAGTCGATATCAGCGGCGGTCTTCGTAGAAAGGTGTTGTACGGAGTACATTGGTACAACATCTTGTGTGATATGCAGGCGTAACTGTATCTGCCCGTTCTTCAAATCAGCTCTGGAGGTGGTTTTATCAGCTGTTACTGGTCTTCCGAGGACACTGCAATCTTCGTGAGATGCAAGGACGTGCAAGGACGTGTTCGCTGATATTGCACTTAGCACTGAAGGATCTCAAGGCGAAGCTGCGTCGATCTGCGTGGGGTCTGTCACAAAGCAATGGTACCGAAGATTTTGGTGCCCTTCATCAATATTGCAGGCAGAGACAGCCCGAAAACGAATGACGCCGGAGACAAACAATGCAGTCTCCTTGCTGCCATAATCAGAATCAATGCCAATATTAATTAATGCGCTGCTGAAGATATGTGAGGAAGGAGGAGTGAGACGCGCCTCGCTGCATCTCGGCTTACTTTCCGTACACCGCCAGCGACCCTTTGCTCTTTTTCTTGTGAGATTCGTCCCTAGTCGAGCCAGGGCTGATGCCACCGTCAGTCGGCAAACTGCCTGAACAACTCGTCGCGTCCTTGCGGGACGAGACATCCCGCGACACGAGAAGGCTGTTACGTGTATTGGTTTCAGCCACGTGTTGAGAGAAGAGTCGGCGACGCCCGAAGGTCGTCCTTTACAAGGCGCACCAGAGACAGGGACGACTGGACAGCGGGGGGGAATATTGATTTTGACTCTGCGAGCATTGCAGAGAGAAGAGCGTATGAGGTTTCCTTTCTTGGACAGGTAGAATCATGCCATTTCGCGCAGACGAGACTTACACCGAGTTCGTGCAACAGATCGGTAGCTTTGACTAGGTAATGAGACTAATCAATCCCCTTGGGACGCCCTGATCCAAATCGAATATGTCTCGCCCTCAAGCCTCTTCATCCCCTCAATAGATATACCGGAAGTTCAAGTTCTCCCTGTCCGTTAGATCGCCGAAAGCCGTGGCATCGAGATCCCGCTCCTCGTTGCCTTGGATCTTGTCGCGTCGAGCATTTTCGTATTTCATCAACATCCAGAACGTGATGATGACAACAACCTCAATGAGATGGCTACGAAGACAAGTCAGTTGGGACATCCTTGAAGGGTGAGGAAGCAACTTGGGCAAGGCAGCAGGCGCGCTGTCAAACGTACCTGACAATCATGCTCCAGATTCCCAACTTGTAGCCGGGAGCCTGATCAGTCTTGTAGAAGAAAGGACCGCCAATGCTGTTAAACGTCCACATTAGTATCAAAAGGGGCCAGAGAGCGCTGTGACTTCAGACATAAAACTCACTTTCCAGTACAGTACCCCAGGAACAACACCGCATTCGTGACCACCTTCTTCGTGTGGCCGGCTGTGTTTGCAATTTGTAGAGACAAGATCATAACAAAAGCGGCGTTGTATGGCCCGGTTAGGAGATAGCAGAAATACCGGCCTACATGGTGCTTTTCATCCACGAAGCACAGGCCGAATGCACCAGCGATGTTCGGGCACAGAAAGAGGAGGATGAATTTACACCGGTTGTTGTTTGGGAAGCGATCATTCAGGAATACGCCTGAAAGAGGTGTTAGCGCTCAATGCGATTTGGAGACGTTGGAGCAGATGGACATACATGTCAAGATCGAAACGATGATGAAACAGCCGTATGGGATTTGCATCAGCGTTGTGACAAGGGTCGAGAAGCCGAAGCCTGGCGGAATGGTCAGATATGAAAGCCTGGAAATACACTTGGTGTTTACCTTTGATGATGAGAGTGCCGAAGTTTGAGATGCCACCATTAGGAATATTTCCAACAACTCCCAAGATGAAAAACAAATATAACTTGATGTCGGTGAATGCCTCCAGCACTTGGTACGCCTTGAGGTGCTTGTTCTCGATACCGGTCTGGTTGCTCTTCAACCGCTCGACGGCAATTCTCTTCTCGCGATCATTCAAGAACTTGGCCGTGACTGGGGAATCTGGCATGAAGATGCCAATGACTATACCCCATACACAGCAAAGAGCACCAATAATGATGAACTCGTACCGCCACGATGCTAGGGCACCTCTGATGTGACCGATGGCGTAGCCGAGAAGACCACCAAGGGCGATTCCCAAGCCGTTAGCAGTATACCATAAACCGATGCGCAGTGGCTGTTCTCGTCGTGTGTACCACATGACGGTGATGAGCATAAAGGACGGGTCGGAGCACGCTTCAGCTGCCCCAGCCAACGCTCTGAGGACACCGAGCGTGGCAAAACTGTTGCACGCGGCCTGGAGCATCAAAAAGAAGCCCCACATGAAGATGCTAACCACTGTCAGTATATCTAAAGTGACCGGTGACCGGTTTAATTGCATCCTAACGTACTTGAAGCCAAGGTATTTGCCTAGCGGCAGTCTTTGCATGAGAAAATTGGTTGGAAACGCCCAGGCAAGAAATCCGAAGTAAAATAGACCTGGCAGCGTTAGGATCGTGTTGTTTCGCAAGCTGCTCCTGCACTTACTGCTGAGCCAGCTGTATTGCGTCCCGTGAAGGTTCAAGTCCTCACGGATGCCGAAGATAGCCGCATATGAAAGCGTCGTTTTATCAATGTAGAAGAAAGCGTAACAAACTCCGATCAATGGAAGGATCAACAAGTCGATCTTCCACATGAGCTTCTTCTCTTCGGCAGGGTCGATGGGGATATGTAGGTCATCGGCATTTGCGAAGAGTGCCAACGCGACGTCGCCATCTTGCTTCTTGGTCTTGGAAGAGAACTGGAATTTGTGAGTCGTTGGTGGAAGATTCAGACTTTCGATCTCCTTGTGTGCAGTGATGGTCTTGTCATCGGCTCTGTCAGCCATCTTGTCCGTCAGTGGTCTCTCAAAATACCCCGAAGCTCGTCTTCTTGTATGTTCTGGCTGCTGTGAAGCTCTGTTTTCACAATCCGACCGCGGGACAGCCTGTCAGTGATGGCACAACAGTGAAGGGGCGGAGAGTGAAGACAAAACAGAAGCGAGAAAGAAAACAGAGATCATCGTCCATAACCCTCCGACTCGAAGCCGAGCCGACGGCATGGTGATATGCATGACGGTGGATTATCGTGTGGAGGAACATGCAATGACGTTCAAGGCTTTGTGGCGTTTGCTTGGACGGAAGTCCGCTGTTGCACCCCGTGAGTGCTTCGGCTGCTTGGCATGCTTGTATCTGATCAAATGAGCATGCGAAATCCAGTGGTAACCCTGCTGCGTCGTCTCCATGGAACCCCAAATGACCATGCCAGATTGCGGGGAAGGAGACGTGTGGAACGCGGCTGGAACGTCCCACCGGAATATTCATGTACCAGTCGGCCTTTGCTACGCCGAGCCGATAATCCCATCCAGCACCTTTCCAACACGGTTCCTGGACAGCCCAGTGCATGACTTGGTGAGGCCTGATTGTGGGATATCGAGGTCCAGGGTCGACTTATTGCTACGGGCAGGATGGTTAGCAGCGGTGAGATGTCTGTCGAGGCTGAAAGCGTCAAGCATAGCTATGGTCAGGACTGGTCGCACAGAGTGATGTCTCAGTATGGTCGATTCAGAGACTCCACCGCCCAGCGGCTCATGGGGGCCGGACAGGATAGGTAGTCGGTCTGGTAGCCTAACCCCACGTGGAGACCCCCATGCGATTGTGGTGTGTGAATTGGTGATGGCCAGCTCCTTCGTCTCCAGCAACCGTGTGGAGAAGATGTCAAATTCCACTGAATGGTTGTGGGCGGCGCAGCTATCCGCTGTTTGCCTTCCGTGGGAGGAAGACAGGGTTGACCTGAGCTATACCGACCGGTCCGAGGCGGAGCAGAGGCCGTTGCAATCTCGAGAGATGAAAGGGTCGTGGGGTCCTACGCGCCTCGCTTGTAACCCGCACTCATGCAAGGCCCTGTATCACAGTTTAGCGACCGTCAGAATCAGGAAAATGCATACTGCAGCATCTCCGCAGACGGCATTGTCGACTAGTCGTCCTCGGACATGTCAGCGAAGTGACTGTGAGATCAGCGCAGCTTGAGGGAGTCGAGGCAGTCGGGTCGCGTCTGGAGAGCTTTACTAGCGCTCTGTCAAGGCGGAATTATTCCTCTCCCAGGCGCATTTGCTGGGGAACCAAGCACCGGGTACGAGGTACGGGGTAGGCATGAATTTGATCACTGGAGTGCTTTGGGTTTGGAGAGATTAGATGCAAAACATAAGGGGTGTGAGTATGAAATCGAGAAGGCGCAACATATTTAGCACTTCACCGTAGTAGGAAACATGGACGCGCGAGACGCGTAGTTTTTTGCACTCTTTACATTTGCTTTCTACCTGCTACAAATGTGTAACATATCAACTCTTGTATCATTGCTTTGCTCGTGTTCTGGATACTGTTAATGTGTCTCGAGCTTTCGTAGACAGCGTTCGTTCATATCCAATGTCTACCAAGCTCAAAGCGATAGACAGTACTCCAAGATCATAAAGCCAGTCTCAGATGCCTCTATATCATGACAACCCTTTCACGAGTCCAACGCAATCTGAATATGCTTTGCCGGGTCAGAGATTGCGCTCAGTGATGCAGCGATAGTAGCTTCCGAGACGATGCTGTCGAAGCTAAAGTCATCGGGTAACACAATAATGTGTGCCGTGCTGGCACCGCCATCAAACACTACTGCGACCTTCTTGGGACCGCTGATCGGTCGCTGGAACCAGTTCGAATCGCCTTTGGACTTAATGCCGTGCCAAGTGGACTTGCACTTCTGATTACCGGGATCCAGGACTTCGAAGACGTCGAACTCGCCACAGCCGGAGTCCCAGCACGAGCATTTGCCATACTGGATGGTCCGGGGGATTTGAGCGTTGAGGATCCACGCGGCCGGCATATCGCCGTTGAAGCCAGTATTTCCTGAGAGAGGCATGCTAAACTCGAGGAGGAAGAGCTTGGAAGCACCATCAAAGCCATGGTATGCGACTGTGCCGTCTCTGACTGTTCCGCAGCTTCCATCTGAACAAGGCTTGTCGCTCATGATGACGAACTCGCTGTTATCTGGGATCAACGTGTCGGCGAGAGTGACGGGCGAGGCGGAGCCGGCACTGTTGTCGGCGGAAGCGTACGACAACGACATACCCCAGGTGGTGTCGAATACACCACTGCCCTGACCGCCATGATTATTGAGGAAGACAAGCCCTTTGGCAGTGCCCTGCTCGGCGTTGTAGTAGGCCTGTCGTCCCCAATTTCCCGCACCAGCATTCATGCTGGCGGCTGGTGCAGGAGCAGAGTATGCCGCGCTTGCGGATCCCGGCGGGACTCTCTGGTCACCATCGCCACCAGCTGCAGGAGCTGGAGCTGGAGTCGCAGCTGCGCCTCCGTCGAACTGGTTGGCCCACGAAACGACTTGTCCATTGATCGTGGCGGTGACCCAATCACCCACCGCGCGCTTGTGTCCCGCAAGGTCCTCTTTCTCATCGTCGGGACCCGGTGGACCGGAGTGGTGGAGGTGCTTGTGGGCGTAGCGCCTCTGGTGTGGGTTGGAGTTAGTCGACCGCTTGCCGTTCTCCGAGCCAGCGGTGTAGAAGGCAAACTGCTTCAGCTGGATCGGACCGCGGAAATGCCAGGACACCTGTTCCACACTATCAGTATGTCACCTCCTTGCACCTAAGCGAGGCAAGCTTACCTCGCCATCCATGGGTGCCATGCCTCCAGAATAACTTTGCGGTCCAAGATCACATTCACCACTCGAACCCATATTGGTGACTTTCTGGTACTGCCCAGGAGTGCCGAAGTTGGAGTACGAGATTGCTTGGACTTCAGAGCAATACCAGTTGCCCTTCTCCTCGTAGCAGTTGTTGTCCTGTGCAAGCACCGCAGCCGAGCTGGCGAGCGCCAGGAGAGAACTTGTTGTGAGTGTGTATTTCATCTTGGATGCCTAAGGCGGAGATGAATATTGGTATGAAAGCTAAAGAATCTGTGTGAGTCTGGGGACTCGATGGTGCTGTCGTCTTAAGGTGAGTGCGGACTCGATATATGATACGGCAATGATATCTCGAGCTCTCCAGAAGTTGTCGATGATTCAGTGCAATAACAGAACAAGCGCAGTTGAAAAGGGCTGCAGCGCAAGAAAACTCGTCCGTTCGTTCACGGGCAGTGATGAGTGAAGCGCAAACAGCGCGACTGCGCTCGCGCTCACGCCCGCGCGATCCCCCTACCGTTTGCAGGCACTCGATCAGCTTGGCAACAGACGTGGCTAGGCTGGCCGTTGGCGGCAATGAGCACGGGTCACCCGGCTTCCTGGTGATCTTGACACTCGTTTGCAATGGGGGGCTGGGGACGAGTGGCAGTATTTGAGGTTCGTTTCCCAACTTCGAGGACTTCCTGGAAACAAAGGTATTCGATTCCCGGCTTCGTTCATTGTGCAAGTGGCTCCTGTGATTCGAGGACGAGCTGTGCCCGAACAAAGCGTTGAGTCTAGTGGGCTTGACGGCCACGGCTCCGTGGCGTGCTGGAGAGCGTCTGGAGCATTCCTCAGCCTCGCTGGCAGGTCTGTGCACATACCGCCCAGGCTTGTCACGTTACGCATGCTGATCATCAATGCGATATCATTGACGAGCGCAGGCAGTAGGGTGTGTCAGCGATGCCGCGCAAGTGAGCACGAGCTCTTTATCCATCTAACCAAAGTACCCGCCAACGCCAACGCTCCAGTCTCATGCTAGGCGGGTGTGGCCCAAGTACATCAACCATGTTATCATGATTCATTACCCACGAATGCCTGCCAGCCTCTAGGGCTTGTCCCGATTCTTAAGCTTGGTCCAGCCGCTTTTGCCCTTGCCGACACGGGCACCCTCGTCCTCTGCGCCGGGCGTCATGATGCTTCTAGCGTCATCGTACTCCTTTCCATCCATCGCCTTCGCCTTTATGACGATGGCATCATCCATCTTTTCGCCGCCATCGTCCCACTCCTGCTCGTCCAACAACTCCCACTCCGCGTTGTTCATCTCTGTAACGAGGTGCTTCCTCAGTGGATCGGAAATCATCGCATACCGGTTGAGACGCCAGTTGCGCGAGGGGTTGTCGCCAGCGGCAGCTGCGGAGCCAAGGAAGGTGTGCGCCGAGTCGTGGGAGTATGAGCCCAAACGGGCAGGGAAGGTGCTTACCTTCTCTTCTCTGGCTGGCGACGACATGCTACTAGATCGGCGGCGGCGGAGTTGGACGTCTCGCTGGGAAAGGACTCGCGTGATTGCAGCAGATTGTGGCTGGGCAAGGACCATCTGATAGAGAATACGACCAATGTCGCAAACGTTTTCCCACGTTTCGGTACCGGCAACAAATCCTTGGGTGCGGGAGAGCCATGCAACATCCCACGCGAGTAGAGACATGCCTTCAATGAAGTAACTGAATGCCAGTGGCTCTTTCTTCGCAAATTGGGCAACTGATTCATTGTAATCGTCAGAGCCGATGTACAGCGGACGTGGCTTGGGAGCCATGCCGAGGTCCAGGCGAGAAGCAGTAGGGCTGCTGGGTACTGAAAGGCTGGAACAACTACCAGGGAATGTGATGCGTTGATTGAGATAGGAAGTGAGAGGAGTGTTGATCGTTGCAAGTGGATAATCGCGATGCGGCAGGGTGATCTCGGCTGGAAGTCTAATTCCTAGGTAGAAAGCACAGAGGAAGACCAGCCGAGTAGCATTTCCAAGGGCTGCTGTCAGTTCGGTGCATCGCATGTCTGGCCGGAGATTAGCAGGTGTGAAGAGATGTACATAATCAATCTCACTATTGATCTCCTTCAAGTCCGGCAACAATAGACCAGCAATGTAGTGGCGATCCTTGATTGTACCGTCCTTCATCTTCTTCTTGGAGTGGCTTAACCTCATCAAACTGGCAGCCTCGCGGCAGAGGATGGCTCTGGTGTCGACACTCTTGTTATGCAGAGAATCATACTGGGCCTTCAGCTTCTCGCCATTCTCTTTTAGTTCCTGCTCCTTCTGCTTGTTGCGTCTCGCTAGCGCATCCTTTGCGACCGCCAGATTGCCTTTTCTCTGCTCCAAGTTGGCTCGCAACTCTTGCGCATGGGCTCTCCGCACTTCAACTTCCTTCTGTCTGAGCACCAGCTCACGCTGCAGATCCTCTTGCAATTCCTTCTCTCGTTGCTCCTCCATCTTTTCCTGTTGTCGGTGCCATCCCTTTCGTAGCCTCGCTGTCTCTGCATCGAGAGGTTCTTCAGGCTCCGGTCCAACGATTGCCTCGACCTTCTTCTGTAGGGACTCGTTCTCAAGTAAGACTCTAGCAAGGTCAAAGCGATTGGTGTAGAGCATGTTTGTCACGCAGCTTGCGCAGTTGCCAGGGGCGTCTTCGGTGAAATGCTGGTGGCACACCGGGCAGGAACCCATCTTGCTGGAAGCAGGAGTGTCAATGCAAACGTAGGTGGGACCGGTGGAATCAGTGGTATTCAAGGGGTCTTTGATTTCATATTCAGTGGTTTCGGTGTCTTTAACCTCCACATCCAGCGATTTCGGCGGTGGCGCGTCTTCACTACGCTGAGTTCTGCAACCATGATGTTAGAAGTGGAACCTGAAAGTTGGTTCTGTGCATCGAGCACAATCAAAGACACAACTCTGACATTGCCGTCAAGGCGACGTCTGGTTGTCAAGATCAGGCGACAGGACGGGAATGGGCATAACTCACCTCCCACTGAGCGACAAGCGACTCAGGCTGTGCTTGAGCCGCTGCATGACGTAGCCAGGTGATTTGCTCGCTTCGGTCACGGGATCTCGCGACAGACGCTAGTGATAAAGAGGGCAAGAGGGAGGAGGCGCGTCTCAGCCGGAGTTTAAGCGCTCTAAAAACTGGTCACGTGGTAGGATGTGATAAGCGAAGTCTTCTCAGTGTGCCCTTGTTCATTCAGGTTTCATAATCACAAACCGAAAACATGCAGCGCAGATGGAGGAATTGAATAATCAAACTGCTAATCTTCTGTCTGCCACTCCAACGACAAATGAGGAGAACCAAACACCTTCAGTCGCGGCCACTGCAACCGAATCCTCACCATTACCGCCCAGGACAAGCAGGCCCAGGCCAGGAAGCGCTGCTAGGAAGCGAACAAACGAAGAAGCGTGGCAGCCCGGCGAAACTCCAGCGACGAGTCCGAAAACTGCAAGATTCAAACGAACTCTCACTCTTCTTGTAATGCCAGAATCAGAAGTGCAGCGGGCTCAGGAGCACCCAACCCAAGCGTCTGGAGAGGCGGCTCAGCCTCAGTGGTCTGCTACCACTGATGCAGAGGGATCAGCTTCAGTACCTCATCGCAACAGCTTTGTCAAGCAGATTCACGATTATCAACAACAACTGGAACTTGAGTATCAGCAGTTTGAACGATCTCTAAATGAGCGAGACACAACGGCCGACCTAGACGCCATGAACTGGGAAGACCTGGAGACACGCTACAACGACGACATTGCACCTTGTATTGCTCGTGAGAAGGAAATTATGGACGAGATCAGTGCTCGCTTTGCGGTATGCGGCTTCACTGACATGCAGAATTCAAACTGACTGCCCGCAGCAATTCATGCTGTACATGCAGGTATCAAACGATCATGAGGCTGAAAGAGCTGTTAAGAGGTATTCTAACGACGTGTGTCGATGGCTTGATAGATTGCTAACCGCACTATAGACTTCGAACACGGATTGCGCTCGCTCAAAACTCTGAAGGACAGCTGGCCCAAAAGCAAGCCCACCGTGAGTGTAGTCGGCCATATGAATGGCCTTGGTCTGACACCCTTCACAGATACGAAGGTCCTGGAGGCGTTCCACAGTGCAATGGCTCTCCTGGGCAATGTTTGATGCAACCACCCAGAGACAAACAAGAAATGATTAGACGCTGCTTTGCGGTGACAAATGCGCCCGAGTGGGCAAGGCCGAGCTACGTCATGCGGTAAAGGCCCCTCGTGCAGGACAGCGTGCACCCGCTTGTGAGCAAGCACGCTGCGGGTTCGGCACCATAACTTACATGATGATACTGCTGGTATTACACAACAACTAATGTCTAATGGTCCACGTTCAAATTCTGACCAAGATCTCCTTGCACGACTGAACGCGCTCAAGAAGTCGACTGTATCCTTTGAGCAGACCAAGTACATTCACCATCGTTCAATATGGTATCCACAAGCTAATTGTAGTCGCAGGTTTCAGACACCCATAGGCAAAGAGAAGCCCCTTACCGCCGACCCCGATCCTGCTCACGCCCTCGGCGCCGACCTTCTGTCACGATGGAAGTCCCTCGGCGGTATTCCCTCCACAACCCAGCCCGAACAGTCCGAGGCAGCCACCGAAAAGCCCGAAGACGAGAAGACAGTGGAAGAACTCCTCGCAGACCTAGGGGCATCGGATACATGGGAGCTCGAAAAAAGCGAGGAGGATCAGGTTGCTGAGCTGTTGAAGAGTGCAAAGTCCGTTCTGGCAGAAGCCACAAACCCAGACAGCGAGCATCCGAACGCAGAAGAAGTTGACGGACCAGGTGACGGGTCCACGTCTGCAGCACTGCCGGCGCTTGATGTCTCCGTGTTCGCACCCGAGCCAGAAAATGACGTCGAGACATCAGGCAAGGTTGAGTTAGACAAGTCCAAAGATACTTTAGATCAGGAGGCAGATGAACTCCTGGCAAGAATTCTAGATGAAGTAGAGCACGAACCTCCGCAAGCGCCAGAAGGAAATGCATCCGTGTCCGAAGACGACGACCGTCCGTCAACCGAGGTGCAAGTCTCGCCTTCAAAGCCCGACTCAGACCCTCCTGCTCTCGACCTGCCCAGCACACCATCTAAACTCCCTGAGATGGAGCCAGTGCCAGAACAATCGGCCCAAGAAGACGACCTGGCATCCCGGTTTGCGGGTCTAGCGCTTCCTTCTGTCCCGACCGGCGTGAAGTCGACCAAGAATCCAGCTACGACGAAGTCAAGTATCGGCTTTACCGACGAGGAGATCGACACGTGGTGCATCATCTGCAACGACAACGCCACCCTCCAGTGCATTGGATGTGATGGCGATCTCTACTGCACGAATTGCTGGATCGAAGGGCACCGAGGCGAAAGCGCTGGTCCTGAGGAGCGGAGACACAAGGCAGTCCAGTTCGTCAAGGGGGGAGGGAAGAAGAAAGTGCCTAAGAGGAGAGTCATGATGGGCGCATAGGTCCCGCGGCTAGAAGACGCTGCTGGCGCCCCTTTGGGAGATGGGTTCGAAGCGTCAAAATTACTTCTACTCATCTCGAGTCATAGCCCGAGCGATCTCTCTCTTACACTGGCTCCCTCCCATTCGCCTTACCACCCGATTCCAGCTTCTGCCCCGCGTTCGCATCGGTATGCTCATCTCCACCCATCGGCTCCCCAGGAGGCACCAGGAAATAAACCAAGCCGTGGAAAATACTCGCCACAAACGGCGCAACCCAGTGGACCCAGTGCCAGCCCGGAAAGCGGCTACCCACAAAGATACCAAAACACCGCGCGGCATTCAACCCGGCCCCACCATATCCAGGCAGAGAATACGCGGTCAAGAGGGCGATCGACCCGGCGGCTAGACCGACGAAGATAGGACCAAGCGCAGGTCCAAAGATCTCGCGCTGCCGAGGGTCCAGGCCAACTCCAAATGCCAATACAAGGAGCAGCAGGTCGCCGACGACTTCGATGGTAAACGCACTACTCACAGGCGTGCCCTGCTCGGTGAACAGATAACAGCCGCCGCACTTGAAATCTCGCGTATTGGCACTGGCCCTCAACAACAGGCCCGCCAACGTACCGCCACTGATCTGCGCGCCCAGGTACAGGACTAACCGGGGAAACGTGGTCAACTTGGCAAAGAAGGTCCCCAGGGTGATGAGCGGGCTGAAATGCGCGCCGGAGACAGCGCCGAAGGAGAAGATCAAGAGCGCGAGCACGATGGCGTTGATGACGTTGGCGACTAAGGGCCCGATAAAAGATACGCGGTTAAAGGGGCCGAGGGTTTCGGAGGGCAGAGGCGGCGGGGTGTTGGGGGACAGACTGTCCCAGGCGGAAGCGTACACGAAAAGGAGAGTACCTAGGTAGTCGGGTATGTCAGCGGCTGTGTACTGTACACGATTCAGTGCTGAGAAAGGACCAATTTACAAGTACTCACCAATGAACTCGATCAGGCTGGCCTTCCAGAGCCCAACCTCGCGAAAGCCATTCAGATCAAATGCCTCTTGGAGCGTCAGGTTCGGCGCCGCATCTGGCACTTTCCTCAGCAACTCCTCGTTCTGGGGGTCGCTTCTGTCGACGGTGAATTCTTGATTGCCGCCTAATCGACCTGCGAAGGGCGAGGACATGGTGCCCCGCCGGCGACGGCACGCAAGTTTAGGTCTTGCTGCTGTCGCGGTGGACATGCTGCGAGGTGGGATCGTGCCGAGGGGGCCTGAAGTCGGGGGTTGGGTGCGCCAAGGTCGGAGGTCGGGGCCGGGTGGCGGAGCGGGAGGTGGAGATTGGAAGTGGTGTTCGGTATCGGTCTCGTTAGATGCTTGTGGGAATGGTTCAGCCATGGGGATAACTTGGCCAAGGCTTGACGTCCAGGGATTTCGACTCTCCGAGCATTCAAGAGGCTTGATACTAAACTCTCGACGGCGGTTCTGGTCTGGTCGCCAAGCTGATTCGATCCAGTTCAACCCGCCACCAGAGGAGCTCGTGCTTCGTGTCGCGCCGCTAGTAATGTTTGAACTGGTTGCTCTGGTGCTTTTGTCTCTCAACGCCAGACTCAAGCACTAGGATGGAGATGGCCACGTTGAGTAGCTAGTAGATGAGAAGAGGACGTGAAAGATGCCAAAGACGCATGAACGGCACACAAACATGATCTAAGGAAGAATCAAAAACAGAGCCGAATTAAAGATGTGTTGGAGATCAATAACGGCACAGCATGGTCGACCTCCGTTCGGTAAGACCCATGGGCGTGAATAAGCACCCGGTCGATATCCGCGGTGGTGTTTCCCCCTTCGAGAAAGGTTTAGTGGAGCCTTGTGGGAGCTGGGGGGGATGACAAACACGACAAACCCGGCAAACCAGGGGTGTCAGGGGGCGGATCTCGTAGAGTAGCAGGGCCGTTGTCCTCACAGCCACTAATAAGACTTTCTGGGCAGATTGTTTATGTCAAGGAAGAAGCTCAGCGACCAGACCCCTGTACTCCTGCTCAACTGATTTCGACGTTCTCTGTAGCAAGTAAGATAAGTACTTTGACTACTTGAATCAGTAACTCGTATCGGTCCAAAATGCCCCGAGCATCCCCAACATCTCCAGACGACTTCTCCGCATCGTTCACACATGGCAAGGAAGAGGCGAAGAGCGAGAGAGCACAAACTATATCTCTCTGTATCATTGTTCACTTGGTATCATTCGTCTCGTCTTGGATGCACATCTCCCCCCCTTTCAACAATGTCTCGACCAGGGGATACCACCGCCGACGCCGACGCCACAGCCAACGACAAACTCATCCTCCAACAATATCTCCGCGACCTCATCTCCGGAAGCCACATCCTGCACTACCACAACGTGCTCGACGCCTTTGGCCACCTCTCCTTCCGCCACCCCTTCAAGCCGCACATCTTCATCATGTCCCGCAACGCCGCACCGGGCACCATTTCGTCCACTGGCGACCTGATCGAGTATTACGTCGAGGATGCTCGGCCCGTGGACCCCAACGCGGCGCCGGGTTTCCTCGAACGCTGCATCCACAGCGAATGCTACAAGCGGTACACCCACATCAACAGCGTCATCCACAGCCACTCCGAGGCCGTCGTGCCGTACACGTTCAGCGGCGTGCCGCTGCGCGCGTGCTACCACATGGCGGGCTTTTTGGGCACGGGTTGCCCCGTGTGGGACATCGCTGACGCGCAGACGGAGGACGACGTAAGTGATTTGCTGGTGCGGAATACGCACCTCGGAGGGTCGCTGGCTACAGCTTTCGGTAGTGCTGGGGAGGACAGCAGTGGGGACTCCCCACGACATGTCGTCGTGTTGATGCGCGGCCATGGCTTCACCGTCCTCGCGGGGAGTATGCAGGACTGCGTCATGCGGGCGGTGTATACGCAGAAGAACGCGGCCATTCAGAGCACAGCCCTCACCACCCGGGCGGCGGATCCGGCTGCTATGGCCTCTTCTCCGATCAAGTATCTCAGTGAGAAGGAGGTGCGGGATACGACGTGGTCGATTCGGCAGTCTGCGCATCGGCCTTGGGGGCTTTGGCTGCGCGAGGTGGAGGCGCATGGGCTTTATTCCAACTCGGCGTGACGTGGTGGTGAAAGGTGGAAATGGACGTACGAAAGTTCTGTGTGGGAGTTTACTGTGAGTATGTTGTGACTGGTATGTGCGTGTGAACGCGAAAATGTTGTCTCTGTGTTGTAGAGCAAGGCTTGTTCTCGGATTAAGCAAAACCGGTAATTACGGGGTACAATACTTGGCTTGCGTCCAGTGTGTGCGTGACCCAGCGGGATGAATGGTAGTGGACACTGAGCTCCACACGTAGAAGGATCTGTCACGCTCCTCGGACGTCAGGAAACCGGATGTGTGGAGCGTAGTCGGCGATGCCTGCGTCTTCGCAGCACATCAAGCTGTGCTTCCTAACCTGCACGTTGTGTGGAAGGCCAGCCACCCCACGAACCCTCAGACACATCCATCAGCCCGAGATTTCCTCAATCTTGGGAGACCCTTGTCCCATTCGTGCAGCTTTCATGTCTCAACAGCCAGCCAGCCAGGAGCAGAGAACAGAGAATGAACAGAGGAGTTACCGTCTCTGGCGGACATGGATGCAAGGGAGAAATCCACCCCTCGGAGGGGGAAGCCCAGGGACGGTCCGGAGTAGTGGAACAGAAGAAACAGGCAGTGTTCGACGTCGGGAATCTCGACACGAGTACAGTAGTACATTCCATTTCCATCCTTGGACCTGAGCGTGGCCCCCTGAGCCTCTCTGCTTCAACCCTGAGATGGCTCCTGCGCGTGACCGAGCATGGTGTAGTTCGGCCTAAGCAACGGATCAACCGCGCCCACGTCTGGGCCAAGGGGGCCATGTTCCCGGGACCTACAGGAGGTCTTGAAATGGGCCGGGTCGGATTGGGTTTTAGGAGGTCCCTGTCCCTGTCCCTATACCTGTCCCGCCCAATGGGTTTGGGGTCGCTAACTCAGGGTACGCCCGACCCGGAAACGCTTTGGGCGAACCCCGGCCCATGTCAAGGCCTATTCAGGACCCTTCTATACCGGCCTGATTTACCTCTGAGTTTTTCTATCTTTGGTGGGTTGCCGTGGATATGTATCAGATTACATAGATTGTGTATTTGCCGTGGCCTGCCGAGATCTCGTACTTGTGACGGAGACGCGTAGTTAAGTCGAGCCCTACCGTGGGTGGCATAGCAGCGTGCCTTGATTGCTTCCACAGTAGTATGCCTCGTGCGTTTAGTATCGTTTACTCGGCGACGAGCTCATTGGGAGTGCGGCGGCCTTGGCTAGGCATCAGCGCCAGGCCAGCTGGCCGGTCACCTGGCTGACGGGTCTTGCTAGACAAGGCTCTCGACAATCCGCGCGGAAACAATGGCAATAGCTCCTACACAATGTTGTCGTCACTTGCTCTTTTAGCGATGGCTTAGATAGAACTCGGCTATAGGAGTGCATCAGAGGCAGTATATAGCTTCCTAATCTACATTCCAGGCTGCCTGCACTTCCCGTAGCCACTGCTGATGCTTGTCAAAATCGTTCAGTTGGAGAGCTTTCACGATCTCTTTGGCTCGTTCAGGCAAAGGATATGCTCGCAGGTGCTTATGCTCTGGCGAACATATCACGTACCGATCTGCGTCGCTGTCCTGTTTCTTGAGCGAAAGCAGGCAATCTCCACAAAACCACGTCTTCTCACACAGGCAGCAGCACCAAAGTTCTGCGAAGTCATCCTTGGTCGGATCGCAGATTCCATCACAGCGTCGGATCTGGCTGGAGCTCGCACACTTGCGGGAAGCCACTTCGTCAGTGCTCTCTGCCGCGGCCTGATCGGAGTCGCTTCCCGCGCCAGATACTTCAGACTGTGTCACAAGCTCATTGGTATCCATCATGGCAATTCCAAAAGCGACTGCAGCGTTTTCGAGATCGTTGCCCATCATCAGCGCCTCTCCAAGCTGAGTGTAGGCATCATCATCGTTCCAGGGATCATCATCGTGTAGTTTTTGTATAGCCTCTTTGATAGATGGCTCAATGAGTGGTCTCCACAATTTTGGACACTTTTGTCGATAGTCTCGAAGCCAAACTCCATACAGAAGCGCCGAGTATGAGGCGCGATACTGGCGTTTGTCTAGCAGTGCAAGACTTCTCAGTCGCTCAGCGGCTTGCGAATACCGTGACTGTTTCGAGAGCTTTGCCTCCACCGCCTTGGTGAAATGACAAAAGCTGATGAAAGCGGCTGCTTGACGTCGGATCGGTCTCATACGCTGAAGGTAAGACTCGTCGTTCGAGTCGATTACCGTGAGAATACTGGTGTAGATCTTCGTAGCGCCAGTAACATCTTTGAAGTGCCGAAGCAAGAAATTTGCCGATCGTGTTGCCAGTCGTAGATCATTCCACCTGGGCATGCTTGCCGTGTCGACATAAGCAATACGCTTGAAGCTGTCTTGTAACAGGTTCTCTAGATCGGGATCACTTTTGTGGTATAAGGTCATGGCGATGATACCGGTTAGTCTCTTGAACTCTTGGTCCGTGAACTTGTGTCTCAAGAAACAGCTGAGCAGCGAACAGCCGGGCACGAGTGTCTGCCGAGTGGCGAGGTCACGCAACACTGCCGATATGGAGTCATAATCCTTCGTCCAATGATGGATTTCAATGTAGAGCTTGAGGCTATCCATGATGACGTGGTCCGATGGGAGGTTTGTGCCAAAGGTGTACATTTGACATCGTTCATATGCATCTCTGGCAGCACGACTGGCATCCTTAGGGTCTCCACCCGTTTGAAGTCGCCAATACGCCGCCCGGGCTTTGAAATAGAAATCAACACCGAACTTCAAGCATAGTGGTGGCAGGCCTTCGATGGCTTTCTGCATCGCTTCTAGAGCTGGTAGTGGCTGTCCAAGGTTGTCGCCGTAGCACCGACTTAGGCCTTCGTACGCAACCCATGCCAGTGGTCTCTTGATGCCATATAGCTCTTGTGACCGGGCTTCCGATAGGGTGATTGCCTTTTGGAAATATTCGATGGCTTTCCGGCTGTGTCGAACATCTTCTCCTTGCATCATGGTCCAGGCAATCCCGGTGTACCAGTATTCATCTTCTTCCAAATCTTGACTCTTGGCGATCCGCTCGATCAGCTCCAGAGTGATTCGTCCGACTCTCCGTGTTCCTTTGAGTATGCTGAGAGGGCCAGCGTTGTTTCCTTCGGGAGTCTACTGAACGTTAGATGCGACTGATGTGATGATGGATCAATTTTGCTTACCAAGAATTCATATGCCAGTAATACCCACGTCTCTCCTTCGCACTTATTGAACCAATCCGGGTCATCCCATGCTCGTTTCCCCAGCCACAGGCGGGCACATTCTTTGATCAAGGGCTTTAAGACAATTCTGGCGGACTGAATCGCCTGCACTGCCCACGGATGGATTTCAGGCTGCTCGGTGCTGAGACAGTGGATTCCCTTTCCGATTAAGAGGCGGACAGTATCGGTTTTCTTCCTGTCCAATAACCACGTATCGATAGTAGTCTGCCACTTACCATCCTGTAAATGGTAGAACAATTTGCCATCAAAACATAGAGAGGCTAGCCTGGCACCAACTTGTGCACAAAGGTCCTCCGGCATTGCGATAAGATTGATCTCCAGCAGATGAGAGACGCAATTATCTGCCGCATATTGTTTGAGGAGATGAACGCCGTACTTTTGTGCAATGGGCTTCATGGCAAGGTCAAGCAGGGTCTTGACCATTTGCATCCTGAAATGGTCAAGCTGGCCTGGAACCACCCGACAATCATTCCACTTCTTGGTCAATGCGTTGCCTTCTTGTACGAGATAGTCACGAATTCTTGTATGTACAAAAGTGACAGTTTTGTGGTGCCAATCGTCAAATATTCCGTTGTTCGCATGGACGCTGACTCTCTTCCAGCTAAAATGCTTCAACGAAGGTCTTGATGGCGTGTAGCCGGTCGCTGGTTCATCATCGTCAGTTCCAGTAGAGTCCAGATCGTCGTCGGATTCTTCCTTGTTTGAAGTAGGAGTTGACTTAATTGTTCGTGATGTATCGTCACTGCCTAATTGCTGTATAACGTCGAAAAGGCTGGAGTACCTTTCTGTCAAATCGTCGGAGATTGTGATGAAACGCTGACCAGCCGTTTCTAAAAGGCAGACATGAAGCTCGGCGATGGTGAGAGGACGACGGCAACAAAGCACCCAGGCGAGCATGTGCATCAAGTATTGTGTTCTGACTTCATCTTCGTGGTTCAATCTGAGGAAAACCATATGTATCATGTCCATTAAGCCTAGCGGAGCGTCATTGAGAGCCTCTTCAACAGATTCGGCCGAAGGGCTGTCACGAATCTGGTCAATGACTAATTTGGCCCATAAAAACATGCCTTGAGATCGTGTCACGATGCTGTTTTCGATGAAGGCCTCGAATAAGTGACTTTGTTCGGGTTCCATCTTCCTGATAATCCTAACGGCAGCGATATGCTTGGTTTGATGTTTCACATATACGCGAATGTCGTGTTTCGTCTGATCCTCTGTGATGTCAATGATCTTTTCGTTTCCTTGAAAGGCAGAGTCCGTATTGTCGAGGAGATTCCGAACCTCTGGTCGGGCAAAGACGGCCACCTGGATTGATATTCTTTCGTGGTTGGGCCGAGAGGCAAGCAATCTTCTCAAGCAAGTCAACAAGGCATGCTTTGCTTCATCACTAGCCTCATCAAGACCATCCATGATTATGTAAAGCAGGCCACCCGTCTCTTCGTGATCTTCCAGGGGGGGATCGTATGACAGAAACAGGCGGTCCCACAAAGATTCCGCCGATGCGGTCTTTCCGAGGATGTCAGGATAGGTCCGGATAGCCTCAACCAGATGCTTATGAAATCGCTGATCTTGCTTGGCAATTTGGAGTGCAACGGCCACCAGCATGTGGCTCAAGTTCTGGAGCTTAGGCTGACCCTCCCTGAAATAGATGTAACCCGTAGGTCTGATAGGACGATTCTCGACGTTCCTTGAGTATTTGTTCTTGAGAGCCTCCACCGTTGCAGCAGCAAGAATGGTTTTGCCAACTCCTGGACGACCGAAAATCCAGAGCAGTGAACCATTGCCATTCTCCCAAGTTGCAAACATAGAGTCACTCTGGATCCACATTCCCGTTGTGTCGGCAACAGCATTGACACTCTTTCGGTGGTGATTTCGCAACTCTTCCCAGGACTCATTTCGGAGCTTTTCAACGAGATCCGGCTTGACCTCCGAAGTATCGCTCTCTGCTCTAGATCTCAGCATTTCCTGCCTGATCTGAAGGACTTCTTCATGGATGCTGACTGCCGTCTCGCTCATTCGCTGCGTCATCCCAAAGTTCAAGCGCACGACATAGCCCAGCTCATCTTGCACCCGTTTCTCGAGTTCCGCAAGTCCTTCACTTATGCTTTCATCGTTCTGAAACAGAGATCTTGCAAATTGGCGTGACCTTGACAGCTTGACTAGTCTTGATTGTGCGGCTCCGACAATTTTCAGGAGACACGATAGCACCTCAATGACAACCGTCTGGTGGGAACCGATCAAAGAGCTGTCCTTGTAGCCATCAAGGCAACATGTAACGGCGGCCACTCGTTGAAACAGCTCTTCAACAGCATCATATGCTCTGCTGACTCTTTCACACGTACTCAAGATGTGTTTGACTGCAAAGAAAAGTACGCTGACTGGGCCCACGGGTGTCGCTTGAAGACCTCGATCTGCAACATCCATAAGGAAGTGCAGTGGAAGTATGCATTTGCGAAAGGCTGATACAACTTTGCGCTTTTCATTTCGATGAGCCGTGAATTGATCTTGATTGACTTGAAGAGCTGCGAGGAATGCTTGAAGGCTTCGTCCGTCTGCGTCTTGAAAGTTTACAGGCATGTATTGCAGATCAGACGTGATCAGAGCGTGACCGATATTTTTCTCGAATTCGCTGACGGCATCTTCCCAGAGCGCTGTCAACGAGTTTTCCGACATTTTGGAGGGGTGAAAGTAACTCGAAACACGCTAGAGAGTCAACTTCAAGGATAATGCGGGGAATGAGCGCCGAGAATGTGCATTGTGATCGCAGCCAGACCGCTTAGCCCTTGTGCTACCACTAGACGTGGCATGGTAGGATATAAGTGACATAGAAAGCGGCTCGGCGTTGGTTCGTGGTGGACGGCGCGTTAATGAGAATTTGGAAAGCATTGCTCTCGCTCGTGAATCAACATCGTCTCCGGATTTTTTGAACTTTCAGCGCCGAACGTCCGTGAGCGGGGTCCATACTGGGGTGCAGGCTATGAAGCGAATGCCAGCAGGAGGCTGAGAGAGCATCCACTCGTACGAGGTAGCAGGGTTCGTAGAAAAAGGAGCCCAAAATCCGACCGGATTCTCTCTGATGCAGTAGTGCCCCTGCAAGTTTCGTGGTAGCGCCTTCTTCTTTCGACCTAGATGCCGCGGTCTAGAAGAGGCGTCACGGTGAAACTCGGAGAAAGCCTGAGGTGAATTGCAACGTTATCCCTTTGGTGCCTCATTACGCTTCAACGTGGCGTGCTTCACCGCGCCGTGAGTCACAAAGACGAAGCCAGTCATCCCTTACGGAAGCATCGATGATTGTGGTCTTCGTAAAAATCAAGCACGACTAGCTCGTCTCCAACTGGTAATACTCATGTTGACTGTCCTTGCTGTGTCGTTTGCAAGACCGGTACAGCTCACCACCACTGCTGATAGGTGGGAGCTGTGTGCAGCGCCTCCACTGGTGATGCGGCGGTGCGGGCCGTCTTTTTGGGGATATTATCTAGGCTGCTTACTCAACGCTCACCTTGTTGGTGCGATTTGCTCAGGCGTGAAACCGGAAACGGGTTTGGTGAGGTTCAATTCTTCCTGTACCGAATACGAGTTAGGTATAATGGGATTAACGTATCGTAGAGCTCGCGACATGCCCTTGTCTCGAGATCGTCGCTTCAAACTCCTGCCGGATTTTTCAAGAGCGTAATGCGTCTCCAGGGAACCCCCCTAGACCCTCGCTTCAGGGCCTTCGTCAAAACTTGACGGTCTAGAGGAGAGACGACCGTTAGGCCCCCGCCCCCCGACGTAGTTTGGAGGTTGCAGAATAAGCTGGCCCGGCTGAGGCTAAGCGCCTGAGTAATGTGACTGGGAAGGTTATCCGAAGGGTTGGCCAGACAGTGCCAAGGGCTGTAATGGGCCATACCCCCTTTTGTACGATACCGTATTGTTTACAATAGGCCTCCGTAACTATATAGCTGGGTCTCTGCCCAGACCCCTCTGGAATTCATCATGTCCTCCAATCGAGTCACACTAACAGCGGCGCGAGGTCACGTGGGACTGGAGGGAGACGGGCATCGAGATTCCGGCGCGGAAACAGAATGATCATAGGCAGAAGTCTCGCACTGACCTGAATTTAAGAGCCGAAAGGGGAGACATCACTAGAACTTTGGCGTACGGATCTGGCCTCCCATGAGTTAGGGCTGCAATGGCGTGAACCGGCAAGATATTGGCTTTCCATTCGCCAATTCGTTAAAAGGTTAACCTTCGAGTTCGGTTTCGATGTCAAACTTATCTCTGTGCCATACCGGTAGCGTGACACATGAAGCAGCCTTCTCGGAAACGTATGCACGAATGAAAAGGGTGGCTCGCGAATCGGACCGAAAAGCAACAAGGACACACTACAAGGGAGTGTGAACGATGCCTCTCGCCTCAAGGGCGAACGGCGCCAGGGGCAAACAGTTGCCAAGCACTTTCCAAGCATTCGGCCCCATCCTTGAATTCTGAATCGCTCCGCTCCACCAGTAGGGCTGACAGCGGACTTGGTGCTGTCGGCGTCTTCATAGGTCCATGCTCGACGTCTCGCGAAGAGGCCAGGGACAGTAGATCGTGAAGAAAAACACACCATGCTGTACACCATCGACATGGTTTGCGCAGAAGCATGTCAAGCATATCTCAGACTCCCAACGGTACTCCTGTTCCGGTTATGTGCTCCTCGACGCTCGTCTCAGGAGGCGAGAGCTGAGCTCTTTAAACAGTCTGAAGTCTGCCGAACACGGAGTTCGACCATCGCTGGCACGGAAACCATGATGGCTATTGGCCATGAAGACAACCTCTTTGTGGAGGTTAGCGCACTCCGTTCATGAGCGTGTATGTGCAGAAAACAGGCCTACGGCAGCCGATCGCCGTAGCGGCTACTTCCCAGCCCCAAGTCGGTTCTCTGTTCAGCCAGCCGTCGACCGTCGTGATTTCATATTGCTGTGTGGCAGCAACATCTGCTGTCGTTACTCGCTGTGAGGTAACACATCTCAAACAACAGAACACGAGTTCATGTGTCGAGCGTTCAGCTTCGTGTCGACTTGAGCGTTCTCACCCTTGATTTCTTCATGAATATATGGATTCAGGGGAATGGCTGAGTGAAGGGGAGGGGCACGTGTCCATGCAATGGAACCAAGCGTCGCGAAGGGGTCTTCGGGTGAAAAGAAAGCATGTCGAGCAGAACGGGTATAAAGAAGGCCAAAGATCTGCTCCTCATGCTGTCTCTCTTCACCCACCAGTTCTCCGCACATTCATTGCAGCTCGAGCAACATCGGCATCTTTCCTCTATAGCCCAATCCAGTCTTCATACCGTTCTCTCCTTCGGTCGCAGCTTCGACTTTCAAAACCCCCCCTCCGCTGGTTGCACAAGGGACACCCATCGTATTCAATCTCGATACCACCTTCTCTTCCACCCAGGATGAAATTCCAAACCCTCGCTACAGCCGCCATGCTGGCCATTCCGGCTGTCTTGTAAGTTCCCAATCCTTGCTTGCTCCAAGGACAACAACCCTGACAAGATACGTCGACTACAGCGCAAGTCCCGTCCCCTCCATCATGCTGTCCGCACGCTCAGACATCGAAGTCACCGTCGGAGACATGACCGCCGCCATCTCCACCTTCCAGACCCTCATCCAGGAAGCTCTCACTCCTACTGCTGATAACACTACCACTCCCACAGCCCCTGACACCACGGCCGTCACCAAACGCACAACCTCCTCAACCACTGAACTTGATGAAATCAACGCCATCTTCGCCGACATCCAACGCCTCGCCGACGGTTCCGCCCCTCTCCCTTCCCCAGGTTCATCCGAGGTGGCAACCCGGTCCCTGGCCCGCAGGTTCTCCGTCAGCGACACCGTCCGCGCACTAGTCGACTGCCTAGGCCGCTTGCTCAGCGGAACGGAACTCCGCAAGCGCGCCGTCTCCGCAGGAAGCGAAGTCGACGACCTCGCGACCTCCTTGGCGACCATCCACGGCTGGGCCGACGGGACTATTCCGCTGCCCAGTGAAGACGTGTCCGCGTCAGGGTCCTTCACGGTCGACGACGGGCTCGAGTTCGCGACCCTGCTCAAGGATGTCATTGTCGCGTGGCGCGCACAGTTCGAGGCCACCCTCCCGGCAGCTGAAGAGACGAATACCACGGGTGCGGCCCTCGTGGAACGGGCCCCTCATAGCCAGGGCTTCGGGCTCGACAACCAGTTCTATGATAGCGCATTGGATAAGAGGGGTAACTTGACTCTTAAGATCGCGCTGAAGCTGTTGGCTGCGGCGCTTGACGCGTATGCAGACACGCTTTGAGTTGGAAGATGGTGGGTGGTAGTGGCCTCGAAGTGGCAGCGGTACTGTAGCAGTAGCATTGAGAGTGGAAGGAGGCAGTCCAGGAGAGATCTGTACGGCGTAGAGGCAGGATTTCATGTTATGGAACCGGCGCGGGGCGTGAGAATAGCTATGATCCTGAATACCTTTTCGCTTGATCCCGCCTCCACTTATCTTGCATTGAAGTGAGGAAGTACAGCCAAGCGGAAATACTGTCGGACAAAGCTCATTTCCCATTTTCGTAACGCCCTCGCAGCTAGACGCCCCAGTGGTTAATCTAGGCTGGTCTGCCAAGAAAGCACAGTTTTTGGGGCGCGCGCTCTGCCCGCTCACCGATTGACAGACACACCGTAGATTCCGAGACGCAGGCTTCAAAGATCCTCATGAATACGGGGCCGGCCTTGTTTCTTTCTCAGTTTCTCGCCGTAAAAGTACAGCCCCACCAGAGGCAGTAATGTCGCGCCGTTGATCGCCGCGGTGACTCCGAATGACACATCGTATCCATTTCGAGTACCGAACGGGACGGCGTAGAACCCGATAGTGAATGCGAATACTGCATCGCAGTAGAAGTAAGCAAAGTGGAGCGGGGCTGTGACGGGAAACGACAAAAGCAGAATGGATTAGACGGTAGGGCAGCTCACTTGACTTGTACAGGTTGATCACGACGCCAACCTCGGGAGCTTGCGGTTTATAGCAATCAGTAGCGTAGGTGTAGATCATGGTAGCGCCCACCTGGAGCCCAAAACTGGCCACTCCCATCGTTATCGCCAGGGAGGGCCATGCTTTCTGCTCGTGCACACAGACACCGTAAGCAATCAAGCCGGCAACCAGAGCGACGCAACCGGGCAGTAGAGCCAGGCGCACTTCAGGCTTGCGATATCCGTCATGTCTCTTGGCGTAGGCATTGATGATCATATCGCTGACCCACCCGGCAGTGGCTTCTCCGACCATGCAGCCCACGGTCTGCGGGATGCCCATGAGCAACCCTGTCTGTGCGACGTCAAAGCCGTAGAGTTGTCGCGCCAAATGCGACCCTGTCACGCCGAACTGGGTGCTTCCGTACGTGTTCGCCGTCATCCAGTAGATGGCAGGGAGAGATACAGCCCAATACCGAATCATGATGTACGGCTGGAGGAAGTCCCGGGGTCTGATTGGGCGGTCGAGGATTTTCCCGCGCGGCACGAGTCGCAAGAGATACGAGGAGTTTGTCGACCTGAAGCCTTCGGTGCGCGAATACAGTGTCTCCGGGAAGGTTAGGCACAGGCAGACAAAAAACGCGGCTTGAATGATCCCAGGCACGTACAAGCACCAACGCCAGGAAAGGTTCAGGGCAATGTATCCTCCGATAATGGGGGCCAAGTGTGGGCCGTTGTTAACACAAAGAGTGTAGATACCGAGAAAAGTCCCCCTTTCACCCTGAGGGAAGAGATCGCATATGGTTGCTGCCCCAAGTCCAAGTGGGATGCTCGCTCCGACTCCGTAGAAGATTCGACCAGTGATCAGGCCACCGTATGTGGTCGCCGCACCCGATCCGAACTGGCATGCCGTAGCGATGGCCGTGAAGATCAGGTACAGGATCCGCCGGCCGTATACATTCGAAAAAGGGACGACGAACATGGGCATGATCCCCATGAACAGGATGACCACGGTGGTGCAGTAGGAGGCTTCCTCGACAGAGATATGGAGGTCTTCAGCGATGACGACGAAGGCCGGATTGATCAGGGCCGAGCCCAGTTGGTTGACGAAGCCGAGGCCAGACACAATGAGAGCGAGATACACTCTGAGCCAGTATGGCCAATTCAAGGGATCATGTTTGTCTTCTGAGTGCCGGATTTCCAACGGACCTCCATATTCGCCGGAGTCAAGGTCATCTTGTCCGTGCTCGACGCCTTTTCCGACATTCTCGACATTGCGGATGTCGTCCGACTTTTCGCTCATATCTGAATGAGGTTCTGTTGGAAAATGCTCTTGAGAGGAGTGACAAAGTCGGACGCGAAGAGGTTCAAAGGCACAAAAGTCGAGGGACTCAACTAGGCGGGAGCCCTGCAGCAAGAATATATCACACAGCAGTTCAGGCGATCACGCCTTTGGCGGTGAGGTTAAGAAAATGCCAGAGCCGGGCATCACAATGGGCCAGGGACCCCAGCACGACCCGTGTAACCGGAGGTGATCGACAGTCGCGGAGTTAGACGAAGCTGTCGCAAAAAGCCTCTCATCGAATCAAATTCATTGCATACAACCTTGTCCGGTGTTACTCTGCACCGAGTTGTACTGTGTAGTCCCTGTGCGCCCCCAATCCCCAGGGTCCTGATCAGGCTATATGTGTGGAACTCGGAGCCGTTGGAGAACTTGCGGAGATCTTGGTATGTGACAACGGCTCGGGTGTAGAGATCGCTGGTGTCCTTGCCAGAACCACATCTTTTGCCGTCGCACCCAATATCACCGGCTCCAAGAGAAGTATGATAGGTCTCATGTCGAGCGCGCAGTCCCGCGCTCTTCAACGTCATCCAGCAAGACTTGGTTGAAATGCCAAATACGGCATGATATCCACCAGGGATAGGATTTGGCTTTGCAGAAGTAGAAATACCATTTACTCCGACATTGCGGCCAGTTGCGAGACATGGGGACATCCAGTCCATGGCGTACAAGGCACTTAATCCTTTCCGTGGTTCGGCCTGACCTGATCATCATCTGGGTTTAACAGCACTCCCATCTCGGTACTTTCGTCCAACACCCTTCTGCCCTCCTTGGCGGTCTTCAAGTTCATATCGTCCATGACGAGCTGGAGAGTCAATTCAGGTACCAACACAGCACTCACATACGCACCCACACCAGCCGCTCTAAGTGCCGAGTCAGACTGTAGAGCCGTATTAAGCGTTTCGGTGAGTGCTGAGGTTACTGCATTGGTCATAATGCGGGCTCCTTTTGGACCGTAGTAACCTGCTTTCGCCACGTTGATCAGACCTTCGTTAAGATAGTTCCGAATCTTCCTACGGTTGCCCTTCGCGGCTTTGATCTCGGCGTCCAGTTCGGCCAGGTAGAAACAAGGCGCTTGTCGGCTGATGACCATCTTCAGACTAGGTATTTTTTCACGTATCCGGAAGTCCTCCAACTCCTCCCAGTATATTTTCTTTGGATATCCCCTTTCATCCCACTCCTCCTTTGCATCGGCAACCTGATGCCGGGAACAGAACTTCTGTTGTTGCTGGAACGGTAACGTCCGCAGATTATCCGGGACAAAGAGAGAGACAGAATCATGGACCGGCTTCTCGCATACTGGGCACGAAATTCCCGAAGTATCTGGTTCTTGTTCCGCTTTGAAGTCGTGTTCATGTGCTAGGATAGCCAGTTCGTCGACCGAAGATAGGGACGAAGTCGACCCCGATCTTTTACGGCGTTCCTTTGCCGGTGACTCAAAAACGTCAAATGAATTGGTGTTGTCCGTCTCGTTGGAGGAAGGGAAGTCAGGCAGGTCGAATTTTTGGAATTGGACCTTGGTCGACCTCGCTGTCGGTACTGGCGAACCAGGGGCGACCAACTTCTGCTTTGCCTTTGTTTTACTTCTCATGGGTGAAAGTCCAGCCACATGGTCGACGAGTTGGAACTTTGTTTTCTTGATAGATTTCACATGCATTTCCACGATCTCCGGTGCGCTGAATTGGTCCTTCTTTTCGCTCGAGTCCAGCTCGTCTTCGATCGGGTCTATCTTGACAAACTTCTTCCCATAGACTTTGGTATGCCTTCTCTTCTGCGAGCTCGAGGAGGGGAAGCCGAAGAGGTCATCGGGCGGTTGAGCCTCCGGAACTTCGAGTTGTTCAAGCGGCGGTGCATTTGTGACCTTTTGGCGTTTCGAGCGAGACGCAGCAGCAGTGGTTGCCGACCGCTTAGCTGGGGAGCTTACAGCCTCCCTTGTCCGTGCCTTGAGGTCTTCTTGTGAACCAGATGCAGGCTTCTCGGACAGCGCCGTTTCTTCCTCTGAGCTGTCTTCTGGTGGTGCGTAGACGAAGTGGTTGTCGTTATTCCTGTCATTCCCTGACTCCGCGAACCCGGCATTTCGCTTTACAGGCATCTCCGATGTAAAGGTCGTTATCACCGAGCCATCATCTCTTTCTCGAATCGACCGCAGAAGGTTCGGTCCCCGGTAATTATGTCGAGTGAGGTACGTTCTCGAGTAACTGGCGTCTAGTCCAGCCATGACATTCCGACTACCGCCGGGGCCAACAGCAGGGACTCTGACAATATACCGGCCACAGACCTAACCTGGCAATCTGCGTGGTGAACAGTGGGGGAAGCTAAATATGGTCCATGGAAACGCGGTCGCCAGCACACGCGACTGTCAGCGAGACGTGAGGGCGAAATGAACAACCAATCAATGACGCTTTTCGGACTAGTTTTCCGGCCCGACTCTAGAACGCCCCCCCCCCCCCCCCTTTTTCTGCTCATCCCCCCAAGCCTCCTTCTTTCCTAATCGTATCAAACCCGTCAAGCCGATTTCTCTCAGCCGATTTCCACTGTCTAAAACCCAGTAGCACGGCAATGTACCGACTGCCATGTGTCCCCGTCCTATTGGACGCATTAGCAGGGATGTCATGGAGTGCACAGTAAGCCACGACCTGTATCCATTTGCGGCTGATACATGTGACAAACGCCGACTCGTCCAACTTCAATTCGCTGACCTCAGCCATAATGACATGGCGGAAATGGAAGCTCAAGGGCGACCTGACTTGGCCGTATCAACCGTTCTGTCAATAAAAGCACAGTGAAGAGTTTGATGCCCGTCCTGTCGAATGCAAGTTTGAGCCGGCAAAACAGTCATACATGGGCTTCGATGATAGCGAACCGTCTCATTATCACAATGAGAAGCTGTCTGCAGTGGCCTCGCCTACGGATGTGTCTTCGGGAGCTCAAACTCCAATCGGAGTCCAAAGTCCACCAGATACAGAGCACCAGCGCCGTCACCCTCGTGTCAATCATGCCAGAGAGAAACTCCGCCACGTCATTCACCCCGACGGCCGGAAGATTCACATCGCGCACACGCCGGAAGAGCATGTCAAGTTGCAGAAGGGACTCAGTCAACAGCAGCGAGGCGATCAGTTCGACGTCGTCATCTCTGGTAGTCCAGAACATTTGGCAGTCGTAATTGAATTGCACCCCCATCACTCCGCGCGACGCGACACGCTTGGGGATACGCACGGACACATCTTCCACGAATTCGAACAGGTCAGAAGCGACCTGGATTACTTGTCCAAGGAACTCAGTCACTTGACAATCCATGGCGTGGCCATTGACGCAAACTTCAGAAAGTTTGGCTACACGGCGCGCATACGAACCAAAGATAATCAATATCATATCAGAGTCTCTACTCCGATAGGTTCCTTGCCAGGTTCAACCCAAGGTTTGCTTGACAGACAACAAAGCCGTCTCACTGACGGACTCAAGTTCTTCAAGCGACCTGTGATACGGCAATATTTCCACAAGGGCCTGTTGTTGCGGTCCTGTCGCAGCGGTGAGGTTGGCACGTTCGAGTTGTTCGCTGACCTGCTCTATGTCGGCATCATCGGCAGCATTGGGGACAAGGCTGCTGAGGACCCGATCGGAAAGTCGTCTTTGCTGTATGCCATCAACTTCACCATGGCATTCAAAATCTGGAACGATCTCACCCTTGTTACAAATTGGTGAGAAAAAGAGCCCAGACACTCTTGGGCCGTTCAATGTTGACCTATCCAGGTTCGAGCGTGATGATATTGTCCAGAAGCTATCGGTCATGCTCGACTTAATCCTGCTCTTCGCCTACACCACCAATATTTCCTACGCCTTCGGAGATAGACACGCCGGGGCAGAACACGACACGTACATTCCGATGATGTCCTTCTACCTTGCGGAGCGCTTCCACGGTGCCTTGTACTTCACCTGGCTTTCCTACGTGGTGCCTCTTATCCGCGGAACTCTCCTGTACACGTCGTCCATCATCCTCCTGGCCATCGTCTTCTGGCTCGCCAGCATTCGCGGCGACTACCCCGGCCAGCTCGCATTCATCTAGGTCGCCATTGTCATCGATCTCTGGGGCCAAGGCTTGGGCATGTTCCTCTCCCGCGTCTCATACGAAATGGCACATGACAACAAGCCAGGCTGGCTCGAACGCTTCGTGCGGAAGAATTTTGAATTCTACCCGGCCATCAACATCGAACACCGCACCGAGCGGACCAAAGCTTTCGTCTCGCTTGTCTTTGGCTACTTCGTGCTCACGATTCTCTATCAATCCCGTGTCTCGGTCGGCCTGACCGCGTTTCTAGGCAAGGGCATCCTGGGGCTCATCCAAGCCTTCGCCTTCCAATGAATGTACTTCGAGATCGACCACCATGGTGTGCACGCCATCCGTCGGCACTGGCTGGCCAGCACCGTCTGGAGCACCTGCCACCTGCCGTTCGTGTTGTCGTACGTCCTCGCCGCCGCCGCGCTCGCCAAACTCGTCATCGGGCACGACTGCGCCAATGCCAACATCGAAGACTTGGGCGAGACATACCAGGTCAAATCCGTCGGCGAGCTCGACCAGGGTCTCCGGTGGTACTACTGCTCCGGCATAGCATCTGCGTTCATGACCATGACCCTCCTCTCGTACTGCCACGTGCACAAGCGGCTGCAGAACCCACGACCGAGCAAAGGCCCGCGCCTCGTCCTCCGGACGGCCATTGCGCTGGCGATCCTCTTCCTCCCGCTTGCAAAGGTCAAGCTCGCGTCGCTCAGCCTGATCGGGCACGTCTACGGCGCTCGTCTCCCTCGCCCTGGCCATGGACATCTCCGGCATGTCCAGCCAGGTTGACCGCTTCTGGACAAGCGGCTGGTGCGAGGACAGCAAAAAGTCCACGCATTACGAGGCGCGCATCCGACGCAGCAGGAAGAAGCAAACAAGACATCATCAAGGCGTTGCATTGTGGCGAAACCGTGCGGCTGGACGAGTTCCTCTGGCGGCAGCGGACAAATTCAAGCGCCGTGAGTAGCACCGCGGAGTTGGATGTCAGGGAGGACCATGCCACCAAGGACGAGGAATGGCAGCATGCTGCGTTGTGGGTTTTGCCCTGTGTGCATCGCCAGAGCATGGAAGTCACAGTATGAAATGTCGTAGGTGCATTGCCAGAGCATGGAAGTCGCCAGTATTAAATGTCGTGGGTGCATTGCCAGGGCATGGAAGTCGTACCGTAGTATTAAACGGTAATTTTTAGCGATGGGGGCCTACAGGAACAGGCTGGGCTGGGCATGAGTCATCAACACCAGGGAGAGCATATATATGTATATATAATGTCCCCGAACTGTCGACTGCCACGATTCTTTCGCTGACTCATCCCCCGCCGCTTTGCTCTCCCGCTAACGACTTTTTAGTCGACTCGCTCCCCCGTCCGCTCCCCTCTACTCCCTTCTGCTCCCTCATGGCTCTGGCCCGCTCCTGCTATACTCCCTCACGTGGGCTAAGTTGTGAGAAAACTTGCAGACTCAGAACAGTGCTCACGCTACTCAGGGCATGCCTTAGGGATCGCCAAGCCGCCCTCAGGATTGCACAGCCACAGCTCAGAATAGCTTAGTCATGACTCCGGTCAACTGCTCAGGTCCAGAAATCGAAATGGACTTTGGAGAGGTCAAGATTCGCCGCTGAGTAATATGGTATAGGCTTATAGTCGAGGTCCAAACCGGGCCCCTGAGCCCGAACTGGCTCCTGAGAAACGGCACCAGACAAGCTCCCTACGGTTCGTCCAGTGCTCGGGCGCGCTCCCCCGTACTCTGCCGTGGCTCCCGCGGCGCTCTCCCGTACTCGGCTGGGCATCCGTCACGTGCCCGAGTAAAGCGGCCTCGCTCCCTTTCCTGAACGAAAAAGGGAAGGGATAAAGCACAGTTCGGGGGTGATATAGTGTATATATATATATATATGCATATACATATCGCTGTACGAGATATCGACGATCAGTCGACGCTCTTCCTTTCTGGTCGCCCGCCGGCCACCATCCGACTCGGATCCAGTGTCCAGGGAATTCGTTACGTTGTCGGCCGGAACTAATTAGAGGTCGCCCCGTGACAGACCCTGTAACCCTAACTGTCGTAAACTCTCAGGGCGATAATGTAATGAAAAAACCGACAATATCCATCATACATTACATGTCGTGATCCATGGATCATGCGAATGAATCATGAGCCCCTGCTTAGAGGGCAGATATCACTCACTGATCTACAGGATTTTCGCAATCCATCTACAGTAACAGATGTGATGAGAACAATAGGACAAGCCAGTGGTGTAAAAGGCATGACATGACATGATATGCCAAAATCCATACAGTATGATGATACGATACGCTGCGTCGAGTCTAATCACCCATGATAACCACAGCCACATGCGAAAACCTCTCATTCCATAACCGTTCCCCCAACCATCGCACCCTGCCTGTTCAACTCTGTGTTGGTGAAGTCAAGATGCAAAGGCATCACGACCGGGCCATGATCCTCGGGATACGGCAACGTCGCGGTCGTGGCGGCACGTCTCCTTCCGCCGGTCCGGTCAGCTGCACAGCTACCACTACCCCTACGACTGCGCTCATTTACTGAGGCATTAGGCTGGAGATGGCCCCGATCGGGCGGTTCATCGGGACATGGAGAATTGGAAGGTGGTGTCTGTGGAGATGGTGGCGTGGGTGACGGCATTGTGGTGCCAGTGCCAGTGTCACTGTCGGAGTGTCGACTCTGAGAGAGCGACAGGTAAGCCGGAGTCTTGAGCGTCGAGGGAGGCAGCGCGACGCCCAAGTCCCTGTGCGATAGTGCCAACGGTGCAGGCGCAGAAGTGGGTGTGGGTGTGGACTCGAGTTCTTCAGCAACTGGGATAGTGTGTCCTTGCGAATGTGGTCTCGATATATGGCTTTGATGTGTGGGTTGACGACTTGTTCGTCGGATAGGTGATGCGGGAAGTTCCACCGCATTGCCCGCTGGAGATCCTATTGATGCAGGATGCGTGTCAAACCTCGACGGTGGTGGCGTTATACGACCTTGATCCGTACCTGGCAGTTCTGGCAGTTCTGCAAGGCTGGAAATGTCGGCATGTTGGTGCTGGGGAACTGGTGGTTGACCTGAAATGGAGTCCGCGGCCATTTCATGACATTCTGGGGCATTAAGTTGGGTTGTGCTAGACAGATTCGGTGCCGACAAATAGCTTTCATGGCTGGGATATGGCCAGCTGGTCGAATGGGGTACAGATGCCCATTGATCAGGCACTGGCACACGATCTGGGTTATGAGTCTGCATCCTCGGTGGTAGTGGAGGGGGCGATGGTCTCGTGCTCTCGGCTTCCGCGTGTCCGTGGTAAGAACCATGGCGTGTATGCTGAGCATTCCAAAGCGGTTGGATCGACTGTTGCGGAGTCTGGTTATACTCATGCGCGTTGTGGCCAGTTATCGGCGTGTCTAATTGAGATTGGCTCTGCCACACGGGTTCTGAAGAGCCTTGCCACGAGGGAGAATGTCCATGTAGTGACGGCCTTTGTGGAAGTGGCGGCGGAGAGACAGCGAATTGCTGCTGATCGTGATACAGCTGCGGAGTTGACGGAGATACAGAAGCTGGTGGCGAGAGAGGCAACACGAATGCTGGGATGCTGTTCGATGAGCTGTTGGTGGTTGTCAGAAAGGTGTGTTCCGGCTGTGATGATAGAGGCGATACTGGTGTTGGAGGAACATTCCACGAAGCGTAAGGCTGAGGCGGCTGTGACTGTTGAGGTCCCCCATAAGAGTAGCCATACGATGAGTTGGCGGGATATGTTGGATTGGATGGTAGCGGAGGACGTTGATGAGCGTATGTCTGTGTGAACTGACCAGAAAGACCTTGGCTTGGTTGAAAGCCTTGCGAATGCGCTGGCATTGCTGGGACTGAACTGCCATCCGGGTTCGCGGCAATGTTGTAGACATCCCTCATAAACTTGATCGATTTTCGTGCGAGGGACGGCATCTTGTGCAATATTGGTAATCAATGCAGTCGGCCCAAGTGGCATTAACTGCACGGTGAGTGACAGGAGCCGATGCTACAAGACCTGCCGAGCACGACAAGTCGGTATTTGTTGCCAGAGGTCGTCGCCTTGGGGAAGAAAGGGGTTTGCGACACAAGCTCGTATCTTGTAGCCAATTTTGGTGTCGCCTGTTTGCAACGGCGCGTTGATAGGCCTGCCAGCCTCGCCAAGTCAGCCAGACCAGCCCGAAACCAGCCCGATTGTGAACAAGACATTTTAGCTTGGGCTTAGTGGTCTTTTGGTGCCGCGCGAGAACCTGCAACTTCTCAGAGACAACGCAGGCCAGAAACTCCTGGTCATTATCAACGTGAGGCTGTGGAAAGGTGTCACATCGAGGAGCGGGACCTTTCATTACCGTGGCTTTGTGGCTACACCGGCGACATCTCTGAAGGCGAAATTTCATGACTGATGATCAGGAAAATAACTTCTGTCCTTCGAACAGTTTTCTCCAGTGGGCAGATAGCTTGGGTTTGCAGAGCCCAGTTTGTCGCGGAGATGCAACATCATCGCAATTATCTCAGCCGCATGCCCAGTGGCGCATGCAAGTGGACAGGATACCAGTCGACTTCATCGAGCAAGGCCGGCTCCATTCCTCGACCATCTGTACCTTGCAAGCACAAAGGTCAATTGTTTCTGCGTGTCGAGCGGGTTGCTTCTTCGGCCTCTTGCCAGGGCTGTTGCTGATCGCAGGACGTTTCGAAATTGCCGCTGTTGTGACGTTAGTTCATAACGACATATCGCATACCACGAGCTGGGAAGAGCAAGACTATGCCTTGAACTTACCTGATAGTCGGTTGGGAGCGTGACAAAGCAAGCTTCAGTTGCTCTTATCACGGCCTCGCAAGCAGCCAAGATGGCGGCACCAGAGTCGGCTTGGAGACGATATGCTACCAGCAAGAGGAGAAGGCTGCCGTGGAGGAGTTGAATACCGAAGAAGTATGGCATGAAGCTGATGTCCGGGTCGCACTCCAAGATCCCTTTGACACATTCCGAGGCAGCCATGGTGCGTGACATGGAGTCCTTAAAGCCTAACGACGAGGTCCAGAAATCTGCATCCTCGAAGAGATAGATAGGATCCCCTATAAGATGCTGTCAGCGATAAATCTATTGTACCAAGCAACAGTGCGTTTGAACTGGAGTCTCTGCATGCCCACTTTGAGCTAGAGTACCGAGACAAATCAGAGAGTAACGAAGACAAGTCACTCACATTTTGACCCGACAAGGATCCGCAGCACATTGACAATATGCGTCGCGTAACCAGCTACGGTCATGGCGATATGCGTGGTTTCGGAATCATCTGCATCCGCAGTGAGAGGTTGCCAACCGTTATCTTTGTCCGCAGCATTCTCCATGAAGGGTCCACCTGTCACATGGTCCAAGGTCACCTGGAACTGGTCAAGTTCATGCAGGATCTCGCGTTCCTGTGAGCTCCAAATGGTAGCGCCCGACAGGACGGGATGCAGACGGGACCTATTCAGGTCCAACAGAGTTCCGCAATGAACCATGAGAGGCAAAAAGAATTCGAATAACCCTACTCCCGAACAAGTCTTTGGCGGCCCGCGCAATCGTCCTTTTCCGGACGGCAGCAGCATACACCGAGGTCCGTCGGGGCTAGTGCCATGACTGTGTGGTTGAGCGCCAGATTGCCAGGTGACATCGTCCAGGGGTAGCAAGAGATCACGGCATTCGGCCTCCAGTAAGGCGAGACTCCTGTTATAACAAAGGGCCAGATGCCGGTCCATCAGGAACAGAAGCCACCAGGTGCGACGTCGTTCCTCGCGATGGGCTTCATTCAAGAAGTCTCCTTCAGAGTGCTGGCTCAAAGAGCACTTGCAGTTTAGGCTGGCGAGTCCATGCGGTGCGTCGTGCGGCATCATCGGCGACTTGACTTCCTCATTCAGCTTCAGGTCCCTTGCGAGATTGAAGGCGACGTTCCACCTAGCGGCTGTCAGACAATTGCGCCGGGATTAAGGACATGGGACGACCAAAATGCTGCCGAATGCCTTACCATCGAATGGACGCAGCCTTCTTTTCACTGCCAGAGATAACCGACGAAACGTGAATCAAAGCCATGATATAATCCACGCCCCAGGAGATCGGGAGTGCTGTGACTTGCATCTCCAAAGCTCGACGCAAGTCGTCGTTGCTCCACCCTGAATCCGACCCGAAAGGCAAGGGTAGCCCCAGGTCCTCCTGTCTCAAGAGCGGTTCATACCGGGAAGGATTGAGCAGCCGATATGTGAGCAAGCTCAGATACTTGCAAACTCGATCCTTTTCCTCGGGCCCGTTGAATAGTGATAGGCCTTTGTCGCTGAAGGCCTAGACAATTCCATCAGTAGGTATCGTGTCAGCAGAGCAGAATATGATCATGGAGGTCTCATCTACGTGTGGCAAGGGAGACTTACAGCCACGAAGAGCATGCTGCCCAGGAGCGCTGGGTGAGTTTGGCGAGGTTGATGAGGATCGAGAACGTCAATCTTACGGAGGATGAAGTTGTGAATGTGATGACACGTGGGGTGCATACGGCTAAGGAAGGCGCTCGAGAAGTATGTATCCAGAAGGTCACAGGCCAGTCCGCTTCCAAACTCCTTGTCCAGAAAAGGTGAGAGGTATTGAAGCACAGGGTACTTGCAGAGAACGAATGCCTGGCTACTGGGCGTGAGTGCTTCCCGAGAGTCGGCGATGGAGGGCAGCTTGTAGCTGTAGGGATCGAGGATGTGAAACGTCGGCGACACATATGTCGACGGAATGCCGGAAAGGTCCTTGCCATCATTGAACGATCCTAATGGAGCTTCAGGACTTGATGACAGAGCGAGATGCAGCATTGAAGCTGTGCCCTTGGGTGAGGAGACGACCAGTGGAGTGTCTTCATTGGCCTCGAGGCGTGGGCTTTCGGTGTCGTCTTGTGGAGCTGGGTCCATCATCTGGTCCCCCTTCCTAGATAGATGCGAAGGCGGTGACGGTGGTGAAGTGGTCATCCCGAGTCTTTCAGAGACAGATTCGGCCGTGGACGAGATGGCGGCGGAAAGCGAACCATGCGCGAAACTCTGGTCGTAAGAACATTCCTCGTTCAACTGCTCACATCGGGAACAGGGTGTACTGCCGGTACACCGAGTTTTAGATTGTCGGCAGCGATTGCAAGCGCGGAACTTCTCATTGATGATGCGGTGGAAGGGTCGCTGTTCCGCGTGGTTGAGATGCGTCTTGAGATGGCGACTCAAGCTGTCGTTGCGCGAGAATGCACGACCACATTCGGGACACGGCGCAGAGGCCGGAGTCCGGCGGCGCATGGCCTTCTTGGGGCCCATTTTTCATGTTGGGCTCGTCTATTGAGGCGTCGGATCATTTTAGCAGCAGCATTTATGGGTTGATGGGCTAAGAGCAGAGACTACTTACAGCTGTGTGAAACGTGGTTGAAAAGCGCAGAAAGAATCAAGCAGCGTCACTGGATGGAGGAAATGCAGGGCACAGCAGGCAGATGCCTCTAACCGAGCGAGAGGGCTAGGCGTGTTGCACATTAGGGCTTGGGGCTCAGGGCTTAGGGCTTGGATCTGGGCGCTTCTAGCCTTCTAGGTGCACCTCCGCGCCTGGGCGTCCCGAAGGAACTTAGCTCAGGCACCTCGCCCGCATGCCCAGCGAACCCCGCAATCTATCCTCGTCCACTACGGACTACATTCCCCGCGCTACAAAATTGCATGGCTTTCATGTTCGGTCAACCATGTGCTCGCTGGATCCCAAGCCTAGAATCACATCCGCAACTGCCAATGACTTACCACAGGACGTCATGACGTTAGCGCCGCTGTTTTGCTGCCATGTCTGGACGGTGAAGCAGGTGAGGTTCCGCTTCTAATGACGTTGACCACGATCTTGCGCCAAACGGCCGGAGCACTTCTTTTGGCAGCCAGCGTGGTCGTGATTTCCTCCTACTTAGCAACTAAACGCGGGTCGTGACATTGCCCTTCTCCTGGTTCCTGGCAAGGGTCGTAATAACTTCATCGGCCTGCTGTCGCATTCAATCCGAAGGAGAAGGGAAAATCTGCGAATCGCCATTCGCATGTGCCATCGGCAACATAGCGATGGCTGAACGACGCGAAGGCACAGCCATTCTCCGACCAGACTGACTTACAGATCCTGGGAAACATAGGAAGAGCCATGTTGAGACGTGTTCATCGAGTTGTCGGCTTGAGGATCCAGGGAAGACATTGGCAAGATGAGTGACCGAACAATGCAATCTTATACCTTTATACTCCTCTCATCCGCACATCGAAGCATTTTGGTGCATTTTGCGGAGGGCAAATGCCGGTAATGAGATACTCCGCGACGGGGAGCGATTTCCACCAATGGTAGCAGGATTGTTGCTCCTTCCGAGCCCTCCATGATCAGGAGAGAACGCGTGTTGCATCGTCTTCTCGAACCATACCTGACGTGACGATGGCATCGAGCGGACAATGCAGCACTGGGGCCGGCAAGTGGCGCCTGGTAGGCCACGAGCTAAAACCCGAGTGCTTCGTTTCGAGGCTATCACAGCGTCAACTCCAGAGAAATGGTATCGATTTGTCGAGGAGGAGTGCCTCTTTCACCTCAAGGGGGTGATGCATCTGCGGCCTACGCGTCTAGCCTGAACAGGTATATTTGCGGTGGTCACTTATGCAGGCTGGTCCAAGATTGCGCGACCTTGAACAGCGTCAGCTATATTGCGGCTGTCTGTAGAAGCTCGGGAAGATCACCCTTCACAGTGTGGTACTCGTACTCAAGGACAGCCTGTCGGTGGTGCGGAGTCGGGCTCCCTGGTCGAATGCTGGGGCCATGTGTCAGCATCCATGTTATTCTTCGATTGCTCTTCCGAAGTCTCTTCGGCTGTTTTGCACTTTGTGTTTGCATCACAACTTGCGGAATACCTCGCTTTCCTAGGCTGGAGTAGCGTCAATACGCGTGCCTCAACTTGGCGATCTCATTATTCGAGCAGCGGTGCAGACAACATGCAGGATGAGGCAGGGCCTTCCCGATGAAGAGTCCGAGACGCACCGCACAGTCGATGACTCCTGTGGGCTTTAAGCGGCGCACATAGAAGGATTGATGGTTGCTTGCGCTGGACCAGGAATAGAGTGTGGCTTCGTGTGTCGGGCGCCACCTTCTCTCGGTTACTTGTCACGCACCACGCCAGGGGATACTTGATGTGCACTTCCTCGCACCCACGATGTAAGTTTTTGTGTCATCAATGTCCGGATGGCAAGCCCGTGCGGCTCGCCCAAGATTGATGGAGGCCGAAATTGATGCTGCGGGTACGAGACGATAGGCACCCAGAGCGTCCATTGAGCGAAACGGTGCAATTTGTATGCTCTTGTCGAAGGTGGTACTCCGTGATCAGTCAGCAATTCTTGATAAAGGAATGGCGAGCTGAATGACAGCAACAACTGGCGAAGCAAGTAAGGCGGTTGTCATATTTGATTACTGCAGGCACGATTCAACAGCAGGGACACTCCTGTGCGTCCTTCACACATTTCTGCAAACATCATTGGACCAATGTTTTCACACCATACGCCAGCGAGTTGCTAAGAGTCGCTCACGCTCGAATCTCTCGGTCCGACGTCCGCTCAAGTCGGCCGACAAGTCACCTGACTCATTGAGCGAGCTCCCAAATTGCTGATGTGGCTAAACTGACATCAGGAAGTCCCGGATTCGTAAGATCCAGCTATGCCTTAGAACGGTTGATTGAAGGAGATGTTGATGGAGCCGAAGCCGTACAGAGGCGCGGTCCAGATAAATCCCGCATTGATCGTATGGCCACTCTGCTGGAACCGTGGCGAAGCAAAAGCCATTTGAGTTCACGTGCTGGACCCTTGAGAGGCCTGCCCAGCCCAAAAGGCGGGGTATCCGGAAGCCGGAAACGGGCATATGAGGCGTGCCGGCTCGTATAGCATTTCCAGAAGTATGGAGCAACCAAAGGCTGTACTGGGCGCCTTAGAAGTCGAAGCACACCGTATATCAGGCCCGAGTGCTCCGCCATTGTGAGTGTTCAAGTCGGTCGACAAGAAGTCTCCCTCATCCAAGTAGAAATTGCAGAAGACTTCATCATCATGGGATCCATGGGCCCGAATGTCGACTTCGACGCTCCTGGCGACACGGTCTTGAGCCCGTCGGTGTTGGCTCACGTCGTCTTGCGCACGCAGAAGCTCAAGGAGATGGTCGACTTCTACACCACGTATGTCACCCAAGGGCGAGCCGAGAATGTCGTGCCTGGCCGTTGAGTGCTAATAGGTGCTTTAGCTTTCTAGGCGGCCATGTCGTGTACGGAAATGACTTCTTGTGTTTCATTACCTACGACGATGAACACCACCGCGTCGCGCTGGTTGGCATTCCTGACACGACGCCCAAGGTCGCCAACAGTGCGGGCTTGCACCACATCGCCTTCACCTTCCCGGCGTTGACAGATCTCCTCCTAGCATACCGTCAGCGGAAAGCAAAGGGCATCTTACCGGTCTGGTGTGTCAACCATGGGCCGACCAACTCGATCTACTACAAAGACCCCGAAGGAAACATGTTGGAGACGCAGGTGGACAACTTCGACACTTCCGATGCGGCAACTGCTTTCATGTCAAGTGCAGAGTTTGCTGCGAATCCCATCGGGACGGACTTTGATCCTGAGGACTACATCGCCCGGCTCAGGGGAGGCGAACCAGAAGACGATCTGAAACGCAGAGTCGAGATTGGACATAGGGGACCACCGAATAATATTTGATGGAGTCGTCCGCCACGAAGGGTGCCAGTTCCGACGGCTTTGCCGAGTTCTTGCTAGTACAGTAGTGAGTTGGCGGTTCGCAGGATCTCGTCTGGTAATGAGGCATGGGTATGATGTCCGTCAGTATACAAGGCGCGTACTGAGCAGGAGACTGGTATGCAGAGTAGTCTGGGATTTATTTGTCATGTTGCCTCTCTGAGCGCCGTCCATGTAATCTCTACCTTTTTTGGTCTCGTTCTGATAGTTTGATGCCGAATTACCCAGCCACAGTCTGATCACCAATCAGGCGTGCCAAGCAAGCAACTGTGCCACCTAATACATCAAACTAACCTGAACAAGATGACTAAGAAAAGCGAACAGCCCGTGAGACAACCAGTTCATCGCGCAAGTCATCCAGTCTGATAAGCCGTCAGGTGTAGACACGAGTCATTGGTGTAGGTAAATTGAGGCTGCCGATCCACCCAGCAGTCATCCTGGGACCCAAGCAAAGCATTACTCCTCTGATGGTGCTGCTTAAATCGCGCATAGACCGCCAGAAATAATACGAGGTCGAGTGGATTGCTTCGCTCAAGTGGAGGGTATGGGCGGCTGAAGGGCTCTTCAACAAGTTGAAAACACGCGGTAACCTTGCCACCTGCACTAGACCGTCGTCCGTGTCAACAAACCACGAGCGTGGATATAAGAGGACCTCAAGCATTGATAGGGCGTCAATGAATGATGGCTCGCATCGAGAGCATCAGAATTGTGGAAGAAACCGGCGACACCGTTAAGCAGGATGACGAAGACTCTTTGGACAGCTCGAACCGACAACACTTCAGATCATACCCCTAGAATCAACGTACAGCGACACAGACATATGTCTTGGAGTCGAATCGTGCGTCCATCTTCGTTTGCATTCTCTGAGTCAGGATTCAGTGAGTAGCCAGTGACTAGTAAGTGAATAGAAAGTCAGGCTCAACTCAAGCTCAACTCAAGCTCATCCGCGCTGCGAGCTGTGCGGGGCCGTTCTAACCCCGCCCACCACCTTCACGCCATCACGCCGGTCCGAGGAAACGTGTAGTATGTAATTTAAGTATGGGGCCGATTTGCCAGACGTTGTCGGCGAAGAGGAGGTAGCGCAATGGGTCTGTGCATCACGCCGTCATGACAGCGCGCGTATGTGTACAAAGATCGCACCAACCCAAGCCGGTGGCACCGCGGCGGTTCTCAAGCTTCGAGACAGGCACACCCCTCGTCCATCACAATCACTGGGAAATCGATCTCAGCGGATTATACACCATCGTATCGGGCCTCGGGCACTGTACCGCATCGTGCTGTAGATCTAGGTGCACCCGCAAGCACGCGTGCAAGTCAAATTTGGCTCAGCAGGGTTCATACATAGTGCCCGAGTTTCGATTCATGATCACGTACCGGGAAGCCTAGTGTATCTGCCTAGGGTGTATGTAAGATATAGTGGTGTATTCTAGTTATCCGAAAACCACACCACCCAAAAAACCATCGACCCAGCCAGCCAGCGGTCACCCGCCACCACATTTTGTCCAAGAGAGTTCAACATGCCCGCTGCCAGGGAAGATAATGCCTCCACCAATAATGCAGGATCAGACTTCCGCATCGCAATCGTGGGCGGAGGCATAGGCGGACTCTCAGCCGCACTGAGCATTGGGACGTACTGTCCTGGTCTGACGGCAAGAAATGTGACCGTCTACGAGCAAGCGCATGCTTACACTGAGATTGGCGCTGGGGTCAGTATCGGCATCTCTGCAGGCAGGGTGTTGAAGAAGCTGGGGGTGTGGGAAGCCGTGGATGCCATCTCGGGGTACCGCACCAATGTGCACCGGAGTAATCGTCGCTGGGACACGGATGAATTGATTGTGGACGCCCCGGCATTCAACACGGGAGGGTCGCAGGAGGAGGTGCGGCAGCTATGGCTTCATCGCGCCGAGTTCCTTGACGTCCTGTACAGCGAGGTGAAGAAAAGGGACTGTGCGACGCTGGAGACGAATGAAAGGGTGGTTCACCTGGAGGTACGTTGTCTCTCAAACGACACCTTGCGAACGTGAACCTGCATCTCACGCTTAGCAGGACCATGGCTCTACTGTCACGCTCCATCTCGCTGATGGCACCACCGCCTCGGCTGACCTCGTCATTGGCTGCGATGGCATTCACAGCGCCGTGCGGTCTCAGTTCGTCGTCGACAAGCCCGTCTATTCGGGCCGCATCGCGTTCCGTGGAGTTATCCCCATGTCTGTCGTGGCAGATGATTGGCCTTACTCTTCGTGGACGCTGTCCTGGCTGGCCCCGGGCAAACACTTCCTCGCATTTGGCATGTCGCAGAACAGACTGATGAACGTGGTCGCGTTCGTGGCCAAGCCGGAAAGCGAGCTCCAGGGGCTGAAGGAGAGTTGGAGGAGCGAGGCGCCCCGGGAGGCCATCGAGAAGGAATACGCAGGATGGTGTCCGACCGTGCAGCGCATCATCCAAGCCATGCCCTCGACCATCAGCGAGTGGAAGATCAACGACCGAGAAGTCCTGTCCCAGTGGGTTTACATGGATGGCAAGGTGGTTCTGAGCGGAGACGCCGCACACGCAATGTTGCCGATGCAGGGTTTGTCTCCTCCGTGCAGGATGTTTGCCAATGTGTATGGCTAATGATTTGTCCCAGGTTCCGGAGCCGGCCTGTCGATCGAAGACGCCAACGTCCTTGGATTTGCCGTGCGTGACTACCTTGACAATCCGGGCGTTGGCTTGGAGAAATATATGATGAAATACCAGACTGCGCGAGTACATCGAGCCCAAAAGGCCCAGGTCACGTCGCGACAGGCTGCTGCCGTGTACGATATGGATGGGCCGGACTTTGAGGGAAAGACGTTCGAGGAGCGTCTGCCGGTGGTACGGGACAAGGTAGAATCACGGATGGCATGGCTGTGGAAGTCAGACCTTGAAGCAGACTGGGCGGCTGTGGGCGACGCATGATCGCAATGAGACGGTAGTGTTTTCAGAAAAGACATTGTGGTGGGATAGTTCAAATGCTTCTCAATCCAGTCACTCTACTTTCACATTTTAAGAATGCCGTGGACAGGTAGGTCCACGCTATCGTATGGGTAATCGTTGGTGACCGTGTCGCGGACGCGTTCCTTAGTCATCACCTGCTCGGCCATTAGATGATCCTTACCACAGGCCACAATAGCCCACTCATGCGGTTAACCTGCCTCGGACTCTGTAACCCGTACTCTTCTCTGGCATGCTCGTATGGACTACACGGTTGCTGATGGTCATCAGTGGTCGATGTTGTACAATTGGCCTCGGCTCAGCTCAGGGGCGAGCGGCCGACGTCTCCCGCCCTTTCCCCGGCTCCCACTCCCCAAAACGCTCCAATGCATATCATTTGGCCATTTGCCGTGGTGCCGTGAGCCGACTTCGCTCAAGCAGCAACTGAGCGCCCAAGCATGCACAAGCAATCGCGAACCACGCACGCATGCCCCGTTCCCCATGCCCCATGCCTATGCCGTGACTCCGTGACCTATGGTACTGCATCCAGCAGGCACTGGAGGAACAGGGTCCGGCTGCTTTGGGTAACATAATACTGGGTCCTTATTTCTGTATCGAGGCGGGGAACTTCCGACTCGCAATGCTTAAGATGCACGGTGGAAGCTTGGTCTTTTACTTTCTCAACCTAGCATGACGGAGCGGGTAGAGGAGAGATAACACACAGAGCCCCCGGATCTCGTCTATTTTGGGCACGGCGTCCAACCCACGCATGGACTTGTGACCCTGGAACAGAATCGAATCGAGGAACATAATCAGCTTACTGTACTCGGGAGACGTTCAGCAGAGGGTATTTTAACCTCGCCGCCGCTCCGCGCGATTCTTTATTTCACGCCACAGATTGATCCTTTGGAAACCACCATGCTCCTCGTCGACTCGACAACCATTCCGCCATGGGCGTACTTTGCTCTGGCCACGACCCTTCTCACGGCATGGGTTCTCAGCTTCCGCTACCAGAAGGGCCTGAACAAGTACCCCGGCCCATTCGTCGCGTCAGTCACAAACTTCTGGCGTCTCTGGCAATGGTTGCGCCACACCGACATGTGCTATTTCCCCAAGGTGGCCAAGTATGGACGCATCATCCGCATCGGTCCCAATACGTTGCTGTTCAACGACCCGGAGGCCATCAAGGATATATACATGACGCATTTCAACAAGGCAAGTCAGGTACCGAAGGGTCACGCAGAGAGGGAGTCTGCGGAAGATGTGATTGCCGGCTCTCCGCCTCCATCTCTGTATAATCCCTACTTGGGTCCCTATCCACACATCTACACGCAGCCCCACTGACGCAGAGGACAGTCCGACTTCTACAAAGTGGGCCAGGGCGTCTCCCGCGGCGTCGCCGTGCCCAACATCTTCTCGACCACCGACCGACATTACCACGCCAAACTGCGGCGCTCCGTGGCCAACGCATTCGCACTCAGCACGCTGGTCAACTACGAACCCTACGTCACGGACACGGTGGCGACGTTCCTCGCGCAACTGGACGCCCGCTTCGCAGGACGGCCTGGCGCGGACGGCATCTGCGACATGTCCGAATGGACCAAGTATTTTGCGTTGGACGTCGTGAGCGCGTTGACCATGGGCAAAAGCTACGGGTTATTAGAGGCCGGGTACGATCACATTGGGATCGTGGAGGCCCGGACGGAGTTTCTGCGATATTTCACAATTGTGAGTGCACGCGGAACGCGGAACGCAGAGCCAGGAAATATAACTGACCCGCCACCTACTTCCAGGTCAACAACGTAACCTGGCTGGATCGGGTTCTCAAGAAGAACCCCCTCCTCATGTGGCTCGGCCGCCTCGGCCTGTGGAACAGCGTCACGGCCACCGTCCCCATCGCGCTCCGCCAAATGGACGAGAAGAAGCGCACCTTCAAGGGCGTCGACGCCGACGGCAAGACGCGCGTCGACCTCCTCACCAAATTCCTGCAAGCAAAAGTCGACAACCCGGACATCGTCGACGACCGCGCCGTGCTGGGCCTGACACTGAGCATGGTCAACGCAGGGTCCGGCACCGTGGCCACGACGCTCGCCGCCACGTTCTACTTCCTGCTGAAATACCCGGCCGTGATGAAGGCGTTGGTGGAAGAAACCGATGCGCATTTCGAGCCACTCGCAGACGCAAGCAGTGGTGTTGGATTCCATGCCTCCGTCGTCCCCTTCGCGGACTCGCAAAAGTTACCCCTCCTCGACGCCGTGCTCAAGGAGATCTTCCGCCTCTGGCCGGGCTTGGGAATGCAGCTGATCGAGCGCCTCACGCCGCCCGAAGGAGCGCACATCCTGGGCGAGTACATCCCCGGCGGCATCATCGTGAGCTGCAACGCGTGGATCATGCACCGCCACAAGCCGACCTACGGGGACGACGTGGAAGTCTTTCGGCCGCAGCGGTGGCTGGACGCGTCGCCGGAGCAACTGGCCGCCATGAACAAGGCGCTGCTGGTGTGGGGCGCCGGGCCGAACACGTGCATTGGGAAGAATATTGCGTTTCTCGAGCTGTTCAAGGTGATTCCGTCGGTGTTGCGTGTTTTCACGGTGAGTTTTGCCCTACTGTTCGCGTTGGTTGCGTTTGCTTTTCCGGTGGGCGTGGTTGCGAACGTGAAGTCGAGCCCGGACCGAACCCGAAAGCGAAGTCACATTTGGAACCAATATGCGAGGAAACTGTGTTGTGTTGTGCTTCGACACGGCGGGCCCAACATCACATCATCAGGCACGAAGAAGCAGACGCACGAATTTAGGGTCTCACACGGTGGTCCGACATGTCTAAGTGTCTGGCACCGACTTGCTCGGCCGGGCGATCGACATCATGCTCCCGTGTCCGTGTTTTGTCGAGTTGTTGTGTTTCGTTGTCATGTCGTCTTGTCATCATTCTTCGATGCTACTGACTGCCTCTTGCTGGCTCTCGCTGACTTGTGCTTCTCCTTGTGTAGCTCGAGCTCGCCGATCCGACAAAGGACTGGAAGGTGTTCAACCTGGGTGATCCGGAGCCGTCGGAGTTTTTCGTGAGGTTCAGGCCGCGGTACCGGAAAGCATGAGCGATGAGGCGGAAGAAGGGCTGTGAGGCTTGACGCGCGGGAGCACCGGCAGGGAGAGCAGTCGATGCCTAGGTAGATATTTGTATACTCAGGAGTACCTGATACGGTATACGGTATGATATGACATTGCTGTCTATGATAGATGTTAGATATGTATCAGGATTAGCCTGGCTTCAGCTTACCCATACGGCCTAATTAACCTGACTATGCACGGATGAATGAGTGGTGGAGTGTTGTTCCGGACAGTAATATGGCTTGGCCTCGGTGTCTCACCGCGCCTGCCATCTGGGTATAATCATATATGTATACGAAACGGCTCATTGACAACGGCCGGTTTCATCCAAGCCGTAGCCACGCCGGTCTTTCTAGGTGAGCAAGTGATGATGAGTCGCTGGACCTCTAAATTGCAAATTATATCTGAACACTTACGGAGTACTTCTTCTCACCAGCTGATCATATGGTGGACATTGACTTCTTTCTCTTCTTCTCACCAGCCAACCATACCTCACACTGACGTCTTCCTCTCACTGCGCTGCCCCCCGGTTGTACGCAAACGAGTGGCTGCTCAGGAACTCGAGATCGCCATCAAGCATGAACTCGCCCAACTCCATCCCCAGCGGCGACTGCTTGTTACTCGGAATCATGCCGTTGAACATGCCCACCGCGGGATTCGTATGAAGGAGCGCGTAATCGCCCGCTTGAGCGGCCATCTGGGGATACGGATTTTGGGGCCCCTGGCCCTGATTCTGCCGAAACGGGCCTTGCCAGTCGTTTGGCTGGGGGACGAGGCCCTGGGCAATAGCTGGGATACGTCTCAGTGAGAACACAACGGCGTGGAAGAGCGCTGTGTCTTACCTAAAGCGTGGACCACCTGCACGAACTGTTCTAGGTAGTCTCGACACCGCGCAATCATGCGGTTGTCGTTGTCGAGATGCCGTAAAGCCTCGATCGCCATGCCGAGATGGAGAGTCATGTCCTCGGTCGAGTCGGGCAGGGACATGCTTGGGTCGTTGCTGGACGCCTTCTGATCGACTTGGACGAGGACGCAAGCTCCTAATACCAGGGCTGCGTTGAAGGCTATGGATGGCATGTGGTTAGATGCAGTCACTAAAGCGGGAGAGCAGCACCTACTGTAGTATAGTGAGAACCACCAGGCGCCTAACAAACCCCATTTCGCACGGCCAGAGGCGGATTGCAACGCGTTGAGAACAAGACAGATGATCTCCTTGGCTGATCTGATCGCAATCTGGATGTGGATTGTGCCGATCTGTTGCAGCAGGGAGAAATCCTGGTTGTCGACCGGGTTGTTCAGACCCTCAAGGAATTTCACCAGCACTGGGCGATGGAGAAGGATGCGGACATTCGTATACCTCAGCGTCAGGATGAATCGGAGCCGAAGTTGCCGCCATGCATTGTCGGTCGAGGTCTCTGCCGAGGGCAGCCGCTCGGGCATTATATCTTGAGTGGCAATGAGTCTCATGTGTGCCGGCAGGGCTCGTTGCCATTCCGAGAGCTGGTTCTCAATCTTGTAGACCAGGGCCACGGTGTCGACGGCATTGGCTTGGAACGAGCACGCCAGGTTCTGCCCGTACAGGGTATCGATGGTGGTGCACATTACTTTGTACAAAGTGCTGCGATCGGAAAGAGTCAGTTTTGGGATCGCTAAGAGGCTCTTCGACTTACGCGGTGCCATTGAAGAAAGCGACGCTCAATGATTCTTTCCTGTCCCACGACTCTTTCCTATCAGCAGCTGTGATCCCACCATTGAGCACGGAAAATGCAACGGGCAGGTCAAGCTGGACATAGCTGTCAGGGATAGATGCCGGTCTTCCGAAAGTCATGCTCAAGGTACGATCCAGCATGATGCAGCCAAACCATGTCCGTTTCCGGATCTCCTGCTCGATCGCGGGAAATTCCCTCCCCAAGTCACTTGAATGGAGTCCGATCTGGAAGGCAGCTCGGACGGCCAGGCCGTGCATCTTCCATGTTTGCACGGACTTCTGCGTCCCTTGGAGGTATTGGCCCATGAGGAGGAGAAGTATCACTGCGTACAATTAGCTTTAGACAGTCAACAGATCGAGGGGATCCTAACCGAGCTCGACACTGGCGCCTGCCCCATTCTGCGGCTTCTCATTGAACAGTCCGTAAGCCCTCTTATAGTACATCTCCGACTCGGCATCGGCTCTGAAAATAGTCGAGTCGACACTTCCGGGAGTGGTGCTGGTGTCTCGCGCATGGACAGCGGCATGCGCAAAGACCATGTTAAGCAAAGCCAGCCACGTCCGCCTGACGCCTCTGAACTCGTCCTTGCTCATCTGCTCGAAGGTTGCCATGAACGACGGCTCGTGGATGTAGGGAAACAATACGCCAGTGTTACTAAAGTACCACGCCAGGAGTTGTCGAGCCACGGAATCTGTGGGCAGCGCATAAATGTTGACTTTTTCATGCATATGATCGTGATGCGTAGGAGCCGGTGATGCTGGCCTAGACGCATTGACGAATCCTCCAGTATATCCGACCGAGTTGCGTTCTGCAGGGGACGGTCTCCATGGCTGGCTGTCGTTCGTCAGCCTCGCCACAGCTCGCGACACGTTTCGGAGGAAGGCGATGTTGGACGAAGGACCGAAGAAGGCGCAGTCTTCTTCCTCGGCAAAAGTGACTGCGCCCATTCCGTCGATAGGGTCTTCAGTGGTCTCGGCATCATCCACGCTGTCATCCCGCACGCACGCAGTGTCCAGCTGAGCTGTATGGCCGGACGTGCCATTGGTCAGTCCGGTTGAACCAGTCGCAGCAGGAGCGTCGGCATGTTGAGCGACGCCGGCGTGGTCGCGGCTCTCAAGCGCTGAGAGGCGGTCTTCCGCCAATTTCAGTCGGTCCTCGATTGACGACAAGTATCTGGCGGACGAATCAGCAAGCGGGAAAAATGCGAAATGCCATGGCCGACGGGCCAACTTACTCCTTGCCGACAATGATATTCGAGTACGAGGAGGATTGCTGGTAGACACACTCGAAGCCGAGCTCGATGCACAGTGAGCACTTGGGTCGGGCGCCGTCGCACTGATGATCCCCAGCCAGTTAGCGCCACGTACTCCAATGTGAGTGCCAGGGAGTGGTGATGGTGGCCTACACGTGATTTCCGCCCTCGACAGACGGTGCAAGCCAGCGCAACGCGTCGTCGTTTGCTGGGCGGATCGGTGTTCTCAGACAGCTGCTCCGCCCCGGACGTGCCGTTCTTGGATAGGGTCCATTCCGGCTCAAGGGGGCTGTGGCGACGCACCTGGCTCCTGCCGTTGTGCACGGCGGAGTGCAGCTCGTCCGACCGATCAGTCGGATAGGTGTTCTGGCGGATCATGCTTGCGCGTTGACAAGTCGCATCACCTGGCGGGAAGCTTGACCGCGCAAGCGACGGGGGGAGTTGTAGGAAGGCAGGAGATGGCAGCTGTGAGACTCTGGTCGGTTCAGCCTCCCGGAAGCTCAGCCCAAGGATGATACTGGCGCCTCAAGCGCTGTCAATCGGGTTTCTTCCCCGAGTCTCGAGTCTCCAACGGGGCCACGACGGTCGGCTGCCTGTGTGACCCACGAACAGCTTGCGGCTCTGCGGCGGCGCTTGAAATTGTTCGGCCGACTGCGATGCTTTCCTGATGGTAATCCCAAGGATATCCACGGGATATGATAAAGTCGATTACCGCCACTCATCAAGAACGATCGAAGACATTTAGACGTCGCGTTTAACTTGGGGGCATGCGGGGTACACGCTCTAGTTTGCTTCAGCCCAAGCAGTTAGCAGAGACTTGTTAGTAGTGGTTAGATTCGGAACCATGCCGACACTTACCCGTGAGTTGGGGAGATAGAGCTGAGACGCAGGCAAGTCACTGTGCCGTGGAGACATCATAGAACATGATTTGACCATAAGGAACATCGATAATGACCCTACTCGATGACGGCGTGGTGAGTGTGTGCTGAGTGTGTGCTGAGTGCACGGTGAACGAAAACCGACTCCAACCTCACTCGACCTTCACCGTAGCGTGTCCCGGTCGTTACAGTCAACATTGGACGAATGCTTGAAGAGCCTCTTCCTTGCTCTTCTCATTCAACATCTCCTCTGGTTACATCTTTGGCTCATGCACCTCAGCTCTCGATACATAGGTAGGCGATCTCAACTCTGTTCTGCCCATAAACACTGTAACCTCGGAAGACCAGCGCATCTTTAAGCTATCGGGCATAGAGTATCAATGGTCGAGGACAGGGCAAGGTCTTGACTGTTGTTCTCCAACATACACGGACTATGTGTCAAAGATGCAACAGCTTCAATCTCACCCCGCAACCTCAAGCACAGACGTAACTACCCTCTGCCACCGCATCACCGCCCCGATACCGTGACCTCAGCGGGAAAGGACACAGATTCCGCGTCTTCGTCACGACAGCCCCATCATCTCTCACGCTCTGGATCCTCGCGTCCAGCACATCCGGCGCGATCCCGTTCTCAACCCACGCCACCACCGCGGCAAGGGGATCGACGGGCACAGCGCCTGGTGATGCGCCAGTCAATGCACCTGCTCCGCAATGATCGACTCCCGGGGCGAGAAACGTGCGATAGAAGCCCGCCACTGAGGACGCATTGCCACGCCCGACGACCCGTTCAACCATGCGATGGTACTCCACGGTCCCAGCTGGGAAGATGAGCTGATCGGCCTCGCCATGCCCGACGATGGCTTTCCCTCCCGCGGCCCGAAAACGCGACAAATCGGGGTTATAGCCTCCGATGAGGGCGCCGTATTCGCGCTGCGATGCGTTGAACAGCTGCGCGAACGAGGCGTAGCCTACGGTTGTTGTGTCGAAGCCGGGGTCCTTTTTCACAAAATATCTGATCCATGCGTCGTTGACGAAGAAAGGGTATCCGATGGTGTTGCCGTCGCTGTCTGTTGTCGTGTTGGCGAGACTGTCCAGCGCGGCTCCGGCGTTCAGGGCGTATTTGTGTGTGACTGCCAGTCCTTTCGGGCCGGCGACGATCTTGGCTAGCATAGAGGCAATCTTGGGAGTGACTGTTTCTTTTTGCCCGTCCTCGCATTGAAAGTCCCACCCGACCATTGTGTAAGGATCGAACTTACACGACCGGGGGTTTGAAATGATGCCGTCGGTGAGGCCGTCTAGGGAATCGCACGCCGATATGCTCGCGTTCGTGAAGGCCTGCAGCAAGCACCTGCCAGAGTGGAACCCCTCTTCCCGCATGACGACTTGAGGCCACTGTTCCGCAATGACATACCTTGCCCAGTCGATGGCGGGCGCCCCTGCGACAATCCCGTCAAAGTCTTCTGGGTGGGTCTGCGCGGCCATCAGGCCTTGTCTTCCGCCCGTGGAGCAGCCGTTCCAGTACGAATGATGTGGTTTCTTGCCGTAGTACTGTGTTGCAATGGCTTTGCCGGCCACTGCCATGTCGTGGACGGACCTCGACGCAAAGTTCAGCAGGAGGTCGCTGTTCACGTTGCCCTGTGCATCCAGAGCCCATGCCGCTGGAGAGTAAGGATCGCCTGCCAGTCCTGCATCGGTCGAAGCGGCAGCGTAGCCCAGTGCCACCACGGGAGCAAGACTGAGCTCAAAGAACCCTGCCGCGTAGCCGCTGCCGCCGGTCCCGAGAAAGCGTCCGTTCCATCCAGCGGAGGGCAACCACACTTTGACCTTGACGGTATCATTGGAGCTCTGATGCGAGAGGACGACATCGACATTGCAGATGTCGAGTCCGGTTACGTTGATGTTTAGGAGCGGAGGACTCGCGAGCACCGACGTGTTCGGCAAATGCTGCGATTGTATTGATATCACAGTCGCGCCGGGGATGGTTGGCTTCGTTAGGCGATCGCACGGGGTGCTGTCGACGATACCTGTCGCACCTTTTAGGAAATAAAAGCACGCGAACACCGCGGCAAGATGTTGCGAAGTTCTTGTTAGGCTCGACATTCTGGCGAGCTGAATCGATAGCCGTGATTTCCAGCCCGAGCAGAGAGAGTGCTTGTTCTGTAACTTCTGTAGTGAGAACATCCCTAATCAGGACGTGTCCTTCTTATATCACAGTTGTAAGCTCGAGCCAACGCTGCTGCCAGTCGACCACACCGTCGTTGCAGCTGGGCGGTTTCGCGGGCTGCGGTCCCAGCCTTCCACGCCATGGATGCCGTAAATATTGATTCAGGTTGATGTACAAGCCTAAATATAGCTAGTCACAATATCATTTCTGAACCAGAGTTGCCCGGATGTTGGAATCTCGACAAGCAGCGAGGTTTGTTGGTATAGATCTCGTTCGTGTGAGATTTTGACACTGGCGGTTTGATATCGGGGCGCTGACATAACGTGGCGAGGGCAACTGAACGCCAGGGCTTACACGAAATGGCCTAGTCAAGACCGCCAGTTAATCCCATAGTGATCGGTGTCCGTGCTGCTGGCCATATCGAGGACCCTTAGGTAAACTAATTCGTGTGCTGGCTGATGGACACGATCAAATACCCACATATGAGTAGGTATGGTACACCCTCGTCGAGAGGGGTGGTCATGGTTGGGGGTGTTGAACTTCGGCTAAACCACAGCCTGCGGACCAGCCGGAGCTGTTTGCTGTGTCTTTCCTGACTTGATGAACAGCGCAAAGTTGGAGCAGCATCCAGCATGGCCAGTGGGAAACATTTATTGGTCTCCGCCTTAATATAGGAAATGGAAAACAGAGTGTCACTTTTGAAATATTGACGTATTCTAGCGACGGGGCGGGACTAGAAATCACCTAGGTGTCCAGTGCGCGGCCTATCAGGGTAACAGGCACAGGTTCTAGGCGCGCTTACTTAAGACTTCGGCAGTCTCTCTTCTGGAAGGAAGGAGTTCCGAGCCCCAAAGGCTCCGAGTTAGAGACACAGTCGTCGCCCGAGCTGCTAAACCTTCGCCCGGAAGATCAACTACAGGGCGTCGGCCACCCTGTTCTGCCACGCAGCCACCCGAATGAACGAGATGGCTAAACCAACTGTCGCGAGAAAGACATTCGAAAATCTATGCGTCTACTCTATCTTTCCGCCGTGGTCTAACCATGCAGATGTTGTTTCAGACACAACTCCACGTCTTCCACTTTGGTATTGGCGTCCAACAGCATCAGAATGTGCTGATCAGGACGGACAAGCAGACCTCCTCCATCCAGCAAGCCAGCACCTTTCGACCACTGTTGCCCAGCCTCTCCCACGACGTCGAAATCCTTTCGTGGTACGCATGTCTTGACCCCCGGAACCTCAAATCGCCCAATGAGCGTGAATCTGTCGAACGCGCACAGGTCCAGGGTACTGTATTGACGTAATTCGACGTCTTTCGGCGAGAACTCTTCCACATACGAGACATCAACCGGCTTCAGCGCGCTGCGTGGCAGCCGTACCCAAGCATGCGGCAGCCTTGCACCAACCTGGAACTTCGGCGTATACCTCGAGGCGTGTGGCGGGACCGTGTTACTGCCGTACACATACCCTATGTGGAGTTCAAGCTATCGACTAGTCAGCGTCATTCATCTTAGAAGAGCCTATGATGTTGGCACGTTGTCAAAGTGTTCTCTTTGTCCCTCAACGCCCAACGCGATGGCTTTCAATTTCTCCGGATCCTTGATGTTCGCATATAGGTTTCTTCTAGCCGTCACCACGTCCTCACCGATTCCCAGTGTTTTGAGCAGGGCAAAGATCTGCTTCCCATTTTTCACGCTTTGCATTGAGTTGACGATTGCGACAGGTCGTCTTTCTGTCTCGTAAGTATCAAGGAGACTGTCTTCCGCCTGGCCTTTGAGGACGAATGCAATCTTGTAGGCTAGATTGTGGGCATCAGCCAAACCGGCTACTCTATTGTTAGTACGGAGAGCCTGCAACAGGACAAACTTGCCCATGTGGCTCGGTTAGGGAAGCACAGGTTCCAGAGAACACTCACAGTTGAGCCCAAGACCACCGGTTGGCGGGAATGAATGAGCGGCATCTCCAGCTCTGACTTGTTGTTAGGCGGCTGAATATACCTTGCATAATGCAACTTACAAGAAGACGTTTCCTTTTCTGTACGACCTTGCCACCTTTCGGCTGAGCAGCCACGGTCGGTACGAAAGAATGTCGAGGGGGACATCTACCCCAAGCGCACTAACGACGACCTTGCGGCACAGCTCTTGATTCCAGCTCTCGACCGGGTGCAGGTTAGGCTGGAGCAATGCGTCAGACAATAGCCCCACCATATTTGGCAGTAACTGACATTGAAGTTGCTGATCAAGACCGCATTCCCAGAAAGCTCATATGCAATGATGAATCTGCGCCGTTGTCAGCATCCCTACACTGTATCTCGAGAGCGCAGGATATGGGATTCCTTACCCCGAGGCCAGGGGATCCATTATCCAATGTAGCATACCAACTCGTTCTCCTACGATAGGTCGAAGATCGGCCTTGAAGTGGATGGTCATCATAGTCTCATCTGCGGCCCCGTCAGTCTCGACTGCTGGCTCGTTAGGATGCTCTTACACGAATCTTCTCCATCACTCTCGATCCCCAAGATCGTGCGTACCCTACTTCTTGCACCGTCACAAGCGATAAGGTATCTCGATCTTATCTGGAATCGGAGTCCGGTAGCTCCTTCCTCCACCGTTGTTGTCACTCCTTCCGGGTCCTGCGACGTGAGGAGCAGATTCGGGGATTCAGAGGTGCTGTCGCACACGGACCTGTTCTAATGATACGAAGGAGACACCCTTGCGGAGATCCACCCCAGGATCCTTGACGAGTACATCCGTGACGAATTCCTCGAACACTGGCTGCGGGATATTGAGGATCATCTTCGCTCATCAGTCACAAGTCGGTAATGGACACGGTGGGTGACAGACCTCTGGAGTATGTTCCAGCACGTCAACGTCCATACGCTCGTACGGTAGGACTCCCACTTGTTGACCACTGAGATTCGTAAGGAAGTTGACCCAGAATGCATCACGTCTCCTCGTTCCTAGCTGACGTATCTTCTTCACGTCCAGGTGAAATTGTCGCAACAGCTCGAGAGATCGAGGTGAGAGTGCATGCGCTTTGGGCGCTCCAAGTCTCTCGGGGTATCTCTCTACTAGCAGACATCTCACTTATATGGTCAGTTGCGAGACCTCCTCTGTAGAGCCTGGGTGTACTTGCCTCCGAGGTGGGACAAGAGATGGGCTTGAGTCAGGCCTGTGGGCCCGCCACCGATAATCACGACTGGGACACTGCAAGAGGTCTCCACCGACACAGCAAGAGGCTGATTGAGGCCGGCATTGGTTTGGGGACTGAACAAGGAGATGCCCATATCAGGAACTGAGTTGTCACGAGGCAGCGAGCGGTGAGGTTCGATTCGTTTTCATTGAGAATGTCCAACAGTGGTAGCTCGAGTTCCCTTTAACACCCAAGCGTACACACGGGGAATTCGTGGGGAGAATTACTGTACCAGCGGAGAAGTAAACTAAGTTTTGGTGGAGACCTGTGCCGGCGTCAGCGCAGAAGCGGCGGAGAAAACGGAGGTGCGCGCACGGGGCCATTCCACCAGAATACTCCGTACTGACCTTGCAGAGGCTCAAGAATAAGCGTTCATTGGTGCTTTGCAGTCTTGTGTAGAACCTCCAGATGGCCGCTTATCTCAGTCGAGTGTGTCTAAGTATAGCGTAGCGATAGTTCTTCGGAACACGGTGCATCTCGGACGAAACACCCCAGAGCTCCTCGAGAGTCTTCAGAGTCCTCGAGAAAAGGTTCATGTCGTACAGGAGATTTATGCACCTCCCGCGCTTATGCAACCTCGCATTGAGGTAGTGTCGAACCTCATAGTCAGGGTCGGATTTCTCGTTGTCTAGAGCCGTGTCAAGCTCGATGAGGACGACACTGTCCCAACTTTCAATGTCTGGGAGACTGACGGTCGAAACACCGCCCAGGAGGAACGCGGAGTACACCATGGCGGCGCTGAAAACTGCTATGGGTACATGTATCCTTTGCGTTTGTACAATTGGGAGATTCTGTAATAATTATGCCGTAGATGCTGAAGGCGTGGAGCAGCCCAAGGCGTGCTCGACTGGTAGAGACCCAGAAAGATAGACCCAATGGTGGCACTCTCCGGGCTCCGATGATGTGCCGGTTGATATTGTACTTCTGAAACAATGCTCGACACATAGCATTCAGGTCCACAACCATATGCAGGCAGATATTATGCCACCGTAACAGGGCGAGGTCTTTTTCAACAGAGGAGAGAGACCTGCTTCGAGCCACGAACGCGTGCGATTTTGCCAAAGCACGGGAAATATCACGTTCGGAGGGTATTCCAATCACCTCTGGGGCAGATGCTATTCGCTCCGCTGATAAGGCCTTGATACCCTCGAGTAATACCGAGGCTGTGAACGAGGAAAGCAAGGTTCCCAGATGGCGGACGTGCACAGTCTCGGAGAAGAGAGAACAGAACATCTCGGAAAAACGCCGTGGTCGCTTTTCCGGTTCAACATTTCCGTTCTCCAAGTCACGGCGTCGTGAGCGCTGAATACGGCATCGCTTGCAGGTACTGGTAGGCAGTGTGATGTGTGTCGTTGGGAGGGAGTGCTTGTGCAGTCTGAAAGCTGGGCGTCAAGAACATAATGGTCTTGAGTTGTGTTAGGCAGATCGATATAGAAATGGCAACAGCAAAGATCATCTCAACAACCACACTCTTGTTAGAGACGTGCTCACCAAGCAAGGCCAGGAGCTGGGTCTCTCTCGCGGCCCACATTCTCCAGTCTTCGCCAAGTTCGTCCTTAGTTGCAGAGGGGTCCGATGCAGGAACCCCACAGTCTTTCTCGATTTCAAGATCGAACATGCCGGTTTCATGTGCCCAGAAAAACCCAAGACTGTGAAACACTTGTGCTGTCTTGCGGAGTTTAATGTTCTGCACCTTCAGCATCATGTCATCAGAAAGGAGTGACTTTCTACTCGGAAAAGGGTTGCATAGACTTGACCCAGTAAAGCCGTGAGAACAAGTTGTATACCAGGACAGATATCGTAGGGGCCACGATGTTGGATGTGGCTCGACCACTCGATCAGTAGTCAAAATCTCAGGGAATGTCGCACATTGCGCTAACTACGCTCACCGACGTATCCACAGCAGTGTGCGCCAAGCGCCACGGGACCTCGCCCTTTCAGGGATTAGCTGTAGAACTTACAGAAGTCACATCTCGCACCTTTGCTATGCAGTCCTTGTTGCTCATAAACAAGGATCCAAGGGCAATCGCATTGAGCAGTAACGCAGAAGTCCATTCTTTGAAAACGAACCTTGAGCGGTGGACAGCAGGAAAGTTCGGGGCGAATTGGGTGAAGAACATGTGGAGGCAGCCGTCAAGGAAAACACTGGTCAGACCCAGATTCTGGGCGGTGGACGTAACGTCGCCAGACCTGTAGCGTGATTGGTGTTTCAGGTTTGGGGAACCGACCTACCGTGGAGTTGATGAAGAGGCGTGTGTACTGCATGATTCCCACCATGCAGATGGTCTTGATTCGAGTCGAAGGTTAAACATGAAGCGACTGGGTCTGACTCGAGGTCGGATGCAGCGCAGACAATGGACTGGGAAGGGAGGACTTGCAGGTTGGGGAGCGTGGTAAACTCGGCAGAAAGAATCGAGTTGACGAGACCTTCAGAATCTGGCCAGTTCAAGGGGCGGAGAGGCTCATGGTCCAGCTGTGTGCCCTCTGCCACCTCTTGATATACCGAGTTTGAAGCATCACAATTTCGCATTGGCGACAACCTGTCGTCCGTCGATCTCCTAGCCCCGGATTGCGATTTAGGTCGAACATTTCTGATTCGAATATCTTGTAGGGCAGATTGAGTGTTCAGGGATTCTCCAGTGTGTAGTCTACTGTGACGCGAAGACTGTCGAGCCTCGTGAACTGATTCCTGCAAGTGTCACAGACGTATGGCCGAGATCCTGTATCTGAAGACCATCAGCAGCAAATACAGGGGCCCGACGCCATACTCACAGGATCGTTCATGCCTCTACAGAAGAATGGCTGAGCCTCACCGTCCACCCTAGGGAACGGAACTTACGATGAGATGCTCTTTCTTGCCATAGGTCTTACCACACCTAGGGCACACATGTCTCCGGTCCGCCTTGGTCGTGGACAAGTTCGAACCAGCTGGAAAGGCCAGATGCGGGGACGTTTTGGCGTCTTCGAGCGACAGAGGAACAAGAGACCAGAGAAGGAAAGAAGTGCAGGCGGCGGGAAAATTGAGAGAAACGCATCTCCCGGGTCAAGGTTGATGCAATGTTCTTCGCGCTTCCCCGCTATTGTCAGTGACGCGGGTGACCATTAGCAGAGCAGCCAGGACATGATTATATGAAGAGGCCGTGAGGTGATATGCGTCCTCAGGGGTGAGTCCGTGTCCCCGTTCTACCACCTGGTATGTGTTATGGGGAGCGACCGTTGCCGTGTCGGTACTGCTGTCCCAGCGCGCTGTGAATCGTCGCTGCGAAGTTTTGGATATTCGATGCGTACGGCGGGCTCTTCCGTCACACGAACACGACACCTTTCTAGAGAACTCGGTCCTATTCACTGACCCTTCGGAGTACAACCCCCCCTTCTCCACCACCTGATCCAGCCTCGAGCTCAGCAACCTCGAATTGGTTCTTACAACGCCTCTTTCGATTCTCTGTCATGCCTGAAGGGCCCTGTCGACAAAGTTCGGCAATTTGGGTCATCTTTCTAGAATTGATCACAACTTCACCTTCCTTGCGGCATGCTGTATTCTTTGCCAGCCCTGCAAGGTGGTCGTCTCTGTCCAGGGGAACCAGGAGCTCGTCTGGCACACATGATGGCGGTACCCGGCTAGTAGAGCACCGGATTGTTCGATGTAGCTACCGACCTCATCAACGGCATGTCAGCAGTGCAGAGCTTTTATGCAGGAAATCCGACAGTCGGAGTTTGAACAACATGACACTGGAATCTTTTCCTCGGCAAAATCCCCTTTTCCCAAATGGAGAGCTCGGTTACATCGCTACGGCGTAACCTTGACTGTTTCCGGCATGGCAAACGAAAGAGATCCGCCATTCCTCCGCCAATAAAGGACGAGATCTCCTCTTTGTCTGCATAAGGAGGGATAATGTTGCACAACGCTGCATACAACGTGGGTCTCTGTTGCTGCGTCGGTGCTCGCTCCGGTTGAGGCCATCCACGCCGCATGGACAAGCATTTTCTGCCCTACCTTAAATCACTTTCGTTGCTGCTTCACTTTCTTGTCATCTTGTAACACACCACGATGAGACAACGTCTCCAAGTCGGACTATAGCCGTTCAGCCACCCATTGAAACATGGCTGACAACAAAGAAGTCGCTGACGAGGCGCCTCCAGCCACAGATTTCATCGTGGACTGGGATGGCGAGGGCGACCCCGAGAATCCTCTCAATTGGCCGTCGCGGCGCAAGGCTGCCAACATTGCCCTTCTCTCTTGCCTGACCTTTGTCACGTAAGTTGTGTGCTTATAAGTCATGTGTATGGGTGGAATTGACGCGTGCCTCAGGCCCCTGGCAAGCAGCATGTTTGCCCCAGGTATCCCCAGTGTCATGGAAGACTTCAACAGCTCCAGCGCTATCCTGGCCTCATTCGTGGTCTCGGTCTACCTTATAGGCTACGCGTTTGGACCTTTGGTCTGCGCTCCATTATCGGAAATTTATGGACGATGGCCCATTTATCAAACGACTAACGTGCTATTCATCATCTTTACCATCGCTTGTGCAGTCGCGCCTTCATTGGACAGTCTCATCGGCTTCCGCTTCTTGGCCGGTGCCGCGGGCTCGGCTCCTTTGGTACTGGGAGGAGGCAGTGTGGCGGATATGTACACGCGTGAAGAACGTGGGTCGAAGATGGCTGTTTTCTCAATCGGTCCATTGATTGGCCCTGTTGCAGGTAAGAATTGCAACATTTGGATCTTGCATCTGGATCCAGCTAACAGCGGCAACCAGGTCCCGTGGCAGGTGCCTTCCTCTCTCAAGGTGAGTTCCCTAGACACACTTCAGGAAGTCATTGATGCATCGTCACAACCCGAGGAAGCTGACCAAGGTTCGCAGACGTTGGTTGGCGATGGGTATTCTGGGTGATCACTATCGCGGCACGTATAAAACATCCTGCCTACCGCAGTGGCCAGCTAACATGCTCAAGGCCGGGATCGTGACAATCCTCTGCCTCCTCTTTATGAAAGAATCCTACGCCCCAGTACTCCTTGAGCGCAAGGCTGCAAAACTCCGCAAATCGACGGGCAATCTACAGTATCGTTCAAAGATGTCGTCCGGAGACGATCCTCGCACGGCATTGGTAAAAGCTCTGATCCGCCCAACCAAGATGTTTTTCCTGTCCCCAATCGTCTTCATCTTTGTGGTATGTTATTAGTGCCTTGAAGCTTGCGCACATGAGCGAGGATGCTGAAAAAGGGGCACAGGTCTACGTCTCCATTATCTATGGCTACCTGTACCTCCTCTTCACCACCATCACCGAAATCTACGAAGGGACATATGGCTTCAACACAGGTCTGGCTGGTCTGTCGTATCTCGGCATCGGTGTGGGCATGTTTCTTGGTCTTGGCATTTTTGGCGCAACGAGTGACAAGCGCATCCAAGCGAAGAAAGCCAAAGGTGATGTATCGCCGGAGATTCGACTCGAAGGGCTGATTCCCGCGGCAATTTGCATTCCTGTTGGGCTTTTCTGGTATGGTTGGTCGGCAGAGAAGCAGATCCACTGGATTATGCCCATCATTGGCACAGGTTGGGTTGGATTGGGCTTAATCGGCATTTTTGTGAGTCTTGGACGATCTCCCTATTCCTTACATTCTACTAATGATGAAAACTATAGTTGGCTGTGCAGACGTACCTGGTCGATTGTTACCCCTTGTTCGCTGCAAGTGTTACTGCCGCAAACACCGTCGTGCGGTCACTTGTAGGTGCTTTTCTCCCACTTGCAGGACGACCGTTGTACTCCAGTCTCGGTCTCGGATGGGGCAATTCGGTACTAGGCTTCATTGCGCTGGCGATGGTGCCACTACCGTTTGTGTTTATGAAATTTGGCGCTAGGCTACGAACGCATCCACGGTTCCAAGTCAACTTTTGAAGAGACGACAATCTGAAATGAGAGGCCCTATAAATGCGGCATCAAGGCAGGATGAGAAGTAGAATAGTCATACACGAGGGAAGCGACACATTGGACGAGGCCAGGAGCTGTCAGTATGCAACTCGTACTCCGGTCTTTATTCCAATCCCAGAACTTGTCCTCAGGTCCCTGGTTTCGAGCCACCAATAGTCATGTTTTCATCAATATCCGGGAGGTCCACGTCACGTCGGGAGCGACTGAACTGGCCGGTTGAGCAGTGTCCTGGGCAGTGCAAGGCCGGCTCAATCTAGGATTGTTACCTTCCTGAGACCACACAACAGCTTCCTCCCTGTTCTTCTGCTAGGATCATTGACATCCGACAGCCTCTCTGTCTCAACCGCCACCAGTCGACCCATGTGCGAAATCCACCATCCCTGGATCCGGACGGTCACTGGCGTCCCCCCCACCCGGCAGGGGCTGCACCGCAGGAACCTTGCCCTCCTGAGTTCGAAGGAAGTCATCGTACTCATCCCTCGCTGGGCCAAAGTCCACGCCACACGTCCAGGCCCAGTACTTCGAGAGCGCATACCACATGTAGCTGTCTGCATTGTTGAGTGTCGGGTAGGATCCAAAGTCGGCGGGATTGCCAAGCGCTCTTTCCTTCAGTCGCTTCGCATTATACGCGCCATATCCGCTAACAGGGTCTGTACCGGCGAAGTCTCCGATCTGTCGGAGTCCAAAAGCGGGCAACACAGCGATGAAGTCTTGCCATTGCGGGAGGTCCTGAAGCAGCCACGACCAGTGTATCTACCTTGATATCAGCATCGGGAGACACGGACATCAGATCCAGGGGAGAGGTGACAAGTGAAGGGAACGGAGGGGTAATTACCAGCTCATGCAGGATGAACGCCCCCGGGAAGATCATAAACTCGGTATCTACCCCACGATGTCAGCATGCCGAGGAAGATACGGGATCAAAGAGAACAGAAAGGGTGGCAAATGGCGGAGGGCCGTGGAGTCGATGAGTCCCCTCCCGTGATATGGAGATACAGACAGCTCCACCACGGCACAGGACCAACTCCACAAACTGTAACAGCCTCTGTACCGGTACTTACCGCGATCACCTAACCCCCGGCAACCATACCCAGCGTGGGGCGTGCCATCCACGTTCCTTGCCCACGGAGGGACAGCCAAGATCTCCGCCGCCAGAGGATACTCCAGCACAGCGCCACACACCACGACCGTGGCGTCGGCGCGGTTCTCGCCGAACAGAAACGCCCCCGAGATGCCCCGATTTGCACAATAGTTTTTCCACGGGTCAGGTGTGTGCGGCGGCGTGCCCAGCGCGAGCGTCATCCGCCCGAACCGCGGCGACAGCCCCAGAATGTCTTGGTTGGAGAGCAGACTCTGGATGTCTTGGGCGTTGTACTGCGCGTCTAGGGGGATATTTGCGATGCGCTGGAAGATGCGTCTTACCAAGGATGCTGGTGGCGATGATGGACCGCTCGTCCCTCCGTCCTCGAAATACCGCTGATACACCGGATCGCAGGGTCCCTGGAACGTCAGGGCCGCAGCTCTGGCGAGGACGATGGCTTCTTTCCACGACTCGTGGAACCACTCGATGTAGGGCGCGGGGGCGATTGGTTCGATCCAGACGAACGGGCGGGCAGCGTGCGCGGGAAGCGGATAGCTCAGGAGGAGGAGGAGAAAGAAATGCAAAAGGGTGACCATTGCTGGCACGGAGTCGAGTCGGAGAAGTCTCTGAAATTGCCACTGGAATGCCATGGTGTCGCGCTCCTATCTCAGCTGGAGCTGAGCTATGCGATCGCTGGGTATTCCGGTACAGGCACAGGCGGAGGCAACGTTCAGGAGCAGATCAGACTCAAAATGCAAAGACCATCATCGATCTACAACCCAGACCTCAAGCGCGAAAAGAGCAGTGAATGATATACTGATTGTGGCGGGTCGTCTACCTGGCTTCACTATCAATATCACCCACCCTTCTTCACCTTATATCACCTCTCTTTAACGGCATAAGTAAAGATACAGTCCAGGAGCAGAGCAGTATCGGTTCCAAATATAGAGACCTTCATTGATCCCTGACCTCATTCGCGTTGAAGAGCAGTGCATGGTATGCTGATCGGGACGGGTCGTCTTCTCTATCTGGCTTCAATATTAAAGTCACCATCATTCACGCTCTTCACCTTGCACCGCCTTTCTTTACCGTTGAAAGCCCTCGTACAGTTCAGAAGCAGGCACAGGCACAGGCACAACCTAGGACCAGAGTGGCTCCGGATACAGAGACTCTCGTCGATATCGGACCTTAAGCGCTAAAGGAGCAGTTGACTGCCTAGCTTCACTATCGATATCACTTGCGTCACCTGTCTGCACCTCCAGACCTCGACCACAAGCACAGTTCAGGAGCATATTGGCTTTGAATGCAAGACCATCGTCAATCTCAATCGACGTGGGCGCCAAAAGAGCAGTGACTGAAATGACTGACCTTGACGGATGGATTGTCTACCTGGCTTCAATATTCATGTCACTAATACTTACGCTCTTCACCTTGCTTCCCTTTCTTCACCTTCAGTCACCTCTGGAATCGAACCAGATTTAAAAGCACTAGACAGGGCAAGGCACGGCCGACAAAGCGCAACATGAGACGACGCAAAGAGCAGATCGACTTTGAATGTAAAGACCATCATAGATCTCAGACATCATCACGCTGAAAGAGCAGGGACTGAGACGATAGATATGATCGGGACGGGTCAGCTGGCTAGAACGATATAAATATCACCAATCCTTCTTCACCTCGCGTCACCTCTTCATCTCTGTTGCGCTCTAGAACTGACCCACCCAAGCACTGAGTATTCAAGGGCGGACAAAGCCGAACACGACAAGACACAATGCAGGATGAAGCTTAATTCCATGCCCGGTGCCCCGACGGTGAGCACATCATTGATCTCATGTTGGTCGATGCCCATTGCCCATTGCGCGACAGCCATGGGGGCAAACATGATGGCCATTAGCGCCACACCGAGCTGTATGAAAGCACCATTCATGCACGCAGGAAATCATCACACAAAACTGCACACATGCACATACCATATGCACAGCGAACACATGGGCGGCAGCAGCAAACCATCATCGCCACCACCACCAACTCTACGAAGACACCGTCCACGCAGGGATGGAAAATAGCGCGGCGATGTCACTCACACATGGGCGGCGGCAGCAAACATGCACATACATATTCACGCGTGGTGGCAACGGCTTGGCTTATGGCAATCCGAGCACATATGTGTGGGCCTAGGGTCCATCGAGGGGACATCGCACCCTGCGATGGTTTGTTCAGGAGCCACTCTACATGTGCGAGTTGATGTGTGCAGGAAATAGCCTGTCTCTATGGTCCAGCTTGTGGCGGAGATACTCAATCTGTATGCATCAGCGTGTTTCGGAGATACTCTGTCTGTATGAATCACTTGTTCAGGAGAGAGTCTGTCTCCATGAGTTACGAACCAGCTCCGAGACCAATCCTGCAACCTCCTAGATCAAGGCCGAAATGCGGCGCAATCTTACATTTCTTGTTCTTTGCGTCGGTGGTGAGGTTACCACGTTCACTTTTACTTAAGCGACGCTTTGTTGCGCTCTTCGGCCTGCGCGAGCCGTTTCGATTCACCCTCGTTGCCTTCTCCATCCTGCGCAAGCTGCTTCGAATCACTCTTGGTGCCACGATCGCCTTCGTCGTCGGTTTCGTCGGTGTCGTAATCAACGCTGCCTGGAGAGGGCTGGTCGAAGCCAAGGCGAGCAGTCACGCCAATGTTCTCGCCATTATACCCAACACCCTGGTCCATACGAAGGTATTCATCAGCGGGGGTCTGCGCCCCCCTATATGGCCTCTGACACCTCCATGACCAGTAGTTGCTCAAGGCACTATCGACGGTTAGCGTTGCACTTCCCTGAGGAACTACGTCAAGACTTACTACCACATGTAGCTATCAGCATTGTTGACTGTGGGGTAATGTCCATTCTCCCCGGGATGGCTGACGGCTCGCTCCTTCAAAAGGCGAGCGTTGAATGCCCCGTAACCGTACTCGGGGGTTGCGCCTGGGGAGTCGAAATCCTTGATTCCGGTAAGGGACGACACGAACTGGTCCCATTCCGGCACGTCGTCTTTGTAAAGCTCTTCCCAGTGAATGAGCTCATGGAGCAGCCAACCCGCGACCTATTTCATCATTAGCACAGAGAGAAGAGACGGTCAGGTCAGTCCACACCACTTACAATCTCCATATATGCGTTGTCTCGGTCGAGCAGACCATCGCAAGTGTAACCCTCGCGCAGTCTTCCCTGCTCGTCATACGCCCACGGCCGAGGACGCAGAATCTCATCCAGTGTAGGGTAGTACAGCACACCGAGGCACAGGACTATGGTGGCTTCGCCTGTTTCTCTTCTGAAGCTCGCGTAAGCTCCGAAACCATCATCATCGGCGCAAATACCATCCTTGGGTAGCCAAGGCGGCTCTCCGAACGCGATCGTCAACTTCCAGAACTTTGGCGAAAGTCCCAAGAGGCTGCCGCCTTGCAGGGTCTGCACAGCAGTGGCTTCTGTCAGGGTCGCATCGAGCGGGATGTTGGCAAGTGTGTAGAAGATGTGCTTGACAAACAAAGCACTATCCGTCTCAAAATATCGTTCAAACGTTGGGTCGAGCCTGCAGTCCGCTTGAAAAGTGATGGCTGCCAGCCTAGCGAGCGTCAAACAATCCCTCCAGATCTCAGAAAAGCGAGATTTCAAGTCCTGGGGCAACGCCGGCTCTATCCAGAAAGTAGGACTTGCAGCGAACAGGGGTGGGCTGAACAAGAGAGAGGTCAAGGTCAGAAGGAGTGGTCCGAGGCTCTGCAGTTTCATCTTGTGTAGGTTGTGGTGTGGAAGCCCAGCAGGAAAGAAGCACAATGTTTAGGCCAGCTGTGGACTGGGACTTGAGGGACGCAGAGTGTTGATGTCGATGTTGTTTTGTTCATTCAGGTGTTGAGTGGTGTCGAATTGCGTGGTCGGTGTGTCGTGACAAAGTTGAGCTGTCGAATGGTGGTGGCAGTGGTGGTGAACCGATCCGAGACTCTGAAGAACATAGCAGGGCAATAGCGCGAAGTTCTTCACATCCAAGAGCGCAGGCACGACCGACAGCCTCGTTGAGAGCTTTCACTGGCAGTCACGGGCTGACCACCAGCCTCGTGATCCAAAGTGAAGGGCAAGCACGAGCTGTAAATGCCATTCTGTGTCGCCTGTGTGCGGAACAAACACAGGCAAACAGAGCCATGCACGAGGCGGCTTCCTGATCAGCTTTGCCGTGAATTACTAGGCACCTCGAACTTTTCCATTGCGATGGCAGCTGCCAATGATCGAAATCTTGTGTGGGGTTTTGCGAGACTGGCGGACGAGGCTGAGAGATCAGGAGCTGGCTTCAAGGGGAATTATGATGTCGGAGTCTGCGACAGGAGCCGGTGGTACAGTAGGTATCTTAGCTCAATCCTGCTTACGATACTTGCAGTGTCTGAGCATATTCCAGATCGCCATATCTCTTCAATAGATCTATTGTCGACCACCATGTTGATGTCAGCATAAGGCACAGGGTCTCCGAGCTCCTTGTTGATTTGACGTGAGGAAAACGCACTCGTACTTGCTTGGCTGTTCGCAAACAGAGAACAAGATCCCTGGTGCAACAGTGGCCGCTCCATAATGCGCTCCTTACATCCTCCACTTTCATCGCCAGCATCATAGCTTCGCGTCCCTGCCTCTCCTGGACGACCCGGCCTCCCTCTCAATGTCTCTGAACCACTCATACTCTTTGAGACTCTCCGGATTCCGCACCGTCGAACTCACCTTCACATCCGCCCCGCTGATTACTTTCTTCACCGCAATCTCGACCTTCTTCCCATTGACCGTATACGGGATAGCCTTGACCTGGAACACAAACTTCGGCACATGCCTAGGACTCAACCCCTCACGGATCGCTGACTTGAGTCTGTCCACCACCGCAGGCGTAAAGTCATTCTCGTGCCCTGGCGCCATGATGACGAACAGAAAGACGGTCTCGTCCTTGTCGTGCGGCCTTCTGCGGCCCACGCACAGCGTATCGGAGATCAGGGTGTTAAACTGCGGCCCCTCGACGATATTGTAGATCTCCGAACTTCCGAAACGGATGCCGCTCGGGTTGAGGACGCCGTCGCTGCGGCCTAGGATCTGGAGTCCGCCCGTCTTGGGGTTGCGGGTGATGAAGTCGTGTTGGGCCCAGACGTCCAGATACTCGGTCGCGTCTACCTTGTCGTCCGCTTTGCCTTGAAGCCACGACCACTTCTTGGGCACGGACCTCTTGGCCTCGGCCTTGCTGTCGCGCGAAATCGGGAATTTCTCAAAATACGCTTCCATGTATTTCTTGTTGCCTGTGTCGCCCCAAAATCGACAGGGCATGCTGGGGAAGGGCTTCCTGCACACAAGCTCGCCGGGCATGCCTGTGTGGGCTATGCTTTCGCCAGTTTCGCTGTCGAGGATGTCGCAGTCGTGGCCTAGTGCCCAAAGCTGCATTTCATTGGCGTAGACGGGGCCAGCCGGGTTGGTTGCGATCCATGAGGACGCGATGTCCGTGCCGCCGGCGACGCTCGAGAGGTGAATCTTGCGGTCGGGTGAGATACCACGGACGGGGTGGTAGAACCAGGTGAATTGTTCGGTCGTGAGGGTTGCGCCGGTGCATGTGACGAGTGTCAGGGACGAGAGGTCAAGCTTTTGGTAGGCTGGTGACGACGGGTCCAGTATCCCAGACTGCTCGAGCTCCAGGAGGTAGCGCGGCGATGTGCCCCAGTAGGTTGCTTTAAATCTCTCGATGATACGGAGCATGGTGCTCGGATCGGGGTATAGTGCGCCACCGTCGTAGCAGATGACTTTGGCGCCGACGCTGAGGTGCCCGTTCATTACGTTCCACAAGATCCAGGATGTCGATGAGTACTGGAAGACCGTGGATCGAGGGGTAAGTCCATTGTGCAGCAGCGATATCTTCTTGTAGTTCAGGATACTGATGTGCGGGGAGACGATGCATTTTGGCTCGCCGGTCGTGCCGGAGCTGTAGACTATCACCAAGGGTTGGTCTGTCGGCATCCGCGTGTACGTAAGTTTGTCGGTAGGGCGGGAGGTTTGAAGGAATGTGTGCAGTGAGATAGCGTCGCTGACGGGCCGGATATACTGAAGGTTGTGTTTGAGATGGGGCTGGTGGCATGTCGGCACAAAGACGACCTTCGGCTGGGACTTGTCCCTGGGCAGAGACCTGAGTATTTGGAGCACCTTGCTCATCATTGATGGTCTGGTTCCGCGCACCGCCAGATCCGTGTCTGCGAACAGCCACTTCGGCTCGACCTGAGAGAATCGACTGACGCATCCGGGTACTCCTAGGTCAGGGGACACGGAGGTGAAGATTGCCGCGATCGAAGCGGATGCCAGGAACAGCACGATGATCCATATTGAATTCGCCATTAATGCTGCAATCACATCGCCTTGCTTGATACCCTGTCGGATCATTGCCGAGCGAGTTAGTCGTACGAGCTCGGTCAATCCGGCCCAGGTGATGTTTTCGGGGTTGGAAAGTCCGTTCTCTCGTACGCCAACCAAAGCAATTGCATTGGGGTTCTGTTGCGTGTTTGGTACGAGGACATTTTCTGCGTAATTGAGCCGTAAGCCGGGGAAGAAGGTCGGGATATCTCTCAGCCTGAGCTTTGGATTATACGCCAGTTTCGTATGTTTCGGTAGAGAGGGGATGATGCCGCAGTAGTCGTACAGGTCGATCCAGAATTCATGTGGATTTCGGACCGTCCAGGTATGGAGATCGTGGGAGTCCTTGAGCGACTGGGAGAACTTGCTATTGATCCGGCGACGGTATTGGGATATTAAGGTCGATTCTGGGTCGGGTGGTGTCCACAGTAGCTCTGGTTCCGATATGTTGGTCAAGTTGCTGCGGGACGCCGGCGAGGGAGATGTTGACGTTGTTGACGCCGTTGGCGATGTTGTCATTGTTGCGATTTCCCACTGTTCTTGGAGCTGTTTTCGATATTCTCGAGAGCAATACTCGATTGGAAGTCCGACCGCATTGAATGGCATTGTACGCACAAAAGTAGTCTCCTAGTATAGCCTTCTTGCTGTCTAACGTCTAGGTCTGTATCTATTGTCTAATGCCGAGGGGCATGAATCCATCAAAGGTGAAAGGGTTCAGATGGATGGTAACGGACCAAGAACAGAGCCGATATGCGGAGAGCTTCTCGGATATCAATCCATGTTGGAGACACTGCCTCGGCAACCTCCTTTCGGTTGTAGCGTACGTTCAGGTGGGCAGGGGATGTTGCGCGAACGCCAACACCATCAACACCACCAATGCCAGTCTGATTAGTCATTCACACGCTCACCACTTACTGTACCTGGATGCTCACCACCCAGTGGCTATTGGCTGGCCGTCACATGTCTATCGGGAAAGTATCGTGTAGCTATGGGCGGCTAGGGATCGTGACTGGGCTGGATTTATCCGCGAAAGTCGCAGTACGTATTCGAAGAGCAGATCCGCTGGCAAGAAGCATTAATGGCATTCTACTTGCTTGATGCTTCGATGATTCTAGTCGGAGAGTGGGTCGCCCATAAGCACACTTCAGCTACGAGGGATATGAGCAGCCATCGAAAATCCTATCGTATCATGCACCGCGCATTCCATTATTTCTTCCACCTCCATCTCCTCAGCTCGAGTTCAGGCAGCCGCAAAGCAAGACTACTCATCACCACACTAACACTACTCGCCGCCATAGCCACACTGGCCCAAACAGGACTCAGCCTCCATCCAGCCTGGTCGGCACTCGCGCCAATAGGGAAAAACACGCCAGCCGCAACAGGGACAAGACACAGGTTGTAGACTGCCGCCCAAGCAAAGTTCAGCTTGACGCGAAGGAAGACGCGGTTGGCCAGACGGACGAGCGACAGAATAGTACTGAGATCGGAGTTGAGCAGGATGAATGAGGCTGTGGTGATTGCCACATCCGAGCCCGATGACAGTGCAATGGAGACATCTGCGGCTGAGAGTGCGGGGGTGTCATTCGTACCGTCACCTACGAAAGCGATGATTTTGCGACCAGTAAAAGATGAGCCGCCCGTAGGTGAGACCCCTTCCAATTCGCGAATGTAGGCTGCTTTTTCTTGTGGAAGGACGCCGGCGCGAACGTTCCTGGCAGGAATGCCCAGTTGTGAAGCAATTGCAAGAGCCGTGGTTGGATTGTCGCCTGTACACATGTGAATATCGAGGCCAGCATCGCGTAGGGAATGAAGGACGCTGGGTGTTTCAGGGCGGATCGGATCAGCGATGGCAAAGAGAGCGGCAGCCCGGTAATTAGACGGTGCCTTGCCTTCTGTACGGTCTTCTGACGACTGTCGCACAGCGAAGATCGCAGTCGAGTGCCCCAGAGACTGATGTTTTCGCAAAATGGCATTAAGATAGAAGTCGTCCTGCACTGCGACCTTCGTGACGTCCTTCACTGGGACTGGCTTGGCCTCTCCACCATCCGAACAGTCGATGCGTTGGAGAAGCATTTCGTTGCCGAGTGCAGCTTCGTATCTTGTGCTGGTAGAATCATATCGAACCAAGAATCTCCCAGTCAAACCTTGGCCTGGGATCTCCTTGATTTCCTTCGACTGCACCGTCACATTTGAGGATTTCTCGCCGCAATAGGATGCAATTGCTTTTGCGATGGGATGAGTACTTGACTCTTCCAAGTTGCGAGCCATGGCGAGGATGACATTTTCGTCAATGGCCGAAGGATTGCTCTGGCCGTTTTCGATCAGTTCGAAGTCAGTGACCCGCATCTGACCTTCAGTGAGGGTGCCGGTCTTGTCAAAAACGATAGCGTTCAGTTTGGACGCTTCCTGGAACGCTTCACCACCACCTTGGACCAGAATGCCATATTTTGCAGCTAGACCTCCGCCAACAAACAGTGCAGTTGGGGCGGCAAGACCAATCCCGCAAGGACAAGCCACAACGAAGACAGCAATCGCAAATTCGAGCGACCAGAAAGCCCAGCCACCACGATTCAGATCAAGCCATGCTCGCGGTAAGGTGCCTGACAAGCCCAAGGCCAACCAAATAACCCAGGTAATAATGGCAATGAGGGTTATCACTGGCACGAAGTAGCCTGTGAGCATGTCTGCAATGCGTTCGATGGGAGCTCTCTTCGCTTGGCCTTCACGGACAACACTAACAATCCGATCTAGCATCGAAGTGCCTCCGACTTCAGTCACTCGGATTCGAACAGGTTCCGAGACATTGACGGATCCTGTGTAGACTTGGTCGCCGAATATCTTCTTCACAGGCTTAGATTCGCCCGTAAGGGAGCTTTCATTGAATAGAAATATTCCCTGCTGGTCGATGGTGCCATCAGTCGGTGGTGAAACCCCGTGGGCGATCTGGACCAGGTCGCCCGCCTCCAATTGATCCACCGGGATCGTCCGGGTGATTTTGTCTTCTACAAGAACTGCTTCCGAAGGCCGCAATTTACTGAGCATTGCAACCGCGTCACCAGTTTTCGTCTTGCTGTAGGCTTCGAGAAATCGACCGATGAGGATGAAGAAGGTAAGAAACGTTACTGTGTCGAAGTAAGTGTCAGAAGAACGACTTTGACGCATAAAATGTGAGCTATCCGTCGCATCCATGATCAAGACGGCCAAGGACGAGAAGTATGCGACGGCAGCACCAGCACTGATCAACAAATTCATACTGCCGAAACGGTAAAATCGACGTATGATTGGAGTCTTGCTGCTCGGTCTCCACATGGCCTTGATCTCTTTGTACGCCCTGGCGTGAAACAAATCCGTGCCGTAGAACATGACTGGCGTTGTCATGAAAAATAATGCCCACTCCATCCGCATGACTTGACCGGCAAGGATAGGCTGTTCCCACCATTGCCTGGTCGAATTTGACTTGGGCACAAGACTCATGTAGACGACCCCGATGACGAGGGTAGGGATAGCGACTATGCCGGTGAAAAGCAGTCGCCAAAGAATGTGTCTCATCTCTTTCCGTTGCAGTCGACGAGAGCGCTCTTCTAGCGTTGGTGGGTGATAAACGGTCGCTGACAAGACTTCATGTGATGCGTCGATGGCAGTGACAAAGCTCCGCACACTGAGTTGACTGGAAGGGCGATAGGTGATGGTGATGATTGGGTCGTCCAGCGAGGGAAGCTGAGTTATGGTATAGACTCTGTCCTGGCTGGGGGGTAGAGAAGACCGGATGGCGCTCCTGATGTTGTCAGGACAGTGATCGCAGTACATGCCGTCAACCTTCAATTGGACCGTTCTCTCCTGCTTGGGGCCTGCGGCTTTCTTGGCGATGTCCTCGAGCTTGACGACCGTAGCATCGTAGCCGAGATCGTCAAGCTTCTCGAGTAAGGTATCCAGATTTTTCTTGCCGGAGAAGGCTATGAGGCCCCGATTGCCCACTAGATCAATGTTGATGTCCTTGATGAACGGAAGCTCGCGCAAACCTCTCGTTATAGTACCCACGCAACTTCCACAAGTCATCCCTTCGATACTGAGAGTGACTCTGTAGTCGTCATCCTCAGCTTGCGGTTTGTGCTTCTCTTCTCCTTGAGGCTCAATCTCCTCAATCGCAGCCTCATAGCCGACGTCTTCGATTTCCGCAACGATCTTGTCTGAATTGCTCTTCGGCCCGGAATAGACTACTCGTGCAGTATTCGTCATAAGATTGATTTGGGCATTTTCCACAAAGCTTAGATTATCCAGAGCTTTAGTGATCGTGCTTGTGCACGATGCGCAGGTTACGCCACCTATTGAGACGGTGACTGCATACCGTGAGATGGCGCTTTCGTTGGTTGAACCATCGATGTCAATTGTCACAGGCTTCTCGTCAACCAATGTATCGTTCGAGACAGCAGTGGCCTTGTTGGTATGGGGTTTCCTGCTCGGGCTTGACCGGCGCATCCGAGTCAGGGAAGACCAGCTTACTTTCGCTCTTGATTTTCGACCCTTCTCACGTTGGCATGCGTCACAGTTGTCGATGTGTTTGCGCTGGGCACGAGTTGTACTCCATGTGGATCGCGAGGCTCGGGAGGATATCGGTTTCGGTGCAATGTCGACGTCGTGATTCCGGACACCATTTGGGTCGAAGGTTGTGACATGCTCGACCTCAAAAGCTGCCTTGATTAGCTCGCCGACAATGATTTCTCGGGTGGAGTCTTCGACGTGTTTGACGCGAATAAGGTGATCAATCAACGAAACATGAACGGATTGGATGACGCCTATTCCGCGTAGTATATCCTGGACATAGGAAACGCACGACGGGCAGTGAATGTTTGACACTAAGAATGTAGATGTGTAGGCCATGATGGGAGTGGTGTGGGAGCTTGATCACTCGGGGCAGAAGGGCAGGAGGCCCGCGCGGAATACGCTGGTAACAGAAACGTGATACGTGGTGGAAAAACAAGTTGAGTCACGAAGATGTGGCACCATAGCAAACCTGCTGTACAACCTCCAGCTTTTGTCCTCGAACATGGTGAGGATTTTGTGCGTAAACCGATCCAGCACAATGAGCTCGAAGTGGTTGCAGATGTTGACCGAAAGACGCGCCATTTGTGCGTAATGACGGAAGAACCTGGAAGTTCGCTAAACTGGCGAGGGGCCAATTAGGATTAGTGTGGATGAGCCCCCAAGATCACGTGCAGAAGCTTCTCATGTCACGTGTTTCGCCTCCAACTGAAACATCCTTCTTGGGGTTGAGCCGACGACACGCAAGAAAAGCTGCTTTTCATCTCTTCCCGGTCTTTCACAGCCAGGTCAGAAACGGTTCTCGACTCAGTCACTCGCTCGTACTGGGAGAAAGAAAAGTATAGTATCAAGTCGGTCTTGTGATACGTCAAAGCCCTTTGCGCTTTTGGCTTCCCAATCAGAACACGAGTCCACACGCTGAAGACCCGAACAAGCTGGAATGGTGGCCCCACCAATTGCCCCGAACAACTCGAGCGAGACCAATGGCTATGTGCGCGATACTGATGAGCTTCGTCAGCGCCCCCACGATACCTTCATCATGCATCCTGCTGTACCTCCCCTTGACTTTCAGGCTATGTACAACGGCACAAATGATCGCCCAGGATTAACCTCCTCCCATCAGACCAACAGTCCTTCTTCTCAAGGGCCATCCAAGCCGTCCGCTCACACTGCTCCGGGTCCTCGTCGCGGATCTTTTCCGGACATCCTGCCTCAAGGTCACACGCCATCTCCGTCTACCAAGGATAGTATCCTTAATATGAGAGTCGGCATGCCCGACTTCCCCACAGGTCCTAGCCCCGGGCCTGCAGATGCACAAACCGATATCAATCCCAACTTCCGATTTTCAACACCTTCATCTGGGCTAGACCAAGCCTCCCGTTCTGTGAGCAATGCGGAGCACGCCGATGGTGCTACAATTATCGTCACGGGCCACGTCCAAACACATGGCGCTATGGGGAATGCGACCATGGCAGCCAATAATAGGAATGGGTCTCGCAGAAACAAACAATATACTCTGCCTGATGGTTCAGTCGTGTCAGGGAAAGGGCTCGGTCGGGGGAGGCCCGGCATCAAGCGTGGACCAAGAAAGTCGCAGGGGGGGAGTCATCCATCACCACAGGTAACGTCCGTCGATAGTGCCGAAGCGTCCTCTCACCACGGAGGACCTGGGAGTAAGGAACGGGAGGGTACTGGTTCTGAATTATCTCTGCACTGGGCGTCGTCGCCCGAACCTGTTGCGTTAGATTCCGAAGAGAGCTCGGAGGAATATAATCCTACCTTGCATACAAGATCTGGGAGGCAGACACAGAAACCAACTCCTCTTACCAAGGCTACTGTCACGAGTGCAAGCCCCTCTGGTAAAGTCTCGCGCAATACCCCTACTGTGAACGGCAGTTCGACCTCGACTCCCTCCAGCAAGACTCACCCGAAGATTAAACGAAGAATCTACCGTGGTCGCGAGCAATTTGCGCTGTGCGAACATTGCCTACGCGGATACGGCCCTCCAGGGAATGTTATTGTGTTTTGCGATGCATGCAATAAGTGCTGGCACCAGCGTTGTCACGAACCTCAGATCTCGAAACAGACCGTGGCAGACTCGAAAGCTGAATGGTACTGTTCCGAATGTGACCGGATACTGCATGGTAAGAAGAAGGAGAAAAAGTCAATCAGCAAGCTAAGCGCTGAGCCTGTGGTTGTTTCACCTCCTATCATCCAGCAAGCGCCCACATATGCAGGGCCATTTGTAGGAGGACGCTTCTTGAACCCCGAGCAGAAGCTGGCATATCTCAAAACGCTGTCAAAGGAAGACTTGGTTCTACGTCTTCTACACGCTTCCGATCTCGCACCGGACCTGCCCATCTTTCAAACACTCGTTCCCCCTCCGCCTCCTCCGGTGGTCATGCCTCAGGCTCAATTTACTTCCACTTATGTCACGCCAGTGTCAAAAGTGCCGTCCTTTAGGCCCAATGATGCTGGGCAGGGTCACCAGGTGGATGAAGGTTACGACGGATACTTTGATGAGCACGCAGCGCTTTATCCGAAGCCCGGCCATGGATTGCAGCTTTCGCCGGACAGTGAGGATTTACATATGTTGCTCGAGGGCAAGGAGAGTAAAACGTTCAGCCATTGGCAGAGGTCGAACCCGGGGCCGTTATTCAGCGGATCGGGCAATATCCTTTCGACGGCGCATTAAGTTCGTTGCTTGGAAGCTTGCCAACCTGCAGACTTGTATCCCTTAGAGACCCGGTTTATTCACGTGCGACGCCACTAATTGCAATATATGAATTCGGTCCTAGCCGGGAGGGAGAGCTCGAATGCAGGCCCCAAATAGGGGTGCGAGGCAACAGTGCCCCCCTCGCAAGATCGTGAAGCCCACCTCATCGAGTTGGACACGGTCTTCCGATGCAGCTCAGCGATGCTCCTCAATTTATATCCGTGGATACAGCAACATAAAATGAATGCGGCTACCTCAAACCCGACTTCTGCTGGGAATATGTGCCTGTCGTCTGAACCTATTTTTAGTTGGCACAACGGAGACGGCGGATAGCTTTTCCGCACTTCGCTACAGTTGCCCTGTGAAAATGGCGAGCTCGGAGCTTGCTCTCATCGTTTTGAACGTTGCGAACTTCCTCCTTCTACATCATCATGAGACATTACTCGCTATTTCTGGAACAACCAGAACCGCGCCTACCTCGGGCTTAGGCGGCTGGCTGCGCCAGAATCTTCCATTGTCTGCCATGGAAACCATAAGGCTGACTCCTCTCGCTTGGGGACGGTGGGGGCTGCGACGCTTACATCTACAGCAATTCCAAGCCAGATGAACATTAGGACACATAATCGCAACAAACGTGCGAGACAAGATGTTTTAGCTATTACAAGATGGAAAGCGATGTGCAAGGCTCTTTGTACTAATGGTTGTTCTTAGCTGAACAACAGCACAAATAACATTTGTCTGCAATGGTTATGTGATAATTGGCATTCGATGCTATGGCTATTTCAGATACTCACAGTCTGCGATGGAAGCCACGACGTGATATGTCGGACTGCTTGTGTACCATGTCCTATCATCCATATGGTATGATGCAGGAAAGACTCAGCTTCGTGCATTCAGATTGCGTACATCAAAAGTCAGCGCCTCACCTGGACCTTCATTCTCACTGACCCAGAACTTTACCTTGGCTTGTCGCAACCCACCTGGGGAATTCTCACTACCAAATTCAGCCTCAACCCATCACTTTCTAGTCACGTTCAAATGGATAGTGATTTACTCCGCCAAGACTCTGGTAAGTTGCGCACAATCGTCGCGCGGCTATATCAAGGTAGGACACTGTGTTTTCTGCATCGTTTACCTTCACACACGACAGATCCGGCCTATCGTCAAACAATTTCATGGTATGGCCATCATCAGAGCTCACATCCCGGCTGGCCCAGATGGCCAGACGCCGCAGCGCTTCTCCGCGAACATCCTCTCCCGCGACCCACGTCCTCCACTCAGCTTCACTGACGACGGCCCCGGTAGACTTTCACTGCTCGGGCCACGGCACGACAACGATCACGATGACTTCCGGAAAATCAAGATCCTGCCGACCCAAGACGAAATCCTCGCCATTGACCGACCTGTCTATATGCCTAAGAAAGACCTCACCCAACAGCACTTTCTCGAAAATGGTCCCGGCAGACATCTAGACACCCTCTTCAGACAACTGAGGTGCGATAGCACAGAAACGATACGAGATATCTGCTACTCCGCGGCACAAGTCGCCTTCCTGAAGATCGGCTCAAATTCGGACGGCCATGTGCGGCAGGAGACAAGCGCAGGCCATCGGTATTTTTTGTATCGCAACATCAGAGTCCAAGAACTACTCTCACATGAGCACAAATCTATGGTGGTCCGCGTCAGCTATGATTGTCCCCCTTTCATGAGAGGTCGGAATCTGTATGAATCCGGTCGCTTTCAAAACGGCATGCTCGTTGCCCTGCTTCAGTTGAATAATACGACGATGGAGTTTTCGGTCTATTATATGGAAGTCACCCTAGCTCAGACGACCTTCTCTATGGATGCCTTCAACGGTCGCGGAACTCAAGCTGCCGTCCAACTCAACTTCCTCCCAACAAGTAGCCATGATGACGTCCTACAACTCTGCCGTCACGCACTTGGACTGAAGATGGACAATGAGCTCTATCTTGTAGAGTTCCCAAAGATTCTCTTTGCCGGCGTTTACAACTGCCTCAAGTGTTTGCAGGACATGAAAGATTCAGATTTCGCCTTTCCTCAGTATGTCGCACCCCGGATCTCTATTCACGACGCTCTGCTCGCGCGGGAGCTGAATTTCGCTGTCGGCTCACCATCACGTTTCCCGTGCCTTCCGCCGTCCTATGCACGCGCACCAGAGTTCAGGTACAATCTTGAAAAGACTGTGGGACCTCATTCTCCGATCTCTTCGGTGTCTCTAGAAGACCTGTGCCGCCCGTCCACGCTCGATATCCTCAAACGCGAAACGACCTTAGATGAAGGTCAAGCTGTCGCATTCAGAGACAGTCTTATGCGTGATTTTGCTTGCACCCAGGGTCCACCGGGTTGTGGTAAAACCTATCTGGGTCTCAAAGTGGCGCAGGCGGTCCTTGAATCCCGACCAGTGCAAAAGCCTGTCCTGCTAGTCTGTCTTACAAACCATGCTTTGGACAGCTTTCTTGCTGACCTTCGAGATGCTGGGGTATCTGGTCTCCTCCGGGTAGGATCAGGCAGCAAGGAGGAATGGACCAACAGCATCAACCTCCGCGACCTGAGACGAAAGATTCGATTCAAGAGAGAGGAATCGAATGTGATGCAGACTCATACGCTGCAAAAGAAAGAGTCTATTGCTGGCTTGGATGAATTATGTAAAGGTACTACAGCTCCTTCCTTGGCCAAACAAACACGACTAACGTTCAGTAGCTGTTTCTTGTCAATCTCAGACTGGCGCTGTCCCTTGGCATTATGTTCGAGACGTACTGTACAGCGACCATCGGGATGTGCACGCTCAATTCACAACAACCGCCAATGTCCCTTTAGCTCAATCTTTCACGTTCGAATACTGGTCTGCTGGGGGAGATTTGACAACGATTCGGGATCTCCACCTCGAGTTGGCGAATAGGCTTGCTCAAGCTTCCGCAAGTCGTGATAAACGTCCCGCAGAGGACGTCGACAAGCTGCTTTTTGACCTGTCATGGGATGCTGAGCTACGGAGCTTTAATGCTGGTCTTTCTAGCATTTGGAACATGCCACTGTCACAACGTCAGTCCTTGATCAAGAGCTGGGAAAAGAAAGTTGATAAAGAGGCTCTCGCACAAAAGATGATGTCGCTCTATGTGGAGTCTCAACATCACGAACAGGAAATCAAGAGGATCCGAAACGAGCGCGACGGCCGCATCATGGCAGCACACAACATCGTCGCAATGACAACGACTGTAAGTTTTGTTTTGGTATTCTCGTCTCCCTCCCGGAGGGACCGGCACTCTTCCAGCTGAAATGTTGCTTCGGGCTCTCTACACGTCTACCCCATTTTTCGCCTAAGCTTTAGCTCTGAACACATTCTGACTGATATACAGGCGTGTGCTGCCCGATGGGAGGTGCTCCGAGCGCTCGACCTCCAGATAGTCATTTGCGAAGAAGCTGCAGAGATCATGGAGGCCCACACCTTGTGCTCGCTGTTGCCCTCCGTTGAACATGCAGTCTTCATTGGCGATCCGCAGCAGCTGCGACCCGAAGCAAACGAGCAAATGTTAAGCCTGGGGTCTAGCGTCGGGCGACAATATCGACTGGATGAGTCTTTACTTGAGCGACTGATGATGCCTCAGGATGTGTCCGCACACAGTATACCAGCAAGCCATTTGAGCATCCAACGCCGCATGCACCCTCAGATCGCCGACATCACTCGCCTGACGTATCCTTATCTGAAAGACCATGAATCCACACACGCACGGTCTCCGGTTCATGGTCTAGCACAGCGCATGTTCTGGTGGGACCACCGAAGCCCCGAACTTGAGGCGGACGATCTGAAATCGCATGCCAATCTCCATGAAGTGGAAATGGTAGCCTCCCTAGTTGAGTACCTCCTTTGCCGTGGCGCCTATGAACAAGCGGAAATAGCTGTCTTGACGCCATACGCTGGCCAGCTCCTGAGATTATACAAGCGACTTGAAGCGACCTGCGACATCTGGCTTTCTGACAAAGATCGAGAAGCGATGCTCGAAGAGGAGCTCCTCGCGCTTGGAGAGGAGGGCCGCACCACTAAAGACAAAGTTGTCATGTCCAACATGCTCAGGATCGCGACGGTCGACAATTTTCAAGGTCAAGAAGCTAAAGTGATCATCCTCAGTACTGTCCGCAGTGGTGGCAAGGCGGGATTTCTGAAGATTTTAAACAGAATCAATGTCGCTTGTAGCAGGGCTCGAAACGGTAAGTTCTTACGGTCCCCGGCATATTTTTCCGTGCCTCGAGCATTGCCAGTGCTGTGGTTGTTTTCGTCAACACAGACTAATAACAGTTATTGACAGGATTCTATATAATCGGAAATTCTCAGACATTGTCCCAGGTCCCGATGTGGAGACAGATAATCCAAGTTTTCAATGGCAGGATCGGGGCATCGATCATGACTCAGTGCCATGCCCACCCCGAACACAGTCAACTTGTTCAGCACCCAGAGGATTTCAGCAGAGTAAAGGAGTGCTCCTCCATCTGCAATCAAGCGTTGGATTGCGGCCACCATTGCCGGCAGCTCTGCCATCCGCCCCAGCTCCATGCACGCTTGGTCTGTGAGGAAGAATGTGGGAAGGTCTTCGACTGTGGTCATCAATGTTCTAGACGCTGCTATCAGGACTGCAGAGAGTGTACAGTCTCTACCGACAAGGTCACGCTTGACTGCGGACATCCTGGACAACGTCTCTGTGCCGGAGGCACTTCTAAGTGTACAGTCATCATCGCCAGGAAACAATTGTCTTGTGGCCACAACGCCACCATTCTATGTGGAGAAGATTCGCACGCCAACATTGTCTGTCAACAGCCGTGTGGAGCGTGGCTCCCTTGTCAGCACACATGCAAGGACATATGTGGGAATTGTAACGGCAGTCAGAAGAGCCACCCGCCGTGCGCTGACATCTGTGGTTTGTCAAAGGCATGCGGTCACACATGCAAGGAAACTTGTCACGGTGTTGGCAAGACCTGTCCGACAGCATGCCGTGAACCATGTACTGACCATTGTGAGCATGGCCTATGTCAGAATCGCTGTGAAGACGCTTGTGACCCCTGTGTCAAGCAAACCATTTCTGGCTGCAATCACGATGCAACGGATATGTTGTGTTGCTTCCCGAGCTTATCACTACCGTGCAGCCAGAGATGTCCAAAGATTCTTGGCTGTGGTCACGCTTGTCCTTCATTGGAAGGCGAGACATGTCCTCCTTCGAAGGTCTGTCCAGAGTGTATGACAGGTGAGAAAGGCCCTACAGTACTGTACTCACCAAACTGTCGGCACTTGGTCGAGGTTTCGCAGTTGGATACCATCAATCTCTGTGGCGTGTACGAAGTCGACATCAATGGAACTATCTTAGCAATCAACTCCGACATCCGGTTGCCATATCTCCACGAGCCGAAATGCATATGCGGAGCACAGTTGGAAGGCACACGGCGGTATAGAATCCACTCCAAGTTGGTAAGATTCAACCGCACTCTGGATCTCCTCCTCGCCAAGATGGGACGGAAGCTGGCCAACTTTGGGTCGGCGATTGAGACGCTGGAGAAAGAACTTGACGAAACGTTTGACGTATTCGTCGAAGCCATTCGTCCCAACCCTCTGGCTGCCAAGGCGAACGCCACTCTCCTCTTGCGCCGATCCCGAGACATCCTCGACTTGCAAACCCAGATCACGGATTTCCGAAAAGGCGTTGTCGATCTGGTCCGACGCGACCTGGCTCGCCTGAACGCCGCATTTCCCAACGTCGTGCCATCCTATAATCTTATGTTCCATCTTCACTTTGATATACTGGGATATCGCGCCGTCAGCGTGCGTCTTGCTGATGTCTTGAAACTGGGAAGTCAACTTTTGAACCCGCAGGATCCCTCTTTCAGTGTCCAGCGTCAAGGTCTGAAGATGATACAATTTGTTCATCGAGAGTCGATCGCATGCATCGAATTCTGTAAGGACACCTTGACTGACCCGCTACTCATGACCAACCCGTCGGTTGAAGCCGAGATCAGGCTGCAACAGTTGCAGTTCCTTCTATTTGCCAGGTCGACAAGAGTCCGACTGGTACACCTTGGCAGTCCTGTCGAAGACACTGCCCCTGCCATGGACGTCGATGCTATCAAGGATAGCTTGGATGCCGCCACGAAACTCGTTCGAAGTTCTCTCCGTACCTGTGCGCCTTTCGGCCAAACCGCACGAGATTTTGCCAATATCTTCGCGTCTGCGGACGAGGTCCCGTCGTCTTCGCCGATCCCAGCGATCAAGAACGCTCATGTGCGTGAGACTGAAAAGCTGTGGGGGCAACACAGACTTGGTCATCTGAGAACCTGCGCCAAGAATCACGTTTACTCTTCAAAGACGTTCTCTGACGCCTGCCCCGAATGCGGAAAGGGGGCTCAAATTTCCAGCAACGAGGTCTTTCGTAAATCTTCGAAGCATCTGTTTGAGATTCAGTTTCTGGAGGCAATGCACGCCAAATCAGCCAGTGCCCGCCATGTCGAACCGCCCAAAGCCGAGGGCGCGGCGAGAGACCGATCGGAGAACGATGGACCTGTGCTGAGAGAAGAGGCAGAAGAAGCGCTCGGTCAACCGACGAGAGAATTAACCCAGGAGGAGCGCTTTCTCAGAGCCATGAGGAATGGCCTGCCAAAGATCCAAGGTGGACGGACTGGAGTCTGAGAAGCCGTCAGAAGGGATCTAAGCCATCAATGGGACAAGAAGTTGTGTTGGTCAGAGAGCTGGAGCACCAGCTTGCGGCTCGCCACTGACGAGAAAATCCTCGACGGCTGAGCATGAACAAGCAGCCCTCTGAGGTAGACAGCTTCTTGTGGGAATGAGAAGATTCATAGAAGCAATAAAGTAAGAATCCAACATAGAAAGCCAAGTAAGCAGGGCATGTGAATGGATAGCCTGCTGAAGACGAGTGGGCAGTCGTGGACCGGATCGCCCATTATAAGTACGACATGAAGGAAGACGAGCACTACGCAGCCGGTCCCTGAAGTCGTCAAATGAAATCCGGCACTCACTAATTAACGCAAGGTATATTAAGCGGCAGCACTCCTTGTTTGCTTGCGAGGGAGTTGCTACTGTAACCGTGTGAACGATGTTGGTCCACGTTTCAGAGCGTCCTAAGAGTATATACTGCGTACATAGCTATACATCTCGCTTGTGTAGAGAGCAGCGAGGAGCTAATTACAGTATATAGCGTGTTTTATTTCGACGACTTCGGGCCACAACCGTAGGACTGACAACTGGTGCAGACCGGAGCACTGGGTGTGACTTGATGACTCACTCCCGCAGTGGATCACTTTCTACTCAGCACTCAGCACTACTACGTACATATATTCTATCTCTTCCCCGACCCTGTCACCGTCCCTGTCCCTCTGGAACTCCGTCTCCTGACTATCCCCGTCCCCTGTCGCCCTCCCCTGTCGCCCTCCCCGACGAACCGGCCTTCTCGCTCTTCAATGACTTGAACCAGATCGCCCGAGTACGATAGGACGAAAGACGGGTAATTACTTCACAGTACCTGTCTGTACCTTATTGTGCCAAAAACAGAGCGATGCTGTGCTATGACTGCGACTCACTCGATCAGTTGGTCAATTAGTTTCTACGGAGGACGGAGGACGGAGTAAATTCTATCTCTTGCCGGTGCCTGTCCCTGTTCCTTTGGAACTCCGTCTCCTGAGCGTCATTGCCCTCCCGGACGATCCTGCATGCTCGCTTTCCATACTCGTGCCGATACCGGAGTCGAAGGCGAAAGCCCTGTCCGCGTCTCTGCCCCTTTCTCTGATCTCTTGTTCGCGTTCGCGTTCGAGTCTGTATTCCTCTCCGCGACCGTCACCCAGGTCCCCTTCCCCCTCGTCCTCATCATCAGCCGCCTCGTCCACGCCCATTGGACGTCTGAGATGTGCTTGTTCTGCTTCTTCTTCAGCCACTTCCGCGGCGCCTGCGTCTGAGCTTACTCGTCCGGGATACGTCAACGGCGGTCGGCCCCGTCTGGTGGGATACTGCGCGGGCGTGTCTGAGAGGTTTGACACGGACAATCCGCTATGGGGTTCTTGATCTTCCTCTTCTGTTTTGATTTTGATGGCATCACCGCCGCGGCCGCCGCCATCTTCGGGCTTGATGCGGCCTTGTTCCGCCTCACCCTCTTGCTTGATCTTTTTGGCGTCGCCGCCGAGTCGTGTCTTACTACTGTCTGTTTTGCTGGTGATCTTGACCTTCCCCCAGAAATGCGCAATGAGGGCCCACCCCAAAAGCAGACTCGTGACAGCCACCATGTAGAACAGCGCAGAAAACACCACGAAGCTTAAGCCTCTGTAATTGTAGACAAAGTACCTCAACCCCTGGAACTGGGCCCGGAAGACTAGCTTGGCGGAGTACACACGCAGGGGTTCCCTTGATTGCACCTCCACTTTCGCGTGTGTGGGGATGATGTTGCCTGTTGACCTGCCAGACCCGCGTGGCCGCCGTCCGTCAAACACGAGCATCTCAAACATGGGCACCACAAGCGTCGAGCGGTCCGGGTCGCCTCGCAGCCCGAGGATATGCAGCGGCAGCTGGACCAGCGTGCGGGCCAACGCGGGGAGGGGGCTCGCGAAGGGTACGATGGCGGGTCTGCGTGAGCGGTGGAGGATGTCCGAGTCATAAGTATCGGCGGGCGGCGTGGCATGCGCTCCAGCGTCCGGATCGCCGCTTGCCAGAAGAGACAGATCGAGCATGAAGTTGCCGGCATTCAAGTTCGTGGCGCAGCGAGGCATCTCGAGTATTACGGATATATCGTACGCTTGGTGGGCGATCAGGGCGGCCGTGTCCAGCGCGACGGTGGCGTGGGGGTGAGCGGAGCGGTGTTCGTGGTCGACATGACTTGCCTTGGGCGCTGCGGCGTCATATTGTAAATACAACGGCCTTTCGAGATTGATCTGCGGGATGTAATTGTAGTAGAAAACCGCGTAAGCCGAGGAGGACACGGTGAGCAGGACGGCCGACGTGGCCAAGAAGAGGAGGGCCGCGAGGTAGACCTTGATGGCGGCGCGGGAGGTCAGGATGCGCAGCGGCGCGAGGGCGAGTTGCTACAAGTGAGGGTGAGATGACACCCTGCGATAAAGCTTAGGGGAAGGGGCCGGAACCTACAATTGCTCGTCTCGTCAGAGAATCGCCTTCCTCGTCGTAGTCGTAGTTGTAAGTTTTGTTCTGGTAGGTTGCGTCTGCCATTTTGCGATGTTCTACTGGCACTCCCTTACCCTGGGCAGACGCGGCATGGCGACCGGAGAACACCTAGACACGACAGCCGCAAGGTCGTATGTCAAGTCCCTACTTATTGCGCCATAGAGTCTGTGCCGGCGACCATGTACACACGAAGAACACGTCGACATCTGCGAGGTTCCTTTGCCCGGTCAAAATTGTTGAGACGCGTCCGGATTTCAAGGCGCTCAAAATGACGTCACACCAAGCTGGATGTTCACAATGGATGCTCACAATGGATGCTCACAATGGATGCTCGCTACGTGCGCAGAGCTTGCGAAGACGGCCACCGATAATTTCAAGAATTAATCATTTCAACTTCAAGAATGAATGATTTCAATTTCAAGAATTAACCATTACAATTCTCGCTTGCTATGCTAACCCTCTACCTGCTCATACACCAGGGGTATTCGATTATCCGTAAAGCACCATAGTGGTACGCAATTGCTTTTCTTTCACCATTGGCCCATGTAACACAACCTTGGGCGAGAAAACCACCAATCGGTCTCAGTACCTCACAAGTCTCTGCCACAACGGCATCTCCTTGACCTGTTCCTCGTGCCAGACAAGCTTGTTCTTCTCGTCGAGTTCAGCGTGCGCATCCGTACTCGGGATGCCTGCCTCTCTGTTCTCAGCCACCATCATGCGACTGACACCAGACCTGTCCTTTGCCAACCAGACAACTGGTGCCTGGTCGGTGATGGCAGGATTGACGTACGACTGTTCATACTCCTCTGGGGTATATCCTGGGATCCAGTCTTCCGAGTCGGCCGAGTCAGGGACAATCTTTTTGTTACTCTCGTAGAACTTCAAGGCGAGAGGCTCAATACGTCGGCTCAAAAAGTTGAATGGTGGGGATTTGGACTGCGCCTTGTAGCCCGGTTGATCGCCGGCGTCCTCAGCTTTAGTAGTTCCTACCTCTGTCGGGACGGCCGAATTGCCGCGGAACGAAGAGCCAGCGCCAGCCTCCATATTCTCGTGCTTGAGATGTTGTTCGTCAACAAATTGCTCCATGATCGTGGTGCTGAATTTGTTGCCGTTCAGCAACTCTAGCGGCATGTGTTGTTCCAGCGGTGCAATAGCACGGTCGAACATGATTTGGAAGATGACAACCACAACCAGGAAAACGACCATGATGGCCAACGGGCCAGCGCTGGCTCTGCTCTTGCTACACCCAATGGCGAAAAGCCCGATAAGGCACAGCGAGGCCAGGTAGACACCGGTCATCAGTTGCTTCAATGCCCTTGAGTATGCTTCGCCTTTTGTGTCGAATCTGTTGCCAAAGACGAACAACCAGTTGTATCTGAACATGAGGTAGAGAAGGCAGAATCCGATCGTGGCAAAGCCCAGCACCAATGGTGCAATGCACGAGTACGAGACGGCTATCACTCCGAGGAGGGTGAACTTGGGATAAGTCGAGCCCCATCCGATACCGGGGAGATTGACGAAACGGTTGTACTTCTTCCGTGGAGTCTTGTCCAAAAACTTGCCCAGCAGGACGTACATCAGCAACGGGACAATGTTGAGCAACTGGAGAGCTGCCTGCATCAAGCCGGTAAGAATGAAATAGCTGATGTAAAAATTGGACGCCTTGGGCAAGTTGGTTGCAAGCAGGCTGGGTGCCGAGCCAGGATTTTGGACGATTTGGGTTGTCACGGCACTGGCACCTATTCACTCGTCAGTATCATGCAACGCACCTAGATCGGGAGTCGGACGTACTGGAGGCAAATGTGGTAATGAGGAAGACCTGCACTACTTGGAAGGCGAAATACCATGACTGCACCTTGAGCTGGATAGCCGACTGGGTTGGCTCCCCCGCGAACTTGGCCAGTAATCCGCAGAAAATGGGTACAAGTGCCATGAGGATAGCCAGGAGAACCACCGGCAACAAACCAGTGACAACACCCAAGACTACCTTGGGAATCTTGTTGATGAAGCTCAAGAAAGGGACCTTGTTGGTGAGGTAATTGATGTTGGACAATGCGCCAACAAAGGTAACTGGGATGGCCCAGAAGATAATCATGACCCAGACGATAATAGTCGCAATGATGACCTTGACCTTTCGAGAGCTGTAGCTCGTGCCCAAGTTCTTCCAGACGACCTCGCTGGGTTGCACGCCGATGTAGCGAGGAGAAAATCTCGTCTTGGAGTCACGACCAACGGATTGGTAGGCATCGTGAGCGGCCGTCTGGTTCGAGAACTCAATGAAGGCGGCGGGGACCTTGGTGTGATGCAGGTCAAGATGCTCATTCTGCTGCTCAGGGACGTATCGGTTTAATTCCTCCAGTCTGCCTCGAGACCAGTTGATAGTATCGACCTTTCTCCAGAGCTGGGGCATCAGTCTGTGCTTGGGACGTTTCTTCTCGTTGATCCAGCGCTTGGGTTCCGAACCAGCAGCTTCGGATGAGCTTGCAGCGTTGGATTTCTTCTCGGCCTTCAGTCGGGTGGCATTGGCTTGCTTGATGAGCTTCATCTCGGCACCTTCGAGTTTCAAGGCTGTCTTTCTCCTCTCCTTGACGTCTTTCTCGAGCTTCTTGCAGTCCGTCACGAGCCAGACTCTACGCACTGCCGAGCCGAACATCTGTCGTAGCGGCTTCTCCTCCATGTACCCGTGAGGCAATCCCATGACCAAAATTGTTCTTGAAGAAAGACGTTGTGCGTGAGCAGCAGATAGGAAGTAGGCTCTCCGCAGCCCGACAAAATTGAGTCTTTCGCGCGCAATCAGGAGAGTGACGAAGCCCAAGTAGACGCAGGCGACGAGAGCATGAGCGTAGTACCTCTTCGGGTCGGCAACGTTGCTCATACTCAGCATGTCGAGTTGCTCCTGGCCGCCATGTCCGGTGGCATTGACGGGGAAGAGGACGGGCCAGGTGATGAAGCAGCCAACAAGGCACATGACAATCAACACCTTGAACATGCGAAGCCAGAGATAACCGTCAAGAGAATTGTGACCGAGGACATAGGCGTCGGGAAGGGAAGAGTAGTTGCGAAGAAGGCCAAAGAAGCTTGACTTGGATTGAGGAGTCGTCCATCCTTTCGCAAGGAGTCTGTCGTTGGTTCTGGGTCGGTAGACACGGGAGTAGCGGGTTCGAACGAGGAGGAAGACAATGAGGGCGACGAGGGCAATAACGGCGGTCGGAACCAATGTCGACACGATGCCAGAGAGCGAGTTGGAGCCTTGGTTGCGATTCGATCCCGCCGACTGCGTTGCGTGTCAGCCAGTGAGCTCAGCTACAGAGACAAGCCTGACAACGTACCTGTCGGGGATACAGCATGTGAGTAGCGGTGCCCTCCATCTTGAAGGACGTGCCAGGAATGACAGCCTCGCAAGGCCGGGCCTATTAAGCGAGCAAGGTGTGCAGTAAGACTCGCCTGAACTCGCTTATCTTCTGGGGTGCGAGGCGAGGCGAGAATGAAGAAAGGGCGAAAGATCTGCGCTTGAATGAAGGTGGGAAACCAAACAGACTGTTTATATCACAAGAACCAAGAACGGAGTACAACGATGCTCATTCTGGGGTGGTAACCCCCCTGATACTGTGGCTTGTTCTCTGATTGTTTAGATGAGCTCACACATGACGATGTGTTATGTGAAGGCTTCAAGATCGACAGCTGCAGACGCTTGGGCTTCCCTCCCTGCTGAACCTTGATGCCTCAGTCTCACCTGCCATTCGACCATTTGGAATCTGGCCATCGTACCCACTGCGGTAACCCGGGCAGGTGCCACCGCCATCACTGGCATTTCTCCACCTTCAGCTGCACTGGGCACCGGAAAGCCACAGCTGTGCCAGGGCATCTGCAGTTGAGTGAAGCGGTGGTGGTTGTGGCTTGAGCCAATGATGTCAAGTCATATTTCCGAGAATGACATGTTTCATGCAGCCGAAGCCAATCTCAATGGTGGCCGAGCCCAAAACCCGGTTTTTAACTAGTGACACGCCACACAAATCCGCCCGGTTCAACCAGATCCAGCAGGAATATGATGTCAGCAAAATTGCTGCACCAGCACCTGACCAGCTCCAGTACGAGAGAAAAACGAAGCACCAAGACGACTAGATCGCGGAGGGCTGACTTTACTTTCATTCAAAAGTCATCTATGTTACACAAAATATTTATCGAGTGGCTGGACCAGGTTCCCGGCAAGCTACAGGAGGCTTTGAGCTATCCTTGGCTGAGCTCGTCGACTAACACCTCCATGGCTCCCACAAACGAGCGACTGATCCCTGTTCCTGCCATGCCACAGAGCATTAAGAATAAGACTCTTGCTTTTCTTTCCCGACGCAGTAATGTTCAAGTCATAAGAACACCGGTCATTCCTCGTGTGATGATTATGTCCGTTGACCTTGTGCTTTCCTTCCACATATAGGGGCCGGGATTCCATGCCCTGCTAATTCAGTGCTCCGTCATATGCATGATACCGCAAAGGTGACCATCGCCATGTCGTCCGGGCATCCCACACACCCAAATCACGAGAACAGTGTACAAGAAAGGAATTTCAACCCCCATTCGTGGTCCTATCCAGCCTTTCTCCTTGGCTGGATATATGCACAAGTATCTCTTCTCACACTAGTGAGCTGTTCGCATCGCTTGTTGCAACCGCTGTTGCATATTCGCTTCAGGCGCAAGGTTCTCCCAGAATCCATAACTGCCATTCTGCTGTAATTCCAGGAACAGGATTGTCATGCCCCAGACGTGAGGACGGGCAACGGTCAGTCGTTCGTAGACGACTCGCGATATCTGTTCCCGAAGTTCGCGCTGTTGTTCATCGACATTGCCGGATCCCCAAAGATGGAGCATCAGCTTGCAGAAGAAATCCGTATGTGTGCTGGGGTACCGGATCTGGTCTGCAATGGCATTGAGGACTTGGTACCGACCCTCGTAGCCCAGGCTGAGCCCGAGCTTGGTCATGAAGACGACGGGTGCCAAATTGCCGTCGAATCTACCGGGCGGGCTGCTCAGTGCTTCCTGCCCAATGAATGGCACCAGAGCGTTAATGATCTCGACACTCTTCGCTGGTCCCATAGCCGTCGATCGAACCTGGCCTTCGAGAAGGGCTGCCTTGATCTGCTTCAAGGCAACCTCATAGTCACCTGATTTGCGGATGGCGTCCAGCATGACATCCCGTATGTCGGCCTGTCGTAGCGCCAAGTCAAAGTCGCCCGCCATGGTCGGATGTTTCTTCATCTCTTCGAGCCGTTCGATCTTCAGACCAGGCGTCATAGGGTCAGGCAGATCGTGATACGCCGACGGTTTCGCAGTAAGGATGAGATTCCTGAGCTGCGGGATCCCATAGCTAATGCGTGAGCAGAAATAGGTATGGTTCTGACAGAGGAATTCCGGATAATCATGGAGCAGGACCAGGATGTTCCTTAGCGTGCCCTTGTAAAGGTCGAGATTCAACAGTTCGAAACCAGCTGTGGTGGACAATTCGGAGATGTGGTGAAGAAGCAGTCCGATGAGCTCTCGATACGTATCCCAGCCAGCTTGATCGTTCGATTTCAGCATACCCGCTACAAAGACGCGGTGTACGACGAGACCGTACCACGCGTAGGTGAATCCCGGAAACCACGAAGGCTGGAGAGACTTGAAGCATTTGGCGAAGGCGGACATCATGTCAACGTGGTCGCTGGTGGTATCCAATCGAGCAGCAGCGTACTCGTAGAGCAGGTTTGCCAGCAGGCGGTTGAAAAGACGCTGTGGGAAAGCCACGCCCCGCATGTTTTGATGGTGGTTCAAAACCAGCACAATTACCGTCAAAATGGTCTCAAGGTATGGCGCCTTGCTGAGTCGGACCGCGCCATTTGTCTCGCCTTGGAATTTGACAAGCATAATGACCAGGCGGGAGAGAGCATCCACGTGAGCAAAAGCCACCTCGACACTGCCTCTCGGACTCTGGGCCTCTCGCTCGTAGCATTCAATGCATGAGTCGATACACAATCGGAAAAAATCGGCCAAGTCTTCCGTACTATTGATAGTCTGCTCCTTGTGGAGTTCCTTTAGGAAAGCAGCGCATGTGCTGTCGTTTTGACCGATGCTCTCGAAGATTCCGACCCATTCATCGAACACATAGCGCATCTGATCTTGCCTCGCTTTGGTCTTGTCGGTGACTTCAACGCTCACGAATTCAGGCATGCCGTGAGCCTTGAGCTTTGAGCTGATTTCTGACGCCACAAGAAGATCAGGCTGCTCCTTCACCCAAGCAGACATTGCGACGAGGCTATTGGCGAAGTCGGCTCGAAGCGCGGTTGGCTCATCAGTGAAGAGCGTCTGGTCGAGGATCTCTGCCAGGATCTCGAGCCCTCGCATATTTTTATTCAGGATGGAGGATGAGAGAGCGGCGTCAACCCGAGAGATCTCCAGCAAGCCCACCGTGATTAGTGCCACTACCACATTCGAGCTGGCCAAAATGAGCTCCTCACTAGCTGTCATCCATCTCAGCACATCTCTGACTATGAGGTCTGACAATTGACATAGTTTGGATAACAAGAATGCTAGGACCTCAGCCTCGAGCGGGCTTGCCGGGGGCGTCTGCGTAAAGGTGGCGCAAATTTTTTCCGCGATTTGACGTGCGAGCAAGTCAGTTGCTGGGCGTTGGGACGTTGTAAGGACGATCAGGATTTGCCTAAAATCCTGGAAGATCGAGCCGTTCTTCTCTAGATCCTTCACTCTTGTGGTTCCTGATGCTCTTGCCGCCTTCTGGATGTCTTCGATGAGGATGGATATGCGCTCATGAGGTGGGATGGTCTCAGCAAAGCCATTGACGCGTGGCTGTTGCATAGCTGAGAGCATTCGATTCTCTTGTTGCACTAATGGGCTTTGATGAGGAAGAGCAGGCTGGTCGGCAGGGGTTGAGAGATTGGGCATCGCAAGAGGATCTTGCAAAATATCAGGAATCTGTCGGCCAGTCGTGTCGGTAGAAGCATTTGGTAGATGATTGGCATTCATCCCGTGCACTCTACGGTCAAACTCTTCATAAACTGCCCGTTGCGCTTCGTTTAGACCGCCGACGGTTTGCTTATAGGGCTCCGGAATCCAAGCTGACCACCGATTGATTCCTGCAGGCATGAAATCTCTGTTTCCCCCCTCGGCGAGGAAGCGACGACGTTCTTCCATATCACCTTCAATGACTTGGTCGATTTCTGCCATGGCGCGTTGTTCGGCAGCTTGCTCGACAAGAGAACATGCTGTGTCCAGATTGTCGTTCACACACATCAGAATGGCGCCCTCAGGTAGAAGATGTTCGGGCAGATCCTCTTGAGCGGGACGACGAATGTAGTTCGAAATGCTCATTCGAAGAGGCTCCTTACATGTGACAAGGGCAAGACTGCCAGCGAGCGACTTGACCATCTGTCTAGCGGCCAGACGGTACTTTTCCACATCTGGCTCAAGGGCGTAGTCCTTCGCAACAAGTTGAGCCGTGGAAATTGATGCTATTGTGATTGACCGTTCGACGACAGGGGCGATGATTTCTTGGATAGCTTGGTCGAATGCGCGATAAATGATGTTCTTGACCAGAGCCTGATCCTGAGGCGACCCTGACGTGGGCGGATACTTGAGCACGTCCTCGAGATTTGGAAGAGTTGCCATAATCTCTGGGGCAGACAAGCGTTCACGGACGGCTCTGTTCATTGCGCCGTTCAGACCAATCTCGTCAAAATTCTCCACGCCATCTTGCAGTCCCGAAAGATTGGCTACATCGTCTTCTGCCTGAGGCCGATCTCTAATGACCAAAGCAGGCTCAAGCTTCTTGAAGTCAAGCTTGAATTCCTTGCAAAGAACCTCAATCTCAAACTTTAGATTCAGCTTGAGTTCGGCGTGATGATAGAGCTCCAAAAGCACGCCAATGATTTCCATGAGCCAAGGATTGGGAGGTACAAACACCAGAGAGTTCACACCCTGCGCCAGGACTTTGCATGTAAAGGGGATGACCAGGATGAGTCTTTGGGTGTCATACCCTTCCACAAGGAGATCAACGAAGTAGATGTTGCGGTGCTTGATTGGCTTGTCTTGTGCCAGAGTAAGTGACCCTAGCCAACCTCCAAGGTTCTTCAGGTGACTTCTTTCGGTAGCAGAATTTATGGTGGATTCAGCGCTCATCATCTTGTTGATACTGACGTATGTTTCGCGGATCACCTCAGACATAAGCAAGTTGTCGCCAAATTTGCTGACGAACTGAAAGTACATTTCCTGGTTGTTTGGCTCAAGTCTTGCACGCTGTTCCACCAGATATGAGGCGAACCATTGATAGTGCTCCGGGGCAAAAGATTCCTTCAAGTCCACCAATTTGCTGGCCATATTGTCCTTGGAGAGATTATTGATGACGAACAGAATCTTCTCTTGGACTTTCTGGTCGGGCTCGCGAAAATGGGCAGAAGGATCAGGAGGGTCAGCGTGTAAGGCTCGGAAACCACGACCAGTATCTTGAGTGACAACATCAGCGGCTCCGTTCGCTGTGTGGCCGCTCCCAATGCCGTTAGCGCCGAAGCCGTGGCCATTGCCATTACCAGCCGCCTGTTGAGCACGGAGGCCCTCCTCGGCTCGCTGCATAAGTTCCGCGTGTTGATGAAGTGAAGGTTCTTGCAGAAGAAGACTGCACAGGCCAGGCCATTCCGAAAGCTGATCGCTAATCTGCAGTAATGCTTCTATGCCGAAGCGGTGCATGAGTGTGTCCGGTTCATGGTCGCGGACAGCGCGAAGGATAAGAGCAAGTCCGAAATCTCGGGGAATTGACGGGAGGAGATTGTACTTGATGATGTTGCCAAAGAGGAGCGCTGTTTTCTCCAGAGCATCCTCCGGATATTCGCTGTAGCAGACGTATTCGTCAAACAGCCCGTGAACAATGCAGCAGAAGAGATCCTGCTGTTGTGGGTCAGCCGAAGTTTTGAACTTGCGCATCTCGTTGACCATGTCGCGAATGGATAGCTCTCCTCGATACATGCGGCCAAACAGCTCGGACATCTGTTTATCGATAACTTCGGAAAGCTTATTGCCCTTTTCTTCACTGCTCCTTTCCAATATGTCATCAAAACCTGCCCCATAGTTCATTAACCGTGGATAAGTCTGTAAGCATGTGGTCTGAGCGCTTTCAACGGCGTCACGATCATCCAGATTGTCTTCGACCTTTTCCAGGAGAGTATGTACGTTTCGGAGAGTGAGTGGGATCGATTGTGGCGGTGCTCCACCACGCTGAACCCTGAATTCGTCGTCTGCCTTGATCCGGAGGTACTTGGCGAGGATCAACCCCAGGCTCGTTTGCCCCTCAGCGGCTTCTGCAAGATATCGTTCTAGGTCGAAGTCCTGTCGCAGTCTATCGCGCATACAAGCGATATCGAGTGCCAAGGGGTTGGTCCAATGCTTGAGAAATTCCTCAGTCCACCCAAACTCCTCGGCGCGCTCATAGATGACTTCTGTCTGGCGAGGATCGTTCTGAAAGACTAAATGGCAAAGTTCGAAGAGGTACTGAGGATTCTGTGTCGCGAGAGCCTGGAGGACCGGCCGATAGTCGGGGCGTTGTTTCTCAAGGAAAAGGCTGAAGCATTCCGCGATGAATTTCTCTTGGTCACTGGCCCACGGTTTGGCATTGGTGCGTGAAAGGAACAGCAGGAAGATGGCCGCGTGACTTTGATAGACGTCTTGCAATATGTCCATTGCATCTTCTCCATCTGGCCCGGTTGCTGGACCGAGGACAACCTCAAAGATGGCCTGACAAGCATCGGCCGAGGCGTACGGGGTGTCCAACTCCGCGGTGATCAAATTCACGACTTCGGGAGACAGCTTCTTCAAATCATCTTGAGGCAGAGTCGAACGCAAATGCGGTATTCGCGCAACCCGCACCACTGTTGTTGGAGCAGCGAGGAAACCAGCGAGAAGTGAAATCTGTGTAGCTGGATTTTGCCAGGTTCCTCCCCAGAGTCTCTGGAGGTCCAGGTGTGTATCTTCCTGCGCCACGTGCAGTAGAGTCCCATACAGTCTCGGGAACTCTGTCCTCCGCAACCGAAGACCCGGAATGTCGAATCCTTGGATGACCAGGTTCCAGTCCAGCTGTCTCACCCGGAAAGCATCCACCAGATTCAATAACTCGTATTGTTGATTGACGGTAAGGATCAGGAATAGGATCGCATTGGCCGCCTGGGGTTCGGTGATGGCGGACGCAGGCAAGGATGCCAGAAAATCTCGAGCAGCTTGTTCGGATGCGAGTGCTTTGGGGCCATGCCGTAGCAGGCCACGTGCAATGTCTCGATTCTCGGACGGGAGGCGCGTGACCATATAGGCACCATATAATAGTTCGGGCTTAGTCCCTGTGTATCGAGGTGTGATGGCTCGCCAAAGGTCGTCCTTTTGATCTTGGGTGGTTATTGAAGCGGCGGCCAACGAAAAGTACTCGACTACCGAGCAGATATTTTCAGCAGCAAAGGAAGGTGAACTGGCGCCACGGCCTTCTGACAGAGTCCGCAGGGAGGATTGGGCGAAGTTTGTCAAGAAGCTCTCGGCCTTTGCTCTTAGGTCGACGCGAGCGCATTTTGTGAAGGCGACGGCGAGGATGACTTGAGATAGGGTGTCAGAAGGGAAGAAGTGTTGGATGAAGCCCACTAGATCAAAATCGCGGAAGGAGTCCTCTTTGGACGTGTCAATGGCCTCAGCAATCTTCGCAGGTTGTTCTGGATCTGAGGCGACTTGGTCCAACTGTTCGTGTAGCAGTCTGTAGCTTCCTTGGTCATGATCTTTGGCTCCCTGGAAAATGGCGGCATTGTTGAGGGAGATAGCGCGCCGGAGGAACTGGGAAAAGACCTCCATGCCGTTGGAGTCAAGCAGTCGCTGAATCTTCTCCCTCTTGGCCTCCCACTTCTGCTTTCCCTCTCTTTCGCTGATGGTATCAAGAAGCAGGAGAATCTGAGTCGCAGATATCTTTGAGAGCGAAGAGGGGCCGGACGCGGCAGGACTGGTGATCATGGGAAGCATTCATGACCTTGGAAAGGGCGGTGGTGTGTACGAAGGGTTTGCGGGGAGAAGCAGTCACGTTGCACGGTTTGGGTCCAGGCGCAGTGCAGGTGAAGGGAACGTGAGAGGAGGTGGGAGGGTGGTCGATAAAGAGTCAACGTCTAGAACAAGGTGGTTCACCACGTGAACGAGAGAAGGAATAGATGTTGATGAGATGTGACAGCAGGAACAACTTGGAGACAGGATGTGCTGGCTGTCAGAGGATCGCCAGTCGTCCTGGTCCTTCTCCTTCACGCCTTGGCACATATCACGTGAGCATCACCAGGGCATCATCAGAACATCACTACGGAGTACCAGGAAGAGCTGGGCATGTCAATCTTGTTTCACTTGTTCATTGTACTATCTCGAAGGTTTGCCTCAACATATGGCGAAAGCCTGCAGTTCCTGAACAGAGAGAACTCATCCAGCCATCAAGCCACTTCCAGGTCGTGAAAATAAAATCGTCACTCGAGAAGAATACAAGTCTCGCCCACAATGCACAATCCATGGCCTTGGGTTATACAAGTCCCTGGAACCGACAACCCAAGAAAAGACTTCCTGAACACACGCCGTGGCAAGAATGTCGGCCTGCTGCTCGCTGACTCAAAACCTCGTTCTCTTAGACTCCACTGCTGCTACTCCAACGGTCTCATCGGCAGCGTCTGGAGCACCTCTCTTCCTCCCCTTCTGACCTCCCGTCGAAGATCTACCACCAGACTTGAGTCTAGGCCAAGTATCAAAGGGGCTAGTCTTCTTGTTCGAGTTTGCATCAGCAGCGTTCAATTCGGCTTCGTCTGTAAAGAGAAGAGCTTTTCCAGTGGAGCGCAGTGACCTTCCCATCTGGACACTCGGCGAACCAGGACTAGACACATCGGCATTTCCAGTCTGACCAGCTGGCTCTTCAATGTCCGTCAAGGCTTCTTCCTCCTCGTGGGCTTTGCGTGCCTTCTTTTGCGTCTCGGTCTGGAATAGTCTCTTTGGCTTGATTGAGCGACGTGTGAGAGTCCTGAGCGATCGAGTGGTTGTTTCGGGTGAGTGTTCAAGGAGACCCAGATCATCGTCAATCTCCTCTTCCTCGTCGTCCTCGTCATCAAATCGTCTGTAGACCTTCTTGCCGCGACTTAAAAAATGATTAGTTGGCGAAATAATGGTCAGAGAGTCAACTCACAAGACGTAGACCATGCCCTCGTCCTCCCGAATGGCCGCTGCCACTTGAGGATCTACCGTCTTTCGCTCCCCACTGACCTTGCGTCGCTTCGAAGTTCCTTCAACCTTCTGACTGGTTGAAGCCTCGCCATTCACTTCGTGGTCCACAAAGGGATTGGTTCGGCCGTGGTCGACTTGTGGGACTCTATCCCGTGAATCGGTGAAGATCTGGATCTGGCCATGACTTTCGTCTTCGGCAGAAAAGCTCTCAAGGGAAAAGCCATTGTAGCGCTTGTTCTTGCGATTTCTTCTCGGACTTGGCTCAAAATCCACCATGTCGGGGTTTTCTTGAAACAATGCCCGAGCAGCGTTGTTCGCCTTGGCGACCACCTTCTTCTTAGGAGTCTTGACTGGGGTAGGGAGCATGCCGTCGGATATTATGGTTGAAGAGGAAGCAGAAGGTTGCAGGTGCGCTTTGGAGCGTGGCATTTGTTTGGTGGGCAAGGTGTCGGTTTCGGGGGAGGAGGGAGAGATGATTTGCACCCGGCGCGTTTGCTTATTGCGCGGCGTTGAATCAGGTGATTGAATACCTGGTGCAGTTTGTCTTTGTCTCGACTGCCTTGACGACTTTGGGGTTGTCACTGCTGCTTCGGATCTGGTACTCGGCTGGGGCGCATCAGGAGTTGCATGGACCTGTCTTGCTGCGATTCTTGAGCTGGCTCTGGTAGGACGAGTATCGTAAGTAGCGCCGTGTAAAGGTGTGGGAGGAGTTTGAGGGGTGGATGCGATCTGAAGCGGCGGTGTTGAAGCCATGTTGCGGAGCGCTCAGGAACAAGTGAAGTACGGAGCACCCTCCAATCGACTGCCGGACCTCGAGGGTGAAGTCCCAGTCCAGAGACCGCACACGGATTCAAAGTATCGGATTGTAATGTATGGTAAGGCGACCGACTCAATGCACGTCTGGTATGTTGGAAGGGACCGGCAGCATTGTGAGGTACAGATAGAAGGAGGTCAACGATGAGGTTGATGTTGGAGGCTGGGCCTTGTCCATTGGGCGGTGATTGACGTGGCTGGGAATGCAGTGTGCGCTGTACGGAGTAGTTAGTGGCGCCACCAGCGCCGTTCGCTCCGCTGCTGTGAGGCTTAGGCGACCCACTGGCTGCACCCCGAACGCGCTCGTCCCTCCACATCCCTCCACCACGCGCAAAGTGGTCACCATGCGCACAGTTGTGGACCATTTACAATCTACGGAGTACGGAGTACTCTGAACATACTAATGCAACGGCGAATGGTGTTCCACTCTTTTCCAACATTTCGTCCTTGCTCTGTCCGTCATGAACAACGGCAAATCTCTGGATATGGAGGACCTAGACGAGAGCCTCTGGGATTCGCCCTCCAAGCCAGAAGGCACCAGCAAGCAGGCACATGCCACAAAACCTACCTACCAGGAGCAACGAGAACGTGATGAAAGCCTGCGTCAGGAACTGCAAAGCGTCCGCCAGGTCAATGAAGCAATTCAAGGCGTGACGCACAGTCTATTAAAGGCGAAAGACAACATGAAGGTAGTGGACAGGAGGGCTACAATACACGCTGCATACTGACTGGTACCATCAGGCTGTCAACAACACTGTCTCGGCTGCTTCTGCGCTACTCAATACATGGACCCGGATATTGTCTCAAACCGAACACAATCAACGACTCATCCTCGATCCCTCGTGGCAGGGTGCCAGCCAGGATATTGCCAATATCGAGGAGGAAGCCTTACAGAAGCAGCGTGCTACTGAGAGACGAGAAGCAGAGGAAGAAGAAAGAAAGATGGCAGCAGCAAGACGCGCAGAACAAGAGGAGAAGCGGAAAACAGAAGCAGTCGTCCAGCCTACGAAAACCGGTATTTGGAGAGGCACATCTAGGGCGCCTTCTGCTGGACGAGGGTCGGGTGCGCAGACGCCATCGTCGTCTTATGTGCAGGTGGGTGGCCCCAACTCCAGCGGTACCAGGCGAGGGACGTCCTCAACGAGGAGGACCACTTCAGGTGTTGGGCGGGGCACCGCTGGAAGGGGAACGAGAGGGCGTGGTTGAGGTTGAAAAAGCTTCGAACTGCATTCTCATATATGAGGAGACTCGGCTCGTTCAGACGGGTGGCCATTGACCTCAATATTAACCCTCTACGCAGCGTTGTGGTGAGGCTCAGAGGGCGATCTGCTGGTAAGAAAGGCTTTGTGAAACGCGTCTGGCGTTGCCATGTCCGCAAAACGGACCCTTTGATGCTCTAATTCGGGCCAAGGTCAGCTCAGGACACAGTACCGAACTGGTAAACGGATCTTTCCCTATTTCAACAAAGCGAGATTGTCCACCCTTCACCTACAAGCGGAACCCTCTATGTGCGAGACACGTGCGAAAAGAGACTTGTCTTCCTCGACCGACAAATATCTTTGGTCGATTACAGTTTTGACCCGAGCTTCATCTGTTCCCTGAACTCGCCCTGTGCCTCCACCATCAACCCAGAACGAGTAAGCAGATCATAGACCAGTGCTGCCATGCCTTTGGCCCTCCAAGAGCACGCTCAAAGACTTGCTTTCGTCCTGCACGGCGAGTGCTGGCGTATGTGGTTGAACGCCAGCGTCGTTGATACCAGCGCTAAAAGCACGACGGAAGCCGGGCACTTCATAGGTCACGTTGCTCATGTCTGTCGACGTTGTTATAGCATGATCGCCATCATCCTCCAGTCAAGCGCGGCCAAAATCACATGTGGTTCGTGAGTTTCGGGGCCAGGGCACGGTTGAGGCACAGGTCTTTGTAGTCATGATCACTGGCCCCCGGGGTCAATATCATGTCGCATCTTGAAGGAGATTCACTTACATCTGCCGAGCACGATCAATGCCACACCAATTGCTAGCACGCCCGCCTCGAAGCAGGCTTGCACTTTTGCAAAAAGCTCCTCGACACCTCAGAACGTCGTATCCCGTTGGGGGGGGGGCTGGTCGAACCAGGAATCCAGTCTGGATTTGCTCCTTCTTATCGAATAACGCCATGCACACGTCCGGTGAGACTTCGTGCCGCAGGAATGAGATGTTGACATACAGTTCGACCATTGCATCAGGGGCATTTTTCCCGTTTCATGGAAGGGGCCCGGCATGAGCCTTCTGGTCCTTAAATGTGACTGTGACTTGTCGCCGAGCAAGCGGCTTTCACTGGGAAGGCTCATCAAGCAAGCAATAAACGCCTCATACGCTCCTCACATACGCCTACTCGGATAAGACGCAGTTTTCCACTTCCATCCTCTTCAGCTGGTGTTCCAAGGAGGCGACGCGCTCTTTTCTTCGACTTTCACGCAGTGCATCTGCCATTGCAACGAATGCGGCTCTGGAATCAGTAGTGATGAGATTACGTCCGCAGGCACAAAGGCGTAGTATTCGGCGTTGAGACACAACTAAAGGAAAACACTTAAATTTCCACCGATGGAATAGCAAGTCGTCGCCCATGTTTCAGTAGCATTGACGCAGCATTTATACGTATCAGGATAACCATACCTGTTCAACTACCTGTTTAGATACCTGTTCAGATACCTGTTCATCCAGAAAGCATTGGGGACCTGTCGACCGTCCCTGATATACTCGGCCTGGAAGCGCCGGTTGACGAGTTTGATTCTAGGTGGTGCCTAGAACACTCTGCGAGACATCACTATCAACGAGCTTTGAGACATCTATCTAGTTTCGTAGATCACATTTCCTCGCCCTGAAGCACGGACGACGATATTCATACCTCTTTGCCGTGTCGTTTCCGATTCTCCTTTTGGCCTGTATGACTCGGCCAGCCTTGGGGCTTCCAGCTTGGTGCTGTGCAGCGGCGTTCACCTCACTGCTGTCTTTGTACTACTCGTTCTTGAACATACATGCTAATGGTCAGTCATTTCAGAGCGATCGTGACATCAGGATTGGGTTTTGCGAGACCTCAAAGCCCTCACCATCACGCCTCTGGGCGCTACGCAGCTCGTTTTTCCGCTGTCCAACTTCCACCACCTTCCATCATCGCGTCTGGTGCTCGTGATATTCAACACACTCACCCCGATGGTGGGGGACGATCATGTTCTACGAATGAGTCGGATGCCTAGGATCAAGGCAAGGGAAGTCGTGTTTGAAGTTCAGTAACGTGTATTAGAGTTGACATGTACATGCAACGTGGGTGTTACTTATGCTTTAAATTTCGAACAATGTGTGGGCGAGAGCCTGGTATTGTCAACGAGGCACACCCTTTCCGCTGCTTAGTTTAGACTCGTGGCGATGTCGCCGTCAATTTGCAGTCGTTGTCGGAGCATTGATGAAGAGGACCAAGCTTCGATTGTACATACCTGGTTATACATTCCTCACTCTGCCCGGTGGCGAAGATGCTAGCAGCAAGTGATACTGGCGATGCCATCCAGAGCTAATCCCTAAGAGGTGACGTTACCCCTTGCCAAGACCCGCGACGCTGTTTATCTATTAATGTATCGAAGAGGCCGGAGTGAAGAATCCTTCACATATTGTCACTCGAAGCCATGGCCATGGCAGCAGTCGCTCGCTAATCGCAACTTTTGCCATAATGGCACGCTCAAGTTGCCTCAGGTTTGCCCTGCCGCGAGTCATTGGTGCTTCGACCTGTGGCTTACGAGGACGACTAGTCGACACAAGTTATAGACGCCTCGACACAGCAGGAGGCTCTCGGTGCCCATTGACCAAGGCTTCTCTTGTAACCAGGACCCCTGGTTGTCGTTACTTAAGCACGACATCGCCGAACCCATATGCCGATGATGATGACGGTGGCACGTACAGTGAAGCAGAGCATGAGCATGCGGTCATCTCAACATTTGATCTTTTCTCCATTGGCATTGGCCCGTCCTCGTCGCACACCGTCGGACCTATGCGTGCTGGCAACATCTTTGTGGCGGATCTCGTGGAAGCCAATCTGCTGCACAAGGTTAACAAGATTCGTGTTTCCATCTACGGCAGTTTAGCTCTTACAGGCGAGGGCCACATGACGCCGTCAGCCTTACTTCTGGGTCTGGAGGGTGCCGACGTCGAGACCGTCGACACCTCATACGTTCCCAAGCGCTTTGATGAAATTAAAAGCGGAAAGAGGCTTTTCCTCGGCCGTGGGCTTCCAGGTGGCAAGGGCAAAGAGGTTGCCTTTGATTATGAGCAGGATTTTGTCTGGGAATGGGGGAGAAAGTTGCCCCTACACAGCAATGGTATGCGCCTTACCGTCTTTGACGAGGAGGGCGACATGTTGGCAATGAACGATTTGTTTAGTGTTGGCGGCGGCTTTGTCGTCAACGGCGCACTTTCTATTAACCAAGCTCCCAGTCCAGATACGCAGGCTCCATTGGACAGCTCCTCAGAAAACGCGCAAGATTTGGTTACCCGGGATTCAGGACAGCATCCCGCTGATTTATCAGAGAACATGTATTACAAGGAGATTCGTCGAGCTGATGCAGCGGGAGACCGGAAAACAGGAGCGGAGATCAAAGCCCTGGACGATGCCGCTGGAACGTCAACTAACCTGCCTGAGATTGTGTCAGAGTCTAGTTCAACCGGCCTGTCGTCCACCGCGGACAGTACAAGTGGTGTTACCGCTGATTCTGAGGACAGCACCACGTCAAATCAACCCCGCTACCCCTTTCGCAATGCTGCTAGCTTGTTACATTTATGCCACAAACACAACCTGACCATTGCGCAACTTGTCTTTGAGAATGAAAAGAGCCACGGGTACTCAGACGAAGAGATATACCAAAAGGTCTTTCGGATTTGGCGAGTCATGGACGAAAGCATCCTGGAGGGTGTCCAGGCACCGCAAGACTCCACTCTGCCAGGCTCGTTGAAGCTGCATCGACGAGCTCCAGCATTGTATCAGCGGCTTACGAGGGGACTCTATCCCTCTACCACTCAAGGTGTCGCACGTCAGGAACACTCTCCCCCAAGGACGAGGAACAAATCATTGCCCGAATCGACACCCACGGCAGTGAGTCGGATACCGACTGGTGTGGGAAGACGACAACCGCTCCGCGTTCATGGGTCCCTGGAACATCCCGTTCCACCATCACCCCTGCGGCGCACCACGTTCCCGGCCATGGATTACTTGACTGTGTACGCCATTGCCGTCAACGAGACTAACGCTGCTGGTGGACGGATTGTGACAGCTCCTACGAACGGCGCCGCCGGCATTATCCCCGCTGTGCTGAAGTACACGATCGAATTCGTTAGCGACGATGCAGAACGTGACGTGATGACGTTTTTGCTAACGGCCGCTGCCATCGGCATGTTGTACAAGCGTGGCGCTACCATCTCCGCAGCCGAGGGTGGGTGCATGGCAGAAGTAGGTGTTGCTTGCTCCATGGCTGCTGGCGCCTTTGCGGCGTGCATGGGGGCCAGTCCGGAGGCGATCGAACAAGCTGCCGAGATTGGTATCGAGCACAACTTGGGCCTCACGTGTGACCCTATTGGCGGTCTGGTCCAAGCACCATGCATAGAGCGGAACGCTCTGGGTGCCATCAAGGCCATCTCGAGTGCCAACCTGGCGCTCAGCAGTGAAACAGGCACGCAAAAAGTGAGACTCGACGATGCTATCCGGGCAATGCGCCTGACTGCCAAGGGAATGAGGAATGAATTCAAGGAGACGAGTTTGAGTGGACTGGCAACGAGCGTGCCGCTTCATATTCCAGTCAGTGTCCCTGACTGTTGAACGGAGCCAGGATGAATACAAGAAATCGAATGCCGATCTGACAAATGTGATGTGTTCTGACGCTCTGATCTTGCCATGTCTCACCTAGCATCAACAAGGACACAACGATGGTACCGTGGTGCACAGACACCGGACCTTCTTGAAGGCATAGCTCGATGTCATTGTTGCTGGGCATTGCTTGCTCATACGAAGCGACCAAGCTGAACGGTCAGTTGAAGACGCCGCTCAAGCAGTGTTTCATGTCCCGTGCCTCCGACTGCATGCTGGCCGAATAGCAGACCATCGAGCTGCCCGGAGCTGAGGGTCCGGAATTTGTGAGCAAAGTCACGAACGGGAGTCTGTAACTGGAACCCTATCGCTGGGGCTTTCGCAAAACCCCCTGCCCACAGTGAGAGTGTAACTGTGGCAGAACAAGGTTCTGGAGGAGCATATTGACAGACGGGACCACGAGAGCGAATCGACGAATACAACGACCGAAGAAGGTTCTCCCAAATGTTCTTTGATTTTTAGTACCGAAGACGATCTCGTGTCAACGCCTACGGGAGCTCGCGCTCTGTCACTACACAGTACGTTGTTAGTTTACTTGACCGCCAAGCTTAATCTCAGACTCAAGCCTAAATTAAGCCCGAAGCTCCGGTTAAGCCTCACTTTAGACGCGGCGCAGCGCAGGTGATTTTATCCAGTGGACTGGCCTGATAGTCGATACCAAGTTCTTTCCTACCCCAGCTCAACTCACCGCAATTCGCCTCACCTCACCTATTCAATCCTCGAAGGAAGTATTGTGCAGTGGGCTCTTTGAAATACGAGGCCCGGACCGTTTGCTCCAAGTGCACTTCCTACCCGCCCCGTAGCACCGACACGCGCGGAGACACCAAGTAAACAATGAACTTCGCGCCCTACCAAGATGCGTCCCCCGAAATGTAAGCTGCACTTCAGTCACCATTGAATGGCACTCATTACTGACAGATCTACGAACAGAGAGCGTGCCTTCTCACCTCCTCCCAAGGACCGACCTTCAATAGACTCCCCTCGGATCCGATCGCCTCCTCCGCCGAATAGACCTGGGTATGGTGGTGGTCGTACCATCTCTGACGTGCAACCGCTCCCTCCACCAAGTTCCTTTGCTGGTGACTTCGCTGCACGTCCGTCGGCCCCTGGGATCGAGCGAGGTCAGAGCCTGGAGGCGTTCGAGACCAGTCTGCCCATGAGGGTAGATCATGAAGCAATGCTGGCATATCTCCTCCTTCCTCCCGCTGGAGGGGTGTTTCTACTCATGTTTGAGCACAAAAGCGACTACGTCCGATTCCATGCATGGCAGTCCAGCATGCTTTTTGCGGCGTTGTTTGTTCTGCACCTGATCCTGGCATGGTCAAAGATTCTCTCCTGGATGCTTTTCGCCATCGACCTGCTTCTCATCGGGTTTCTGTCACTGCACGCTTACAGAGACGTCGAGACACTGGATCACTTCGAGGTCCCCTTCTTTGGCAGGCTGGCAAACTCGTTTGTAGAGAACGAGTGACACTGATGGACGAAACAGAGGGTCTAGCCTTCATTCTATGAGCACAAAGATGTCGTGGGGCAGCTTCCTGGCATTGGCGCAGGCCGTGGTGGTGTTCGTCTTGAATTGCGGCAGAGCCCGCTAAGGAGGATTGTCCCAAAATCAGGGACATGCGTCTTGGCGGGATAGGCGTCGAACTCCGAGCCGACAGAGGCGAACGACCCTGTTCACTTCGTCTGCTGCCCGAGTGCCACAGGACCTTTCACTGTAAGGGCTTCTCTTCGCTCTTATGGGCGCTTCGCTAACCACCAGTGTAGGTGCGACAATGAGGATTATTCGTCTTGGAGTACTTGTGCCGTCATCTAATACGGCATTGGAGCCGCTTACTCATGCGATTGTCTCATCGATCCAATCAAAAGATGTCACAATCTCCGTATACTTCTCTCGGTTCCGTGTGACTACGATCGATATTTCCTCCGAGGCGAATGCGCAGTTCGAGTTCTCGCCGATTCTGCACGCTGCGACCTTGCTTGCCGATGCCAAAGTGGATGTAATCGGGTGGAGTGGTACAAGTGCGGGTTGGCTCGGCTTCGAGCATGACGAGAAACTGTGTGCCGCAATCGAAGCAGAGACCGGCGTTAAAGCTACGACATCCGTGTTGTCCCTCAACTCGATTTTACGCGGCCTGGGTGTTATCTCCTTTGGGCTCGTGACACCATATCGGAAAGAGCTGAACAGTTTGATCCGACAGAACTATGGGGCAATCGGTGTCGATATCAATGCGACCTGGGATCGTCATCTTGGGCTGACGGACAACATCGAGATCGGGAAAGTGGACGAAGCCACTTTAGATGGGATGGTGATGGATGTGGCCTCGAAGGGCGCGCACGTTTTGTCCACTTTCTGTACCAATCTTCGGGCAGCGCAACGTGTCGGGCATTGGGAGAAGTCAGCTTCTGTCATTGTTCTCGACACTGTGGCTAGCGTCGTCTGGGGTATGCTGAAGATCGTAGAAGTAGACACTAAGCTGGTGAAGGGATGGGGTTACATGTTTGAGGTTGAATGATTATCTGTCACCAGATGAGGACAGTGGGTAGCGCCTCGGACGCGCGACCGTCACTCCGTACGGAGTAGACAAATAGCTGATGACCCCAACGTCAGCCGTTGAGAAACGCAGGAAACGGCCACTAGGACGATACCACGAGGCTGAGACGCGGTTGCGCGCGGCAAGGCTGATGGTGGCGGGACGTTGCTGGGGTGACCACTCTGTGTACGAAATCGTCATTGGGTCCGATTGCACACCCCGTCGGCTGCTTTCACAATCCTCAGTATCTGCTTGACACACGAGCACACTGCATACAGCATACAACATACAGTACCGCGTCTACCACTATCAAAAGACAGAAGAACCATTCTTCGTAAGCTGGCACGATGCCAGCAGGCACTGCCTCGGAAGTGGACGCCCCTCCATCTGTGCCGCTGAGCTGTGAGTCTGCCATCTCTACGGCCTACCTGACGCATCTGACCGTTATCTAGTTTCCAATAACTTCTGGGGGCGCGATGACGCTGGCGTCGACCCTCTGCTCACCCGCATGCAAAATGCCAAAACCACCTGCGACGAACTCAAGGCATTCTACAATGCCCGCGCCGCGCTCGAGGAAGACTACGCCAAAAAGCTGCTCAGCCTGTCCCGAAAGCCCCTCGGCAGTGCAGAACAAGGGTCTCTGCGCGCCAGTCTCGATGTCGCTCGAGGAGAGACGGAATCCATGGGCAAGCAGCATGCCCTGGTCGCCCAGCAGATGAAGTCCGAGCTGGAAGAGCCCTTGGCGGCATTCGCAGGTGGAATCAAGGAGAGGAGGAAGATTATACAGAATGGGATCGAGCGACTGCACAAAATGAAGCAAACCCAAACAGCTCACGTCAACAAATGTCGGGACAAATACGAACAGGACTGTCTCCGGATCAAGGGATATCTCGCTCAAGGCCACATGGTCATGGGACAAGAGGAGCGCAAGAACAAGGCCAAGTTGGAGAAGACTCAGATCAACATGGCGTCGAACTCGAATGAATACGAGGCTGCTGTCAAGGTCCTGGAAGAAACGACGGGCCGCTGGAACAAGGAATGGAAGGCTGCCTGCGACAAATTCCAAGATCTCGAGGAAGAACGGCTTGACTTCACAAAATCTTCCCTGTGGGCGTTCGCCAACATTGCAAGCACCGTTTGTGTATCCGACGATTCGTCGTGTGAGAAGATTCGCCTCGCCCTGGAGAACTGTGAGGTGGAGAAGGACATTACCAGCTTCATCAAGACTTGTGGCACAGGTCAAGAAATCCCTGACCCTCCGCGATACATCAACTTTGCCAGGAATGACATTGATAGCGCCTCGGAAGCCTCAGAGGATGACTACTCGGTCGCACAATTCTCGAGAACCACAAACCCGGCTTTCAGGTCGTCTTCACCAACACACTCCGCAAGCTCGAAGCCGAGAAGAAGCCAGACACCAGAGCGACGCTCGGAGGAACCGATGCGACCGGATGAGGATGACACGCCAACACCTCACAATCCCAACAGTGGCCGCCCACCACCTCTCAACTACAAGCAACCACAAGCTACCCACGTCCCGCCAAATTATTCGCCGCGTCAACATGGGGAAGTCCCTCAGGTGCCGCACAACCAATACCCGACCGAGGGAATGACCATGTTTTGCCGCTCAGATGCACCACCGTCTGTGGCTGGTTCAGCTTTGTCTTCGAACACTCGACCTGAAAGTCGGGATGACCAGAGCGACTATTCTGCTCCAAGCTCGTTCACTAGTGCTGAACCGTCTTCTGGAGCGGCTTCGCCCACAAAAATGGCGCCCATCAACGGAGTTCAACTGCCAGGGATGACATCGCCGGAAAAGTCTGTCCACAAGAAGAGATCAGGATTCTTCTCCAACAGCCCGTTCCGGAGAAAGTCGAGGAAAGAGCATGAAAACCCGATAGCGAGCGATCTGTCGTCGACTCGCAGTTCTTGGAATGCAGTGTCAGCCACGAATGGTCGTATCAACCTGAATCCCACTGTCTCAAGCGCCCAGTCGAGTCCGACCAAATCCCCAGTGCGGCAACAGCAGAGTTACTTCAACCGTAATGTGGCTGACATGGCTCCCGAGGGTGAAGAGGCCCCGGACCCACGAGCAAACTTCCAGCTCAACATTGGCAACAACGTCTTCGACGTGGCAAGTCCTGATGGGTATCAAGACACGACACCAAAGACCAGTGCTGCCAGCCGACGCGGCTTTCTGCCACCTCCGACAGCTTCCACTTTGACCGATGACTCAATGCATGATCCAATTGCACGGGCGTTGGCAGATTTGAAGCAGAGTGCTGGCAGTAGCAGTGGTATGGCCAAGCAGGCGAGTACTCGTGTTGCGGTGGACCGATATCACGGCGTGGCCACACCAGCCCCAGAGCAGGAACCACTCACTCGACCAGGCATTTTGAGCGCAGAAAGCCAAGCAAGACTGGCTGCTCAGCGAGGCACACCGCCGCCGGCTTATGAGACGGCAGGTGCAGAGCCGCGACCAGTAGGCCGAGTTCAAACAGCGCTCGGTGTCCCTCAACCCGCCCACACCAAGCGAGAAATGCTCAATCGCACGGAAACCTGGGGTACAAACCGGGTCAACGGCAGTCAGACTCAACCGTCGAGGCCGGGGACACGAGATGGCCGTCGAAGTCCCGGACCAGGCATGGTGCGTGCAGCAAGTCCTCAACCACAAGCTTACAATCAACCTCCTCGAGCACGCAGCCCGCAACCACAAGGTCAATTCACCCAGCCTCCGAGAGGGCGAAGTCCTGCTCCGGGGATGATACCCCGAGCCGCGAGTCCACTACCGCAAGCACAGGGTGCATACCAACCTCGGTCGAGGAGCCCTGCGCCTGGCATGATGCCCCGAACAGCGAGCCCCAACCCCATGGGGCAACAACAGGGCGCAAGACCAGGAAGTCAGCAATACCGGGCAGCATCGCCGAATCCGTACGCCGGCAGACCCAGGCCAGATCCGAGGTCAAGCCACGCTCCTCGACAGGGCAGTGGGATGGAAATGCAACTCAGTTCTCAAGACGTGACACGTTATGACGGGCGGGATGGTGGTGGTAGCGGCCGCAGTCGTCAGAACATGATGCGGCCGAACTCGAGTTTTGGCGGCGATCGATATTCCCAGCCGCAGCAACAGCAGCAGCAGCAGCAGCGTCAACCTCAGTCCCAGCAACGCGGTGGCAGCATGGACATCGAGTTGCGGAGAGAGAGGAGTAAATCCCTCGCCAGTATTCCATATCGCGGTCCGCCGCCTCCACAGCCCGAGCCGCAGCGCGTGTTGCATTATGGTAAGCCAAAGCAAGACCTCTTGCCTTGTAAAAGAATATATCACTAACGTGGCCCCCTCAGCACGTGCAATGTACTCCTACACGGCCGCCATCCCGGAGGAACTCTCCTTCACCAAAGGCGATATCCTCGCGGTGCTACGCCTCCAGGACGACGGGTGGTGGGAAGCCGAAGTCAAGGAGTCGGCGCGCGGCGTCAAGGGCGGGATCGGGCTGGTTCCGAGCAATTACCTGCAGAGATGCTAGCAGCTGACATTCGGTGAGGCTGATTGTGTAAATGGAATGATCAATAGGGAGGCATACAGGTGTATTTTGGAGCAAAGGTGTTTATCCATGGAGGGTAGGATACGCGAGATGATTTGCCGGAGCTGCGATGGGATTTTTGTGTTCGTGTGTCGCATCATGGTGCTTTGCATACAATACCACAGTATTCCATGTCTGTTCCTGAGTAGCCAAGTAAGCATGCGTGTAGATACAGACTTGCTGGCTGGTTGACTTGTTGGCCGGTTCGCTGGTTTGCTGGCTGGGTTGGATGATTGGTATTTGGATACGTATACGGAGTATCCGGAATGAACAGGCATGCATGGCGAGCGTGGCGTGGCGCAGCGTCGCCTTGCCTTGCTTTTTCTCTCGACTTGACCACCGTGAGTGTTATTTTCCTGTGATCGTACCGCGATTGTGAACACTCCATGTACGGAGTATGGATCACGATAAGTATGTGATGGGGGTGTGGGGCATGGGAGATCTCAGAGGCACCCCGAGAGCAGGCGATCTTCGAGTTATGTACTCCGTAATTAGTTGATATTCCTTCCGTCCAGCATTGGGCACCGTCGTTGGTCTTCCGGCCCTCAGCCCAGTACAGTACAGTATACTGAAGTATACTGACATGCAACGAGCTCGCTCGTTTCGCGGAACATCTGCGTGGCGCCAAAGAACTACCGTGCACAGTATATACACCTCACCATTAATTATGCAGTGGCGTCCCTGGTGTGTGTGCTGTTGTACGCTGCGGCTACGGTGCAGTGCGTCCTACGGCGTCAATTAAATGTGCTGCAGTGCGTCATCATCTACTGTATGTTGTACACATGCATTGCATTCCCAGCGTCGGCGTGGTTCTACTCGTACAGTACTCTACCGCTCCGCGCCGATGATGCAAAGCGGCCACTGACCACTCACCGACTGGGGCGAACGGATCATAGGAGGTGACAAAATATGGAGACGTCGATTGAGGCCCTGCTATTGCCTCCGTCACGTTTGACTCGCACAGTAAATATTATGCACGCCGTCACCTATGCTGGTGATGGAGCCAGAACGAGTGTCGTGCTGTTGTCGTGCCGACGCCGTGTTGCTTCCTTCGTCTTGCGAGACGGCAGAGTTGGCTTTGAGCTTCAGCTTTTGGCATTGGTTTCGCAGGTCTGAATACGGGGTACTCCCTCAGCATGCGGCGGGGTATGATTCTCCCTCGCTACAGTAACTAGCTTCCTCGGCCACGATGTCTGTCATGGTGTTTTTGTCTAATTACTCCGTAATCTATGGAGTCTGTAGGTGTAGAAAATGATATGACATGAGAAGTCCTCAGTGGACCATGCCATGATCCATGATCAACATTCCCATGCAGGTACTACATACACTATGTACTCATACATCATGTGGCGTCGTTCAGGTGTCATCGCACGATCTCAGACGCGCTAAAATGTTCTCGCGGACATCCTGGTTAGATACATGCCATCTAGCTTGGGGTCGTTGGTTGACAGTTGCATTTGAATTTGCACTTTGCGTTGCAGTACATCGTAGCGAGCGAACCGTCCAGGGAGCTGCACTGGAGGGTTGTGTGCCCGTGGCATCTGCTGTTCGCTGTATCTGCTGTTCGCTGTATCTGCTGTTCGCTGTATCTGCT